TTATTAGCATCATTAAGGGTATTATCACTAGCACTTGTGTCTATTTATGATTCAAAACATTTGCTACCACATTAGGTTGCCTCAACTTATATGGAAACATAAAGTCATACTTAACAAGAAAATCTTACTATTTGGTAAAATTAAACGTACATTTCTTATGCAAGTTAAAATAACTTTTTTTGATATTCTATGTGTATACATCAAATATATTACTAGGATGGTAATGCTATCATATTTAAATAATGGATGACTAATGTTAATGCATTCGCCTAGATAGAGTATTGTTGTTCCATCTAATTAAACTTTTAACTTTCAAAAATAACTATCATTTGTACATGCACACTTGATGGACACATCTAAAGAGTCTTTTGGACATCAAAAGACTTAAAAAAAATTATAATAGAAGGATATGCTCATTAGTGATAGCCCTCTGTATGTTGTCAAATACTTTGTGACATCTTTTAATCTACCTCTACCATTAGTCTTTTTTAGAAAATTTCATGAATGACATTACTATTTATGAGTCATACAAATAAATTTTTAATAATAATTTATCAAGCATATTAAGGATACATGATGCTAAACTAATTTAGGAAATCATATTATTTCTTTGAATTGACGTACATCAAATTAGGGTTTGTAAAGAAGAGGCTTTAAGACTTTCAAAGTGGGGTCTTAAGTCTTTAGGGTTTAGTAGTTATCTTATGAGTACTCACTTCTAAAATAAGAGAGTTATAAAATTTGATCAATCACCACAATAATTTAGTAGTAAAAGTACTTTATTAGAATTAAAAACTCTTGATAATTCTTGGAGTAGTTGGTTTGATACTCCTTAGAAGTTTCACGCTTTTGAGAAGAATGATGAATAGAGAAAAATAATAAATAAGAAGAATAGAATGGGGAGGAAAAAAAGGACAAAATGAGGGGCATCGGCGAGAGAAAGAGAGAAAATGAGGGATTCGTGGTGACTGTAGGAGAAATAAAAAAAGGGGCTCTCTTGGTGACAAGAACCGGGGGTGAATAATTTAATATTAACCAAATGGGTAGAAGGAGAAAAAAAAGGGGAGTGAAATTAGAGCATCAGCAGGAGAGAGAGAGAAGAGGCTTGATTAGGGTGGGTGGCTAAAAGTCAGACGGCGGCGACAATGGGAGAGAGAAAGGAATAGGGTTTCGCGACGAGAGGACAGTTGGAAGAGGGAATGATGACGACGGGGCGGACGGCGAGGAAGCAGAACGGCGGCAATGACAGATGAAAAAAGAAGGTGGGTTGGCGACGAGGTAGTTAGCGAGGAGGTGGAATGGTGGCAGCAAGGCAGACGGCGAGGAGGCGGAATGGTGGTGTCGGTGGGAGGAAAGAGAGAGAGAGAAAGAGAAAATAAGGATAGAGATAGAGGGAACAAACGGGAAAGGGGATTCCGGCGGAAGAAGAAAAAGGGGAAATAGATGAGAGGTAAGTTCCGAATTATTCTAAGCATTGTCTTTAGATGGTATTCCATCTATCATTTCTAGAGGAGTGAAAGAGATCCATTAAATAGGAAAGAGAGGAGAAATAGTTGAGGTGGTTAGAGGCACATCTTAAAGAGGTGGCGTCTCTTGGAGAGGGGCATGCCTCAACTCTCTCTTATGGGCCTATGAAAAGATGGGCCCTCTTCCATTGGGCTTTCCTCCATGGGGTCTTCTTTCATTGCCTCTTCTTCCTCTTCTTCTTCTTGAGCCCACAATATGGGATGCACTTTCTTGTTGATCTCTATGGATCCATGGGATATCAACCCAAGGTTTCACTTCGGTTCTATCAATGTAGGTAGCCTCCAGTTGACTTATCGCATACAAAGGTGTAGATTAGGGTTGACCATAAACCTAACTAACTTTCTTGGGAGTTGATTTCTTATTACTGATGGAGACCCCACTTGAAGTTGATCTTGATCTTAACTAGACTATATGGCATCATCTTGAGGAGTGGCATTATTCAATTCAAGCACCCCATCAATAAGAACTCAATCTCCTTTATAGAAAATTTATATTTCGTTAAATTGAGTAACAATAAATTTTGCTCATATTTTGAGCACCTTGTGTAAATATATGTTGTGCTCCTCTAGATTGTGATGATATGTGAAAATGTGATATAAAAAGACTCACAAAATGATCTAATTAATACCTTAAATTTAATTTATTAAGATGTAAAATGTGATTAGAACATTCTTAAGTTTAAAATACATCATCATGATATCAAAGAATTCATAGAGTGATGTACTTAGTAATAAATATTCTTGAGATACAACTAAAATAAGATCTAAGCCTTAACAAGCTTGTTGAAGAGCTCATCTACATTTGAAACATGATATTTGTTCCAAATTGTGATCTATTTGAACTCTTTATAATCCATACAAAGCATGAATCTATCATTTGTAGTTGTACTTCAATGGAAAAGAACTGGGATCTAAAGCCCTAATGGATGGTTTGATATAGTATGCTTTAATTATGGCATCTAGTCGCTTCAACTCTCAAAATGCATCAAGGACATCTTGTATGACACCCACATTGGTGGGCACTCCCTTAAGAGACCATATTTATGACGTGACCAACCTCACCCTAAGGTGATAGTTATGTTAGAAGTGTATGTCACATAATTTCATAAAACTCTTCTAGAAGATGGATTGTTTAAGGAGAGCTACTTTGAATGTTCTCCCACCATCACTATTGTACATTGTCCATTGATTTCGTCATTAATCTCCCACAACATCACCTAGTATGTTTCTTCTCCACACCTATATTTTTTTGAGTCATGAGGTCAAGATTATATGGAGACTTAACCATCCACTTCCCACCCTTATAGCGAAATAGGAGGGTTCACCTCCTCTAAGTAATACTTTGTTATAGTGGAGAAAGACACCCGCTTGCATTCAAATAAAAAACTTGAGGTCAAGAATGATGCCAGAATTTCCGATTAGGAGAATCAAGAAGTTTCACCTAATCTTCTCACGAGATCATGCATAGTGTTGAACCGTGTATCACCCTAATCAAAGCTTGGCCTCTAAATCTAAAATTTTGATCTACCTATATCTTCGATCTAATTCTAAATTTAGCTAGCTTACCTCTCACTCTAAGATGAACTAAGTAGTTGATACACACTTTAGTCGTTACTATAAAATGTGTGAAATTTAAAATTTATAACCTGATTTTACTTTTAAATATAATTTGTAATCAAATGGTGAAAATAGGTCAATCCATATGAAATAATGATAAAACCATGTCAATTTGATTATTTAAAAATTGATACAAGATCTAAAATAATAATCATAAAAATAGTTGAATAGTAGAGACTAATTTAATATTTTCAGAGATATGTATATATATATTCTTATAGGTGTATAATTTTTTTAAAAATACTAAAATTCGATTTTACATATTTTTATTTTTCAGTAAATAAAACCGAAGAAAATAATTTAAAATAATTAGTGTTGACCAAGTTGATATTTGTCTAAAAGAAGAGAGAGAGAGACGTGGGCTGTTGGGACATCGGCCTAATAAGAAAAAATAGGAATCAAAGAGAGATTAGATGGCTGGCAGAAGCTCCTCTATCAGGGATGATGCTAATGGATGGAGTTTTGCTAATAACAAAAATACCAAAACAAAGATTTATATGAATTTAGATCGTAAAGATCCATAGTTAAAGTCCAAAAAGACGAAGCTTGCTCAGTTGAACTTGATGAAAATAGTAAAAATAAAAGTAAAACTGATATTTAGGAATCAAGGTCTCTAGTGCACTAGATAACTCCTAGAGTTTCCACAGCGAGTCTATGAAGGTGTAGAAAGGAGGCATGGTATGGAGGCAGAAGGCAAGGGAGATAAATGACATCACTAGCATAGCATCATTCAATGATTAGATAATCAATCTCACACTAGATGTGGGATTTAATCATTCTAAGGGCCATGTCTATATAGAGGGACCCATACCCCATGTATTCATCACCTTTGGAGTTATCAGGTTGACCTTTTTACTCACCGTTAACCTCTTGGTCATGATTGGCTGGCTAGGGATGGATATGCCCAATGCTAAGCAAATATTGTATGGAGGGGCCGACATACTTGTCAAAAGCAACCATAGAGATGTTCCTATGTGATAGCATGAATGCAGATCTGGGCAAGTCCATAGACACAATAGGTGGCCCAACACTCGAGGCAGCCGCAATAGATGGTAGGACGCTCAAAGTGTCGCCCAACAACTACTCAACTAGAAAGGTGTAACAATTAGGAGGGACCCTTGCAATATATATAGAGGGGGATGACTAGCAGTAGAGCCTACTGATGGAGAACCTCTTAGCTCGTATGAATAAAAGAAAAGACTAGATGGGGAACGAGTGTCCCAATGCCCGCACAGGATTTGGGGTGTAACACAAGGCATTTGAGGGGCTCAATATTAAAGTAGCTCAAGCATTGTTGTCTCCTCTTGATTCATATGCATCATTTACAAACGCCTAAAAAACTTGAGAAAATTCAATGAGGAAGACAAGAAAGATTAGAATAATGAGATGCTTAATCTTCTTCCCCAATGTAGGCTTAAGGTGTTTAAAAACATAGGAAGTCACTGTTAATTTTTTTAAAAACCCACCTACACCTTTCACTTTCAAAGAGGGAAAATATGATCGAGTAAACTAGAGAGATTCTCGACCTTGCATAAGCAAATAAATTTTTTCCTTGTAAATAAGATTCATGATAAATAGATATGAATTCTGACCGACATTTGTAAGATATTATTACATCATGAATAAGAGATGTGAAAGAATTTGCTCACTCTTGCAGTGTTGGGTAGGAGGCAATTTTGTTAGCGTCATCTGTCCACTATTGAGGAGGCCTTTCAGCATAAAACGAGATGACCTTCTTATAGGGATTTAATCGTATACAATGCAACTCTGTACACAATTTTATTAGTATCAAGCTTTCTTTGTAATGCAGACTCTGAGAAACGATGAGATGGTTGAGCTCTTCTAGGCTTCTCTAACTTAAAAGTTCAATCCATGCAGAGCCTGCAAGATCTCATGCATCTTTGGATGAGATCTACACCCTGCAAAGAAGACATGGAATCCGTCTCGAGTCTCCACCCAGCTGCACCCTGGCTCTTTCTTCACATTCTCCTCCTTCATCCTCCTCCTAATCCCTCCAGTCTCATTCCAGTGGCTCTGCGCAGCAAGTACATTTGACAGTGCCACTAGATTGCCATGAATCTGCCCATCCCTCGCGACCAAGTCGCAAGCAGCATGCGCAAACCCAACGTTTCCGTGGATCCTGCATGAATTGAGGAAGGTCGTCCACATAGAAACACTCGGGTTCGGCAATATTTCCTTCATGAGAAATAAAGCTTCATCCAGATGACCACTCCTGCACAGAAGATCAACCACACAGCTATAGTGCTCCAAATTTGCAGAGACGCCATGGTGTTCCTTCATTGATCGGAAGTAATGCCAGCCTCTGCTAACCAGGCCGCCGTGGCTGCAGGCTGATAGAACCGCGAGGAAGGTGATCTCGTCGGGCTTGATCTTCATCGCCAGCATTTGCTCAAACGTCGTCGTTGCCTCCGTCACAAAGCCCCCCTTTGCATATCCGGCAATCATAGTCGACCAAAGAACTGCATCTCTCGAAGATAATGTGTCGAAGACGACCTTGGCAGCGCCAACGCTGCCGCATCTTGCGTACATGTCCACTAGGGCGTTGCCGACGACTAAATCCGAGTGGATTCCATCCTTGACGATCCTTGTGTGGACTTGAATTCCCTGCCGGAGAGAAGCGATATAACCGCAGGCGTCTACACATGTGGCATAGGTGAAGCGATCCGGTCCGAGGCCGCAGGAGATCATGCGAGCGAAGAGATTCAGGGAATCTTCCCCGAGTCCGCACTCTAGGTAGCAGGAGATCATCTCGTTCCAGGATATGATGTCCCTGTCGGGCATTGCGTCGAAGAGCTTCTTCGAGCTGCTCAGATCTTGACATCTCGAGTACAAGTGGAGCAGATTGTTCTGGAGCACGGGTTCAATGCCTTCATGGGAACTCACCTTGAGCAAACGCGCATGGATTTCTCGGCCGCACGAGAGGAGTCGAAGACCGGAGCAGGCACTCAGAGCTCCGGAGTAGGAATAGGAATTGGGGGCAGATTTCTCAGAGACCATCCTCCTGAACAAGTCCAACGATTCCTGGTAGTGCCCCCGCTGAGCATAGCCGACGATCAATGAAGTCCATGCGACGACATCTCTCTCCGTCAATTCGTCAAACAGCGCCCCGGCCTCCCGAAGATCGCCGCTGTTCCTGATCACGAGGCCAACCAGCGCCGTCATCAGAATGGTGAATCGTTGGAAGCCAAGCTTGATGACGAAGCCGTGCACCACTCTCCTCCCGCAGTCTGGGGATCCGAAAGCCTCCGCGGCCGCCTTGAGAGCTTTGGAAAGGGTGTACTCGTCGGGTTTTAAGCCGCATGGTGGCTGAAGTAGGGCAGACAATGGGCTGCCGCCGCCGGCGGTGAGTTGCTCCGGGGGATTACGAGGAGAGCTCGAGGATCTGGTGGTAAACGCGGCGAAGTGGAGGAGTACCCGACGGCTGTAGAGAAACAGAGCACGGCTTCGCATTCGCGCGGGCTCTGGAGACCTCTCTTTCTATCCCTAATTCTCACCGTGAGTGATTCCTCGCTCTCGCTCTCTCTCTCTCTCTCTCCTATAACCTTCTCTCAGACCCCAGTGATTCTTCTTTTTCTCTCGAGTAACTGGGGAAGAAGAAATCCATGGGATGGACGACTCCCATCCCCTGGATGAGAATCCCAGTGATTCTTCTATCCCTGTCTCTTCTCTCTCTTCTCTCTTCTCTCTCTCTCTCTCTCTCTCTCTCTCTCTCTCTCTCTCTCTCTCTCTCTCTCTCTCTCTCTCTCTCTCTTCTCTTCTCTCTCTTTCTCTCTCTCTCTCTCTCTCTCTCTCTCTCAAACCCCACTGATTCTTCTCTTCTCTCGAATAACTGGGGAAGAAGAAAACCGGGGGATGGGAGTCGTCAGGTGGCCGAGGCTTCTAACTCCTACACAGCTTTGCCAGCTGATCAGACAACAGAAGAACCCGCTGGCCGCCCTCCAGATATTCGATGCCGCCCGCTCCAGATACCCTTCATACCGCCACAACGGCCCCGCCTACGCCACCATCATCGACGTCCTTGGCTCGGCTGGCCGCGTCGCGGAGATGAAAGGCGTGATCGAGCGGATGAAGCAGGAACCCTGCGAGTGTAGCGACTCCGTCTTCGCCGGAATCATCCGCACTTATGCCCGGCTGGGTCGGGTTGAGGACGCCATCTTCCTCTTCCGCCAGATCCCTCAATTCAACTGCGTTTCCTCGACAGAGTCCTTCCACGCCACTCTGCAGATCCTGATCGCAGAAGGGGATTTAAAGGAGGCCCTTCGGGTATTCGTGGACGGCAGTAGGAGGCGGGGTGTGAAGGTGCAGGTCAGGTCGTTGAACTTGCTCATCGGCGCCCTGTGCAGGAAGAATCGCTCTGATCTGGCTCTGGAGATCTTCGGCGAGATCACGGAGCTCTGCTATTACCCAGACAGAGAGACGTACAGGATCCTAATGAAAGGGCTCTGCGATGATGGGAGATTGGATGACGCCACTCACCTTCTCTACTCCATGCTGTGGCGGATCTCGCAGAAAGGCTGTGACGCCGACGTGGTCGTCTACCGGAGTCTGCTGGAAGCGCTGTGCGCAGAGGGCCGCATCCGAGAGGCCGAGGAAATTCTCTGTAAGGTCCTGAAGAAGGGCCTGAGATCTCCGAGGAGCCGGAGGAGCTTCCAGGGCTGCGATCTCGGCGCAATTGGTGGAAGTTTAGAGGACACGAAGAACGTCATTAACGGAGCGTTGGTGGGTGGAGGGGTCCGAAGTCTGGCCAGCTACAGCGCCATCCTCATCGATCTATACTCGGAAGGAAATATTGCAGACGCGGAACGGCTGTTCGACGAAATGCTGCACAGAGGGTTCAGGCCGCAGGCTTCCGCGTACGACGCGAAGATATCCGCACTTTGCCGAGCGGGGAGGGTGGAGGAAGCGGCGGCGGCGGTGGAGGCGGAGATGCCGGAGAGGGGCTGCGCCCCCTCCACGAGGACCTACAATCTGTTGATGCAGGGCCTCTGCGAGACCGGGAAGTCGGAGATGGCCGCCGGCTACCTGCGGGCAATGGATTCTCGTGGGGGCTGCCCCGCCGGCAAGGAGACCTTCGAAATCCTGGTGAACGGCTTCTGCTGCGAACGTAAGTACGTGGAGGCGAGCCGGGTCTTGGAGAGGATGCTGATCAGGGGCTTCTTTCCGGGCGACGCCATCTACGGCCGCCTCATCTCCGGTCTCTGTGCCACCCGCAGGGCGTACGAGGCCGTGTTGTGGCTGGAAGAGATGGCGTCCCAAGACAGAGCCCCCGCACCATCCGCGTGGCACGCGCTCGTCTCGGCGACGTGCGCCGAGCCGCCGCCTTCGACGGCGTGGGATGACCTGGCTGCTTCAGAATAAATCCGTAAATTTACCTCCGTTGACAAACAGCCCGGTGAAAGTCAGCATGAGTTTTTCAACTCAGGAATGCGCTCAGTTTTTCTCCCTCGTCCCATATCTCTCCAATATCTCTCTAATAGATAGCGTGGTGAAGCCTGTGAATCGGGCGTTGACTTCATGATGAGCAAATTTCTATCTTAAAAACACTGCGCTTTTCAGGCCAATTACCAAGAATACCCACCTCGCTTTGCATATCATAGTTCGTTGACCTCTAACATACTTCCGCAAATAATATGTCAACGGTCAATGTTGAGATTACATGATTACCCACACATACAACGGTACTATATATAAGAGTATTATTTTCGTGATTAGTGACATGAAAATACCATTTCATTAATTTCCTCCCCGCCCAATAATTGTAAAAGTATACTCGATAGGAAAAAAAGTCCAAGAACTCGCCGGAAGAAGACGATCTAATCCACCGGTAGACCAAGAACACGGTCAGCGGGTTCGACCGAAGGAGCTTCTCTGACCACTAGAAGGGGGGGCAACTCTGTCCACCCAGGGACACCGCTGGCTGTGGTCCGAGAAGCTCGTCAAGGCGGCGGCGTGGGGGCGGGGTCCACACACTTGCGGCTATGCACCGGAAGGTGGGTGGCTAGCCGCGGGGTCTGTCCTGCGTCGTGCTGCCCGTTCCAACTGGGCTGTCCTGGACGTGGAAGAAAAAGTAAGATCGCTTGAGAAGGGAAAAGCTGGGGCTGGGCCTGAGGTGTCTTAAAAGGAAACCTCGCCTCCACGTTCGCCGTCGCAGCGTTGGTCCCGAGATACCAATCCAAGGATTCGGCGTTGTCCCAGCTGTTCTACTGTGCACATCTTCTCCTTCCCCACTTTCTTTCGCTGTCTGTCTGTGGTCTAGGGTTTCGAATCTCCCGTTCCCTCTTTTCCACCGTCGATATTGCTAGCCGGGGAGTCGTCTGTTCGCCTTGTCCCGGCCAGAGATTCGGTATTCGATGATTTGCTGAATCGGAAGGGAGGAGAATCATGACGATTCCAAGTTCAATTGGGTTCCTCAGCGAGGACAGCTGCCTTCCTTGCACGCCGGAGGAGGAGAGGCGCACCATCCAACATTTGGACCGTGCCGCCACATCAAATCGGAAGGAAGGAGATCTCTACTATCTCATTTCCAGCGAGTATGAGAAGAATCCATCTACTTTGTTTATTACTTCCTTCAACATTTCATCCGGGGGATGGGGAGGGTGTAGTGTGGATTCATCATATGCGATATAGTCTCATCCATGTTTTGGTTGTGATTGCGGTCTCTGTAAGGACAGATCTGGGGTGCGGTATAGGGCTCGATGGGCTTTACACGAAATTCATGCCTGCCTTGCATTCCATGAATATGATCTAATCTAGAGCCTTTTATATCGCCTCTGTTACTGGTGTTTAAGAAGCAATACGTGAAATATCAAGGTTTCCAGACAGATTGGTTTCAGTGGTCATCCTGATTTCTAAATTCCCGCAGTTTGACAGCCCCGTTTCACGATGAACTCATCTTATGTCCTACTATTCTTTGTACAAGTCGTTTTTTTTTTAACAGGAGGGTAAATTGTCACATGTAACAACATTGATATTGCCTTTTGTCAAATTTGGCAAACTTACGTCCATAAATTATTTCTGCTACCCAATAAGAATCTTGTAGTCCATAAATCTTGTACCCAATAACCTTCTAGGGTGCACTGGGTGCCGCCACAACATTTGTGAAGGAAATCTTAAACATTCCAGATGTCGATATTGGTCTGGATTTGCATGGGGGATCTGTTAAATGCGTACATTATATTTTTAATGCTCATCTTCATTCTGTCGTTTGCTCCTGATCTCTCAGTGGATGTCATAATTGCTTCTATTGGAAGACTCAAATGTATTTCCTGGATTTATTAAAAGTAAATGTAAAACTGTGGCTATCGACTATGTTAAGTTACGACTTCTATAGCTGGTGAATTTTTGGAAAAAAATATGGCATTACTGCAATATATGCTGGATTAGTGTATATTCTCTTTCTGTTATGAATTTAAATACGGCCTTTTCAGTAGTATTCTGAAGTATGGTTTATGTGGACATTAACTCTGGCTTTATTTAGATGGTGGAATGGGTGGAAGGATTATGTAGGACTAGATGATTCTTCTCAACAGTTGATCGAGTCCCCTTTGGCTGCATCCATCCGACCTGGGCAGATTGATAACTCAGAGCTATTATCCAGTGAAATGGACGATGAAAATGATGAATTGATTCTCCGTGAAGGATTGGTTGAAGAAATAAACTACACTTTGGTTCCTCTTGAAGTCTGGAAGAAGTTCAAAGAATGGTAATCGTCTATCTTGGCCATCTCTTTTGACCTTTACAAATTATATTGAACGTCTGGTCTGCTGATTTCTCGGTTTCATTCAATTTGTTGAGAAGGTATTGTTAGCTGTTTTAGAAAAAAATAACTTCAGTTTTGCTCGCTCTGCATTTAAGTATATATTTCGTGGGGGCACCTTCCAAAATAGTGAACCTGGTTTTTAACCTTGCACGTATTGTCAAAATTAAAGGATGCCCATACATTGGAACGGTTTTCTATCATGATGCCAAAAAATGGGACGTTGGGTTTTATTGTAATGATTTACAAAGCGGAGAATAGTACTCTTCTTGATTTTTTTCGGATTATTTGTTTTTGGAATTCTATGGGGAATCCTCGACCCTGAAATTGTGCAGTAGCCTGCAGCTGGTGTATGTGTTACTCAATTTCTTTTTCTGCTCATTATACATCTCAGCTAATTTGAAAATCCAGTGAATTTTAATGATACTATTGAAATCATCCTATGACATATCCTTGCTTTCGTACTCTAGAAGCAACCTGTGTGAGATGCTTTGTGGACAAGTACTCTCTATCAATTACCGAGAAGTCAAGAAGCTATTTCAGAGTCATCCAGTACTGAAATATCGTAACATGTCCTAGATGTTTGGTTTTGGACATCATATATGGGTAGCATACTTCTACCTTTCTTAGATAAGCGTGTGAGTTGCACACATAGAAGATTGCTTGTTCATTTATACTGTGTCGTACGCATTTCATGTTATCTCTTTCATATCTTTTGTTCAGGTATGGTGGAGGGCCGACAATAGCACGAAAATTAATTCCCCAAGGTTTTAATAATAGGGAATTAGCTGTGGAGGTTTATCTCCTGTGTCTGAGATTAATAAATGCAGCAGACAACTCCCAGAAGGATATTCGAATCAGCAAAAAGGTAATTTCGGTTTTTCAGCATTTCATGGTGATTTGGTACCTTGAATATGACTCCTCCACATGAGTATTCATCATCTTGACAGTATGCATACTGCGTCTTCTTCTGGCCATGGGTGAACTTGTTGTCAGAGAGAAACTAACTTAAAGGGAACCAAAAGTGGCCAAAAAACCTCCTGGTCATTCATACTTTTCATGGGAGTTTTACACTAATGCTCTCCTCTTTTTATTTTTCTTAACAATGGAAGAAATTCGTCTAAACTCAGTTATTTACAGAAGTAGATGCCTATAACCCATTGTAAGCTTCATGCTTTGGTGCTATTCATGATTGGTGTTGTGACTCCTGCAATTGAGTTTTCAATCTCACCGAAATTACTGGAAGACTTGGAGCCATGTTTTTGGCCATTATCATTGATAATTTGCATAATGATAAAGAATATCATCGGTTTTCCATTTTGATTCGGAATGAAGAAAGTTGAAACAAATGATTCATAGGAAATGTGTCACGTTTGTGTCATCTTATTTGGCATTCATTTATATTATTGTGTTGTAAGTTTATATTACACGATGAGAACATAAGAAAGATTGCTTGTTCTGCGAGGGCAAAACAGGTTATGTTATCTTTTATAATGCTAGCACAACACTTGAACAAATTCGCTTACGCTTTAAATTGCAAGGTGGTTTTGAAAAATAGAAACCTTTGCGCATGCTTCCACAGAGCATTTCTGCCCCCTCCTCCGCGATTAAAATTTGGTACTCTAATATTTATTTTTGTGGGGAAACTAATAAATTGTTCAACAGTTAGTATAAGAAAAAATGGATAAAGTCATTCTCTGATCTTAGAGTGAGCTTTTCTGAGCGTTCTTGGCATATAATGTTTCCTTCTCTGTGATTGAGATTTTACCTTCAGTTTTTTCGTACTATTATCGTGGAACTCCTGCATCCGTTTTCTGTTAATTTTAATATTTGCATGAGCGACTTGACAATAACTAGGAACTTGAACTGACACTGAAGCTGCCTTTATTTGCTATTTGGCTTGTTGGGTATTATTGGAATTGCTTGAAGTGCTAACGATCTTAATTTAATTATGTGCTCTATTCAGGCTTCTGTTAATGAGCTTTACAACAGGATCTCTGCTCTTTTCAAGCTGGAGCGGTCAAAGGTATGGTTAATGCCTTTTGACAACTGTTACTCATTAAGTCATGATGACTACTAAGGTTTCTGAACAATTTATTTCCCTCAGATCCGTATTTGGGATTATTTTAGCCGGACGAAACATAAGGTACTGAGTGAACTGGATCAAAGTTTGGAAGAAGTTCCGTTGTCAATGGGTCAGGAGGTAAGCCCTTTGTGGTGTGTGTCTTGAATGTTTGTTTTCAAATGTGGAGAATGTTATCATGATTAGTGATTGAAAATATCTTTCATATCTTTCTCGAGTAAGAGTTAAATTTGGAAAATATCCTTATGGTTATGTGGAAGTGTTATTATCCCTTTTTTAAAGGTGGATGCACTTCTATCTTGATGTTTACGTGGTATTATGTTAGCTCAGACTTCTGTTCTGCACATAGTTTGACATTTTTGAGGAATGTCATACTTTTCTATTATTATGAGAGGATGTTTAGAATCTTATGTTACGTACGAGTGCCCTACCCTTTAAAACTTTTATACGTGTCTGGGGTGGATCCCCTCTTGTATGTTAAACAGACTGTTTTTCCATTGCTCTGATTTTTCACAATTTCGTTGATGATGACCACACTGCAAGAGAAATCTACCGATGAAAATGCATAGGGGATTATTTTTATATTTGTTTGTACCCTTTTGTTATGCACAGGGTTCAGTTGGTTCGTTTCCTTTGGACTACTGGATCTTTGAAAATTTCTGTCCTGCTGATAAGTTGTTGTAAATAAATAAAACGGATCCAATTTCATTTTAGTCGTATATGGCATGCTTATCTCCCAAGATATTATCGTTTATTTATTTTAATGATCGTGTGATAACTTTTTCGTTTTATGACCTTCTTTGAATTACTATGGATGCAGGTTCTTTTAGAAGTGCTTAGTGATGGCGTTTTATCCCGTGCATCTGAAGCGGATTCAACAGGCAACAGACTAGCTTTGGCTCCATTAGAACCACCAAGGTCTTCCATTACAATTGCGGGAGGCCCCACTGTCTCAAATCGCTGTCCAACTGGGTCTCTCCCTGATTTGGTGCAGGAAACAAGTTCAGGGTTGTGGAATCTGGAGAGTCGGAAAGATTCATCAAATATCGCTACTAAAGTAGATTCTGGGGGACTTACAGGATTACTTAATCTAGGCAACACTTGTTTTATGAACAGTGCTATTCAGTGCTTGGTGCATACACCCCAGTTAGTTGATTACTTTTTGGGAGATTTTAATTTTGAGATCAACAAGCACAATCCTTTAGGAATGCATGTAAGCAGGATTTTCAATTGCAATTTGGTTGTTTCCTGTGCTATACGTATGATATAGGATTGGTGTTACGTAGTTTATGGCTTCGTATTTAAGTTTTTTCATTCTTTTCAATTTCGTCAATATGTGCAGGGTGAGCTTGCTATTGCATTCGGTGATCTACTTAGACAACTATGGTCCTCCAGTGGCATGTCAGTCGCACCCCGTTTATTTAAAGGAAAACTTGCACGGTTTGCCCCCCAGTTTAGTGGGTATAACCAGCATGATTCCCAGGTTCGTAACATCTTTCACTTGTTTTCATCTGATTTTGAGTTTGGTACTTGTTATGATGTCTATTTCCTCTCTTAACCAGTCAAGACGGCTTCATATTTCCTTTTCATGTCTGCTTATGTTCTATGTTTTTTCTTGTTGTTGCAACCCTCGTTTCTAAGGTGTACTTTTTTGTAATGCTATTACTGTGAACTTTTCTCAAGAAAAGTTGAAGTAAAAAGGAAGAACATTCAGATGCTTATGCTAGCGTGATGGCCATGTTAAGGTTTTTCTTTTTTGGATAATTTTGTGCATTGGAACTGTTGAAGGCCACTGATTTTGGACTATGCATACAAAATCGCTTTTTGTTGGGAAAATAACTAAATGCATGAATTTTATTCAGTGGTATCAAGTGCACCGAGGCAAAGAGACAGATCTTTCAGTTATATACGATGTCGCCACATCTTCATCTCTCTAAAGGTGATCCTCAAAGTGTGGCGAGGAAGATACAGAGAGTTTAGATGATTATGTTTTAGCCCAGTTGGGGGATTATTAGTGTGGAGACCATACTTGTTTTGTTGAGATTTTTTTTTTCTTCTTCCATCTCGAAAGTGCTTGCTTCCATAAAGACAACGAGAACGGATTGCATAGAGAACAGTAAAAGCAATGCGTTATTCTATGGCATTGAGGTTCTCTCAGAAAGGGTATTATGGTATGTACGAATTGTTTTCGCGCTGTTCTTCTGTCCCCTATCCTTCCCAATTTTCACGTCAGGTCTTTTAATGTTGATGTTGCCTTGCTCTCTGTTGTCTTTTAGTTTAATATTCTTCCCCAGCTAGAGTCCCGTTACCCTCGAAACATTTTCAAGCTGGCAAATCTTCCCTTTATCCTTTGGCTATTAAAATCATTTTTTTGTGTTCCAAAGAAGCTATCTTGGTCTCACTTATCTTTCAACAGCTTTCGCTGATCCATCTTTATCGGCATCGTCTTTATTTCAGGAGCTACTCGCATTTCTACTTGATGGGCTGCACGAAGATCTAAATCGTGTAAAAAATAAGCCTTATATAGAGACAAAAGATGCAAATGGCCGTCCAGATGAGGAATTTGCAGATGAATGCTGGGAAAACCATAAAGCTCGAAATGATTCCATTATCGTAGATGTTTGCCAAGTATGCTTTTACTGTCACATTTTTTATTCATTTTATTTGTCAATTTTTAAGTTTTTTGATAGACTTTTTACATTTTTTTAAAACCTTTACCAAAAAACTGTGTCTGAGATTTTGGGAAGTCTCATAAATGTGAACAACAATAATGACCTTATGCGACTATCAAGCGGAGGAATCTGTTGGGTGTCAAAGATTCTGAGAAATCAACTCGTTTCATCCGTTAAAGAGTAGCTCTTTTCTGCGTATTTACAGTTACTGCCGTAAGATAGTGGATCACTTGCATAGATTATTATAAAATAGCTTCTAAACCTGAGAATCTGATAATGTTATGAATTTGACTTTCTAACCGAACTTTTTTCTGGGGTTATTATTAAAATGATATAGAGAGCTGCCGAATGCATATAGATTTGTGTTATTTGACCGAATCTTTATGCTATAACTCGGGATTTGAAATTTAATATCGGATGTTCTGTATTACAACCTTTCATACTGTGCACTGCCTCTTGCGTCCATTTTAGCATTCTGAAATTGAGGATAATTTGCCAATTTTTGTAGATGCTCAACTGGAGCCTGAAATTTTGTTTTGGTTAGTCAGAGCTTTCCTGTTTTAGCTTTGGGAAGTTCCCACTCCATTTTCCTTCTGTCTTTGGGAAGTTTTTGTTTACGGTGTTTCCTTTGGGATTTCCTTTTTTTTAAGGCTAGAGGGATAAATATAGAAATATCCCAGGTTTCTTGGGTGGACTTGGAGAAATATAAATGGACATGGATTGGAGTACTCTGCGTATGTTCATTGTTGTATTGTTTCCAGTCAGGTTGTGATTTGTGAAGCTATTTTGGACTATGAAAGTTTTTTGAACTTTATCAGTATATCATTGAATCAAATCCAGGTTCCATATAACACATTAATCACAAAACAGAGGGATGTTCGGATGGTGACGGTTAATATCAACAGAAACGAGTCCTTTTCCTCTTGTCAAGGTCGTCGCTCTCATGTTGCTTGTCTTACTTCTGTCGCCAAATGTAATCCAGATGTAACCAGATAGTGACACAATTAGTGATATGCTGGCTAAGTTAAGACACATTTTTAAACCAAATGATTTTTTCGTGTTAACATACAAACAGTGTATCACCCAATTTTCTCAAATGTTCTACTCAAATTGAATTCAGTGGATGTCATGAATTTTCCTGGTGGAGAAGTTTCTCAATTCACCCCGAGGGTAATGAGGGGAAGAGAGATGCTTTAGGTGCATCAGCATTTTTTTGTGTACTACTTTTTCATATGTGTTGCATAGATCATTGATGATAGTTAACCACACTCTCAGGGTCAATACAAGTCAACGTTGGTTTGCCCGGCTTGTAGCAAAGTTTCAGTGACATTTGACCCGTTCATGTACTTATCACTGCCCCTGCCTTCATCTGTCACCCGTACAATGACGGTCACTGTTTTCTACGGTGATGGAAGTCGTCTTCCTATTCCAACAACTATAACAGTGCCAAAACATGGCTGTTGCAGAGATCTCACTCAGGCTATAAGTACTGCTTGCTGCTTGAGCCAAAATGAGGCTTTACTTCTTGCAGAGGTAAGGAACTGGAGCATGTACTCTATTATGAGAAATTTTGACGCTAGAAAGGAAAACAAAAGATTTTGTTGTGCTGAATGCTTGAATTACTTTTTCTGCAGATTCTTAACCACCGGATATATCGATACTTTGACAAGCCTCTCGAGCCATTATCTAACATAAAGGATGAAGATCATATCGTGGCTTATAGACTTCCTATGAAGCATGAGAAATCAATAAAACTGGAGATAACGCACAGAAAGAAAGATAGGTTAGTCCTTGTAAGCTTGATGGTACTTTTGATGCTTTAAGTGGAATAACGTTTATTCTGCTTTTTGTTACATGATGTTCTGACCTCTGATCCGGATGTGCCTCTGGAGAATGGTCTTTATCGGATAGAAATCTGCTTCTCAGCTTGTCTCTTCGCATCAGATGATCACTTATTGAAATGGTTTTCCCATGATGACAGTCACTGTAATTTTCTTTATACCGAGTCCCATGAACATGCCTTTGTGAAAAGATAAAAAAGAATATGTGTAGAACACCAAGTTTTTGATCAATTCGAATGTCGCGTGCTGGTACTCATGGATCTTTTTAGACTGACAGTAATGGCTGTTGTAAGTTATATATCCAACGAGGTTTGAATCTGTGAGTCTCAGGTCCAACTCTTTTTGAAATGTACCCTTGTATATTCTGTGGCTTCGATCCGCGGACTCCCTAGACTCCCATCCGAAAAGAAAATTCGAGATTTATCGACTGTATCTCGTAGCTTCATCTAATTTCTTTTTATCCGTTGAAACAAATTGAATGATGGATTCCGAAAGTGCACCATCTTCTATGTTATCCTAGCAGGTGACGAGATGTGTAGTCTCTTATGTGGTTATCAAACCAGATCTAATAAATCACACTTACGGGCACATTAGGGATTGCTATCCTTGTCACCGGCGAGATTGGCCGTGAAGAGCAGCAACTGTGGCCACCCACACGTTTCTTTCTCTGATTTACTACGCTTCAATCATGGGATTGGGGTTGAAACAATGAGATGTGGGGTTCTGGTCTCTAAGCTGTGACATTTCTATCAACTCTCTGTTTTGTTTGCACTGTTAACTTGTGATATGAAATAAAAAATACCCGTGTAAAATCTTTGGTTGGAACCTTTCCCATGGTATAATATGTGTGTGTAGGTGTACGATTTTCTCTGGTGCTGACCCGCCAATTTTCTTTCAGATCTACGTCTGGCTTTCAGAACACCGGTTATGACAAGTTTTTCGGAACACCATTGGTGACCTGTCTTCCTGACGGCTCACTGGATAATTCCAACGTTCACGGTGCTCTGAGTCTTGTTCTCTCACCCCTTTTGCGTAAAAGGACCTCTGAAGTTTCTTCCAGAAGCAGCAAGGAGAATGGCTATGGTTCTGGTTCCAATTCTGTCACCTTGACAGAAAATCTCAATGTTCTTCAAGAGGAGAGGAGCCTCGCACTATCTGATGCGGAGCAGGAAGATGATGAGATCCCACCTTTTGAATTTTCATTTGCAGATGAGAAGGATTCAGGCAGAAATTCCTTCTTCAAGGATTCCCCTCCTCCCAGCAGACGTGTGAAAGTTTTGGTCGACTGGTCAGAGAAAGAACAGGGTCTCTATGATTTGAGCTTCCTGGAGGATCTCCCCGAGGTTTACAAGAACACAGGATTTTTTGCCAAGAAAACACGGCAAGAGGCGGTCAACTTGTTTTCCTGCTTGGAAGCATTTCTGAGGGAGGAGCCTTTGGGGCCCGATGACATGTGGTACGCCATCTGCCTTGCTTAGAACTAGCTCTATGGTTAGTTCTCAGTTCCATTTTCTTACGTCTTTTATTTATTACTGCAGGTATTGTCCGGGCTGTAAGAAGCACAGACAAGCGACCAAGAAGCTGGACTTGTGGAGACTACCGGATATTCTTGTCATTCATCTGAAACGGTTCTCGTACAACAGGTTCATGAAGAACAAGTTGGACACGTTTGTGAATTTCCCCACCTCCGATCTTGATCTAAGCCAATACGTGATGCACAAGTCTGCCACGATGAGATCGCATGTGTACGAGCTGTACGCCGTGATCAACCATTACGGTGGCTTGGGAGGTGGTCATTACACTGCCTATGCGAAGGTAATGCGGCATTGCTCGATGCTTTCTATCTCAACATCTGAATCATCCCGAATCGTTCGCTTAGGATTTGTTCATCATTAGCGAGGAAAGCTTTTTGGTGGCAACTTAAATGGCCAATTTGGCTCATTTGTCATGAAATTATGCACGGATTCACTTGTGCACAGTTGTACTTTCTTCGATGTCTATGAAAACTACATGGCACTCTCTTCCTTGTTTTGATCCGATGTCCGCCTGCGAGTTTCTCATCTCTTTTCGTCACAACGTATCTTCCCTAACCTGGTGGCGGTGATTCTGCAGCTGCCGAAGGAAAACCGGTGGTACCACTTCGACGACAGTCACGTCTCCCCTGTCAGCGGCGATTCGGTGCGGACAGCCGCGGCTTATGTCTTGTTCTACCGCAGGGTGGATGGCGACACTCCGATGCAAGAGGCAGACGCCTCCAGCCACCCTTCTTCCAGCAGGGGATCCTCCCCTTGAGCTGCTGTCTTTTGTTCCTACCTATTGAGATTGAATTACCCAGAATTGAGTTTTGCCCATTTTAGGCGAGCTATGGATGGAGCGGAGTGCTGCCAGGTCTGATGAAACCCGAGTCAACTCCAACGAATCCGTCCCCTCTGTATAATTTTTTTCACATGTCTTGAGGAATAAAAATCCAGTCTTTAGGGGAAAATCCTGCATCGCCCTGCCCTGCCCATCGAGCTTCGGCGATTTAATCGTCTGTTCTTCACCGTGGGATATGGCTCCATGGCCGCTCCATGAGGTCCGGTGGTCGAGCCCATAAGCGGGCCGGGCCAAAAATCGGGTCGACCCTCTTTTTTTTGGCCCAAGCTGTTGATCTCTGCAAGAGCCTCCAACTCCTTGTTTAGACGCTCATATCATGGTATGATGTCTAGGAGCGCTACCTAAATGGGCCTTGGGCCTCCAAGAAAGGTTGCCAAATGGGCCAGTACTCGGCCGTTGTGACGGCCCAAATGATACCCGAGCGGGAGCCCCATTGGGCCGATCCCAAAAACCCTAACATCCACCGCAAGCCGTTCGGTCCCGCATCTATAAAAGGGCCGCCTCCGGCAAAAGTTCGGTTTTACCGCCGTCGCCACCGTCGCTGAAGGTGTTTCTCCGTGCGACTTCTGTGTCTTCCACGACTTGCCGCTAGGTTGCCGTCTGGAAATCCGTTTCTGTATTTTGAGGTCATGATGATTGTTGTTTACCCTACAGATTTCTCTTCCTCTGTTAACGCGTGGTATATAACACTCTTGCAGCTACGATGTCGGCTGGGGAGCTCGCCTGCACCTACGCGGCTCTGATCCTCCACGATGATAACATCTCCATCACGGTAATGTGCCGGTTTTGATGTCCTTGGTCGGCTCTCCTTAGCTTTAGTTCCATTTACCTTTTTTCACTATTTGGCAGAAGTTCGAGGATTATTGGGCTTTTTCTCTGACCAATTAGGCTTTCTCGATTTGTACATTTCCATTTTTATATTTGCAGGCGGAGAAGATCTCCACGTTAGTGAAAGCGGCGAACGTGAAAGTGGATTCCTACTGGCCATCCTTGTTCGCTAAGCTGCTCGAGAAGAGGAGCGTCGATGATCTCATTATGAACGTTGGATCTGGTATGTTTCTTCTTCCACCCATGTGGTGACTATGCTTTATTTCGATTAAGTCAGCAACATGGAATTTATCCCATGAATGAATTCGGATGTGCAGGGGGAGGTGGCGCTCCTGTGGCTGTTGCCGCCCCGTCGGCCGGTGGTGGTGCCGCAGCCGCCGCTGCGCCAGTGGAAGAGAAGAAGGTTCTTATTCTTTCCAGCTTAATAGTTCATTTTGTCATCCGTTTCATGCTCCCTGAAATAATACTCTTGCTTTTGTCTACAGGAAGAACCCAAGGAAGAGAGTGACGACGACATGGGGTTCAGCTTGTTCGATTAAGTTGTCTCTTTGTGAAACTCTGATCCGTCGAGCGTTTAGAGTTTATCACACATTCTTGTTTCTTTTTTTTTTCTTCAAAAGTGTATGCCATGTCTCTAGACAAACCTGAATTTCTCTGAATCAAAGATAATGTAGCTTGTTTTGATTTTTAAGGATCTATTTGCAGCATTCTGTGTATGGTTAACTGATTCTGCCCGTATTCAAGGGAACCACTTATTGTTCGATTTCATAATGGAACACTGGCCTCCGTTGCACTGGGATTCTTTCTTTTCTTTAGATTTGTTAATTGGGTCACTAGATTAGTAGTGTTTAGACTTAAAACCATGTGATTTTTTTTTCTTTTAAAGCATCATTATTAATTTCTCCTTATTTGCATTGGTGTATTCATACTTGATTCATAATGCAGAAAATTTAAAACTCACTTCTACTTTCACATGAAAATATTATCTGAACTTTAATTTTCTCTTCGTACTATATTTTTTTATAAAAAAAATATTTATCTCGGTGCTCCCCAGTAGCCACACTTATGACTCCATCGTAAGAAGAGCGAGTCTCAGACATGGACTTTTTCTCTGTAGATGGTGGGTAGACAAAGGTTGGGTCCATCGATGCCAGCTGGGTATGATTTTAGGGTCCAGTTGTACAAGGAGTCGAACATTGTAAGAGAATCATTCCAAGTGCTGCAAAGGCATTGGGAAATGTAGTTCTGCTATTCATTGATCTAACCTACTGTCGATATACTTGGCATGTGCTAAATTACATAGCCTTCCTGATAGATAAACACCGATGGTGCTTGAAGGATCCCAGATGTTGTATGCTTCCTTGCAGTGAGTTGTATTTCTGCCTCATCTTCGACCCCTCCCTTGGAAGCAAGTTCAACAGAAGGTACTAGACAAGGTCGAACTGCCCACTTCTCTGATTTTTTGGAGGTTCATGCCATCATTTTCTTCTTCAGTCCATTTCCTATCCAGTTGGGGATCCGTAGAAGATTACTAAAAGGAGAAGGTAGTGAGTGAGAGACTCTGAATGATGGATGGGTAACCCTGCTATCAATAAAACAAGAATTTCCTCTTCTCCCTAACTATTCTGCTATGAAAAAAACATTCTTTTCTGAGCCCCCCCAAATCTTTGCAGTGGCGCACTACAGTAATGTGATTGGAGGGGGTAACCCCATCTTTCCATGTCAGAGTTTAAACTTCGCTCCGTTGATGTTAGTAAATGCCTCTGTTCAAACAGCTGCGCCAATCTCTCGGTGCATGTATTTGTCATCAACATACTACTCATCAGTAATCCGCATAACCGATCAGTTTTGAGAAGGGTTTCTTATTATTGTTGGATTTTTTCATTGCAAAGTCACGATGATGATCACTTGATCTTTTCTGTCTAAGCATGTTGTTGCCAGAGGGGAAGCTGGATTCTTCCCGCTTACTGTGTGCATTGCTCTTGGTTCTTAAGGTCTTATCAGAAACCATATTTCGTCGTCGTAGTTTCTAATCTAGAGTTGACAATGTTGACCGGAGAGCAGTTTCTTGCTTCGTGTTCATCGGAGAGCATTGGTGAGGTGATAACGCGGCGCCACCCCGCCGCTCTTTGAGGAAAGAGGCTCATATGCTAGTGGTCGAGATTTATCAAGATGTGATGTGGGTCCGAAGGGTAGGTGTTAAATCGTTTATAAGTTTGACTTTAATGGACCATATCCCACGCCCACCCACCCGTACGGCCTCCCATCGTATATCTAATGGCTGAGTACCATACCATTGAATACGACTCTAATGGACTTTCGTCCCCGGCGTCTATCTAATGTGCCGCGTTGGATTCATACTCTTCCATAAATGGGCTCAACAGGCCTCCCAACCGTCTTGATCGTATAGATTCACAAGCAGGCTTGCGTCATAATTTTTTTAACGGAGGCATTTTATGACAGTTAATGGATGGTGTATACGCAAACGAAATCAATAAATAATCAGACCGGCACCTTCCTCACACTTTCTTGTGCCCGTACGACTTACTGATAAAGCTTGAGGCTGATCTTCTCTCCCCGTGGCCGCAAGCCTCCACTCAATCATGGCCCCTCTCGATCCGGTGTAAGTCTTCTAGCACCCAGCTGTGCCTAGTCCCCGGGTAAGATCAATGCGCTGTTATCCCGGTCTCACGTTGGATAAAACGTCTTCGCCCAGTGATTTATTATTGGACAGGTCCTGCTGAACCGTCGACGTCATAAACCCTAGGCACCCTCGGGGATCTTACGAGGGCCACCGGGGTGGAACGAGTGCCAGGAGCCGCTAGGGAGGGGAGAAGCAAAGCAGCCACAAAGACCGAGGAGCCGCGCTCCAAGAGCTTACCTTGCCGTCCCGAAGTCTCCCCCCACGATCTCCCGCTGCCGCTGCCGCCTCAAGCGGTGGACAAGACCTCCTTGTCGGCCACGGCCTCGGCAGCGACTGGCTCGCTTCCGGCAGAAAGGAGGGTCGAGAGCTCCTCCTCCCACTTCTTGGCGGGCTCCTGGAGCACGAGAGAGGAGTGTTGAGGAGAGCATGAGAGAAGGGAGAAGATCGGAGGAGTGGGGGCTACGGAAAGGGGCCGGTGTTCACCTCCCAGGAGAGGTCCTGAGCCATGCAGTTCTGGATAATCTCCTCGAATTGCTCCGTCCCAAAGATTCCGCTGGCCCGCTTCACGGCCGAGACGATCGCGTCCACGTCCTGCGGGTCGACGGCGTCGCACTGGCGAGAAGATGGATCGCGTGAGCAATGGTGTAAACAAAGAGATGGGTTGGTGGAGTACGAGTGGCTGGCAGCGGCGGGGGCGGCGGAGGTCCTTACGTCAATGTTGAAAGCTCCCATGTGGAAGCCGGTGTAGCCGTCGAGGACGGTGTTCACCAGTCCGCCCGTGCTCGTGACCAGCGACGGCTGCGCAAGAACACAGCATAGAACGACGACCTCCCTTTTCAGTTGCTCCTCATTGGAAAATATCAAGATCATGAGAAATTAGCTGAAGAAGAACCATACCGTTCCGTAGTTCATGGCCTGCAACTGAACAATACCGCACGGCTCAAATCTGCTGGGGATGACCATGAGGTCAGCTCCGGCGAACAGCTTGTGGGCCAGGACGGGGTCGAACTTAGCTACCGCTCTCACGTTGTCTGGATAGGCCTCCTCGATCTTCTTGAGCTGCTTCTCCATGACCTTCTTCCCGGTCCCCTGGAACAAAACATGGAAAGAGTGAGAACGACGAGTGAAACCGTTCAGCATTGGACAATACGGCCGGGGTTCCTGGTGCTTACAAGGACCACCATCTGGATATTCTCGTCGATGAACTTGGGAATGGCCTCGGCCAATACGTCTGAGCCTTTCTGCTCCTCCAGCCTACCAATGAAAGCTAAGAGAAGAGCATTGGGGTCCACAGGCAGCCCGAGGGATGCTTGCACGTCTTCCTTGTTCAGGGGTTTTGCATCTAGGACCTGACAATTTGATTCCATGAGCATAGATAGAATGATCTGTAGGCATGAGCTTTGCTCGATTGAGGGAAGTACCGTTTTAGCATCATAATTTGCAGAGATGTATTTGTCAATTGATGGATTCCACACATCAACATCCATTCCGTTCACGATTCCGCTAATGCGTTTCTTGCGAATGAAGTTATCCAGCTCGACACCCTTGGCGGGATCAGAGACCACCTCTTCGGCGTAATATGGGCTTACAGTCAAAACCTTGTCGGATTCTAGAATTCCAGCTTTCATCCAGTTGATTTTTCTCCCTTTCACAGGCTTTTCATATCTACAAGAAGGAATTTTTTAAAGAACTGTGTATCTATGCAAATGTAAACATGTCTAGAAGGGGTGCAATTATGTCAAGATGAATGAGTATCCCCATACCCATCAATAAAATCGAAGGAGCTCTTGAAGCTTTCTGGGAGATTGAGATATGAAAAGTCGGAGAAGGCAAATCTGCCCTGGTAGGCAATGTTATGAATGCAGAAGGCCACCTGTCAATCATATCAAAGCCAACGTCAAGCCCATCTACCGCCACAGACAATTTTTTTTGAACGAATGGCCGGTTTCAGGCAATGCATGCCTTTGCATTTTTGTATATCCCATGTGACTTGTACAAGGTCTTCAAGTAGCATGGGAGAACTGCTGTGTGCCAGTCATTACATACAAATACAACATCTTCCCCTGTTGTTAGAAAGGATGAAGCAACAGTGATCACAAAACTTGAGCAATAGTGAGATTAAACCATAACGCTGATAATGAAACGGCTTCGTACCATAAGGCCCAGAATAGGATTTGCTACCCTTGAGGTTTAGAATGAGTGGAGCTTCCAAAGCAGCCTGAAAGCCACAATTACAAAGACAGTTCAGGCCTCAGAAACCGAAAACACATGGATGACAAGAAATTATTGGATTTTTTTTTTCCTCAAGGAAAATAGAAAAGAAACGAAAACATCTGTTAGCTCAAATACAAGACAAGGGTAGCTGCCGACTTTAGCACTATCAGAATCCTCGTAAATAATCCACGTACACCAGCACGTTACTTTAATTTTGGAGCTTGACTAGTCTACAACAGCGTGTTAATAAATTCGTACCGAGTAAATCCTTTTATCCATGGCATTCTCTCTTTTTTTTTCAGTTTTAATGATGTTCTGGAATGAATGAACTTGTATCTTTCAATGTTCGTACATTCCACGATTAAGGGTGTAGCTCATTGAAGACCCTTGTCCTGTCGTCAAGAAAATGTCTCCTGTTCGACTGTTATGGAGCTATCTAAGACAAAACAAAACAACAGGTAGAATTAGCCACCGCTCCTGTGAAACCTCCATGATTCATAGCGAGGTAACTTCTTAGTCTATGAGTTACCGGTTGATTCTTTTATGAGTAACAGCAATTTTGTCCAATCATTCTGGTGAAAAAAAGATCCCATGAATGAATAAATATCACGTAAAAAAATAAAGATGTTAATGCTTACGGTTGCGATGGTGTAAATTCTGAAAGATCTAAAAGACCCTGCCTAATTGTTGGTGGGGTCTGCTTGTTTAGTAAGTTAACCAGTTGATTCCTTTAATATTTTCTCTAGTTGTTTTGGTGAAATAACTCTCAGGAGTTTAAAACCAAAATCAGAGACAAAAGTTAAAAATATAAACCTTTATAAAGTAGGATACTTACAAGAGACAGAAGGATAAACCTAATCTGGTTGTCTTGGTAATCTTCTCCAGCCACAGGGCCATACAATTTTCCTCCGGTTTTTCCCCATACCTGGAAAAATTCGTATTAGATCCCCTTCGATTGATCAGAAAACTGAAGCGGGACACGGACTCTCCCTCTTATATCAACCAAAAAGGAAGGTCAATAAGAGGAAAACAGAACCACCTTTTCGAGGAACAAAGGATGATCAACAAAGACACGATCGACACCCTTTCTGTGGCAGTGGAAGAAACGAACAGTATACACTTTGTCCGCAACTTTCAGCTGCGAAAAAGATGGAAAATTGACAACGTAAGAAAAGAGCAAGACTCCAGTGTCTGGGACAGTTATCAAGACAGAATGAAGAACTGATACGGATTGGGAGATATATATGCTATATACAGGTAAACAAGACAATTGTAAGCTGAACCTACCTCGAGCAGAACACTTGTATCCCAAGCCTCCTTATATTGATCATAACGTGGGGATACGGTCATAACACGATTGCCATTTTTCTGGAATAGTTTATCCCCATACAGGTTAGTTATGTGGATTTAAATAGAAGGAAAAAGTAGCAGATAGTTTCCGCTCACCGCCAGGGCAGGAGGCAATCCACCAACAACGTCACCTAAACCCCCGGTTTTACTCCATGGGGCAACTTCGGTTGATACGAAGACAATGTCCATGCCACAAACGATGGCTCCAGAATGTTTAGATTTCCCAGACCGAACTCCTTTGTTTGGAGCTTGTGTGAAGCTTGCTTTCCCATTTTTCGGTTTTTGAAATGAATCCACTTTGTTGAGAGATCTCAGCCCATGAAACGTGGTCGACTGGCTTCTAAGGCAAAGAGCCTTCCTGTTCCCTGATGTTCTTGGCTCCACGTCACATGCTCCATGAGCACTTCTCGAGACAATGTTTGAGACAGTCACAGAAGCCATCGGCGTACCTTGCTATGATCTGAAAAAGAAGCCAAGTCAGGTGGCAACAGACAACCAATTTCGATATATCTTAACTCTCTAATAATATGGATTTTATGGGAAAATAATCTCATAATTGGAAATAAAAAAGAAGCTTTATGATTTATCTTCACTTAATCCTCCCTGGAGCCACCGGATGCGGATTGTGACTTGGTTGGTGACTCAAAGACTCGTAAAAGATTTATTCCGTGATCTAGCCTAACCAGCCACACCACTACAGAAGAAATGAGATGCTTGACCTCCACAACAATCTCAACATGCAGAGCACAGACAACCGAGAGATGAATTGCAGAAAAAATGATACGAGACAAAATGCAAGAACAAGCCTACAATCGAGCGTATCTCCCGAAGCGACCGAAAGATCTACATGAACGAGACGTACAGAGCGAGTAATCACCGATCTACTCAAGCTCCTAAACGGCTTACCTTTCACCGAGGGGAGGAAATCAAGATTTCGGAGAAAAGCGGGGAGCAGCTTGGAGCAGCGATCCGAGAACCCCGTGCAGTAACAGAGTTCCCCCCGAGATGTGGCGAGAAGTGTATAAGGGACTGTTATTTGTAGCCGTAGGCGATTAGAAAAGTTCTTGCCAGGTGGCAACCGGTTAGCGGTTCCAATGAAATCCCCACCAACGGCGCAGGGATCACGAGTACTGAGGGGGGGTCCCTTACTCCGCGGCATAATAGAATATGCGGACAGCGAGGGCCCCGGTCCAAGCGTTAGCACCGTTGAATTCGCCACCTCATCGAGCGATATTTTCCCGCGGCGCCCCAGACCAACACAGAAACGACGAGCTCACCGCACACGCGGCCCTGCTGGCCCACGATCGCATGCGGGGACGGTCCAGATTGCGTCATCCGGTCCCCTCCTGGCCGTGGATCCGGCAGATCCGACGGGGGTGAGTCGAGAACTCAAGGGGACCAGGTTTTACGCACGTGGGGAAGCAGAGGCTGGAGGCGCTCGCGTGGACGTGTGGATCTGGAGACTCAAACCTGCAAGGAACATTCCTCGGTGATGGCTCTGATGGTTTGATTCCTCTGCTCTCCGTGGCCACAATTTCTGTTCGGGGGTCGCCCGACGACGAACAAAGTGAGGATTCCGTGGCCAAATAGCCACGGACGTCTGATCACACCGATTATGCGAGCGAAGAATGGCGCGCGCCGCTGGTTTAACCTGCCTTACTGCGTTGAGGGAACGAATCGAAGGGCAGAGCTCAAGAGTAGTCGAACCAGCGGAGGATGATTTTTGCCTGAAATGGAGAGGATGCAGGCGAAAGAGGCATGCCGTGGGATTCAACCCAGATTTGATCTGAAGGTTTTGCAGACATGGTGGGATCGAATGGATTGCCGCAGAGACTTGTAACTGAGAGATCGACAACTGATGTCCGACGAACAGGTGAATACGGATAATTAATCTAGAAAGAGGAAGACCTTCAAATCGCCGTTTATCCAACCAAATTAGTCACCGCAAAGTGATGTCGTTCTGCAATATCGATTTGTAAAGCTAAGCGGGTCCTGTTCGACGGCGCAATCGCGGGAAGGGAGACTCAGCGAAGTAAATAATATGGTACGATAGCAGTCATGAAAGATTATCGCACCCGATAAGAAATGGGATCCCTACACCACATAGGCTGGGCAATTTGTTGAGCAGGTTGGAGGAGAGATCCAGACAACGGGAACCAGTGCGCATCTCCCAGGGAAACACCAGCGATACTTAAGAATAGCATTCATGCATTCATCATTGATCAAAGCAATACTGTCATTGGTATGATATTCATACGAGAAATAAAACTGACACAACAATCATTGAAAAACTTGGCAAAGCATATGTTAATTCAGAATGAAACAATCCCCAATCCACAACTAGATCGACAAAATTCAGCGGCCTTATCAGATAGAAGCCACTGGACAAAGTTCAGTCATGGCAACAGAAAGTGTGAACAAATATGGAAATAACACATCTCTTCAACTGAATTTCACTCAACATAGGCTCCCTCAACAAAGGCGACCAAACGAGGCTGTAAGGTAGCAACGGCCATCCGCCGGGCACTACCTGTGCGCCGTCACCAAACACTCTACAAACTTCAAGCCGTCAAATCTCGGGACGTATACCCCATCCTTCTTCCTGTCAGCGGCCGCTGTCGACGAAATCTCGGCAGCAAAAGGGGCCTGAAATTATCGTCACAGAGATATTGATCACCATGCAGTATGCAAGGTTACAAGAAACAGATTCAGAGGAGAAAAAACTCAGATACCACTAGGGAGGAGAGTGGTTCGCCACCGACGGCTAGGCGGGTGATCTCCGCCGAAGAGAGGGCCACTAGCGACGACGCCACGAAAACGCCGGCGACCTTCAACATCGTGGATAACTCCGATTCAGCGCGATCGAAGGCGACACAAATGCGGCGCTCGAAAGCGAAATACGCGATGGCGGATCGAAACCCCACGGAAACCGTCGGATCTCGACCGCCGCCCGCCCTACGTCCCCGCCGGCGCCTCGCCCTCTCTGCCTCTCGCCTCACGCAAGGCTCCTTTCGTACCCTGTCAATTGAGCGCGATTTAATTTCGATTTCAATCCCGTTTCACGTTTTCATATCCCAAGCTCACAAGGAATGACAATCAGCCACGTCAAATGAGTTTTCTCCGTTCCGACGCGACGCTAACGGACCTTATATCGGGTCTTCGTCGGATCCAAACGGGGCTTTCAACGACATACAAGCGGATCCAGAGTTCCCACGAAGTCGAGAAAAGGAGAAGGAAAGCTCTGTATTTATAACAAACCGTCTTCTCGTAACGCCATCGGTGATGGAAGATTCCCTCGGGTTTCCTTTGTTTCTGGTGAGAAGGGATGTCACTCGCGCGTCTCGGGACTGAGGGATCCAGATGGCGACGGCGAGCTCGAACAGGGGTCACCGGGAACTCGACCTCGACTCATTTCTCCGATCCCACGGTACGGGCAGCAGCGACGACGACGGTGGGGACGAAGAAACTGAGGCAAACGGATTCCACCACCGCACCGTGGATGAAATCCTCAATGACTCCGATTCGTCCAGCTCCTCCGGAGACGGCGCTTCGCCCTGGATCAACTCCGGTGCTCGGCCCTCGGTGGACGGAGCAGGCGCCGATAACCTTGATGAACCGTCAGGAGAAGGTGACAATGAAGAAGAACCCCGCCGGACAGCGATCGGCGTGGACCTAGGAGAATTCGGCACCGTTTCTGCACTTACGGACTCCAATGAACTTTCTACTTCTTCGGTATCTTCGCGGGGAACCCGAGGAGCCTTCTCATTGTCATCTTCCAGATCTCTGCCCCCTCTCTTCGGTGGTCTCTGGTCAAATCCCAGACCTGGTGCGGCCCTAGCTGCCGCGGTCGCTGCATCTCGTTCCATTCCTACGCCTCATGCGGCTGCCATCAAGTCCCGTAGAGCTGGTGTCAGTTCTCTTGAGAAAATCGGTCAGTCTCTGGACCTAACGGACGATCCTGGCTTTGAGGAAAGTGCCATTTTGGACATTCCACTAGGGGAGTATCCTTCTTCTAGAAACAGTCTGGGAGGAGAACCATCAGTGGAACCTCACTCGGCGGATAGGATTTTTGGTTCATCTTTACCATCACCGTCGTCGTCCTCTTCTTCTGCTTCTCCTGACGCCAAAGGTACCGCAATTTCACCAAGGGTCGAGAACACTTCCCCTGATGGTATTTTTAGAGATGAGGATATTAATGCAGCCGAAGAAAAATTAGAAACTGCTCTGGATTTGACGGACTCGGGTTCTGCATCTTCGACTTCTGTGATAGGAAATGAGATCGTTCATGAGGAAGCTGTGAATCCTCCTGAGTCACTTGCAGCTGCCGAAGAAGAGCAGTTTGGTGGGAATTTACCTTTTCATGATAACACCAGCGATAAGAGCAATATAATTTCTCAAGATGGAAATATGAGTGATTTTGCCGAAGAGACCAAAATACTGTTTGATGCAAATGACGTTTCGTCGGAGAAGGCAGGTCAACTGGGATCAAACAAAAGGGCTGCTAGGAAGGCTGAGAAGAAGTTAAGGTCTTCCATGAAGCCATTAGAATGGGCAGAGGAACTGGAGAAGAGGCAGGCATCGTCAGGGTTGCACTGGGAAGAGGGGGCAGTTGCTCAACCAATGAGGCTCAAGGGCATCAGGAGAGAACCACCGGCTGTGGGATATTTGCAGACTGACACTGAGAATGCAGTCACGCGTGCTTTATCATCACAGACATTTGTGCGGGACCATGGTTCCCCACAAGTGTTGGCAGTGCATGTGAATTATATTGCAGTTGGCACATCAAAGGGCCTAGTTCTCATGATTCCTAGTAAATATTCTTCTCAATGTGCAGACAATATGGATGCGAAGGTCATTTTTCATTTTTTCTGGTTACTTTGTTTAAATAGTTAAAACGAAAACTGATTAAATGTAGCCAGAAAATATTTTGTGGCTTATATGATCCTGGCCTTTTTTTTCTATATTAATTGCTACATTATAGTCTGCTCGCATGAGCATCTTCGACTTACGTTTTATGTCCTGTACCTTTCTCTTTAAAATTAAAAAGCTTTAACTTCCGGAAGATCACTGGCTCATTGTATGGGCTTTTCTTTAGAAGGATATTACTTCACTTGCCTACACTTTAGCAGTTTCTGTTTTTCAGTTGGCACCGTAGGTTTGCCTGGGGTCTATCAAGTCTATTAGATGCTATGATCTTCATAGTTAAATCTAGTGTGTGAGATCATGGCATTTGCTGAATGGTATAAAGTTTCCATATTTGTTGTTTCTGATTTAGATAATCCTTTGGGAGATAAAGGAGGTTTTAAACAGTATATAATTCTCTTTCTGTTTCCACATACTTTCTTCATAATATGCTGGTACATTGCAGATGTTGGTGCTTGGCTCCCATGGTGATAAACCTCATGTTCCTGTGACATCTATGTGCTTCAACCCGCAAGGTGACCTGCTGTTGGTTGGTTATGCTGATGGTCATTTAACGGTGTGGGATGTTCAAAAGGCATCATATATGAAAATTATTACTGGGGAGCATTCGGCCCCTGTAGTTCACGCGTTGTTTCTTGGGCAAGATCTTCAAGTTACACGGCAGTTTAAAGTTGTTACCGGTGATTCAAAGGGGCTCGTTCTGTTACATGCCTTTTCTGTGGTTCCTTTGCTAAATCGTTTCTCTATAAAGACTCAGGTATATTCTCCACATCTCTTGTCGGGGGGAGGAACATATGATAATGATTCTGATCGTATTAAGCATCTCAAGTCCATATCGACTAAAATCTATCATTTCATCCTCATGCAATGCTGTTGTGACAGTGTCTCCTCGATGGTCAAAAAACGGGAACCGTATTATCTGCGTGCCCTCTTCTTATAAATGAATTGTATTTTGGACCATCGTCTGCTCAAGGCAATGTGGCAGTTTCCAACAGTAGCCTTGGAAGCATGGTTGGGGGTGTCGTTGGAGGAGAGGCAGGATGGAAGCTCTTTAATGAAGGAATGTTGGCAGAGGAAGGTGTGGTCATATTTGTTACCCACCAAAATGCTCTGGTGGTATGTAGCCATAAAATGCTTAATGCTTTTCTCTAGTCAAGGTACTATCCTAGATAAGTGAAGTTGCTTTGTTTTCATGACAGGTGAGGCTTAGTCCAAATCTAGAAGTATACGAAAAACTTTCCAGGCCAGATGGAGCTCGGGAAGGTTCAATGCCTTACACAGCTTGGAAAAGCTCAACATACTCACGAGCAACACCTGGTGGTGAGGGTTTCATGGGTTTTTAATGTTCTTGAACAGTCTTTCTCCAAAAATATGAAACTGTGATTCTTTGACAGAGCAACTCTCTGCAAATGCACCCGATAGAGTTTCGTGGCTGGCCATAGCATGGGATCTGAAGGTTGAAATATTCAAATTGATTAAGTCAAAGCTGACAAAACATAGTTCATGGAACCTTGATAATGAGGTGGTGGGTGTTGAATGGTTGGATGATCAGGTGGGTGGAGCTAACCTTTTTTCTCTCCAACAGCATTTTAAAAACATTTTTAGTTTTATGAAATAAAAAGAAAATAATGAGGTTTTAACTATTTTTTACACTCAGATGCTGGTCATTCTTACTTTGAGAGGTTATCTGGGTTTGTATAGAAACGATGGTCACGAGCTTCATCGAACAAGTTTTGTAGTAGATGCTACTGGAAGAGATGATATCATTGCCTACCATACATACTTTACTAACAGTTTCGGAAATCCTGAGAAAGCCTACCACAATTCTGTTGCTGTGAGAGGAGCCACTGTCTACATACTCAGTCGGATGCATCTCAGTGTTTCACGTCTTCTTCCCTGGAAGGAACGCATCCAGACACTCCAAAAAGCGGGTGATTGGATGGGAGCATTGGATCTGGCAATGAGACTTTATGATGGTCAAGCACATGGTGTTATCGATCTTCCAAAGTCAGTTGATGCCATACGTGAAACCATAATGCCATTTCTAGTCGAGATGATCTTATCATACGTAGATGAAGTGTTTTCATATATTTCAGTAGCATTTGGTTACCAAATTGTAAAACTGAATCAAGAGGAAGATCGAAATTTAAGAAACAGTTCTGCTACAGCAGAGGAAGAAGAGCAGTTTGCTTGTGTTGGTGGAGTTGCAGTTGAATTTTGTGTCCACATTAGGAGGATTGATATCCTCTTTGATGACATCTTCTCTAAATTTGTTGCTGTCCAGCATAGAGGTATACTTGAGTTCTCAACGCTTTTCTTGCCTTTCCCTATTTTGTAAATGTGCTTTTATTTATAAGCAGGTATGCATTTTCCAGTACTTTCAGAATCTTAGGAATTCTACTTTGTTTCAATTCACACATGCTACAACATTTATTTGACAACCAGTCTCAGATGCTGATTTTTCATATCATCTATGTTTATCTCCCTTTATTTTTTCATGTCAGTGATATTTTTCCGCTTCCTAGCAGACTAGAAAGCATTTTTTTATACTTTTATTGGACGATGTGAGAAATTCAGTGAAATTTCCAACTATATCTTGCAACTATATTAAGATTTTCATTTTCGTCTGAGGAATGTGTGATGATACACGGATGATAAATGGTTTAGATTACGATGTAGACAGTATATCTAATCTAGGTTCACTATACTTTCGTAATCCCCATTAAAAGTTAAAATTGTTGGTTATCTCGTGTCAAATGGTCTATGTGCTGGCCTAGAGTTACAATGTGGATCATATCATGTGGACTGCAACAGAGTTGGCTACGATTTAAAAGATATATGTGGAAGACAGAGAATGCCGACAAGGAGCATTCGTTGGGATAAGATGCTCAAGAAGACACAAGCAATTCAAGGATCATGGACATGATATTGAAATTAATTTTAAATAGAAGACAAGTAGTTTGTTTACCTATGATACGTACATAGGTGATATTATTTTAGCTCTTATTATGGAAAACCGTTAAATATAGAGTTGCCAACATTGATTCCATCGCATAGGATTCCAAATAAGGAAGATAAACTTTGGTGGACAAGGGGCAGATTAAAGTGCATTGTTACAGCACAGAGATCATAGGAAACCGAGTCTAATACTTCAAATTCTGCTTTTCGTAGAAAAACTGCTTGGGCAAGAGAATTTTCCACGTTCACAAAGATTTGACCTTGTTTTATTTCTGGTGTCATGTAGCTTGTTGTTCCGTGAGGAATGGAATATCAGTGAGTCTGGGGAGGGCTCGATTTTTCTTCATCCTCTGTAAACTTCGACAGTAACGTTATGCTTTTGAAATAAGAATAAAATAAATATTTTTTAGTAATATCACATTTTCCTACTTTATTTCTTTTTTTCGAATTTCTATTCATAGTAAAGTATTATACTGTTTTCTTACTGTTAAATTCTATGCTCTAATCTCCGTGTTTTTTGTATCTGAGAGATAAGAGCATTTGCAGCTTATGTTTGAATTTAAAATAGGGTTCAGCACAGGCTTGTTTTCCACTTACGAGTGCCCTTGGACTTCAAGATTGAAAGTGAATGACAGCATCAATTTTTATGGTGTTTTTAAATTTACGTGATCGCTGTGTTCACGCCATAAACTTGGTTTTTTGTTGTTTATGGTTGTCAAGCGTAAGTTCAAGTTCTATTTCTTCTCTTTTTCTAGGCACGTTTTTGGAGATTTTGGAGCCATATATACTTAAGGACATGCTCGGATGTTTGCCTCCTGAGGTACTCTTCTACTCCTGCATTTATTGTTATGATTCTTCTCTTTCGACGTATGACTTGGACTTTATCTTGACTCTCATTCCTTGATAATTTCAAAAGATTATGCAAGCGCTGGTGGAGTATTATAGCAGCAAGGGATGGTTGCAAAGGGTTGAGCAGTGTGTTCTTCACATGGATATTTCTTCCTTGGATTTTAACCAGGTAAATTCTTTGGTAACCTATGCAGCTTATTGGTCAGCGCATTGGTTACCATTGTGAAGTTATTATACAAATGGCCAAAAATTTTGTCGATTCAATTTCCTGAGTCCATTTTCTGTTATCCCATCTAGTTCGACGACTAACCTTTCTCATCTGAAACTGTCCGTTTTGTGACTGTGATAATCAATAAAACGATTGAAGGCATAGAAAAACTCTAAAATATCTACTACAAATCTTGGACTAACTACTGCATTTATTTTCCCTCTATTAACAACATTTTTTCTAAGAAAAATATTAAATTCATGTTATTCCTTCTTCCGCTTAATGGCACAGTGGCAAAATGGGGATGTTTGAGGGCTGGGCAGGTTGCTTTAAATATAATTCAATTTATACTTGCCGAGTTTAGACAAGTCATATGTAAAAAAAACCAACGGAAGTTTGCATTTCATTCTTCAAATCACCTGACCGCCTCTTTTCCATTCCTTTTTTGAATGATACTTTTTGCTTCTTCATGTAGGTTACCAAGTTATGCCGAGAGCATGGTTTATATAGTGCCCTGATTTATCTTTTCAACAGAGGTTTGGATGATTACAGGACACCTTTAGAAGATCTTCTGGTTGTCATACAAAATGATCAGAGAACAGATGCGACTCTTCAGTATGTGTCACTCCCATTTTGCTTCTGGTGACACTAGCAGTTTTTATAAATACAAAAAAAAACCTTTTATTTTCGGTTTACCTAATTTGAGTTCAGAATTAAGTTTATCAATTTGAAGCATAACTTGGCCTCTAGGAATTAATAATGGTTTGGTTTCCAATTTATTTTCAAGAGCACAATAAAGATATTTGATGAAAGTGAGAAATTAACTAAAAATATTATTGCTTGAACATATATGGTACATTCTTCCACTGTTTAGATTTTTTAATGATTTCATGATACCCTCGAATTATGTTTGTTCTAAAAACATGCATATGCTCTCTCTTGTAACGTTTATTGGACGGGCATAATCTTCTGTGGATGAAAATCATATTATGCTTGGTAATGTTTAGGTGAACTTACTTGCATATTGTACAGAACCGTTTACTGGATAATATGAATTGACTTCAGATTGTGCTTTGAGTGTGACATCAGGGACGTCCTTAGCATTCATGGTTTTTTACGTGCGTCAGTGGGCACAAAAGTGTTTCGAGAGAAGTTATATTTTTTAAATACACTAAAATCTCTGGACAAGGTTGGGAATAAGGCTTCTCTTTTATGTACTTCGAAAAAGGTTGGAAATTATTTTATGGATTTTTTTTATTATTATTATGAGGCCAACATAAGCCACCTTAAGAAAATGAGAAATCATATATATATATATATATATATATATATGTATAGTTTAAAAGGCAAGGGATCGTCACAACTGTAACTGAGACAATCAGCACATGAACAAATAACCTAATGGAAATGAGGGTCGCAAAACCTAAATTGTTGATGTTATTTAAATCATGCTATGGCACAGTCTGACGCAAAAGAGTAAGCTTGATTTTAACTAGTTTGTGGTCAGAGGCTTTCCCAGGTCATTGTATCGTTCTCTTCATGGTGATCAGTAGAAATGGGCGATTAAGTTGTCAAATCATCCAAGACTAGAGATTTTCTGTTTCTGTTTCCTTCTTTTCTTTTCTTCCTCCTATGGCCTGCCAACTCTCCCCAAGTCTGCTCCTTCAGCCTGGTGTCTCTGTGGTTTGTACCTGGTATTTCTTCTTCCTGCTCTAACTTCCAGAAGCAGGAATCTGATTTTGGGTTGCTAGTGTAGCGTATTGAGGTCAGTATCAACTGATCCTCAACTTCAACCCTATTGTCACTTCCTTTTCTTCTTTTCTTTTATTTTTTCTTTCCGCTCCAACATCTGTTGCGTCTACCACTACTGTGTAACCTGTTGTATTCTTTGCTTGCAGCTATTTACTAGGCGCTTGATTATCATTCTTGTTCGATTTAATCTCAACTGATTTTCCGTGCAAGCAGACACAAAGGGTGTGCTTATTTCCTGTTTCTCTCATTTGACATCCTATCTTGAGCTTCTGTATTATTCTTATTTTCAGTTTCGTAGGGTAGAGGGTTTCTACCTCTACACATGAGCTTCTGTACATGTGTAAATACTCATGTGTTGTGATTAGCCCCTTGGATTCAGTTTTTCTCTGCAAGGTCGTGGGTTAGCACACTCATTTAGAGTGCATGATTGGGTGTGTGGTCCAAACTGTATATTGAGAACGAGCCTTTGCAACTTCTTCTCATTGCGTCTAGTTCTGGTTTGTTTTTGGGATCCTACACCGTGCCAGTCTGATTGTTGATTACTTTTGTGCTTAAATAGTTTATTTTAATTCTTAAAATGACAATTTAATTTCCCTATTGGTTTCATTGAACATCTGACCTACAAGCTTTTTTATCTTTCCTGGAACAGGTATAGGATGCTTATTTATCTGAAATATTGCTTTCTAGGTCTTGCATTTCCACCAGGTAAACCTTTTAGATTTTTGTTATAGTGAAATCAAAGAACTGTTCTCTTCTCAATGTCCTCGGTAACCGATAAAAATGGAAAGGGAGTATAGTTAATTCTAGTACCTGATGTCACTGCTTTTTCAGTTTTCACTCATGTCTATTTTGCTTGCTTCTGACCAGACCGTAGCTGGAATCTGCCATTTAGACCAGTTTGATCTGTTGAATTGAGGCTGGTACATATTTTCAAATCTTGGTTTTGAGTTCTTTTGTCTTTAACCTCCGTATTAAAATCCGTTATCCGCTGCCACCCACCCATGGAATCTGATCAAACAAGGTTGATTCTTATTCAAATCATCCAACTCAAATTGGAGACAGCTGACTTTGTTTCGCATTGTTGATGGGGATCAGATATTCCCTCTTGAAATCATATCAGATGTAGCTGGTCGTGATGCCTTTGCATATTACTGGCGATATCATGATCTTATGATCATCCAGCAGGAAGAGTTAGGGTCACGGAATAGCGTAAAATGTCTCTAGAGCCAACTCAGTCCCATCCTAGCTAATAGAGTTGGGGCCACAACAATAGTGATGAGGGGGTGAAGGGCACAACTACATTGATGAGAAGCAGATAGGTGCCCTCTGCACACGTATTTCGATTCTCCCTAATATTTTCCAGTCTTCACAGAGAAAAATGTTACAGGATCAGCTGTAGCGAACAAAAGTGTGTACATATCGAGATTTAAGGAACCATCAAGGCCTTGATGGGAGTACGCCCATTAAGGCCTGAAAAATATTAGCTGCTTACATTCAACTTTTTTAAAATGGGGAACGAGTAATGCTTTGATCAGTAGATGTTATTTGACAGTTATGATACACGATGAGATTTTTCTATTGGTATTTCTCACTGAAGCAAAATTTTCATTTCTTAATTTTTAAAATGTGGCACACGGTTGAAGCCTTTTACCCATGTTTTGTCACCTTTAAGTTATCGGGTTTGACTTATTGTTGAATTTGATGAAAGTTTGTCATGGTCTTTTTAGCGTGTTAGGGTTGGCTGTAATTCCCATATTCTTCTGTTGGCTAAAACGTAGGTGATCCCCTCTCGGAGAGGATTCGTAATATTGGAACTTTTTCTTTCAGGTCATGGTACACTCCCACCCAGTCGTCTACCATCAGTCAGGAAGGAACTGCTGGAGTTTCTTTTGGAAGATTCCACAGCATTAACATCGAAAGTTATTCAAAACTTTAAGTCGTCTTATGGAGCTTGCCCATACTTATGTTACTTACTGTGGTTGGATACAGAATCTGCTTTAGAAGTTCTTAGGTGTGCGTTTATAGAAGAATCACTTGTAAAGTCGAACAACTCTATGGAAAAATGCACTGAATTTAATGTGGAGGATAACGCAGATGCTCCTAAGAATGCAGAGGATAAAAATACTTTGCTTCAAAATATTGTTAACCTCCTAATTATCATCCTAAATGTGGGATCCAATGAGACAAGGTCCTTTCAAGTGGATGAGAATGGGATTATAGAAAGTTGGCCTTTGAAAAAAGATGTAGATCACGTCATAGAGTTCATTGCACACTTCATTGCTTCAAAGCGAGTCACCGTTTCAGGGAATGTCCTAAAATATATTTTGGAGTATTTGACATCAGATCTACCCCTGTCAGTTGGCCCAAGTCCAAGAAATGAAGCCTCTCAAAGAGAGAAGCAAGTACTGTCTCTTCTGAAGGTCGTGCCTCAGATGGACTGGGATTCATCTAGTGTGTTGGATCAATGTCTAAAGGCACAGTTTTTCCAGGTACCTACTCTCTTGGGTATTTATTTTAATTCTAGTAAAGCGGAAGCATGGTGATTTTCAAGAAATAAAAAATGAAATTATGATATTTTTGGAAAAGAGCACAATTTTCTTGCAGAGGTTAACTATATTACCATTTTGTCCTGACATTTCATAATTTGAACTTATGTCCAGGCATGTGGTTTAATATACGCAATCAGAGGGAATTATTTATCGGCCTTGGATAGCTATATGAAGGATTTTAATGAGCCTTTCATTGCGTTCGTTTTTATCCATGACATGATGTCAAAGTTGAAAAATTCTGAATTTTCAACTTTTCGATTGGGAGTTAAATCTAGAATTCCTGAGCTCGTCAAGTTAAGCAGGTATGTTGGTCTCTTTTTCTTTTTACGTTTTATTGGCAATCCTAGGCTACTCGAACAAAGAAATGTCACAGGTATTTCAGTATTCTTCTCATATTGAAAAGAGCATTCTAAGTTATGCTTGTATCTGATGTTTTATTTTCAGGGAAGACGCATTTCTTTTGGTTCTAGATCATTTCGACAAGGAGAGTCTGAAAATTTTGTCTGAACTGCAAGGCTATCCAGAAAGCCTGTTTCTTTTTTTGAAGACAATTATTGATGCTCATTTGCGTGGCACTCTTAACTTTCCTGTCTCAAGAGATTCTCAGAGTTCAGATGCCTCATTAAAAAGGACCAAGGAAAGCTGCAGTGAACTTCGGGCATACTTGGACCGAGTATCAGATTTTGCCAGGCTTTTACAACATAACCCATTCAGCGTCGATGATAAAACGGCAGAACTATATGTTGAGGTCAGCATCACTTGAATCGACTTCAGGAAAATAGCCATAGGATTACAATTTTTTTTATCTCTTATCGCAGCTTATAATATCCACTGTATTAAAATCCAATTATGATCATCTATCAATCAATGAAGTTGACTCTTTGGCTCTCCTTTATTATTTTTCCATTTATCTCACTCCATTTTTTGTATTTGTTCATTTGAAAACTTCCCATAGAATATAGTTTCTGCAATAATTATTCTTTCTTCTATAATCTGATTGTTTCATGATGAGATAATACATTGACATGCGGATCACAGTTTACTTCACAGTAACTTGAACAAGGAAACATAGAATATATTTTATTAGGAAAAATCGTGAAAGGTTGAACTCAAAAGTTCCATACGTTGTACGGGATTACCTGGAGTAACCTCCCTGTTTATTTGTGGTAGGAAATATCTGATATGTCGTCCAAGCATTTTACCTGCATGGGCTTTCATTTTCAGCTGTTATTCTGCATTCCACGGGTTGAATATAGCTTGTGTCAATGGGGGTCTCTGCATAGGCATTGCAATGTAAATGGACGACTATTAGAAAAATTGGTTGTCATTGCTGTTGTTTATGTAAAGTCTGCATCGTTCTTTTAGCTTGTGGCTTTATTATTTCTAGTTTCAGTTAAAACTTCAGAAATTTTGATTGGGGCCATTTTAACCGTGCAGCTGATGTGCCAGTACGAGCCTAGTTCAGTTCTCCGATTTCTGGAGACCTTTGACAATTATAGACTTGAACATTGCCTTCGGTTATGTCAAGAGTATGATGTTAATGATGCTGCTGCATTTTTGCTCGAAAGAGCTGGTGATGTTGGAGGTGCATTAGAATTTCTAATGAGTGGACTTGATGGAAAAGTTGCTATTCTTGCTACCGCTGTTGAAGCTCTTTGTGTGACCAATTCGGGAAATCTTAAGCACACAGAGCTGTTAAACACATGTTTAAACATGGATGAGGTATTTTATTTAACATCTCAAAGTTGAAATGGTTTCTAATTCTTGTCTTATGAGATTCATCTTATCGAAGTTGGATTATTTACTACACAGGTTTCCTCTGTACGTAATATATTGCATATGGCCATCGGTCTATGCCAGCGAAATACGCAGCGTTTGGATCCCCGAGAATCTGAATCACTCTGGTTCCGTGTACTTGACTTGTAAGTTCAGTAGCTTGTGCCATTCTACCGACTTGGAATTTTGGTTTTGGAGTGAATGAATCGAATGATATATGATAGCAAGACTTGTTGACGGGCAACGATGAATTACAGATTCTTTCATAATTTTGGGCTAGCAATTTTTTTGTTTTGCAGAAAATATTTATTGACCTCAATTCTTTCCTACCATGAAAACTGTAGTGTTAAGAGGTGTTTTACATCCTGACTGTTGATTTCTCCTGCTCATCAGCTTTCAATAAATTTCCTACCATGATTTTCCATCGATAGCCGTCCTGGAAATTCTTTTAATGAAGTTTTGCATCGTCAATATCAGGGGAAACGTTTTAAAATATCTGTTGGTTTCGTAGTTTGCACTATAGGAAGAGATGGTCCAGATGGAGGATCCTTCAATTCGCAGAAATTCACAGATAGTTTGAATGTTCCATATTGAAAGAGCTCTCATCGAGCGATCAGCTGATGGAGATGATGGTATACAAGTCAGCCGGGTGTTTGTTTTTTTTATTTGTTTGCTCGTGTGGTTATTTGCTTTGGACTGGTCATTATGCTGCCCGTAGTCAGCATGAGTAATGCTCGTGGGTAATGCTCATGGTATTCATCGAATTACTTTGTTTTTTGTTGGTTTCAGATTCCTTTAATACTTAATCGTTATGCGCGCTGCATTTAGGGCCCTTTACAAGTTTGTCTATGTGGCCACTTTATTCCTCCTGTTTTAATTCTCTGTGAACTGCACTGCAGATATTGTGAACCATTGAGGGATCTGTATGATGACAGGGAAATTTCTCAAGCTGGTCCGTCACTTATATCATCAGATCCGACGGGCGCAAGAAGAAGATCCTCGTTTAGACACAGGTTTTCGAAGCTGAGTGGGGTTGTTAGCATTTTACGAGTTATATTTTCCCATTTTATCAAAGAGGTTGTTGAGAAAATGGTCGGTTATGTTCCCCTTTCATCAGTCATGAGCAAAATACTTGCTGACAATGGGGCTCAGGAATTTGGGGACTTTAAGTTGACCCTATTGGAGTTGCTTGGAACCTATGGCTATGAGCGGAGAATCCTGGTAATTACTATCTGCAGCCTTTAATCCTTTCAGTTCTTACAAATTTTGTAAAACCTGATCGATTGCTATGTATCCTTGACACATCTAGGGTTCTTATATTTCCATCATCTATCAAAATATTAGGATAAAAATTCCTGAAGCAAAGTTGATTCTAATTGTCTTTGGTCTTAGTCATTATAATATGTCCAACCACTTTTCTGGGATTTTCTGTGGCAACATCCAGAGCCCATGTGGTCGTAGTCGAGACTCGGCTAGTAGGATGTTCCCTACCAATCGACCATACACCCTGCCTACAGCTGGTAGCGTATGAAACTCCAGTGCTTCCCCTCGAGAACAAAACAGGGGAGTTTACATAGGAGGAAGAACGCCTCACCGGTGAAATATTGTCACCACTGTTAGATGCAATTTGGCCATGGGAGAGCAAGGAAACCTTCGCCTACTTTCTGTGTGTTGTTGCAGCAGTGGAAACTTCGTTTCTGAGCTGTGTTGCTCATAAGTTTTTGGGTTACTATGAAAATCGCAACGTTTTTTATTTTTGTGTGTGGCTGACGTCATCCATTTTCTTCCGTTTTCACCTGGATTTTGTTCTCATTTCAGGGCACGGCCAAATCGCTGATTGAAGATGATACGTTTTACACTCTGAACCTGCTCAGGAAAGGGGCATCCCATGCTTATGCCCCTCAAAGCCTTGTATGCTGCCTGTGTGGCTGCTCCCTCGCCAAGGTCTCCTCTTCGTCCAGCATCCGAGTATTCAACTGCGGCCATGCGACCCATCTTCATTGTGAGCCTCAGGAGAATGGAGCAGTCAACAGGGATTCCCCTGCTGGATGCCCAATCTGTATGCCCAAGAGGAAGCCAGTTCATCCCCGAGGTAAATCCGTTCTAATGGAGAATAGGCTGATAAAGAATCCACGGTCCAGAACAACAAAAGGGGTGAGCAGTGTCTACCATCTACACGAACCCGACACATCAGAGAAGCCCCATGGAACTCCATTGTCCAGGGTAATCATCTTTCTTTCTTCCCCCTCCCTCTCTCTCTCTCTTCAAATCCCAGCTATGGAAGACTAACTGGACCCTGCTATTGCAGTTTGAAATCTTGAGTAACCTCCAGGAATCCCGGAGATTACTCCAGGCCGACCCTACCCCGCCGTTGAGACTGGCGCCTCCCTCCATCTACCACGAGAAGGTCCAGAAGGGTGCGAACTTTTTACAGGGAGACACCAGCGGCTCTCTGAAAAACGATGAGCTAAACAGGAGCAGTCAACCCCGGGACGCCAAGCCCAAGGGCTTCTCGAAGAAGTTCCCCTTGAAGTCAACGATCTTCGGTGTGTATACTCCCACTGCGTCGAAAATATTGTGGGCTTCTCCGGTCAACCCTCTTCAACTCATCGTGCATCCTATTACTTTTGCAGGCAAAGAAAAGAGTGCCAATCGGTGAATGGGAACACTCTGAGAGAGATCATCAGGGTTTCAATCAAGTTGGGCTTATCGGCAAGCGAGCATGCTGCCGAGGCGGAGGATCGTCAGGCCATACTGTAAGTGGGATATTTATTTCCTTACACCAATTCGAGCATCTCCTCTGGATCAACGAAAGTGCCCGGATTCTCTATTTCCCCGCTCCGGCGTCGTACAGGTCTTTCTATATGCAGAAAAAAAGGTAGCTAACGCAAAACTATGGGTGAATATTCTCATCTTGTTCGTCATGCGTTTCCTGTATTTAATGAGTCCTCTTCTCGGCAGCGTTCTGGCTGCCCAGCACCAACCATGGCACCCAGTTACTTTCAAAAGGTCTCTGCTTTATAGAACTGGATCGCGCAATCTCTTCCTTCATTTCATACACCATCTTATAGACACCGGAGAACCATCTGAACGAGGGATCTTCGCTAGCACAGCAATGGGACAGAGAGAGAGAGAGAGAGAGAGAGAGAGGAATATATAAGGAAGGGACGGAGGGCCTGGATCTGCACCTAAGGGGAAGCGAAGCGGCCATCATCTAGCAATCTTGGCGACCCGGCGGGCGACTCCGAAGATAAGCGCCTTGGTGAGGAGGCCCCGGTCGAGGGTGCAGGCGAGGACCACGGCCCCTCCGACAACGAGGAACTTGGGAATGCTCCTCCCCTTCTTGGTGGGCTCCTCCATCTCTGCGGAGCCATCCCCCGCCTCCAACGATCTCAAGTAATTGGCACTGACCCTCGTGTTTATCTTGGCCATGGCCGAAGAGGGCGATGGCGACCTGCCGGCCCGCCCCGCCGCCTGGTACGCCCGCAGGCCAGGCTCGATCTTCTTGACGCAGCCCCACATCCCCTGCCGCACGCCCAGTTTGGCGATCTCCCAGGGGATCCCCATGTCCTCGTAGTGGAACAGCAGCACCTCGCACGCCGTCCGCTGCCCGTCCCTTCTCGACTCCGCTGCATTAGGATGAGCCATGCACCACCAGCATGAGACTTCCGGGTCACCTCAATCAACTAATAACAAGAGTTTTCGGTATACAGGGAGAATCGGCCGACACCGGCCGGGGGTTCCGATGTGGGGTTCCAGAGAAGAAGAAAATGGAGAAGAAAAAATGACGGACGAGAGTCGAAGATTGTAGTTTACCTGCGCGAATGCACCAGCTTGAGTAATACAGATCCACGCGCCTGGGTTTGTTTCTTCTGGGTATTGATGGGTAAGGTACACCCTGAGACAGCAACGGGCAAAGAGATTGCAGGCTCCATCAGGGAAGGAAATAAGAAGGGATCGGTGATCAATGCAGGAGGGAAATCTTAAGAACAGGCCGTTGACAGATATTTGACAAAGATATTACTTCAGGAGATTAAATGTTCATCACCGGATCATGCGATTTTATGGGGAAGGGTTGTCGTATGATGGCTGACTGAGTATTTCTTTCAATTGTGGACAAGATCATGCAATCATTAGCAAAAGAGAGAAAGATCACATTAAGGATTTGATGTTAGCCGCCCAAAAAGCTAGCCAATTCATTAGGTCTCCCTTCCAAATTCTGCGACCCATCAAATCCCCCGGAAAAGACATCTACCCTATGATTATTGCTAAATCTCAAGCATCCCTCAGGCAACGCATGGCCCATGATTATCCCCTAAGCAAAAGAAGAAATGGGTTTTTTTTCAACGATATAATTTTTTTTCCCCGAATCATATCTGGACTCCGGCGAAATCAACAACAACGTTATTCTCATTCACATCGGACGGCTTTCACAAGGCTGTGTGGTTAGTTCAAGGCTCAAAACCAAGAAAATGGAAAAGATCATCACCCACCTCTGATCTGGCCCAAGAAAATCTTGACTGGGAAAATTTGGATATCATGCCGAAGATAATGATATCCTGATAGCCTTCCTCTTCTATTTCTTATGGGCTCATAAGATCATGAGAAGTTTTTCCCTCAACCTTGGGTTTGACTCACTTTCATTTTTCTCTAAAGAGAACTCTCAAAACTTTCTCTTTAACAGGCATTGTCACTCATAATAACTTTTGCTGATTATGATTTATATGATTTAGGCTTTTGATCTCGAAAAGGGAATATTTTCCTGAATTACAGCATAAAGAGCGAAGGGTTTCTTCCCTTGTTGAGAGATACAATAGGGAGACAATAATATACAAAAAAAATAAATCTCATCTCTGATTGCAATATCTTCTGGTGAAAGTATTTTAGAAGGCAAGAAAGGAATGTCCTCTTGAAAAAAAATCCTTCTTTGGTGCAAATAAAGCATGCATGAAAGAGAACCTGGCCAATTCTAAAATTGTGAGCATCTGTCCATACCTTGGTCACACAGTAATACGCTCCATCGGACTCCCAGATCCGGCGGCCAATTATATACTCACGATTGCTACAGAAGAACGGAAACTGGCCACAAGAGTAGAGGATGTAAGCACAACCAGGCCAGAACGTCGTATCACTAAACAGAAAAAACCAGCAGGTCTCGAGAAAACCCACCTTCCTAACCCAATGGACGACCATCGTTCCTGTCTTCTGGCATTCTTCCAGTGTCTTGTGGTAGATGAGCATGTCATCCCACTTGGCCTCCATACGGAACTCATCATCCCAGAAAAAATCCCTCAGTGCCTCCGGTGTTGCGTCCTCATAGATTGTCCTGCTACGATACTGCGGGGGACCAGTCTGCAAACGAGAAAATAAACCATCAGTGAGTGGTTTGTTCAAACCATGACGCCCAACGAAGAAAAGATCCCAATCAAATGGACTGGAGTCTGAAAGTCGTCAATGGTGAGTACTATGCTAGAAAAAAATCGGGCTTATTAAAGAAACATAGGTCATTTGGCAGTTCCACTCGAGAGATTTCCTTGAGGAATGATTGGATGAGAAGGGTCGCACACACCTCGGGGTCCCTCTGCCAAGCTTGGTAGTACATGTTCGGCAGAGATCTGTCCATCATCTGCCGCCATCCCGGCCCCCCATCAGTAACCTCGACAAGCTGGGAGAGGTAGTCCAAATCCCCCGTTGTCACAGATAATCCCTCGGCTCCCTTCTCAGGGGGGCTGGAGTCAAGCGCAATTCACATACCACATGAATTAGCATACCTTGCGGGAGAGAAAACGAGAGAAAGACCGCAAGGTATGAGTATACCTTGCGGGATGTTCGTCCATTGCTTTGTAAGTGCTCTGATCGTAAATCAAAGTAGTGATGCAGCTCGGAAGCTGAACCTTCAACGCGTTGAAGCTCGGGAGCCCCAACCCCAGCACTGAAATGTCCGTCGCTTCCGGGGAAGAAGATGGCAACTGAGGACCGACGCCCCGGGAATTCTCCTCATTGCCGCTGGCCAAGGAGGCGGCCCACCTTGGCCGCCACGCCCAGCCTATCAACAGACCCACGAAGACCGCCAGCGTGAGGGGGGTGAAGAGGAACATCAGCCCCGACACCGTGCTCACGGCCGTCGGCTTCTGCAGGATCTCTACGAGGCCATCCAGAATCAGCCCCATCTCAAAAGAATCGAGTTAATCAGATAGATACGGAGATAGGAAGAAGCGCGAGAAGAAGGGGACTCGGTAGGGAAACCCTCGACTCTTGTCGAAAAATTGTGCGGCATTCAGCCCAGCAACAAGCCGAGGGTTCCCATGGGACTCCCAACCCCCCCGGGACTACAGCAGTATCGAGGGGGAGGAAGGGGGAGGAAGAGGGAAGGAGCAAGTGGGAGCGCCGGGGGGGCGGGGGGGGGGGCGCGTAGCCACAGATATTGTTAACCCCGGAGAAGCCCACCAGCACCCAAGAGGAGGGAGGGTGGGAAGGGGACAATATTCAATTTGGAGTTATCCAGGATAAGGATTTGGAGATAGAGGCCGAGAGGCGCCCGCGATGGATTCCCGCAAGTTCCCGGCCACACAGCGCCCTCGTATCTCAGCTTCCCGTTTTATTTGGCCGAGAAGAAAAAAAACCCTACAACAATGATCAAGCAGCAGATTTGATTATCCCCAAGCACACGACGAGACTGGTGGCGCCCCCCCTCTCTCTCTCTTCCCCTCTCTGTGGCCGGAGGAAGGGAGACCGCTGATATGGCCGATGAAGGAGGCCCCCCCCCGTCCATCTATTAATACTAATCTCTACCTCTGAGTCTGCGGCGATGACGTGAAGAACGAGCTTGATTCCGCCGACTTGTCAACCCCCCAGCTGCTCGGTGGGCTGCGGCCGGACGTTGCGGCGGCGCGATTGGTGGACTCCGTGGTGAATCTTCAACCGCACCCTCCCCACCCCCTAGTGGGTCCAACCGTGGTCTGTCGTTTGTCACGTTGGCCCAAGGCGGCGCCGCAACTGTGAAAGCCCATTAGGCGACCAGCCCAATTTTGAGATCGTGCCACGTGTCCATCTCAGGCCCTCTTAATTGGTCCGCCGGAGCGGACGACATGGTCAACGAATGAAATGTTGACGGCATCATCGAAGGATGACGTCATCAGACGGCGAGGGGAACCGTGGTTCGGTAATGGGCGTCAGCACCCCGTGTTCCACGGCCTTTGTAAGAGAGCAGAAAGCGGCTTGCTGCGCGTTTGGTGCGGTCGGCGGCGGGGGTCGGAGGAGTTGGTTGACTTTTGCGCCTCAGAGATAGGACCTCAGACCGGCCGGTCAACGTCCATTAAAAGTGATCGTCCATTTATCGGATTCTCGATATATTCTGATCGGGCCGTCGGGCGCTAATGGGCTTTGACTTTTGGGCCTTTGCGGGTGGATAGGGGTGGATAGTTATCGCCAGAGGGCGGCGCCACGTCAGCTGCTGCCTATCGCAGCAGCCCCTCTGGGAGGAAGGAGATGGTGGGAGGGAGGGTTTCGGCTCTGGCGGAGATAAGATGACTGCTGCGTTTCTGGGAGTGGCGGTGTCCCTCGCCAAAACCCTAATATCCCCCTGCGCTCCGCCGTGCTGCAACGCCTCGTCTTCTCTCGTCCCCTCCTCGTCGGCTGCTTCCTCCGGCAGCAGCGGCGGCGCCGTCTTGAAGCCGCATGAGACCCGTGGCGGCGTGGTTATCTGCAGAAGCGGCGGAACCGCCGCCGCCCCCCGCCCCACTAATGTCGCCGACGATGCTTCTCTTTCAGAGAGGCGGCCGAGGACCGACGGTGGGTGGTCGCGGCATGCTCTTCTTCTTCCATCTGTTGTTTCTGGTGAAATTGATGCCGCTCTTGGTGTTCCATCTCAGGGATCGTCCACCTCCTCCGCGAATTCGGATTTGACGGCGAAGGAGCTCGGGCCCTCTTGGATACCCACCGGCACATTGCGCTGCTTGGTGTGGACTCCCTCCGCCGGCGCCTGGTCGCCCTTCTGTCGGCTGGCATTTCCGGCTTCGCTGTCCCCGACACGGTGGCCAAGCTCCCGGAGATCCTCACGTCGGAGAAAATAGAGCGGCTCCTCAACTTCATTGCGAACGATCTCGGCGGGATCGAACCGGCCAAGCTCGAGCGGCTGCTGACGACGACGCGCGCCTCGGCGCTCGCGGAGCTCCCGGAGAGGGTCGCCCTCCTGGTGGACCACGGCGTGCCGCGCGAGAAGCTGGGGAAGGTCGTTAATGGCGTCAACGTCAAGAAGGCCTTCTGCGCGAGGTCGATGGAGGAGGTGGAGGAGACGATCCTCCTCCTGAGGCGCCTCGGCGGCGGCGGCGCGGACCTGATCCTCCGCCGGCCGCTGCTCCTCAATCTGGATCCGGCGACGCAGCTGATCCCGCGCATCGATTTCCTCACGGAGCTCGCCGGAGGGGACGCCGAGGAGGCGGCGAGACTGATCCGGAAGCTCCCGAACATCCTGGCCTACACTGTGGCGCACATCGAGCTCCACTTGGAGTTCTGGCTCTCCGTGGGGCTCACCAGGGAGCAGGTCTTCAAGGTCGCGCTCGTCTACCCGAGCATGTTCAGCGTGAGCAGGGAGAGGAAGCTGGTCCGCCGGGTGGAGTTCCTAAGGCGCTGCGGGCTGGAGGGCGAGGACATCTTCAAGTTCCTGGTGAAGGCGCCGCTCTTCCTCAGCCTCTCCAGCGAGAACCTCGCCAAGAAGCTGGCCTTCCTGGTGAAGATCGGCTACCGCCACGGGACGAGGGAGATGGCGGCGGCGGTGGGCGCCGTGACGCGGACGAGCTGCGAGAACCTGCAGGGGGCCGTGGAGGTGCTGCTGGGCTACGGCTTCGGGGTGGCGGATGTGCTGGCCATGAGCAGGCGCCACCCGCAGGTCCTTCAGTACAACTACGAGTCTTTGGAGGAGAAACTCGAGTACCTGGTGGGGGAGATGGAGCGGGACGTGGAGGAGCTCCTCGCCTTCCCCGCTTTCCTCGGCTACAAGCTGGACGACCGCATCAAGCACCGCTACGAGGTGAAGAAGGAGGTCAGGGGCAAAGGCATGTCGCTCAACAAGCTCCTCAGCGTCTCTGCGGAGAGGTTCCATGAACAGGCCATCAAGCAGCAGAGTGGCTGAGCATCAATCAAAAGCACATGTAAATCTACAATCCTGTTTGTTCATCCGATCATCCCCCTCGCCCCCCAGGCGCCGATTCTCAGTCTTCCCATCCCCCGTCCATCTCGTAGTCTTCATCATCATCATCCGGATCATCATCCTCGTCTGCGTCCAGCTCGGCCACAATGGCGGGCACCAAGATGTTCAAGCCGGTCGCGTCCGCCGCGTCCTCGACGCCCGCCTTCTCGTGGTCTTCGTCCGCGCCAGTCAACTCCCCGTCGTCCGCCTCCGATTCCTCGTTGACCTTATAGTACACCTGCGAAATTCCAGGAGGCGAGGTCAACCCACGCCGTGCTGCGGCCGACCTCCCATTCAATTCCCCCTCTCATAGAGATCATCTCCTCACCACGCAGGTACGAGCAGGCGAGAGGACTCTGAAGGAGTTGGGCCGATCGTTGAAGTTCGTCTCCCGCACCCCGGGAATGCCTTCTGGGGAGGTGAAGTGGTCCACGTCGTGACCCACCTGCAGCACGCAGAATGAATTCTCAGAATGCAAGAAAGCAAAAATAATGAAATAAGATTTTCGCCGCCTACTCTGCCCAGCCCGCCGAACTCGAGTGCGTCGCTGTCCAGGGCAACTCTGTACTTCCCAGGAATGTCACACCCGACCTTGTACCTTCATCGTACGGAGGGAGAAGAAGGAAGAAGGGTCAACCATATCGAAAGGGTCAACTGGAGGGGAGAGAAGACGGTGGTTACTTACCCCTGGTAGGTGTTCTCTGGATGGAAATTGAACACGAAAACTAAATCCCCGCGCTCGAAGACGATGACCTGCAAGAACGGCAAGAGATCAGGACTCGCAGGGTTTGACTGATAACAGCGCCCAAAAGGTCAACTCCACCGGACCTTGTCCTCCTCGTCAGCGCTGCTCACAATCTGCTTTGTCGATGCGAGGAACAGGAACTTCTCGTCCAACGCATTCATGGCTCGATCAAAAGCATTCATGTACTGCGTGGATTTCAAAGAACAGGATAAAAAAAAAGAAAAGGAATTACTAAAAGAGATAGGATATGCCTCACAACCAACATAAGCGAGGGCATAAACATTGGCAGACATGATAAAGTACATTAAATATAGCATGAGGTGGGGGTTGATGAGGGCACGGATCAAGGGGGGATGTATGGTTGACCTTGTATCTCAGATGACTTGTATCAACGAGGTTCCACTGACGGCGACACTTGTCATAACTCCAGCCATTACCTTCTCTCGGGAAGTCAATCCACTCGGGATGGCCGAACTACGACAAAGGGAGGGGCTCCATAGTCAGGAAACATCGGATCCAAGGGATAACTTGTCGAGGGGAAGAGAGTTTGGCTAGGGAGAGAAGGAGTAGCACACCTCGTTTCCCATGAAATTGAGATAGCCTTCGCCTCCCAGCGCCATTGTAATAAAGTGGATCATCTGCAGACTCATACCCAGCGTGAGAAGATGGATGCTCAAAAGGGTTTTCCGTGTACTAAAGATAGTAAGTATCCAAGAAAAATAACAATGACGCCAATACAACTGTGGAATCAGAAATGTGCATGACGAGCAAACAGTCGTTCACCTTGTGGAGTGCGATCCCGCGCTCAACGACAGGGGACGGAGGCTTTAGATCGGACATGCCAGTATACATCTCCTGGTCCATTAATAAAAATGTAATGGTTTTGTCTCCAACAATGGCCTGGAGGAAACGGTCAACGGATGATGGTCAGAAAAACTAGCTGAAAAGAAGCGATAAAAAAAAAGTTAATCATCCCATTACAGTTCACATTTCTCCTTGAATTCGGAATCATGGCGTTTCTCCTTAGTTTTTTTCATAGGAGAACTTCCAGTTTTTCAACGTCTGATTATAAGCTTCACAGCCGGTGCAATCAGAAACTAAATGACGGAAAAATAATGAATGAGGATTCTGCCCGCAGAACTGATTACCTGATCGTGACTTTCGGCATATGATACACACTTTTCGGTATACCTCCTGTTTGTCAGGCACGAAACGATATCTTTCATTGACCACCGATCATCTGTTTTGTTCTTCAAGTAGTTAATCCACTTGTCTGGTATGGCCATGGCCAAACGGTAGTCAAAACCCACTCCACCTTCCGAGATGGGCCGACACAGCGTAGGCATACCAGAAACATCTTCAGCAATGACAGTTGCATCCGGCAAGAGGTTATGAACGAGGCAATTTGCCAACATCATGTAAACGACAGCGTCTACATCAGTTGCCTCACTGAAATATTCATTGTAATTTCCGGTGAAGCCCATGTCGATTCCATGGTGATGGTACAGCATTGAAGTCACTCCATCAAACCGGAAACCATCAAACCTGAATTCTTCCAACCACCATCTCAAGTTGGATAAGAGAAAACGCAGAACTTCCCAGTTGGCATAGTTGAACAATCTGCTGTCCCAGAGTTTATGGTAACCCCTGTCCCCAGAGTGGAAGTAGGAATCTTGGGAACCTTGGCCGACATCATACCCATTAAGCCCATCTGTGACATTATTGCTTGCATGGCTGTGGACCACATCCATCAGGACTCGCAGCCCTAGACTATGAGCCTTGTCAATCAAATACTTGAGATCCTCTGGCGTTCCTGATCTGCTGCTAACAGCGAAGAAATTTGTGACATGGTACCCAAAGGATGCATAGTATGAGTGCTCCATTATGGCCATTAGCTGTATCGTGTTATAATCATTTGCTCGTATCCGAGGCAAGACATTGTCTGCAAACTCTCTATACGAGCTTACCTGTGGCTCTGAGCCACTCATGCCCACATGGGCTTCATAGATACGAGGAGCCATAGGTTTTTCAGGACGTGCGTACTTAAACTCGTACCTGCATAAGAAAGATAAACCAGTTGAGTAACAAGTGTCATCGTCCGGGATGATGAAACCATAAAATGCCGCAGTAAATCACTCTATAAATAAAACGAGAGTAGCCGGACCTCTCTGAAGGTGGAGGATCCCAATAAACTCCATCATAAGGTGCTGCAAATCTTGAGGGATCCACAGTGGCATATCTTATCCAAGCAGGAATTCGATCGACCCAGATTCCATTCCCATGTTTGAAACGAAATTTAACCTTTGAATTGTGGGAAATGGCTGGCTTTCCTCCAACATCTGGGATCCTGATTGTCCAAACACCAAATTTATTTTTCTCCATTTGATACTTGGATCCGTCCCAGCCATTAAAATCGCCAATAATCTGTGCTTCCCTGCAGAGACATGTAAAGTTTCCATGTTAACGGTTACATAGGTTGTGCAGAAAGATTGAACCTACAGTTCTATAGATGTATAACACCTAAATATGTATTACTTGGCGCGTACATTTCCCCAAAATGCACAATTGAAATGGGACCCTACCTTATAATAGATCACATCAGCTGCACTGCTACAAATTCATCGATATATGTATAGATATTTATCGAAAATGGATGAAACAACAAGATTTTTAAAAGAGCGGCCTACATATATAACTAGTCCTTTCTAAAAATCCATCCAGTCAAGTCAACGATATTATGAAGTCAACTCCTTTTGGCAGATCTCCGACAGATGTTCTTTTTCCATTTTTCATAATTACAAGAAGGGATACCTCACTTAACAGCTTGATCGAGAATGATCAAACTCTACCAACTACAATCCATGAACCAAAATTTTATGTCTTCAATTTTCTTAGATCATCTTTCTGCCCTGTATGAAATCTATCATGCGCAAGATCCTTCCTCTTTTTCAGTTGATTAAAACCTACGTAAATCCATCTGTGAATTTAATGATACCATCTATGTTTCCACGATATACATTTAAACATTGACTGAAGTATAATTCCTCCCATGAAAAGGGAATGGGCTATCTTTCCTTGTTTCTAATCAAGAGAACCAATTCTGCAGATGCGTAGAAAAAATAAGCAGCTTTATCGAAAACCAGTGGTGTACTATTCTCTTGTAAAATGTGGGTGCTTTTGCACTACATTATATAATCAATCGTGGAGAAAACTTTAACATACAGCACCTCTCCCTCCAGAAACAAGGTTCAGCTACGGAAGTTTAAAATAAAGGAAAACATTGATTAAAAAACTAAAATATAGCAAGCTCACTGACTGTGCAGCTGGAGCCCACTCCCGGTACACAATGCCATCGTCATCTCTGTTGAATCCAAACTTCAAAAAACCTATAAAAGGAATAGTAAATCATTCAGATATCTTCATCAGAAACGGTCAAACTTAGTTTGTGAAAGAGTAAAATAATTTTTCATTCCAATCTTCCCAGTGTATCTTACTGATCTATCCAGAAACGAATCTAAGCATTCAGTGAAAAATTCGGTGGTGTTTCAGTGGTACCAGTTTTCCTTTAGCCGGTGCATTAATTCACATGGATACAAAAATTGAAAACATAGCTAAAACCATATAACCAAACTATCTTTCTGATAAGGCTGTCAGGGAGCCTAAATAGTTGGTATTAGGGTTAACTCAACCGCACAACATAACAGTAACCAACTTATCACTGGTACTGCAGTTGAGGACTAAACATAGAGCGAGATTCGATGAGTCAGCATCCCATGGGGTTCACAACCAAAACAATCGACTCAAATCAAACTGACTCATTCACATAGGCATAACTGCAACTAGGCCACCTCAACCCAAACAAGTAAACTTTACAAAAACACTTCTATTAAGAGCTTTCATTAGTGATTCAGTCAATGCTCATGTCCATGGAGGATCAGAATCTTCAAAAATCAATCCACATTATCCGAATTAACCTAAGTCAGACTGAGTCTTGATTGGGTGTACTGACAGAATGAAGAAGGGCAATATGCAACCGTGAATAAAGATGTCAAAAAGTAGCAGTCCTAGGTGTTATTAAAACCTGAATCAGTGCATAAACTAGTCAGAGAGGATTAAAAACAGTAAACCCTGGCTCATTTAACCATAGTCGAGGTCAATGTTCCATGGCTGATTTCGATGTGTAAAAATCACTAATTATATCCCTACACGGAAACGTCAGCGAGAAATCGTTGCAATCCAAATCAGTCAATCAACATCAGAATCAGCCGATTCTACTTTCCAAGGTTTATTCGGGACATAAATAATGTACTGTCACCCAAAAAGGAGTTTAAGAGCTATACATTCTTTCTGGGTTTCTACTCAAATTAGTATTTTACTCGAGTAACAAATATGAAAATTATAAAACATTTCAGCATAGAAATTTGACCTTGTGCGAAGTTCTCAAGGCTTCCCTCATGTTTCTCAATCAACATTTTCTGTTCCACATATTTCTGAGATCTGTATTTCAGGTGACCTTTAAATCTTTCTAAAACTGGATCCAAACTGTAAATGCCAAGATCATCTACATCTTCTTCAATTGTTGTCATTGTTGATTCATCTTCCAAGGTTGCAGAGACTGAATAATCACGTCCAACCTAAGCATCAATCCATCAACAATGGATTCATTTCATGATCGAAATTTGAAAGATAACTGCGACTATGTTCAGCGACTTCAGCAGCATTATTAACCATGACTAAGCAATTGTATTATGTGACGAGAAGATATTTTTAAGAAAGATATCTGACGTGCATAGTACCTTCTTCTGCGATGGTAGTTTATTATGGTATTGAGAAGAATAGCATCCTAGAAATTTACCAGACCTGTTGGGTAAGAAAACTACAGGATGTGGCGTGAGAAATCCACAATGTCTTTGAGCCTGTAGATGAAATTTGAGTAATAAACGTCAAGGCAACATGAAGACTAAACTTCTAGAGTTGCATTAGTTTCAACAGTATGCAAACTTTCTAAACGCCTTTGATTGGCCTCTTCAACACCGGTACGATGAATCATTTTCAGAGAAATAAATGAAATACCTATTTGTGAACCATACAAACATGAAACGAAGCAGTGGCAGAATCATGAGTTTGTGTGGAAAAAAAAAATGCATCTCTATATTTTCCCACAAACTAAGATTTACCAAAGAATATTTACAGTTCAAAATTCACATGGGATTTTGAAGATGCATAAATCACTAGTTTTACCATATTAGTGTGCATCAATATAAATTATGGAGGGATGGATTTATAAGCTTAGAACTAGAGGAAAACATCACATATTAGTATAGGTCAATTCTAATCTACAGATGCTAAGACGTATCGTCATATCATAGGACAACACTAATTTCGCCTACCACGTTTTATTGTGGGCCTATCTGTCTAGAAATTGGACATCATTTTATCTAAGAGGTATACATATATTTTAAGATTCCGATGATGAATTAAGTTCCTGAAACGTTTTATTTTCGAGTTATGAATATTATAAAATCAGATAATCATCTGAGACATCAACCTCGACGTTTTAATCCCAGATCTAATCAACTATGCAAGATCTCTGGCCAATGAAATATCCGAGAGAGATAATTTACTCGTTTGGAAATAACGAACTTTTATTTCCGTTTATCTAGTACCCATCTAGTATCATGAATGTTATCCTCGAGAGAAATACATCACTACCCTCAAAATGTTCAATAAGAAAAATATAATCAAACTAGTAGCGTTAAACGCCAGTTTCCAGGACACGATTCCAGGAATTTACTCGTCAAGGAACATCAGCGCAGGAGATCAAACTTGAGACGATTGTACTGAAGCACAAGTTAAACCGATGAAGGAATATTTATATTCCACTTTTTTGCATAAGAATACAAGGTAAAACCTTACCAGTGATTCCTTATTTATGGCTGTTTCGAAACTAGACAGTATAAATATCCAAACAAAAATAAGGAAAGAGGTCCTGTGTTCCTACTCAACTCCATCCAGTTAAGAATAACCATGCTATTTCCTTATTTATGGTTGTTTCGGACTCCAAAAATTAGAGAACTGGACAAGTTGACCATGCCGTATAAGCTCAACATCCAATATAAATCGCTCATGTCAAACACAGACCAAAAGTAACTAGTATAAAAAACGGAATCCTGCATCGCTATAGGACTACAAAGCAGTGATTAACTAGCAAAACTACAATAACGCCAATGAGAAAAACATAAAAAAAGCATCCTTCACATCAGAAGGCATGGTTCTCAAGTAGAAAGCGGAATGTGTAGAAATTAGAGTTTCGCTCACTAAGTCAAACCAAAAATTGATAAATCTTTCACCGATTTGTTTGGAAACTTAGACAAAGGGTAGTTCTTATATCTCACCACTTAAAATTGTCTGTCTGCACATATCCAATCTTGATACTGTGTTAAAACTTTGATAAACTTATGAACACTGAGATGACTGTCCAATGTTTTCATATTTAGTATTTTGTGTTAGAAATATAATGGAATCCAATGGCCACTTGCACCTGGCATTTCGTTCTTGAATGTACTGAGCTACTAGCATTACCATTCAATCAAAGAGATTTTTTTCAAAAAAGCTTTATCTCTAAGACTAGAATGATGACTACATCTTCCGTCATGAATTATTTCCATGGAACATTTTCCAAACCCGGAATTCAAGTGACGTTCCCTATTATGAAATCGCTTCTGATTAAACTTCACCAGATGTACAGTATTTCTCCAACTTCAGAGATCCGAGTAGAATGAACCTTGATTTCCATTAAAATCAACTGATTATCCAGTTGATGTTAGTGGAAATCACGTATGTCTATTATCATAATCTAAATTGTACCAGCCAAAAATTATAGCTATAATGGTTGGTCATGTAGGTGAATTGTGATTCCACAGACTTGATTAATAATCATTTTAAATAGTCAGCACGGAACAGCAGATTTAGTTCGACTAGCAGACCCCGCCTTTATTTTCTGCTTTTTGATCCATCCAACTAACTATTCAGCATTCGTTTCTCCGATATACAAAACTGATTATCGTCCTCTAAATCATTTTCCTGTCTGCGTAAAAAGCGCTAGTGAGTAGACGTCAATTAACTCTCGAGTAGTTCGCAAACAATGCGGTTTCACCGGACTCTTGGAATGAATCCGCAGTGAAAGCGTACCGTCATTGATAACAAGGAAATTGAGCTCTGATTTGGAGGATATCGGAGATAAAGCCGACGCACGCATTTAGAGGAAAGTAGAGAACCAGAAACCTAACCAGACTGCCGCTGCCACTTTGAAGAAATTCCGCATCTCCGAACAATTAGAATAAAACGGAGAAAACATGAGATCCAAGGAATGCTTGCCTCCCTGCAGCAGCTTCCGCGGTAATTGGGAGAAACTCGGGGAAGAGACAGGGGGAATGACGAGGACATGATTGGCATATCCTCCCTGCTACTTCCCACAATCTCCCTTTGCCTCTACCGCGCCCTGATCCTCCGAGAAAGACGCTCCTTCGGCGCCAACTCCTCAGGTGGGAAAGAGTGAAGCCCGCTGCTATCCCCCTCACCTCACTGCTCCCCTCCCTCCCTCCGCCCCCACGCCCCACGAACACGCGCCACGCGTTTATCGTAACACGTGGAACGACATGGCCGCATATCCACGTGGCAAGAATAAGTGGGGCCGTCATCGTCCGTATTTAGGTGGACTAGCAGCGTCGAGCCGCAACAGTCCGAAAAGCTGTTCAGAATAAATAATTATTATCATATATTAAAGCTGTCGTATAAAGCTCTTGGCAGGAGGTAAGTGAAATTCGGGAAATTTATTCAAAAACCCGAGAAAATCCATGTCAGACCTTATTAACATCGGGAAGAATGAGTTGGGCCCGATGGAGAGAAAGAGTCAGACTCAAAAGGGCCGACAAGTTCGAAAAAACCGGTTTGGCCCAATAAGACGGGGCCTCGGGGTTTTACCAGCCCATTAGCGCTAACCCTCATTAGCCCTTCAATTAAGTGACCTTAACCCGAGTTATTCGGGCCAATATATCAACAAGAAAATGGCACCCACTGGCCTCCTTGCCACCACCAGGGGGAGGCCAGTGGCATAATCCGTAATATTAGACGTCGTTCTTAGTGAGGAACTGGAACGAAGAAATAATATTTTTTATTCGGAGGGTTAATAAGCTGAAATCGGTGACGGCGGATTCCGATCCACCAGCACAGTTGGTTCGGAGATGGACCGCACCGTCAAGGCTCCCACTCGCTCAGCTCAGGGGAATGAATCTACAGGCAGGGACGGGGAGAGGAGTGCCGCCGGAGCACTGGCGGCGACGCCCATCGTGTTCTCCTTCGCCAGGGACTACTTACTCTCGGGTGATCCATCTCCGGCCGCGGATCTCGTAGCTGCCGCCGGAGCCCTGGTCGCTGCTCTCGCCGCCGCTCTCCGCGCTCGCGTAGCCCGACCGCCGGCGGTGCCTCCTCCCCCTGCCGGCGGCGCCGCTGTCGCTGACGCTGCCGCCACCGTTCAGCAGCGGGTCGTCTATCCCGCGGATGACCCTCCGAGCGGGGGACGGCGAGGAGATGCAGGCGTCGTCCTTTGCTCTCCTCCTCTCCTTGTGCTTCTTCATGTTCTGGGATATCTTGTGGAGCTTCTCGTTGAAGCGCGAGAACCCCTTCTCCATCGGTTCCACAGCGTGGTTCACGGTGAACTTCACGTCGCTGACGATCTGCAGGCATCACAATCATAATCAAAAAGCCACATTCATTAACATGATCATAGAATCACATGGGAGATGAAGCCCTCACGTATCCACCGCCGCCGAGGACGACGTCTCTGACGCTGTCTCTGAGTCTCATCCCGCTTCTGCCGGCGGCGGCTGCGGCGTCGGCGTCGGCCTGGGGGAGCCGCAGCTTCGTCGGCCGCTCGCTGTCCCTCACTTCGTCGGGATCGACGGGGCATTCAACGGAGACGTAGTCTCCGAGCACTGAGACGGCGCCGGTGACGCGGTCGCCCATCAGCGCGTACGGCAGGGCGGGGAACACGTAGAGGTGGACTGCAGAAGCGATCCCCATCTGTGCTGGAAAGAACATGCTGGCCGTCAAACTGTGATCTTGTGAGCCGAGCTCCTTCATGCAAAAGATTGTCCTAAATATGGAAGAACTTTGCTCAATATGAACCGATGAAATGACTATGATGGGTGGGTTTCCATTCATCAATCTCATAGAGTATCAAATTGTGTATGCTCGAGATAAACTGCCTCATGGAGTCCCTTGCGTGCACATGTACGCCATGCTCTGTTCCTGTTAATGGTGGGCATCAGGGGTTTCTAGGGGTAAGAAGACAGCATAAGCATAACGATCCAGAAGGGGATAAATTTCTCATTTTATATGTAAAAAAAAAAGGTATCCAGCTGCCAAAAAAAAAAAATTCAAGTTTTTTAGGTTCTGGGTTCTCACAGCAACATGAAAGGGTTTGCATGAAACTAATTAATCTATTGGGCTGGTGTCATTAAGCAGAGTCTTTTAGCAGTGGCGGAAGAGCTCCGCCATCTGGTTTCTGAACGAAGAAAAAGATGAGCATTTCGGGTAGAAACCATAGATAAACATGACGAGGAGCTGTGAAGCTCAAATAGCTGAGCATTAAGAAATAATCATAATACTAGGGAAACCATATTTTCATGAGAATATTTCCGTAAGATAATTGAAACCCAGGGCTTCAATCCATACACGAAGGTGCCAGCTATTTCCCAGCGTCCAAAAAAAGCACGTAAAGGAAAAGGGTAGGTGAAAGCATGGTGAGTAAATGGCCACTGAACAAGACGATGGTTGAGGGTACAGAACTAGCAAACATATATACGAGGAAATAACTTCCAGGAAAATTAATGGAGAATACGTGCAGAATCAGCAGGTTTAACCTGATTAAAATACCTCGATGCAAATGATGAAATCCTGAACACTTGATTTGAACTGCAATCCCTGAGCTATAGGACTATTGAACAAACCCAAAGAATATAAGATAGCAATGGCCACCCCTTGCCACCATGTCAAGAACACAATTGATTTGAACATGAGGAACTTGGCCAGTGGTTTTATATGAGCCAGCTCATCCTTAGTAGCCGCATAGAACTGGACTAAACAGTACAGAGCCCACGACTGGCTGAAATTGAGAACGACCGCCATGTATGGGTACCTACAAGAATTTGCAGCACGTTTTATGTCCGTCCTAGCGGCTTCGGAGCTCACAAAAAAATTGAAGAGATGTTTGCAAAAAAGCTTGACTATCAATATGGCGCCTCAAAGAAACATCATAACTGATCTCGTGAAGAAAAAACATCATCATATCAATGCCATGGCCTGCATCCGCAAAGATTGTTGCCAGCATCCGGCGAAGGACACATACCTGGTGCTTAGTACTAAGGCTAAAAGACAGGCAGTGGATGTCAAAAAAGAGAAGGAAAAAGGAAGGTAGCAGTTTATCTAGCATCCAGCAGGGCAGTTCTACGGAGACAGAACCACAGACAACACTACATTAAGGATTGGCCAGAGGGATGGACGTTTATTTCATGCAGTGTCATCACAAATCACCATATATGAACTTACCCACATGTCCATTTAAATTCTCCTTCACAATAGACTCCAAAGGCCTCTAGAACCACAGCTAAAATAGCTAGAAAAGTTTTTATTATCATCTGCAAAAAACGAATGCACATTTCAGTCATCACCGAAGGCTGTATGGAAGTTAGGCATGTAATTTATAGGATTTGAATCACCACACCAAAAACTACAAATATACAGCTAAAATATCACTCAAAAAGAAAAAAAATGGTGGCAACGATTTCAAGGCAAAGTCTCAGCGAATTTAGAGCGGGCATACATATTGGACAATTCCAAACTTGATGATGAGAAAAAACCACTCGCCAAGTTTCCATGGTTTCAGGATATAATTCATAGGGAACGGATGCTTTATAATCCCTTTCTCAGATGTGTCAGCCAATAGTGGGTCATTAGAACTAGAGCCACCTTGTCTCCTCATGAATTGGATTGTTCTTTCTTCCCCACCTATCAGGAAACACGGGAGGTCAAATAGTAATAGTAGTAGCCAGTAACGCGGTGGAAAAATAGCTTTAACAACAGGGTCTACCAAGCTTAAAATTTTGGTGAATAACAGAATTGTGTCATGAACTAAAAATAAACGAACATGCTGAAAACTTTGAAATAGAGAGAAATAAAAACATGACAGGATATCAACTACTAAAGTAGAACAGAAACTGAACTTTGTTATGAGGAGAACAACTACGAGGAGTGGAATACACCAAGTTTTTGAACTTTTGCATGAGGAGAACAGAAATTGAGAAGACATAACACGGGAAAAACCATTGGCACTAAAGACCATGGTTCCCAATTTTTTTATTAATTATTTTTAATGCCCTACCCTCCATGTCGAACTGATAGGAGTTTATAAGAAAAATTTGAAGAATATTCATTAACTTAACTATTAGCTCTATGAAAATCTTGAGAGAAATTCAATCCTCTCATATAAATTGTAGTCAACCCTCTAAAGGTCCCTGCTGGCAGAGATCACAGGTAAGCCATAGGGAACCTTTTGATTTACACTTTAACTACCACAGTGGGTGATATTGATGTCCAGAACTGCATAACTTTCTCTTTTAGACACCCACATAGATGCCAGTGCATTGGAACTCCACTTCAATGCACCAAATTCGTTCTTTAATTTCCCCTAAAAAGTAGTAATCACTATTTCACAGTGTGTTCATATTTGAAACGATTCAATGTATCGTAACAATACATGTATTTGTGCATCAGGAGAGGAAGATAAACTGCTTGCTTTTTGAGTAGTATAATCATTTTTTTTTGACAGATAAGTTTGAGGTCCATCTATGTTGACATGGATCAAGACTCAAAAGTACATGCCAAGAGAAAAGTAGCTTCTTGCTGGATTATTCAAAGATTATCTTTATTGACCCTCTTGTTCACATTTAAAAACAAGGGAAATCATAAGCAATACAACAATACAAGTACATTTGTGCTCATTTGTGCTCATCAATTCAGATTCAATAGAGATCGAGACCCCTTTTTTCTAAAATTATCGTGTTTTTTGGAATCGAACCCGTATCTTTACTTCTTGACAATTATTACCTGACAGCCATAATTATATGCCAAGGAACAGCTGTATCTGCGTGAACATAAATTATTATCTCCGATACAAGATACAGAGTGAAATAAAATCATTACCATCCCAAACTACTCGCATGGGTGAGTTCATGGCCATTGCTAGTCCTCTCTATGAAAATTTTCTCCATGCAGCAGAGAGATTTTTCAAATAAAACGTAAATAAGTCTGAAAAAAATACACTGCATTTTTTTCTTTTTCTCATTGTACTCTAGAAGGCTTTCATCGGAAAGCAATCTTAGTTACCACGAATGAAGGTGAAAATGGCACCATCTTTAGATTAAACAAAGATTGGGTAGAGACAACTGGAACAAATGTAGAATTGCCGGTTCCAACTGATTTTGGCAAGTACATATTCGAACTAGATCTCCAGTCCAGGTTCTAATTAAAACAAGTTGTTCAGACCTGTACATGATAAGGGTATTCTGAAATATGACACGATAAGGCAAAGTGTTGCTAAAGATCTATCACATAACTCTGTTTTGAAGCATGCCTTGCCAAGGCTTATCTCCGATTGGAAATATTTCAGGGAATAATAGAAGATGAACAAATCTAGGTCTTGAAATAATAACAATAATGACATGATATAAAAAACAGAGACTTTCAATAGCGAATGACAAATAAAAAAACAGCTAATTAAAAAAAATTCAGGGACTATTTACAGAAGCATACCTAAGCAAGCAATGAGGTATCTCCCAAAACAGTACATAGCAAAGGCTTCATAGCAATCCCGTAAGATCTCACAGTCGACACTAACAGAAGGGTTGGCCAAAGATATATACTGCAATGGAAAGAAACATGTATTTTTTTAAGCCCCACTATCAATGAGAAAATTAGGAACATCATGAAAACGCTCCAAGTGGTTCTTCATGTTTTCCTTTCAGTGGCAAAGGTGGCAATACAAACGATAAAAGTAGCCAACAGAAAAATAACAAGCAGTATGTATGTTCCAACAGCCTTGACAATTTGGTCTCATAAAATTATGCATAACAACAGGCATGGATCTAAACAAAGGATGCATCACAAAACCACGTTGCATTTTCAAACACAAAACTAAGAAGCAGAAAAGAAACATTCTTAAGATTCTTTTTCTACAACTAGAATATGACCAGGTCATTTGGAGTTGCATTAACTAAGAATTGCGTATGTTTCAACGAAACAGAAACTGATCAACCGGTTTGACTTTATTACTGAGGTAATGGGACCATAGAGCTGTAACATTGAAACGCATAAATGTAAGTCACGATAGGATGAAAAAAAATTAGCGGTGGCGTCATAGAAAACCAGTTTTTGTTTACGTTGGTTTGGAGTGCAAGGTGTCTCATCTACATTTTATCTCAGAAAGTGAATATAAGGTTTTTGTTGTTCTTTCTTTCATTATGATGAACTAACAGTCAGGTTTATGATTTTCGTAGAAACAATGATCATCCCATGGCTTTTAACATAAAATCACAAAAAAAATGCAGACAATAACTGAACATGATAAAATAAACCCCAAGGGAGAAAGGCACTTGCCTTGCCCTTATGTGCTGTCACTACGGAACTCCTCAGCCTTGCCCTTTATATCTTTTTAAAAAAATGATTGAATCCAAAATCAGAAATTTATCATGTTTCAGAAATTTATCTCTTCAGCCTTACATAACAACATTCGTGTGGTACTAGTAAATAGCTTCATTGTTCCAGAAATTTTAAGTTCAGAGCTTCTGAACAAGAAAGCCCACTGAAAAGTCATTAGAGAAAAGGGAGAAGAACAAGGCCAGGCAGACATGCGTGATTAAACGGAGGCGTTATACTTCAGCTACCTAGATCCACAACGTTCATCCTATTATATACAAAATTGCATGTACAGGCCACCTTTTTCCGACAAGAAAAAAGGGATGAGAAAAAGTCTTGTGTATTAGACAGCCAGGATTCTTTCCTTCAATTGAGTAAGATACAACATCTGTCAAGGTTACACTTACGTGATTATGGAATAAGACTATTTTTCGGATCATTTCGAAATTCACTGAAATAACAACTGAGTGGTGCTACTACACTACTTATATGGGTTAGTAAATCAGCGAATTACAAGAGAAATACTCACAAGTTATTAAAAAGACTCACCGACTCTATTGCATAACAAGGAGCCATTAATATGACGCCGATTAGAAACTTCTGCTCCTGCAAGAAAAACACACACACACCGGGGAAGAGTAAAAAACAACTAAAGAAAAGCAACATGTGCACAGAAGATCTATTTGAAGTTTATTAACATATGAAGAGGAAACATACTTCAGGATTCCTGTAAGCTGAAAGGTGCTCAAATATAAGGAACCCTGAAAGGGAGAGGCTCGCGAGGACAAATACACCAGCAACTATTGTTGCCCATATTGGTGGTAAAGAAGATGATAGCCCATGAAATAGATTCCAAGGTATCTTCATTTGAGCTTCACTGAACTCCCGCGGATTCTCAATCTAACAGAAACCACTGGCCTTTTACAAAGCGGCATGATAAATGTCTCCTCGAGGCCATCTAAGGCACGAATTATGAGCAATTAATGAATTATCTTGCAAACTGCGGTCCTGATATACATGGTTTCACTCGGTCCCTAGGTGGGCAAAGTATCTGCAAAGTGATTGTGACCATGATAGACCAAATCAGAAAAGAAGAATAGAAGACAGAAAAGTAGAACCTTACTTTCCTAAGCGAAAATAGTAAAAATATAAAAATCGAGAGTACGAGTGAGGGCAGGAAATGGAGTGAGAACCCATGCCCTCACTGGGGTGACAGGATGAGGTGGCCTGGTCCAGGAAGGCCCCTTCGGAGCCTTCGAGCTGTCTGGCCAGCTATGAAGATCGGCGACAGGAATGTTAGCAAACAAAATCAAAACAGGCCGATCGCATTGATTTAGGAGAGAAGACACGCAGAGAGAGAGAGAGAGAGAGAGAGAGAGAGAGAGAGAGGCAAGCAGACAGACAGAGAGAGACCGAGATAGATGAGAAACTGCGTTGATTTGAGTGAACATACCACAGAGAACCAGCAATTGGATCCAAAAGCAGAAACAGACATTCACCACACAAACAGCATCGAAAGAGCGGAACAATCGTATAACACCGGCGGTAAATCTTTAGCTTTACGTCCTTGCCCTTCTCCGAACTGCCCGATTATCGGCAGAAACAAATAGGGAGACAAGATCGACGACTGGTCGGTGGGAAAGAACACAAACCCCTCCGCCTCCATCCGGGACCGGCGCGACTGTGAAAGAAAGGGGCGTGGGGAAATTAAGAAAAACAAGGCAAATGTGCTGCCGATAACGGAAAAAATAAATATATAATGACGTAGACATTCAGAATCCCTTGCCTGGCCTTGCCGTGCCGAACTGCGATCGCTTCCCCACCTGCGAATCTTCTCCGGATCCTTCTAGCATCTCCCCCGGGAATAACCCAATTCACTCACTAGATCCTTGACATCAGTTCGTCCGTCCGATCTCCATCGGGCATGCGGCCTCCTCAAATCTCCTGCCCTAGGGAACGGCCAACAGGCGGAGAGATGGGCCCAAAGATCCCGTCTTGGGTCAGAACCCCTTGGTGCCTTCGGCCCTCGTCGTATATCCCATTATTTCATATCTCAAATACACAAAAACTACCCTTTTATTAATCCCTCGACTTAATATAATATCTCTCTCTGATCCATAAACTGCGAGCCTGTAACACTTCTTCGTGGATTCATTCACAGATTCGCCTCGTAAGGCGAAACTTGTGCTACAAAGGTACCACGTTTAAAACATTACTACTTATCGAAGCAGAGATGAGGCCTAATCATGCCACCCCAAAAAGGCTGACATCACATGGAGTACATGCTCGTACTCAATGCCCCCCCACGAGTGCCCTGAATTTCTCCCATTCAGCTGTCGAAGAGAATGATTAATTAAAAAATGATCTATAACCTATCCTTCCAACCGGGTCAGAAAAACCTCTAGCTCAACTCTTCTGCTGTATTATTTCGAATAAAAAAAATTATTTTTAAGGTTTTGAATATAAAAGCTGGTTTAATGTTTTATAATAAGCATAGGAATATCAAGCCAATCCATCGGCCGCGACCAAGGATGGGCACTGCCTTGAAACTAGTCTGGTGTAGTTGGGGCGCAAAAATATTATTTCCAATCTTTCAAACCCAGAGATATTGGAGGAGATTCGTGACTTCCTAGACCTGCCAACAACCCTATGGAACGCCGTCAGATACTAATTCGGCGCACTAATATGATAGTCTCACGGTCAGTGTTCTATGATGGGCTTCAATGGTTTTATTGAGCAGCATAAGAACAAGCATTCTCCATGCAACAGCCATGCGAGCGCTTCTCCATCTGGAGTCAGAGATTTTAGGCATGTATGATATAGGTTACATGGATTATTGATGGGATACTAGCCGGCCCATCAATTCCCACAAGAAGGGAACCTAATGTTGGCAGATTACCTCTCCAATCTTACGGATATCAAGAGCATGTGCCGGTTTCCAAGGGGAGATGAGGAGTGGAGGCGATTACGGAGCTTTCCCTTATCTGTCTAAGTATCGCTCTTCTTAGTGACCGTCCCCTTTCCTCGTCCGTAAGGGAAGGTCTTTCGAGAGTGAAGGATAGCTGACTTAGACCGAGTGAGGGGTTGGAGATGGGACCCTACCGATTATCAACCTTCGATCATGAACCTGCTACTTCACAATTTAGGCTTATCACCAGTTCATATCTTCACGATGATTCCATCATGGGAAGTGACCATGGATGAGCAGACTGAGCCACATTGAGAGGCAAAAAGTAGAAATATGAGTCGCTGATAGCAGCGGCGGGCCGTGACCGAAGGGGAGGATATGGTGATTCAATCATGGCCATCAAACAACGAGGAGTGCAGGGTTAAACGTGAGCAGTAGAGAGCAAGAAGTGTACGGCATAGCTCACCCGAGCCCGGATTGCGCTTTGATGGAATTCCTGAGTGTGTGGCAAATCTGCGCATACTAGTGGCAATCTGGGAGAGTTGCGTTCAGAATCTGCTCTGGTTTCTAGAATGGGCAGACGGAGGAGCTTCGAGGGATTCAGGAAACCCTAGACGTCGCTCTTGCCTGATCTGCCGTCCTCCTCGGTGCGCAGTAATCCATTGAGCTTATCCAGGACATCGGAGTAGTCCTCAGAATTCTCCATCGGCCCCGACAGCCGCATCTGCTCGAGGGAGCCGATCATCTCCTGCAGCAGAGGCGCGGAGGGGACCTGATCGGACGCCGCCGAGATCTCCGGCGTCGGCGACTCGCCGAGGAACCGATAGCCGGACGGCCGCAGACGCTTCTGCTCGTGGAGGCGCAACTTCCCCACGGTGAATATCAGTCGCTGAACGGCATCCAGGACCTCCCTGGCCTCGGGGCGATCCCTCCCGGGGGCCACCGTGGCTTCCACAATGCTGATGATCCTCTGGAATCGGCAGATCATATCCATGGACGAGCCGGAGGGATGAATAGAAGCAGAAGAACGATCATCCCGTTTCCTCCGCCGCCGCGCCGGAGACTGCGACGGCGACCTCCCGTCTACAGCAGAGAGGGAGACGGCGGCGTCCAGCGCCGGCGAGGCGACGGGGACGAGGCATCCGGTCGGCGTCTCTACGACGACCGGCTCAGATGGGAAGCGACGAGGGTGAGTGTTCTCGGGATTCATGGCGCCCCGAGGGATCAGATCGGCACAGCGGCAGGAATAAATACCTCAAAAAGAGCAAGCCTTGGCTCCGATTTCGGGCCGTTTCAACTCATAACCCGGCCGATTCGACCGAGTGTGGTGCCTTCTTCGGATATTAATTCCACGGGAGAATTTTGAGCAAATAATACAGAGATTGGTGGTAACAAAGTCTGAGCTGACGTGGAGGATACGCGTCGCCGGGTGATTGGGTGTTTTCAGATCCTACAGTTGGCGGCTGCGTCGGAAAAAGAAAATGTGATGAACAGAGTAGAGTGCCCGCGGCAAGAAAGGAGTCGCCTTGGAGAGTACCCACCGCAGTAAACGAACTGGTTGAAGTCCAGAGTCACTCTGCCTTGTTTGGATGCATCAAAGGAGTTGAACAGATTCCTATGAGAGATAGAGAGAGAGAGAGAGAGAGAGAGAGAGTCATCTGTCCGTGAGATGAATTCTCTCACTAGCCCATGCCACAAGAAAACGGGAAGAAACTTGTGGGATCATGCCGGGAGAAGAAGACAACTATGAAACAAAAGCCCAAGCAAGAGAGTTCCTCACCGGGCCGACTGCACAAATATACACAGCGAAATGAAGCTGTCCAAGAGAAACCGTCCTTTCTTGGTTTGATCGAAGGTCTGAGACAATGAAGAACAATATGTATATATGCGGCCAATAATCTGAGGGAGGAGGGGAGTTGAAGTCTGCGGTACCTCACAGACTGTGTAGAAGGAGGGGGAATCTAAGGAGAAGCCCACAATCTTCAACGCCTGCAACTCGACAAGCGATGCAGAATCGCATGGTGGTTTTAGTCGATCACCCCTCGTTATGAACCCAAAAAAAAAAAAGGTTCCTGTGTTGTTGAAGTACCTCGTAGACACCGTCTGGAGCGAGGAATCCCTGGCCCCTACGAAACAATGCAGTGAAAAGAGGAGGGTTTGAGGGATATTTCTCTACAGAGGAAGTGCAAAGGACTTGTATGGGTAGCTTATTGACTGACAGAAGCCTCTCCCTGTGATTATGAACCAGCAGTAGAAACAAAACCGGAGAAAAAGGATCCAGAATTCAAAGGAGTGCGGAGTAGGCCAAAAGGGTTTCTCAACACGGGGCCTTCAAGTGAATTATACACAGATCAGAGAAAGAAAGAGCATGCAACTGGGTTTCTTTGAAGCTATTGTGGAGAAAGAATGACATCACCGTAGAGAGTCCTTTAAAGTTCCTTCACCATAGAGACATGAAAAATGTATGTAAAAAGTATGCAGCACATGGAGTGAGTAAAGTCACCACAAGGATTCGTACCAAGAAAATCAGAGATAAAATTCTTTCTCGTTAATTCAGTAAAGTTGGTGTCATTTACAGTTCATTCATAAGATCTAATCCTGTGGCAGAGTGGTGCACGGGTAATGGAAGTTTTAGCACAGAAGCAGTGACTTTCCTATGAACAGAGAAAATAAGAAGATGAAAACATTCGAAGTAATGTCGTATACTCAGAATCAGGCACAAAAAACAAGATAGATGTGTAACATACAGGAAGAATTCACATAAATACGACGACTAAATCATTCTTGAAGAAAGTGTTGTTTCATGGTTTTGAAGTGTGGGGAATACCTGCTTGAAGCTGAAAAAGCATCCTGAACCTACATCAATTTTCATAAACGTAAGTCTGAAGAGTACATCTTTAAATAGGCATGAGGAAAAACCTAGGCGGTAAAAGAACTATTTAAACATGGTATACGTTGATATAGTGAAAAAATTTCATTCAGTAGAAAAAATAGTAAGCTCGACAGTTATGCTGTGAAGAAGAGCAAGGTTTTATTTATTTATTAATAAAGCTGCGCTGATTAAAAACACTGTACATAGGTTATGAATACCAGATTCCTTTTTTATATGTCGAGAAGAGTAAAGGGTTCAAATGCAGTTTTGACACGCATAACGTACATTATATAATATCAGTTCAAAGAACGAAGAAAATCTAAAAAGATAAAACTGATTTGTCACATCATACATATTCCTGGTCATCCTCCAACAGACAGACAACCGACCAGCGGGTGACTTGGAAACTGATCGCGTACCATCTTACTTCAGTATGCTTCACCCATAGTGGAATAAACAATGATTGGCTGATTTTCCTTTATTCGGAGAGTAAAAACCAGTCTTTAATCTGACATAGTCACATCCCCCAGGTTTTCCATTTTCGGCAGTCTGAAAGTGGTGACTGCAATTGCCTGCCATTACCTCGCGTGGGGGGGGGAGGGGGGGAGAATGAATCTCGGCCGTCATTGTTTTAATTGATCATGTAAGAATCTCTTGTTTGAATCTTTTCTCTGGCTTAAAGAAACTTTTCTCCGCAATCCATTTAGAACAGGCCATAAGATTTTACTACAGACATCAAAGGATGGAAAAGTCTTTAATGGATGCTTAGAATCCCTTGAAGATCATTTCTTAGTTCTTAAAATCTAGAAATGATCTTCAAGGGATGATTTCTTCTTTTTCGGGGTGGCTAAATCAGGGATGACTCTTTAACGGCATATTATTCAGTTATAAATTTAAGAACTAATTCTGCTATGTCATGACTCAAAGGAGCTGTCCCCGTGAAAAGTTAGAGAATCAACAAAATCTAGAGTAGTCAACTTCTCCAGTCGCTTTAGGTCTTGCAAGATGAGTGATGAAGTGCTAACTGGATGAAGTAGTGAGTTGCTGTAAAATGAAGTCCTCTGAAGAAATTTCGTAAGGCCTTTGTTAGTACACTTTGATTCATTCATTGTGAAGGGTTAAGGCTATATTTCTCTTACTCGGCTATAATGATTCAAATGTCTCAATCAACTTCTAGATATTCCATTATTTTTTATACTGAATTGATGGTAAACCATACAATTTCCTTTAAAAGACAGTTTTTAGATGAGTATAAAAAAGGAAAAGATGAGACAAAATATGACCAACAGAAAAAGGCTTATTTTTTATTACTCTGTGAGCAAATGGTAGATGAATTGAATGGAATCCAAGAAGATGCAAAGGAGTGTATATTGTGCCAATAATAAGGAATTGTTTCAGTAACATCCAAGATGAATTAGAAGCACTGACCTGGAAAAGGAATTTATTGAGGGCAACAAATTCTGCAGAACATGAAAAGCAGCCAATCTTCATCAGTGAGGTATCATTGAAAGATCGCAGGAAATAAATTATCCACTAAAAGAAAAGAACGTAACCAGTGATGCTGGGTGTCATCAGTTTTTAATTCCTTAATGTTTGTCTACATAAAGCTAAAGAAAAACATTTCAGACTTATCAGTTTCATATATCTAGTGCGGATGAACGAAAGTATTATCAGCTGACCAAGATTGAGGATTCGGAAGTAGGTTTTGGCACAGATCCTTTACTTCGTACCACCATTGCAAGTGTGCACATCTTAGAACACTAGTAGGCGATCTTAATGAATTCTACAAATGAATTATGATACTCTTTTCTGAAGAAGCGAATTGTGGGCCTTTCATAATTATGCACTTCGAGAAAACAAATCATGATGTTCTTGCAATCCAAGATTTGTAACAAACAAATAGCTACCTCATGCCAATTCATGTTTTCCACTCTAGCTCACACCAGTCAAAAATAACAAAAGAAATAGCAGTCCCATGACAATTCGTGTTTTCCATATTTCTAGCTCAAGCTAAACAATGATAGATGGACATTAATTTTACAAAAGATATGTTCACAGTACACTTATCCCTGAAGATGAGTACTAGAGGACAATAATCCACACTCCAGTGTAATATGTCACATACAATCGTATTCAAAGAAAGATAGGAAAAGATATCACAGGCCCCAGCTTAAGAAGAGAAATCCAAACGCAAGCTTTGTGACACATGTATTTCAATCGTGATTGAAAAGGGAACTTTGGGATTCAATCGATGATTGAAAGTTGAGGCTCTAATCTCTAAAACAACACCAGTGTGAGAAGAGTGGAAACAGCCATCTATGCACAAAGCATCTCTTCAATGTAGCATTCAAAAGCAAAGGGATGCTCAGTCAATTATCCTAAAAACTAAAAAGCACATCACAAGCTGGATACCAGTTTGTTGGTCATGTGGGGCATTGTCTAAGGTTTCCTTTCGGTTCCAAAAATCCCAGTAGAAAAACGATTTAAATGCAAAGTAAATAACTTATCCGCATCCCCTACATAGGGATCAAAGTCTGATTTCCCATTGTCATCATTTTCCCATTCTATTCCAGCTTGTTATTCTTTCCCGCCTCCAAACACACCCTCAGTTTCTTCCTTATCCCCTTTTTTTTCCTTTTTTCACTTTTTTCCCTTCCCCACATATTTTCCTCTCGTAATTTCCCCCTTCTTTCCTGACTCCCTTCCTTCGACTCAGTACTTGTTCGTTCCACCTCTTCCTTCCCTTTTTATTCCACTTTCACTTCTTTGCGTGTATTCATCAGCCTTTTTTTTTCCTATACGTTTTATGTGACTACATTCACTACACAAGTTGATGAAGAATGCGGCGAGTGTTCAGAGTAGGCAGTTATTCTCGCAGAAGATTCATGAAGAGGCGGCAATCATTCGTCCCATTTTGCGCGCTACGGGAAAGCAATTATGCGAGAGGAAAAATTTTCAACGAAAACGGGTCTCCCAACCACTCTCTCTCTCTCTCTCTCTCTCAAATCACAAAACAGAAAAAAAGGACTAACCTTCGAAATTCATGGTGCCGTTCCCGTCAAAATCATACATCCTGCATAGAAAAAACCCATAACCACGATGAGTGGGAGAAAACATACGAGAAGCTGCGTCAGTAAATCAGAATCATGCGCAAAACCTGATCATCTGCTGAACTATGGAGATGGAGAATTTCAGGTTACCCACAGCCAACGCAGCCTGACACATTGAGTTCCACAGTATTGAAACAAGAGGAAGGAAGAAAGCATGGGAAATCTCAGAGCAATGGATCAGTGAATTGCAGTCAAAAGGACGAGCCGCGGAAGAAATGGGACCTGGAGCTGGGTAGCAGAGATATTCCCCTTGTTATCCAAGTCAACTCGACTGAACCACTCCCTCAGAGCTCCCGTGTCCATTTCGCAACACAGATCTTCTTCCAGACGAAACCGGGAGACCTATGACGGTCTATATATAGCTGAGCAGTTTCCATGGGCCCGCATCAGGTACGTTCTCCACGTCTCTTCCCTCGTTGAAGAAGGCAGATAAAATGGGCCTCTTCTCGAGATTGACTGTTATTGGACTGGGCCCATGTTCTGGCCTAAAACCGAAAATTTTCTCTGCGCACTCCCCCCCCCCCTCTCTCCTCTCTCCCTCTCTTTCTCCCTCTCTCTCCCCCTCTCCCTCTCCCTCTCTGTCTCTCTCTCTCTCTACAGATTGCTTACAAAAGGACCAGTCTTTTTAAGCAAGACGAACAGCCGGAAGACAAAAAGGAAGGGCAAGCTGTGAGAGCTTAGGAAGCTGAGATGACTTTTCTGTGTCCAAAGATCTCTCTCTCTCTCTCTCTCTCTCTCTCTCTCTCTCTTTACAAATTGCTTACAAAGGTCCAGTTTTTAAACAAGAAGAAGAGCAGGAAAAACACACTACAGACAACTGCAACTTCAGTTGCACCACCACCTTCTGGCAACTCCAGCTGCTTAGGTTAGTTAGGTACAGAAGGAAGGAGGAGGAGGGTAAGCTGAGAGAGCTTAGGAAGGTGGCCCAGCTTCCAGTAGGAACGAGGCGGGCTCAGATCTGGCCGCATATCCATATCTGAATGTGTTGTACTTCCTGTGAACGCCCGTGAGCTTCCCCCCTTCTGCCCTCTGATGAAACCCAACCATCTTCCTGGAGCATTCCCTGATTTGCAGAGAAGAGGGAAACAGTGAGAGAACCTCCCTCGTTTGCAAGATTTGATTCAATGATGACTTACAGAAGATGATCTTCAGAGTAGCTGCTGTAGAGCTCGCTGGTCCGAGTCCACAGCTTTAACCCTCTGACGGAGCACTGGGCGGTGTAGACGGCGGCTGCGGCCAGGAGCGACGGGGGAAACTGGAGCATCTCGTACTCCACCAGGCAGAGCTCGACGATGAAGGAGGAGAGCAGTTCCAGCTGCGAGGAGAGAGGAGGAAATTCCGCCGGTCAACGCGGAAGAAACATCAAAGATCATCTGGGTGAGATTTGTTTCGATCCTCACCTGCTTGTCGGAAGCCGCCGCCTTCAGGAATCTCCTCATGAAGACGTAGGGAGTGGGCGCTGACATATTGAACTGCAGCGTGTTGACCATGAGCCGCTCCTGCGAGCAGACAAGCGCCATTGATGAACAGGGGGGAATCTTTCTCCGGGCACAGAAGAGAGAGATTGATGGACGGCGTTAACCTTACCATTTCTAGTATTTCTGCTCTGGTGTAGGCCCTGTCGGAGATTATGATCAGGTCGTCCACGACGGGGACGGAGACCTCCTCGTACTTACATGCGAGGAGCATGGCGGTCACCCCGACCAGCTGGAGCTTCTTCCTCATCACCGTCTGGCGGGCCAAGAACCTGTCTATGATGTTCACCGTCAGGAACAAGGTCTCCTCCATGAGGTCAAACTTGTAGTGCACCTGTGAGCGAATATTCACCTATCGTGAGAACTCATCAAGAAGAGAAGAATCGGTTGGGGGGGGTGGGGGAGTCTGGTTTTCACAGCACCTCGATCAGCCAGTCGATCAAGATGGCCCGCATCTTCTCGTTGATGTCAACTTGATTGGACATGTAATTAGGGCAGACGCACCCGGAGCCCTGCATGAAGAAAATAACATGTTTTAGTAGAAACCGAACCAACTCGATCCCCCACAAATGAAATCGATCGGCGGCCTCTTTCTGGTTATTTACCTCTGTCTCTCTGTAGAAGGCGTATATCTCCTCCACATAGTCAACTACTGCAAATGGGTCATCGGCATCCTCTCTGTCGATGTCCATAACGAGGTCAGCGACGGCGTCCTCCATGTCAACTTCCTTGAGCTCATCGTTGACCTGCAACACTTCCTAACCAGGAAAGGATGAGCCAGTGCGTCCGAGGGCTTTCTAGTAGCATCAAGCATCGTCGATCACTACCAACCATTTCTTCCATCTCTTCCACGAACTGCAAGGGCAACTCATTAACAGGGATTGAGCTCAGGGGTAGTGCTGAGGGTATCGCTTTCTTGGGTTCTTCCTTGTCGATGATGGGATCCTGGGATAAGGAAACACCCGATCATCACACAAAGGAAATGGAGATGCAGATGACCTAACATGGCTCACAGAAGTCGTACCAGTGAACAGGTTTGATGGGACTTTAGAGCTTCAGCGACTTGTCTGCACAGAAGATTGTTAAAAAGATATTAAGAAGCAGTGCGTCAAAGGGGGGGGATGGGGAAAGAAGAATCCCGAAGTAGATCTCGTGCTGACCTCGGCCATGGCTGATGAGATGAGTTCTTATCTTTCAGGACATTTCTGTTGGCATTAAGAACAAAGATCAGCACGAAAACTGATTTAGTTTTCCGATCAAAAGGACTGAGAAATTAAGTTTTTTTTTTTCCGGGTTACTTCTGCAATTCTCTCCCGCTGATCGTATGTGATCCAGGAGGAGCGGCGCCCATGAAATTCTTGATATCCCTCAATGCCCGGCGATTGATCCCCACATCGGCGCCGAATTTGCTGCCACACTCCATCGGATGACCTGTGGAAGTTCGAACTGGACAGTATGAGGGAATGAAATGGCTTCAGAGATCGGATTGCATGAAGATTGTTAAACACATCCTTTCTCAGTTATACCTTGAAAGCCTGGGTGTTTCACCTCTCCCAAGTTTTTCTCCTCACAGGCATCCATTTCTACGTTTCTGTGATGAGACCAATCTATTAGCAAACAGATCCAAGAGACGGAACAGACGAAGGAAACCTGAACCAGGCAGATGGGGATGACGAATCAGAGCACACCTCGAACACTATCGGGGGGGGAACGTGTTCGCTTGCGGGCACGGATGAAGAAGCTAGAGCGGAGAACCCATTGGGGGGAGGGTGGGGGAGATCTCCTCTTCCGCCCTTCCCCACCTTTCCTCTACCTCTCGTTCCTCTCGTTCCTCTCCTCCCTTGGTTTGCAGTGTTTCTGCGTGGAGAGGAGAGACGCAGCGAGAAAAAGAAACAGAATCCGAGAAAAAAAATTCAGTAAAGGAAGAACAGGACGGGCGACGTATGTATGTATTTATGATGACAACGGCTAGCGTAGGTAGCCGTTAGATTCAATCTGATAAGAGGAGAAAGGGAGGGGGGGGTGGGGACGCGCCCACCTGCCCGATGGTCCTAACGGTTATCTGCGCATGTGCTTTCAAATTTGAGCGGAGTCGCTACTCAGCACCTCTGGCGTGGATTCAGACGCTTCACAGCTTTTCCACCCTTTCATCATCCTGGCGTTTGAATTCTGACCGTAAGATGGGAAACGTGCACCGGGCACCTACGCAGCGCTACGCACGCGGACCCGCCGCCATCATGAAGAACAGTGCTGCTACCCTCGGATAATTTTAATGAACTTTGATGAAAAATTAATTCTTACTTGGTCGTGGCCAGGTAGCATACAGAATATCCAATAAATATATTACCATTTTTTTAAAAACCATTCTCGCCAAATAATGTTGCCTATATCAATGTATTTAGTCAACCACGATCACCCATTTTGACCCTATTCGGGGTTGACTTCTTCATTTATACTAGATCAGCAAGGGCTCTATCAAGATCAAGATCAGCCAATCTAAACCCACGTAAAGAAAAATCGAAGGGTTGTAGCCAAAACTAGCAGAAATTTCGAGAAATTGGCGGGTTGTAGAGGAAGGACCTGGCAACCTGCCGCTGAGAGAGTCAACATCGGAAGAGACTATACAGGGAGGTAGGGGCTTTAAGGTCTGCCGGTTCTTCCTCCTTGCCCTTCGCGACCCCACCACTGTTCATGGCATCTATGATAATCTTCCCGAGTACGAGTCTCACTTCATCCGGGTTCCCCCTCTTCAGTAACTCATAGTCAACGCCACGTGCCTTCCTTCCAGTGGTGGCATGGGATCTTATGCCGGGTGTTAGGACACTGAATATCTCTGCGACAGTGTTCCCCATCTTGGGGGAGACAAAGACCTGAAAATCAAATGAGCTGGTGAAGCCAAGCCGATTTATAGAAACTATGATGCAATAACCCAGAAGGGAAAAATATGAGATAAAACTGATCTGAGAAATGGGACATAAACTCAGAATAAAAGATACGATGTAACTCTGATTTATGGCGCAATCCCACAGGGAAAATCGATCAAAGGCACATAAAAAATGAGGTAAGCTGAAAAAAGGACCCGAATCAGTTGTCCGGGATATCTGAAGAAAAGGGCTGTAAATGACGTCGGCCCATCTCCATATGCAATATATATATATATATATATATATATAGAGAGAGAGAGAGAGAGAGAGAGATGAGCGTCCAATTGGTTGGTTGTGGGAGGCCATCTGGCAAGAAATGAAGAGTTCTAAACTATTGATCTTGACCGTAGCAAAGCCTGGACTCAGCTCAGGTTTGGTCATTTTTTCCATCACAGGTTGATTTTGGGATACATATATGGGAAAAATAACTGGGCAGGGCTGGGCTCTGGTCTTGCCCAGCCCTTTAGAAGTCCTTCAGTGCAGATAAAGACTAGGATGCATACGGAAAACGAATAAAGAAGAATGTATTCTTCACTTACCAAACCTGAACGAGAAGCTCCGCAGTACTTGGCATTTAATGCCGCCAGAGCATTAGCATCTACAAAAGCCCGAATCGATGACTTCACCAAGGACGCCAGACGGGATACCTTCTCCAGAAGCAAGTCATCTGCCTCGTTCTCAGAATGACTTCTGAGCTCTGGAACGAAACGCACCCGTGCGCTGGCGCTTTCTCTGGCAAAACCCACCGCCGTTTTCCACTCACCGTGATACAGGATGGAGGCGAAGGTCCATACAACCAGAGCATCTTGAGGATGAAGAAGCAATGCCAGGTGGAAGGCCAACAACCCCAGCCTGATTCAAGGGTATTTTATCATTAGAGTATAAATAATCAGTTCATTGAAGAGTGAAGAGAGAAGTTGGGTGACTCATCTAGCACGTACGGGAAATGGGTTTAGTTCATGATACAAAAGGCTGCGGGCAATATGAATATATACGCATGCAGCCATATCAAAGGACTTTAAAAAATGGAGGGTACAAAAACGGGATATACACGCATATAAACGTTGCATGGGCCTAAACATTACATCACACAAATGGATTAATAATGGATCCACTAAAATAGGAGAAAATTATCATGATTACTCACCATAAACTGCACTCAGAAGGTCGATCAGCAGAGAGGAACTTATCAGCACAGAACAGCAGTTTCTGTGAATCATAAGAGTAGCATCTTAGAAAGTGAGATACAGAGTGGAAAGGGGGCATAAGTTCAGGACATCTACGAGAGAGAGGGAGAGGGGGAGAGAGAGAGAGAAGAGAGTGTGTGTGTTGTGAGTGAGAGAGAAGAGAGACAGATGATATCCAAAAGTTACCAGAAAGGTATACCAAGTACCCACAACTTTTTGCCAAGATCCAGCAAGAGGTCCATATTTTAACTCATTAAACAAATTCACACGGGCATGGTGGGAGCATCTCACAAATCAATAAAGCAGCAGAAACAACCAGGTTTGTTTGATGACCTCAAAGTAGTCTAACCTTTAACTTGGCTGCTTTGAGTGGACGCCAATCGTCAAATTCAATCAAATCCAACAAAAATGTGAATTGTCTTATCAGTAAGACGACTAACAATAGATTTTTTTCAAGATGTCAAATTAAACGAAACCAATCACCAAACAAGATATGGCAAAACCTATGGACCACTTGGAGACAAAAGAAGCTAAAGGTTCTTCCACCTTTTCCTGCGTGAAAACAAATAAGGGAGGGGCATCTGTACTAGTTTCCATCAGGAGTAATTTTGTGAACTGCCATAGATTGGGTGAGGACCATAAAACACGAACAATATAGCTCCCAGCAAGATGTTATTGAGATCAAATTTAATTATTCCCTCTAGAAAAAGGAGTTTTTTTCAGTTTCTTTTTTGTTTTCGCTTTTCTTTATAAGAGGGTGGAGGAAATCATAAAAAACTTAAATGAGAGATTGAGTGTCCGCCACTTAGAATATGAAAATTTGGTGAGGTAGAAACCTAACCATCAGCATGCTGGCAAGTAAGCCAGATTCACTTGTCATTTGCAGAGAAACATAAGCATCCTGAAATCCAGAATTGAGGATTCTAAGACAACATTTTGTTCATTCGCCCAAACTGAGAATTCTACAAACATACCTGATGAGAAATCAAACCAAAAAATTACTTACATGAATAGGAAGCAAGATCTCAAGAAGCTTAAATTTCTGAAGTAAGAGGATTGAGGGTCCTGCTGCTCCATATGCCATCATAGAATTCATCTCCATCATCAACCTTGACTAGAAAACATTAATGATGTAATCAAAGAAATAAAATACAGATGAAAAAATAATTCTCACGCCAAAAAAAGAACACAGGAAGATTTAACAAAAAATACCTTGTCAAGAGTGGTTACAGATGAGGAAAAGTCTCTGATGGCCTGAGCAGTTTCCTTAGAAAAAACTAAACCAAGCCGAGCCGCAATTCTTAAACCACGCAAAATTCTAGCTGAAAACAAGGTATTTATTTAGTCCGCTGAAGGTCACCTGTGCTTAGCGAATGAAATTTTCAGACAATCACGCATACCACAATCCTCTTCAAATGATAGATGAGCAGGGATCACTGTCCGAATCTGATCAGAATAATAACCATATAAGACAGAATAAAACTATGAAAAACGTCAGAAAAAAATCTGAATATGTTACTCCCTAATCCCTATAAAGTATTTAAGCTGATACGAAGGGAAAACCTAGCAATCAGCAAACTGAGAAATAAATCTGAACTCATTGACAAGGTTCAATCAACATTCAAGAAGCATCGCATGGAAGCTTAATAATTACCTTTGATGACATTGCATCTTTTATCCCATCAACATAATCATAGATTGTGTTGGAAGATGGATCATAAAATAAACTGCAGCACACAATGCAATCAACAGATGTCAAACATTATTAAATGGGCGATGACATTGACCAAACCAGATTAAACACTGCAACAGAAATTGTGGGGAGAAATCAACAAAATAGTTAACAAAACAAAAGTAGAATGAAAATGGCTGTACCTGTTGATTGTGAAATCACGCTGCAAACAATTTTTCCAGCGAATAAGAGAGTTACTATCACAATCAGATGCCATTTCAGGAGAAATGATGGTTTTTCTCTCTTTTGCGTTCTTCCGAGTTGTTTCAAAGCTAGAAACCTGATAAAGATCAAACAAAATAAGCAAGAGAGTTTATGGATTTTAAAGAACATACATAGAAAAGTTTTCCCACATGGATAATGGGCAACCTCAACGATAGAGCCCTTAATGTACACCCGGCATATTGGAAATTGGCGGCCCACGACTATAACACGATGAAACTCTCTTTTCACCTACAGAAAGAATAGGTGAAATCAACATTAGAATGTCTAAAGGGGTTAAAAAAAACCCACTCAAAAGGGCAGTCAGCAAACAGACGATATGTCAAAACCTCGTCGAGTGTGGCAGATGTGATCACATCGAAATCCTTTGGTGTTTTCTTCAGAAGCAAGTCTCTAACACAGCCACCCACAAGATAGGCCTGGAATTCTGCATTTTGTGGAATGTCTTAGCATACCCTCATAGAAGACAATCCTTTGAAAGATCCAAATTAGAAATATCCCATAAGAGCATGTGAAATGGCCATGAAATTATAAATAACTGAGTATCTTTTGGAATAGATAAATGATTTATGTAATATTATATAAGCAAAAAGGCATAAGGTAATAGCCTAAGCAACGTGGGACAAGGAGAAAATAGCAATACCTCTACTTTGAAGGATATTTAGGACTTTCCAAGTAGACGGTGATATTGATGCCTTACTAATGCCAGCAACCCTCGAATCGACCACCTTCCATGTTGACATATTAAAGCAATCTACGTTCAGAAGAAAAAAATACTAAGTCAAGGGAGATTTAGTTCAGGTGATAAGTAATGACAACAATACTAATTACTTGTTCCAAAATAACCTGATGCTTTACGATTCACTTTTACACAGAATCTGGCATCGCATAGCGCTCACATTTTGAGTCGAACTAAAAATGAATACGTACTCCTAAACAATACTGGTATGGATGAAATTCCATAAATATAGGTTTAGACAAGATTTTCAGATAGGACAAGGGTCAACTTCAAAAGTACGAAGAAGAAAATGATTTACAGCTACAATGAAAGGACGCTTGCATATTATTTCTCATGGAAGTGTTTGCACAATTGTATTAGTATTCCATGGCTCTGCCACAATAATGGGATTGTGATTTGACGCCGCATCCTGTTTGGTTTTCTAGAAAAAACAATTCCATCAAGCCACGGTTAGGTGGGTAGAGAAGTGTATACAGGCTTTTGCTTGATGCTCGTGTACAGGACAAGACTCGTAGATGCTAACAGTGATGAGACTGAATAAGCTTCGGAGCCTACTTCACAATGGTAAGACAGACTCAATCATGTAGATATATAGCCAACATCAGAAGAAAACCACAATAAATTAATACATTGGATAAAACAACGCTTTACGACTAATTTGAATGAGTGGGAGATTTTTAACGTCAAGTGGCCAGTACCGAGCCCCGAGTCGGATTGAGAATCTTTCAATCTGCAATCGTTAGTGCCTTCTCCTTCCGTAGCGAGTGTTTGCGCACATCTCTGCGCATGGAAATTGAAATGAGACTGGCATCGAAATTTTCAGCAGATATACCTCCCAGACATCAGAAGGAGGTAAATAAACAAAGGGAAAGACGTAAATACGCGGAGTTCGAGCAACGATATTTGCAGACGAGGGAACACTATCCGGAAAAGCAAAGGCTGGTTCCTCCAGGTGGTCGCCATCGGGGGAAGTGGAGATGATTCATCCTCTCAAGGGCGTCGGATGCCCCATCGAGAACAAGATGCACATTCTACCATGCCGCCAGTGCTCCCAGGGCTCCGTCGACAGCCGCCGGCCTTCTGGCGCGCACATCTTTACCTAGCAAGCTCCGACTTCTTTAGTTACATTTAAATTGTATAAGTACCCTTTTTATTCTATGCTAGCAAAGAAGTGCCTACTAGTGATCTACCCCAAATGAATAAACGGTATGCTTCCGTGTGCCCAACGTGGGCTCAAGATGGTTCCGGCCCATAATCGTAGAAGCCCAGCCCATTTCAGAAACCACTGGAGTGTAGACGATTCTGAGACGCACCCTGACAGCTGGCGGTCACGTGCTGACGTGGGCCATTCGGGAAAGGGCTTCCCAGGCGAAGGCGGGAGACGGCCGGTGGATTCCACTTGGTTAACTCGTTCTCCCGCCGAAGTATTTGTCACGAGTTGCGGGCAAATTTCACTCTCTCTCTCTCTCTCTCTCTCTCTCTCTCTCTCTCTCTCTCGCTCTCTTTCTCTCTTTCTCTCTCTCACGTTCCTTAGTGCTTTCACTCACAGTTTTTCCTGGGTCGTTTTTATGAGTGAAATTTGGCAACTGGCTTTGATGTTCCCTCAATCGTACTGGAAACAGTGAGGTCACGGCAGGCGTTGCCGCGATAGCAGGCCATCTTGCGCGGTGGCGAAGTGAGATGCTCGGGCGTGTGGGCGGGAGCAGGCGCACTTCGAAACTTTTCCGTCTGCTATATTTCACTGTGAGTAGGGTTTTTGGGGTACTACTTGTCTCAGAAAAGTGTTCCCGAGAGCGGAAACTCCCTCTCTGTTTTCGATATTTTCCGGTGCCTCTATTGGATTCCACATTGTCGAATCCGGGTAAGTGAAGTGTTTTAGGGAAGACAGGCCTTGTTTCTCAGTGTCTTTCTTGAGTGCACTAGATCGAATTCGGTTTACCTTGGGGTGCCTTCTGGTGGCTTCTTCATGTGCTATAGCCGTTGCCTGGAAATAACTTCTGCTAAGTTAAAAACACGTGTTGAAAGCTTACTGCATCATCCACCATGGATCCAGTTCATAGGGTGTATCTTAGTCATATTTATGTTCATCTTTCCATCCAATTTTCAGTGACTGAAAATGATTAGTCACCTGACGGAGTTGCTCCGATGAAGAAAACTAGAGAAAACCTACTGCAAGACGAGAGATAATACGATCTTGATATGAGAATGTTTCCTTACTGGTTGAAAGGGACTGAAAATGGAAAACATCTGTTTTTTTATTCTTCTCCAGCTTAAATGTGTAGATTAATTTTCATTATGAGTCACTACACCTCGAGTTAATGTGTAAAATGGTTCTGCCGTGAGCATTGTAGTATTGGAGGGACAAAAAATCAGAATTTACTACTTACTTCCTTGATCACATGAGAATATGGAAATGGTGCTTTTCTTTTGATGTATTATTGTAGAGATAGGCGTTATGAGCAGCTTAGATTCCCTAATCAAACCATCTCACGATTTTTCTGGTATTTTTTTGTGGTATTCGTGGATATTTTATTATTTTTGTCTTCAACTTTTGGTTGAGTTTTCCGTGACAGATTCATTTTTCGGGCATGCAATATGATGATGGTCAAAATGTCTTGCAATAAAAAATCGTACACATTTCGATGTCTATGTAGACTACCTAGAGGGAATATATTTCACACAGAAAATATTTGGATGCTGCAAATAGTTTTCATTTAAAAAAAAATTGTCTTGGTGAACCGAGTTGCCAAAACATCTGTTGCCCATGCGAACTGCTGAAAAGAATAAGCATGGATAGGGCATCAAAGTTTCCACTAGATCAGCAGCTATTCCTTTCATAATCGCATCTGTTGCCCATGCCTGATGCAGCAGGCATCAGGCTTTTCCACAACTCTTCCTTCTCAGCATGATTTTCTTTTTCTTCCACCTAGCCGTCAGAACATTAAAATCTTTGAATCTTCTACCGTTACCGTTTAAATTTTTGCAAAAATTACTCGTGTATTGATGATAAATCTGATGAGCAGATGTTCAGGGGGGGCTTTCTGGTGGTACCGAATTAGAATTGTCTTTCCACCCTCTCAAAATCATGCTGAAAATATGCGGGTCAGGCATGCGTTTCCTCACCACATTTGTGGAAAACCTTAATCCTAGTTCCATGCCTGCTGATAAAATTTTGTTCGTGCCCCCTCTGATGCAAGCATTTAGCCAAGGAGGAGGAAAAAGGAAAGAAAAATATAGAAGAAGAGAATGCAGAAGGCATCGTGTGAGATGTGCAAGCAAAGGATTCTCATTTCATCAAAGGCAGAATAAACCAGCACCGTCTTTATCTAGTCATGTAGAAGACTAGGTCAATGGCAATTACCCAGACCAACTAGTTTCTTGAAAATGAATTTGATGAGTTTGATTAGGTGCCAATGGTGAAGCCTTGATCGTGACATTGATAGTGCGGTGTGGGCAATGCTTAGTGATAGAAAACAAGAGACGAAAGGGAGACGGTGCCCCCTTGCCAAAAGTATCAAAGAGTAGCCAATCTCCATTGTATCTTTGGGCAATTGTTGAGGCGAGGAGGAACCACCCATTGTATCACTTGCAATCTCTACCAAAACAAGAATGCCGACAGTAGTAACAATGGCAAAATAAGAATTATCCTATGGAAAGAACTCAAAATACCACTGCAAATGGGCCTCTTATGATCTATTGTGAGCCTGAGTCTAATGGTTTGTCCTGATTTGGATAGGCCCCAGTCCACAGATTTGCCAAATGGAGCCACATCCTGAAAGACATTCAACTGGCCCTCGACCCAGAATGCCTGAGGCTTTATCCCAAAAGGCATTCAGTTTTGCATTACCCATAATTTTTCTAATAGCCTTCATCATATAGGCGTCTGAATGGGTCTTATCCCTCTAATTTTTTCAACTCAGCTTTATCCCGTGAACATTTCAATGGACTTGATCCATTAACCTGGTCAAGTGTGTCTTACTCCACGTAGACTGCATAATTGACTTCATCTTGTGTCTCAATAGAAATCATCTCCTGCAATCTCCGGCGGTTCATCATCTATTCAAATTTTCACTGGACTTTTTGTATAATTAAAGTTTTATTTATTTGTGCCATCATTTTATGGCAGTTAATAAAGGGCATTCCTTTGTTAGATGGATTTAAAGTAACATCGACTTTGACTACTGGGGAGGATCCAAATTTGTACAAACTCATAAAACCCCATCCACAATGCGTCCAAGAATATAAGAAACAAATTGTCGCAATTCTATTGAATCTACAGAGGATAAAAAGCTTTTTTAAAATAATTAAAGCATGCAAAATCACATTACAGTCGGAGGATAGTGCTTCACTTCAGTTTAGATGAAATTGAAAAAGCATTGCCTGCGCTTCTCTCAAGTCCTCATATTCCTCCCCTTACTATATTCGTGGTTCAGGTTTAGATCGCCTTTGTGCTTACGAGACACCCATCATATTTTCTCACAAAATAGTTGGCTGAAAGCTGCCCCTTCTTCTACTATCTCCTTTCTTGCGTTGGGATCATTAGCATACGTGTCCAAGGTGTACTATTTGAGTGATCAGCAATTTATGCAGCCGCTCATATTTCATTTGTGGCATTGTTTTCATTTTATGGTGATCAAAATGGTATTGGGCCTCTGCGGTGACGATATTCCTATAAGCCTATTAAGAAATCTCCCTGTTTTAGTCCGTTTGGCTTGTGATTTGTTTTTCCTTTTTAAGGAAGTTTTCCTCGGTGGAACAAACGAGTAATTGAGAATAGGGTTCTGGTCGAGATTTTTTCCATGCATTTGGTATCATCGTGACGGATGTGTGATCTGTGGCCCTGCAAAATTTGCTCATATGTGGCATATATTTAATGCTCCTAGGCTAATGTGGCAACTATCGATACAAATTCTTCCTAGATTCTCTTGCTTATTGTGATCAACACACTATACATTGTCGGCATCTTACTGAATTTCACAAATTATTAATTTGAGAAAAATTAAAGGTACTATTTGAAACGGGAAGAAAACTGTGTATTTTTCCTTGGGTGGGAATCCTTAACGAGCTGTCGATGGTGCCATGGGCTTGGTATTTTCTGCTCGTCAGCTTTTTCCGAAAGTTCATGCCTTCTCCGAGAAGAACCATAAGTCTGTTTTTTCTTTCTTATTTCTCTGGGCTTTAATCTTACATCTCCACAGGCATCTGCCTTTTGAAGCATCATTTTCTTCTATACTACAGCTCAGAATTATGCGGTTTAAAAAATAAATAAATAAATAAAATTGATTGAAACCTTCACTCATCAGTGATCATCCGTCTACTGTGTGTTGTTCAGGTCATATTCAAGCGAACGCTGGCTTAATAAAAGTCTCCGGATGCTTCAGTAAGGAGCCCTCTCTATTTATGGACTGAAGGGTCTCTTTATGCCTCGTACAGTAGCAATGCCCACTGCCAACAAGCATCACCCACCGTCAGTGAGAAAAGTAGCATTGAGGGATTTACACAATGAGACCAGAAACATTATTGTCCGGCCTCAGGGTACTTCCCTTACCAAGCAAAGAAGACCCTTTTCTGAAGCAGTCAACGTGTCTGGCGCAAAGAGGCATCACCCTGACTGCCCCCCAAGTCCACGCCACCCATCAGAGTCCAGCGCGGTGGCGAATAGCGAGCTGGTGTACGCCCGCAGGAAGCTTGAAGAAATGAGGAGCCTGAGCTCCAGTGATCCAGAAGCCACCGTTGTGTCTCCAGTCTCTGGAAGATCTACCAGCATCGAAGCTAAAGAACCAGGCCGTCCGCAAGATCCGTCCCAGCAGCCTGGGGTTTCACGTTTCCAAGATTCTTCCCCAGTTCCAGAGGCTTCTCCGGATATCTCCTCTCTGGGACCGTCGGTCGTCTTTTCTCCTACTTCGCAGGTATACTGGAAGGACAGGTTTCTGATGCTGCAAAAGTTTCTGAACCAGTGCGACCAGTCCAGTCAGGAAGAATACATCCAGAGTAAGCCACCACTGTGACGAGCTCTCCAGCTTCCTCTCGTGATTCAGATACTGACTTCTCCTTTGAATGATTTGACCATCAGTGCTCCGATCTACATCAGCCGCGGGCCGCAGTAGGCATGCAGTCGACCTGGAGAAGAGGGCGATTCATCTTCTCCTGGAGGAAGGTAAAAGCGTCTCCGTCTGTGAGATCTGTTCCTCGGCATTCTTCAAGAAGCCCTTCTAGGATTTGTTCCATCTCTTCTCTGTCACAGGTAAAGAACTGCGCCGGATGAAGCTTCTGAATGTCCTGGGGAAGCTTTCGCCCGAGTGATTGATCCCATTCGCCTCTCGAGCCGCCGGATGTTTCAGAGGAACCGGGGTTTCTGCTGCTGATTAGGTCTAGCTTCTTCTCTATCCGTCTCTAAACTGAGTGTTCTTCCTTCTGACCTCGGAGAATTTTGTGGTGCATAGAATTTGGTTCTCAGCGACGATTCTACATGGCCGTAGAGAGAGAGAGAGAGAGAGAGAGAGAGAGCCGCTACGACGGATGGCCTCTGGAGCTTCTCCAACAGGAATAGTAAGTTTGTATCATGGCCCGCCCAGTCTCCCATTAATCTCGGGCAGCTGCCCACGTGGAGTGACTGCTACGTGGCGAACGAGAGGGGGTCGTCAGGGCTGGGCGACGGGAGATTCCGTTAGTTTGGAGGAGGAAGAGTAGGCGAAATCGCATGCGGGCCCCGCTTTCCGTTTTAAGCGCGTGGGCCACGAACTCCCTTTCTCCGGATTCTTCTTCCCGATTTGCGCCCCACTCGTTTCTGTTATGGTGTGCCTACGGGGAGGCTGCTTTTAAGCTGCCGCAGTACAGTCGTGCTGGTTGTAGCAGCAGCAGCAGCACCTGGCATTGGCAGTTTGGAGAGAGAGAGATAGAGAGAGAGCACGGCGGCGGCGGCGGCCGGTACGTAGGGACTGTCATGACTCTTTCCACCAACGCTCCTAGCCCAGCGGCGACAGACCTATCATCATCAGCTCGCCTCTCCTCCGCCACCGCATCCGCCGGCGCCGACGAGCGCGGCCACGTCTCTCGCAGATCCTGGCATCAGGTGGAGATCGAGCAGCTGAAGGCGGTGGCGCAGCCTTGCAGTTCCAAGCCTCCGGTGGTGGCCGCTCCGGGAAGACGAAAGCGGATGCGCAGATCGGAGCGGGAGGAGGCGAAGAAGATCACGCAGCCCTGCAGCGAGTGCGGGAAGCGGTTCTGGTCGTGGAAGGCTCTTTTCGGCCACATGCGCTGCCATCCTAACCGCTCCTGGCGCGGGATCGAGCCACCACCGTATGTCCGCCGCCGCACATCCCCGCACCTGCCGGCGGACCTGCCGCCGCGAGATGACCAGCCGGCGGAAGCGGAGCTAGAGGCAGCTTACTGCCTCATCTTGCTTACGGGACAGCAAGCCGACGGCGGCACCGGCCACGATCTGCCGCCTCCATCCGCGATCAAGGTGTTCAAGTGCTCCAGCTGTGATAAGGTGTTCGATTCTCCCCACGGCCTGGGAGGACACAGAGCGGGGCACGCCAGGGCCACGAGGGACGTCGCCACGAGGAAGCGCAAGGCGCACGCGTCCGAGCAGCTCCACAGCTGCGGCTTCTGCTCGATGAGCTTTCCCAGCGGACAGGCTCTGGGAGGGCACGTGTTGATCCACTGTGAGGAGGAATGCAGGCCTGAGAGGGCGGCATCAGAGCCGGGGGCCGAATCTTCCTCCACTGCAGGGAATGGTGGTTGCGGTTTCGACCTCAACCTTCCTGCCCCAGAGGAGATGATACAGGGTGAATTCTTCCCTCCTGATTTTGGGATCGATGACGGCTCTCTTCTTTGAGCTTCTCTGCCTAGAATAGACAACTCGAACCCACCTTGTTGAATTTGAAAACTGAATAGCTGTTCTTTATGGTTGTCGTCTCAAACTTCCACAAAAAGAAAGAACCGTAGAGGACACGGGTGTGATCTTGGACCTCAGTTGCCCGTACGTGAAGGCTGAAGGCTTACAATCGGATTTCGATGGCGTCATTATCTTTCCAGTCGGTTTGTATGATCGTAAAACTCAGACGCAATGGTTTCTGTCTGTATGTTTGTCTCTACACCAATCAGTGCTTAAAATCTGTTTCGAGATCCACATAAACCTGAGCGGAGTCTCAATTAATCAATGAATTTCTTGTGCTTCCAGTGGATGCTCAAGTTATCGACGATGATTGAGCTTGAGCTACGTCTGAGTTGAAATCTTCTGCCATGAACAGGGAGGTTAAGGAGCAGGAAACGATTGCTCTTTTTGCTGCTTCCAGGAAGTGGGAAATCTTTCTGATCTAACTTCACGTATATGAGAATTAAGTTTTATCCTGACGAATTAATTTCATATTTTCGTGACTTTTAGGAAAAAATGTACGTCATAATTGTTCATGTTTTTCCATTCGTTCATGATTTTCTCGACTCAAATGAATTTATTCTTTCATCATTGGCGTGCGTCTAACAACGCACCAGCAAGGTACAACGATTGCACCCATTAATAGAACACAGAGTGCCATGAATATAGTAATTACTATAATTTTTTTCTCGAGACTGATACAAGTTGCAACTGGTCCGTGAAGTGTAGCGTGACTCTCCCGTCTGTGATGACTATCACATGAATTGCATTAAGTTGCATGGCTTATTTCTATTTCTTTTGATAAATTTGCTCGAAGAGAGTTGACTAGGCCGTTATACACTCGTTCATCTATTACAAAACGTTTTTTTTTTTCAGGGCTTTTTGATGCGCTCATATTCAAGTTTTATGTAGTTATAATTCATGGGAAATGAGCTGTTCGATCTTTATATTCATACAATATTATTTTTTAATTATTATGTCTTAAGTTGGTATGCTTTGAAACAAAACTGAAGTGTGGAGTAATGTTAGGATATCTCATCTTCTTCTGAGTCAAAATTTCAAATTCGGGATAGAAAGTCAACGCGGTTCCGTAAAGCCCCGTCACGACTCGGCGTTGCGGAAGGGTCAACCCAGCGTCAGAAGCAGAAATTTCCTATTTTTATCACGTGTATTATTGGATCGGCTTGCCGGTCGTTTACTCTCCTAATCTCAGCGGGTGGATTTCTTGGTCTACGCTTTCCGATAGTCCAGCCCAGCCGTTACTGTTGGCAGCTCGGCGCTCCGTTCTCCTCCCCCGCCGCGCTCTGGCCACGTTCTCCGCCAGACTCGGGCCTTCTTGGATCCACGTCTCGCCTCGTCTCTCATTTCTCCCCCCCCCCCCACCCCCTTCTCTCTCTCTCTCCCTCTCTCCCGCGTTTGCCTGCTCAAGCTCCGATCTCCGGGGCTCCCACCCTCCATCTCCAGAAAACTCTCGGTCCCCTCCCATCCACTTCCTCCGACGCCGTGGGAGACGCACAAGAGAATCTACCTCTGCCACGGGCAGATCGAAGAACGTCCTCGTCGTCTATCACAAACAAGGTGGTTCTCCCGCCATCTTTTCACCCGAGAGACTGTGACGCGCTGCGGAATACGTGCTCGGTGAACAGGCTGCAGGATCGAGGATCCATTCGTAGTCCTGTCCTTAGCGTGGGAGCGTCTTGGAGCCACTACAAACCCGGACCATCTAGCCGTGAATCCTGGTCGGCGATTCTTCTCCTTTCTGTCTGTACCTTAAACAAACTGTAGTTGACACAACCATTCTGTCGATAACTGTGTTTTTCAGCTATCAGCTCTTAGTTATTTTAGGGCCTCCACATTCTATGATGAACTTGATCACTTTTGTTGCAACTTCCCTTGAGCCTGCTTATATTTTCCATCCCTTTTTATTGCGTCTCATGTGTGATCTCCTGTCCTATTGAAACTACCGTCTGCTTTCAGCTGGTTAACTCGTCTGTATTTACTGTAAACAACGCCTAGTTGAAACGATAGGCATAGATGTGGTTATGATCTCTGCTGAACCCACGGTACTTGTTTAGCATCTTGTAAGATACGTTGGGAAGATTTTTCAAGCATCCTTTTTGTAGTTCTGTGCCATTTTCTATCTGAATTACATATCACATGTTTTTTCCCGTTTCATGGATCGAATTCCACCCTAAAAAAAAAAATTGAATGGTAAAAGCTACTATAATAAATTTTTTTAGTATCAAACAGCGATGGAACATGCACTAGCTTGTAATTGGTCTGCTAAAAATGTATCACGTCCCTCCTCTGCTGTAATTCGATAAATGTGACTGATCTTTGGAAAGGCTTAGAAGCTAGAACAAGACCTGGCTTGATCTATGGAAAATGCTTTTATATCATGTCTAACCAAATCTGTGCCCAGCCAAAAATGACGAGTCTCTTATCATTTTGGAGAAGCTATGGATCATATTTAGTATGCCTCTCTATATGTGTTGTGATTTCCTTGTGTTTTTTCTAATTACAAATGACCAACATCATTTCTGCCAGCATCATCCCATGATTTGATTTTGTACTATTGACCAGCCTATGAGTTTCATTAGCATAAGACCAGTCTGATACATGATTTGAAGAATGCATTTTGAGAAAAAAATTAGTCGGCCACATTCCATGACGATCTTGTCAATAACTTCCTTGTTTGTACTACTGAAAGTTGGCTTTATTATCCATTTTAGGTTTTTTTACTGTGTTAGCGTGTAGGCAGTCTCTTTTGAGCCACATTCCTTGAGGGGCTTCTGGTTATTGTGGGAATGAGATTCGTGCGTATACTGCGAAATTTCCAACATGTTTTGTTGTTCCTGTCCTTCAAATTATCATCACAAATGACGTTACTGTGAAATATGTTGATGCTTTTAAGGGTATTCTCATACATAAAGGACTAACGAAGAGATAGCAAAAGCATCTTGGCATTTCTTGCTTTCGTTTGTGTGACACTCGTTTTCCCTGGAATGGCTTGAAGTACTTTAGGCACTGAGGGCACATAAAAGATTTGTGCAGGAAAAATAGGCGGTAGTCAATATTTGAAGAATACCCCTGCGGATCCCCTTTTAGTTCTAGTTCAGCTTGATTCATGTCTGGTTGTTGTCATCACACCGAGAATTGTGTTTCTTTATTTTTACTGTTTTTATATGAAGATTTAGCCGTGCTTTATTTTTTTCCCTTCTGTATGATGATCTAATCCATGTTTGACAAGAAATAGAAGGCGAAGCTGAATTTTGAGTTCTAGTCTTGAGTCTGGAATTAGCAGTTTCCAGGCTTATATGTGGTTTCTTTGTTAGGCCTTTCGTTCTGGAAAGGTTATTTTTCTGTGGACCAATCAACACTGCATACTTTATTCTTTCCTTGTATTTTTGATAAAATCTGTGTATGTGGTCTACGGTGCTATCATTATGTGAGACTTATATCTTCTAGTTGTTTCAATCACATGTCACAATAAAAAAATTCCTAAATTTTTCAGATTCGGCCAAGATTATTATTAATTGTCATTGTTACTCTCATCAACTCATAGCAACTTACATGTTCGTCATTTTTTTTTTCTCTATAGTGTTGTTTTCCATCGTTCATTATTGAGAAGCAGGGGCGAATGGCAAGGGAATAAGAACAATGCCAATAATGACAAAATAGAAAGTTGGAGCTGAATATTTCTTCTTTAATCAGAGGATTACATCAAACGAACCATAAATTTAATGTGATAGAAGTGCTTATTTTACTCGTGATCACTTTACTGTTGCCTTTGATTTGTCTTTTTCTGTTTGATAAACTAGTATGTGAGGCTACCCATGGGTAATTATTTTGTTTATATTATATCTATTAATGGCGTTTCAAAGAATAAATTCTTTCGTTTTACAACATACCAGGAAACAGAGTAGTGTATCATCTTTTCGTGTGTTTTTTACATGCCATTTTGTTGTTTTTGTTGGCACAGTGTGCCACGTGTCCTTTATGCCGGTGACAACTAGTCGTTCACCTTTGCTGGTTCCTTTTTATTTAAGTGCATCTCTTACTCACTTATGGAGTTCTTGTTATTTCCCTCATGCACAGAAAATCAGGTACTGGATGCAATGGAGAAATCTGACTTGAGTAAAAAACTATGTATGCGAATGAGGTTGTGGGAATTTCCTGAACAATATATCATTGAGCCTACAGATGGCAGTTTAGAGACATATGTGGCCATTAGTCGTGCGGATGGGTCAGTGAACTTGATTGGTAAGCTTCAAAGGAGATGGCAACTTGTTATCTGCTGCCACACCACTTCTTTTGTTAGAAAGTAAATTTGATTCCTTAGTCTTCGTTTGTGGGTTTTTAATGTTATTATGAGAAAGAATCATATACGAGGCATAAGTTTTCGAAAACTTAATGCATAAATGTAGGCCATGCAGCTTAGTAAGGAGTAATATCTTTCTTCTCTGTGGAGAAAGGAAGATATAAATAAATGGTGGTTTCTCGGAGGAATAATAGGTTGACAGTAAATTGAAGAAATCTGAGTTTCTTAATGATGAGTCTGGTCTAGAAAAAAAAAATAGTTTACATCTTTTCCTACCGTGAAAATTCTTGTAAAAGGTTTTCAGTTTTGAAAGGAAAAATAACTTTGAACAAAAATGGCTCGGTCTGTTTATGGAATTTTAATACGTATGTGAGTCCATACGGTCTTGCAAGTGGTTCAGGTGGTATTTCTTGTTTTACAGGTGAAATTCCAGTATCTGGCACCGTGACGTCACCCAAAGTCCGATCAATCTTTGGAGTTCTTGGAATACTGAAGCTTGTAGTAGGCAAGTCCAGCAGTTTCTTCTTTATTATTTTATGGACTACTTTCATTCCTTTCCTTCTTCGACGAGTGGAAGGTGCTGCTGCATCTTAAAAAGAAAAGAAGAACATGATATAATACTTCTGTTTTCTTTTAGGTGAAATATTGTTTTAAATAACATTGTTTCAAAAAGGAAAGTGCTAGACCATATGACCATTTTATTTGGGTCTGTGATAAATGAAAGGTTTCCACTACATTAGCATCCCAATATTCCCTGGAAATTATCCTATCAGCTATTATTGACCACTTGTCAATTTTCGGCCCATTTTTTTGTTATCCCAAAATCCCTCGCTGGTGACTACCATCATTTGCTCAAACTGGAAATAGTTTTGGATTCTACGCTCCAAAATGAAAAGACGCTAATTTCAATCATCCATAATCTTGCAACGTGTTGAAATACCAAAAGACGTTGAGGATGTAACACACATTTTTCAGGGAAATTTCACGGGTAAAAATTACATCATTGTTCTGAAATGAATACAATTAAAACTTACCAGAGAAGCCATAAAACAGACTAGGGAAATCATTTGACCTGGAAATATTGGTTAGAGCTTTCGATTCTAATTGCAGAAGACAGTTGGGAAAAATGAATGAAGACCTGTTTTTACCGTTTTTACTTATGGGTCTGTGGATAACATCTTCAATACTTAACCGAATAGAATGCCCTTAAAAACTATTTTCAACTTACTAAATACATGCGATGTCCACGAGACGATTCTCCAATTTTTTTCAGGCTTTCTATTTTATTAGGTCATGGCTGATTTTAGCTCTCTATAGTGGGCATTGTTTTGGTTGTCTATAAAAAATGATTGCCTTAATATCAGATGTTTAGATAACTTCAGTTAAATTCAAAAGGAGCCTCAGAATCAGTCTATAGTCTAGAACCTTTGTTGACTAGAAGAGGGATGTGAGGTGTTCAAGTTTATATTGGAACGTTCTTTCAATATACGGGTTTCATTTGTCTTCATTACAGGGTAATTTTGGAATGGCTAGAAAAGGTGGCTGTTCTCAAGAAACATTAAAAAAAAAGTATGCTTTTTAGTTATATGATTTAAGGCTGATCTTGCTACTTATTAGAAGGTTCAGTTCTCTCCTCATATGCACATGTTATGTATTGTGAGGAAGGAGAAGAGGTTGAGGTTGGGGGGACAAGATGCAAAGCGGGTGCCAGAGAGATAGGGATGGCTAGTTGATAGAATCAGTGGGGAAAGGGATAAAAAGAGGAGTAGGAGAGGGGAACGAGGCATTAACAGTTGTACCACTTGTAAGGGTCAGACATGTCAAACTTCGTGGTGATTGAAACTCATTCTCCATCTTCCTTGATTAACAAATGTAGACTTGCTCCCATTCCTACATGTAAGGTAGACTTTTGTAGCCTGTCCTTGCTCCCATATGTAATACGCCAAATAATGCCAAAAGTCCCCTCTAAATGTATCGCCTAATTTTTAATTATTGAAATAAGGAGAAGGATCTCTTGGCTGTTTAAATAGAAAAATGCTCCTAGTACCGTCCACTGAGACCGTCAAAAAAACTGATCATTTGAAATCAGCTGTTGGTATGAGACTGATGCTTAAGCCAGTGAGGATCATATACCTAATTTATCAAACCATGTGTCGGTCTATTTTTACGTTGTGATTAAAATAAAAAAATAATTCTTAATTACGCGTATTTTAAAAATTTAAAATTTAAGCAATGGCCATTTTGATTATAAAAATGATACTTTCCTAACGCTTTGTAGCTTGCATTTGTTTAGTTTTTCTTCTTGAATTTAACTGTGGATGCAGCTCTGGGAAAAAAAAATTATTTTGCTCTGTGCTTTGTTAAACAGGAGGCTACTTGCTGGTGATAACTGAGCGGGAATGTGTTGGTTCATACTTGGGCCATCCAATCTTCAAAGTTTCATCCCTACAGATTTTGCCATGCAACAATTCTCTACACACCTCCAATGAGCAGGTCAATTTTTTTTATCATGTTTATTTTCCTTGTTAAGCACTGGTTCGCTAAAGTTTTTGATGTTCCTGTATTTTAACAGAAACAATTGGAGCATGAGTTTTCTATGCTCTTAAATGCTGCGGAGAGAACTTCTGGGTTATACTTCTCCTATGATGTTAACCTGACACTAAGGTTTGTCGTATATTTGTGACTACTACCTTTCTGCAGCGCATTTATCTTTGCTGCTGGACTCTCTTCGGTTTTGTATCCCTTTATAGTTTATATTCCTTTGGATATATTTATTGCTGCAATGTTGTTACTTAAAAAATGGCTTTTCTTGCTCTTGAGTGGGGTAGGCCATTGGAAGATGTGATACAGACCTCAAGAACAACAGAATTTGTGCTGCCATTTGCTTCCTTGCGTTTGAATTTCTTATATGTTGTATATGAGTGCTATTTCAATCCTGTATAATGCACTAGAATCAATATGAATTATTATGATAGTGCTGGAAAGAAAAAAATCTTAATTTCAGATGTACAAATCAGTCATCATTTGAAATTATCAATTACTCAGTGACCTACCAACTGACAGGATGTACATCAACTCCTTGAAAATGGTAATTAAATCGGCCATGTTCCATGGTTAAACAAAATGTTAAAATTGCCTAGAATGAGAATGTAAAGTGAATGAATGACAATCGGTAATGATTATATTAGAAGGTATGCGTGAATCACGTGTGGAGAGATAAATAGGGTGTTCAGTTGTGTATGTGACATGATCAAAGAGTGGATAATACTGATTCGTAATGACAATGTACAAGAATGTATGATTTTTGGCTCTTGGGTTAATTGGAGTGGATGATACCATCTTGATGTGGTACATTGGTATTGTAAAGGGATTCTTTGAGGGTCCATGGAAAGAGGCATCTGCATCCTTCCCCTTTTTTAGTATTTAATCATTACATGGTACCTATACATAAAAAATAAATACGTAGAGAATAATCTTGAAAATGCCACAGGTGGTTGTGCTCGTTAGACGAGGACTATGAATACATCAATACTCTGTGGTTTGCTTCATTGGTGCTGGTTCACCATCAGTTGCAGCAGGCGATTTAGTTTTGAAAGATCCAATACCTGACATGCATAGGGCATTGCCTAGTAACGTATGAACTTGTTATCAAGGGGTTATGAATATAGAATATTGTTGGATAAAGAAAAATCTGCCCAAACCTACTCTGATTAGAATAAGCTCAGGTTCGATTCCAGTCTAGCATCAACCGTGTTTTTGGGCATCATTCAGGTTTGCGGCGAATATTTTTAAAATACTTACGTAGACAGATAAAAAGTGTCAGCTCATGTACACGGCTGAATAAAATGAAATAAAGCACAACGCCGATAATTTTAGTAGGTTACTGTTTTTGCTATTAGGTTTATGTCTTCAACATGTATCAACTTGCTGTTGCTGCGCTGCTCAAAGGGGCCAGGTCAGACCAGCATACTGGGTTCTGTTATGGAGAAATTTTTTTGGATTTGGATTCTACCACATAAGAATTATATTGTAACATATAAAATCTCGGATTCTCTTTTGAAAAACCATTACTAGATGTCCTTCGAGTATCATAGTATATGTAATTATATTAACATTCACGATAAAGCAAAAGTAAGGCCATTCCATTTCGACGAAAGCCCAAACCCAAGTTCCCTAGCTCTATCCTGATCATGATTTTCCTACCCTCATAGGTAAAGGACCTAAGGATTCGAACCCCTGTCACCATTGTTTGCAGTCACATGGTCTAACCCTCTGAGCTACAGGCCCTGCGCTGTCTCCACCCAATCTGTTCACAGGAGTACCCTCAAAAAGGAATTCTTATATAGAGAAAGGCACTTTTTCATCTTATCTTAACTTGAAAGAAGATTTTGAGGAGGAAGAGACAAAAGAAAGAGAGAAAAAAAAAGTAAAAAAAAGTAAAAAATTGAACGTACAACAATATCAGGAACTTGATGTAGCATTATACTTTATAAAGGAATTCGTTGTTCCTGACACTGCTTCACCTTAATTGTGGCAGTGCTATATGCTATGGGTCTCAGAGAACGTAAAATTGTGAAAATATTCATATCATGCAGACGGTAGAATGAGTGACATTGTTGCAGTCTAAATTTTTGGTAGAGGCAGGCTCTGGCATATCAGACTGCAGGCCCGAGACCGTTGCCAAAAGTTTCTTGTTCACAATTTCACCTCTTTGCTGGCCTGTCTTTCAAGTATTTATCACAAAAGATAGGGCTTGATCTTCATCTGAAAATTGACCGAAAAATGCTTGCTTTATTTTAGTTTAAATAAAAATTGATGTTACCTCTATTTCTGACATTTGTTTTTTGATTTTTGTGAAAGTAGACTCGAGTTTTTTCTTGAATCTGGCTTCTTTTTTGCTTGTATCTTTCTATCCTTACCGCTTGTTTATAGAAATTCAGTTACCAATTAGTCTCTTCTGATCGTGTATCACAGCTTTCAAAGATTACATGCTTTAGACCAGGAATCGAAACTACTTCCTCTTTGGAGACAGGTGCAATAGTGTATAGCTAACTTGATTGTCATTCTTTTTTACATATATTCTTTTCGAGGACGGTTGCTTATTTTCCTTTAGCTCATCATAGGTCATGTCACTAAAGAAACTTGCTACTTTGATAAATTACGCGCAGTACAATGTTCAACGGTTCTGGCCGAGAATCAACTGATGAGCATGTTAAACATCATCTAAGGTTGATTAAGTTTTCTAGAAGAAAAGCAATGTCCAGCCGTATCCACTGTATTAGTGTAAAGTTCATTAGTTAAAATGCCTTCAGATTAGTGATTTTTGATACGATATATACTGTTTTCTTCTATGTGGCAAGTATATATTATTAACTGTACATTTTTTGTGTCAATTAGTTTAATTCTAAGTAGTCAAGATGCTACAACTTGGTGCTTTTTGTCGAGTAACAATCAAATTAATGTTCAAGGCTCATGTTCTTACCTGAGGTGCCGATGGCAAGTGAGTGATATTTGTGGTACATGGACACTTTGAATTGATCCAGAAAATATATCACGAAAAATAATTCTTTCAGACCTGTAGACGTATAAAAGCTTTTGACTATTTATGGACAAAAAAAGAAAAGAAAATTCCTAATCACTATGCCGAATGGAATTGCTTTAACTCAAGTAAAGATCATTCACAGGTTTACACAATCCGATAAATATATGCTAATCTGTTTATACGTTAATCTAAAACATGTTTTAGTTAAGAGATGAAATGTATGAAACTCATGTAAAGTTCCATTTACTTCTATCAGTAATGTGATGATCACACTTTTTGATGTAATGTCAGTAGCTGAGTATGGATATATATATTGCTTCTTTATGTTGCATTATGAATTGTTTATCCCATCCAAGTCTTCTAGCAGCTCTGGAGTGTAGGAGACGTCGATAAGGGGAACGAATCACTGCTCTCCATGGGAGACTTAGGGTTTATTCGGAATAACCTAAAAACTCTCGCATTCCGTTGGGTGTTTTTGGGTTGATTATGTTTTCTTTTTTCTCTTCTGGGGGAAATATTGAGTGAGAAAATGCTATGTCAGTAATGAAGGGTGATTCTACCATTTGTTGACTCTACACCGTTTTGGTGTGGATCATTGTTCTTGCATATTTCTGAGATTTGATTGTACTCACACATGTATTTTCCTTTATGCTTTAGTACGGTGTATTGCAAATTTACTTTCCCTTTTTTTTGTTTCCTGCTTTCATCATGAGTGAGTGTTCAGTGGCTGCTCTACCCTTGGTTGTGAAAGTTGCACAGATCACCTTTGATGTAGCAAAATAGACCAAACCAAAGATGAATATAATACATTGAATTGAATAAACTGCTATGACCAAAAGGCAGGTCTATTAATGAACGAAAAAATTTCTATGCCTATTCTTATAGTCTGTGCACTCATTACGATGATCGCCATGAAAATATTGTTTATTGAATTGAGTGGACGGGATAATAGCCAGAACTGAGTGGAAAATATTGCCCCTTTATGAGTTCTCACTGGAAACTTACTTTCTTCAATATTTCTCAATCTTCTGATTAGATAATATTTTTAATCTGCTTGGATATTAAAAATTATTTATAAACTTCTTAACAGCATTAAGGCTATTGTTTATTGAATTGCATCTCGATATTTTGATGATTTTTTAGGACTCGGTATTACTAAGCATGTGACATAACTCGATGCATCTCATTAGCTCTTGTTAAGATGCCGTATGATTTCTTTGACATTTTTTATTTGGTAGATGAAAAGAAAGTTTCTTGTAAAATATTTCTTTTAGTTGCTTTCAGATTACAGTATTAGCTCTGAACTGCTATTTTCTTCAGGCTGATCCTCGGTTTCTTTGGAACAATTACATGCTGGAAACTCTCATAGATAATAAGGTAGGTCTTTCCTAGAAACAGTGTCCTTTTTAGATATCAGTTGAAATCTTTAATCTTTTATGCCTAAAACTGGTGACACTGACCCTATTTTGTCGTTTTTTCAGCTGGAACCATTCTTGCTTCCAGTCGTCCAGGGGAGTATCCTCAAAATTTGCTTCCATCTCACAGCATGTGTGACACTTCGGACTTTACCTATGCGAATACTTTCCAATGTGAACAGTTTTCTTCTTTCCATTGTATGTTATCCCTTAACTATCCTCAGGCTATCAGAATTTTCGATCAGATGTTGGAAAAAGCAAAATCGATGTCACATTGATTGCACGGAGGTGCACAAGGAGAACAGGTAATTTTCCCGTTTTAGGTTCCTAGCCTTTTGATTGTATCCGTTAATGAAACATTACCGTCGTTATTCTGCCGTTACAAAACACAGTAGTGTGTTGCACAAGTGAGGTTTGACTTGCTAGAGAGATTGCATTATGATGTTGTACTGTGGTTCTTAGTTTCTCTTTCTAGTCTTTCTAGCCCATCTATCTGCTTTGATGTAAAATTGCAGTACCTCATTTTACTAGGCATCAGGAATCTTATTAGTGTTAATATACTCATTTTGATTACCTGTTAGGAATCTTGCAGTACCTCGTTTTGATCTATCGTGTAAAAGATGTTCTTGTTATCTGATAAAGTTACTGCGTCTTCTTATTTTGCCTGAGGTTGACCTCTATCAATGGATCGACTGATTATGGAATATTTTTCTTTTTGGCGAAGGCTTTTTGCAAGTTTATATGTAAACAAAGTGAGAAATTTAATTTTATTCTAGCCACCTATGAATTGTTTTGTTAGTTGGAACCTGAAATTTGTCAGAAATGTGTGAAACAGGCTCTTGTTCCTCGTGTCTTTTGATTAAATATGCTCTAATTAGAACAGAAAAAGATTGTTTTTTTTTCAAAGCCCAGTTCTAAAGTGTACACGGTGCTGAGAAGTGTTCATCTGAACAGCAATGTACATCAATGGTGGAACATAATTGCACACTCCTGCATACTATTTAAAAATATTTGGTATCAAAACCACAATGAGAACTGTTATTAGCTAACAGACAAACATCTCGAAGAATTTAAAATTTTTACGTTTGAAAGCCACATTTCTTAACCTAGGTGCACAATGAAGCCCTTGCTAAAAGTAAGAGGATCTTATTTATGTTTTCAGATGAGATGGGTCATGACTGGTGGACTATGAGATGAAACATATTTCTTTTTTGTTTAATTGTGCCCTTTATATTGTTAGAACATTCGAATAAAACCATTTTTTGAGGGTTCCCTTAATAAAAATGCGCAGTAGCGTCTACTTTTGACACTCTAAGCCTTAAAGAAAAGATTTTCTGCGAACTGGTTAAATAAGTAGAGTTCAGATTTTTTTTCTATTGGTAAACCAACTCGAGTTCAAGCTATTTAATGATAGGTACCCGCATGTGGAGACGAGGAGCTGATTCAGAAGGCTATGCTGCTAATTTTGTGGAAACTGAGCAGATTTTACAATCAAAGGGCTTCACAGCATCATATGTTCAAGTTAGTTTCCATCTGTAGCTGTTACATCTGTCTCAATGGTGTTATTTAGCTTGTAGGTTATGCCATCTACTTGTTCTGTTCCTAAATAGCTTGTTGCCTTCTAACTTACCTTCCATGGAGTTGAATTTGGGCGCCTCTGCACAGGGGTCTGCGTCTAAATTATTCTTCCTGATACATGGAATATCTAGTGTCTATGTTGTTATTTTTCTCTCATAGTGGCACTTCTGTTTTAGGCATGCCAGTATTTTTGTCCTCATTTTCTTTCTGTTGCCTTTTGTCGTGACATGGACCAAAATTTAATTAGTAAACCAAATTTACGTGATGTGTTCCATAAATGTTCTCGTGTGGATTGTTTAGCACCCTTAAGTCCGCTTTATTTTTGGGATATGCCAGTGTTTAGATTCCATGCGAAATTTAGGAAAATCTTTCTGCTTCTGTTGGTCAGGTCCGAGGATCTATACCATTTTTATGGGAGCAAATTGTGGATCTGACGTACAAGCCAGGATTTGAAATTGTGAGACCTGAGGAGGCAGTGAGTATCCTCACGAAATTTCGTCTCTGAGCTAGGAAATCATCTTTTACTTTTTCTATCCATGATGAGCGCCAGTGTATTATGGTTTTTTGTTTCAGCCAAGAATTGTAGAGCGGCACTTTATGGATTTAAGGAAGCGTTATGGCTCTGTTTTAGCTGTCGACCTCATCAACAAGGTACAACTTGGATAATGCGTAGAAAAATTAATGCTTAACTTACCACTGTGCACCTTTCAAATCAAAGGTTTGTAAATTGCATTGTCCATTCTCATTAATCATCCTCATGCTTTCACTAACTCACATTAGCTCTTTTGCTGATGGATAATGGTTAATGCGCTTGCATTTCTACCGCTCTAATCAGTAGGTTCGGCTCATGTTTTAGCTCTTGCTGATCCCCATCTTATCCTATCCAATTCTCATCTATCAAAAGCTTGGAGCTAGATAACTGATGGTCAATTCGGTCTGGTGCGGAAGCCAACAAGCATTTTAGTTTTTGCAATCCTTGTTTTACTTACCACTGAGATATTTAGAATCTGTCAGCACAGAAACGATATCTACTAGGAAAGCTAACTCGACATTTTTTAAGTTTAACTTTTCAACTATCCTTCTTTCAATCTTTGGTGTTTTGATATTAGTTTGAATTGGATCCCAGTAAAACTGGAATTCTGTAAGTGCACGCAAGGACTCATTAGGGGGCGTTTCGTTGTTTCACTCTGTTCACAGATTTATCAAGTCATTGAAATCACATCACCGTCGAGACTTCCCCCTCCCCTCCCCTTCTCTCTCTCTCTCTCTCTCTCGCTCGCTCGCTCGCTCTCTCTCGTTTTCGATTCTTAGTTATCTGTGAGCTGATCTTTGCCTAGATTTGGTTTCTTCGTGTTTTTCATAGTTGCTGGACATGTCTTTGTTGACATGGGTCTTCAGAATGGAATTTACAGCGAGTTATGTCTTTATTCTAAAAGTCCAAAAAATTAACCAATTAATACACTTAGGAAATGAGATGAATGTCATATCTTCTGATTATTGCTCTTTCGTCAATCTAAGGCTTCCATTTTCTTCCCCGTGTATAGTTAGCTTTTTGCGTGCAGAAATGCGTGAATAAATGCAATTTTTATTCATGGCTGGTTATTCTTGTTTTACGTTTGAAGGGAGTGGATGTTGTGGGTGTTAATGGAAGAGGATGTTGGAGTTCAACTGCAGTAGTAGATGCCTTGCTTCAGTCTGGTTACATGTCTGGTGTTAATGATGGATGAAGTGCACGCTTGACAATGTTTTATATACTATCTGCTCCATTGAAAGTTAATGTTTGCTGGTTATCAATCTTTTTGGTTGCTCATATGTAACAGGTTAATTGTCATGATCACATTCATGTTCAGAATCAATATTGTCTCGTGGGGTTCAACTCTGGTTGGCAACCTTGTTGATCTAGTAAATGAGTCAACTAGAATACATGGGGGTCGCTGAAATTGACAGGAATCCACCAGAACTGTGCAAATGTTCCAACACAAATTCAAAATGATTCTTTCAGTGCATACATTCAAATTATGATTGAGATGAGAGGAATGCGTGTGTCAGATTCGAGGACTGATTCTGATGCCAACTGCAATTCTGAAAGTTTTGCTACTCTTATATAGTAAAACATTATCCATAGAACATGTTCCACTATCACTCATGCTTGTCATGCGTGCTTTATGTGATTGTTTCCAACTTTCTTAATTTTCTGTGTATGTCGCAGCATGGAAGTGAAGGACGCTTGAATGAAAAATATGCAAGTTCTATGGAGCAGATTATCAGTGAAGAAACACGGTAAAATCTAGTTTGTTGCCATCAACTTAGTTAAATGCATTGCACTCTCCTAAAGTCTAATTTATACTATTATTTTCAGATATGTTCACTTTGACTTCCATAGTATTTGCGGCCATGCTCATTTTGAGAGGCTCTCTCTACTTTATGATCAGATTGAGGACTACATGGAGAAACAAGGGTACAATCTTCAATTCTCTTTTTACATCATGGATGGATTGTTATGAATATAATTTTACCTTCTGTTTACAGTACTATTCTGTCTGTACTCTTTTAATTCTCTTGACATCATTTTTGAGTTTGTAGCCTCTGATTCTTCTATTATTTTTGGGATTAATTTGAACAAGGACAGGCGTAACCTAGAGAAAATGATATAATCTTTTGATTTTTATTCTTTTTTGAGAGGACCAGATACTCGATCTCTTCTCACCTTTCTGGAAGTATGGTGCTCACTGGTGCTGTTAGCCGGAAAATGGCCATATCATTTTTGCGAAATTTTCAATTATATGACAACCTTTATCTGTTTCGAAAAAATGAATTCTATTGAATAGTTAAAATGTGAGAGGAATTCCACCGATTGACAATAAACGCCCAAACCCAAGAAAATGTTTGGACAGTTTGTGATTTGTCCTGACACATCTCTGTCGATATACAATCTTTGAACAAGGAGCCACATTTTTTTAATATTCTTTCGGCAAATGATTTCAAAAGTGCTCACAAGTAAAGAAAGTATATTTCTTTGATAATATTCTAGATTCAATGAAATCAGATTGACTCTGGTGTACTTGAACGACCTTTTTGTGTGATTATAATTGTTCAGATCCTATTCTCAGCAATTCCTGGTTATTTTTTCGTCCTTTTGGGTTGAATAATATGTTTTGTCATCATGGTGATCAGAATCAGAATTTCAGATCTGTCTGTCAAAGTATCTGATCGGAGGGTTATTTGGATTAAAAATGGAACAAAATGATGTACTTATAAAATGCATATCCCGTAACCCTTTTAAAATATAAAAGATAAGACAGAATGCAATATTAAATGAAGGACTTTTTTACCAGGTTCAGCGTTAGTTGGACTGGTCAGATACAACTGCGAGCTGCTTCAAAGATCAGATTCCCCAACACCCCTCCTCCCCTCTTTTTTTTCTTCTCCCAGAACAGAAAATAAACAGGGCAGTGCTGATTCTTAGGACCATGACAAGTCACTGAACCGTGGTAACCTTAACCTAGGTATAGTTGTTCGCCAGGAAGATCATTATCATTCAGAGAACACTCGAGGTCAAATATGAAAAACTTAAATGTGCATACAGTCTCAATAATTCAGTACACGTGCATGTGTGACATCTCTGACGTCCATTTCGCCAGTTGTGTTATTGCGAAGACTCTGTTAACTCAACTCCATTGTCTATAGGTCTGTCAAGATGTTAACTGTTTATTTATGCATAGTTGAGGTATTTATCGAAGAGGAGTGATTTTTGACGGTTATGTCTTCGACATTTCACTAGAGTTTCCTTTGTGTTTCTGTTTCTCAGTGCTAACTTGATGGATATTCCATAATCACTTGGGTTCGTGGAGTTTCCAATTTTTTAATTCTTTTGTTCTAACACTGTCATGCTGATAATTTACAGATATTTTCTGTCAGACGCAAGTGGTACAAAAATTGATGAACAGCTGGGAGTTATCAGATGTAACTGTATAGATTGTTTGGACAGAACAAATGTGACCCAGGTGATGTAGAAATTCAGATCCATCGATTCTTTTTCCATTCAATTGAGAGTGCTACTCGTGAGTAATTTCCCTTGGTTTTTTATCGGTTCCTAGTTATCCACTACTGTATTGGGCTTAATTTTGAGTTTATCCATCAAACATGAATTGCTTTGGGTTTTCATCTGTCCAGTGTAGAAAAGTAGTTGGGTGCTGGATATAAAGGTTTCCAAAATATTTGTTTCCTCAACTGGTTCCAGAAGTTAGCAAAATAAGGCATGTCCAGTGTAGAAAAATGCAGATGTACATCTATATTACTTCTCTTTGTTCTCCTTATTACTGCTAAAATAAAGCTCGATGATGACAATGATGTATATCTACAACACCTCTCTTTTTTCTCCTTATTATTGATAAAATAAGCATAATTAGTTAATTATAAGCTCACGAATGAAAAGGCATCCACGTAGTTTGAATGTTTTTTGGCGGAGATCAATCTGAGGCTACAATTGTAGTTTGCTGCTTTCTAAGCGTCGATTTGGTTTTCTAATGCCCTCTCATTGTTGCTGGCTATTGCACTGTTCTCACTGAGGCTACAAGTATTGTTATGGTTTGCAGAGCATGATTGCAAGGAAAATGTTGGAGAGACAACTTCGTCGATTGGAAATTTTCAATGCCAGTGACACAATTAGTGCATATGAAAATTTTGATGCGAACTTTAAAATGTGTAAGTCTTTTGTAATCCAATTTAAATATGTTATGGATTTTTATCCCAAATTAAAAAACTGAGAGTATGGCATCTTACTTTTTTGTGGACGTTGCTGTTATTTTTATCACTTTTTATTTCAGCATGGGCTAACCATGGAGATGAGATAAGTATACAGTATTCAGGTACTCCAGCACTGAAAGGAGATTTTGTCAGGTACTCTATCTTTGTGAAGCTTCATGTACTGAGATCTATCTTTCATCAGTTTAGTACTAATCATTTGGGACTTTGAGTATGAGTAAAGCTTTAAACTGCATATTTATCTGCCATGATCTTTGTCTTCGTTCTTCCTTACATTTATTTGAATATCAGTAGATATTGCTCAAGTCTAGAGGCTTACGTCGATCTATTTTGTATTTTTTTATTCGTGTTATTCCCAACCTTTCTTCCTCCGGGAAAAAAATGAAATTATCTTGAACTAATGAAATTTGGATAGGGAATCTTTAGAAAGAGTCTTGACAAGATCTTTAATTTTTTAATGACTCTTACTATGTTGGATGAAACTCAAATCCATTGGCAATTTTTTAGTACTTATTTTTCCACTTGTTTCCCATAAATTTGTGATTATCAACTATATGCATGAAACATTTTAGCATGAACTAATGAAAATTGAGAATAAAAAGTCATACTATTTGGCCTTGCAAAGACAAATCAAACTGAACCAAATTGGAGATGACAACATGCGATTGGTTTTTGTTGGATACGATATTCAATACTTGAAGATTTTATATCATATGTGCCTCTTGTTGGAGATAATGCTTGATGCCATTTAGTATGCTGTTTTGTTTCACACTATTTGAAACAAAGATGGATCGAATTATTCTTTCTCTTTGGGTTTCTTAGGCATGGAAGAAGGACTATTCAGGGAATCTTAAATGATGGATGGAATGCTTTAGCTAGATATTACTTTAACAACTTCGCTGATGGGGCAAAGCAGGTACCTTAACTGATGTCAACCAATTTATTCTGATTCAAAAACCTTTTCCCCCACAGATAGCCATTTAATGATTGATTCATTTTAGTTTATGAATGTTCAAACTGTGTGGCAATGAAAAAAATCAAACCTCAATCAATATTTAGATAGCACCTAAAAGTTTGTTGTAGAGCAGCCTTTACTACAATATTCCCAGGCATTCATGTATTATATATTCTTGGGGGCTAGTTTCCGAAAATGTTTCCATTATCTATTGAATTCTTAATTGGGGTACTGTCTATCTCTTCAATAAGAACGAGTTAATTTATCCTAACCTTTTTTTAGTAAGGTTTGTTATCTACTTCCAAATTTAAGCATCAATTGTCTTGTTTTGAGTACTGATTTTGCAACTAGGAAGACATTTTCAATTTGCTTTGATTGTGATGCCTATCATTATCCAAATATGTTTAAATTTAAATTGAGCCTCAAGTCTTAGCTACATCTAGGCTACCAGATTCCGTGGGATAAGAAAAAAAAAATACATCTGACCTACCGGATTCAAATTGTACCCGCAAAGTGGACCAGGCTTAGGTTGTTACAGATACAAGAGGGCGAAAACTAAAGGCAGATATCGCTAGGAAGAGCTACTTATGAGCATTTTTTAGGCCGGTTGGCAACATTCAATGTCTCATTCTGATCTTCTTATGAGGGAAATTGGTGAGGCGAGCCTAGGACAACATATGGGGTTTCCTGCGCTAAGTTCCGATCTCCAGCCATCCGAGTATCCACATCAAGTTCCATTGCTATTCATCTCTTCCCCCTACAACCAGGTGTTCTCTCCTGCTTTCGTGTCTTCTTCCTTTCTGTTGCGGGGAGGCTCTTTTCATCCCCCAAGGACTGCTTCCTAGATGAATGAGGTCTAAGGTTTTAGCTCCTAATGCTACTCCTATTGCTGTTGTTACTGCTGTTTGGAATTGGCATCTTTTCTCAGAGGGGCCATTTCTTTCAGGAAGGTTTTTCAATTAAATGAATGTGCTTGTGTCCTCATCTATTTTCGTGGGAGTGTGGAACTAACTGAATTTTATTCTTGTCACTCACTCTAGTTATAGCCTTCTTATGTTTGAATGTAACTCACAATGCTTTCATTTTGTGGATAAAGGATGCGATTGATCTACTACATGGGCACTACATTGTTGCTGTGAACCGAGATATGTCACTTCCATTGCAAAAGAGAGGATTAGAGTCTCTAACTGTGAGTCCCCCTTTTCTGTCAAAGTTCAATTCAAATATTATGCAAATTTCTTGTCGTGTTGACATTCTGAACATTTTATGGCTATTTCCAAAATTGAGATTTTACTCGTTTCCTCGAAAATCATATCCGGGAATGGGAAATAGTACCCTCAACGTAGTGTTTAGCAGCTGTAACTGCATTCGGATAGCCAATTAACTGACCCATGTCAATGGCAAAATAGAGTGAAGCTACCTGCATCAAGTCTTATATTCCTCATGAGATTATTGGTTGGTAGCTTTATTGCTTTCAATTATGTTTAAACTCTTGTACTCAACGGTTAAAAGGAGGAAATTCAGAGCTAACAAAATGCTTAGTACATAGATCTGACCCAACAGAAAAAATGAGAAGATTACCATGAGGCTGACTGTAGGCGATGGTGCCTACGCACTGGTGGACAACAACTAAATGGGGTTGCAGAAGATGGTGACAGATGAGTGCTTATAATAGTGAATGATGATCACAGCTTTTGATTAGGATTGAGTGATTATATAACGGGCGACAGTTACAAATATAGATGATGATCATGGAGTGCCTGTGATGTTGAGTTACAATTACAATGATAAGTGATGATGTTAACATGCCTTTGATGGTGGGAGAAATAGTAGATAGCACATGATTGTGAAGGGTGCGCGTTGTTGGGTGGTATGATCATGATAATGACAAGCATCAATGCTTTTAATTAATCTGAAGTTGTTGGTGGCGTTAATGGGTGATAATGATATTTAATGTAACAATGAACAACCATTGTAATAGCTGGTGGGATTAAAAAGTGGACAGCCGCAGAATAGTATGATTGTGTAGTTGGGGGGGATGGTGGTGGTGATAGTTGTTGATAATTATGGCTGGAGTTGCTGTAGTTAGTGATAAGTTGTTGAGTAAAATATCACTGAGATGGTGGGTTCGACCTGCGTTAAATATTTAATGAGTTAAAAGATATCTTCATAGCCAATCATGAAAAGATTATGGAGCCACAACAGAATAATATCTCCATATTACATCTCCTTAATGTTGCTTTATATCTCCATAAATATTTCATGAATTATCTCACTTGAAGGGCAGATATGCTACGTTTTATTGTGAAGGAAACTCTTTGCTGAAACATAGGCATTATCATTTAATGTCTGCTCCCTTTAATTTTTTTCCATTATGGAATCCTTGATCTGATGGATCAAATTTCGTACTTGGCTGAGCGACAAGCATCAAACTTTTCTTGTTTTGACCAGAAAACTAAGGCCGAAGTTACGGCCTTTCATATGTGCACATATTATAATCGAATGCATCAAAATTTCGTGTCTGCAAGTTATTCTGCTTGAATGGAAAGTATAAAAAGGCACCTTATTTTTTCTCTATGTGCAGTCATTTCCATTGGCCTCAGCATTGGTTTTGGCTGGAGTTGTATTTGCTTCAATCTCATTGAGACAAGGTGAGATAATTGTGACGTAATGTTTCTGAACGATTCAATTGAGATAAACCATGCGTTATGGATTTACTTCGCTACTTCTAGCGATAGCTCTTTATTGATTGCTTTGTTGGGGAAAATCGATTTTTGTTGTTCTCAATTATCTCCGCATTTGGAATATTATTTGCATATAGCCATTTCAGATACATCGATATTTTTCCAACGTTTTTATGAGGAAAATTAGGACGAGTAGTTTTTTTGAAATGCCATATTTGGCGGATTTTCCTTCCCTTTTCGTCCGTATTTGGAATGCTACCCTTATTTTACAGGATAATGATCTGTGATGATGACAGGAGTTTCAATTTTCATCCATGCTAAATACAGATGAAGATGTATTTATCAGCTCTGACTAATTGTGTCTTGCTATATTCATTCCCAAAGCTCCAGGATGCGAGTCTCGTTCACCAACAAAACCTATAGTCTTTTCAATCATCAAAAGTCGTATCCCACAAACTTCTATCTGATTATCGTGCATAAATTTCCTTCTTCTGACAGTCAACTCCAGGACCTTTTGAAGATACTCACGGGTACAAACCTGGGTTCTAGATCGCTTTATGAATGGTTGTTTCAGAGGACAGTTTGGACATTTGTCAAAGCCTCAGTGTTGTCCATTCTGACTGTAGATGACCAGGGTTCCTTCTCTAGTCTCCACCACTTACTACTGCCAAGTTTCTGTCATCTCGGCATCAATGTTGGTATGTCTAGGAGTTAGTCCAGGCTTTGATGACTGAAATATACAACCACCTGCTAGCCTATGCACTTCACACGTTGACCTTTTTGCACTGTCATATACAACGATGGGCATTCTATTTCTACACCCACCATCATTAGAGACGGAGAGGACTATCTATTCCTTTACTAGGCCAGTAAAGTGGCTTGATGAACTCATTAGTGATGCCGTTAGAATCCGAACGTGAATCGCAGTGCCCTTACCCATTCCTGCTAGTATTTTCCCAGGAGACCATGTGCTCGGACCCCACATTACTACTAAACGAGCGACTTTCAACCTAGCTTTCCCAAAAAGGTGACATTCTTGATGACGCCTTTCCTTGGTATTGTGGTAGATAATACACAGAATCTCTCTCTCTCTCTCTCTCTCTCTCTCTCGATGAAAGTATGTCGAGGGAATTCCTTTTCCCCCAGAGCTTTCAAGATATGCATCGCATGAATCACCTCATCCGCTGAATCTTATTTAATTTTGCCATGGCCCAAGTATTACATCTTCAGTTAAACAATACTTCATATTTTTTCGTAATTCTTCTCCACTGCATGCTCGCTCACAACTCCTAACTATGAGCCTTGCCTTGCCTTGTCTTGCAGCACGCCACGACATTAGCCATTTATTATTTTCCGTCGCCTGGACGGGCGTTAGCTTGGGCGTTATGGCTTTTGTTAGAGCTAATGGCCGGCTGTTCACCAATCGCCCCCGTCTTCTTCAACGCCGCGTTTGATGGCAAAGAACCCAATAAGCTCTTCAACATCCTCAAGTCAACTGTCCTGGAAAAATCCCTGGTTTGGAGCATGGATTTCTATGCATCACTCTTTTCTAACTCCAGTTTCTTCATGATGTGATCATCTCATCATTCTTTGATTCTTTAAAACTCTGATCTACTATTTTCTTGCTTTAATACTTGGAACTGAACCCACCCACCCACCCACCCCTTGTCTTTTCCACTGTTTACAGTTCTTATGCACACCTTTTATTAATATGGTGAGAATAGAAGAGCGGGGGCAGATAAAAAAACCCTACATTTCTATTATTTCGGCTTCTGGGTCTGGGATCTTTCGCCTAGTTTCACCCCTCGTTTGGCAATGAAAAATGGTCAACCCTTCCCACCTCTTCTAACATTCATGAGAGAAGACCAAAGTGAGGTACTTCTAACGCCGTCCCAAGCCCCCCCAATGTCTGTTTTATTGTCGCTGGCTACCGCGCGCGTTGGCGCAGCGCCCCGTGCGTCGGCGCGGCACCGGGGATTAGGCTCACTGCCTACACTGCTGAAGCATTTCCCCCATGAAAATAAGGTTCAAGGTGGGAAGAGGATTCAGGCTCCAGGTTTCCTTCAGTCCAGTAAAAGGGCACCGCCATCTGGAGGCGGCACATATACATCACTATGAACAGGATGTCCCCTCGGTGCAGGTGCAGGTGCGGGGGAAATGATATTCTTCCATGATGGAAATTAGAGAGGGCGTCAGTTGAGCTCGGTCGAGGTTTCCGGCTCTTCAGACGACGGGCTGCTCTCCACAAGAACATATCTTGAAGGTGGCCCACAGATGCTCAGCAGCACCTGCAACGATGGGGAGGGAGCCACCGATCACACAAAATTTTCCAAGGCCGAGAGAGGAGGGGGCGATCTCTGATACTCACCGGGAGGAATACGAGCCCGTGCAGGAACCCAATGAGAACCAGAGCCAGATACATTTGAAAATAGTAAACCTGCGTGCAGACGAAATCATCAGAAGGCGACGTGGGTTGTTCATAAGAAGACGAGATTTTTGAGTCTTTGAGTTCACAAACCACGAAAATCTCTGATCGTGAGAAACAGAGGACTATGACTCCCACCAGCTTTGTGAGCGTGATCCCACTGCAAAAAGAGAACAAGAAGCCACATCAGTAAAGACATGAACGTCGAAAGGGGGAAGAAATATGCGCTCTCGAACAGGGGTCGCCTTGCTCTGCCAGCACCAACGAGGCGGCCCTGGATTGCTTTAGAAGCAGTTCGAAGGCCTTTCCAGTCTCCTCGGCAAGTACTAAGGCCTTTCCACTTACTGATGTCAATATCAAATACATACGTGAATCTTTATGATTTTTTTTTATAAAAATCGGTATAAAGCTCTCGTTGAAGGAAAATAAATAGAAAAATAAAAGAATAAATTCAACAGAACCTTTTCAAAAGGAACCATAAAAAAAGGGTAATATTGCTTTACCTGAAGACTGAAGCACCCATGGTGCTCAAAGCTTCCTTTGCACGCTGCCCACGATTCCCTCTGCTAATCTGTAATGAGAAAGAACAGCATGAGCTCCTATCTAGCCACCACACACTCGAAGATTGCATTGGAAAGAACAGTTCTTGAGGCATGGTATAAGCCTGTGATAGCAAAGTTTCTGGAGTTTACGACTCTATCATTTGATTATTCCAAAAGGAAGAGAAATCTCTGGACGTGCGGCAGTAAACACTCAAACTTTGCACATAACTCTTGAAGAATACCTACGACAATGAACAAAGAATCAGACTGCCTCTATCACATACACTGTCAGATATCTCCGCATACTCCTTCAAGGTCCTGATCAACATGGGGATTGGGTTTGCCGCCCAACCCATGGTTGGATTGCATGGGGGGTTTGGAATAACAAGGGAGAATTCAGGCAAATCAACTTGATTCATCTTTGAATCATGCCAATCCATATGTGAGACGAGTCAATTTTTGGCTGATCCGTGAAGAAGTGGAACAGTCAGCATCACCGACAACAACTCATGCATAACGCTGCTACTATCAGAGGCGCACATTCTCCAGAATGGGAAGAAGAAACACGCTATGAAGGTGCATTTTATGCAAAATAAATGTGTGATACTCGACTACAGATAACCATGATTTTAAGTACCGACTGTCTCATCCAGCTAAGTGGATAATCCCGACCACTTTCTCAAGGTATAGCCAAAATCCAAGATACCATAGATATGACGAAAAAAGGGGAAAAAAAAGGTTCCAAGCACTTACAATCTTTCTAAATTTTCGCAAGAAAAATATCTTGGATGCACAAGAACAAGATCTAATCCCTCAAACTTCAGTAAGAAAGGAAAAAAACGAGAACAAGTTCTAAACACATCTATCCATTCTCCTGTTCTTCCATTTCCTCTTCCCCATCATTTGCTTGCCGCTTCTTGCTAGATCAATCTCATTCACAACTTAATTCTAGATTTATTGTCAACGGTGTGAATAATATATTTGTGATAACCCTGGCATTGAAATTTTACTGTTAGCTTATGCTCTTCAGTCCACATTTTTCTATGTTTTAATAAATATTCTAGATGAAGATAGCCAAACTAAAAATTATGCACATATGCATATAACTTTCTATTCACTCAAGGGATCTTGGCAGTTCAGGGAGGGGACTCCAAAGGCTCCACTCCTCTTGAGAATCCATACATATCCCTCATCTATTTATGGACACAAAAAAGACACACGAAGCAAGGACATAATATCAATGTTAAAGAAAAACGCTCTTCTTGTAACTTAGGAAGGGAGAGAGTCTGTGAAGCTACAATAAATAATGCGAAAGCCAACTAACCGAAAAGGCATGTGCTATATGCACACAGAACTCCACCGCAATCCCAATCGACATGACAAGGTTCACAATAGAAACCGCATTCAATTGGATGTTCAAAATAGCCATTACACCCTGCAAGGTACGAATCTATAAGAATGATGAAAACAACAACACAAACAAAAAACTACAGGTGAGAATACAAAACAAACTCAAGAAAAGAGTCTAAATTCTTTCTTTTTATGAACATTTTTTCTAAAAAATGTTCACCAGTACGGATCTATTATTTTAGTTTTCCTCATTTTTTATATGATATCTCAGCCTCTTTATCGGGGTCATTCCACAGTATACAATAATTGTCCTCACGGTTACAATGCCATAGGCTTTGAAATAAAATAGCATAAAAATATTCACGTTAGCAAAAAAAAATGTTCCTTCCTGATTAAATAAAACATGCCATCTTCCTCAAAGTACATCCGCAATATAGATAAGACACTGGACACATGCAAATGCATCCAAGGAACGTAATAAGAGAAGTGAAAAAAAATAAAAAAATAGAAAACAAACAGAATGAAGGATGAGAAAGACAATATTAACCGACGGTAAGAAAGATTCAAGCTTCATTAATAAGATAGATGTCAGAGTGGAAAATTATAAGACAGTTCATTGAACCCTGAGTTGGCCCTCTTCGTCACCTCACTGGCATTTTGAGCATAGAACTAAGTGAGCCTAGTTTGTCGTCACAAAGACAGAGTCCTCTCAAGATAATTCATCGTATACCTGGTGGTTATTGCTACAGATTTTGAGGGAACTTTTAAAAATGTATAACCTAGTTGGTCCTTCTCAAACTTGACTTTCTCTCCGTAGTTGACGACATTTCACGCCTAAAAATACTGCTATCAGTCTAATTATGGGAATCACACTAAAAATATATGCGACCATGTTATAGCTAGAAACAAGTGAAAAAAGAAATGTAAGTTTCCTTTCTATCACGGTGGTTGTGCTTATTTCATCAAATGTTATGGCCAATATTGCAATAGATTATATCTTCTTCTAATCAATAACCCAAAATTGTTTAGACTATGCGGTTAGAAAAGACTTGTAGAAATTGAATGACCACGGTGAGAGGGGTAAACAAGCATAAAAAAACATCAGAAATTTACCATTATATCGATGACGATCATTGCCAGAACTATCAGAATTATTGCTGAGTTCCATAAGCTGAATCCATTAAATCAGAAAAAAATAGACAGTGCTAAAATATAAGTAAGAAGAAATTACTCTGAAAATACCGAAACACAACCAAAAGTCTAGATCAAAGAAACAAGAGCATGGAAAAGAATGACAACCTGCAGGTGATAACCCAGCAAGCAATAAAGACAGCACCTGTTGAATCGTCATAGATGACGCAATATTAGAGGTCAGTCGTGTAGTGCAAGCCAAAGGTTCAAGGAAAAAAAATCAAAATGACAAAAAGTGGAATAGTTACACAAAAATTACTTGGTCTCATAAAATTAAAATTTCCAAAGAAAAATATGAGCTTCGTCTCAGAACATTCTTTCTGTATGTGTTTCAAATTGACCTTTGCAAAGATTGGTACAAGATTAAGTATATTATTTCTTCCCTACTAATATTATTCACTAGATTTTTCAAATTTCCTTCAAAAGTAGTGGATCTTGGGTCTTTATTGTTTTGTATCATGAAGCTATGAATAAAATTTTCTGATAATTTTTATTAGAACATAAATCATTGTTTTTATTATGAGTGAAGAGAATAAATGGAAGTCATTTGGAAGGACTTCTGGAAAAGCTTCATGTACGACAAAAAACTTCAAAGTTTTTTAAGGGTTTCCAATTCTTTTCCTTTATTTTCTCTCTTCTCATTTTCTTCAGGGGACGGGGGTGTCTGAGTTTTGGACGGGGATGCTCCGACCTATCTCAGTTAGTGAAGAGAGTTCCTCATATGAACATCCGACGAGCTTCAAGGGAGCAAGGTCGTAGGATTTTTTGTGAATAAAGAAAAGATGACATGTCCCACATTGTCACTTCGAAATGTCAAACATCAATCCATCACTCACCAAAGCAAAAAGAAAGGGAGGAAAAGACAGTGGGTGCGGCAGCAAGACATACACATTCTGATGTGCATCCATCGTCTGAATAAGCTTTAGACCCCAAGAATCTACAACGGAGCTGTATTTTTCTAAGAAAATGTTTTGTGCATCCCTACACTTAGGAGACCATGGCATGGTGTGGGGAAATTGGAGTCCTGATTTGGTTCCAAGTGAGAAAATACAAAAAGAAGGAACCCAGTCAGCTTGGCTGATTTCAACTGCATGGACTCTGTCAGTGCGAGGTAGCAGGCAGATTTAAGCTAGACGTCTACTCTAGGAAAGGCCAAAAAAGACGAAGAAGAGAAGAATAAGAAAAGTAACGCGAAAAGAACAGAGATTAAAAAAAGGTGTTTTCTACTGCTGCCATAATGAACCATTGTTTCCAATGGCCACTGCAACTGCTTAGACAGGATTCTTCCACTCACTTCTTACGGAACAAGATTGGCGATTACGTTTAAGGGGCTAAGGGGTATGTGATTTTAAAGCAAACAAGTTTTAACAATAATGTATAACTATTAAAGATATTTATACTCATTCTACTAAAATACACTCTTTTTTTTAACCTAGGTGGGTTTTCTAGATTCGAATCCAATCAGGGATCTAAAATGACAATCCGGAATCTGTTTACGCCTTTTTTATTATTATTATCGGAGTTGATCGAGTCATTGGGTATATTAGAACATATAACTCATAAAGAATCTCAATATTCAATATTTCATCCTTTTCAGTGCTTCACATGACACCCCTTGACTTGGGTTGTAGGTTTAAGAGAGATTTCTCTGTAGTGCAGCAGATAAACCCAGGGTTGCATCTTTCTTCTTTACCTCTTCATTCCATCATCAATGTCTTCAGGATTCTATCCTGATTATGCCATCCTTGCTAGAGATAAAGAACGGTTGAGAGAGCGGATTACATCTAGCATGGTTTTATGGCACCAGGGATGTAAATACAGTGATTCAAGGGAGATTGCATAAGTTGAAAAATACTTTTCTGTTTTTCCATAAAAATTTCAGTAATCATATGGCGGAAAAAGTCATAAGCAAGGGTCAGAGTCAGTCTTAAGCCTACTTGTCAGAATAATCGATACAGAAAAAACCTGTACTGCATGATTAATATCGATCTCAGAAAGACAAATTTGAAGGATCATCTGACTTGTTCAGGTTTAAGACTACAAACCAAGGCCAACGGAGATGTCAATTAACGCAGTCTTCCATATGTCCAGATACTGCTCGAAATATATATAGAAAACTGAGTACGGAAATATTTCAATCTGCAAGAAATAGCGCCGTCAGTGTGGATAGGAATGATAACAAATGTAAGTAGACGGACAACTTGTCAGACAAAAAATTTCAAGAATTTTTTGTATTTTCATTAAATGTCCCTTGTATACATTTGAAATAGTAAAAAGAATAAAATCTTTAAAATCATAGATCGAAACGGATTTTGCTGACATGGGACTCAGCGGTGAAACCAGATGGTAGCGAGTGGGAACAAACCTGAAGAAGGTCCGTTTCCAATCATTTTCAAAATTTCTAAATAAATTTTCAGATTTGAATAAGATGGAAAAAGCCACCCAATTCACATGGTCAACGATATCCAGAAAATATGGTTTTCTACATCTCACGTGCTCACAGTGGGCACGTTGGAATTTGAGACAGATGAAAATACATATCTGAATTAAGGACATTCCATGTTGATTTAGCTAATGATGGTTCACAATCCTTTCCTAGATACATTAAATTGAAATACATCTTGAAAGCTATAGTGAAAATACATATCATTTTAGGAAAATTTGAAATCTTCAATCTTAAAATTTTAATCCATCTAATTATGGGTGGTGGTTTCTTAATGAAAACATGGAATGAGCATTGACTTGATGTCAACCAAAAAACAACTTTTCAATTGACCTACGAGAAAAGACATCTACAGAGAAATGAAAAGAACTTTTGTGATCAATCTTGGATGTGATAAAATTGAGAAAAAACTCAAACTGAAATCTGCACAAGAGCCCCATAAGCGATGTATGGGAGAGACCATCCCTCCTTTATGTCCCAGTGCCCCCCGAAAAAAAAAAAGGTTAGAGACTTCAAGTGGTCATCGGGCCGCTAATCTGAAGAAGTCATTTAAGATACTAAATAGATAGACTATTTCGCATGGTGGTCACGATAACAGAATGATTTCTAGCCACCAATCTCACCATTTCACTCACGTTCCACCTTCCTCAAAAGAATTCACATTATATGACACCCATGTGAGCTCATCATCCATCTCGTAGTCTAGCTGATTCGAAGTAGCCCAGACCAACACGACTAATCAGAGAAATAACGACACAGCTTTCTTATTACATGCATCAAATAACCAAGAAAGCATTGCTAAAAGCGCAAAGAAAAAGCCTAGTCCAACATCATCACTAATTATTGATTGACTTCAACTTGTTCCTCTTCCTGTAAAGATTTCCAACCTCTCACTTTCCTGAGGATAAACAACATTCACCATTTAACGGCTCATCTCGGGTTTCAATGATCTTCCAGGGCATACCCAAGTAAAGCCCAGGACCAGGATAAAGAGCATCGTACTAGTATGACCTATCAATGGTACCAATCAAATGTGATATCTAATCATATATTCACATTCAACACGTGAATGTGTCTTTACACAATCATAAAATACATAATTGAACAAATGCGAACCATTTGGATTAAAAGATTACGTCATATTTCAGAAATATGACAGTTTGACTTCCAGAGGAAATTTAGGTTTGTACTGAGTACTGCCCACGGATCAATCCATAAGCATATTAGTTCCAAGCAGATTGTACGGAGAAATATGCAGTCCTTGTTATTCTATTGGAAGGTAGAGGTCTCCACCACGAAGGGGATTCCAAATTTCCGCCAATGGCTAATTAGCTCATAGGAAAAGATCATGGCAGGAAATCATTTGAAAACATCGGCTTTGGTTTGAGGTATCAAACGGACATGATAAAAGAAAAAAACAAAACTGAGCATCCAAAGAACATTCACCAACCTTCAGAGAATTAGAAACCTTAGAACTGAAATCAAGTGCAGCCCTCATAGAGTCGACATAATCAACCTGCAAAATGGTCCTGATTTTAGAACAACCAGATTAAAGTTTTGCAAATCAAATAATCGTTTTTACCTGTTTATTAAGAGGTGTATGATAAGTGCGGAAGGCTGATGCTTGGATGATACCAGTCTCATAACCTGATTAAATAATAATCGTGTCAAAAACGAACCGAACTTGTAGTCAATTAACTTCGACTAGATATGACTAACAGTATCTGATGGCATTTTACAAAGCGCGTAAATGGGAAGAAAAGATATGACCATTCAAGTCCACACTGGTCGTATAGGCTCCATGACCACCCTTGGCACAATCAGCTGACGGTAACGCATTGAGAAACCACGGAAGTTTTTCCCTGAACTGCACTGTGGATGGGCGACTCTTTTGTAAATCTGAATGAAGAAAACACTGAAACAGGAAACAGTAATTCAGTGCATAAAGTAATAAGAACGAGCTTTAAATATCATTATTAAAAAAAATCAAGATACAATTGCAAGAAGATGAATAGTACCGTGGTACAATCTTTGCATACACCTCCTATGTCACATGAGCCTTCATCCGGAGAACAGCAAGGAGGCTGCAATGGGGGAGAAAATTCTCAAAAAAATAATGTAAAACGGAAGAGAGTCATCAAAGAAGATCTGATTTACTTATCCAGAGAAAAGATTTATCCACTAGTATTTACATCATCAAAATTAATGATTTCAAAGGATTATTTATTTCATTTTTTCACAATGACCTTGCTTAGTTTTCTCTTTCCGTTGTGGGATTAAGGTCACGTTTCTCTGATAGACCAACTATTGTGTTGAATATTGAGTTATTTTCATCGCTGGATGTCAAAAAAGGTGAAAACACATTTTCTCATTGGACATCACACCCCAATAGACAAAAACATAATTGTTCCTATGAGCTTAAGAGATAACCTGATCGTCAGGGGGGCAATAACTCCCATTTGTAAACTTGCGACAGCAACCAAAAGCCTCAGGTGATAACCAAACAAGAAAGTCATCTAGCCATGAAGCAGCTGGCTTAGCAATGTAACTTGACTCTGGCGCCAATGATGCTTGTGATATCTATAAGAAATAGATGTAAAATAAGAAACATTACTTGGAATCATCGAAGTGTGCGTGTATATGTGAACATCGAATAAGGCATCTATTCTTGCGTCAATTTCGATGCCTTTTTCCAGAAACAAAAGCATGTCTCAGGAGATAAGGCATTTTCTAGGACAGGATGTGGGATGCACCAAAAAATCACAGCAAGTTAACATACAACATCTAATTGGAATTATGGTGCCACATATTTAATTATTTTTATCTTTTCAATTTAATATCATGCATTTTTCAGAAGGAAAAAGAAGTTACCTCGTTCAAAAGAGATCCTGAATCACATTGGCTGATGGAGCATAACAGGTTCGTATGGTTTGACTCCAAGCTACAAGGTGTGCGAACTCAGTCCGAATATTAAAGGTGCAACCGATGAAAAATAATACATTGCGTTGTCATGGAGGGGAAAAAAAATCCAGTTCAGATAAGTCACTTCAAAATGGCAAAAGCTTCTCATCGTTTTGTGCTCTAGCTTCCATCTCCATTAATCGTCACTGTTTCCACGATCTATGACCAAGGAATATGGATCCCCTTATTTCCCTAGCTTTTATCTCATTAATACCATATCAGCAAGAAAGGAAAGCGGCGATTTCTCAAATTGGAAAGACATTCCCTCAATGTCAATGTGTTCCGCACTTTCATCACAATTATGATTTTATTCATGTAAATCCAACACAAGTGCCTACCCTCCTCTTATCCAACCCCCAATTGAACCAACAAGTTCCTAAGTTCATCTCCTGAGAAATTATGAAAATTTTTTCAACAGTTTTCTCATAAAATGGCGCCAGTGCTTCTTTCTCTAGGAATTTCCACCTGTCATTCACTGGCTGATAGAAGACATCATATTTCTCCCCCTAGTTCAAACACAATATGATTTTTAATAAAAACTCATAAAACAGGCGCTGGAACACACAAATCAGGGTTTTTGTTTTTTATTATTGAACTGTTAACGATAGCATCATGTGAGTCAGCACCTTATTAGTCTGCCATTTGTCTGTTCATATTCTCCTAATGAAGGGAACTTAGTAATGAAAGCATTTGTCAAAACTGTCAAACGAGATATTCCATACACTTAGTACCAAAATTCAGGGTCTCAAAATAGGATTCACAATTCCCATCTCACTTATAGAAGATTTCAAAAGTGGATAAAATCGCTCAACTCAATTACAGAGCATACTGTTCCCAAAATTAACGGGCAATCTATGAGAACCCCCCAACTATTATGAAGGGCAAGCATTGACAGCCAGTTATCATCATTCGTCTTCAAAGGCACTTGCAGACCATAGCATTATCAATTCTCCTAGCTGCACACTTTGGACCCATAGACATCAATGCTTCCACAAATTTATCTCTAAAAACCATCATAATATATCATAAATTTATATCCACTCCCATTTCACAAGATGGATGAAATGGTGCAATTTCAGAAAGATTTCACTAAGATTAGACAATTTCCATATATTAGTGAATTACAATTCAAGACTGACCAAAATTTTGGTGCAATTTCAGAAAGATTCAGAATCCAGATCACCTAGTGCAGATCCATCAATTAATCCAGTCTTTAATTTTCATACATACATTGAAACTTCTCATGCCATTTATATGCTATAGTGTTATCCTCTTTCCTTTGAGTTTCAGATCTGAAATTCATCTCGTGAATTTTTTCTCGATTTCTCTTCCACGTAACTAGAAGATGGCGAGAGCACTGACACGAGATATAAGGCTTCTCATAAAGAGATGAGAGGCCATAGAGTTTAAGTTAATATGTCATCATCCTTCAAATACAGCGTTGAAAATAAATAAAACGTTAAAAAAATGCAATAAAATAATTTCTAATTTTCTGTCAATACCTGTAATTATAGTCCTTCACAACAAAATATAATGGCGGTCCTACTCTAAGATATTTAGCCAGATCATTAAAATAATCCTGCAGAGAAGGATGCATAGGTTATGCAGCACATTAAGACAAAATGTGCTAAAAAATGACGAATTCAATGTAACCTGAAGATATGAATCTCTTGGAAGGGCGATCTGCTGCTCCAAACCAGGTTGAATTCTCGTAGAAAGAGCCTACATATTTCAAGAAAACAAGACAACTGTTATCGAGAGTAACGTATACTCATATAATAATAACTGAAAACGATCACGTTAATAATATTCTTTAACAGGATAGATGTTTAGAAGTTCATGACAAAGACAATGCTAATAAGGAATCAGCATGAAAGACCCTAGAGCATAGAATGACTTCGTTGCAACTGTATTCCGCAGGAGAAATGCTCGTTCACTAATAGTTCGTCTGTGATGTTTATTTACATCATCAAACACTTTACCAGAGACCCAAATGGCGAAAAAGAAAGAAATCTGACGGGGTGGAGAGTAACTAATCAAAAACTGAAAATATATAGTTAATTGGGTTTGAGGTAATTTAGCAATAACGAGCACATGAGAAAAGAGACTCATCCATATAATATTTGAAGCGGAAATAATATTTGATATAGAAAACTGAAAATGTATATCGATGTCCGTAATTCATACATGCACTTCAAAAAATGGGAAATAACAACTGGAAAAACTGCATTTCAAAAAAGAATAAACACGAAAAGAAACAGTTACCATACATGTGAGATAATGGAGAACATAGTTAAGAAAATTAGAACGTATCATTGCACAATGGCAGAGTTCATAACATGCTATTCTATGCTGTGTAGGTAACATAAGAAAAAAAAGATTTTAACAAATCACATCAGTACAGGCTTGGGCAAAATAGGGGGTATCATAATGCATAACAGCTTACAATGCTAGCAAATGCAAAACCAATAAAGACAGCAACAACGGCAATTTTGACACCCAGAAACCCCAGTATAGGGGCATGAATCTCCTACAAGTCAAACACAATTGAAGAAGTTAGAAAAACAAAAAAGTGAAAATTCATGAAATAATAAAAAACTCTTCGAGATTATGATTCTAAAAGCGTCTGATGATAAAAAAGAGAAGATGTTACCAAGTTTACTACGGATTATCCACATAAGAAAATAAGGAGGCGAGATGCCAGCAAGGGGATAAAAACTTTTCTACTTGCAAAAAGCTGAATAGAAAATTTTAAAATAGTAATCAAGGAGAAGAGCTGTATAGACGAGAAAGAAGTCTTGAAAAATAGCTAGGTATATCATGTTAACAAGCACAGTATGTATTTCAAATTGCATGAATATCAAAGAATATAGAGCTAAAACGTCAGTTAAAAAAACAGAAAACATTGCAAGCAGTGACCTAAGCTATAGCTTAGGTTTCTCATATACTTATTCTTTTCTTACCTTGATTCCATTCCTACTTCTACCTGAATAGATTTTCTTCCTCTTTCACTTTTCTTTCTCTCCATATCCCAGAGGTTTAGCTGTAAATGTTGCTTCTTATGTTCAGTAGTCCAAAAGGCCACTATTATTTTGCTTTTCTCATATTCTATCAGCCAGAAATGTATAAAGAGCAAAATCAGAAAATAAGTGTAGATCGATGGCAGGAAATAGAAATTTTAGATGGTATAAATGAAATATTTATCAAGTCTTCTTTAAGCTTCCAAGTTCCAATTTTCAAGGACTCAGGCAGATAACCAGTTTGCAATATTGCATTTTGATAAGCATATATGCTTACCAATAACTAAAAAGAAGAGTCATTGCAGCTCTCATAACTGGGAAGGAGACAAGAATTTCCCAAAAAGAAAGATCGATCAGCAAAAGATGCCCTTTTGAATCTCCTCTAGATTTTGAGATGCATCATTCTCATAGAGGATTTAGAGTAAACAGAATTGGAAACTTTTCCGCGTCTTTGAAATTTCGATAGTTTCAGTTCCAGTCACACAAATTCCATATGACAATGATCACATGCGGGCACAAAAATTTCCCACAAAGAGGATGCTAAAGTTGCCGTTAAATTTTATAGATTTTCAGAACAAGAAATTTACGAGTCACTCTGGAAAAAACTAACCTGAAGAAATTATGATAAAATTCGTTAATACGACATTTACTTTTTTCAATTATCAATTTAATGACTTCATGAATTATCCAAGTGAATCAGGTTGTTTGCGCATGCGCTCATGCGTATGTGTGCATCCTCCTGATATTGTTACCGATTTTTTTCCTCCATCTGCAAATACACACTTTCCCTCTTCTGCCCAATCATTTACGCATAGTACACCTTTTTTCTGTTCCGTTGTCTTCTTCTTGTCCGCTCTTCCTTTTCTCCCACTTCCTGTGAAGCCTGATCACAGTATGTTTGTTTTGTTCAAATTAAGTATGTTGCAAGGATCTGAGAGGAATAAGGCCAAGCTAATCCTTTTTTGACTCCCACTGTTCAATATTTACATAAAATCAATGGAAAAAACAGCATAAACACTTCAAGAGATAACATAAGATTCACCTTCATGTAACGACCAAGCAGTCCAAGGTCTCTCACACCACGATCTACATTGGAAAATCACCCAAAAAAAAATTAAAACAAAGAACTTAAGCTGAAAACCCAAAAGATTAAATAATGTGAGGTTTCTCTTTAAAACTACGAGCATGATCTTCAGCTACCTTTATTGTGATCACCATCCGAAGTAGGAACTTTTATACAGGGGAAGCAATCGATCCTGCTGTCCTCAGCTCTCAAACAGTCAAAAATTATCAATGATACAAAAGCTGTGATTTGCAGTAGGAAGTCCAAGAGAACAGCTAATGCTGTGGAAAATATGAAATGTTTAAGTAACCTCCCTCAAGAAGCATTTCAGCAAATAAAATTGATAATGCCCTCAGATCTTAAGAGTCACAGGTAAACTATAACAACAAAAAAATTGTAATCTGCGATATTAGTCCATTTCCAATATTCCATATTCTTGAAATAAGTAGCTGCACATGTTTCTGACAAATTAAAGTTGAGCAAAAACATATTACCGGCAAACATTGAGAATACACGGCATGCAGGCATAGGGATAAAACTTCCAACAGCAAATGCTAGGACTTCGGCAAGACTAGCAAGAGTTATGGATGGCCCAACTTCAACGAGTGCATTGCTTATCCGTCCCTCCAAAGACAAATCCAATGGCTGACGTTTGACCGCATGTACGAGGATACACATATTATCCACTCCTACCTGTAAATGACAAGATTTGCTTCATATTACTTTAGTTAAACACTCTTCATGAGAAAATAATAATTCCATTGCATTTGAAACTGTAGAATATGAGATAGAACTATAGAGATAAGATCAGTATTATTAAAATCCATCATCCTGATCTGTCATACCAAATGATACAAATAACTTCAGTCACCAAAGAATCTAAAAGATTAATTGCTGTTTTCTATTTCTAAACTTTTCAAAGAATCTAATAGCAGTATCATTATTAAAGGAACTGTATCAATATTGGCAAAGGTAATTCATTGTCACAAGACGTTTTCCAATTTAAATGCATCACAAATGAACATATGGTTATAACCAGATATTATTATGCAGACAGTACGACTTGATCTGTAAACAAAAGCCAAGGATATTTAAATCACCTCCCAAACAGAATATAAAGCCCATATGCAAGACCAAAAACCACAAACTAAGGCAGTGTATGCTATTCTACACAAAGGTAAAATATACTAGTAGATCCTATTATTTAGGGGATATATTACTACTTGTCTCCCTATGCAAAGAGGTACACAGTTATAACGAAAAGATGTTTTTCAGTATGGCGGAAATGTTATTTCCCTCTCCTGAGGATTCAGAGCAATCTTTTTTTTCAGAGATAATTTTATGGATTCAGTGTATAAATTTTTTTTTCCCAACTTATCGTATGTTACATTAGTTTTTCAAAGACGTGGCCTTTCATCAACGACCAATATTAGCCCTATCAAATTTATAAAAATTAATTGACGAAGAATGGAATACATCAGTTGTCAAGGTAGCTAATTTGTCATAGGAGGGGCATCTTGCAGCAACTTATAGTGAAAAGTTGAAGAAAGAAGAAAGTGGATCACATATGTTATAATGTTATGCACTTATCCACGCCCTTCATACATAGGAGTGATATCTGAATTCAGCATGGATCAATCTTATTTACTAATCATGATGAGTTGAAATATATTAACGTATAAAGTAGTGTGAATGGAATGTATGTAAGATGGGCTGCATAAATAGAGCTGCATATATCGCTAATTTACTTTCAATATGAAACACAATTACACAATTATCTTCCCCGCTCTTGCACATTAGCAAAGATATTAATCTGTTATAAAGACTTTAACAGTACTTATGCTGGAACTGGCAGAGTCCATAAATGGTAAGAAGACTCCTTTTCTATTAAGGCCGGAAGCACGGAGTATTGTCTTCATAGAAGTTTTGTAGAAGTCTCCTCATAAAGACTTATGAGGGGGAGTCTTGTTGCAACTGCTTGGAAAGGTTCTTTGTACGAAATATTGTAGAAGTCTCCTCATAAAGACTTCTACAAGTATTGTCCCGGAGTGTAAGGTTCTGTATCTAGAACCTTCCCCGTGGATCTGTTATAAATAACTGATCCCATGTCGTGATGTAGAGCATTCAAAAAAAGATTTCCTTTCCTGATATTCAATAGAAGTTCCGGTTTTCCTCCCTTCCACAAGGTATCTTGTTCTTCAAGACACAGAGGAACTGAAGGGAATTCAACAATTAAATCCTCCAAGCAGTTCACATACCAAAAATTGTGGTTATTTTGTTCCTTAAAAGTTTAGATTAACTCAAATATATAATGAGCCACTACACTACACGGTCCTCTTGTATATTCCAGCTTTCATTTCATGCTCTACAAGACTCTTTCATATCCATAGGTGTGCGATCCTTAATGCCTATTTCACAGTGAATTTACTGCGGCTATGTGCCTTTCCAAGCAGTTGAAACAAGACTTCTTTGAGGAGAAACAATACAAAGTGCCCTCATAAACCCCGTATAGACTAAATGTTAACTAAAACCTGAGATTTTAATGAATGATACACTTACATAATTCAGCTAATCCTTTCCAAATAGCGATCGATGGATTCCATGGGCATTAAGAAGCTCACTAGATTCTCTGGATCTCGAAATCAGCGTTAATCCCAGTAGTGTCCCTATATTACTATGCACAAACACATTGATGTAACGCTGAAACATTCAGGATTTTTTTTTCTTAACAAGATCATTACAGTTCCAGAAAATGACCAAATTCATATGAGCCAAGATACTAGATTGTGCCTTGACACATCTCCTAGCATCTAAGCTAGGTTCCATTCTGTTGGAAACACATAGGAAGCAGGGCTGTTGTGTGTAATCCGTATAAACTCCTAATTTTTATGTCGTATTTCGCGAGAAAATGGACTCTTTCTAATTTTCCTCGTCCTGAATGCAGGCCATTAGTCCCTACAGGGGACGCCCTTTTACCTTTATCTACTCGAAGGATTATTAACGATTTTCTTTACCCTTCTCCTTCACATATAAGGAATTTTTTCTTTATTTGGCAGAGAGAAAACAAATTTCATCTGTCAATAACGAATACCAGTTTAATAACAGTTCATTGAATAATCCCACGAGTTAAAAACATAACAGTTCTTGAAAAATCAATTTCTATTTCATGCTGGCGAGAGTTGAATGACAAGATATTTGTCACTGATTAAGCATGATCACAATTCATTCAAACAATCTTCTGAAGTTCACAGAGGAAAACCTGACATCCTATTAATAAAGCTGATAGTATTGGAAACAGTGAAATCAGACATTCTTCACTCTGATTAAATTTGGGGGGAATTTTGACGTTCTACCCATTAATTAGGATCAGAATTAGAAACAACTGCAAGTGGGTCCAACCCTGTAGAATTATTAGATCACGCCCATTTACTATTATGATAGAAGATAGGTTAAACCTCTCTGAAAATTCATCCGTGCCCAAAAAGTGTACACATTGATCTCTATCACAAATGCTTGCCATCTATTTTCTTTTATTTATGGTCTAACGTACTAAGTTTCTCATCATCATCTCTCGTAATCATCACCTCCAGGTAAGGCTCCAAATAAGTGGATTCAAGGATGGATTCCCTCATTTACAATCAAAATATACTAGAGCTGTATGGTGAAAATATTCTTTCATTACTATTGGATGACAAAGATGAATGTGAATCCTACAGTGAACAACAGATAAATAAGTAATCAGTGTCCCTAAAGAGCTTCATGATAGAAAATATTTTTCCTGAAAAATGATAGTGCTGAAAAATCATTAAAAGAACTGCATAACTACATAAAACAATAGGCTAACACCACCAGCTCCAAGCCTAACGAGACATGGCAACTGGTGTATGTTTAACACTTAAGAATGTAATCCACATGGAACACCAACAATCTACACAAGGCATCTCTACTTCATATAAAAAAATAACCTATAGAGCATTATCATCAAAAGAGTATATAAAGAGCATATAAAGAGTTCATGTACATATCACATGGATAAAAAATTCTATATTTGACTGATAACTATAATGCTGGAAAAAATACAGCTAGAAAAAATACAAGAGGAAGGGCTGAACTTACAGCCAAAACTAAGAAAGGGATGACTTCCATAATGATAAGCGTAGACTTGATACCAATGGCACTATAAAAGCCAACAGACCCAAGAACAGAAACTATGACAACCAAAACTCCTGATAAGCTGAGCAGAACCTGGAATGGCATACAGTTAATCACAAACGCTTAAACAAAACGGAAAACGAAGTATCTACTTTTAATGAAAACCTAGGCCGCAATCACAAGGCTGGCATACAGCTGAAAGAAAAAAGGTTCGCAAAAAACGAAAACCATAAATATTTATATATAAGATCAGCTAGCCAGATAACATCGTTTGTCATAAAAGAAACAAGCACAATCAAACAGCTCTTATGAGCTAATCTATATGGTGATGTATTGATAATTTGCATCACAAAAACCTGGAAACATTTATTCTTTCTACAAACAAACAACTTCGAAAAATCAAGCGTTTGTCCAAGAAATGACCCGTAGTTTATGTTACATAGTGCATGCAAAGCAACTGTGTAATAATTAACTATGGTGGTGCCAAATGTTATTCTAATGTGCATCTTGAATCAAGTTTGTGTTAATCAGAGATGAAATTCATAGAACTGAAAGTTTAACTAAGGCATAGGAAAACACGTTCATGTCAGAAATGTGAGTGGAATTCAACACCTTTCTTCTTATTTTTCGAATAAAATATAACTATTATAGAACTCAAACAAATAAATTTGAGATATGATGTAGATGTTCCAAAGATTAATCTGAAATGTCTTTTGAAGATAGTACATTTACCTATCTGAGAAACAGCGTAGTTGATCATATATTCTGTCATAAGAGTAATGCATAGTTGTAACGTCCTCACACGTCATGTCTCATTTTTTATTTTTTTTCCCACACCCCATGCACCATACTTATGACAAAACGTTTACCATGTGTACCAAGCATGTACCAAATGTCACAGTACAGTAAGTAATTAACTTTATTATTTGAAATTTTCATTCAGGTATCTAGCATCAAACGTGACATGACTCTTAGTTTCTTCAAGAGAGAAATACTAGTACTTACACAACTCTTGTATTGAAACGCAGTAAATTACAAAGAATAAACTGAGATTTCAGTTCGGTTTTTTAGAGGTAATTTTCCACGACTATATGTTGTGCATGATTGAAACAAATCCCACAAAAATGTAATAATTTTGGATAAAGGGGAATGATGAGCAAACAATGAAAATCGTGTACATAAACAAATAGATCGATTAACCGGTTCAAGAGTAAGCGCTGTTGGATAGAAGACAGGTATAGAATCCGCTGTGGGAAGAGAAGACCTAGCGTGATAACTCACAAAATATTCAAAAGTGTGCAACTTACTCGTGACATAATCAACACATTAAATGATTAACCAAAATTCGTGTTGTACTTCAACCATGACCATTCCCGTACATAGACACAGCAATACTACGAATTAAAAAACAATTAAATGCGGTAGATGTCCTTTGAAAATTAAAATACGAATTGGCTTACGATTCTGACTCTTCCATTGGATAAATAAACATTAGTTTACGGAGTTACCAAATACTAATGAGAAATTGCGAACACCACTGTACAACAATGTACATTTTTGACAGTCAACGTAAATTACACCTCCTCAGTATCTATCACCATCCTAAACTATCTAATACACCACAAAAGCGTAGGGGTTGTTTCACATCATATGCCTAAATGTTAAACGGCTTTGAGCGTCACCAGGAAAAATGATTTTTAAAATTTAAAAGTTGACAGAATAAACAATAAAATTGATTGTTATTCGGAAAACATCAAATGAAATAAATATCCCAAAAGAAACTCAGTAAATATCATAAATAAAATTGGGGAATATAAGAAAAAATTATAATTCAAAATTGATATAGCTGTGAAGGTTTTATCAAATACGAAAACGAAATACATCTGGGGAAAAAAAATATATAAATGTGATATAAGGTAAAGGACATTAAGAATATTTCGATGATCTAATGTCATACCTTGGAGGAAATAAAGAAAGATGAAGGGCGAGGAATACCCCCAAGTGCAACGGAAATGTAAGCAAACATCACTAGATAGCTAATCTGCATCAGATATTGGCATAGTAAATAGTTCATTCATAAAGGTACTAGAAAAATACGAAAGACAGAAAAAATGAACGGTAAAAAGTAAATCAAAATTAATTATCACCATTATGGTCAGCACATCAGCTGTACTTTCTCTTTTCAGTTCTTCCTGTATAGAACTTTCTGAAGAAAAAGAAAGTGAGAGATTCTGCGACTTTACCATCGGCATAATCTCTTCCTGCCACGGAACTTGGATTAGTTTGGAATTAACAACTTGTTCTCAGAAAATAACACGGCTAAAAAACTGACAGATGAAAGAGAGAGGAAAACATATCATGCAACTGAAAAGTATTAGAACATTAAAAGTTGAACATAACAATTTTACCTTCATTCCGAGAAACATGAAAAAGTTAAAACAAGCACCAGAATAAAGTAAAAAAGAAAAAACAGCAAAATCTAAGTGTATTTGAAACTTTTTATGGGAAAGTATCTCCTTAGATAAAAATGAAAGCTTATATTTCATCCATTTCAAAGAAATGCACATAAGAAAAGAAGACTCGAATTTTCAACCCACATATGCACCATAACATAAAGAGATACCAAAGATTTTCAATCTAGATGTATATTACCAAAAAAGCATGCCCGTAGCTGCACCCTGCTCTCTTATTGCATGAAAAGTGTGCGTCAAGTCATCAATAGTTTTTAAAAGATTATAACTACGTTCATTAGTTTATCCTTGTTAACGTATCAACTAGTTTATCATTGATGGAGTTAAAAGCTTAAAATGCCACTACAGTGTATTCCATTGACATTCGCATTATTTCAAACTATGCATCCAGAGACAGATTTTAATAGCTTTTCCCTACAGTTTATCAACTAATCACTAATTATCTCCCCACGATGTATAATTTTAAAAATCACTCTCAAACTTTTTAAGAGCATCTAAACTTTGCATCATAGCTTTTTGCTCTAGTGAGGGAGATGCTCTTTAAAGAAAAAGATTAGTTTAAAAAAATGGCAAGTGAAGTTTTTCTTTCTCAATTGAACTTAATATAATTTCAATGCCTACCAATCCATCCTTCGCAAATAGGCCAATCACGCAAACTAATCACCTGAAAGTGTATTCGAAATACATTGACAGCATATTGTCATTTTCAAAAAATACAACTACGTGAGCCCATGTTCATGTTCGGTGAATATCTCAGTTATCAACACCAGAACTCATTAATATTCACTTTAATAGCCATGCCAAGAAGAGTATGGTGAATGGAAACCAAATTACTATACCTTCACAAGATCTATGAAGGCCTTTTCCCATGCTACTGCTTTTCCATTTTCCTGACCAGTCTGGTCAAGCACATTATTAACTGGGTATGTTATCACAAAAGCAGTAGCCTGACAAAATAAAGAAAAAGTGAATAATGAGAATTATAAAGGCCGAAGTGTATAGATTAATTCGCGATAAATAGTCAAACTATCTCAACAATCATGATCAAATTCAATGTATATACCTCAGAATAATTATTCCCAGAAAATCCTCCTAAAGCTGTACTAGGGTCAATAGGAGCCTGAAATGCACTCAAGCATGTCGCTGCTGATGAAAAATGCTGAGAGGCAAAAGTTTGAAAAGGAGAAAATAAATCAGACATGATTCGTTCTCCCAGAAAATAAATTAACATTGCACAATCACAATTAAAACTGATATATTAGACATTCGAATTATAAAACCTGCAATGAAAGTTAACCTAGCTTATCAACGAGAATGGGACAATTTGAATCCGAAGGAAATACAGGCAAAAGTCAAAATATTTCAAGTATACCTGAAAGCAGTATTCTGCATGTTCTACACCTCCATAATCATCATAATTTTCTGGATCCATCTTAAAGTACTGGAGGAGAAGACCGAGTCAATCAACAAAAAAGTTTAAAAAAAAATTTAGTACATGAGAATGAAAAAAGTAAAAATGTCCACAGCATTCAACGTCTTAGGACAGAAGTAAGAAAGAGAAGGTTTCATCACACAATGATGACGAGATAAATGCCTACAGCATAGATAGGCTAAGAACAGCACAAAGACATCAATTATATACAAGGAGGAAAAAGTCTTCGAGTTATCTATACCATGCTTCTTTTGCATTCGGTCTCAACATTGTTGAATTTTTCCACGAGTCACTTTGTCAACATGTTACAGGCTAACTAAGTTCTTTAACTACATAAATCATATTAATTTTAAGGTTTTTAGGCCATCTGATATTCAACCACTTGACAATAAGTGAATTTATTATTGCACCTGCATGTACTTTTCATAATCATTAATGTAGCACAATTCTTAACAGACCTCATGTAGAATTCAACTTTTGAGTTTTGTTACAGACAACATAAACAGGCTACATTCAACTCAAAGAAAATAATCAACTCTAATATCAGGTTCAAAAATACTGTGTCATACAATTCAGAATCAACTGGCAATGGTGGTGTAAAATTATCGTAGTAACCACATATTTTATATCTTTCGTATCTAAAAAAACCATATTGTTAATCTTCAAATGTGTACTTCATGCTACGTATACTTCAGCTTGTTCCCCTTGAACAACAACCAGATTCCACCAAACCTTCTACCCTCCCAATCTGATTCCTAGACAGTACCTCTAACCACCTCCCCAAGTTCAGATCACGCAGATCCATTCAGATGGAAGCATTTCTTGAAAATTGTCCCACTTTACAATTTCCCCACTGACTATCACACTGAGAAATTATAAATCACCATATCAAGTCAAATAATCCAGGGCTAGAAAAAAAAAGCAAGAGAAATCAAAAGCTAGTCAATAGCAGAAGAGAACAATCAAAATATCCCTCTACTAGACAGTAATTTCACAAAAAAAATGAACCTCTAAATTAAAATTCAACTTCATGGGAAATTCCAATTTTCGATGTTCCTAAAAAATGAGTGCTCAGAACTACATCAAAGAAAAATTATAGCGCATTATATTAAACAGTTGAACAAAGAAAAGAACACAAATAGGAAAATAGAAATAAGACCTGAAGAACACTTTGAGTAGCACATTCTTCACCCAGTGGCTTCAGGCATATATCAGTCAGTGACACAGTAGAGCCAGAGTAATTAGCACGAAGTCCATCAACCTGTAACAAATGCATTCGGATGATATATTTCAATTTTTAATAACTTTACTAAATATTTTTGTCTTCATATTAAAGGTATGTGCAAAGAAGAAATTTTCGTGGCTACCTTCTTCTGTATTTTAAATAACAATTGTATGTTTTCTTCAGTCACAATGCCTGGTTGCTTGCTGTGCTCTGACTTCGGAATGGTGGTCAATATTAGCTGCAACAAAAACAATAAAAAAGCCAACGTCTCAACTTGTCAAAATAAGCTTGGGTTGCTAATGTCCAACACTATGGTGCTGGAGAAGAGAAAAGATGAAATGGACAGAAGTACACAAAAATACTTCTAAATTCAATGTTCTAGAGTTAATGTTGGCAAGTATTCCTCAAACTTATGGAATGTATCATTACAATCTAACTAACACGATGAGGACATTCATCATTATAAGCACCATAGTTTCTTTCGCCAGGGGGATAGCACCACATATTTTCGTGTCAATAAAGGTAAATGATATTTAGTTGTATCCATTCAACTTCTAAAAATAGTCGTACATAAAACCAAAGATGTATATCAAAATGTAGTAGACTCTAGTCCTAGGCATTCAAAATGGCAAAATCACCCCCTTCGTCATTATGCATCATTATTGCCCAACCTTTCACCTTAAGAAGAAAAATCGAGTGATTGTCCCACACATTCTAAATGATTCCAAAGGGTATATGACGGACTGATCATCATGCTTATGCCTCTTTTCAATCCTTTTTATGATCATCTTAGGCAGGCACTATGTTTTTGCAAATACCAAGCATCTCAGACATGTAGAAAATTAAGGGCATTGCTTTGACCATGGAGAAAGTTAGCATAAAATCTTCAAGCACTCGCTTCATGTAATTACCAAGATCTAATAGTGCACCCACAAATCTCTCATTGGTGGTTCTCAACACATTAAAAGAAGAACGGATAATGATTTAAATTTCATAAATACTTCAAGATGTTACCGTGATTTATGGAATATAGGGTGTCAAAAAGATGATTATGTAAGAAAACAAAAATACACAATAATCCATTCTCCTTTATTAAGCAATGGAATTATTCTAAGAACTAATCTCTAGTTAGTGACCTATGTCAGGGAAATAGGCAGGAAGACCACATGGCTACAGTAATGATATGCGTTGATGTTAACAAGCCACACATTCTTTTGTACGCAATACATACAGACCAAATTTTTGGTCTTGAAAGAATAAATCATGGCTTCATATTACCTGTTCAATTCTATAAAACGGTGCAAGATGACTATCAAAATATTCCTTCTCCATTGCAGCCTTACTGCCTGGGCCAACCCACAGCTGCAATCACCACGAATCAGAACAGTTAACAAAAGTTTTGTAAAATATTTGAAATAGAGTCATTCTGTTCCATTATAAAACGAAGAAAAAAAAAGCTTCAGTTTTATTTACCACAAGACTCATTTCAACATCAAGTCTGACAGAGGAACTTTCTGAACATCAAAATTACAAGGAAAAAGAACCCATAACCCAAAACCGGTCTCTCAATTTATCTGATAGAAAGAAACTAATTCGACTATAGAACCTCTAAATCTCAATAAAAAATCCTATAGGAATTCTGACTAAATAATTCATATCAGATTCTTTTGTGAAATACACTGGTTCCTGCTAATTCAAAGATCGTCATCCTAAAGGGGGGCCCTCATCACCAAATATGAAATTATGATGCCACTCAGACTACAACACCACTGAAAATCAGAATCATCTAAGGACTCAATAACAAAGAAAAACTCCGAAGTACTAAAAAATCGAAATGAGATGACAGCACAACAGGTGTTCAGGTATGATCCTTGCTATCAATATTCAATCGCAACTAAGAAGCTCAAAGTTCCTGCTTTTGAACAGTCAGCCCATGAAGTAGGCTTCAGAGCCTGGGATGATTTTCCTCAATTCCTATCAGTTCATTTACCTTCGACTTGATGCCAAATAAAACTATCTTATGCTTAGAAATGAACGACTGTTTTCTTGATCTTATTATTGTAATTCTTCCTTTCTCTGTTAGTCACTTGTCTTTCATATTACTGTCGTAGATTGAACCAGACCGATCTAAACCAGTCAGGTTCTCTTATGTTTACTGCTTGGAATTAATACCAACTCATTGTAAACCGCTTTTTTACTGAATTACAAATTAGGGTTCTCAGCCTCATTTCTCCCCTGTTCTTCATGTACCTCTGCTGACAAAGGCTGGAGACGACTGATTGGAAGAGGCCGAGAGGGTGGTACACTAACTGATATCTTACTATGATTTTAGTACGATTTTTCTCCAAATTCTGGGTTTTCCTCTAATTAGCCCCCATTCAAAAAAAAATCATAAATGCCAATGTCAGGAAAAACGTTTATTAAAAAGTTAATTTTTTTCATAACATTAAAGCTAGAATAAATAGCAGCATACCTTTTCAGGCCGTGTTTCTACTCTAAAACGGATCAGACCCAAGCATAGTAGAAGAGGGATGGCGAGTGAGGAACAAAGAACCACAGTAGGGTTCCTAGCAACCCAAGTGCCATATCTCCTACACATGAGTACATTTTGGACAAAGTCAAGCAGAATCTTCATCATTCAATTAAAAGTAACTTGGAAAGAAACATAAAAAGACCTGAAAAAGCTTGATATGTAGCCTTGCATAAAAGTTGGTCGCAGAACCTCTACCATTTGAGGCTGCTCCAATGCCTAACATCCACTAACGAAAAAAATGAGCAGGAACAAACAACAAGCAGACAAACAGGAAAAAAAGACGTGTAGTAAGAAAAAACAAAAAATAGGATTAAAAGCCCGTCAATCTTCATCACGCTAATAGGCATAAATATATCATAGAACGGATGTTCTATGTACCAATCTTCATTTCAAATAGATCCTGAATTTAAGAGCATGTGCTAGTTTAATGAGATGAAGAGTCTTCATGCCTCAATTTATTGTAAGATATCAAAAAAATTGATGATCACATGGAATATAGATTAGAAGAAAAATAAATGAGGAACTAAATAAAACTAGTTTTTCTTCTGGAATGAAATATAATCAGCCTTTAATTATAATCCTCAAAGTTTCACCATTTTTTCAGCAGTTAACGTTTATTCCATTGTCACATCTCACTTTTTTAAAAGTTCATATTACCACATTCATTCCAGAAGTATTAAAAATAAATTCAGGGATACAGCTCTTCCACATTCATGCCCACTATTTCCACCCTGAAAAAATAAAAGTTCTTCCAGCTGAGCAACTCTCACGCCCAAACACACTATTGTGTCACTTATTCCAGATGACCCAAAAGGTTTGACAAAGAATGAGCCAATGAGTAACTAGTTCCACTCCCAAACGTTATGTATCTTGCCCATGGCCATAGGCATGTGATAAGCCTCCTATCAAGACATACCCAAGAACGAAGAAGCTCCCAGCTTCTATGGGTCCAACCGCTCCACGTGGATATCATCAAGCATCCACATGCAAAGGGGAGGGCTGAGGGTTATAAATAAGGGAAATTAGTTGTGTAGGGAGCAGGAAAGAGACACTTGGTCCTAAAAGTTTCCGGAGATCCTCCACCTGTCTGTGGAAGAACCGATTCGGTCTCCATGACTCAACCCTTTTCCCCTAATCCCTGTTTCCCGTTCTTCTCAAAAAATCCTACTCTTTCTCTGGATCAAGGTTCCTACCAGCATCATAGCGAGGATACTTTGCCAGACCTGACGTGAAAAGCATATGTTTGCATGTAGTTCACTGCCTGTTGAGAACCAGTTTTCCTTTCTTCCTTTCTTTGCGTTAAAGTTAGTTGGGCCCATTATTTCTTGGATCCTGTTTGAACCCACTAACCTATTAAGCCTTGAATCAATTTTGGGTCGACTAAACTTGTACTGTTGAGTCTATATAAACGGCATTCCTTTTAGGATGAATGAGGAGGAAATAGAGATTTCTCTACCGTTTGGCCGAGGGTCTTTGAGCCTCCATCTATCTTCACTTTTCTATCTCAACACCAAAGGTTTTCCTGGTGTCCGACTTTCTCCCTTCATTCGAAGGCTCTACTTCACTTTCAAACTACTCCTTACTTTAACTATTTCCATGGTTCAAACCCGACACAGAAAAAACACTACATCTCTCTGTCTGTGTGACTGTGAGAGATAACCAACTCTGTCACAGTCACACATGAATATTTCTGAATTTTCATTCCCTACAATTGGTTTTTTTGTGCACATACTATATTTTTTCTAGGCAGGGAATGAATATTCAGAAATATTGTATGTGTTTCCACACTGTGCTGAATATTCACATACATGTTCAAAACGACCATATGTGGCAGGCTATAAGTGCGCACCCATTAAAAAAAAAGGAAAAGAGGTCTCAAATTACGATAGAATTGTGAGACTCTAATCATTTCAGTTTTCTATTCTGAACTAGAGTGATTTATTCTGGAAAGAAAAAACGTATTGAATCTTCAGACGTCCAAGTGGAAAAAATGCCTTCTTCGTTAGCTATATCTTTGCTAATACTTTTTGTGATTTCACTCTCTGTCTTTAAGCATTTCTCTTCTCATCTTCGTTGTTTCCCCTGCCTTTCCACATTTTCTAAGATCAGGACAACACCAGCGAACATTAGCTAAATTTCCAGTCTCAATCAAGGTGCTCTAATCTTTAAAATGCTGCTTTCCATTCGGTCAGACTATTCACTAATCTTTTTACTCTAACTTCCATGAATTTGTTCGAGACCCATAAATCTATTGACCCCTACGAACTCGGGTTTCCCAAGATTTTCAGTTCCCACCAACCATCAGGATTGGCCGATTCTCATTCTTTGAAGTTGTTTACCGGAAACCCAATATTTTTAAAAAATATATCTGTAAATGTACACGAGTCGAATAAATTTCAGCTTGAGTTGCAATTGACTACACGTCCAGTTTAGATCTGAACACAGTTGACCATTCTTCCACTCTTATTTTTTAATGATTACATGGTCCTTACCACTTTCAATTAAACATCCAACAGGTTTTCATTTTTTTTAAAATTGGTCTGAACACCTATCAATTTGTGTCAAAAGAGAGGAGGAAATGTACGTGAAAGTGTCTCTCTGAGCTCAAAAAAATCCCTTTCTACAACCACTATGACCAATACCATGATGGTATAGGCCACATGAGCAAACGGAAATACAGTTCTTTCACTTGCTTAACCCTGATTGTCAGCCAACCAAGATTCTACAAAGTGGAATTGAGATTGTATGTGTATGTGATGAGCACAAACCTTTCTCATACTCTCTTTATTTGCAAGTTGCTGTCATTTGATGCATACAAGACCAATCTCAGAGATAATATCTAAAATAATATCCTTGGTTTAAGTATGAGAAAAGAAACATGAGACCTAAAAACATTTTGAAATATCTCAATAAATTATCCTTTTTTCTGACATAAAACAGAAAGCACATTCTATTATCACTACAGTGATGCAGAGAAATATCTCAAAAAACCCAAGGCAAGATCAGAAAGAATAACATAAGGAAACAAAAAAAGAAAAGAAAACGATCAGCCACAATTTATAGGATTAATCTCTTCATAGAAAAATAAGTATATCTTCATTTATGGGTACACTAACTAGGCAATGCACAAGAATCATATCACTGTATTTTGACTAAAGTGATGCACCTGCATAGGACCTGATGAATATTCCTTCTCGTCAGCTGAATGGACCTCATCTGGACTCTTGTCTGTCAATAAAGGTTTACTTCTTGGTGAAGTAACTGCTCTTTCCCTTTTTCTGAGTGAAAAACCCCATCCCAGGAATGCAAAAGCAAGGGCAGCGTACAGTATGGCCAATGAAAAATCTAAGCAATTGATCTGCGAGGACCAAAAAGACATTTGAATAGCAGTTAAAACAAGCACGGAGCCGTCGTTTCTGTGTTTCAGCTTTTAATAACTCAATTGAAAATAAGAATTGACATTGTGCCCACGACGGAATTACCTTTAGAGAACCAAATTTTATTGAGCATTTTCGCTTGTGGTGTGGGGTAGGAGGTGTTTGATCTGAACACATAGGAGAAGAAGGACAATCTCCACAAGAGCAACCAAGCAACGAATTGCCACATGAATAAACGGGCACATCCATAGGCTTTATTGTAGATGAATCGGGAACAGTTGAAGGAAAATTGATCGCATAAGGGGAACCAGGTTCACCAAGATCTGCTTGCCGACCAATGAATGCAAGCCACTCTGTAGATTCACAACCAAAGGCAGAGGATCAATAAATTAAGAGCCATAATGAGTATTGACCCAAAAAATATGGAAACTAAGTTACATAACCTGACAAATATTTTCCATGATATTTCTAGCGCCACCTAATTTGACATGAGGATTACGAAGTATTCACAAGATACAGGATGATAAATCATCAATTAAAGTATCAGATATCATTCTCCCCTCCAAAGAAGGAAAAACTGGAAATAAATTCCTCACATTTGGCTGACTTATGTTGAAAGACATCTATCACGGTATCATACTGTTAGGCCCCAGTGGTCCGAACCTACTCTAGGCGCAGGAGAAGGGACCCATCAGTCTGGCCCACCCTGACGGCAGAAGACCAAAACGCCCCAACCACAGATGAAGAGGGAAATAATTAGAGAGAATGGTAAAGGAGTCTTTATGATGTAAGGGGGATTAGGACTGCGAAAGAGGAGCGGAGGAAGGGGAGAGAAAGTAATCAAGGGTAGCTGCGGCCGAAGGAGAGCAGGGGACCACTCGAACGTCCCCCACCAGCTCAGGTTTCTTCAGGGCCCAGTTACATTTCCTACAGCTAATCTTCAGTTTTCCCTTCTCTGTCTCCATATTTCTGCGGTCCTCACCTGTCCAGATTCGGGGCCCTAACACGTACAAATCCGACAAGTTCTACAGTAGGCACCAGAATAAAATAAGCATGCCACCAGCTAAACGAAAATGTTAAAAGAAAGAAAGAAACGATTCAAATTAAAACCACAAGATTGTAGAGTGCACACAGTACCGTATGGAGTGGTAACTGCAACTAGTGTTCATGACTCCAGGTGCATATTATGTCATAGAACCTCAAAAGCTATTCTTAGAGGTAACATGGCCCCTATGAAAGCCAAGTAGGAGGAAGTAACATTTTACCAAAACAAAGCGATAGAAAGTAATTACACATCTATCTGGCAGCGAGTAAAAAGAACATTAACTCGAACAGTTAGCATATTGCAACTGAAACACTGTTCATCCGAATTGGTCCCTTTTCACTCAATTTCAATGGGTTTATCTGACCCGATTGGTCTCTCTTAGATGCTTTGGCAGTGTTTCAGAAGTATATTTTGATGTTGCAGGCGGAAAGATAGCCAAATAAAAGAAATTAAGGAAAAGGAGAAAAAGAAAAACAGGTATAGAACAAGTAAAGAAGAAGAGTGGAGAGAAAAACTATTTTTAAAAATCTAATTCACATACTATTTTCATTTTTCTCATAATAATGAATTGAAATCTGTAAAACAAAACCTTTTAATTTCTACATTTTTTACTTTATTGGTTTCTTCATGCTAAATTTATTAGGTAGCTAACCCAAACTAATTGACAATGAGCAGAAATCTCTAGCCTTTGTGTAAAAATAAATTGAACATTCTTCAGTCACTCATTTGATAGAAACGAGCTAGACTTACGTAATAGCAATGACAATGTACAGCAGCAGCAAACGACCCACCCCACCCAACCCCCCATCAAGACTTTACAATTCCATAGCTTATAAGCATTAAAAACAATACCGACCTTTGTAACTTTCAGCACCACCACCAATAAATTCCATTGCGCGGGTATTCATGGTACCAAACTTTACATCCTTGCAAGAGTCATACAGTTCCTTGGAAAATGCAGGACTGATATAAAAATCAATCGCATCAACTGCCGAAGTGTTATTAACCTAGAAAGCATGAAAATAAATGGTTAACATGCAGATGAGATCAAATTTAACAGGCAACGCACTGCAAAAAACTCCACCAAATAGTCGGATGTTAAAGGCAGAAAAGCCCCAAAATCATAATAGAAATGAAAGAAGATCACTCAATAATGTAAGTTTCCATTAGATATCATAACTGATTCTGATAAAAAAAATCTAGCTTGTTTGAACTTAAATAAGCAAAAATCGTGACTGGCACGTTTTTCCAAAGAGAAATTTACTTGATGCGGTAACAACTGAACAATGTTTGGACACTGACATCGCAGTGCTTGGAAAGAACAGAATAGCTAGAAAATTACAAACGCAGTGCACAACTTCACGGTTTACAGTCTGATAGAATGGTGGGCCGAGCACAAATCACCAGGAGCTCGAGCAGGATGACAATTGTTGATACAACAGCCAATTCTTAGGGCAGATTTGAAGAGGAGGAATAGAAGAATCTTTCACTAAAAGAATTTAGCAAGACAAACACATGCCCACAATTACCATCCTGACTTATGAGTATGATTTGGCTACTGATACAGAAATTTCCTGGGAACAGGTTATTTTTCTCAGAAATTTCCCACATTTCTATACTTTTTCGTTTTCACAATTCTTAGGGTAGATTTGAAGAGGAGGAATAGAAGAATCCTTCATTAAAAGAATTTAGCAAGCCAAACACATGCCCACAATTACCATGCTGATTTAGGAGTGTGATTTGGCTACTGATACAGAAATTTCCTGATAACAGGTTATTTTTCTCAGAAATTTCCCACATTTCTATAATTTTTCGTTTTCACAATTCTTAGGGCAGATTTGAAGAGGAGGAATAGAAAAATCCTTCACTAAAAGAATTTAGCAAGCCAAACACATGCCCACAATTACCATGCTGATTTTCGAGTGTGATCTGGCTACTGCTACAGAAATTTCCTGAGAACAGGTTATTTTTCTCAGAAATTTCCCATTTTTGTATACTTTTTCGTTTTGCATAGGCAAGGTTGATGTAGATAAAAGATAAGTCTATTTATAAGGGATTAGTTCAGTTCCATGGAGTTGACATCGCATAAGCTGTATGCTGACCAGTTCAGACCCTTCAGCTTAAGCAAGACGAAAGTAACCAAGATGCAATGAGCATTATATACATGCATATATATATATATATATATGCACACACATGTAAAAGAATTATTCGTCACAAAAATATTCTTGGTTAGACTGATCCATTCTCGATTTTCTTAATAGAAGCAATTTGATATGTCAATCTAGACGTATGTTTCATTACATCTCAACCAGCAAAATGTAGGACAATAGTATGGATGTGATTCATCTTCAGCCTCTACAACAAGCCGTTTATCAATGATGGAATATTCTCCATTTGAATTCTTTTGAACATCTGTGCTCATATAAGTCGATCTCATTATCATATTTCAATCCCTAGTACTCAGTTGTCCTGGACACACTTTGATGCCTGGAGCAGCATTGTAAGAGAAATTAGGACTGAAATTACAAAACATGCGTGATACGGAACACTAAAGCATTTACAATAAGACAACAAACACTAACAAAAGAAAAAATAGTTAATAAGTCAAGAAAAAGAAGACCTTCACTACAGATGTCACATTGATGAAAAGGCTTTGGTTAGGAGAGCATGAAAGTTCACAGAAAAGATTTAGGAAGTTCCTCAAGCATGCCGGACAACCTACAAGAAAAGGAATTGCCTGGAAAACATGTTATAAAAAGTGAGTATACAGAGGAAACATAAACAAAATTAAAGCTAAACATATACGATAAAAAAAGGTACATGTGAGAAATGAGAAGAGAGAAAAATATAACCATCACCAATGAGATAATCTCTCTTAAAGTGTACAGCCTTGTAATTGCAGAATCCAAATACAGTATCTCCAGTAACTCATTTTTTGTAAAGTAAAGGTTAAAGTGGAATGAAGGAATATTCTCTACAAAAGATGATCCACAAAATATGGGTTACTAAGGAGAAAATAAATCAAATGGGCCATGAAAGGGAACAAATAATCAGAAATACAAAGGTACCGGAAAATCTAGCAAGAACTTAAGAAGATACTCAATCATCATTGTTAAACTACAAAAGGCAAGTTGGGATGTTCATGCATGTGAACATACGCACACTTGCACATGCCAAGATAATAGAAGAGGCCTTGTGAACCATATTCATTTCAAGAAATCCAAGCAAAACTAATAGACTATAAGTTAACCAATCAAAGGAAAAAAACGACCAAACACAATGGCCCCTATCTTGCTTATCTCAATTCCAAGAATTATTAGATACTGTAATGCTATCTATGAAAGAAGACAAAGAGCTAGGAAACAATGGCGTGCAGTTACAAACTACACCTATATTTAAATCAGTTCCAAAATCACTGTAAGGTAAAAGATTACTTCATAATCACATCCGTTTCTGTCCATAAATACTAAAATCTGGCAAACAAGTCATCACAGAAAATAACATGGGTAGAGTATTAACATCACAACAAAGTACAATGAATATTTTTTTATAAAATAAAATATACTTCGTATCAATGCTAGATATAACATTATATCTAGCTTACATTTGAAGTGAATAGTTAATGTGGATTCTTATGATATCAATGCTCGATACATCTACTCCAAATGGCCCTCGAATTCACGTTTAGATACCTGGCAACCTAAATGTTTAAGGATTATGAATCACCTTCTCGTCGAGTCATCACCTCGGTCACTCCTTGAATACTATGTTCCATGTAATGCAAAGTATGGGCAGAAGTTTAGAAGAGTTCAGGAATAGTTCCAAAAATTTTAACAAACACTTCATTGTATTACGGGTTGGATTATTATTTCCAATCTATGTAAATAGGTCCACGAGTCTCACATACTAATACTTCTTCCTGTTCCAGACCCCACACCCCCGCATCCGAAATTATGGTTGCCCCCCTCCGTCAGTGCCCACCAACCCTTAGTCCTACTACCAGTTTTACCCCTATTTACTCAGCTATCCGGGCCTAGTACAAGCCTCGAGAAAATGAACAGCCCCGACCTAGTCCATTATTATCTATAATCAATTTGTCAAACTTCCATAAAAGGTTAAAAAATGTGAGTAGAAATGGAACAAAAAATGTTAACGGCAACAACCTTGTCCATGCTTCAAAGAAAAAGATAGAAAATAAAATAATTTAAATGACATTTTCGAACATTAATTTATACTTACTTGCTGGACTTGGGTACGTAATGTGTCAAACTGATCTGCTGTGCAGCAGATATTACCAGTGATTTCAGGGCACAAGCTTTGAATCTTTGAAGAAAGCAATTCATCAGGCTGAACACCGAAAAAAGTTAATAATTAACATTTTGACCATGATAACGATAAGTTAAATAATGATACGCATTAACCTCAATAAAAAATAATTAATATGTGAAAACTGAAAAAATAGTGAAAAGTTAGGCCGCACCTGAATTCTCCAAAAGTTAAGTACAAATAATGGATTGAGCCATAGATCATTTCCAATTACGAGTTATCCATGAGAGATGAACAAGGATTTACAAATACTAACAACATAAACTATTCCTCACCTTAACAGAAGGGACAGCAAGGGGGCAGTTGAGAAGCTTTCCATCACTGCGCTTCCCGCAAAGACCATACATGGAGCAGTACCCTTCCTTTTGTATTTTTCTGAAAGCCAGGAATAAAAAACTTGAGGATTTAAATCGCTTAGATAAACAGAAATGTTGATTTCAAAAGCAGAATAAATTTTGCACAAACAGGTAGGCATATTCTAGTGAAAGATCATCATTGAATGGCAATGAACTCTTAAGTTGTATAAAAATGAGGAAATATGTCGAAGTTGTGGCATCATCAACCAAACACCATCTGTTTCACCTCGTGTGTACTGGGGAGTGAAACAGCTCCCAACAGAGCCAATAAAATTAATCAAACTACTTGGACCCTGGATACTTGCATCAGATGTGATCATCCCTTATCCACATTCTGCCATAATCTTGCCTGATCAACTGTGATCCATGCATGCCTCTATATCTTGAGAATTTTCTGCAATGTCCGAACCATCTTGTCTACTGCTTTTTGAGAAAATTCCATCTTTTCCTCTAGCAGAATATTCATTTATTTATCACTCACACCCTTCACTTGATGGCTTTCATTCCTTGGGAACGAAGAGATCAAGTTACGAAAATCTTAGAACCACTTTAATACGAAGGCATCCCGGCTAATACGGATCATAGTAGGATCTACATTATGAGTAAAAATTCTTACGTCACTGGACAGCAAATATTAGATACATTATGGACAGTTTTATGAATAAAATTACAAGGAAATATTTTGTGGACGCGGTATCAGATTCGTAAATATAGGAAAAGAAACCAATTACATTCGTGCTACTTTTTTGAGAAGTAATACTATAAAAAAGATCCAAATACTGAGATGATGCAGAAGATCCTATCATAGCACCCGTATACTGCAGATACATGAATGTATAAACAAACCAATAGCATAGCTGTAGACAATTTCAATTTACAGAAAAATCATACTGGTCAGTAAGTGATAAATGAGATTAGAATATGGTACAAAAACATTAAGAATGTCATTAAGAAGTAATACAGCAAGTTCTCATTCATCTAATCCATCTAATGAAGATATTTTCTTACTGTAAGGTAACATTGGACTCCAGAATAGACACTTGAGAACTCCCTGAAGACACGGTTATGGATATCTGCACACACGAAGTTATGCCATGTTAGATACATGAACATGAAGTTCCGTTAGTAAAACTGCAACCAAAAATTCATAGAATCATTTCTATAGTATCACACATTCGCAAAAACTTTCAAGTGTGATAATTCTGAAAATCCAATAAACCTTTCGGATAGTTTGCATTGAAAAGCTCAAGAGAGCAAGGATCTAAAAGGCAGGAAAAAAAAACTATGATCGTACAGCAGGGATCGTTTATATAACGACTTGGGACTCCCCATACATTTTAGTTTGCCAGCCAAAAGACCCACTTTGATATCTGAAAACATGCAACACACACCACAGTTGGTTTTTTGATTTAGGGCATACAGGCCTGAGAACAAAAGAAATCACAAGTTCACCAACACTTTGAAATGAGCGCTCTTTTGTCAGACGAAAGATTGACGGTTACCATAGTCATCTTACAACCAAAAGAAATCTTGGACTCGATTAAACACCGAGCAAGTGATTCAATTTCAGAGGAGATTCGTGTATTTATCTTGAGGCATCCTCCAAGAAGATAATAAGCACTCTTCTCAAAAGCAGAACAATACAGAAACTTACCCAGGGGAAATATCTCAATGATGATTGAAGAAAATATGGGCACAGAAAAACGAACTTCGCGTGTGACAAGGTCGATAGATCAGAAATGCCCTAAACCTAGACATATTGAGAGATTTCAGTCCTAAAAATCAGATGTGTGAGCTTAAGCTAGAAACCACTCTTATGAAATTATGTCTGAAGAGCAAAGCAACTTATGAAGGTAGAACGAGCAGACAAAAGTGAAGTGGACGTGTGCTGCTCCATCTTATAAGCGTGGCCTACTGCAAAACTCGGTCTTCCATCTGGAGCCGGGTACAAAATCTCCGCAGAAAGTCCAGTCTTGGAAGGGGGATGAGAACGTCTAGAAGCTCGTCGAGATGATATTGTAGATCATACTTTGGAAGACTAGAATAGATCTTCAATTCTAAATGCGACAGAGTCGATTGTTTCTGCCTATCACTCAAAGCCACGCGTTGATCCAGGAGAAATCAGCTGGTGGACGAGGAGAAATACATACGCTATAATTCATGGAAGCTACGTCTAGGATTGTCCAACAAAAGTTTTTTGAAAGTCTATCCAAGGAAAGGCCATAAGAATCGTTCGAAATCCTTCGTGAAGAATTCTCAAATCAAATGCACGCCACCCAAATGAAGTGCAATCCAACATTGCATCAACGACAGGAACATCAAGCTCCGAGAGATCATGAGATACGACTCAATGAAACCCTAATTCTCTTGCCTGAAGTAACCAAAGAGCCACAGCATATCTCCACCGGAACGGCAGCGTTCTCCCGGCGAGGAGGCCCATGGCTTCACAGCCCGCTCCTGCTCGTACGGGGAGTGCTTAAACGTGGTGATGGGTAGCGGTGGAATCCGTTTATATATCGCAGACGACAGATTTCTTCCCGCCACTTGACATTAATACCCTGCTGTTTTACAGGACACCCACCATTGCTCCCCTCCGCTCCTCGACGGGGGTGTTTCCGTCAACGCGGCTGCAAGCCGCAACGACCCGTCGCGGTTTCTGCAAAGAGCCGTCAGAAAAAAGCAATCTTGGTGACCCACAAATGCCCAAAGGGATGAAAGAGACCTCGATTCCTCTCAAGAGGGGAGAGAACTTCCTTCCTCTCCCAATCTCCTGCGGAGTCCATCAGCCTTGGATTTCACATGAACCATAAGAAGCAGCCAGTTCCCGCTCAATACAACAGATGGTAAAATACTGCTTCGTCTCGTAAAAGCAAACAATTATTTAGGAAAATAATTGGCGTTCCATACGGCGGAAACTTCTCACGAGGTGGTGTACACACCGCTTTCTTTGTCAGATTTAAAGTGTTTCATATCTTTGCGTAAAGGGGAAGACCGGCGGTGGGAGTTTCACCGAAGAGATGAAAAACAAGCAGTACGTGATGTGGCGTGCACCGGGTCAACTCCTCCAGTGCAGACGATCGAGTGAATTGAATGAGACCAGCGCGAGGAGGACGATGACGGAGAGTCGGGAGGGAATATGTTAATTTCAGCAGATCCGATGCCATTCATCATCTCAGGCCCACGGATGCCATCTGAACAGCCATGTGCCGTCTTGCGACGGGCAGAGCTCTGCAAGCGGAGTCATTTTGGTCAACGATTGTCAGACGACCCGGCCGCTTTTTGGCGTCCTATTTTTGCCCGGGTTGACCATGGTAGATATCACCCATTCTCCAGGCCCCACCACTGCCTGGTACTCCGCTTCTACAGTTCTAAGGGGGAATCGGGTGGACCCGGATGAGACAGAGACCTCTCAGAACTGCTGCACAGAGGGAGGATGGTTTGGCGTTGAGGTTTTAATGAACGAGAGAGGGTACTCTCTGAGAGGCCGACCCAGGTCTAATCAAGATGTATCCGTCCTCGAGGATCACCATTAATGTCCTTCTTCATGCGATCGCCTGCGAATCGCACTATACACGATCAAACAGAAGAAACACAGATTAAACGCCCGAAGAAAATGATATGGGGCCTTCTTCTTTTTCTTTCTTTTCCTTTTTTTATTTTTTTTACAATTTCTGTCCTTGCCCAAGAACAGTATTTTCAACCCCCGCCAGCCCATTGAACCAACAGCGGATCGGCGACCTCTAATCCACTGCCTTCTCGTCTGATGATGCTCTCATGCAGAGATGCAGGTGTCCGACAGTTGACCGGATCTCCACAGATCGCGGGTGGGAGTCGTCTCCGGCGACGAACCTGTGGAGCCTCCGGTCCAGGCTCACCGAGCTAAAACCAGGCGCCACTCGCAGGCCTCTCTCCTTCACCATCATCCTCATCCTCGCCGAGGCCCTCTTCTCCCCTCCCATGGCGTACATGTTCGAAGCCAGCAGGTACCCAGAGGCTTCCGACTGCTCCAACTCCACCACGCGAGAGAGCGCTCTCTCCCCGAGCTCCCAGTGGCCATGGCTTCTGCAGGCGCTCAGCAGAGAGCCCCACGCCGCCGCGCCCACCGTCAACCCCACGGGCAGCTCCTCGATGACCTTCCAAGCGCCACCAACATCTCCGGCCCTGGCCAGCATATCCACCAGGCACGAGTAATGCTCCGGCGACGGCGAGAGAGAGTACCTGGAGAAGACGTCTCCAAAGCAGGAGAGGCCCTCCTCCACCATCCCCCCATGGCTGCATGCAGAGAGCAGCGACAGCACGGTGACCTCGTTGGGCTTCACACCTCGGAACTCCATTTCACGGAACAGGGCGAGCGTCTCTCGGGGCCGGCCGTTCACGCCGAGGGCGGCGATCATCGCGCTCCAAGACACCACATTTTTCTCGGGCAATCCGCTGAAAACCTTACTCGATGACTCGATCTCGCCGCACTTGGCGTACGCATCCAGGAGCGCCGTGCCGACCGCCAGCTCCCCGGTCAAACCATTCCTGAAGGCGACGCCATGGATACTCCTCAGAAGCTTAATCTCCACCAGCGCAGAGCAAGCCTGCAGAATGCTCAGCAAGATCACAGAGTTGGGCCTCACATCCGCCAGCATCATGTCCCCGAATAGAGAGACGGCTTCATCTGGCTGCCCGGAGTCGGAGAAGCCCATCATCATCGTACTCCATGAAATCAAATTCCTGTCGTTCATAGCGCCGAACAGCCTGGAAGCGAGCCCCACGAGGCCACATTTACAGTAGGCGTCCAATATCGTGTTCACAACCACCATGTTCGACTCAAAGCCCCTACGAGTAGCCACGCTGTGGATGGACCTGCACCGAACTCCATGCTGGTGACTCCGACAGGTATGCAAGAGGCTGACGAGGGTCACCTCATCTTCCGCAAATCCCGCTCTTCTCATCGAATCGAACAGCGACAGGGCCTCCGAATGTAGCTCACCGTGGACTAACCCAGACAGCAGACTATTCCAGGAGACAACGTTCTTGCGGTGAACTTCAGCGAAGGCTCTGCGGGCGGAGCCCAGGGCGAGGCACTTGGAATACATGCTGATGAGAGAATTTCCCAAGAAGACGTCGTGCTGAAAACCTCGGCGTATCGCGTGGGCATGAATCATCTCCCCCGGCTCGGCGTCCTCCAGACAGCTGCAAGCCTGAAGAACGTTGACGAGCGTCACGCCGTCAGGCTCCGCACTACGGCTCGAAACCATCTCCTGGAACCACCGTAGGCCGGCCTCGGGCTCCCCACACTGAGCGTAACCCCCGATCAAGGCGCTCCAGGAGATCATATCTCGGTGGGGAATTTCGTCGAACATCTGCTGCGCGGACCCCATGTCGCGTGATTTAGCGTAGCTACAGAGAAGGGAATTCTGAATGGGCAGGTGGCTGGAAGCGCCATTTCTCACCACGAGGCCGTGGATCACCAGAGCTTCGAGCGTGGCTCCGAGCTTCCAGCAGGCCTGCAGCGCGAGCACGAGGTTGGACAGGTTGAGCTCAGAGCCAGCGGCCCTCGCCGCCGTGAACAGCGCCAGCCCCTCTTCTCGGGCGGCGCCGCCGGAGAGGAACCCGTGGAGCATGGCGTTCCACGAGACAGAGTCCTTCGTCGTCCCCATGGACTGGAAGACGCGCCACGCGGAGTCGATCATGCCGCACCTGACGTAGAAGCTCACCAGAGAGTTAGCGGTGGAGGTGCTTGCCTCGAAGCCCCCTTTCACGGCCCTCGCGTGAAGAGAGGCGCCTCCTCTCAAACACGCTACCCCGGCGCACCATTTGAGCATACGAGGGAGGGAGTCGGAGTCGATGGCCATGGCTGCGGCCAGGGTAAGGCTGAGGGGGGCAGTCAAAGGCTGATGAAGCCGGGCCATTGGAGTCGGTCAGCTCGAAGGCACTGTAGTCAACGGCTCGCTTACTAGAGATGGATGAACTTGGCATTATAGGGTGGGGAGCGAGAAACTGCAGAACTGAAAATGGGAATGGGAATGATGAGCTTGCGAAAGAATTGGGGATATGATGAATCAGATTATTGGGGTTTTGAGTTGACGTACAGGGGAGTAAGAGGGTCAGTCGAAGACGGCGCGACAGGCGCGGAGGTATGGGTTATCGAACTTGACGAACTTGGACCAGTACTTCCTGAACCTGACTATCCCCAGGTCCAACCAGGGCTTGTAGTTGCCGTTGTAATGAACGACCGCAGCGCCGTCAACCTCTTTGACTTCGACGCCGGAGTCGTAGCCAAGCCCCAGAACATGCCAACGACGGTCCAGAGGGTACGTCAGGTTGTAAAACGTAATCAGCCCCGGAGGCAAGGATCCTAGCTTCCACAGCGTCCGATCCTCGTTCTAGAGAAAGAAAAAGAGAGAGCATTAGCCGGGGATTTTCACTCTAACTTTGATGCACCAATTATTCGACTCCTATCTGAACCCTGGTTCCAGAAATTTGGGTGATCCTGAGGTCAAAATGGTTCCAAGACACTGACAAGAACAGCGACCGTCGGCCAGGGAAGACCCACAAAAGACCAGAATTGGTTCCCGTTGAGTGAAGCTGCCAGATTTCCTTGGACTCAGCATAGGGAATAAATGATATGATTGTTCCAGAATGCAGAAAGAAGTAAAAACAATATTTCGTCTTGCTCATTACAAGAATATGAAGATCGCAGAAATATCAAAGCTTCAACTTCAATTCTTCCCATTTAGTCTGTCTCACTGAAAAACCACCCCCATTTGTGTGTGTGTGTGTGTGTGTGTGTGTGTGTGTGTGTGTGTGTGTTTTTGTCTGTGTCTGCGTGTCTGTGTGTACCGAACGTGGCTATCTTCATCTGATCTGAGCACCAGGGGCACCAGGGTATCACATCCTACTGAAACATGCTATTCGACATTGAATGAACGATTTGAAGCGAGCCATAGGAAAGAACGAATGTGTGTGTTCGTAATATAGTCACCTGATCTTGCCAGTAGTGATAGATTCCAGTAATGTTGTGCTTCTTCCACGCCTCTAAATCGAACATATTCATTCCAAATGCCCAGCCGCATGCCCGTGGATCAAAGTTCTTGGAAATCAGTGGATTAGAGAAGTTCAGGTAAGTATCAAATCGATGAAAACTCTCTTTACACGTCTCCACGGCACCATTCACCATGCCTTTCATGTCGACGGACCAGAGAGGTGTCAAATCCTTTTGGACGACGACATCGTCATCCAGAAACAGTATCTTATCCAGTTTCGGATATACCTCCGGCATGTAGAATCTGAGATGGTTCAACATAGACAGATATTTGGGGTTCCTATATTTGAGATTTTCATGACCATCAGAGAGAGACGATGGATGATCCGACTTGAAGTAGTATTCCTTTATCCTCGAGGATTCAAGTTGCCGCAAAACCGAACAGTAAGAAGAATTCAGCCACTTGAAGTCATCAATATTCTCGACATGAATCGTCACATCAGGGGGTGAATTCACAAGGAACCACATCTTCATGGCTGCAAAATTCAGCCCGTCAGTGACGATATGAAACACATGTTTCTCCGGGTCCTTGGCATGTGATGCAGTAGAATTAACGACAACTGACGTAGCTAGAACGTTATCAGAGAAAATGGCATAATGGTAGAGGCTGCGATCCTCAAGTCTGTCACTGTTCAGCATTTCCTTGCCAGTGTAACCATGCGAGAAGTAATCCGTAGTGAGCAGCAGAGAAAGACAATGCAAGGGTTTTGGAACAGTCTTTGCAGCAAGCTGGATTAAGAACGTGCTTCGCCTTTTTACAGCAAGCACGTTATCCTCTTCGTATTGGAGCATTGCTCTTAATTTCCTTGCCACTGCGGCACAACTATATAACCTGTCTTTGGCCTTTAAAAGAATTCTCCCCATCGCTTTTGCTTGTTCAAGAAAACTGTTAAACGTCAAAAAAATAGGTTCAGCGTCAGTACTGATGATTTGTATGCTAATAGATAATACGTAAAACAAGTTGAAAGGCTTGACTGACTACCCAGGCCTCAATTCAGCATCAGAATTGGCTTCTCCAATAACACTTTTGCTTTCCTTGATATGCTTCATCAGAGATTTATACAGACCAGATTCACCTTTCGAATGTGCAATGCTGGCATATACTTTTGCCATTATGATTTGATCCTTCATCAGTTTCAGAGTGGAATCAGGTTTTTGGTTTTCATATTCCCTCCTCCAGACACTGTACTTTCCCCCCAATCTGTTATCAAGGTCTTTTGAACGTGCAAGGGCTTCTGTCTCCATCTGACGTTCAGAGTCTCTTCTCTGTTCGGATAGATGAGCGGCCCTCTCAGTTTTCCTCATTTGCCGAAATTTCTGCAGGGAAAGTTTAAAACTTATCAAATCGAGTGAATGGCTTAGAGTGAGACTCAGGAATGATATCTACCAGACGAATATGCTTCAGTGGACTCAAGTCCTGCATGGTGAAACTATCACGATCTTCTGAAATGCGGATAGCTTGTTGAAATGAACCTTTTCTATGCTGACAGTTCATAAGAGATGAAGTTGCGTTAGGGAAATACTTAAAAGACGTACCTAACTCTTAAAGTCAATCTCTTGCGTCAGACAAGATAGAGAGAAAGGGAGAAAGAGAGCGATATGATTAGCCACCACAAAGTAAGATAAAAAAAATCAATAAAAAAAACTGAGCTGAACTTCCTACATCTACTTTCTTCCTATATGTAGAAGTTCGACACCAAGTGCACAAGAAAAGTTACTTCGAAATTCCTGCTTCAATTTCCATTGCAAGGAAAGTGAGATGTGTTTTTACTGCCCACTTATGGAAACATGCTCCATCAAAGTTTCTAAAATGACAGAGAAACAGATACAGTACCATGTCATCATCTAGCATTTCACGGTTTCGATTGGGAGAACTTTCCCAGATCCAGGAGGTGGACAAGTCCTTGGACGGGATGGTGTATGTCTTGAGAGTGCCAGAAGAATCCGTGTAAGATGCGGTTATGTCTCTCTCCTGCATGAAGCCCAGTTGCACGAAATGGTAAATGGTCCAAGACCTTGGCATAAAATGAGAATTTTGGGGAGCTGGAAATGAAGTATGGCTCAATCACAAGGAGCAAGGACTGTAGAACCACAAAAAGACGTTCCCTTCCCAGGTATTCATGATCAAAGAAATGCAAAAAAAAAATAGTAATTACAAATCCTCGCAGAATGAAGAGTACACAATTTGCTAGAAATAAAGCAAAGAATGAGCAATAACAATGTGTAGTATACAAGTACCTAAGATAAATAAATCATCCACATGGTACCAAAACACAGAAATAAGCATGAATGGTTGATTTTACTTTTATTTGATGATAAAATTTGTTCCAGCTGAGATGGGTTTGGAAAGTAGACTTCACATTTTTCCCTTTTAATTAGTCTTAAATTGACAACAGACTAGGAACTAACCTTTTGAGTTGGTGCATTTTATTTTTTTCGGTCTGTTGTTAAGAGAAGTTCTACCAACATGACAGGGCGAGGTTTTTTACTGAGGGGAAGTAGAATAATTTCTAAAGATTAATCAGTTCTTAGAGATGAACCTGTTTCACCGATGATATCTTAGAGCGCATTGACGTGATGTAAAACTACCAAATACAATCTACCTTTAATCTAATTAAAGTAGCATTAGTGAAAGCATCAAGAGAAAAGTTGGTAGAAGAAGATAGTGAGGAGATTGAAACAGATTCAAAGAAAACGGAGACATTAGCAACAGTTCTACTAAGAAAAAGGGAAGTGATAACCAGACAAAAATGGGCATCCTGGTGGAATAAAGGTTCTCCTGTTCAGAAAACTCGGAGAGGGGAAGAAACACCTTCAAGGTTAGAAAAAAAAGTGGAAATTTAGAAGACTTCAAGATTGACGGAGGACGCTAAAGAGAAGAAACGACAATTGTCGGTGGAGACCGAATTGAGGTTTCTGAGATTTATTAAGCTATGCACAAAGAACAAAAAAAAAAGACAGAGAACAACTGAGAAAGGAAATTTGAGGGGAAAAGAAGTTACGTCTATAGAAAATGGCATACCAAGTCAGATTATCGTGACTTAAAATACATGAGAAAACTCAGCAAAGATAAAAGAACATTTTAAAAAAAAATTCAAATAAGGCAAATTCGAATCCAAGAGAATGAGATCACTCTGGTGAAGGAAAAGTGATCCCCAAATTGGGCTATACAGGTGAAGGAATGAGCATCAGCAAAAGTGAAGAAAAAAAAAACAAATTAGGCTACACGTGATCTCTATTAAATGCAAAAACACGTGAGGCACTCTGGTGTCTGGGTTGACAAAAAAATTCAGTTAGATCTGGATGTCCAAAAAAATCCCCAAAAAAAGATGACAAAATTATCAAATAAAGAAAGGGAGATGAGACCTTTCGTGAACCGTACTTACAATTTTATAAAAAAGAGTGATGGATAAATAGCCAAAGTAGACAACAAAGGTGTCAAAAAATACTAAAAAATCAAGAATAAAAGGGAACTTTATAATTACATGGAGCTGCAAACGTAAAAGTCGTACATGCAAATAATGACCGCATATCATATCACAAAGACAATACTTCCAGAGAAAGCATAAAAAGAAAAAATGAATTAAGAATTTTATATAAAAACCTCTCCACTCCCGCAATCCTGACATGCTTGGAGACTTCTATGTCCATTCCCGACTTTTTCTCTGGAAAATATTAAATAAATTGCAGCATAAATAACTTGAAAATTCGTATCCCAAAATACATCTGATTGGAGCATTGTTATAAACTTTAATTCAAGCTGATTAACCATAGGATTAAAAAGAACTGACATCAGAATGGCAGCAGTGGCAATATTTGTTTTATGTCGCATTTAGTTATCTTACATTTCTTGTGCTAAAGGCACCATAAGGGAGCTTTCTGATACCTCGCACCAAATCAAAGGCAGAAGGAGCATGGCCTGCAAGGTTTTGATGAGCCAGGGGGGATAAGTTCAAGTATTCACATACTACATAAAAATATCCATGAATATCACGAAATAAGTATCAGCATAAAAATGCGGAATCAAAATAGATGATTCAATTTAAGGCCAATTCAGGTGTTAGAAGGAAACTGAAAAAGTGGAAAAAAAGCATATCAGAGTCCTTCGAAATTTTTGGATCACGTTCATTGACAGCTACAAGTCCCATCATAAATCAGACGCAAAAAAGCTTAGCTGTAGTTTTGACTTGTGTTTCTAGAGACCCTGAACAAAAGCTGAAAACGAATCTAAGGCTACTCAATGGTGAGCGAGTACGAGCAACCTACCTCCCTTAAGCACAAATTCATTTGAGCTTAACAGATTTAACATTCGGTCAGATAGATTATACAAAAATATTCATTTTATTCGGATACAGACTAATAAAATAAATCCACGTTTTCCGTTACAAACAATCTCTATGATATCTTAATGAATGAAACTTGTTTTGAAATTCTGATGATTTCATCGGCCTCCAGATATATTCTTCTGATGAATTTTCCGTCTCCAAAGTGTGTGATTCTATGAGCATTAGGATGAACATTTTGAAGGCCTTTTGAATTCACGACATTGTCCAGATAAGTTAATATATATCATAAAACTGTCCTCGTGCTCAATTAATGGAGGTAGGCTTACTTTAGACGTCAGATGTAACATTGAAACAAGAAAGTATGAAAAAATCTGCGCCCGGGCGGGCGGTTTTGAGGTTTCTACTCTCTTTTAACAGCGGATAAATTTAAAATTAAAAATTCTGCACAATATAAAACAGTTTCAATTAGTAGAAGAATGGGCAATCACACACAGTGATCTAGCTAACAGAAATACAAATATTTCGCACTATTCCAGCAATGAGCAAAGAGCAGTCTACAAATGAGAGCTGAAGGCTCCCTTTCCTCGGTAATTTTTTACCACCCCAGGGGAATAAAAAATAGACTGACATTTGCCCCCTGGAGCAATAACCTGAAAGTAAGTGCATCAAACATCTGAGGGCAAGGGTATCATTGTTTTTTTGGCATGATTTCTCCTTATGTATTCTATGCTTCCAATTAAAACATGACCACATAAGAACAAAGAAGACAAATTACGAACTATTAAAGAAACCTTCCGGTAAATTACCGGGGAAATTTATAGTTTTCAGGAAATATGATGCAAATAAATCTGCATTTTTCTGACATAAAAGAGAAGTTGATCAAGAGGATCGATGTGAAAAATTAGGTCGCTAATTCTGATAAATTTTGGCTGAACTTCGATGAAGAGCTCAGATGACACAACATGAGAAGACGCACTGGGGAAACAACAAACAGCTTGCACAGAAAATCAAGAAACGGTTAACCCTGGGAATTACGGCGTACTCGACATGAGGGAATAAACTCCAACTAAACGAATCGCATCGGCCTTGCGTTCAAAGATCCCAGTCAGATGAAAACCACGGACATAAAAATTTTGGCTCCCAATCCAGTTCAGTCCCTTCATAAATCAAAGAGATACAGACACTAAACAATGTCCACACCGTGTCTACGTCGGGCGGACGATCAACAACCAGTTTGTGAAGCAAATGACCTGTATAGGGGGCATAGAAAGAAGACCAACAGTCGCATACAGGCAGTCCATAAACAGTGAATCAACCAGATCGACAGAAAACAAAATCATCCCGGATCCGGAAAAGATCACGACACTGAGCAAAACAGATTTAAAGAAATGCACGATAGGGAAACGATTTCTTGCCAGTGGCGAAAAGACGAGCACAAGCATTCCGCGGCAGGCTAGGTTCCCCCGACAGAGCCCCATGACGCGCACACTGCGACGAGTGTGTCGAAGCCCCCCCGGCGGGGCGGACAGAACAGGAATGACGATCCGAGCAACAGTGAACAGTGGTGAGCTCCGTCTTCCGTATTTTAGCGCGCTGCTCCTCGGTTCTGCCGACAGGTCTATTAAATGGACGGTTAAGATTTCGTCAAAACAGACACCATCGTCAGTAACCTGATTACGTACAGAAGGATCCCCCAAAAGGGCCCACCCACCCCAGCCCCTCCCTTGAAGTGCGTCGCCCTCACGCCCCACTCCTCTGCGTTCTACGTTGGAAGTTCTCTCTGAGAGCACAAGTTCTTGGTCTCATTTACGTTGAAGCTCTCTCTCTCTCTCTTCGTGACGTTCGTCGGCAATTCTCTCAGAATGGGCAAGACGCAAGCAAAGACGAGGAGTAGCCCCTTGTATCAGTCAAAATGATCCCCTCCCCTTCCGTCCCACTTCTGAACACTTGAGCGAGACTGCCAGAGCCATTCACTGGGTCGCCGGGCCGGAGCGGGCGGCGGAGTCTGAAGTCGAAGGTGAGGCATCTGATCCAGAGGAGATGAATTCCAGGGCGGCGACCACCTCCAGCATCGTCGGGCGGGAGCGGGGATCCTCGCGCACCATCGTCATGGCGGCCATCGCCATCTGACGGAACGCCCTTTCTGGGTACTGCCCCCGAAGCGCAGGGTCGGCCATCGCAGAGTACAGCCCATTCCTCAGATATGGCCTCACCTGTGAATCATCCATCCAACAAGAAACTCGGTGATAGAGAGAGAGTGCGAGAGAGAGGGAAGGAGCTTCAGAGATCGACGGCCTACTACCCAGATGACTAGACTGTTATTCCTTCGGGCCGATGTGTTGAAGGCCTTGCGTCCGGTGATCAATTCGAGCAGGACGACCCCGAAGCTGTAGACGTCAGACTTGGCAGTGAGCTTGCCCGTCATGGCGTACTCGGGGGCGCAGTAGCCGTACGTCCCCATGACCCTCGTTGAAACGTGAGTTTCGTCGCCGACGGGTCCAAACTTGGCGATCCCAAAATCAGAGACCTTCGGATTGAACTCGTCATCGAGCAGGATGTTTGCAGACTTTATATCTCGATGTATGACAGATGGGTTCATTGCGTGGTGCAAGTATGAGACCCCTCTCGCCGCGCCGAGTGCTATCTTGACCCTCGCATCCCACCGCAGCGCCTCTCTTCCGGTCGGGAGATCTGGAAAAATGACAAAAAATCATTGCAAGAGTCTTCGATCTTCGATCTCTTATAGCCGCTGTAATTTCTTCAGAAATGGGCTGATGCTTACCGTGAATGTGGCTCTCTAAGCTGCCCTGAGGCATGAACTCGTAAACCAGCAGCCTCTGGTCTCCTTCGGCGCAGTATCCGACCAGCTTCACGAGATTAGGGTGTTCTAAAACGACCAGCATGAGAGTCTCCAGGAGGAATTCTCTCCTTCCCTGCTCCCCCAGCAGATTGAGCAGCTTGATCGCAACGAGCTGCCGATCAGATGTCCCACGAGTCCCATGAGCCGCGAGGAAAAAGACGAGAAAGGAGACGGGGCTTGGACATTGAAGAAGGCGGAAGAGAATGCTTGCCTCGCCGGTCTGCAAGCGACCTTTATAGACTTTGCCGAACCCACCTTCTCCCAGGCAATTGGAGTCCTTGAAGTTCTTGGTGATCACAGCGAGCTCCCGGAAGGAAAATTTCTCGGCTCTTCTTCTCCCACTGGAGCCTGATCGAGCAGGCGATGACGTCCCTGCACCCCAGCCTGATCGTCCGCCAACCAACAAAACGCAGAGCAATGAGGATTGAGGAGGAAGACACCTCCTTCAGCCAAACGGAAGGAGAAGCGGCATCTTTATGAGGAAGGAAGTGCGTTGGCACCTGCGAGGGAGAGCTCCTCGGCGGGCGACGGCTCGGGCTGAGGCGGGGCGACCGGAGGAGCTTCAACCGTGACGGGCCCGCGGGGTGCTCCCCTTCTCTGCCAATGGTTCAAGAATGCGAAGCACTTCATCCTTTCCGTCTTTTACCGACGTTCCGACGCAGGTGATGCATTAGAACGGCGGGGGCGGAGCTGCATTGATGCCGGTGACTTCTTCTCGACGACGGAGCAGGGAAAGAATCGGAGAAACCCACCAAGCTGATGGAGAGTTCTTGAATTCCGGCGTAATTATCTCCAAATGGGGACCTCCGATTCTTGGAAGGATATTTCTGCACCGAGGGAGGACGACACCTGAGCGGGAAAGTGGAAATGGAATTAAGAGAGATGAAAGAGAGAGAGAGAGAGAGTATGGCATGCCAGATGGTTCCCTGGGAAGAATCTGGAGGGGGACACGTACGAAGGGCGTCAACTCGGCCGCGACGTACCGAGCTGCAAGTGCCAAGAAAACGGCGGGTAAGAGGAGGGAGCCGTCCACGCCGACGAACCAGAAGAAGAAAACTTTTTTCGGTCGCTTCCCGCAAGAAGTGCGGGCGTGCTCTCTCTCTCTCTCTCTCTGTCTGGTGAAGTCGTATTGTCTTTTGGGCTTCGCGAGTGGGGGAATTCGAGCCCATTAATTCCGCCGCGGTATTAGAGCCCATTAGGCCTTTTTAATATTAAACCCCTAATAAAGTAGCCTCTTTAAATCTCAGCCTATATTTTCACTGGCTTACCAAAATTCCTACAAAATACTCTTTTAGATTGAAAATGACCAAACAGCCCACGAAGGAGTCGAGCTCGCACCTGAAAATGCGTTAATATTCAGAGCATATAAAATTTATGAGTCGACTCCTGTTTAGTTGGTAGTGTCATTGATAAATAGGCCCGATAAATAAATTGATGTTCTCTATAGGTAAGAAAAATGGTTGGAAATCCATAATTGTCCCGTAGGGTCCTGGCCCCGATGGCGACAGCCCGAGCCCCAGGGAGCCCACAAGCCTGCGCCCCGGCTCGGTAGCACGGCTGAGGCCGGTCCACCGGTGACTTCGTGGTCCTCTCTCTCTCTCTCTATGTAAATAAATAAAATCGAAGCCGTCGTGACCGGAATCTACTCCGGGAAGGACGCCGACAAGCCCTCCGGCGTCGGGTGACAGAAGACGCCGACGAACCTTCCCGTCGTCGAAGCGGCCGACGGCTAGACAAGCGGTGGGCCACGCCGGCGCCGGCGTCACCTTCGGCGGGGGAGGGAGAGGAATATTCGAACCCGAAACCTCATCTACCGGCCGTCGCGCCAGCGAGGAACTGGAGTTTTCTCCGACCGGCGGGTTTAGTCTCTGTCGGGTTTGATCGGTACGCGCCAACTGATGCCATCGTTTGCAGGTACGTCATCGCCATTGATACCGCTTTAATTTCAGTTCCAGGGTGCACGAGGGGGATTTCAGCTTGCGAAATGAAACCGCTGGAGATGGCGAGCCACCACCACCTACCCGCCGCCGTATCCCAATCACCGGCTGCCGGAGGATAAGCGTCCTCATCCCGGGGTATGCGAAAATCTTCTCAGATGGCGATTCCATGCGGGTCGGGTTCTGAATTCGCTACCGAATCAAGAGAGGAAGAATGGGCGACGTGACCTTGGATCATGTCACATTAAAAGGAATTGAAACCGGTGAGGTGGTCCTCCCGGCCCGTCGGCGAACATCTGTTGATGAACTGAAGCTCCTCCGGAACCAGTCAATGCCATCGCCAATCCAGTGAAAACGGCCGAGCTTTGCTGTTTTCCGGTCGATGCATGGTTTTAGAAGAGTTTCTCCTTCCGAGGAATCCGCCGCCGCCACCAGGGCCGGCGGCCGCTCTCTCCGGATCGGGCGGCCGGATCGGCCGCGTTCGACCCGGTTCCGAGTTTCTCTTAGCGTTCCTCCCTCCCCCCACGGTAAAGAGGCATCAATTTTTAATTATATCTCATAACGGAGGCCCTCCTGGATCGTTCCCTCCTTTCTTCTCGCTACGTAAGTAGTCCAGAGAGTCGTCGCCGCTGGTTCTCCCCGCTCATTGTCTCTCTCTCATGGAGAGGAAGAGGAGGCTGAAGCCGCTCTCGAAGGCGGCCGTCACTTCCGGCGTCTTGGCTGTCGTCTTCATCTCTCTACTAGGTTACCTGGCTTTTGATCCCCTCAGAGACGGCCGCGGTGATGGCATCGGCGGCGGCGGCGGCGGCGGTGGCGGCTTCTCTAGCTTCCATGGCCAACACCACCACCACAGTGCTGTCGTCGAACGGCAAGACGGCTTCGAGCTTCGGCCCCTTCCTCCTCTTTCCGCCTCGCCGACCCCTCCCATGGCGGGAGACGCCGTCCTCTTCCCCGACTGGGAAGCCTACGTCCTCCTCTCCCCCGGCGAGCTGCCTCCTCTTCCCTCTGATCGCCCTCTGTGCGTCTTCCAGAACGGCGCCACCTCCCCCGCCAACTTCTCCGGCGTCCTCCCCTACTCCCGCCACCGTGCCGCCTTCCGCTGTCCGATCCCCCGCAACGTCCAACGCCTGCGCCGCTTGCTCATCCCTCGCGTCGTCATCCCTCCCGCCGACGGTGGCGGCGCTCTGGTGGCGCCACCGCAGCTGCCCGATGCCCGGGAATTCGTCCGCTGGAATTTCGTCGTCTACGAGTCCCTCTCCACCGGCGAGGACGTCATCGTGTTCGCCAAGGGCGTCAACCCCCGGCACGGCAACTTCGATCGCCCTGTCGAGGACCTACGCTGCGTCTTCGTCGTGTCCTCCGCCGCCGTGCGGACCCCCGTGACGAGCTCCAGCCAGGAAGTCTTCCGCTGCCCCCACCCCGACGATGCCCAGCTTGAAGCCCTCATGGCGGCGTCCGCCAAGCTCGGGGAAGGTGTCCGAATCTCCCTCGAGATCCGCGACCACCGGGGGGCCGTCCCTTCTCTGGCGGAGTACCGCCCACCGCCGGCAACGGAGGAGGAGGAGGAGGAGGAGGAGGCGAAGGAGGAATCTCTGCTCTGCGCGTGCACGATGGTCTTCAACGTCGCCAAGTTCCTCCGAGAGTGGGTGGTCTACCACTCGAGGATCGGGGTGGACAGGTTCTTCCTCTACGACAACGGCAGCGAGGACGACCTCGGAGAGGTTATCGCCGGCCTGCAGCGGCGGGGGTACAACGTGAGTTCCCTGCCATGGCCCTGGCCCAAGACCCAGGAGGCCGGCTTCTCCCACTGCGCCGCTGCCGCCCGCCGCCGCTGCCGGTGGATGATGTACCTCGACGTGGATGAATTCGCCTTCTCCCCTTCCTGGTCCAAAGTCCCCCTCCCTTCCCCCGCCATGTTGAAGTCGATCCTGCCGCCGAGCAACGGCGGTAGCAGCGGGCGGAGGGTGGGGCAGCTCTCCATGGACTGCTACGACTTCGGGCCGTCGAATAGAACGACCCATCCGGAGAACGGTGTGACGCAGGGCTACACGTGCCGCCGGCGGGCGGGGGAGCGGCACAAGTCGATCGTCCGGCTGCAGGCGGTGGACCCCTCCCTGCGCAACGTGATACACCACTTCAAGCTGAGGGACGGGTACGTCGCCGGCAAGCCGCCGGCGCGGGTGGTGGTGAACCACTACAAGTACCAGGCGTGGCCGGAGTTCAGGGCCAAGTTCCGGCGGCGTGCGTCGGCCTACGTCGCCGACTGGACCGATGCGACGAACCCGCTGTCCAAGGACCGGACACCGGGGCTCGGTTTCGCCGCCGTGGAGCCCCCCGACTGGGCGGGCCGCTTCTGCGAGGTCCCCGACGGGCGGCTGAGGGAGCTGGTCCGGCGGTGGTTCGGCCGGGGAGAGGACGCCGGGTCCACCGGCGACCGCCAGATGGAGTGGGAGACCTTCCGGTGACGTGAGAGCCCCCACTGGATACGTACAGCCGCCGGCGAGCTCCTCTCGATCTTTTTGTTATTATTATTCATTAAACACACACAGATACAGATTACCAACTGAATAAGAAGAAGAAGAAGAAGAAGACGGGAAGATTTTGATGCTCCCGCTGTCTGGATTTGATTGCCCCCACCCCACCCTCTTCTTCCGATCAAACGAGAGCACGCCGACGGCGACGAGCCCTGCCGACGGCCGTCGGGCCCAGCGGCGCTCTCGTGCGGGCTGAGGTCAGCGCACAGCAAGCATCTGAGCTCCTCCCGCAATCCCCCACGTGGTGGTGCCATGCGCGGCGTTTCAACGCGCTAATGACAGGTTGTTCCCTTCCCCCCGCGGAAGAGAATAATTGATTCATCGAATGACTGAATAAAGGAAAAAAGTCCTCCTCGACCGTAGTAGCGACGGGGATTCTAACGCGTGGGAGATCGACATATATGCCAAACAACTGTGGAGGATGGATCAACGGGGAGCCGGGGGGAGGTCGTCGGTTGACCAAGTCTCTTAGTCGGTTGTCATCCGCAGCTGGGGTTATCTACATAAAGCCTTCCCTGGGGTTCATTACATTTTTTTTGAAAAACTTTTTATATATATTAAGTACGATTTATAAGGTCTATGTAATATTAAAATAAATTTACAGGGATGATGTCCGGATAACGACATTACCGGGGACTTCTTTGATAAAATGTAGCGTTCGAGAAAGTCTGCCTTCTCCGAAGGGGAACGACGCTGTATGATAGGTGCCCAGTCGTCGCGGATGGTGACTCCAATTTGACTGATATGATTCCAGAAATAGTACTATTTTTCTTCTTTTAAAAATATCAATCGAGGCAGCCAATTCCAATTTGTTCTTGATGAGAGAGAGAGAGAGAGAGAGAGGCGTGATGTAACTGGATATGCACTGGGAAATCCAGTTGATTGGTCCAGTTGGACCCAACTTATCAGGACCGCCGGGTAGAGACGCTCACCAACCGACCCCTAAAATACTTGTGGGCCGAGGTCAACGGACTAGCCGGTAAAGATTGGCCCTCGAATGGACCAGGCTTCGAGTAAGATAATTTTTTTTTTCTCAGCAACATCTTAAAATGACGTTCAGAGCCCGGAAGATGGAACTTTCATAGGCTGGGTTCCGGCTTCTTCAACCTACAGTCAACGGCTATTTACCCTGTTTAGCAGCAATCAGAGGTCTTATGAAAGGGCGGGGGTCATCACCCGGGGAGGGTTCTCCTTCCGCGACTTGCCTTCAAGGTGGTTTCTTTGGGCGTCTTCTCTCTTGGCGGCGGTGGTGGGGTTGACTGATCTCACGAAGTAGAGGAGGTCGTCTCCCATGGCGGCTTCCTCTGTGCTTTGCTGTCCAAGGGCCTTCAGCCTGTGCCTTCTCTTGAAGATGTCCTGCCGGAACCTCTTGGTCTCGCTCTGCAGGTCCATGACGGGATCCTTCTTGATGCTCTGCTTCTCCATCTCCAGCAGACGCTGTTTCTCAGCCGCCGCGGCGCTTTCATCCTGCCCTCTTCGTTCCTCCACCACGACCTGGCACGACACAGGAACTCAGCTATGGACCATCTAAGAGGGGGTAAAGATGGAGCAAATGCGGTAGGAATTGACGCCATCACAATCGCTCCCACGAGTTAGACGCTCGCGCCGCATTAGATCGGTTCATTTTCAGGGTGGACAGTTGCGTTGCGTGTCGGTGGAAATCCCAATAGAAAAGGGACCCATAGCCAAGATAAGATGAGCCGGATTGATTTAGTAATAAACGGGGATGATCTCAGAAGTGTCGATAATATTCCATGGTGTAACAAAAACAATTAATGGTAAATTTACGTAAAGATGCATCATTTAATCAGTGAATTAAAGCGGTTCAACCAATCAAGCATAGCATATGGACAGATAATATCCATCAGAGAAAGAAGAGATGAAAGATTAGGCACCTGGAGATCTTGTATGAGGGTGTCAAGTGACTTGATCTTGCGATGTGGCCAACGAGGGATTCCGAATTCCCTGCATTTTCGTTTTAATACGGTCTGCCCGACATTCAAATGCCTTGATGCTTCTGCGATCGGAACATCAAAATACTTGGAAAGTTCGGGCAGAGTTATGCTGCTTATGTCCTCTATTGTAGCTCTCTTGTTTTGCTTCGTCCTGTTCACACTGATGTCTGCAAACGTTCATCCAAGACAATCTTATTTAACTCAAAACGTATTGCGTTCTACAGCATAATGTTTTGTGACATTCATTCTCGCATAAGGTAGTTCATAACATTCATTTAAAAGTATATTAGAATAGAATAATTAATCGAATGCTGGAGGTCTGTTGGGAATGACGATGTGTCAGTAATTTCTAGGCATGCACATCAATCTAGTCCAAAAACATTGGGTCAGCAGGAGATCGCTTAAAAGTCCCACAGTGTACGATTCCGTTTTGATGGAAAACTCACTACATAGCTGCATTTACAGTCATGAGAAGAAAATTAACTGAAATTTAATACCTACGTACTTTTTTTTTCAATTCACTTTCTCAGTTCATGATTTTCATTATTCTTGAAGGATAATGGGAGCGGAAAATTTTACGTCATATTCAGTTTATGGTTCCATTGCACATAGAATTTAAAATAATAGGGAAAAAGTTAAACACTGAAACATCATCAAGAGGGTATGAAATTAAGCTTTCTCTAAGTTCATCTCTCGTTTAGGCCAAGTTTCCCTGGACCATTATTATATTTACCTGGTTTCCAGTGTGTGAATCGATTTTGATAAGAAAATTCGATGCCAGAATGGCCACATTACACCAACCAGGGAAATGCTGTTGAAGCTATGGTACCAGCGCCCAACAATGTGTTTCCTATTTGCAGTCAATTTCATCTGGAGAACCTTCAACTTAAAACTGACGATTAGACCTATTCTATCTACATTGTACAAACGATGGTCGGTGTTGCATCATGCATGAAGCAAAACATTGTATCCCTACTTAGGCGAAACAATGAAAGACTACTTAGGCGAAATGAATTAACGTCGAAACCACCTAAGGATGCTGTCTGACCGAGGAGAGAAATTTTATATACACGCCAACAATAAAAAAAATGAAGACAACTACTATTATGAGATCAGTTCATTCAACTGTCAGCCCTAGGTCACCTATCCTGCTGTAATGCCACTGTTTGCAGAGTATCAACTTCAAACAAATTGATTATTCTGATATCAACAAGGTGATCTATTCAGGTCATCATGGAACCTAGACGGCAGAAAGAAGAAATATGAACTAAACTAGAAAGTGCCCAAGGCATCGAAGATCTATCCTCCCCCTACGTCGTAGTTTGCTCGTATGGTACATAACAAACAAAATCCCCACTACTTCCTACATTGTCTAGGATGAGAGACTTTAGGAAGGCATAATGCCCCACTTCCTCGCTTATTTTCCATGAACGAAAATGGAGAGCCCGTCGTCGTCGCCGGAGGCTGTTATGGAACGCGACGACAAGCATCTCCCTCCGGCGAGCCTTCAGAGGGCACGCATGTCATGCTTCCCCTCGAGATGTCCGGCCGGACCTCCCTCACGATCGGAAGCTCAGGCGGAGAAAACCACTCCAAGGTGAAACAGAGCGCGCACGAGCAGATTTGAAACCGAATGCGAGAGCGAGGCTACCTTCCGATCTCCCCATGCGAAGCTCCCAGAAGGAGAAGGAGAGAGAGAACTCGGCTGAAGAACCCTTCCTCTCTCTCTGCTTCAGTAACGCTCGGCCTCCCACGAAGTGGAGCATCACTCTATTTATAGTGCAAATAAAATACCGTACAATAGACGAGCATCTTTCTTCTCAACAAAATTATTACGTCAGCGTTTACTTTGGAGCAGGGTACGTCCAGTGTCAATGGGGCACGTATCAGGGCTTTGGACCATTCCTCACGCAAGAAGCCCGCACAGCTTTGTCGTTTGCGGCGACTGCCTCGGGCTGGAAGATAGGGGGAGGAGAGAGAAAGCATGGCCGGCGAACTGAAGATCTGGTCTCAATATAACTTAAATTAATCTGTACAGAGTCCGCTGCCCCTGTTACAAAGGAAGAATCGCCGTTGCACTAAACGGGAAGGAGGATGGGAGAAAGAGAGAGAGAGAGAGAGAGAGGGAGAGAGAGAGAGAGGCGACAACAGAGAATCTCATCTTCTTCTTCCTCCCCCTCTCACCTCCCCTCTCTCACTAAAAATGGCGGGGCAGAAGAGCAAGGGTGAAGACGGCCGACGACTCTATAGCTGCAACGCCAGATCTGGCTGCTGAGAGTCGGCCACACCGCCGGCGGCGGGCGGCGAGCTTGGAGACTGGAATCTGATGTTCAGGTCCGGCGGTGGCGCAGATTCCGGCGTTGACCGCAGCGAAAGACCCCTCCAAGAACCCCGTGGGTCCCCCGTGGCGGCGCCGTCTCCTGGTTCTGGCTGTGAGCCCTTGGCTGCATAGTTGACGCTGCTGTCGGCCCCTCTTGAGACCATCTCTAGCGCTCCGGCATGCGTGAGGGGCGCCGCCGCCGGCCGGAGCATCCTCCCGAATTGCGACGAGCTCGAAGAAAGCGCCGCGCTGAACCCGTTGATAACCAGAGGGCTCGCCGTGCTGTGTTGCTGCAGCTGGAAGGGAGGAGGAGCCTTGGGCGGTGGCGCCGCCGCCGCCCCACCGCCGCTGCCACCGATCACGCTGAAGCCGCCGCCGTCATAGCTCGGCCCGCCGGATCGCCCCGGGAAGGCAGGTGAAGATCCAGGCGGCGCTCGAGCATGCCGTCCGTCTTCTGCAGCAGCAGCAACGGCGGCGGTGAACCCATCGGGCCTTTCGGGGGCTGCTTCGCCTTTGGGCAACACCGGCGATGGCGGCGGCGGCGTCTTGAGCTGCGAAGATGTGTGCAGAGGAGATGTAGAGAGCAGTGGCGACTGGTATTGCTGCGGCAGCGGATCTGGTTCGCCGATCCAACCGCGGCCAAACTTTGTTCCCGGAGGCAGCGCCTTCTCGATTTGCCTGGCGGCAATCTCCCACCCGGCAGGCCCGAGGGTAGCAGCATATCTAGCAAGGCTCCTGGCATATGCATGCTCTCCATGAAACCCCACCTGAGGAAATAAAAAATAGAAAATAAACCAAATGAACCCCCAAAAAAAGAATATCCAAATGAGATCGAAATGAAGGTGGGTCTCTGAGCAAAATGGCTGCCCGATCTGGTGCACTGCGCTGACTCCAGACTAGATGTGGTCAACGCCTTCACGAGATACTTACGGGCACCAGCTGCTTCTTCTCCCCATCAAGAGTCGCAAGTACTGACGATTCATGCCAGCCTTTGGAAAGTTGAGGCTGCTTATACGTATGGCGCCTGTTCTCATCTAAAACAGCGACTTTCTTCCCAAACCTCATGGGAATTCCCCTCATTGAACCTGCCAAAAATAAATAAATAAATCAATCAAATGCAGGCGGCAACCAATCAGATCGTTTGATAAAATACCAAATGCTAGCTAATATATTAATATATGTATATATCGATTGATGTTGGTCGTCAAGCCGCACCTGGATCCTCACTTCTGTCAGACTTGTCTCCCATCCAGGCGGGGACTTCCCCGTTGACAAGTCTATGGTTATCGTGAGAAGAGTTTGACCATGGCAAGTTATCCCCAGCGTTAGCGAGGGTCGCATCAGGGGAGAAGTCCAAGCTGGCACGATCATTGGGAGGTCTCCCCACCGTCTTCTTGGCAGAACTCTTGCCTGGTGGTCTACCTCTCCGTACGATTCTGGGCTCTGGCTCATCCTCATCGCTATCTTGCCTCAGATTCTCGAAGTCCTTTTTGGCAAGCTCATGTATGGATCTAGCCTGATAATAGAACAAATGAGGTGAGCACTAAACATGGTAAACAATACATGCGAACATCGATCGTCATCAATGAAAGTGGAGGAGACTGGAGATCAATGGGCACCTGTCGAAAGTAAATGGTGTCGGGAGCATTGTAGCTCATCGCATTTGTGCAGATTAGGAAGACATCTTTCTGCACATAATTTACCCTCGTTAATCCATAGAACAAAGACACTTAATATATCTTCATCGTACGTGAACAGCAATGCAGAAAACATATGCGTGATCTATTTACATGAGAAAAATCCAGATCGTAACGCGCTTCCTTCATCTTATTTACTAAAATACGGTAAAAATATCTCACGAAAACTTATATGAAGACTTAAATGGATACTCCCTGATGCACAAGGAATACCCAGATTAGCAATAATCTTGATAACCAAAAACTTGAATGTATGTTCGCTGACTATGGATCATCATACATACATGACCAAAAGATTAAATAATCCTGGTCAACGCGTCAACCATTCCCACAAGATCAGCCTTCAGTTTTCATAGGTTTCAGTAAATGTGACTGATCGACATCTCCACATGAATGCAATCAATAAAAATAGATTTTAAATGTGACACTTTCAAGAACAAAACAGACTTCTATCGTGACCTAAATCGAAAGCTGATGAGGAGGAAAAAATAGTAACTTAAACTTATATGCGAATCCTCGAATCCTATGGTTTTAGTTCTGACAGATCTGACGCCTTCTAACCATCTCGAACATCAACACTCCCATCAGTGTTCTAAGTGCTGCAAAAAGCACGTTCTGAGATAACCGATGGGATGACCAAAAAAAAAAAAAAACCTGATGAGAAAGAAACCCGCATCGAGCATTATGTTGCATCAATTTACATCACTTTTCCTCTCACGAGCATGTCACAGTCGAAATCCATATTGATCGACATACTGCTGAGGTACACAAATACTTTAATAGGCATACATATAATTCTGTTCATAGGACGAGTCAAATCATACCCTTCAGAATCACTGGACGAATCATTCTAGCTTCATTTAATTGACTGACCAAAGGTCAAAATTTGTCTCCAAGGCATTATGTTGGTCCTTCACTGATTCATTTCAGATCACAACCTATACTGTGGGATTGTATAATCAGAGACAGGGTTAAGGATGAGGGTTAAGGGAGATCTTTGGAACTCCTTGTGGCTCATTACACTAGCACTTCCCCAACGTTGTCTAATGATCACTTGGAAAGGATTCCTCTGGTTACATGTCACATCTGTTGGGAGCGGATGTAAAAACAAAAATGTCAATAAATTATCCAATTATGACGGTGGATTTCATTATGAGGACACAAAGTAGAACACCACACGGTCATAAACCCGATATTTCATACTATAAGATCCTAATAAGAAAATTTTAAGAAGAATCAGTGAATAGCTATTCAAAAAACCCTAAAAGGCGTCATAATACCTCGATTTTTTTGTAGAAAATCATCCAACAGGCAAGACCAAAAACTAGACTACACCTTTTGCAGCGTTTACATTAAGCTAAAACATAAACATTTAGTAAATTGCGTTCAAGAAAGCCTAAAGAAGGTTTTCCCTTCAAACAAGGATATCAAGATAGAGCGGAAGTACTTTGCTGGTGCATTATGGTTTCAGTACTCAACACATATTCTGCATTTAGAGGTGTGCATGTCAATGCTGTCACACGCTATAAGCATGACAGCTATAACCGAGTTCACTCTTACCTAATTGGCATCGAGCTCTCTTCTTTTAAAAATTAGTTTGCTCATGGTTCATTGATGAAAAAAAACATAGCAAGAAATACAAAAATAAAGGAGAATTCCAAAAACATAGCAAGAAACATAGCATGAGGCAATAGCTCACAAGTAAATTGACCGAAATAGAATTCCAAAAAACAGAGCAAAAATGTATATAAGTACCAAAATGATGAGAGCCTCCCAAGATCAAAGACATCCCATGAGTGGACGGACAGGGTGTTGGTAAGTCACATCTAACCCCAAAGATATGCGATAAAGGAGAATATTCCAGAAGGGCACTTCCAACGATGATAGTGTGTATTTCAACAATCAAGAAATCCATGACGACAATTATGGGTGTGGGGATCAATTGGATACACGTGTAGATGGAGTTATGCACTGTTTAATTGGGTGAGAAAATACATTATGGAGGAGAAGATACCAAGTCTTCTAATCTGTTTGAAACTCCTCAACCGAGTGGCAACACGATTCACCATGGGCCAAAGTCAGTCTCCAAGCTACCACATACATGATAGACAAAAAACCACGAGCTAATCCACAATTTCAAAAATCGCTTATCCATGGCCATGGATCTCAACCGACTTTTGTAAAATATAATGCTCATAACCTTCCCTCATAAATTGTTTAACCCATTCATCATTTATATAGATAGAACTTCAAGAAATTTAAAACAGACGATCATTGCTGAGACTAATGTCCTCCAAGATTTCAGCTTTCCTTTTGCAATAAATGAATTTCCTCGAAGCTCGGATGAAAAATTAAGAAAATGAACTTAAGCCATTGCTTTAATCAAATCACTTATATTTAACACCTGAAATATATTTTTTATTTTCTAAGATAAATTAGTTTAGTGTAACCTCTCTTTCGCGCCTAGTTAATGAGCTAGGCTGGTCAACAAAATTCGAGTCTCAAAGGGATCGCATATAAAGTTTACACGACTCCGTTATAACAATAGCTTACTTCTATCCTCCCTGATGACATGTAGGTATAATATCATGAATACAGTCATGAGTCTAGAGCATTGATACAAAAGGCAAAACTGAATGAAGCTTCCACTGGTTATTCAAGGAGGGCGTCTAACAACGTTTAGCAATGTTCTCATTTTCAAACATGGGACACTGTAAATCTCCCACATTCGTGGCAACCATTTTCTTCACACCAGATAAAATTAGAAGAAAAGGAAAATTTAAAAAAAAAAAGAAAAAAAGTGCAACAAAACCATATGTGAGAGTCTAGTCCGTGCATTCCCAATATCGGGAAGTTCTCTTCCTTACGTTTGACCAATACACAACCTCTTCAAACATCATATTTCTAGCACTCGACTTTCAAAAAAAATCAAAATAATTTTGTCTTCATTTCAATAATGCAAAAGATAAATTCATGTTAACAAAGTTTCAAACAAAAAGGTTATAAAAACGAACTCATTCAGATAATAGATGATAATTAAACGTCAGTAGTATACAGTCTCCTGACATACTTCAGGATGATCATCCCTCAAATGTAAAAAAAAATAAAATGGCGACCAGTCAATGAGAAGACGGACTATCACAGGCAAATAAAATGGTGTTTTTAATACATGCAAAGTGCAAACCTCGAACATTTCTAGGTTTGAATAGTATCCACTAGACAGCCTCTTTCTCACTGTGCCAAAATCCATTGGATGCGTGATGACATCGTGGTAGTCTGGAAGCTGCGATTGTACAAATCCATTTTTAAAGATTCAGTACGCAAGGACCTCCACTCTGCTGGCGTTTCATGGCAAAAAAGATAAACTTACCTCAGTCGGATCTACTGGCTCTGAGAACACACCGTAAGTATCCTTCCTGAGGAAAGATCATGAAAGCCTCGGTAAGAATAATGCAAACATCCGCAGGTACAATACACCAAAAACATAAAAACAAAACTATAAATGTAAATGATGGCTTATATCGATCAGATGTAAGATCCAGAAAGGAATCATCGTCGCTCACTTCTGGAGCCTATCGAGAATGAAGATCAACAACTTTCTGTCCGGCAAAGGCGTTGTGAGCCCGGGATCCAATAGCTCCCCTGCTCAGATAAAATATAACAATCAATTAACAATCAAATATTTTCATATCAATTTTTTCCTTGCGGTATTGATGAGAATAAATGCATGGCGATAATACCTCCCATCGCTTTCGAGGAAGAGCTGCATCTTTCGGTCTGCATGTTTAAAAGGAAACAATTCCAAAGTAAGGCCGCTGATCGGGAAGTGCATAAAGCTGGAAAAAGTTGGGGAAAAAAAAACGGACCAGGAACGCTTGATAAATCCCAAAGAGAAGACGCAGGGAACGAAAACAAGAAATTGGACTTGAATCGTAAATGGAGATTGTAGAAGATAGGGAAAGAAATGGACAAGATTCGGTTATTCGGCTGAAGAATACATTACTCCGTAATATAAAAATCAAAAACACAACGCCAGACGAAACCAGATACACGAGAAAACTTGAATTTCAGATAACGATCGGTTGGACTAATGAGGTAAAATCGGTGGATTGTCTGCTTTCGAAGTCAACGGTAATCGGAAAATTGCCCCAGGTAAGTGGCGAAATCCACGGAATTCCAGCGGAGTGATGACCAGACCCCTTGAAGATAATCGCAGAAAAGAATCCTCAAACCCCGTCCGAAAGAATAGAGAATGCGGATCCGCGAAAATCAAATATTTGTAAAGCCGCAAAATTTGGGATGAGGGGAGGCGAGCTTCACCTTTTCCCGAATAGATCCATCGCTACCGACGGCATCGATCTTCTTCTCCTTGCGCGGGGTATCACCGTCGCCCTTCGATTCCGGTCCGGACGACTCCGAATCCGAGTGGCCTTCCTGTGCGTTATCCGACTTGCTGATAATACCGTTGTTCTGGTGCAGACGGAGGACGAGCTTGAGCTTCTTTTCTCGCCTCTTCCCGCCGCCTTCCTCCTCGTCATCCTCTCCGTCCTCTGCATCCCCATCGGGCTCAGTGCTCCTCCGCGCAGTCCGGCGGCTAGGGGTGGAGTTGGGAAACCTGACGTAAGGATTCGGACTAGGGTTCTGGTCCCTCTTCTCCTGCTGCTGTTCTTCCTGCTGCTTCTGGAGGCGGAGGCTCCGCTTCTGGAGATCCAAGAGTGAGGGTCGGCCCTTCTTCTTCCTCTTCTTCTCTACCGGCTTTCCCATCTCGGACCCCGCCCCCCTCTCTTCCCCCCCCCCCCCCTCTCTCTAAACCAGGCTCGGCTTTTTCTTGTTTTCCCTGTCTGCTTTTCTCTCTCTGTGATCCGGTTTCTCTCGTTGGAAGTGTGAGCCGCTCCTCCTACTCGTAGCACGTGACCGTCATGCCAGCTTGATGCCCGAGTGCTGATCGACCTTCCTAGGCGCCACGTAGGCGGTCAACGATGTCCACAGTCACTAACTCCCCGTGACACAGCTCAAACATATAGTTTAACATCTCTTTGACATCTCTACGAAGAATTTTCCCCGCTCAAACATCCTCTCTTCATCGACGACGACGATGACTATAATTAAATAGTTGAGTCATATATAGTCAGTCAAAACTATAGTTCCCATGTTTATAAAGGTTTTAGATAATTAAATAATCGAAAAGTTTAAATATATATATATTAACATTTAATATTGTTTAACCAGTTAATCACAGATTTTAATCGAATTTATTCATTCATATGGTTTTTCTATATTCTTAATTTAGCGGTTCGAAATCAATTCACGATGAAGTGTCCTTTTTTTCTTCATATAATAAAGAAACTCCATTTTAATACCTAATTTTGTACCATACAAGCGTTAAAAAAATTGGGGTATTTGACATGTATTTTTCTCCTTTATATATCTGCATAGAATTCGGTCAAGTAGTCAACCATACCTCCTCAACGATAACCATAGTGGTTAATTGACCATCATATTTAGTCAAAACTATAGGCTCCGTGTCTACAAAAGTTAAATATAATTATATAATCGATACATTTTTATATATATTTTTCCCATCAAATATATATATTTACGTACCACAATTAAATGAGACTATTTCATCTAAGTTATCTGTTTTCGTGGTTTTTCTAATTTATTAAATCAATAGTTAAAAAATATTTCGTGAAAAAGCGACCTTTTCATTTTCCCTTCACATGATTGAAGAACTAAAGTTCATGATTTATAATTTTATTAATTATTTACTAATTCAGAACAAATTGACGAGAGTAGCTACCAACGATGTTCTATTTTTCACAATACACAAAAATATATTATTATAAGAAATATGGAGCGGACCATCATAAATTGAAATATATTGCCATTTGCGTACAATGTCTTCTCCATCTTAATAGGATCGTGATAATTATAAAATGCGTATATTCTATAAAATAGTAGAAAATAAAATGGTAGTTATAAGGATTTAGTGAAGGAAGTTGCATCTAAAAAATATTGTAGACTCTGTTCACGGGCAAAGCTTGTAATTCGTCGAAGGTGAATTTTACTTACTAATGTGTCATCGTGGAGAATGCATTCCCGGAATGCATATCATGACGTAGGAACAGCGCTATCGGGTATCGGTATTTGGTATCGATCGCAAGGAGGTGGGGATGTGAGAGGGCGCAACTCGCAGTACATCAGAGCCGTCGATTCATTACATTCCTGCCCTGTGTCGATCAGACGTTCCCTGTGGACGCTGCTACTGTTTTCACGTTGTCCTCGTGGCAGAGAGTGAGAGAGAGAGAGGCAAGCGTTCACAAGCACAATAGAAACACAAGCTGTAGGCGGGTCAATCAGAGACGAGGAAGAGTAAGGGGGAGAGAGAAAGAGAGAGAGAGAGAGAGAGGTGTGACCAATGGGATGTAAGTACCAGGATCGATGACGTGGCAGATTTCAAATCCCGCTCAAACTCGGATTTCATCTTCGTCGGTCGTTTGGATTTTAATTTCCCCCCACGTCCCCTCCGTTCGGCCCTTCTTATCGCGCTTTCGCTTACCGGAGTAGACGTCGCCGCAGGCAACTCTCTCTCGGTCTTCCCTTTCCTCTTCCTTTCGTCGCTCTACGAACCCTAATCTGTTTCCGATCTCCCCTAAACCTCTTATCTAAGGTGAGGCCTGCGAGATCGCTGCTTTCGCCTTCGTTGTATGGTGCTTTTTCCTTTTTTTTTTGGCCTCCGCCCTGATGGATGTGGGGGTCCTGTACAGGTATCCGCGATGAAGGGAGGAGCGAAGTCAAAGGCCGAGCCAAACAAAGCCGATAACAGGTTTGCGTACTGTTCCTTTTTTATCTGCCTGGTGTGATCTGTCTGATCCAGATCCCTATTTTCGGGATATTAGTATGCTTCTTTGCCGCGCTGGTCTGCTGAAGTTATTTTAGGGGTTGGATCGGTGGTGTTCAGCTTAACGTGCTACGGTTGCACGGTGCAGGCTTTCCGTGAAGAGGAAGGCTTCTGCGAGAACCAGCAAGAAGCCAGCGAAGAAAGCTGGGAAGGATCCCAACAAGCCAAAGAGGGCGCCGAGCGCCTTCTTTGTCTTCCTGTATGATTTCTGATCGCCTTAATATACGTCTACATGTGCTGCCATTGCTCGTTTTCAATCGTTTCTAACACGGACACGATTTGGTATTTATAATGAAGGGAGGGATTTAGGAAGGAATTCAAGGAAAAGTATCCAGAGAACAAATCTGTGGCCGCCGTAAGTTACCCCACTTTTTTCAGCTGGAACTTGCAATCATTCATTCTATCAGCTGATATCTTCAATTTTTTTTTCCTCTCATACGTTAGAATGCTTCACATAATACAGGTCGGTAAAGCGGCTGGAGAGAAATGGAAGTCTATGTCTGATGCTGTAAGCCACCGCTAGAAACATCATTACTGATACATCATTCAACGATCGTCTACAAACGTGTTGTCTTCATATGTTATTGATCAGTCGGGCCACGTTGGTTACGAATTGCAGGAAAAGGCCCCCTTCGTCAACAAGTCAAACAAGCGAAAGGCAGAGTTGCAGAAAAGCGTGGCCTCATCTGAGAAGAAGCAGGTGCAGAACGAACTACTTGTGAATACGCACTGGTTTCTCTAATTACTCGTCGATACCAACCATCCTTACTATTTCGTTTAACGTATGCCATTCGCTTTCGTGGACCTTGATCGTGTAGGAGACCTCCAGTAATGTCGTGGAGGAAGACGAGTCTGACAAGTCGAAGTCGGAGGTGAACGACGAGGGCGACGAAGAAAGCGGCGAGGTAGCCATTCATCCCACCTCCCTTTCTCTTCTCTTCTTTCGAACTCCAAACCTTTCGTTTGCCTCGCCATTTCAATTAATATCAAGTAAACGTGGGCACCAACTCTCGAACATCTTCGACAGGAAGAAGACGACGAGTAAATAGGAGCTGGTATGGGAGGACGCCGCGGGTGGTTCGCGGTCGTCTGGGAGCAAACATAGTTTTTTTTAGGGTTTTCCGATTCGACCTGTGTCTTTCTGAAGCATATGTCGACTCTGGAAGCAAAGAACATCTCTTCTCCCTGGTCTCCCGAAAGCTACTTTTGACGATCTGTGGATGGATCTTGGTACTTCAGATATCTCTTACCCAATGCCTCGACAGTCCTTCTGTGAATCTCGCTCCTCTCTAACATTTTCCTGTTTCATAGCTCGTAAGAGATATTCTAGATCTCCAAAATCCCATCTTGTGGGTCTGTCGGGGAGCGTCCAGTGGTCCTTGTCCTCCCGCGTAGGCCCACATAGTTTTTATCAGGACAGAAAAAATGATCCATGTGGCGTAGACCCATGTGCTCCACGTGGAGTCTCTTTGACATTATTCAGGCTACTTATCTTATAGGCGTCATAAGCGCATCTCTAGGTTTAGCACGTGAAATTGCTCGAGTCCCCGCGCGGCTTTTTGTGTGGTCTAGAAGATGAGGCGGCCACGTGGGCAAAGTTGCCCTCCAAATATGGGAAGACTCGGTATCTGTCTTATAGCTAATGATTCACTAACATTGACTTTGCTAACGGCAGTAGTCAACGTTTGAAGCTTTAAAGGGTATGTGCATAAATACGAGTTTACATGAGGTTATTAGGGAAAGTTCGGTGGGAGGGAAAAACCGGGCGCGTAAGAGATAAATAATGGGCGCGAAGTGGGAACGCGAGAAGGGAGGGGGGCATATGCCGGAAGAAGAATCCTGCGAGGGGTGGGGGGGGCACCAAATCGCGCGCGCCTTCCCTCTCTGCTCCCCACCTTCCCCCGGAGGTGCAGTTCCCTTCTTTTCCCCTCTCCACTGCTGCCCACAATCCAAATGGAGAGAACGGGAGAGTGCGTGCGGAGAATGGAAAGATGAGAGCTGCTGAAGGTGGGGAGGGGAGCCGCGGCGGAGAGAAATGACGTGGGCTTACTGCGGTGGTGGCGCCGGCGACGATGGTGGTGGTCTCGGAAGGAAGAGCGGGTTGGGGAATGGGGTGGAAGTGAGGTTGGGAGGCGGGGTAGGCGGAATCGGGGAAGCGGGGACGGGAATGGGAGTGTCGGTGGGAGGTGGGGGGACTGTGGAGGGGTTGCTGTGCATGAAGGTGATGACGGACGAGCAGATGGAGGTGCTACGGAAGCAGATTTCCGTCTACGCCACCATCTGCGAGCAGCTTGTGGAGATGCACAGGGCGATTACGGCCCGGCAAGATTCCATCGCCGGTGGGTCTTCCTCTCCGTTTTTTTACTTTCTCGTCCGTAGTTTCGATTCATCGTCACTTTCTCTTATTCTTTTCCCGCGCGTGCGATCCCTTTTGTTTTCTCCGGTGTATCGCTGACGAGACGACTCGTTTCGGTTTCCATCGTCGGTTGTTTCTCTGTGGAGACCAGCGGAGCCCACCAACGACGGTTCTTTGCGCTGCGAGTTTTCTGAACTCTCTGTGTTATTCATCTGTTCGTTGGTGCTCGGTTTCCCATTTCCATGGGATGTGCCGTTTTGATAGAGATTAACCTGTTGTGGCCCCCTTGCTGAAGGGGAGATTCGAGGCATAGATTCAATCGACATGATCTCTTTTCTTGTTGTATTTCTACGATGATCTTCTTGAAACTGTGCTCAGACATTGAAGACGATGGTCTCAAGAGCACAAAAAATCTGTGAAGTTCATTTTTTTTTTTTTTTTTTGCTTCTTTTCTTTGATCTTCCTCTTCATCTAACTTTGAACCGGCCCATATATTGCAATTCCTGAAGACATCTACTTTCATGTCGAACGAAGAAACCAGTTTAGCGATGCTCGAATGATGGGTACTATTAAAAAAATGATTTTTTTTCGCCCCACATTAATGTGACATAGTTGACCTTCCGCAATCGCTTTCGATATCACCCTACTTGAATCTCTGCCAGGCCCGGCCTAGAACCCATCGCTAGTAGCCAGAATAGTTTAGGATATTGGCACCTAATTGGGCAATTGATGCCTGGCTATGGGACTTTGTTCTGTCCCTGAGCTCATAAAAATGGTTGAAAGAAGAAAACAAACCTTCCCTCTGAGCTTCGATCTTAGTGAAAAAAAACAAGTCTAAGTATGGTGTAATGGATGAAGCAACGAGAGATCATCCGGGTTAGGCTTGATTCCCCTCAGTTCTTGAGTGAGGGACGAATGGGCTTCCTTTCTTACAGTTCTTGTGTTCTGTATCGTCCCTGACGTGGTAGTTCGTCTTCCACGATTCAGAAATGAGGCTGGGAAGCGTATACTGTGATCCTCTGGGGGCATCTGGAGGCCATAAGATAACTTCAAGGCAACGGTGGACGCCGACGCCCACGCAGCTACAGATTCTCGAGGGGATATTTGATAAAGGCATCGGGACGCCGAGCAAGCAGAAGATCAAAGAGATAACCTCCGCGCTGGCAAGCCACGGCCAGATCTCAGAGACCAACGTCTACAACTGGTTTCAGAACAGGAGGGCACGGTCGAAAAGGAAGCAGACGGTGGAAGGGTCGAAGAACGCAGAATCGGAGGTCGAGACGGAGATTGATTCCACGAAAGAGAAGAAGGGCAAGGCCGACAGATTCGGAGCTCTCAAGGGGAGCTCGCTGTTGAATGGCCCTGCGAGTTCTCCCGGAAGCTTCGGTCGCACATCCTTCTACGACTCCGTTGTGGGCAATTCCAGTATGAATGCTATGCCGCTCTTATCAGGCGCGCATATTTCTTCTTCTCACGTCGTTGTTTCGGCTTCATCAGGAGGCGATCAAACGATGGGACGTATGGAGACGTCGGCGAGTTATAGGCCTTTTGGGTGTGGAGGAAGCGGCTATGACATGGCTGGGTAACGCAGCTTCCTCTCGTGGGCGCCGGTTGAAGCTTACACGAGTGGGTCAGACCTAGGAAAGCTGTCTGAGTAAAGCTTGTTTTTTTGTTCACCTCTTTGCCGATGGAGATATACACAGCTCTTACTTTATATATATATATATATATCGACAGAGAGAGAGAGAGAGAGAGGGAGAGAGAAAGCTGTCTGCAAAGGCTTTTTTTGTTCTTTTCTTTGTTTGCATAATGGAGATACACCCAGTTCTCACTCTTACTCTGGATATATCGAGGGGGGGAGAGAGAGAGAGAGAGAGAGAGAGAGCTTTCTCCATGGAATCCATGGTATGCAGGAATGGCCGACCATAGTTGGATCTGAATAGATCCATCTGATCTTACGGGTTCTCATTTAGGTGAGATCGCTGATCAGGCGGTTGGAAAAAGGATACACTGCCATAATCAATTGCCGAGTTAGGACGTTATAAAAGGGTGTATTTTCTCGGTGTTATTAAGGGATGAAGAAATCGGGACGAAGATTCTGGGCGTTGCAGGTGAATAAACAGCGAAAACTATACATTACATACCTACATTTTTACATAACCAAGTTTGAGCATGAGAGGAGGCGCTTGCTTCTGGGCCTTCCCCATTTATAATTTACAGTTATTTACATGCTTGACGAAAAATGATGAACGATGCATGAGAAGAGTGAGAGAGGTGGCCTTCCCAGTTATTATGTCTTCATCGTCAGCTCTCTCAAGAGAATTCCCAGCGTGCGAACAGACTTCTGAGAAATAAGGAAACTCGGCGGCAGAATCATTGGATCAAGGAATGTAAGTCGGATGCCATCCCCCCTGGTTGTGTAATCAATCGTGTTCTCATCAAGGAACTGGGCCTCTCTTGGGTAATCTCAACTGCAGTGAGCAAAGAACAATCGGCAGCGTCGATAAACATACCGAAGCAGAGCGAAATCTAAAGAAAAAAAAAAAAAAATCAAATCTTCCGATCACCAACCTTCGATTTATTTGTGTCTCGGATAGCTGGGCCTCTCTTCGATGGTCCCGCGAATGCAAATCTTTCGATCTCCATGAAATCTGGGTCTTTACCATGGCAAATGGGCAAAGAATCCTGCCAAAGGAAAGCGATTATAGTCAGGGAGATTTCCATCTCACAATGATGCTGCTCCCAACCCATTAAGAAAATAAATTGAACGCATAATTCTAGTTACGGTAATTTCATTCAAATCTTGTTCGATTCATGGTCCATGAACGTTTGAGATAAGCTTGTGACGGAAATTTAAGCAGACAAGAAAGCCCTCAGCCATACCTCGTTCTTTGAGGCAAGATCAGGCTCAATGTGCAGACGTTCATCAAAAAGGAGGACCTGCATCATAAGTATAAAAAAAAAAGGGGTTGTCTTCTACATTGATTTTGAGTAGGACAATCGGCAAGTTTATCGTTACCTTGTTTAGCAAATGGGCATTTGATGCATCGGCTGCCATGATTTGAAGCCCAAGGCAAGTGGCTGATGTAATGCAGAAAGGACAATAGATGACCCTGAAAACACACCCATCTTCTTCGCTCCAAATATCTGGCTGTAGAGATTCTCCAAAAATGCGTCTACTAAGAACGCGCCGATCAACACTCGATATGTCAATGATCACAACAGGCACTTTGGTCAGTTCAGTCCTCAACAGAGATTCTGGCGAAAGTGTACTCGTGAGTCCATTTTTCAGGACGAATGACAGGCAAAGCTTTGAGGAGGGGACCGAAAAACAGGGCACGAGGAAGGAGTTCTCACTGAGCCCCAGTGAGCTTCTGCATGCTGAGCAGCAGAGATGCAGCTTCTTCTCGGTTATGGGATCAGATGACAGGGGCAATGGTTCCTGATGCTCAAGCTTGAGGGATCTATCTTTAGAGTCCCTTGGTTTGGTTGTCGTGTTCTCATCATCCAAAATGTAGCGAGACTCTTCACCAGCGCAATCAAATGAGCATGACCGGGTGCAATTACCGAGCTGAAATTCTGTCATCATTCTCCTTTTATGACATCGAGTGTTAACACTGAGAGATGCTTCCACTTCTGAATTGCGAACGCCATCATGTAATCTTTCTTCCAAATATGTTACGGAACAGGAACTCTCAAGCAGGATTTCATTCGAGCTTGAATCTGAAGCGAAGGACACTTGATCTATTACTTTGCTGTGGTCTTGAACAACATCTGCATGCGGCTTGTTGTCCTGAGAAACCAGTCCCATTGTAGCCCCAAAATAATGAGCAGAATCCTCCACAACTACACCGAGGTCCAGACAGTCTTCAGACAATGCCAAAGAAGTTGCCGGCAACCTACAAGAGAGTATGATATCTTCAATTTTGACGTGATAATCTAATAGTTGAATTTAGCAAGTAGTTATGATCACCTCAATGGTGTCTCGTTCTCAGGAGCGTCCTGAATTCCTTCTAGGAGAGGAATGTCGCCATGCCCAGTTCTGGCAGTTGTAAGTCTCACAGTCTCACCGCTGTCATTAAGCACAGCTAAATCTTCACTATCCCTTTCTCTTTCATTCTGGGCGCATAGCTGTTTTGGTTTCGGGATTTCTTCCCATTTTTCATCCTTGTTCACTCCTTTCTGGCTTGCATTGGGCATATTATCTTCATCTTTAAGAAAAAAATGTGAACTCGTTCTTGTGGTCTCCATGCCTTTCAGTTCCTGCTAATTAGTCGGAGAGATGCATCATCGTACCAAGAAAATTGGAACTCTAGACTAGCGCAAACGTGATGAGGCTCGGACCTTGGCATTAAGGAAGAATGATCTCAGTTCATCAAGCACTGTATGAAATGAGCCAAAATGTTTGATGGAATGCCCTATCCACTTCGAAATATATGCCAAGTTCCTCTCCTCCTCTAAGCGTTCATCTGCGCACAAAATAAACGGGCAAAACCAACATTAGCTAAAATGCCCAAGGAACCATTCATGGAGTTTGTCTCATCAATTCTAGGCAGTGCTCTTGAACGATTCCACATTGGGATACTGATATATGGTACAACTTTGTTACGGTCAGTGGGAGATTAACGATCTAGTATACATGATATGGACTACTATCCCAGTAGAAAGAATGAGTTAGCATTGCATGCCTAAAAGTACCTAAAAATATGACAGCACCGTAGTCAAATCTGTGTCGTATGCAGCGACCTGAAAAATTGAGAAACAGGATTGATTAGGTGGGAAGAAATAATTAGATACAAACAAAATTATCATGTAAGCAACATGGGACCATCTGAAACGATAAAGACAGCCAGAATGAAGGTGGCGTTCACTACTCTGAAAAAACGATATTTCAGCAATGTTAGAAGACAGCTGTGCTCTCGTGGATTCCAAAACTGAGGGCAGAGTCGGAAAGATACATATCCCGGTTTAAGATCTGGCTTAGCCATTCAACCTTGAGCGTGCACATTTATGACAAATAAGTCGGTTTCGTTAGATATATTCACGTTATTGATAGGTTTCCATGGCCATTCTTTACCGGGCTCTTGAACGTGCCTGATCAACACCCGTGAATTCGTAAATATAGTACCTAAAAATATGTGCACAAACAGGGGGATAGTTCAGGGGTTATGGTTGGTTAAGACACCAATTATGCGGCACCAGAGGTGCTCAATACGCTTTTGGATCTACGAAGGCCTAGTGGAGTAGATGAGTCATGTTCACTGACAATAAATTCTGACAAAGTAGGCAAACATGAGTGGATGATATCATGGAATTCCAAATTTTTTACACTTCAAGAGCATGACCTCAACTGTGAAACTGATCAAGTACATCTAAAGTCGAATGAGCATGACCAGTCACACAAAATCACGCTGAACTCTTCCACGTAACGAGAGGCAAGCATGGGCGACTCTTATGGCGGAAAAGATGGCCACACTGCAATTTTTTTTTTTCTTTGTAGTCCTGAAATGTGAATCTAACACTGCTAAGGGGGAGGTCATCCAATCCATAGAGTACCATACCGCATAAGGATTTACAAGTTGTCAACCTTCCTTTGATTTTAAATCTTCGAACCTTTTGTGTTATCGAAGTTAAATGTCAGCCTCTTACTTACTGAGAGACATAAGACAACAAAGTCTTCCAATTAGAGGCAAAACCAGTGCTCCTATATTGACTTTAATCAAGTAATAAGAGGATTTTTTTTGTCTTTCCTCATAAAGTCGTTATCTATTTTCAACAATATTTTGTATCAATATTTTTTCAACGGCACACCCAAGGAAATCTCTCAAAAAGTCTATAAAAAACAGAAGATACGAAAAAAATTAAAGAAGAAAAGAAAAGAGAGAAAGTTAAGGAAGAGGCAAATGGGAAAGAGAGTAAATAACAAGGATTACCAGACAAAAAAGAGGACTTTACAGGGAGATATACCTGCAGCCTGATTGAGGGCACGGAATGCCTGATGACAGTACCATTCACTTCCACCGAGGAGACTTTTGGATGACCTGTAGGTATCATTATATTTCTTCTTCAAAGCCACTTGAAGATCATTTCTGTAAGACCAAATGATCAGAAACAGAAATATCCAGAGAACAACCAAATGAAAAATGATGTCTAAGAGCTTACATGCTGGGGAATGGAATGCCAACAATTACCTGACTTTGTCAAGGCAGCAAATTCAAACAGGAAAATATAGTCAAAGGGTTCTACGAAACAATATTTTAAATTATTGCGAAGAGACATTAAAAACAGCTCTGCTATTTTCGTTGAGTCCAATGATGATAGGAAAGTAATGTTCCCAGAATTTACTAGGTATCATAAACTGATATTTTCGTTGAAATGGAAGCATCTAAATACATAAAGGATACAACAGCTCGAGCATTATCATCGGAAAAGTTAACTCCCTCTGACGCCTGGCAAAACAAATCACATGTTTGATGTAATGTGAAACGTTGCATTCAGAAGATTTCTGAATCAGAAATTTTCTAGCAAGATAATATGCCTCACATAAAAGTGCGAATCTAGATAATTTCCCCCTTTACATGTGATCTGGAATTCTTCCTGAATCAATGCCTAAGCCCTTAATGGAGACACTGTAAATTTGTTGGCAATACGTCTATGCTGGGTCAAACCCAGCTCGACCCAAAAACGATGCAAGTGCTCTTCAAAAAATTCTTAACGATTTCAAGTAAAAGCAGAAAATATCTGACTTGGGAGAAAATCGGAGATTTATTTTCTCATAAATAAAAGCAGATACTTTCCATTGTCTTCTTCATCTTGTCTTCATTCGATTGATTCAATACATTAATTTATATACAGTGTGCAGATAGCTACACACAAATGGATACATATATAGTCCACATCTACGATGCAACAATAAATGGGCAGTGTATAAACTCATACGGTCATGTTCTATATGTTCCAGGATTTAGAGTCTTCTCTTAGACTGAATTAGCTTCCATCAGCGGTCCAAGCATGAAATCATCGAAATTGTTCATGTCTATCATCAAGGACAGCTCATCAAATGAAATGAAACCATGGCTCCTTGGAGTGGAAAAATGAAATGAAGTTCGCCAGCTCATCAAGGATGATTTCGCGGAAGAAGTACCCATCTGTCCTTTCTTCAGTCTGTTTGGGTCACTTTTCTCTTTTAAAGAATGCCTCTGGAAAACCCCATCTACATCTGGTTCATCCACCCACACCTCATGATCAAGGACAGAGTCCTTGGTAGGCCAAAGGGAGCTGGAAAGGATCATTCAGAGGTTTGTTCTCCAGTAGGCCGACAGCCAGGGAAGGATCATCCCAGTAGTGGGTAGAGCGCTCAACAAATTTTTAAGCATGTATAAGTGATCATACTCACATTGCACCCCGTGCCCTGGTTATTTGGCCAACAGTGTATCAAGAAATATTAAATGGTGATGTGGGCAGGGGTCTAAGAGGAATACAAATAAAACAAGATATCAACAATAATGAAAGTTTTTGACTATTGGTGGTATTAGTCTCCCCACCATGGATGGAAAGAGAGAATTCACATTTGAATCCTGCCTTACTGAAAAAATGGAGTTTGAATTCCTGCACCTACGCTGACACTGGTTATGTTCCAGAGGCTTTATCAACCCTATCATGGATGACAAATGAGAGTGACCTGAAAGGGATTGCTATGACAAGCATGTTCCGCGATGATAGATATTATGTATGATGCTTCACTTGGAAAAATGGCAGGCTCATCAAAGAATAGTGCCCTAGAATGTTACTAAAGGAAAGGAATAAAACCTTTCCACGGCAAACAGCAAGGAGAGCAGCTCCCCGTCTCTTTGCGGAATCTTTACGATGCATTCCATAAAGCCTTTTCAAGGTACGCTTTTGTCTCTCCTTGATCTTTCCATGAGCAATAATATCAGTCCCACTGATTGAATTAAAATAAGCCTTCAAGGTAACCTCAAAGTCATCCACATTGCCTCTTGGCTCTGCAAAGGACCACAATAAATAGACATTCACCACAATATTTCATAGTTACTTTAAAACGTTTTTAGACAAAAAGTTCCACGAGGTAAAACCGTCAAGTGGTCAGAAGCACAATGTTTTACAAAACAGACGTTGATGAAGCCCATTCTATTTCATATTCAATGAGGAAGGTCTCAAATGAGCGGTAGCAGGCGCTTCAGATTTCCAAAAGGCAACCGTAAATAAACTTTTGTGCATCTAACGCGAGAAATAGGTGCATAGCAAATTCCCCCAACCATAGGCTTCCATACATTCTCAAAACATATCAATAAAAAAAATCTCTAAACGTCCAAGTATTTTAAAAATTACCCATCGAAATCAAAAGAAGAAAATATTGATCTCGTAGAACATATGGAAACATGTCGGTATCTCTTACCAATGAAAATGGGCTTCTGCGCATTTAATTGAGACCATTGTCCAGTCTGACGCCAACGTGAATGCAGCTTTTCCAGAAATTTATAGCTCGGAAAAAATACTAAAACCCCACCTGGAACAGCCTTAAAAATTTCTTCCAGGGAAGACCCAAGTTCATCCTTTTATAACAATTGCCATTTGCAATTAGTGTTAGCTGTTAGAACAGCACAAAACAATCCCAATGTGTATATCCAACGAAAGTACCTGGAAAGCATAACCATCAGATGTTTTGTAGCTGGCATTCAGACGATGACTCCCAGGGCCTCTGGATAGTCCAGCGGCAAAGAGCTGCATGAAACTGGTAATAAGAACACCAACAAATAAATTTCTAATAAATAGATGAATGAATATAAATTACCTCTCAGATAAAGTAACACACCTGTGATTCCACATTTATGACATGTGGAGCTTCCAAGCATACTTCAAACCGAGTCCCCAGTTCGGATGAAAACGAACCCATCGGAGATAATGTTCTGATCACCAAATACTATGCGGTAAATTGTAGCACTTGGAAATGAAACCAATCCAAATTAGGTTGCTTTGTGGATGTTTGTACACCTGTTATGCAAAGTTCTTACTCTAGGAAAACCTTGAGAAAACTGATTCATTTGCTGAATTTCACGAGTTTGGCATCCTTAGAACATAAAAGGTTATATCCTCAGGTTCTAGAGGCCTAACTAATGTGTAGCAGTATTTTTATTGGAACTAGTTGCTGATTTTTAATCTAAGTGAAATTGGTCTTATAAACAGAGGGTATTCCTCAGTCGCATGCAAGAATGGTTTTCGTGTAAATTATATTAAGAGAACTAAACAGTATCACTTAAAAGAAAATTAACGGAATAATATTGAAAATCTATTTCATATAAAATCTTGCCAACCTTGTCACGTAACCAGTTCCAGCTTATCCTCTTCGAAGAGGAAAGGATAAAAAGAGAAAAGAAACGGAAAAAGAAAATTGAACGAAATCCAATAAAAGGTAAGGGCAAGAAACAAAAAGAACTAAGAGAGGAGGAAAGGAAGTGAGGGGAAAGGGGAGTAACGTCAAAACTATTTTGGTAAGTTCCGTACCAATAGATGAAGTCGTTTTATTACAGCAATTGAAATACAGTCCATTTACCAAATACTTGAAGAAAGTTTCAGTCAGGTTAAACAATTTTAAACTCGTAATGTTAGATCTTGGGTGATAAAAGTCTTCAAGATTTATTTTGGCAGGATTTGATACTCTTCAGTGAGCTCATAGTAAGGATTTGTCTTTCTCTGTTCAAAGCCCTGTTGGTCAATCGATCTTGAAATTAATTTGGCTATTTAAAAGTTGGACTCGCCACTTTGATTTCTTCACTCATCTGAGGTTACATGTATGCATGTCTGGACATACATGTGTATTATGTGTATTCCAAGACAATCAAAATAAAGGGATGAAAAAATCCGGAATTGTTCAGAAATAGGAGCTTCGCATATCTTTTTCTTGAAAATATTTGCTTGACTTCAATATAAGGCAAATCAATGAAATAATTTGACTCATAGTCATCAGGTCATGAAACTTTTCCAGCCATTTCTCTGATACAACATTTAAAACTGGACGGAAAAGGCCAAATATATCTACTTCGATTATGGGTTGATTCAACTCAATAACACAGTTTTGTTGAGTTTCAAATATTCCGGCCATGGGAAAGTTTGACAAGATATCCAGGGGAATTTTGGCCCCCTATTGAACGGCTCTTCTCTTGCACATGATGGACTATCCTTCCATGACACGACCGCCACATCACCGCAGAGAGCTACTAGAGAAAGAAAGGAGATGAAGGACGGTGAAAAGGAACGCCTGTGACATAATGCCATGACATCACCAAGCGGAAGCAGATCAACGAGAAAAAGAAAGCAACATAGATAGGGAAGGATAAGGGAGGCAGCATATTCGAGGGCAGCAGAAACCCCCAGCTACCATAGGCACAACTCATTACCACCGAAATATACAATCTGATGATTTTTCATTATTTTGAGTTCTATGGGTCTCTCCTTTATGTTGCCTCTCTATTCTTGGTTGGCTCAATGCCCAAAACCAGCTAATTTTCAAAGTAAAAATCACTCATACTGGGTCAAACCGATCTCATGGTCAGTCTTACTCTACACCAGTCCATCTTCAGAAGCCCAGGTGCTTATAATCCATTAACAATCGGAGTAGAAAAAGTTGGGATAATGGTGTGCACAGACTACGACATTTTTAACATAAAGTAGCAGAACACGGGATCAAAGAAACAAAGCAATGTAGATGAGATGATATGATTCTATGTACCATGATGTTTTCTCTACATTTTTCCTTGAGCGGAAGCAAGTAAATTTCAGTCAAATGTTTCATATCTATAATAAAAATAGACAGGGCATAAACCTGTGTATTAAAAAAGCAACAACAGTAAATTTCTTCTAGTCAAACTGTATAGATTCCTTTTGACCATAATTACATCGTCATCAGCTTTCGTGCTTAAAGAACAACAAGAAACTCAAATGTATACGGACTTACCCAGAAGTCAGGATTACTGACAAAGACAGATCAGCCATTTCTTTAAAAACAATGCCAGGATTTAAGCACCACAGATTCAATGTATGTGCCCAGCTTTTAACATTATTACCTGTGTATCACCAAACAAACATATGGGTTAAAACAGCCAATAAAGAGAGGAACAAGGGGAGCTATTAATTACCTAAACAGCAATAATGGATAACAATACACTTTCTAAGGTGATGAGAAATTCCAAACATGATGAATACACGCTTTGAGGTCAACTAGTTATTTGAAGTTTTCGGAGATGATTACCCGACTGTGTTTAATGAAACACTTTGATTGCCCGATTAGTTCGTTAAAGAAGATCCTTGAGAAATTTTCGAAATCTAATCATAAACTGAATACGTATTTGGTTTAAATTCTGACTAAGCTGCACCTCAAAGTTTATGAAATTTTTTTGTTTATACAAAACGAAAGTTAGAACTGAAACCATAGTCAGACATAAAAGAGAAAGCTAAGCTCCTTACCATCTCTTTTACCGTATCGTTGCAATACTAGTTGATAATCAGTTGCATGAAGAGCATTTCCAGAGAAGAGATAGGATAATGAACAGAACAAACCTACACGATGAAATCACCTGTTTATTATCAAAACTTGCTTCTCATTCAATCAATTCCAAATACTATACCCTCAAGCGTTGTTGCTGATATCCCACTTAGGCACACTTGTCTTGTGCCTCCCTCTGAATAATCTTTGATAGCCTGCATGTGGTTAGTTGTTTGGTCATCAGAGAGAACCATAGAAATTGATAGAAACCGACAGAAACTATAATAGAACCATATGAACGGGCAATGACTGACATCAATCTTAGATATACCTTTTTCGCACATCCCTCCAAGATTGGGAAGCTCTGCAGACATATTCCAGAATCAGCAAGTTCCTTGATGGCACTACCACCAGTCCAACTAGCATGAACATCCAAATGATTAAAACTGTAAGGCCGGAAAATGCACGTCCAGTGCAGCAGTTGAATTAGTGGACGTAATCAACATTGCCAGCAGCAGTGACGAGAAAGACCAAAGAGAACACTGAAGGAGCTTACAGATGATGAAGTCACACTCAAGGACACTCCCTAGCTTAAAAAACGGGAATCTTAGTAGTTTAGGATTTCAAATTGTTAGAACAAAATGCTTACACAAGTATACACAAGGATGACAGATCTGACTGGTCAGAAGCTGAATGCATGCATAGTGCTCACATGGCTACAAGGATGGGGTGATTTGGCAAGCCCCAGTCACACCATTCAACTTATAATAGTTATCACTATTGTCGATCGCAACTTCTTTTTATAAAATCATTCTTTCAATGACTTCTCTTATGGCCCAGTGTTATTTCACTTATAAAGTATAAGTTTAGAGCTCAAAATTCTTGTACTTAAAAGGATATTTTTCCTAAAAGAAACCATTTTTGTCTCCAGCAAGATATCTTTAAACTTATTTCCACAAACAAGAGCTTTTTTTTAAAAAAGTACTTTTCTAGATACCAAAAAATAATTGAAATGAAAAATCACTGGGACACCAAACACAAGTTGCGCCTTTTTAAAAAAAAATAACAAATCAACATTCATCCATATCTAAAAGTTTTATTCTATTATAATACGATTAAAATCTTAGGTTCCCTATAAGTTAAAGCAAATTTGTTAACGATTTTATTAAATATGGTAGAGTTTAAATCAGATGAGCAGGTGACGTAATGTTTAAATTATTAAATTTTGGGCGAAAACAGGTATTTTGCGTAAGAAAAAAATCTAGAATGAAATGCAAAAAAGTTATTCCCAAAATCGTAATAATTCCGCAGCTTAAATGATTTAGATTCTAGACCTACACCTTAGAACGCTAGTACTCTCAAACAAAAGCTATGAAAAGAGTATGACTTTGTTTAAAAGTCGCAATACCAAAGATAATTTACTTCAGGAGGAAAGTTGGATACGGTGACCCTTGATTAACGATTTCTATTGATGGTTTTAGTAAAAAAATTCTATGTCAATGTCGGCACTTGATTGTCAACCAGTCAAATTGGCGCTATCCTTCTAATTATGGAAGTACACAAGCATGCCACAAGAATAAAAGATACTGAACTGCTAAAAATCCAGCTCACAGAATTCCCATTACAGAAGGATTGATATTTATTTTATTTTATCTGTCGCCTGGTTTGGTAATTTAAACTCTTTAGACGTGCCCCAGTTTCATTTAAAGATCTTTTTTCACAACATAATTTTTTTGTGTTTAGAGTAAAGCCCTGAAACGCTAATAATTCATTATCAGCATGCCAGGCTCGCTAAACAACTTTTCATCGAATGGATTCCTAATTGATTCAATAGGTTAATCAGTCTAAAGGATTTTTTTAACATTTTATATTTTATCAGGAAATTGCTGCAATTGATTAAAAGTGCATTAGAAAGCAAGCATTTCTTTCACTGAATTTCCATGTTTGTCTTGCCAGTTTTGCAAGTAATGAACAAAGTCCTTTAAGTAAATGACTGAAAGAAGTCACTGACCATGAAGAATAATGCTCAAAAACATGATACCCTAGGTCATCTGTCCTCCGACCTATCCAACTTATTATCCCCTGCACATTGTGGAGCAATCAGAAACTATCTTTATATGATACCTGTTTCAGTGATACCTGAAAACATACGCCATTATTTCAGTGATACCTGAACCATGTCATGCAGAGGCTGATATGTTGCAGAATCACCCGTGGGACCATGACATAGTTCCCCTAGTTCATGGTGCAGTCCTTCAAGTAAACGAAAATTTAACCAATCAAATGCATCAGTCATGTACTTTTTCACCAATACAATGGAGATTGAATACTGATGGGTGATAAGCAGGAAGTGAAAAGGCCATACTGTGTAGAATATCCTCATCTATATCCACGCTTGCAGCATCCCTTGCCATGTCCTCAATATTGCTACAACGAAACACCAGTTGTTACATAAATAAAAACGTATGTCGCTTTAAATGGCATAAGAAAGCATAATATACCAATATTATACCTACAACAAAAATAATCGTAACGCAAAAATAATCTGAGCTAAACACTTGAACTAATGAGAAGGTAAGAAAAAATAAGAAGTAAAATTTGTGAAGGTTCAATTGTGGAAGATGGAACAACTAATTCAATACCTGTTTAAGAATAGCAAACAAGCAAGTTGAAAGTGGTTTATATAACCATTACAAAACCAGGGAAATCGGACTTACTGGGCTTCATCAAGAATTAAGATGTCTCCTTTAAGGTCTATCTCCATTGCTTTCCGAATGATTGGATTTATGACGTAGTTATAAGGGCAGAAAACCAATTGAGCTTCAGTGGCAAGAGAACGGGCTCCAAAATATGAACAGCCTACAAAAGAAACAATATTGTCAGAAAGGCCTTGGAAGACAGTTGGGGGGCTGTATATCTATCTATCTATCTATCTATCTATATCTATATCTATATTTATATCTATAGATATATAGTAGTTTGAAGATTAACCTTTTACACTTCGACCAATTTTCACCAGATCTTCAATATCGTGAACTTCGTGGCAGCCACCTCTCTTAAGGGAAGAATGTTCTTTGACTCTGTTTGCATGTCTGGTGGACGGGCACTCTTTTAGGACTAAGTTTTACAAAATACCATATGGAATAAATTTCTCAAATGAAAGGGGATGCAACTTACTTAAATTCCATGCACCCCATTTCTTCATCTTTCAAAAGCTTTTTACTAAATTACAGAACGAAAAGAAATGAAACGTTATGCCTTAAAAAGGAGAAAGCGAGGAAATAAGTAACTTTCATTTGATCTTATAGCTGTACCAGTTTTCATCCACATTGTCACTTATGGATATGACTTGGTTTGTGCAATAGTGCCTTCGAGATGCCTGAAAAACAGTGGTTCCAAGAAAACTCCATGAAAAGGGACAGTACAAAAATCAATCCCCTGTGGTAAAAGAATATTTCTTTGAAAAAAATTCAATGCACAGAGACAAAAAAATATATAGAATCAAGCGATGAAATCAAAACACGTGCAAATGGCAGTTGTTAAAAAATAGAAAACAATCATAACACCACCTTACATTTCTGGGCATCTTTTTGAAAAAAAGTGAAGAGAAAACAGGATTAATCTTTTGGATGAAGTTGAATGTGCATTTTGGTAAAATATTGCCCGTTGAGTCGTACCACTAAAATGTAACCCATGTAATTGCACTTGCCTCATTTTTTAGTTGTCATGAGGTGAGTAATTGCAGTTTTCATCAAGTACCCCGTCCCACCCAGATTCTTAAATAAAATCGAATTTCCTCTTCTCTCGTCATCATTAAATAAACAATACATGAAGTCTGTGATGACTCCATTCATTCTTAATATAACGCAGTACTTTTGGAAAAACATCACTTTGGGATTTACTTCTAATTTATAAAGCAGTTACTGGGAGCAGCCAATAATAGGATTGGATACATCAAATAATGCCCCGGAAATAAAGTTGACCGGCGCGACCAGGCAATAATACAAGATAGACTGAGACTTAACCGTGACCAACCCACGAATCCAGACCAATTCGAACCCAACCCCAACACACCCCCCCCCCCCCCCCCCACAATGAGACGCCCAACCCCCTCCTCCCCCGCTCCCCAACCTTCTCCGTCCTCCACTCCTCTCCTACAGCAGACAACGCATCATCCATTCGCTTCATCCCCCTCCTCCACAATCCCGCCCTTCTCCACTTTCCTCCTCTGGCGCCCACAACCCTCTCCCGCCCCCCCCAACAAACCAATCGACCCTCTCCTCGGTCCACCTTCACCCTTTCCACTGAACCATGTATCCTCCAGAGAATCTCAGCACATCCCCAAACTTCACAATTCTTCCAAGCAATGCCAGCCAAACAGGAACCAACAGAATTTTTCTAGGAACCATTAGCAGCCCACTGACACATGAAAACGATGGTATAGATTCCTGCAGATGACGTGACAAATAATAGGAGTAGTACAGCCAGATGACTCACTACTATTTTTTCTATCAATCGATTGCCACACTTGCACCCTATTGACGTCCATAATCGATACCAGTTTTAACTCCAGACAGAATGCCAGAAGCGTACTGTAAAACCGATGCGTGGAGGAAACCAACTCAAGTAATTTTTGACAGCAGGCATGTCACTGAGATTACATCTCTATATGTATATACTGATACATAGCCAGAAAGCATCAATATAGACAAGGAATGGAATCTCTATGGTCCATTATGTCCAGCAATCGACAAGTACATACCAGGATTGCCATGGGCACGCGGTATGATGTTCTGCGGTATTCACTGATGACCTGACTTATTTGAGTATGAGTCCTCCTGCGGCAACGCGCCCAACAGAAATTGAGTAAGTTTCATTCAAGCATCGACAGGATGCACGTTATTTTGTTTAAGATCGTTATACTCACGAAGCATAGTATATCCTAGGAGGCGCGTGTTCCTGGTTTTCCCCATTATTTCCGAGTATGGGGGATGGATTTTCTGAATAAAATAAAGGGCGAGGAGCACAATCGTAAGACGAGTGGAGGGAACAATTAAGGGACGCGAAGATCAGTGGAGAGAGATTCTCACGCGATGATTCTGTGTCTGGAATGAACCCGCCTCCATCGACAAATGGATCAGGCCCTTCAGGGGCAGGATGTGCCTGGGCATCCTTCCCTACGGACCGCTTAGGCGGTGATGGTGGCGGTGCAGAATACCTAGACAAGTAACTCTTCTGCCATGCGAGGGTGGAGCAGAGGAGAGAGAGGGTTTTTCCGGTACCGGTGGGTGACTCCAGGAGGGCGTGACAGTGACCCTGTTTCTGCGCCCGATCGAGCGTGGATATCACTCTCCCCATGAAGGCGAGCTGGGAACCGTAGGCCTTGTGAGGGAAATCCACAGGAATCCCGCCGATCTGATACACATTGCGCTTCGTCTTGTCGTCGCCTTCCCCGACGGAAGCTGACGCTTCCATTTCTCCCAACCTTCCTCTGCCTTCTTCCCCCGATGCGCACAGAAGAGAGACAAGGGCGGGCCGCGATGGTTTTGGCGGGGTTTTTCAGCCTCTTTACGAAAAAGTCCCTCTTGAAGTTACCTCATCCAATAAATTCCAATAACTTCATATAATCTCCCATATGGGCCAGACCCAATCTTTTCCCCATGATGTCCCCATAATGTGGGCTGAGCCATAAAACAACATGAATGTTGCCGACAGATATACAAATACGTGTGCACTTAAACGGTGCATGGATGCCAGTACAGGGACACGTACCCCATTCTTACAATGTTTGTCCGTGATAGTTAAGAGCAAATGGCTATGGGCCCTATGGGGTCAGACTGGATGGAAGGAAGCGGTGATGTGGTTACTTCTCGTGCGAGGCGTCTGGCCACCTGTATCGACGGCAGGCAGGTCGGGTTCTTCCTTGTAGCCAAGCGAAGATATAAATATGGGCGGAATAAAGAGAGGAAGACAAGGAGAGAAGACCGGTCCTCCTCTCTTCCTCCTGCCGTTGATCTCCCGTCCAATCCGATGAGATGAGAACCCTAATCCCTGGCTTCGACGCGGTGATTTAGGAGTGCCGAGGAGCTCTCTTCCCCGCCTTTCGGATTGATTCCCGCATCGCAGGTACCTCAAATTGATTAATCTGCCGAAGGGCGGAGGTTTTGGGCTGTTGAATCCTTCAATTGCGGAGGGTTTTGATCGGCTCTGACCATACAGTTTGAGTCTCCGCGGCTCACTCCGCTTCGGTGAGTTGGTGTCTAATTTTCTCAGGTTTTTTCTTCTCCCAGATTGATGACAATTGCTAGATTTAGGACGAAGGCATCGAGCTTGGGTCTCAGATGTAGACAATTCGAGAAGAGTTCCGGAGAATTCTTCTTTCCCTTGCCAGTCCTCGCATGGTTCAGACTCCCTCGGTCATCATACTTTCCAGCGTGACAGGGGACTCTGGCGTGGGGGAGGACGAGGGAGGCCGAGTTAAATCTATGGAGACTGAAGCGACTCAGGCTGATCCTGCTGATTACGACTCTTTACTGCCTCCACGCAAGCGTCTTCTGGCCGGGATGAAGCGGCAGAATTGTGAATGCTCGCCGCCTATCTCCGATGACCTCATGGGACATCTTCATTGCCTCCTAAATTCTAGCGAATTAACCCCCGAAGAAATCGTGGAGACCGTGAGGTCAGCAGCTCTGACTGCCGCCGAGGCTGCAGCTGCCGCCCGGGTGACCGCAACAGAGAAGGCGATTGCCGCAACGAAGGCGAAAGCGTTTGCGAGGAGCGTTCTAGAATTGGTTGCTTCTGTTTCAGGAGATGAGTATCGCACGAAAATTCGTCGAAGGCGAAAAGCTATCAAGAAGAAACATATCCCTGTTGAGTTACTTTATAAAGTCAAACATCCGCTGGACGAGGAGCTAGCCCGAAGATTGCACCGCACTATGAATAGTTCCACGAGGATTTCGAGAAAGTTGAAGAATGTGGGTGAAGCTTCGTGGAGAACTAGAGATAATGAAGGTGGCATAATATATAATGGAGATTCAGCTTCACTTGTTGAAGATCACAGCGAATCAAGTGACGGAGGCTCTTCGGAGAAATCGGGTGGAAGGATTGTGATGCGCTTCAGAGATGAATATCAGGGGAAAGTGGCAGAAGATTGGGAAGTCCCTTCAAGCCATCAGTGTAAGGGTAATGGTTTTGGTCACGGGAGAAGAGGAAGAAATAAGCAAAAAGGAATCTCTCTGAGCCAGTGTAGCCCGAGAGTTAATGAATATCCAGGGGAAGTGACACAGTCCAGAGGTGATCCGTTGAGTGGAGAACCAAAATATGATACCATCGAAAATATGCATCTACCTGCGGAAAAACAATCAGATGAGGGAGAGTTATTATTGGAGACTACGTCTGTGAGGAGGTGCAAGAAATTTAAAATATCTCAATGTCATTCTGAAGGTGAGAACTTGCGGAGTTTATGCTCAATTCCTGTTGTCAAGGCAGCGACTGCATTGGTTCAAGTCGATTAGAGCCGTGGACGTATTTACACCCCAAAAAAATATCGCCACCTTGTATTGGATCGTCATGCAGGTGGCAATGGAGCTTGAGGATTAGTAATTTGAAAAGAAGACAAGAGACCTGCTTGGAGCAGAAAACCCTATTCTGATCGCGATCTTTTTCTTGGATAATCTTTATCACATTTTTCGAGTGCTTTGTGAGAAATACGTGTTTATGGTGATGTCTGCCATATTACCGTCCTCCATTGTTGAAAGATCTCTCCTCGTAGCCTTAGGGTTGTGTTCTGATCAGTATGAAAGACTGTATCCGAAATTTTGATCCTTTTTCTTTTTTCTTTCGTGTTCTTTTGTTTGTGGATCTTGATCATGTTGAAAATTATAGCTTTATTTGAAGATTTACACTGTCAGATGATAACTTCTGATGCAAACATTAAGAGAAAAATATAAAGTGGTTATATATTATGATCTCTGCCAATTTTTCTTATCATGTTGACCGGCAGTTTACATTATCTGCTCCCAAATTGTGATTTAAATTGTGTTCGACGTATCTGGTAGTCATTTGCAATAGCCGAGAGAAGATGTTTCACAATTAATTCGTCTCAAGAATATTGCATGCAACGTGGAGAACATGCCAGTTTTTCTCCCGCCCTGAAAAACTCTCATGGTTAAACTCTTTCATCACTTCCTTTGTATTTTCTTTGGACAGTCTAACATCAGCTATGTCAATCTCTTTACCTGTCCGAATCAATAGAAATGACTGACCTAAGTTTATAGCTGGAAACCGACGCCCACACCACACTACTGGCAAAGTATTTTATGAGAGGTAGAGGATATTAATGGCAAAGGAGTCTTCTCTTGAGAAAAGAAATTAGGGCCTTGGTTATGGGGACTTCCTGACAGCGTTATCTGTCAATGTTCTGAGCAAAAACAGCGTCCTTAGAACATGGCATCTTAAAAACCACTGGCAGTTTCCTTCATTTCTGTCCAGAAAATGCTGGCATTATTCATGTCTAACTAATATCTCTTCAGAGTAATCCGAACACCATAGAACATTGGAGAATAGATTCCAGCAATGCCCTGTTTTGTTGGTCAATATTTCCCCTGTTTCTTGTGTGGTGCGGAGGTTACCTAACTAACCCACTTAAAAAAAATGAAGTCCACGTGACGATGCTCCCTTCCCCGTCCATGATTAAATGCATTGAGCTGGGTTTAGCCACAAACCCTGGATCAAAGCTATGTCGTTGACTTAATGTGGTACTTGCCGCGGTGGTCTCGGGTCATTTGAGAACTCCCTCGGCTGTCAAACACGTGCTTTAGATGATTTCCTCAACTTCCTTTGTCTATGGAAAAAAAAAATTAACTTCCAAGCATTTCAACCGTCGCAAAAAGGGTCTGGATCATGTAAACTTCTTGGAGTAAATTATCGTTGAATGCATTAATTAAATAGGGTTGACTTGATCGTATCCCCCCCGTTCTCAGCAAAAGATAACTGCGGTCAGTTGACTTTGTTTTTTACAGGAAATTCAGTCACTTGATTACTCCTGGTGCACTCGATTCATTTTACAAACTGCTCATCTGGGTCGGCCCACCCGAAGCCCGAGTCGGAGCAGTACAGTAGCGAGCTGGTTGGTAGATTATCTATAGGGGGGCCCCACGGGAAGTGCACGCCTCAGTGAACCCATCATCACATGTTGTACAGTTGTGGCTCATATCAATCGTCGGAGTCAACGGTTGCAGATCGAGCGGGGAGATCCACCATCGGACAGGAGGAACAAGACGAAGCAGAAGAGTCGTCGGCTGCCGTCTGTCAGTCGATGGCGTTGGGGCCGGCGCAGGCGTTCAAGATGGGGCTCCACAGCCACTGCACCAAGAACCTCCTCCCGGCCCGCCCGTTGACGTTGAACTTCCTCCCGGCGCCGTCGGTCATCACCTGGCCCGCGTACCCCCCGCCGCCGCCGGTCCCGTAGATTCCCTCGCAGAGGTCCGCGATCTCGGTCGGCGCCGTCGGGTCCTCCCCGGCGTACCAGGAGTTCACCAGCGGGTCCGTCGAGAGCTCCGCTAGCTCGTGCCCGATCACGCTCACCATGCCGTCCACGCCGGCGTCCTCGTTGGGCGGGGCCATCGCCGCCGTGCCGACCATGTACTCCGGCACGACGAAGGGGTACGCGCACATAGATGGGCACTGGTCGCCGCTGTTACCGACCCAGGCGTAGGGCAGCGTGCGTCCGGTGATGGAGGGGAAGGTGAAGTAGTGGAAGCCGCACACGGCCCGGCAGAAGTCCTGCATGGCGACCTCCGCGGCGGTGAGGACGAGGTACACGCCGCCGTCGTCCCCACGGCGGCCGGCGACGGCGTCGGCGATCACCCGCTGAATGTCCAGGCGGGTGAGGGAGCTGCCGCGGGAGCAGAGTGGGTCTGAGGTCTCCCCGGCGATGGAGACCGAGCGCGTCACGTTGGCGCCGGTCTGGTCCCTGTAGAGGGCGGCAGTGGACCACCATTCGTGGACGGAGGGGGAGGTGGAGGAGGCGTCGGAGATGGAGTGGAGGAAGTCCCGGATGGTGGACTGCTGCGCCGGCCTCCATCGGCCGTACCAGATGAGGTAGATTCTGATGGGTGCGGAGAGAACCGGACCCATGTGGTACCGCATATGCACCAGCTCCGAGGATCCCTCGTACCTCTTCGAGCCCCCGAGCTCCCTCTCGCCGGAGATGCGTCGGCGGAGATGCGTCGCCGACGGGGCCAGCCGGTGGCCTCGGGCCTGGCAGCTGAAGAGCAACAGGATGGAGGAGACAACAAGGAGTATGGAAAAGGTGAAGGTGTGCCGCCTCATCCTCAATCCCCCTGTCCTCTCACTGGGGAGACCACGACGAGGATGCTAGCCAAGGCGGCGCGTTTTAAAAGGACGCCGTCGGCCGTGCTTGCTCCACAGACAGCACACGTCGGCGAGACACAGAGAAGGAGAGAGAGAGAGAGAGAGAGAGATTGTTCGACATGGGCTGGCAAAGGTAGCTGGATACAACTGCCCTGTGGGCTCAGTGTCCGCTGCGCATCCCCCGAGCAGGCTGACTATTCGTATCTGTGGTGGGGTTTCTTCGGTTCCGGCAGGGGCTCAGGGTCGGCTGACGAGGACACCTGTTCTCGACTGCCAGCGACGCTCTCTTTCCTCCCGCTCCTCCGACGGTCGCCGCCGCCGCCGACCAGCCGACGACCAACGCTAGGCGCCTCCGCACGCTCTGCCCCGGACTCGCTGCAAATAATAGACCGGTGGACCACCGGACGCCAGACCCAAGCTAGGCTCCACGCGGCTCCCTCCTCCGTGCGGTGTAGTGGGAGGGTGGGGCAAATGGCGAGACCCTCCCCTCCGGCTTCGTTACTCAACGCACACCCAACGTATTTAAGAATCTTGCCTTTTTAAAACCGCGTTTCAGACATCACTGCCGCTTGATGGTTGACTACCCAGGCGCAAGAAGACGAACATCGAGTTAGCAGCAATTTAGTGCCATTTCGAAAACCCTAGGAAGAAAATATTTGGTTCAACAAAAGCTGGAGTCGCCCGAAAAAAAAAAGGTTCTCTTTTTCATCCCTTGAATTGGGTCTTTGTTTGTGATCACGTCAAGTTCGACCCACAAAACCCACAATTTATGTAGTGCAGTTTGCGAGACAACTCTCACCTACGCAGAATCTGATTGGAAGAAACTGAGAAAAAAAACGGCTTATGCCAAGTAATCTCTCACAGTAACCTGCAGCCTTGCTACGCCGCTGAGAGAGAGAAAAAAAAAGGGGTCGTCGTCCGGATCGCAGGCGCATTCGGCAGGCGTAAATCTGAATAAATTGCTAGAATGTGGGAGCGGAAGATGGAGCCACAGGTTTGATAAATTATCGGGAGGGAGATGGAGAGACTCATGGCCGAGTTTGATGGGAAGTGAAGAGGACACGTGTGAATGGGCATAAATGCTTCAAGAGATGAGGAAATAAGGTTATAAAAACGACTTTGTCTTCACATGCCAGCCCCCGGAGCTCATTCTGGACCGCAATTATGCTCAGTTCAACGCCTTCGTGAGGGGCACAGAGGATGAGTGGTAGCTATCTGAGAGTTCTGCAGCAGGGGGGGAACCCACTTGAAGTCCAGAAGGAAGTCAATGAATGATGGTCCATCTGAGAAAATTACAAGAGAAATAAATGAGCCTGACCTAAGGGAGATGAGCCCACGGCCGGAAGCCTCAGAACTACCTAATAGCAAGTTATGATAAATATAGAAAGGAAAACTGACGGGGAGGATTTTGTTGAAGCAAAATTTGTTGAATTCCGAGACAAAAATGGAATTCTTTGAACAATTTTGGAAGAAAAAGCACCCGGTGGTGCAGTTGACTGCAGTACAATTTAATCACGAATATACCTTTAAAGACGGAGTATAGAACAGTCAAGCTGGGGAGACAATTCAGAGGCTAAATTTTCAGGGGGAATTGCCCGGCTGTTGGGCATAACGTGTGGTAATAGGCATCTTCCTCCGACGAACACAAATCTGTCTTCTACAACCCCTTTTGGTGCTGATCTCTTTTCTTCTTCGGATTGACCGGAAATCCCCCCCAGACACAGGTGGACCGATAGATAGGCTGATAACACTAATGTTTTATACTCTTCATCTCCTTCTCCCTCTCCTGCTTTATTTATCTTCAGAGGTCATTCTTCCTCCTCAACCATTAGCCAATATTGCCGCTTTGCCCTTTCTTTTTCAGATGTGTCAATTCCCTCACCAAAGTAGCGAGAATCGATATCATCCACACATGCTTGCCATCATCCCATATGATGACATACATGATGATGAATAGATCTAGATGGTTTCATGAACTTTTTGAAACTTGTTCAATTTTGGATCACAAGAAGGGAAAGATTTGTCACACATGATTCAACTAAAGAAATGAGGAATTTGTTGAGATACCCTCCTCCCCATGTCATTCATGTTGGAAGTGATTAGGACCATCACATGGAAAGAGGCTCACCATCGGTGAAAAGGCAGTATAGGTACGAAGCCACATCACTAAGGGAGGACATTATAATGTTTTAGAAGATATCTCCTCAAGGAGAAGCTTAAAGATCCATCATCTCAAATTCAGCTTCTCTCTCTCTTATTGTCATTATCACTCTCTCTCCCTCTCTCTCTCTCTCCTTATCTATATATATTTTTTCTTTATGAGAAAAAATAACTCTATCAAATCAATATCAAAGTCATGCTTCTCAAATCAAATGACACAAAAATTGAATATTTATAAGATCTTGAAATTGTCTACTGAGATATTTGGGACTCCAACAAGATATTTACCATATTCCAAGCTAATGTCAAGGAGATCTAAGACAATTGTGATGAAACAAAATTTACAAATGTTATTTGCACCATCAAAGTCCTCCATCATCAAAATACATATGCAAACCATTGTCATAGAGAATACATGGATGACTAGTCTTCATGCAAAACATGTAACCACTTGCCTCTTCCACTTCTACATGAATATGAAGATCTAAGACCTTGATAGTTGACCCATACTTGTCAGGGTATCCTACATAGGCTAGGACCTAATACGAACAATTTGATGTATCCATACATGGAGCCTTAGTAGGGAGGACATTGTAATGGATAAATTCTTTATTGTTAACTTTAGTCGAGAACTTAAGGCTCTCACTTACTTCAATTGAACGTATATGCACAAGCCTCTTGAAAATTAGGAGAACATGCATCAACAACTTCTAGAGTACTTCAACCTTAATCAATCAGATATCTTTGTCACAAGTTTTTAGAGACTAAGCAATTGGGCTCAATAATAGAGTATCGCAAGGAGTATAAAACTCACAACCGTAATCTTAGATTATCTATCAACGCACATTCTTGAAAATATATTTATCAAGGGTTTATGGTAGGAGACTCAAGTAGAGGTTTGAGTCCTTGAACATGTACGATTGAAAGTTATTATACCATCAACCAAAAAGTTGAAGTCAAATATATCGTGCTTAAAGGCTTCAATAATATTGGAATATCATATTGTTTTAATTATTACCATTTTTTAACAAAAAATGATGATATCATAAAGTTTACATTGTCTAACGTATGACCTTCATTTCCTCTAGATAGCAAGCAAAAAGTTATTATCTTTATTTAAATTTTTTCGAAAAAAAATGATAGAACAACAATATTTGTAAAATTAAATATATGAATGAGCTACCATCATATATGAATTAGAAAATATGACAATTAAGAAACAACATTTTACATGCACATCAATCATTTTGTGTTGCTTGTAATGTCATTTAAGTTATTGAATGTCTTGGCAAACTTCAAGTAACTCATTAATTATCGTTTTTAAAAAAATATCTATAAATTCATCTTTATTTTAATTGGTGATCTTTTTTTATAATTTAAATATGAAATTCTATGAACAATACATGATTATGATCTTCATGAACAATACTGTGATTTTTGAGAAATTAAAATAACTTATTTAAGCAATTATAAATGTATTCATTTTAGATGATAATTAAGGTAAATGTTGAGAAATATCAACAAATATTATATTTACTATGGTCACATGTAATCAAATTAAATGAAAAATATAAAATATATTTTAGATCATGTTTCATCATTTTCTTTATTAAACATACATATTATTATTATTATTTATAAATATATATTTGATGATTTAACCCATATTCTAATACAATATCCAACGCATAGCCTTCAGAAATGTTTTCCCTCTTTTCATTTTTTCTTTTTTACATTCATAAGTTAGTTGGACTTGACAAAGATGCTTTTGGAAAATCTAGTAATGGGCCAATTACACCAAGCTCAATACTTAGCCCATTGCAATGGGGTTAAGAGGGAAGAGAGAGTGAGAAAGGACCCAACAGCTAGGACATGGGCTTCTAGATGGCCTTTATCCATATAATTAGTTGAGATGGTGACAATGATATAATAACACGATGTATGTGGCATCATCAAGCTCATTTCTTACATGATAGGTGAAGATGGAGTCAAGTAGGGCAATAACATTCATGGCAATGATGACTTCAATGGTGTTAGTGACAATGTGCTCTTTTCTTTAGTGACAAGTAGAGATAAGATCAATGACAATGATGATAGCTATAGTGGGTAGATCATCTCCCCTACAAGTTGAAGATGGTGGCAGCTTGAACTCTCTTCTCAAACATTTGGGCTCTCTCTCTAGATGACAAGCAAAGAGGGACAAAAACATTGTAAATTATGATTTGTATCATTTTTCTTTATTACTTTTTACAATTTAATTGAGCATTTATTCTTTTTTTATAGAACTGAAATATATAGATAGAGAGAAGACTATATTTTAATAATTTATTTATTTATTTTCTATTTAGATCACTTCTTAATTCCTCTACACTATATGAGTAACACACATTATGAAATTACATTTAATTTCTTTTATTTGTTCTCCTAATTATGCTATTGACTTTCACTTCTCTTTCTCGATACACTATGTCAATGTTAATGTCTTAATGATAAAGTGGTGGAGCATCAATTAGAGATTAAAAAAATCATTTTCTATAGTTTGTTTTGTGTTGTTTTTATTTGATTAATATTTGATAACATAATTGATATACAAATTTAATAGTTATCATTGAGATTTGACTTGAACTCATTAGATTTTTAAAATTAATTTTTTACATTGTACATATTAAATTTAAGATATTTTAATTTAGTGACTAAAATGTGATTAACTATTGATGTGACTTACTCATTGTATAGTAAATCACGTAAATTTAGAATTTATAAAACTAGAAAATATCATTTTTTAGATATTTAGAAGTATTTCTAAATAAATATATCACTTATAAATCAATAAAAGTTATAAAAATAGTGAGAATTTTTCAAGTCAATAATAAGGATGTAATATAATATTGAGTAATTTTTCAGATTTTTTCTCAAAAAATATAATTTATATAAATTATAGATTAATAAATAAAAATAAAATATATTTAAAATTCACAAAAAAGGAAAATAAGGGTGTATACGTCATGATGATCTCATTATCTCTATGAACACGAATCGAGCGGAACTTAGTTGTTGCCTTGTGATTCTTACATAAGTGATTACATACAATCTAATTGATCAAATTAAGATTAACAAAAGCTAAAAAAATCTGAATTAAATGAAAAATAGTTTCATAGATTTAAATCATACAAATTATTATTAAATGAAGTAAAAAAATAGAGTTTCGATATTGCGTTGACGATGTACTTAAATCTTGAGCGTTTGAGAGAATTATCGTGTAGTGTTCACAACCTCGAAGACTCTCATTGGACAAGGACGACACATAAAATTTTTACATCTTCTTACGAAATCCAGAGATTGATGAAATGAGTTGTTGAATCGTCTTTGGCGGCTGTCACCTGATAGAGTAGAAAAATGGTAAGTTTGCGGTTCTTCAATGGCTATCACCCAATGAAAAAGAGTTGGATAGAGGTGGGGCACGTGTTAAGGAGCTTCATCCTCAAGTCTGTGCATCAAGAAGAAGCTTTTCATTTCATTTAGTATGTTTTCAAAGAGGTGGTGACTCGTTTTTCAACATATCATCTTCTTCCCAACGACAACTTGTTTATTGATCAATCAGAGATCTATTTACGATCTTTTTATCACGAATCTTTCAACAATTTTAATAACAATACTCTGTGAATCATGTCAATTAAATTTTTGTTGATGATCAAGCGATTATAACAACTTAATCTTTCACTGGCAATCTGTAAGAAAGTCACGATTTAATTAGATAAAAATATAAATTTTAGCTCTAGTGGGATTTGAACTCATGTTGATCGCCCGCCTACATAAGAAAGATTAAAATACATACTATAATATCCTTGTACAATGACGTCATCATGGTATATCTCTATTATAATTAGAGGTATTTTAGGTATTAAAATAAACAAAACTATTATAGGGAATGTGTGACGCGAATTTAGTCTTACATCAGTTGTATGCCAAGATTTTGAAAGAATATATATAGTATCACATTTGCAAGTTAATAAGTCTCTTTCTTATGTGTACGACCACTCTTTGACCCACAATTAGCTAGTCACTAGTGACGTAGAAAGAAAATGGTGCACACATGTCTCTATTGGTCTATAGTTGTTCGAGCTTCTACTTACGGCTTCTTCTGACTGTGCTTTCAACCTGCTTGCAAGCCCGACTAGCCGACGGGTCCCCCCCTTTTTATATATCTTTATTTTAATTTATTTTTCTTCATTTATCATAATAATAAGACTATAAAAATCATATAAATTCATATAAAATCACATAATTAGCTAAAAAATCAAATTAATTAATTAAAATTATTTTACATAATTAAACATAAATATAAGTCTATTTATCATGAGTTCAGGCTAAAACTATATTATTTATTCATTATTAACTCATGATAATGAAAACTTATGAGATATCTTGAAGTATTTCCTATTTATTGATATAATAAAGTACTAGCTCTCTCTTTAATTAGATTATTACAACCTTTACACATTTAGAAAGAGTGTGTGATGGTATTTCAATAATATTTATCAAATGATTACTCAAATTTGAGATATTCTACAAAATATTAATAGTGGTGGACAAATTAAGTATACATACTTCATGTCTTTAAAATAATTATTTATGACATAAAGGATTTGTGATATATTCATTTGCAACATTGTGTGATTGCATGAGATTTCAATCATCTAATCAATATTGAAAGAGTAACTTATGGAATGAACTATTCAAAATACAAAGAACAATAATGCAACAAAATAAATTCGTAGTATCCATAGGCTGGCAACTAGATGATATGATGTATTATAACATTGAGACATATCTTCAATCTTTTGCTGAAGACCCACTTTCAACAATTGAACAAATAGATCACATGTGTGAATTTTTAGTATAATATGATTTTTCATTATTTAGTAGGTACAACACCCTTCAAAATCAATCATGGGAAATGTGAATAGGTTCTCATCTAAGATATTGTTTACTACAAAGTTGGATGAAGTTGAATATCAACTACAAGAGTAATGTATCATGATCAATGAACTCAAACATCACTTAGCGTGAGCCTTAGCTCGAATGAAAACTTACATGCATTGGAAATAATTGGGAGCTAGAGTTTGTCATAAATTGTCTCATTTATAATTGACTTCGGTTGTATAGGCTAAAGTCTCTCACTTATAAGCTATACAAAAAGCTCAACCCACATTATTCTATCCCAATTGTAATTTTACAATTTCTTGGTTGGTGGCCTACTATTAAAGTATTTCAGTCACAACAAGTAGTCATAGTGTTTCATATTTTAGAATTAAAGAAGGTCTATGTAATAAATCATTAGAGCCCTCTAAATCTTTTATAGTGGATAATGACTTTACTAGATTAGGCACCATTTGAGGTCTTCAACATCTTAGTATGATATGCATAAGTTCTAAATCTTGATAAAGTAGAAAGACATCCCTTATATCATAGGGCACTTGGGAACTAATATAAGGCTTTCATCAACTATTTTCAAATTTTTACCTTATGAATAAGATAAAAGTTTTATGGAGAGTGATGATGAGATACTCTCTCAATGTCACTAATGTCATAAGTGATCATGACTATTATAAAGGAAAAGTCTCACCATCAATAAAAAATAGCTCTACAATGGAATATGTCAAGATGACACATACATTAGAACAAACTAATGTTCACTAGGCATTATAAATAGGAAGTCACCCCATCAAAGGAGGAAACTTAGTGTTTTTGAAGTCATATCTTTACAGATAAATTTGGAGATTGACCATCTTAAATTTGATACCTCTTCTGTAATTCCTCTCGTATATGTTATCTCTTTCACTTTATCGTCATTCTCTCTCTCTCTCTTTATCTACATCAAGTGAAATATCATAATTTTTTATTTCATATGTATATTTTCTTTCTTTGAGAAAAGGGCCCCCTATTAGAGCCTAGATGTCCCATCAATTACTAGACAAAGTCTGTTCGATAGTGGGTGTTAGATCTAGATTTTTGTGTTTTAATTAGTTTTATTATTTGATTTTATTTTGTTAACTTGTAGAATAAATATGGGATGTATTGTTAATTTTAAATGTCTAAAGTAATACTAAGCATAATTTTTGCTTATTAAAATAATAATAAAAAAAAATCTTTCATCTATTGGCAAGTCAACACTCAATAGTTGACTCAAAAGGGGGCAGCAGTCGAGCGAGGTAGACCTAGACCGTGGGGGGGGGGGGGGCTTGAGTGGTGAAGGGTCTCTCACTTTGTGTACGTGTGTGTCACTCCCCTTCCACATCTCAACACCCAATCAATTGTGGGGCAATAAGCGCTTGTACACAAGGCGTGTGCAAGGGTAGACCACCTTGCTGCCTTCTTCCAAGATGGTCCTAATTATTATTTTATTTTGAGAGAAGGGATCTCTGCTAAAAGAAGCTAGGCTTTAGTTTATATATGACACATGCATTTAAAATATTTCTGATGTGAGACTAAATCTTTTTCTTTGCTCTAGTGCAATCATTTGGAGTGCGGTATGATCCAATGGTACGCAATGATGCACATCATCAGATTCATCAAATCCTGTTGCTAACGAACCGTCACGATACTAGATGTGTAAAGTGATCCATCGGCAGCTTGTGAATTTGATGCTGCTCAACACACATGTGGCCTTAAAGGATGATCTAATAGCTAAGGAGGCGCCATGGTATCGAGAACTTAAGTTCTTGATTAGCAGCGGTTTGTGGTGGGTTGATCCTGCATCATTCAACACGCCATGTGACCAAGTACATCTGATCTAGTGGCTACCAAAGAACACAATACCGGGAACTTAAGTTCTCACATGTATCACCATTAGGGACATAAAGGCAATAATTGATTATTATCTGGCAATAGTAAAAGAAGGCAAAAGACATGGCTGGAAGAAGAAGACCCACGTGACTCATCAGCTGATGTGGATCTGGTGAGTTGGGCGGTCACAGAGGAATGATGACGTGTAAATGGGCTATAAGAACGACAACAGAGCTGCCCAACCCAGCGACTTCTAAAAGACGGCCCAGGAATGTAACAGGAGAAAATATTGGGTCGCGTTTTCGAACAAAATGGGGTCCAATGACAGCATGTACGACAGGTGGGGGTCGTCATCTTCCTGAGGCAGCCCACCGACGTTTCCCGTAATAAAGCTGTTATTGGCAAGCATGGCCAGAACGGGGGATTGATTGATCTCCAACTCCATCCCTGCTTCCCGATCTCTCCCCTTCTCCCCCTCCTGCTCCATATCTTCCCGTACGAGGGAAGAATGGCAGCAGCCCTTACGACCCACTGAGGTCAGTCGCCTTTCCCCTTCCCCCCGAGCTCCCCAGCCTGACTTTTTCTAATCGAGCGAGGCGTGGGTTCCGTAAGCTCCGGTAACGGCTCAGCGTGCTTGCGCTCCTCCGGCTGAGGCTCTTTCGCGGTGGATCTTCAGAGCTCTTGGCTCTATCTTGGTTGGACGCCTGATCTGACTCCTTGATCGCGGAATTAGTGGGATTCCAGGGAGTTCGGGATGGCGGCAGGGTCAGGACAGTCGCCGAACATGGAGACCTTCGATGCGTATTTCCGGCGCGCGGATTTGGATTCGGACGGCCGAATAAGTGGGGCGGAAGCCGTGAACTTCTTTCAAGGGTCCAGCTTGCCTAAACACGTCTTGGCTCAGGTGCGATATTTTTTCCTCCTTTCTATTTAGTGTCAGCCCTGTCAATCCGATCTTGGTTCAGATATGTAGAAGATCGAAGCGAATTGTTCTAGTGGGCGTAGATTGAACAGTTGTCGAGATTTTGGTTAATATTTATCTGTTGAGTAACATTTATTCTTCCTGGATCATTTCGTCACTTCGATAACGCGCTAGAATACACTTTAGTGGGAATGGGTATACTATCTGGGATCTGAAAATCGCGTATGTTTCTATTATTACGAGAAAACAAGTAGTATACCGAATGATAACTGGCTCCTGTGAAATGCATTGCCTGCTATCAAGCTGTGCCTCATTTTTTGGAGCATCCTTATAGAATTGGGGTCAAATCTCGGGACGTGTTTAAAGATCCCTTTTAATAGTTCGGTGACAAGTTGAATCGCCACGTAATTTTGTAGTTATTTCCGTACAAAGGGATTGTATTCGATGGGCCTCGCCTCACGACAATTGAAGTGGTCTGGTCCCCGTAAGAATGCCACTCAGATCTCTCTAAAGGAAAAATATCCAAAGTTGTGGTGGTTAATTTGACAGATGTAACTTCGTTATTTATTTTGGAGAAGGTAGTTGGAAGAAATGCTATCTAGTTTTTTTCTGTAGAATAGCATTGTATTTCTAACTTGTTCCCAATTACAAGAATGGCTAAGTCGGTGGGGGCCCATCGTCCTTCTCTCACCATAGTTTATGAAATTCGGTGTTGAGTAATCCTTTGACCTAGCCTCAGAAGACCATTCGTCTGTTGCCGATAATGGATGTGTTTTTTCTGGGATTCAAAAATGAATGTTGAGCTGATGGATCTGTCTCTGTGACTGATGGGACATGACCCTATGCACACCATCCATTGGCGACCAATTGATGGAGCTTGTATGGTTATTCTGTTGTGGACTACTACAGATAATTCCTGTCAGATAATTATGGATCTTTTGCATCTTGATATTCGTATCTTTATTCAAGTGAAGCTGCCTCAGAAGCACTGTTCATTTTTATTATTTGAGTTGATATATATATTTTTTCTGTTTTTTAACTTCGATTAATGTCCGACATGAATATAGATGCCTTCTTTCCTGAGTTATTTTCAGTTTACGGTTTTTGTGCACTATCTTGCTTTCTGTAAATCTAGGATTTTTTGACTTTCAATGTTCATCATTAACCCAAAGTACTATTTGTTATTTTTCATTTTTGTCCCAAACCTATTACCTTTTGCTTTCTTTGTTCCCCTCATCTCATTTATGTTGTACGCAGATATGGATGTATAGTGATTCGAGGAAATCAGGTTTTCTAAATCGACAAGAGTTCTACATGGCTCTTAAATTGGTAACTGTCGCACAAAGGGGACGAGAACTGACTCCAGAAATTGTTAAGGCAGCTTTAGGAAGTCCTGATGCGGATAGAATCCCAGCCCCACAGATAAATATTGTGGCCACTCCTGCTCCAGGGAATCAGATGGCCATATCAAGACCGCCAGTGCATTCTATGATGGCACCCCAGGTTGGCATCATGGCAACAGCTCCATCTCAAACTCCTGGCTTCAGCGGCCCTCAAGCACTTCCTAATGCCAATGTGAATCATCAATTTTTTCCCCCTACGAATGGTTCGAATTTGAGGCCAAACCAAACATTAGTTGGGCCAGGAATCACTCGAGGGGGTGTGCTTGCAGCTCCACAGCATCCACGCTCAAATGCTCCAAATTTATCTACTGATTGGCGCAATGGGGGAATGGGGGTAGCTTCACAGGTTCTCAGTGGCCCTGCTCCCTCTGTTATGACGGACGGATTTGGGCCAGCACAGCCTGGCTCAAGAACTTCAGTAAGTCAAGCAGTACAGGCACCATCTGTGGTTTCCTCCGCTGTATCAACAAAACCAGTAGATCCTCATTCAGCATTTCAAGCATTCACAAAGGATTCCAAAGAGGTTGCTACATCAGCGAATGGTTTTTCTTCTGATTCAATTTTTGGAGGTGACATATTTTCTGCAACATCTCAACTGAAAGGCACTTCCACAGCTGCTTTTGCTGCTAGCAGTGTTCCAAGCTCAGTTGGGATTGCCCCTACATCGTCTGCAGTGCAGACTTCAGTTAGACCGGTCCAAAATGCTCTAGTGCAGAGTAGCTCTGTAGCCCTTGGGGGTAGTCACCTTCAGCAGACTGAGTCATTGAATAAGCAGAGTCAGACGGAAATTACCCAAAGCATTCTAGCATCTACACAATCTGTTCCATCAGTAGGAGCTGTTGGTCCTGCATCCAGGCCCTCTGAGCGTCCTTGGCCGAAATTTTCTCAATCCGATATTCTAAAATACAGTAAAGTCTTTGTTGAAGTGGACAAGGACAGGGATGGAAAGATCAGTGGCGAAGAAGCACGCACATTGTTCCTCAGTTGGAAGCTTCCAAGAGGTAGTTACTCCTTGTTCCTGTGATATCTATTCCCTTCGTGAAGTGACTATAATTAGGAAGCTCTTCAGTGCCATGTTTTTTTTGTATGAGATATATTAGAAATATTTTTTCAAGATGTATTTGGCTGAATGTGCACTCTGGAAGAATTCATCTTTGCCATCATCATCTTGGGATAGTCATCACCATTTCTTCCTTAATTAATATGGACAAAAATCTCAGCTGTACTGTATTTTTAGTTGTTACAATTCAACTATATCTTTTTAAACTTTTCTTTGTGCTTTATTCTCTTGAATGTAGTGGCTCCTCTGGGGTTCAATTTTCGACTTTGTTTAACTCAGTCTGTTCCTTTTTAAAAAGTTTATTTAATATTGATTATCGCTAACCATTTACCTGGTGATACTCTTTGGGCATGGCTATGTTCCTAGTGTGATGTCATAATTCTGATGTTTGTGACTCGGTTTCAGAGGTCTTAAAGCAGGTGTGGGACTTATCTGATCAGGACAATGATAGCATGCTTTCACATAGAGAATTTGTCACTGCTCTATATCTGATGGAACGTTTTCGGGAAGGATATACTCTTCCATCAGTGCTTCCCAGCAGTGTTAAATTTGATGAGACATTGTTGCAAGCAACCAGCCAGCCTTCAATATCCTATGGTGGTCCAGCTTGGCAGCCCAGACCAGGTAATTCCCTATATTCAATCCTAGCTGAAGGTTGTTGCAAGTTAAGGATTGACAGTCCGAGCTTTAGGATTATCCTTTCTAGAACTCTGCATCCTTTTTACCCTAATACTTTTGGTTTTTCTTAAAGCGGGCTTTCCACAACCAAGGATACCTGGGTCACAGCCTGTAATTCCTGCCTCTGGATTGAAGCCACACTCACAGGTGCGAGAACCCCAGAAGATTGATGGTCAAAAGCTGCCAGCTCCACAAAAGAAAAGTGTTCCAGTTCTTGAAAGGCACCTTGTTTATCAACTCACTAAAGAAGAGCAAGATGCCCTGAACTCCAAGTTTCAAGAGGCTACAGATGCTGACAAGAAGGTTTTGACGAAGTTACTTTGTTTGTTTTCTCCATCCAGTGGTCATGATTACTTTATTAATAATGCTCATAAATAATAATCTCTTTTTGGTCTCCTCTTTGTGCTGTAATAAAAAAGTCCGTGTAGAAGCATGACTTACATTGACGTTGCTGGACATGGCTTTGTTGTGTTAGTCATGGATAATTAATAATTATTTAATATGGTGAACTACAACCTCCGGGGACATTTCTGGGCATGGCTTACCTGTGCTAGTCATGAATGATTAATAAACATTTACTTTGGTCTCTATGATGTGAATTTCATTTATGCCAATTACAGATGAAATAAAGTGCGCCCATTATTCAGTATGAATGTTAATAGTTTAGGCTTGGAAGCTCATGATCTTTTTTGTTCTCTATAGTCATTTGTTCCCTTTTCCTTAATATCAGCATTGTTCTCTAGTTTTTTGGTCAAACTAGCTTAGCATGTTTCCCCCATTTTAGGAGGTAATACTAACTTGTCTGGCTCAAGTAATTCCAATCTTACTCTAAGGAAATGGTCTGGCATAAGAAAGGGATATTTTCCAATAGGCTTTATACGGATCTGCGTTGCAGCCCAACCACCTAGCATCCTTATCTTTATCCATCTCTAACTAGGCAGGTTCTAAGCGTTAATTTCTTCTGAGTTTGTCTTTGGCTATAAATCTGGTAAAAACCTCGTAGTCGGGTAAAGATGGCCTCTGATTGAGCAGACACTTCAGTTTGAAACTTGGTGAGCTGAGGTCATAATGACATTAGGCTTGGATACATTAGTTGCATAATGCACCTAATAAGCATTAAGTAATGTATACATTTATTCGAGGTTTTCTCTCAAACTCTATCATTCATTCATTCTCAATGAGTACTTTCTTTGCTCTGCTTCTATATCAGTGTCGGTGTCGAACTATGCTTTCTCTGTGCTCATCCATCAAAACATACGCAATCTTCTGACGGTAAACAAGGAGCTGTAACTCCTTGTTATTGGGCTTGCATGCTACTTAAACTGATCTGCCCACATAACCTATCTTTATTAGGTTACCCTCATGTAGTCCTCAGCCTTTTCTACTGTCTATTAGACCGGTAAGTAATGCACGAGACTCACCATGTGCAAGAATTGTTCTGGCGTGCTTGTTATGAGGAGAGGGCATGCAGCTATGTTACTTCGAGGATCTGTTATTGATAGGACCATCAGTGTGTGTTGGTGGGGGTCTTTAAAGAAGCAACAGGATAGTAGGTTTGAAGGTGACTGGAGGCAATGGTCTCTCCTACTCTGTTCTTTTTCTCCACAATTCCCTGACTGTGGAAATCACCATAAAAGTCCCCAAAACGCAGATTATGAATGTGAATGCCATGGAGTTTTGGATTCATGACGAGAGCAGACTGAATTGGTTGATCTTTAATTTCTGACCAGTGATCTCGTCCCAACTTTGAACATACTCGCTAATATTTCAACTATTTCCGTGTTCTGTCAAAAAACTCAGATCCTTGACATCTGAAGCAGGTTAAAGGTGCCATTTGGTACCCTATAGGGTTATCTTACAGGGATGTTCTTTGTTGAAACATGAATTGTGTGCCATTTTTTGATGGTGTGTGGGTAATCTCTGACATGATTCACTTCCCTGGACGACTATTAGTCTACTCATGTGCCTGACTAGTGATATGGAAGAACCATCAGCTCCTCTTGTCACCGATGACCCAAAGGATTACCCAAAGAATCAGCCATCATTCCTGCCACACTTCATGCTTCTTTCGTGTTCCACACGTGAGTGATTATCTCCCACCAAGTAATTAAGCGACCTTGCCAGTACCTATAATTCTCCAGATATAAGATTTAAGTGGCTTATTTGGCTGAATCACAAATCTTCATTTTTTCTTTATTAATTGCTGAAGCTTTGATGAATTCATTATACCTTTTTATATTAATGAGCAATGAAATCTGTGAAAGCTTGAAGGGGATTGCGGGCGTATTCTGATGATTTATTTAGTTTCCATGTTGTGTCCTCTCAATGTTCTGTCTCCTCAGGAAGCAAAAGCCTCTTGACTTGTTGGTGATACTCATTAAAATTTGTGTGGCCTGTACCTTCGATAATTTAACATAAATTCTTCGTAAAGATTTGATTTATGTCTATTTTAGACAAAAGTTTGACACTAGTTTGGAACAAAACGGAGTTGGAAAACTGAAGCCCCTCTCTTTTTTCTGTTAGTTCTGCACGACTTTGGAAGTAAACACGAAAGTTAACCTTATTAGAAGTTGACGGGATTAACCATGAAACCATTCGTGCAGTCTTCATTTTAGAGATCAATTCTGGTTGGCGCAGTTGGACAATGTTTTTTACTGCTTCAATATCTTATTTGAATCGTTGTCTTTTATGAGATTATTAAATGGTTTATTTTTCTAACGGATGCTATTGATTTAAAGTCTTCCTAATCTTTTCGCTGTTCCCCAATGAAAGGTGCAAGAACTGGAGAAGGAAATACTGGATTCAAAGGAGAAGATAGAGTTCTACCGTACGAAGATGCAAGAGCTTGTGAGTTTGTGTTGTTATGCAAATGTTATTTTAATTTCAACGTACTGGGCACATGACAGATGATGTTCCAAGTTAAGGGTTCAGCTCGCCGTAACGAATTACAAAGTTAGTAACGTGAGTTAGAGGGTCACATCCGATTGATCTAGACTGCTACTAAGATTGTTGTGAATACCTTTTGCAACATTTCTGTCCTTCCGTGTTGATAATGTACCCCTTTCAGAAAAAAAAAAGAGCAGATAGAGATATGATATGGTACAGAAGAATACTGGCCATTCATAGCGTACATATATCAAGTGGTCGAGTCTCATGCATGGAGTAAACAATTGTAGAAATATCATTGCCTTTCTGGCATTTGGTGTGACCAACTTTGAAAATTTTTGTTACTTCAAAGGATTCCTTTGTTAAGCAAGGTTTTGTTATGCTCAAAACGAATTGCAGAAACTCATGAGATAGGTGTCGTCATTACGCGGTCTCCAGAGATAGAGCAGGAGAGAAAATTGGTGTTTTTGTGTAACTGCATTTGGTAATCAAATCTTGAAGGTGAAAAGTGATGTCCAACCTTTGTAACTTTGGTTCTATGTATTGAGAACTTCGCTTGGTTCCATGTAACTGACATACACCGAGTGTGCAAACATAGAATATTATTGGTGAAACTTAAATAAAATTATGATTCAGGTCATTCTGGAAGTGGCATTTGCCCTTGGAACCTACTGGTGTGAAGATATTGTTGGTATCATTTTATTGTTTTGCATATTTTCACGAATTTGATGTTCAATCTATGATTTGCATCTGCCTACTGTCATATATCTAGATCTACCAAAACATATTAATTTGCGAAACTGATGTTTTTTCTGCTTTTTCATGGAATTGAACCATGTCAGCAGTAGTACAGACTGCCAAAGGCTTGCTTGTATCTTTTTAAATTATCAAGTTACCGTAGTCTGTGTTGTTTCATCCAGTCAATTCGCATTCTTTGATCTGTGAATCTCAGTCTTGTCCCCAAGTCATACTGCAGTTGTCTGTGACATGCTCATTTCTAAATGTGAAGCATCGTTGAACGACAGTTTGAATTTGTGTTCTATATTGTATGACTTAAGGGGGATTAATGGTAGAAGAGAAAAATGTATGCCTTCAGAGAGGAAGAATAGGTCAATCTTGCTCGAAATCTGAACGATCATGTAGTTATACTGGGAACTCAGTGTCATTTAGAAGTCAAGTTTTCATAATGTACAAACATGGAGCGATGTGGCAATTCTGTTCAGGCGACCGTGGTCTTCTTACATTGGTTCGCTATATACAATGTCCTTGATGTGGCAATGCTATGTAGCCACATATGTCCTCTTGTAGTGGGGAGAGATTTTGGTGAAGTGGAACCGTCAGTACGAAGGAATATGATACACAGTAGGAGTCGGCTGTATTTGTCTAAAAGTCGGGCCTGCAGTCAGTCATGAGTTTTGGCATTTTTCTTCTGTGGGCGGTGGGTGTTAAACATTCCTTATGTCGGGTTTTGGCAGGAACCCTTCTCTTTATGAAATTTCACACCACTACTTGTGTGAAGCGTTTCTGTTGTTCATGAATTGGAAATAATGTTGGTAAACACTTCCAGTTTAGTTGTGCTTTATATTGTAGGATGAGAGTTTCCTTTATTTATTGTCCATTTTATTTGCTTCTAAATAACGTCGAATTAAAATTTAGGGTTATGACACAGTAGTTTGTGGTCATCACATACTGAAGTACACCCACATGTTGATATTTTTCCACCAATGATGATGATACGTGATAGACAAAGCAGAAAAAACTGTCACCTCAACTTGCTTGGACGTGGCAGTTTATGGTGTTTTTCGTTGCTACGCACTAATCACTATTTTAGCCACGGTTTCTCAATGTTTTATCCTATTTCAGAAATCACTTTCTATAATTCTAAAATCTTGTGATAAATGTCTCACTCTTATAAGAGGTAAATGGTTGAAATATTTTTTACTTCTCATATTTCTATTAGTTTCTCTAACCAGTCATCCTTTTACTAGGTTCTATATAAAAGCAGATGCGACAATCGCTTGAATGAGATTACTGAAAAGGCATCTGCTGATAAACGTGAGGTACTGCTATTCTTAAATAGGAATTGATTTATTGCCATCTTTTGGTTTCTCTTTTCTCTCATCCGTTGGAAAGTGTTATTCTGCTAGTTTGGAATTTGATTTGAAATTATGGTAATTCAATTTTGTTTTATCTTTTCTTATTTTGGATTAGGTTCTATTTGTGGGTATTAAATTTTAGAAGGGGTCATTTGGCAGGGTTGCCAAAGTTTGAGCCCAATCCCACTAGTAAAAGTTTAGTCTGAGGCCTGCCCGAATCATTAGTGGTGCTAAGTCCATTTTTTTTGGGTTTCTGCGCTAAGTTTTGACACCTTGAGTCCGATTTAGATAGATTTCTTCATTTTAGATGCCCTTGGGCTCTTTCTTTGGGGCTAAAAAATGTAAACTAGCTTGTGAATTTATATAATTATGTAGATGTTTCTATTTAATAGTATGAACTATTTAAGGGTTTCACATACAGTTTAAGATTACTCTTTACATCTTTTCTGTGTCTATTTTAACGTTTTTATGAGATTAGAGTTCATCGTGTTCGCTTAAACCTCATAGAGGAACCTGCTTAATTCAGCTACACCAATGATGTTGTGTTTGGATCACTTAGTCATAGTGGAAAAATCACCATGTTAATTTTTAGGTTGATCTACTTGCAAAGAAGTATGAAGAGAAGTACAAGAACGTTGGAGACGTGGCTTCAAAATTGACTGTTGAAGAGGCAACATTCCGTGATGTCCAAGTACTAGCTCTAAGCTTTTGAAACATCTCTTTTTACCTTAAAATAAGATGAATGTTTCGGTAATGCCTTATTCCTGGGAACCTTGGTTGCCTCATATTTGACTATGCAGGAAAGAAAATTGGAATTGTATAATGCAATTATCAGAATGGAGGAAGGTGGAAGTGCTGATGGGTTGCTTCAGGTATAGGGTAGTTTTTCTGGTGTCGTTTTGCTACATTAAAATCACCTATTCTATGCAGTTTATCTGCTGAAATTAAACTTGAAATTATGCCTCTTCAGGTTCGTGCTGAACACATACAATCTGATCTCGATGAACTCGTGAAATCTTTAAATGAACGTTGCAAGAAATATGGATTACGTGTGAAACCAACTTCGCTCCTTGAGCTTCCATTTGGTACGTCAAACGATTTTTTTCTATTCGATGTTTTTCACTTTTGCATACCGTACCAAGGATTTATTAACGAGAAAAAATGTGGTTTGTTGCATGTTAACGCACTTTGTCCGGCACTGTTGTTGCATGATGTGAAACAGGAATGCCATTGAACTTAAATGAGAGTCTAATGGATTTTCTAACACAATGGCCTTCATGTGTGCCTAAGGTTAAAGGCATTCATCACGCATGATATGACAGAATAATAACCCTTTTAACGTGCAAAAAATGAATGAGGTGAAATATTTCAGTGTTGTTAACAAAATGTGACATTGTGATAGTTATTGTCAACGCATTGGCTAAGCGGCACAAATCTAGGTTGAAATTAATATACAGTGAGCTTACGTACATTTCAATGCCTGTCTATGGATAACGACAGAAGTTGGCAAAGGGACGTTGTAATTAATATTTAATGGAATATTCTGGATTATATTTGTAAATGAGTTTTGTTACCATCAGAGACTGTGTTTAAATATGGTCTGAGATAGCGAAAGTGTACCCTAAAAGGGGCAAAGGGATCGAAACATGGACTCTTCTGTTACTCTTCACCCTCTGATATCTGCATTTTTGCATCTCCGATTCTCTTTGTCGTCCTATTGGCTTTCCCCAATGTTATGGACACTGTTTGAGTTATTTTCTTTATTTACGTTCTTTTAGGATGGCAACCTCGTATACAAGAAGGTGCTGCTGATTGGGATGAAGACTGGGATAAATATGAAGATGAGGGTAAGACACTGTAGTCGGTATTTTTTCAATGCAATTGGTCTTCTCCTTTCGTTGAAATATCATGTTTTCTTCCCTCTGGATTACTCGACACACATGCGCTAAATGACTCATGAAAAAACCGTCTACTCATTTCATTGTTAGCAACACACGAACTTTTTATCCTAGGTATCTAGTTCATTGCACTTGTCTATGCAGTAGTGCCACTTCAAACTATTGTTAGGTTTTCGTCCAATGAAAGATTCGCATATTCTTGGAATACGAGAAGAACATTCAGGGTAAAGTTATCCCAGTCGCCAGTGGGGAAAATACTGTCTCTCTCCCCAAGAATCAGTAAAAAAGAATAAGATTTGTTCTGGTAGCGAGTAGATGCGTTCCAATCATGATTCTGAGACAGTGACCTTGCTGTATGTAGTGTGTGGTTCCTTTGCATTGTGAGTGGTTTACATTTGCTTTCATTCTCTGTTTCACATTTGCTTTGCATTCTCTGCTTTACATTGTTTAAGTGCTACTGGTCATATAAATGGAACAAGCATTCTACGTTTATGCTTCCAATGCAAAATTTAATTTTTAGGTTCCCTTTTCTTTAAGTGAAAATGAGACCAACAATTGTATTTGAATTCTAGGTTTAGTCCGGACGTTTACATTGATTACTCTTCCCACTGAGACATCTTTGTCCGTCCATCCATTATTACTACAGAATAATCTGCATATTTAGAGAGGGAAATGTTCACTAGCTTTTCGAACGGATTTAGGATGTGGAGAGGCATTGAGATATTGTATTAACATGTAGTTAAGTTCTGTTTTCTCATGGCTTGCTGTTTAATTGCTTTGTAAGTTTGCATTCTCTCATTCACACGTAGAGGGCGAATTAAACCTTGCTGGGATTGAGAACTTTGAAGATTATGCTTTAAAGGAAAGTAGAATATATCACTAATCAGCGTATTGGCCGTGCCAGGTAATTCACGCCATCTAATAAAACCATTGTGTGGCCTGGTTTTACCCGAAACTGACCTCCTGAGAGGTCTGGTGGATTGCATTCTTACCCTCAACCCATTCAGCAATTGCTAGCCAGTAATGTGCCCTGGCTTTTTGGGATGCTGTACCGGAAGGTTTAGCTCTACTTGGTTTCGAATTTTGGCCGACGAAGTTGCAGCGAAAAAGAGAGAAGAACAACCCCACCATCGAAAATCAAAGCAGCATTTGATATGACGTCGTTACTGAGAAAGTCTGCTGATGATGTAGTTTAGTTGGAAATTAATAGTACATTTATAGATTGGAATATATATGTAGGAATGTATTTCAATTTTACCGGTGGATTGTCAATTTGTTTTCTCTTCTCATGGTTGCCTAATCTGGATGTATCTCTTCTCATTTGCAATCCACTTTGTGTTCGATAAACCCTGACGATCATTGGAATTTCTCTTTTTAATTTTTCACTTGCTTTATTTTTGCGGTTAAGTTTTGAGATCCATTGTTGAACTATTGGTAGCATGATTATCTATCGTAGGTGAGTAAACATGGATACCTATTAAGTATACGATCTTGCACTGACTGTGTTCATCAACGGCCAGGTTTTGCACTTGTGAAGGAACTCACTGTAGATGTGAAGAATATCATTGCTGCTCCAAAAATAAAGTCCCCCCCCCTTGTGAATGACGAAGCCAAGAAGGATGAGATTTCTTCCCCTGTTTCTTCTGTGAATGGTGAAAAGAAGTTGAAGAGTAGTAGGGGTGAGGGCATAGTTGATAGTGAAACAACTTACGCTCAGAGTGAAGATGGTTCAGTGAGAAGCCCTTCTGATAGTCCTGCTGGGAGAAGTTCATTGGAGAGTGCATCTCAACTTTTTCATTCGCCACGGTTTAGTCAAAATGGATACTCTCCCCGGCTTAAAGAAGGCCAGAGGTATTTTATGTGCTCATATTTTTCTTTCTTCATTGCCAAATCAGATTGCTTTTTAAGTCTCATCCTTTTCACTAATGTCGTATATTTTGTAGTCTTTTTCTTGGATAGCATGATGCATTCATCAATCATGCTATCCAAGATGTAGGTGAAGAGATGGACTACGAATTGAACTTGATTTTTCATTCTTTTTTAACATGGTATCATAGGTTAAGGGTAGATTTTTCTTGGGTCTCTCTCTCTCTCTCTCTCTCAATTCCCCTCACTTTCTTTCGCAGTACATATGTATATATACGCCGATGGACTCTAGTGATACTTGTCCTAAGATGTTAATTTTCTCTCTCTAAAGTGTGTTACATCTGCAGTGATCATGGTGGTGCTGATTCGACGCTTTCTGGGGAGAAGTTCGGTGATGAAATGTTGTGGGGTTCAACTTTTGACACTGCTGACGATGCTGATTCAGTATGGGATTTCAACACCAAGGTAAAGGAGTCCTACACATCACTTCGACAATCTTATTGATTCTTCTCTTCCTGTTGCCCAGATCCTTTCACCTCACCGACCTGCAGTCCCCCTCGGTTCAGTTTTGTTAGTACTCACGAACAGGGTGCACAACGCGTCAAAATCTCTTGCAGGATTCTTTTCAGGAGAGAAACAAGCAGAACTCCTTCTTTGACTCTGGAGACTTTGGCCTGAACCCAATCAGAACGGACTCTCCGAGTGCCAGCAGCGTCTTCGGGAAGGAGAAAAGCCCGTTCTTCGCAGATTCGGTTCCAGGGACCCCACAGTACTACTCCGGCTTCTCGCCGCGATTCAGCGAAGGGCCCGACGACCACTCCTTCGACACTTTCAGCCGGTTTGATTCTTTCAGCATGCAAGATACCGGGCTCTTCCAGCCGCGCGAGAACATTGCCAGGTTTGACTCCATCCGAAGCACTTCAGATCAGAGTCGAGCATTCTCATTCGATGACCCAGATCCTTTCGGCTCAACCGGGCCGTTCAAGTCTTCTGAGACCCCACGGCGGGCCTCTGACCACTGGAGCGCCTTCTAGCGTGGATCTAAACAGCCAGGCAGGAACCTCCCGGAGATTCGCACCGCGAGCGTCTGAGATCGCGGAGATTTCCGAGGATTTTGTGCCGAGAAACGAAGATGGGCTGTGAATCCTGGTCATGCTTCTTGTATCTGGAGAGAAGAATCTGCCCCCCTCCTCCACCCCCTTCTGCCGCATCTTTGTTGCCTTGCCTTTGCTTTGTCTCGGGATGTGTCTACGGCCAGATGCTCACTTCTTTCATCATTTTTTGAACCATATTATTCGTCGTGGTTTGTAATTTCGGTGTTGGAGATGTGAAAAGTCGTTCCAAAAAAAGAAGCCCGCGTCCTGTTTTCTCTCCCGTGATCAACACCATATCGTGGCTTCCTCTTTGCCCTAATGGGCAATCGTGTATGAATCCATTGCCATGGGTCCCTACATGCTCAGATGTTTCATGGTACGATGCCCATCATTCAGAGGCTGCCGACTCTGCAGTGGTTGGTTGATTGATTGAATGCGTGCGATGAAATCCGTCCATCTTATTGTAGATAAATCGAGCAAGTGCAGTTATGTAACCCAGAGAATCAGAGGCCTTAGCAGCCTCAGGAAGCTAGACAAGTTCAGTTCTTGAGCTATTAAGCTCTCATTTTGAGATAGCCTTCATGAATCTATTCATCGAGGAGATCATGCCCAGCGCTTTATCAAACATGGAAGGCTTCCCCTCTGATTTCTCCGCGATCTCCCCAAATATTTGCTGCACGAAGACATCACAGAAGATTCGTTGCGCATCGAGTTCAGCTGGAAGGGAAACAACAACAAGAGTCCAGAAAATCATCGCGCTGAGCAGTAGCTGACCTCAAGGTCCGTCGCATCAGGACGGCTGGCTTGTTCCTTAGCTAGTCGGTATCTGTTTGGTCTGTCCTTGTCGTCGTAGAACACCTTCCACATTCTGTGCCGAGAACGGAAAGGGGACGGAGATGGTAAGCGAATGAGCCGAATTTTATGAAAGAAAATGAACGATCAGGAAGCATTTTCCCACCCTGGGTAGCATCTAAAGATGGCTCCTGACGGCATAGGCCTCATCGAGTACACGGTAGTGAAAGTGCTGCACGTGAATGAAACAATCGTCATCACGATATGCTCCTTCTCAATTTATTGAGAATTTCCTCAGGAGAAATATGACATAGAGAAATTTCATCGATAATCCCAATAAAGCTTATATTTTTCGATATTTATTGATCGATCTTCCTGCGATGCGGGCTTTTTTAAAGCTTATAATCCCAAAAGCAGAATTTCCCATGGGCTTTTTTAGACTGAAGATAAAGGAACCCACAAGCATAGGAAGCAACCACAAGCAAGAGAAACGAATACCTGAGGAAATATTTTCGCAGATTTCTAACATTGAAGCCGACACCAACATCTTCGCTAACAAGGCGTGGATTCCACATGATAAGGGATCTTGGCTGGTGAAGTATAGCAATACTGGAGTCAGCTAAAGCTAACAATGTTTGAGAGAATGGCTGAAGGATTGAGCCATGAATGCAGATGAATGAACGGTGAAATATATACTTGTTGGCAAAAATGTCAGCAAGAGCTAACAACGCGTTGCATGGTCTGGATGAGGATATTCAGAGATCAAAAGCTCAAAGAGCTCAATGCTTCGGAAAATCATATGACGATACAATGTAGGGGAATGAAACAGAAGATGGTAGAAAAAGTTAGAGAATGGATTAGGAAGTACTGGGTCATCCGATAATCGTGATGCAATCTTCTCAACATATTCCAGCATCTGATAATCTGGTACTAACATGACCACAATGTCGTCTCCATCTTCTACAGGTTTCCGATCGCTTAAGCTGCATAAAATCGAGAATATTAACTTCACACGCATTTTATGAACAATGAGTTAAATATAATACAGTGAAAAGTTTACCATAGAGATTACATCAGTACACTTCACCCGGATCTCCAATTATTAGACTTTGAAACTCTGTGCGAGATACACTGATTATTCTACCCACAGTCATAAAATTGGAAGGGGAAAAGATCCCATAAGCTCTTGTGAAAGATGATGGAGAAGAAGGGACCAAGTATTACTCGAACCATGTATAAGGAATCAGGGTGCTCTTGAATCAAAAGTAGTATTCGATATTTGATGCCTCTCTCAGATTAGTTATATCTCAAAAAACATGTACAATTTTACAAATCTGAGATAAGCAGGAAAAAACAGCGAAAACAACATTTTCTTATGACCATTACGTTAAATTTTTGACGACTTATTGAAATTAGACAAGAAAAAAATGATATATAAATGTATTTTTTGAGATATATAAATATATCTCAAAAAATGGCGCCTCAATCTCTGTTCTACCGTTTCATTTCAAACATTTCTTTACCTAGCGAATCCGAACTCTGCATCTTTCCACTGATATTGAAGAAGTGCAGCTGCTCCCGTGTCTGGAAATATGGCTTTTACCCTCTGGGAATCAAGCAAAAGTTAGATTGAAAGCAGACACTTTTTTGCTTTCTAGAGTTTCTAAAACATATGCACAAAAGACATCAATATATGCCAAATTCTTCATTGGGAAGGAAGATCACTTCTTCAAAATACATAAATGGAGGAAAAGGGGGGAAGCGCTTGGCAAGAGGAGTAGTGTTTGTGGATAATACATCAAGACATTAGACGCTTTTGGAAATCCAGTCAAGAAATGTTCCAGGCTTATTTATACCCAAGCTGTTCACTGTTTCTAATGTTCATAGGAGGCTTATATACTGCAGTGAAAAATCTCAGGACCCTGACGACCAGAGAGGCGGAGAAGATGATTCTTGCTCGAAAATCTTTTCAGAAGTCGTTGGAGTTGCCACTGGATCGATTTCGTGATGTATTGACTTTCTTCCCAAAAATTCTATCAGAGGCTTTTCAGGAACAATTACACAGGTTGAAACGAAAACCATATCCTCAAATACCTGATTTCCTCCTGTTTCTTGGATGATTGTATCCACGAAAATCCTCGTCAATCCCCATAGTTCCTCCTGCGCACCCTCGGAGTCGAGAAACTGCAACTGAGGGATCAGGAGCTCTACCTGGGTGCGCATTGCGATCACCAAATTCGTCAGCCGCGGAAACGTGAAAATGGGAACATCATACGGAAGGATCATGTTATTCGATGGAAAAATGACCAAGTACGAAGCAATCAAGTGCATTTAAAGACGATAATTCACAAAAGGCTGATGACATACGATGGCACGCATCCCACCAGAGGACACAAACAATGCGCTCGCTCGGGCGGACTGCCGGATGGAGTCCTCGAGATCGCAGGGCAGATCGCTGCAGCACCAATATGATTACGCACGGAGATAAGCACGCGGTAGCTCACTCAACTCCCCTTTTTTCCCAGCCCCTTCAAAATCCCATTTACTAGACAGGTAGCAAGGAAAAGATTTTGCATCCAGTCCGGTGGAAAACCTGTCTTCTTCTTCTTCATAATCATCTTCTCCTTCGAGGAGACCTTCCACTGACGGCGTAGTTGCTTCATCGTCATCCTCAGCCGTCCCGAGGCCCTCTGTGCCGTCAAAACCCTCGAACTTGGCCCGTCGTACCGACCCGCGAAGTGACGTGATGCCGACCCATGGCAGGCTCCGGAGGGGAGGAGAAAGGTGGCTATAAAAGGAGCAGGCGGCGGTGGTGAGGTGGACAGAGGACCGAGAGGCGGAGCACCTGCCTTGGACTACCGGGAGGAGGGTATTACCAGCAGCAGCGATCATCTCTGTGGTCTCTGAGGAGCAGGCGTTATCTCTCTATCTCGTCCGACTGCGCAACTCAGTTTCTGCACTTTTCACAACTTTCCTTCTAATACGAGAGGATAGAATTTATCTAGAAACCCATTTGAAAAAAATCACACCTTGACACACAACGTGCTCCTTGGCTCTTCTCCCTCACCCCAACCTTTCAAAAAAAAAAAATTAAAAATTTAAAAATTAAAAAAATTACAATTTCAATATTACTAAATAATAGTATCTTAGATATATTTAAATGGTATTAAAATAGGAAAATATTTGGAAAAAGAATGCTGAACCTCTCTAATAGCCTTCTGTGGATATTTCCGAGATAAATTATACATAAATGAGCAGCATTCCCGGAAGTCTCGGAGCACAGGGGCCCTCCACGTGGCAATCGATGGATGGCGGAGTGCATCCATAAGAACATGTTTCTAATCCCCACCGGAATTGCTTTAAAAAGGTGGAATTAAGAGATTAATATACATGCAATACGGACGAGGGTCCCCTGAAAAAATAGATTTTTTTTTTGAGTTGGGCTTCGATTCTATTGGTTACATTTCTGCCGCAAAGGATTTGCCGCAGCCACAGGTTTGAGTAGCATTAGGGTTCTTGAAGGAGAAGCCGCCGCCGATGAGTGCGTCGCTGAAATCCAGCTGCATTCCGTAGAGAAATAGGAGGCTCTTGGGATCAGTGACTGCAAGAAGAGGGAGAGAGTCAGAAGGAAGCGAAGCATGAACCCAGTGGAGATAAAGGGGAAGGAAATCACTGCAGATGAATAAAAAAATAAGAGAGAAGCCATGAGCTTCAGCCACTTGGGTCCAAGAGGGGTGTCAGGTTCCGCCTGGGGAGTGATGGAACGGGTGGAGTTTGACCTAACCTTCTACTGTAACTAGGCCAATTTTCATTACCTATGAATCCCCTGTGCTCCCTCCTCTTGATTGGTGAGTGGGTTCTCAAGTCTCCAGCTAAGTAAATAGCTCAATATACATTTTCTAGAAAGTTGACACAACTGCGATTCGCTGGTCGAAGATAAGAAAAAGAACAGCCGGAGTGATAATTCCCTAAAAATCATCTGCATGAAACGACTAGGGATGCCAATGAACCAAGTGAGCCCAGGGCCTGGCTTGGGCTAGTTTCTATTTCTTTTCTGCACTTCATCCAGAGAACCAAGATTGGAAAGGAAAATAGCCTCGCCTGAGTCCTATTCAGGCCAGGTAGAAAGCTGATCTCTGCAACTGCACCCATCTCTCTCTCTCTCTCTCTCTCTCTCTCTCTCTCTCTCTCTCATGTATTCCTAAGCCTGGCCCATCCCGCTGGAAGAAACCTCAGGTTCCCCTACTGATCACTCAAACAACCAGGTGCGGTTTGTGGAGGTTTGGTCGATTTAGGGACTGAATCTCTTGAGCTGGCCAAATGAAAGTTCATTGGCACAATTCTAGCAGACGAGCAACCAGAATCCGCCGCATCTTCATTTATCTGCCACCTTCTACCTACCATCTTCTCTCCCATGGCATGGGAGCCATATTTTCCCCGTCTCCTATAGTCATCTCTTCTCCATCCTCAACGACCTTCACTTCCTAGAAAGCTCTGCTTTCCCAAGTCCAATTCTGTCAATTGCTTTCCTATCCTTTTCTGATTGGGTCATCCCTGATCACGTTGCTCATAAACCACTTGCAGATACTGAAATCAGACCAAGACCAAATATTTAATTACAAATATCTTTATTGATTTACCTCCGTTCCCAGCACTCTAAAGACAGGAGCCAGAAGAATTACTAAAGTAATATAATACACATCTCTAAAATCCGAAGATGAAGTTTATTATGAAGCCCAACTTACCATGAGCCACGTTGGTTTCTCACTTCCGCATTCAAATCGTGAACATGAATAGGAAAGGAGAGGCATAGGCGATGATCTACAGGACCAGCATACCACAGAAATTCTTCATTGATTTTCTTTGCCTACTGTTGTTGCCCTGTTAACAATGTTTCCTATCCTATCATCTCAATTGATCATTAAATTCCATAATTTTATTTTAGAATTCTCGACAGAAGAGTACTTACAATCTTATCATCTCACGTGATCACTAAATTAAGAATACTAGTCAATTCCTTTTAAGAATGGTCGTACCCAGCAGGAGTTCTAAACACAGCACGATGTTGAACTGATTTTTTTACCATTCTCAGTTTCCCATTACCCAGGAAATAAGGACAATCTGGCTGATTCTACTGCACTAGAACTAATGGATTCTATCCAGTCTAATGGTATTTGAACAGTGCATTCTATATTCTATCAAATTGTGTAGAAATATATGTGTCTTAAACATTGACACGGAACAGTGTTTCAGATAGGACACGATTTCCGTGTAAGTATGAGGATTTATGAATATGTGAAGGTAAAAGAATATCATTCAAACTGATGTCACATGATTTCCTTGTGATATCAGTTTAATAGTAATAGCTTCTCACATCAGCCCAACTTGATTTCATTGTCCAAAGAGGATTGCCAGAAAAAAATACCGATTTAATGCACCAGATATAGATAAGCAGCCTAATGTTTTCCACAAGTAAAAGATATCTCCAAAGCACTTACCAATCACGAAACCATTATATTCGATAATCGAATCGTCAGGTCTTGCATTGGCTCTGCTCTCGAAATCCATTGTGTAAGACATGCCCGAGCATCCGCCTTGTTTGACTCCAATTCTTAAGCATAAATTTTCGTTTCGCTCCATCCTCATCTTATTCAGATGGTTCAGTGCTTTATCGGTCAATTTGATCGCAGGTGCAACGCTTCCTGTGGTGTTTGCTGCTGAAACGATTATGGAATACAGAGAAATAAGATGAACATCTGAGTGAAGCTTAGCATCCCAAGAATTTCCGAGGATACTAAGAAAGTAAGTTTCAATCAATGGTCGCAACACTGAAATTCCTTCAGAAGTCTAGATAGACCCTAACCTGCATCATCTCTACAAGTGACCAAGAGAAATCCATTACTTAACCTTAGAGTTCATGCATGAAAAAATTCCGTTGCTTAATTAAGAAGGATAATTACACAGGGGAAATGCTAATGGACAAACGAAATTACAAGAACTAACTTTCTTACAAATCTATAGCATTCAAGACAAAACATTACTCAGCGATGCTTTCACACCCAGACCATGAGCATTCACATCATTGTAGGTATAACTGTAAGTAAAGATTTATCAGTTCTCAGGTACAGAAAAGAGTTTTTCTCTGATGTCCAAAGTCCTCAAAAACTCACAGGCCATATTTTATGGACAAAGGAAAAATAAAAAGGAGATAGTGATGATATCAAATTATACTTCCAAGGTTCGGATTAAAACATGCATCACTATGAAGCAGTGAGTCAATGAAAAACTGGATAGGATTTCCAGCACCAAGATGGTAATCCATAACTGCACGGAATCATTTACAGAAAGAGGGCAGAGAGTAAAAGGGATAATGAAAAGTATGAATGCTTCATCTGCTGTGATACGTTATTTTCCTGGTCAGGTGCGAGGTGGAACATAACTTTGTTCAGTTTGTCGGCGGTGGGAAAACATAGCGTAAATTGTGAAAATAAAAATGGGTTCAGAGAAGATCCCTTCCTAGTGCCTACCATAAGGATCAGCTTGCCTTCATAGCCAGAGGAAACTAGGTGAAGCTTCGCAACGCAGCTTCGGAGAGGCATCAGTATAGTTATTCAAGAACAAGAAAGTTGAATTTCTACAATAAAAAACTAAACTTTTCAAAATAGAATACATATAGTATGCAAGACGAAATAGTTTTGAGGAAGAAATACGGAAGACGAGAAGTTTCCCTCCGTCTCAGGGTGGGTATGTGTGTGTGGGTGGGTTTGACTCCTAGAAGCATCGATTGAATGGGATTTTTTTTTCCAAGAACAGGGTATTATTGGCCAAAATAATAAGACAGCAGCAGGAAGAATGGAAGCAAGAAATGAGAACTACACAATTTGCGAGAGGTAAATGAATTGAAAGCAACGTACATGGAGCTCCGGGGTAAACCATACTTGAGAAGAAAAACATGGTCGATGAATGCAGATACAAGAATAAAATAGGCACATAAGCAAATCAGAGAGAGAGAGAGAGAGAGAGAGAGAGAGAGAGAGAGAGAGAGAGAGGAAGTCGCACCAGTCGCCGAGCTGCACCGGATCGACAGAGGAAGCCTACGATTGAGATCCGTGACGGGCCATCGCACTAGAGCAGGTGACCTAGACGCAGCAACAGAATTAGATTTCCAGGTCGGACAACCGATGGAGAGCGAACTTGGAGAAGCTGAGACGGCCATGGCGGACCGAGAGACAAGGAGAGAGAATAGAAAACGGGAAGAGGATCTCTCCGCAGACGGACGCTGCGTCCCTTTGGGATTCTCGGATCGGCCTCGTGCACCACGACCACGCATGTCGAGATCCTTTTACCTGGGGGATCCTGCCAAAATCCACCAATCAGACGGCCAATAGACGCCAGCTGACCTGCTCTTCGTTGGTGACGTACACGGAAACGTCTCCTAAAATCGACCAACTGTCGTATTTGCCCTCGCGAAGCTCGGAGTAGCAAAAAGACCTTAACTTGTTCCAAAAAAAAATGAAACTTTTCTATCTTCCGATTACATGCGAGCTCTGTGGGTTGGTCACCAGTAGTCCTTGCAGGAGCAGACCCCGCCTTCAAAATGGTGGAAGCGGCTTCTATCCCTCACGACTATCCTCCGGTTATATATCTTCGAGATGAGCTTCATGGATTCATGGCAGTCCGCGCAGACCCGCAGGTTCTTCACCACGCGCAGTTCCGCGCCAGGCTCGGTGCTGATCAAGCCGAAGGCCACCGCGATCTTCTCGCTGTGGTACTTGAGAGCGCTCTCTTTCTCTTCGTCGTCGATGTTCAGCAGCACCTGCTTGATGTCCGGCGTGTGCCCCGCCGACCGGAGCTTCAAGGAGATCTCCTCCAGCATGGTGTGGATCTCCCCGCTCCTCCGGTGGGAGCTGTCCTCGACGACGAACCCGTGGACGACCCCGTCGAGCGTGATCCAGCTTCTCCCCGGATCCTTTGTCACGCCCAGTTCTTTCATCATCAGCCTCACCTTGGCGACGGCCTCCCAGTTTCCCAGCGAGGCGTAGAGATTGGAGAGCAGCACGAAGCAGCCGCCGTCGCGTGGGGCGAGCTCCATGAGGCGGTCCGCCACCCGGCTACCCATCTCGACGGCGCCGTGCATCTTGCAGGCGCTGAGGAGAGACTTGAGGATGACGTCGTCAGGAGCCATGGGCATGCCCAGCAGGAGCTGTTCGGCCTCTTCCAGCAGGCCTGCGCGGCCGAGCATGTCCACCATGCAGCCGTAGTGCTCCAGCCGTGGCTTCAGCCCGTACACATCCACCATGCGGCGGAAGAATCTCCTTCCTGCTTCAACCAGCCCTCCGTGGCTGCAGGCTTTGAGGACACCGATGAAGGCGACGTCGGTGGGGATCACTCCCTCCCGCTCCATCCTAGCAAACTGCTCGACGGCGTCGTCGGCGCGGCCGTGCAGGGCCAGGCCGCTGATCACTGCGCTCCAGATGATGGGATTTCTCCTCCTCCTGCTCGGAATTTCCTCGAACACCTGCAGAGCCCTCTCTATGCTCCCGCACTTGGCGTACATGTCCACGAGAGCGGAGCCGAGCACGTCGTCCACTTCGATGTCGTTCCTCGTAGCGTACGCGTGAACCCACTTGCCCAGATCGAGCGCTCCGAGGTGGGAGATCGCGGGGAGGACGCTCACCAGGGTGACGTGATTCGGCCCCACGCCCTCCGCCTGCATGCTGCGGAACACGTCGACGGCGTGCTTGAAGAGCCCGTTCTGCGCGTAGCCGGCCACAACGGCGTTCCAAGACACCACACTTCTCACAGGCATTTCATCGAACGCTTTTCTGGCGTGCTCGACCATGCCGAGGCACATGTAGCCATCAATTATGACGTTCTGCAGGACGACGGCGGACTCGCTCCTCTCCGGCAGGCGGCTCCGGCGGAACAGTCGGCGGGCGTCGTCCATGCTCCGGCACGTCGCGTACGCGCGGACGAGGTTGCTGGCGACGAACCCATCGGCATCGAGGCCCATCTTGATCGCCTGCGCGTGGATCTGCCTCGCCTCCTCGCCGGCGGCGGCGGCGGCGCAGGCCTTGAGCACCGAAGGAAAGGTATATTTGTTGGGGATGGCGGAGGGGTCCCCCTGCAACATCCGGCAGTAGAGGAGAATGCCCCCAGAGGCCAGGTCGCAGCTGCTCTCGGAGAAAGCCCGAATCATGGTGTTCCAGGAGAAGATGTTGGGGGCCTCCATCTGGGAGAAGACGAGCCCCGCGTACCGGAGATCTCGGTCCTCCGACAGGGCGGCGGTCCGCAGAACCTCCGCCGCCACGAGGGGGTCTCGGATGTGTCCCGTCTTAATGGCCGCCGCGTGGAGCTGCCGCAGCTCCCTCACGGTCCTGCACGCCTTGAGGTCGGCCATGGCCGAACCCGGGGGGCTCGCCCACAGCATCATGCTGCTGACCCACCTCGAGGGGAGAGGAAAAAGGTCAATGCAACAAGTCAAAGAAAGGGCGGAGACGGCAGTACGTCCGCCGCCACGAGGCGAAGTCTCGGATGTGTCCCGTCTTAATGGCCGCCGCGTGGAGCTGCCGCAGCTCCCTCACGGTCCTGCACGCCTTGAGGTCGGCCATGGCCGAACCCGGGGGGCTCGCCCACAGCATCATGCTGCTGACCCACCTCGAGGGGAGAGGAAAAAGGTCAATGCAACAAGTCAAAGAAAGAGAGACGGCTGTGGTACGTGATCAAACAGCGAAGCGAGGTGATGAAGCTTATCATTTCCTCAAACACAAGATATGATAGAATACACGTATGAGCCCCGTAAGAAGTCACATGGAGACGGCTCTGCAACAGCTATTGCAGGGCGGCGACGGAGACGTTCAATTCCACACACACTGGACAAAAATCAGATGAAGAGAAGACAATCCGAAGATGCCCTCCTCACTGTTGACCTTTACGGGTGACCTGTGATGAACCCCTTTCCGCTGCCCGTTGTTCTAGGCGGTGATGATCTCGGCGACCTGTGATGAAACCCCTTTCCGCCGCCCGTTGTTCTAGGCGGTGATGATCTCGGCGAGGGAGGACCAGGTGCCGACGGTGGCGAAGACCAAGCCGATGATGATGATGCCACCGTCTACAGCCATCTGCAACACCCCCATCTCCTCCTTGAAAACCTTGAGATGGAACCACGCCGGCAGCACGAAGCCGAGCGTGCAGCAGACGGCGCTGCCGACGAGGGACAGGAAATCGGCGAAATTGGGGACGAGGAGGGCTACGAGAGTGACGCCCAGCACCACCACCCACCGCAGCCACACGCAGAACCGCTTGCCGGCGAACCGCCGCTCCATCACCTCGTGCACCGGATTCATCATCAAAGGGAAGCTGAAGAATAGGTTGATGCAGAGGCCCAACTGGACCAGCTCGGTGAGGAAACCCCTCCCGAGGTTGTTGGTGATGATGTCCCTGGTCTCCTCCCCGAAGGCGAAGTAGCCGAGAACCCCGAAGAAGCCGTACATGAGGGAAATGAAGAAGAGGGAGACCCCAAGAGTCTTCCCGAACTTCGCCTTGTCGGCCGCCTCTGACTCCAGCGGGAGGACCATCCCGATCCCTTCGAAGGCGAAGACGGCGACCCCGAGGCCGTAGAACACCACCGACAATCCCCGGAAGGCCTGCAGGGCCTGGTGTTGCTGGAGAAAGAGGGTCACGTCTTCCACCATGACGACCCCCATGGCCCCGATCTCGACCACGTCGGCGAAGATGCTGAGAGGGGCCAGCCGGGTTAGGGTCCTGATAGAATTGAGCCCCAATTGGAAGGGGAACATCCCCCAGATGTATAAGGATTTGGGCGCCAGGCTGAGGAGACCAGATCCGATGAGATTCAACGCAGAGGGGGAGGAATCCTCGTCGCCCGAAGCGTTGATGATGTGGGCGAGGGTGTTGGCGATGAAGATGAGGTAACTGACGCAGAACCCCGCCTGGCTGAGGACGATCATGACGTCGACGGCGAACTTCCCAATTTCACCGGAGACGACGAGGCCGAGGTCGCCGAAGGAGGTGATCTTGGAGAAGCCCCGATCCTTTTCGAGCTTCCGGCGGGTGTACACGAGGAGCATCATGCAGTGGTAGGTGAGCCCGGCGACGACGAAGATCATGAGGGCGCCGGCAGCCCAGCCGGTGCGCTTGAAGGTGTAGGGCAGGCCGAGGACGCCTGAGCCGACGATGGCGATGAAGATATTGGCGAAGGTCTTCGACTGGGAGGAGAGATGCCGGTGGCCATCGTGGTGCCCCTGCAGCAGGGGTACGCTGCCGGCGTCCTCTGCGGGGACTGTGAGCCCATGGGAGGAAGAGCTAGCCTCCTCGAAACCCATTCTGTGATTCTCCTTCTTCCTCAGGGAGGACGAGAGACGGGGAGTTTTGTACTCCGTTGAAGGGGCTGGGATAAGTTGCTTACAGAGAGGGAAAGGAGAGAAAGAGAGAGAGATTGTTTCGACGTCGGTTGGCAGGGGACTAATTTTATTCATAAATACCACCCTCCTATATTACAAAAATAATAGGCAAAAACCCCCTGTTGTCAAAACTAATTGTGCAAGTACTTCGGACCTGAAGACAAGTTGATCAGGGCAACCAATCAATGATTGCCCAGGTGTTGTATCAGACCACAAACTCACACAGCCCCGGTAGAGTTGACTGGGCTCACCGAGTCAAGCCCACGAGCCACGGACGGAAGCATGGCACCCGACTCGGTCTGAGCCGAGTCGTAATTTACGTAATTTATGGTTATATCCAGTTGTGGCAAATCACGAATATATCAGAGACAGGATCGGGATTTCATGACAAAATGGAGATCCATCCACAGAGACGAGGCGGGGATCATTCGTAAAGTCAAATCCAAGGCTAATAATGGACGACTTAACACGCACAACGACGACAGAAAAAAATCCAGGAACAATGGAGAGAGCGATTGGGTCAACGGGGGAGGGGGAGGATTCACAGGCGCAGGACGACCATTGACTTGGTGGAGCAGGAGGAGGCGGCCGCTGGGTGGGCGGAGTGCTGGGTGGAGATGTGGTTCCACTTCACTTCCCTGCCGGAGACATCGCAGGAGGTCAAAAAGTCAAGCACCTGGCCGAAGATCTTGAACATCTCAATCCCATATATCCTGCTCCGCTCGGCGAAGAACACGGCGTTCATGTCCATGGGGGCGTCGGGGTGGCTCGCCACCTCCGCCCATGCCATGAGGTCGAGGTCGAGCTCCCACAGTTTCCTCAGGGCCTTCTCGCAGCCACCAAGCCGCCGGTCCCCGTCGCCCCACGACACGCCGAGCAAGAACAGGCGGCCGTCGCCGGAGGAGACGACCGCCGGCCGGTAGGCGTGCAGCCGTGGGGGCGGCCGAGACGTCTCAATGATCGCCCAGAGGCCCCGCTCCGGGTCGTAGCGGGCCAGCCGGTTGGCTTCCGAGTAGACGTAGAACATGCCGCCACACGCCGCCCCCGAGCAGGCGGCGCCGCCGAGGTCCTCCGGCAACTTCCCGATCGCCGTCCATTGGTCCGCCACAGGATCGTAGACCTCCACAGAATCCAGCGGCTCGTCCCAAGAACCCCGGCCGCCGGCGGCGATCAGAAGGAACCTCGATCCCTCCTCGTTCGTCTTCCGGCCGACAGCTTCTGATGATAATTGTTTCCCGGTGGATTCCTCCACTTCGTTGAGGTATTCCTTCAGTTTTGGGCGCTTCAGGTGGCGACGCTCGAGCCGCCGACGGCTTTGGAGAAAAGAGGAACTCGAGCTGACCTTGAGGACGCCCAGGATAGGCCCCGACCTTGGGACCCTCAGAGGTGAGGCCTTGCGCCATTTCCCTGTCAGAGGGCTGAACACCAGCACCCCTCTGTGGGTCTTGAGAGAGCTTCTCCCTGACAGTGCGGCGGCGTCGGCGGAGTTCGAGTAGCCTCCGACGACGTAGATGTCGCTCCCGACGGCGGCCACAGAGAACAGGAACCTCCCCGCGAGAAGATCAGCTCGGATGGTGTGCCACTGGTTGAGGGAGGTATCCAAGGCGTGGATCTCCCCGGCGGAGGAGCCGCTCCTGGTGATGCCAAACAAGAAGAGCCATGGATGATGAGTGAAACCTCTGGATCTCAGGTGAAGAAACTGGGGAGAAGTTGTCAGGTGCAGCCATTTCTTGCAGACGAGTCGGGCTGCCTGGAGGGATGCGAACGGGAGACGAAGAAGGCACATTTCCAGCAGATCATCCGGGAGCGCGAATTGAGGCGCCGGCGCCGGAGTTGGAACGATTTCCTTCACCTTCCTCGAGTTCTTCTTCCGAATAAGGTCCGAAATTCCGTGAGAGAAGCACTCCAGACTGCTCTCCGCGACTCTGGGCAGAGAACGGCGCGGGGTGGCCGATTCCATGGCGGCCGGCTTCTGGTTCTCGGCGACGACGATCTCGTCGCAGGCGCCGACTTTGCACCCGGTGCCGTAGAGAGACAGGCATCTGAAGTTACCCCTCTTCCCCTCGCCTCCATGAATGCTTCTGTTCGTCCTCAGCTCGGGGTCGAGATCCTTGGCCTGTTGTCTCCCAGGCAGAGTCAACTCCTTCAGCCGTAGATGCAGTGGGCCGTCCTCTCTAGTTTCTCCTCTGGTCGTGACGGGAGAAGCATTCTCGAGTAGGAGGGTTCTTAAGCTGCTGCTCGATCTTCCGAATCTGTCGCCGGTCGCCATCCCCCTTCCGCTGGAGAGAGAACCTAGGCCTAAAACCCCCAATTTACCATGCCAGGAAGAACAGAGGTAGGCCAATGCGTGTTAAGGACCTCCGACTCCGTATGCTCCAGGGAATCCAGCCAGTTCCATCAAATCCAGACTGTCGTCAGAAAGAGATGGAGGGGGAAATTGAATGATCCGAGGGTCAACTTCGTGCAAATAACCTGCGTCCCGCAAGCGAAAGGCGACGGGAGAGAATCAATTCAAGAAGTCGGTACTCCTCCGTCTGCCCTAAATTCAGCCAAGAAATCATTCCCACCCTCTGAATCGTACTGAGAATTCCATTAAATCGTCAGCGGAAGGACTACAACGCGGGGAGTACACTTGCCTTGGAGCGAGAAAGGACAATCCGGCCTTCAGATCTGGAACCCTCGCCGATCAACCTCCACTCTGAGATGGAAGCAGAGCCGGAGAGGATGACCGCGGAGGCGGCGCAACCTACCGTCCCCTGTTGCAGCCCGCTTTTCGGGAATCCACTTCCATTTCCGGCAACTCCCAGCGTACCGACAGGATCGGAGTGGCGCCACCGATGGCGTTCTTCACCTGTCCTGCCCTCACCAACTCCGCTGGCATCCGTCGCTGGGGCGTTAGAACAACGACGAAAACTCCATTACAAAGTCAACCTGCAGGAAGGGAGGGGTCCGGAGGAAGAAGACGATAACCGTACAGGGACGGAATGAACCAGTCGTAGTCCGGATCTGCCTGTAGAAGGAGGTCTACGGCGGGGGCCCCGTCGGTAGGGTTTCCGACGGCCGCGATTGCTCCGGCGAGAGGCGGCGATGCCGCAGAGGGGGACCTCGCCAGGTGGCCGATCCCGACTAGGCAGGCTCAGCTGGCGCTTCCCGCCATTCGATCTGATCTGACAGGTCGCTGTACGCGATGGACGCTCGTGAGGATGGACTCTCTTGCCCTTAATGGGTCCCGAATCTAACGTCCCACCACGGTGGTCCCGCGGATCCGACGAACCTAATGGCAGATTGGCCAAACTCGCCCTGCCCAACGAAAGCAGCCCATTAACTAACAGTTCACTTTACAAATTTTAATATTTTAAGAGGTAAATTTGTTTTCGTGATCTTCTGTGAAGTCGTGTATGTTGTCTCGCGGGTTATCGTAAACCAACCCTGACGACAACCCCTTCGTAAAACCCTCGGCCGCCTTCTATGCTCTGCTCTGCCCTACTCGGGACTGCCGCGAGCATGGCTTCTGCCTCCTCGAAGAAACAGCGGAGAAGTAATGAGGGGGAAACCCTGACCCTGAACCAGCTGAGGACCCTTGGGGAGCAGCTTCTCTCTTCAAAGGCTCATGTCAACAACCTCCCCCGCCTCTTGTCGTTCCTATCCCCTTCCTCTCCTCTTCAGTTCGTTCTCGAGTCCCTCCTCACGCTCCAGTCTTTCTTCATCACGCTCCTCCCAGAGATACAGTCATCTCCTTCCCCTCAGAAGTTTCTGGCCCTCGAATTACCCAGAAAGGATGAAGAGGACCCGGAAGCAGTCTACAGGGTGTGGCTCCGGTCCCGGTTCGACGAGTTCGTCAACTCGCTCATCCAGTTGGCCGTCTTTCCTCGGACGGAAGAAACCATAAAGGTACGGAGGCAGAATTTATTTAGTCCCGGTAGTTCAAATTTAATGCCTCTTCTTCCTCTGTTGAAGCTTGGAAGGCCAGTTATTGTTGATCCTGATTAGTTGTATTAACTGACTCCCTCGTCGATATAATTTATTCAATTATATTTTATTAGTTTTTCATTTTTTTTACTTTTGCAAATTGTTCAGGATGTAGTTTTGGATGCGCTGATGGAGTTTATTAAGCTAGGAAAAGGTGGAAGATTTCAGTCGGCGATTTATCACAAGCTTATTCACAGTCTTGTAAGTCATTTCTTGAAAATGCGGCTGATAGAGTTTGGTTTTATAGATTCAATCATTAAAATCATCAGCTACGGATAATGTATAATAAACCTTTATTCGATGTACATCTACTCTGGTGGGTTCTTCGTTTGAGTCTAATTCTTGAATAAACTTCCTTTATCTAAGTGCAGAAATTTGTTGTTCCTTTAATTTTTTTAGGAAAGAGTGCATGGCATATCTATATGCATCATCTAAATTTAACCCCGACTAGCTATCCCAAAACAAGATAGGTCCATTGCTGGTCTTATAAAATTATTTTAAATGATACATAATGAAATAAATAAGTACCGCTGTTTGGTACAATTGTAAAAAAAAATTATATCCTCCTTTTAATTGTTCTGTCTCCATCGAAATTGTCAGAAAAATATATAGGATAACATTTGAATGATCAAAAGCGAATGCATAATTCTAAATTCAATTTCTTGGAAAAATGTTGTCGTGGTTTTCTTAATTATCATTATGCTCGTCATTATCTATCTGAGCTTTAGAATGGGCTTCCATGACTGACTGAACTGGAGCAAGGTTTTCATAGGGGAAAAGGCACTCTGTTCATCAGGGGTTGACTTGAGAAGATCAGGCGAAGACTCTAATGGGCTCTGAACCTAATGATGGGCTCATGTCTACTATTGCATATCGATGCATCTAAATTGCCAAAATTTAAAATTTATGTCCCTTTTGATGCCGCCCTTGCGAACCGAACCACTGATTTCTGAGACAGCATTGGGTGGGACGGAATAGAGTCGGAAGAAAAGAGAATTGGAGAAAAGCCACGCTGCTCATCAGGGTTTGATTTGAACACAGCTGGCGAAAACCCTAGTTTTGTTCTGGACTTTATGAGGGGTTCATGTCTGCTTACACTTCAATGTATCTAAATTGCCAAAAATTAGCATTTACTTGGCTTCAGATGCCGCCCTTGCTAACCCGATCACCAATTGCTAGCAAAACATTGGGTGGTTAATACAGTGAAGGAAAACCGAAATTAATTCCTTTGATGGTGTTACATATCTTGCATAGTGACAAAAAAAGCTTAAAGAAGGGCCAACTTCGTGAGTGGTGACGGCTGTTTATGGAATCGAATTTGTAGCTGTGATCCACTGAAAGGTTCGTGAATTCTTTCATCTCCCCAGAAATCCTTCTAGAGTTTGTTAACTCAACGAGACAGTTTTCTGATTAATATGATTCCATTTTTCTTTACTAAAATCAGAGAACTTTGGTTGATAACCCTAATTTTCCCTCTTCTTATCTGCTGCTGTTGATGTTGATGAATTGAATGAGCTTGCTAGTTGACCAATGCTATGGGTATAACCTAAGTTACACATGATTAGTTCATATGATTTGATTTTTTTTAAGTCAACAAGTGGACATGAATAATGATTTGAAGAATTTCATTTAATGCTGGAGGTTAAAATCAGGTTTGTGGGTTTTCAACTATCTCTTCGTTGATAAACGTTTTGATCTGTGTGGAATTCGCTGGATTCATCAGTGAGGAAAGAGCATTTGCCCTGCAACTGTCCTGTATTATTTGGTTGAGTTCAAGATTCAGACGCATCAGCTTCATCAGTCAACATAACGTTTCAAACTTTTCTGACAATATTTTCATTTCTGTCTGCTACGATATGCGTGACTCTTCCCAGAATGAAGCTTTTTTAGATGGTCCTTGAGATCAATTTTGGTTTAGTTTGTTATCACTTCTGCGCGTGCACCTTTATTGTCTTTTGTTCCAGAACCATTTATTTTCTTAATTTGATTTACTACTTTATGTGATGCAGGTTCATTCCGCATCTTCTGTTCAGCTTACAGTTGACCTACTTGTGACAAAATACTTAAAGTTTATTGATGTTCGGTATATTCCAATAACTCGGAACTATCTTATTATAATTTAGTGCTATAGGCGTCGTGCATTTCAAACATGTTGTTTGCCTACCTTACAAATGTCTATGAATAAGATTCTTTACTCATTTTAAGGAGTGTCTTTCTTGTTTGATGCCAGCCATTTCATTGTTCTGCATTCAATGATGAACATTTGGATCGCTATTTTCTGTCCATTATTTCTCACAAGTTCCTCATATTATTGACATAATTGATTGGAAACTTGCATATTTTGTGGCGTCTCAGTGGTACTGGTTAGAATGCACTTTGAATATGAGTGACCATCACTACTATAATAGCAAGATAACTTGCATTTTTTATTCAACTCTAACCCCTTTGTGTCTTTCCGTCTTTCCCATATGGCTGCATAGTTTACACTAATTTCACTTTAGATGCGCCTGCCTCTAGCTTCCCACTTTAATTGACCAGCTTCTTTATCCTTCAGTTTCAAGCCTTTTCTCCGTTTTCTTTCATTCAAATCTAGAATGACTTTTTTGAATTATCAAGTATTTGGTTGAAATGACCCAATTCTAAATTTATCAAGAAACCATATCAGCAATCAACTACCTTTGTTAGAAACTTAAGTCTAATAGTTATAACTACTATCATGGCTTCAAATGTGCTCCAGCATAGATTGATGTTTGTTCGGATATCTAGCACAATTAGAATGATTCTGGATGAAGCTTCATTTATCACAAATTTGGTGGATTAATGATTGCTATACTCTCTCATGACAATTACTTGTGATATTGATTCTTGTGTGATAGTATGTTGGTCTCCCATGATGACCCCTAAGGTTGCTTAGCGGGTTAGCCGTTTATAGATGTTGAATTGTCCAGTCAATTTATACAATGAAGTCAATATTTGGTTATTCTTCGTAGTTCTTTCTTATGATTGCAGATATTTCACCTACACGAGTTTGGGGAAGGTTACAAAGAGTTATGAGTCAACATGTCGCAGTGGTAAGTATTTATCGTGGTCTTTATGGCTCCCTGAGGTCGCTTAAATTTAGAGGTCTCCATCAATTTGTGCAATCCTTGGGTTTATTAGCGCTCATGTTTTCTTTCGAAAATCTTAAGCTTTGAAATTTATCCCTGCGTATTTGTTTCTGTTTTTTTGACTTCTCTACTGTCTACTTCCGTCAGAGGATGGAGAAAGGAATCCAGAAAGTGGCGATGTATCAGGAAGAAGGTAAAGACTATATCTCTATCTATATCTCGCTCTATGTGGTTTATATGTTCTCCGTCAGCGGCCATTTCTGGACTGACACCCGTAATTCTTCCTAGCATGTGAACATGTTTATGATTTTTTTATTTCAGAGTTCGTTTCCCCTTTATCAGTTTACCCTTTAGTGACTTAAGAGTCAAGTTGCTTACATTCTTAGGATTTTTCCTTCATGGTATTGTGACAGTTTTGCCTTTTGTGTACTTTAAGAGACAGCATGTGGTATGAAGTGATCAGATGACCTCTAAAATGATCACTGTACATTGCTAATCCTAGTTGTTTTTCACTAAGCAAACTAGTTCGCTATTATTAAAGCAACACAGTACATAGCTAAAAACTTGATGTTGGATTATAGTCAATAATTACCTCTTATAAGAAGGTATCTACATGATCACTGTAGCTAAAAAGGATTAGCATGAAATATGAACAGTTCAGGTCACATAAATGAGACATGTCATCTTTGTTCTGCAAGAAGTTCAATGAACAGTTGGTTTTCCTTGTTCTCCACTTGTCACATTCCCTGCTGACTTTAGTTCAGTCTGGTTTTCTGATCATACATGTATTGTCTCTTTGACAACAATGTGCACTTTCACATTCTTTAGAATGTGATGCTAACAAGTCTGACATTTGTTCTTTACATAAATGGTGCTTTTCAAAACAAAAACCGTCTCTTAAAACTGAGCATATCAGATTGGAGACTGCTATACACAATATTTACAACATTCTTTCCCACATTCCTGTATCAGATGCCCTGCTGAGAATCATGTCATGAGATGTGGAGTCAATAGGTGTACTATAATTCCAATTTTAAAATTTTAGTTCGTGGTACTACGTGATCCTTTATTGCATTATCTTTTCTGGTGATTATTCTAATACAATCTTCTGTGCTTATTTATTGACCTGCTATCTCCACGGTAATGTCACAGACGCTCAACATTAAAGAACCAGAAAAATGGTCAATGTAACGAATGTATCCTCATGTGATGGTTAATAAAAGGAAGACACCTGTGATTGATTGACATTCTTTGAAAATAAACAGTGCTGCGTAAGTGCTGTTCCGAAAATGTAGTATCGAGTCGGGTGGTTTGTGACCATGAAATGGGATCTAATATCTGTTGATATGAAAGCACCGATACAACTGATCTGTTGGATATGATGTTAGTGTGATTCTTTCAACCATATTCCTGTGTTTTTTGTGAAGAATGTGAAAAATATTATCTTAAAAAGTGTATGCTACAATGAGAACATCCTTTTATACCTCTATTCAGTCATTGTTTTTCGGAATTGGCCAATCATTTTGTCATCGGATCTGACCCTACGAAAGAGGAAACAAAGCCCTCTCTGCTTCTTGCTCTCCGGTGATGACTGTTGCTGGTTACCTGTTACAACTCCTCGCCGCCAGCACTTCCAGCCGGTGCTGCAGGTGCCTGGCCACAAGTTATCACCCTCTACCAGTCGTTCGTTTGAGTTTCAGAACTCTTTGGGGAACGATAATTATATTAAGTTTACATTTGATGCAACTCTTCTCAGCATTCGTAATGTATTTAAACTTTGTCCGAGCACCCACAGGTATCAAGTTTGGTTTTTGGGGTACTTTGGGGAGTTTACCCTTTGGCCAAACCTTCTATATGCTTATTGCACTTGTGAATTTTTGGGTTAAAAATGCCTAAATACTTTATTGTTAAAATATTTTTATTTTTTGACCTGGTTGGCATTTATCTAGATCAGATATTAATCCCAATCCTGGCTGGATCAAACCTTACTAACCCAGCAGTCTGATACTCCTCAGATTGTCATATTTGATCTCTTTCTTTCATTTCATCAGTGTTTGTTGGCAATTTTATCCTTGACCGGCTTCATCAAAAGGTGAACGCTATTGTTAAGATCATTTTTTTCCCAGTTTCTACTAGCAGAACATGCATGAGAAAGGTGATGGTGATTTTTTTTCATCTCCATTCTTTTTTTTTCTTATTCTTCCCTTGCATTCATTCCTTCATTTCCAAGGGTGGCCAAAAGTAAATGGAAAATTTTAAAATGCCCTTATTAGTTGGCCTCTCACGAGTGGCATTCGTTGATCTAGGGGAACACAGTGCTCTCTAAATCCGACCGTTAACAGCTGCATGCCTAAGCTCCTGGTTGTTTCTGAATTTTCCTACCACCTTATTCCCTAGGCAATGCCTTGAAGACTGACAATGTGCATCCATGATTATCCTTTATATCCTCCCCTGGTTGGATGGTTTTGGATGTTTATGTCCCAATAATGATATTTTTTATTGGCATATCACCGATGCCTGGAGCCCTGCTTGAGAATGATTTTTCACATTACTTCTGAGCATTGCAAGCCTATTTGTTTCTTTTAAAGAATGCCATAAATACTTTTCAAAAACTTGCTGATGATTTTCTCTGATTTCTCTTGACGGTTTGATGTTCGTCTTCTTTATTTAATTTCTATCACTGGTCTATTGGTAGTTTTTCTGCTTTTGTCTGGCGTGTTTTTCTTTGAATACCCTTAATACGGATACATTCTTACATTCTTCAATGTTGTCTTGTATTCTTTATCCTCCATTCATAACCAACAGTCGTTGTGGAATGTTGTTTGCTAAATGTTTTTGGAATTTCCTGGTGTAGGACTTCTATCCAAAGAGACAGAAAATACATCATCCTCTGAGGCCTTGCCTGTGAACGGTGATCCTAAGAGGTCAAAAATGGTAAAAACCAAAGTGCCTGTCATTGCTTTCCTCGTTGATATCTTGTTTGGAACGAACTATTTACGTCCATTGTTCAAAGTCTAATTGTATTTTTGTCGTCCAAATGTAATTTGTTCACCTTTTTATGTTTTTAAAGTTTATTCAATGCTATATGAAATGATGGAAAATGTTATGACCTAGAAATTATGCAGATGTATGCTTAGAAGTTATATGTGAGACCATTCATTTCAGAGCTTACGTCCCATCATAATAAAAGATCCTACCACGTTGATCTCTTTCAGATCTCATCCTTCTTTTCAGCACTCATCAGGATGTTCTCCATGACTTTTGTATGAAACTTATGCATGTGTGTTCCTCCTACCAAATAGATGCCACCCCTCCTTGTGAGAGACCGGTAGTGATCTCTCTTTTATCCATGATTCATTCCTTTTATGTATGACATTCTTCCTTCAGTATATGATTTTATTTGTTGACCATTCCTGGGATTGTTGTCCGTTCATAATATTTTTCGTCATATACACAGGTCGGTTCTTCAACTCATATCACCAAAAAGTTTAAGGCGAAATTTACTAAAGCATGGATTTCATTTCTTAAACTACCACTCAGTCTTGATGTGTATAAGGAGGTATTATTTTTCATGGCAATAATTTTACTTTCTATTGTGGTTTTATCAGACTGGTTCCCTTAAATTTTCACTCAATTGCTTTCAAGTGGTGTCAAATGATACCTCTTAGTAATTTCAATGGTTTATCAGTTTGCCTCCTGATTGAAGTTGAAATATAGTAACAGGGTGTTTAATTATTTGATTTTCCATGTGCACATTCCCTACTCAGCTCATAGTCAGCGTTGTTCTCTTCTGCTCATCATCTCACATTTTTGTAACACGTCTTTAGTGCTAATGTTCAGGTTCTTGTTGCTCTTCCTCAAATGGTAATCCCTCATGTTGCCAATCCTGTTATATTATGGTAAGCTGTGTCATGAAATTGTTTTTAGTCGGGTCATGGACCATCTGTTTGAAGACATCTTGTGACATTCTAATCTATTATCATTTGTCAATCCTCAGTGATTTCTTGACAAGGTCGTATGATATTGGAGGCGTTATCAGTGTAATGTCTCTCAGCAGTCTCTTCATTCTTATTACACAACATGGTGTTGAGTATCCAAATTACTACGACAAGCTATATGCATTGTTGAACCCATCAATTTTTCTGGCCAAGCACAGGGCCAGATTTCTTCAGGTGAATCTTATCAAGAAAACACGAGTGCCTGTTTTTATTTTCCAGCCGCAGAGATTTAGAAAAAGCATATAGTTTTAGTGAAAGATGGTATATATTTTCCATTTTAGATGTACTGATATTGTAATGCCATGGATTCTGTGAAACAATTGTGATATCATGCAATGACTTTTTTAATCATGTATATCGTTTTTCACAGGTGACTGTAATTGTCACCCCTTCAAATGTGGGGATTATTTCTGCTTCAATATACGCCCATTAAGGTCAATGGAATTCCAGCTTTGTTTTATTTTCCCTTAAAAAATAAATTGTAATGTAAGAAATCATGTAATGTAAATCTAAACTTAGTAAGTGTGATGATAACAAAGAATGATGAACATCAACATAAGAATGAAGCTTTAAATGATTATTAAACATTTATAATGGAGGAATCATACTTTCTGTTTAAAATCCTTGAGAAGGTTTGGTAAAACGTAGCATGTGAATAATCTCTTTCCAGATGCACAGCCTTTCATCAATTGTATATGTATGAGTGTTGGGAGAGAGAGGATCTTAGGATGTCTTGAAATTCTCAAGAAATAAGAAAGGTATCTAAATCTTGTAGATAAAGGGTTTCACTTCGGGGTCTTTTAGTGATATTTAACACTTGATAGTTTCCTTATTGAATTCCGAAGTCAAAGATCTTTTCTTCCTAATTCATAGACAAGCCTTAAGAGCAACAAGTGAATTTGATGCAAAATATTCTAAATGATCACTCTGTCTCTCTAGAAAAAGACATTTGTTAGTTTTTAAGTCTCCTAAGCTTCTATTTCACCAAGGTATAATGACGTGTATTTAATCGCATACTTTTTAAATGGAGCCCCTTAATTTCGGGAATATTCCATGAAGATAGATTGTTCTGTCTTTTTAGAATCAAGAAGATTGTGATCATATGAAATAAGACAAACCATCGTGCACGAGAAAATGTCATTTTATTTATAAAGAGAAACATGCCAGCATTGTTTTATCCCATTGTAAGCCGTCATTTGATGGGCATAATTGGCATCTGTGCTTGAATTATGTGCCTAGATACCATTATTTGATGTGGAGCAAACTGCATTGACTGAATGGACTGTCATTTTGTGAACTAAATTAAAGTAGCTTTTTGTACTGAATGTTTGTATGAAAGGGAATTTAATACATATGTGCTGATTTCTAACAGTCTTCTGTCCCATGCTTTGCAGCTCTTGGATACTTCATTGAAATCATCACATCTTCCGGCCTACGTAGCTGCTGCATTCACAAAGAAGTTAAGCAGATTGACACTTTCCGCACCTCCTTCAGGATCTCTTGTCATAATTGCAATAATTCACAATCTTTTGCGGAGACACCCCTCAATTAACTTTTTGGTGCATCAGGTAAGAAGCACCCCAAGATCAAGAATTATAGATTTTTTTCATAAAGGAAATGTGTAGATCTTGTTAGCTACTGTCCAAACTTAAAACATCATCCTTCAACATCCGCAATATTCGAGTAGTTTTTTTTTAATATCCATGTTGTTTATATTTTTTCTTCCCCTGTGGGACCAATTGTTCATTGTAGAAAATACTAACTTTATGGTGCTGTTTCCTTGTTCGCTAGCCTCGATGAACATATCATTTTTACTGGCGTTCGTCGTTTCTTTTCGTGTGGTTTTTTTGTTTTTGGTTCAGCACTTAGCACCGTGTTGGTAGCAAGGTACTAATTTTGTGATTCATCTTTGTCGTGTGGTTTTCTGTTCACCAAATGTTCTTGCCTGGCTGTTACTTCCGATCTCCATCAAGGTCTGGTACATACATGCCCGACTTCAGGGGCTCCTGACCTTGAAGATCAGTTGGGGCTTAACTCTATCTTACTCGCCCATATGAAATCTTGAAATGAAGGTTGTATATTTACTGCAGTAATGTGATTTTAAGTTCTCACTGTGAAGCGTTGGGCTCCTAATAAAAGGCTTATTGAGAAGATTGGTGTATCTGAGACGAAAATGTTTGTGGAGACAAATCATTGGCTTCTTTTAGTAACAGTAAGGATAACAACAATATAGCATGATGCTCTTATTTGCGTGTTCAAGTAATGGCATTTTATGAGGTCGCAATGTGATGAGAATCAGGATTTTCTGGCAAGAATTTTTTGGCTTCAGAGTTTCTGAAAGCGATTGACCGGAGGATGTGAGGAAAAGCCTAGTAATTGGCCCGTGACTCTCGGTTTCTAAGGGAACTATGGCAACATGCCTGGTTGTCGTTGTGTGATCTTCCGCAGCCCTGTGCAGCGTGCCATTCTGGAATGACGTTGTTCAATGCATTTTTAGGATTTAGACGAGCATAGATAAAAAAAAATAAAATTGATGATTTATATTGGTGAAGAAGTTCGTCAGTTATCCAAAAACTTTTCATGATTTATATTTTTTGTGAATATTTAGAAATTATATTGATATATTTCCTTTTTACAGCCCGTTGGTGATGAAAAACCAGAACATTCATCAAATGGAGCTGATGAATCTATTGAAGATGGTACAAAATCTGGTACTGGTCCAAGAATGGGTGGCATGAAGCGAGGCAAGGATCCATTCAACATTGAAGAGACTGACCTTGTGAAGACGAACGCCATGAGTATGCTACTATATTTATCTCTGTTAGAGATTTCTATTCTCTTCTTAGAGCCAAATGCCACGACTTTACTTTCTTGTTTAAAAACCGATAGTTAGTGAGTAAATAATGATCAAGTTGAAAGACAGGCCTGAGCTTTATCTGGAGTCACTGGAGCCTGATACAGTTGATCACTCTCTGCTCCACCTCCCAAGGCAACATAATGCGTCAACATTAATTTAATGGGAAATATTCCCCAAGGGTATTGAGAAAGGTTGAAATGAAAACAAAGGAGCTGAAAGCAAGCTGTGGATGAACCAGAGGCTTTATTTGTTCAACTATTCCATAAGCACTGAAACCAATAAGTGGCGCCTAGCTCTTTTTTATTATTATTCCTCCTTTCAAAGCCATGGTGATGTTAAAGCTATGCGAGCAAGCAATGGGTGAACCAGAGGCTTTGCATGTTCCTACCTGATTTCGACGCACAAAAATGTTTTGAAGAACAATCTAAAAAATACCCAGATTTTCTCGTTTACTCTGTCAGGGTTTAGAGAGGCATGCCAAGGCAAATTTGGGGTTTTTTAGTGCAAGGAAGATCGAGAACAATCTGATTAATGACAAAACATGGCATTATAGGGGGGAACAAATCGCAAATCTCCTTCTTTTGGTCTCTTCTCCTTAGATGTCATGAAGTTAGGCCCTGAGCAAGTTTGCCGTTTTTCTTCAAGCTCATCATAGCCTCTGTTGCTTGCATTACCATTCACAATTTCGGTGTCCACATGATTTTGACATGAATGTCGTAGCATGATTTCCTTTATTACCAATTCGGGTGCCCAGTATTCTTCTCTGTAAGCTACACCTCGCGAAATTGAAATCATGGTTCTTCGTAGTTATTGGATTTTGGCTGATGCACGGCCTATTTTCCGAGGCCCCGGTGAATTGGAGTTACATGTACGTACTTGTAATTTGATGATTAAAGATTCCATTTCTAGGCCTTCATCTCGTCGGTTACTATCTTCAGAAAGGAGAAAGGTAGAATTGTGGTGATCATAGCACCCATAGGACGAATAACCATATTTATTTATTTATTTATTTATTTATTAGTATTATTATTATTATTATTATTATTATTATTATTATTATCTGTCGAAGTTGGTGTTTCTATGATCTTACGATTTCTTTTCTTTTTTTGAAAAAAAAAGGGTTTGATCGAGCTCAGAATTCTATCTGGGCCTCCATTAGTTCTTCTGAAATAGTCGTCCGATCAGTGTTTAACTGTTGTTGTATGGTTTTTTTGATGAGATCCTGCTTGTCTCAGGAAGCTCTCTTTGGGAAGTTGACACCATGCGCCACCACTACTGCCCAGCCGTTTCGAGGTATTTTCCTTCGTTGCAGTCTATCAGGCGTGGCTGGAATCTCCCATACCAGACCATTACCCGATACCATCCATGACCCTTCTTCCCGGCAGATTTGTCGCATCGCTCGAGACTGATCTCACTGTGAGAGCAAAGACCTCCGAAGTGACTGTGGCAGACTTCTGCTCCGGTTCCTATTCCTCCATCTTCAGAGACGAGGTGAGCAGTCCGCGGCTGTTATCCAATCGATCATTTGACGATCTTCCTCTGTTTTTTGAGAAAACAAAGACGAACCCACAATCGTTGTTATGATTTTGCTATAGAAATAACGTTCTGACGAGCTCTTCCCGACTGAAACATGCAGATCAAGAAGCGGATTAAACAGGTACCGGTGGCGTTCTACAAGGCGACCCCGGCCTCCCTGTTCTCGGCGTCGGACTTTGCGGGCTGGTCGTTCGGGGAAGAATCATGAGAGCCTGGAGGCAGGTGAATGCGTGCCCATGCGAGACCCAATTCGAATCAGATGTTTGCTGCATCGAGACAGGAAAATATAAATTTTGTAGGTGAATTCTGCATATTATTAATCATTTGCTTGTTCCTCTTTCATCCATCTCTCAATGCCATTATCATTACCATTAGTATCATTATCGTCGGTCAAACCCACATATCATTACCATATGATTGTGATCTTAATCATACACGAACTTTATCTTTGATCATCATAGATGAGTGGAGTTATATCTTTCCATTAGTGTCCATTTCCTCATTAGTCAACGCTGAGGAATAGTGACAATAATCGGCCTCCTCCATTGCAAAACAATTAATCTCAAATGTACATAAATTGACCACCCTTTACCCTCCTCACCCCCCCCCCAAGGAAAAAAAAAAATCCTTTTTTTTCCCTACGTGAATTATTCCCGGAACGGAACCCTAACACTCGCATGTTACCGAAGACGAGGAGGCTTGGAAACAGAGGGAGCTCCGGCGCAGAACAGCTTCAGCTGTTGCCGTCCAGGAGCCCCTTGAGGAAATTCAATCCCTCGGCCGAAATGCTCCGGCGAACTCTCAACTTGGGGATTTCGATCCGAGGAGGAGGATCCAACGAGAAACAGACAACGATCACCGTTAGGTTGTCGCTGGGGTCACACTTCAGAGCCTGCCTGACCAGCTCCCGGGAACACCTCTCTGGGTCGTTGTGGATCATGAGTTCCTTCCTTGCGATGGTGACGGCGCACTGGCTGCTCATCACGTCCCAGAGGCCGTCGCAGCCCATTATGAGGAACTCGTCTTCCTCGGTGAGGACCGTCTCCTGCAGCTCCGGCTCGGCGATCAGGGGGCAGGAGGAGCCCTTGGAGCCTTTCATGTGCCAGTCGCCGAGGGCTCTGGCGACGGAGAGCTGCTCGTTGAGATAGCCGTCGTGGACCCTGCCGCCCAGCTTCTCGATTCTGATTCTCTCGGAGGTGCAGTTGGGTTTGTGATCTCTCGAGAGCTCAATGGCTCTTCCTCTCTTACCCAGGACGGCCCGGCAGTCGCCAGCATTGGCGACGTACATTGTTCTGCGATGGGAAAACCAGAGTTAGATGACAGAGAAGTAATGTGCAGAGATAACAAATGGTGAAAAGCGCAAAGGCTACCAAAGATCAGAAAGTTTTTTCCCCTTTATAACCATATCTTCTTATTTCTTTCCTCTGCAACTTTTTTTCTATTCGATCAAGTCGCATTCCCTTTCATGCTTCTTAATGAATACTAATCCGGCAGTTTGATCAAGTGCCTATAATGCATAAAACGGCGGTGGTTCTTCATTTTTCATATATCTCCATAGTTCTTTCCAAATAAGGGCTGATAAAAATATGCCCCCTGCCCAACAGAATAAAGCTCGCGTAAAAGAAGGGTAGATATAAGTCAGGTTCAAAACCTTCCAGAAATGAGGGCGGCCAATGCTGTGGTGCCAGAGGTGATGTCCACTGAACGAGTGTCAGCAAATGCGTGATCAGCTTTTACAAAAGCACTTCTCAGGGCCTCATCCACCGAAGTAGGAAAATGGTTGTCCTCAATTATGTACTTGAGAATGTTCTTTTGGACAAATGATGCTGCATCTGTGCCACCATGCCCGTCAAATACCTACCAACAAGTAAACTCTGTCAATTCAAACTCGTGGAAGTCTTCCTATCCATACTTCGCAGATCCAGATCTATCAAAGCCAAATAGGAATGATTTGAAAATGGAAGACGAGGGCAGTACGAATCGCATAATAAATTATACATTAATATCCATTCCAGATAACATGGTTGATCTGTAAACAGCATTAATCAATACTAAATTAATAAACTACGCAATTCACTGGAGGATCAAGTTTACGTTGCTCTCACCCCATAAAAAGCCCCTGGTGAGGGAAAGTTCACTGCTGATCCGAGATGTTGCAGCAAATCATCGATACAAGTATGTTTGTCCTCCATAGATGGCTTCGGACCAATCTCAGAACAGCTTCCAGATCGGAAAACAGGTAAAAACCATCCCCTTCCATCCGAAGGAGAATTTAGGCTGATGCCGTCGACCTCCAATCCCTAGGGAGCGCGTAAATTTTCAGGCACATTTAACCCGGCCATTAATGACAACTGGATAACAAGAGTCGCATTCGTTTTAAACAGAAAAGTTGGTCGAATCAGAGGTGCATACAAATTCATTTGAGGACACCAGCCGGGCAGTGCTCACACAATGTCGCATTACTGAAAGATGACGAGGGGGTTTCCCAGTTTTCGCTTGATTCATGATATCGACAGCCTCGGCGCTCTCATCCTCCATGGAGGAGCCATCTCCTTTGCTGCCATAGCCACCGCCATCTAAGATCGTGTAAGATGGTGAGAAGTCCATTCCTGCCGCCATTCTCCTTACCAAACCATAAATCTGATAACATCAACAGAGAAAAAACCGACGCCGCTGTCAGCGATACCGGTAAAAAGGTCGGCAGAACAATCGCATATAGAAATCTGGATAGGGACAAAAAAAAGCGTCACGAAGATCGAAGCGGCATCTTCGTGATTAAGCAATCGACCGTCAAATCCTCCACCCAAACACAAGAACAAGTGATTCACACAATCTCCTCACCTTCCAGTATCCTTCGAAAAAATAACGCCGAGCATACGCTGCAGCTTGTCTCGAATGCTCTGATTTTCGAGTAAGGAGACAGCAACCAAAACCCTCCCTCCGTTGATTTCTTCCAATGACTCCAAGAACAGTCTAGGGACTGGATCGAGGCCCTCCGCGATTCATCCTCGTAGACCAAAATTTATCCACAGGAACTCGCGTTGACTCCCAAGAACGAGCCGCCAGTCACCCCACCGACAACCCCGAAACACGATTAAACCAGAATCACACAACGCAACCACGCTGACCCGCCAAAATTCAGAGCCGTGGACGAGACAAAATGGATCCCGAAGAACTGAAGCACTAGAATCTCTCGGCACGCGAAACAGGGACTGCAAACCTGGCGGATCCAACGGGGAGACCACCATTCATGAATTATTTCTCCGTCGACGAAAACAAACTCCAAAATAGATCAAAATCCAGAGGCCAAACCTACGACGGCGCAAGCGACGGAAGCTTCCGCGAGAGCTCCAAACCTCGCCCTCCTTCCTTCCTCTTCCTCCTCCGAGTGGAAAAAGGGACAACCAGAAAAACGGAGAAAGGGGGCGCTCAAGCGTCCGGTGGATATAGCGATCGATCCCACTACCACAACTTTCAAAAGAGAGAGAATATATTATATAATATTATTCGATTATTAAAAAGGAAAAATGAACACCTATTCGTTATTAAAATGTTTCCACTGTGACCCTTATACTATATATATCTCCTACTTGCCTAAAAATACCGCCAGACTTACGCTGCTATAAGGGCTTCTTTACACACCGGAAACTATCTTAAGGGTCTATTGTTAATTTATAACATAAATCGGGTTTTTCCTAAAGTAATATTTCCACGTGTCGATCTTTTAGCGGTTGTCCCAGAGGCCAGTTTATTGGCGCGGCCTCTGCATCCCTTCCCCGGGCGTGGCGGGAATCTGCCAAAAAACGACGCGGCGGGGGAGAGCCGAGGCCTGCCATGCTGGCTGGCGGGCCCCACGACCCTCCAATCTGCGACCAGTAGCCATTTTTCTTTTGCAAAAACACACCTTTTCTATTATAATTGCATCCATACACTTGGCGCCGAGTGGGGTCGGACCATTGCAAATGTACCGGCAAGTTTGTAAATTATGGGCCTTGAAAGAGGCCCAGTAATAATAACAGGCCCAGCCCAGTTTGAAAGTACCCTCCTTTTAAAGAGGGACCGAATGTCTGGGTATTAATTTTTAATCGTCTGGAAAGTAGGGATCTTTCATAAATAATCCGAGGCACTAGGGTTTTGTGAGGAGAACCCAGCATATATATCATCTTCATCAGAGAAAACAAGTGTGGGCATAATATAATACAGATGATGTCTGCCCCAGAAGGGCAGAGGGGTTTAGGACGCGGGTTAGCTAGGATCTTACAGCTGAACAGGTATACAGAGGGTGGTCAGTTCTCCGTGCTCTTGAAGTACTTTCTGAAGGAGTCGTCGTCCCTGCAGTGCCAGTACATCACTTTGTAAACTTCCATCAAGAGTCTTGGGAATCTAGTTGAGAAGTACTTGTCAAATCCGTCAGGAACTGAACCCAGAAGCTCCTGCCATGTGAGAGAAAGCGAGAGAGAGAAGAGAGAAGAGAGAGAGAGAGAGAGAGAGAGAGAGAGAGATCAGTGTTAATGTGAGTGAGAGAGAGAGAGTATATGGGTTTTTTCTGGGGTAGAACGAGATATCAGTGTTAATGTCCCTGTGGTTTTGGGATGTTAGAGGTGCAGAATGAGGGCTAATAGAAGCAAAAAGCTCAAAGACTCAGTGGAAAGGACGAGCTGGAGGGGATACCTGCAGTGCTCTTGGGAGTTCCATGTAGTGGTTCAGCTTGTTGCGGATGACCCGCAGTAGATCGCGCGTACTCTCGAACCTGTATCTTCGATATCGGCTGATATCCATGATGAAGGGGGCTTCAAGCTTGTTGCCCCACCTGCCGCCGAATGCCGCCTGGCCGATGCTCTCCAACGCTCTCAGGAGTTGAGAGTCGCTTTCCCTCTCCTCCAGCTCGACCCTGTCGCTGGTGTCTCTCAGGAATGAGAGCCTCATCTCTGGGCTCCAGAAAAGAGGATGCTGCAGCACCTCTGCAGCCCGCGGCCTGCGAAAAAATGTTGCATTACAGAAGACCCAGTAGGAAATAATGAGAGGTAACTGGAAATCAGATGACCCATTTGTTGGAGATACGAGATCGAGATCGAGCAGGGGAAAGGCACCTCTTCTCCGGGTCGCGATCCAACAAGATGGAAAACAGATGGACGGCTTCCGGAATGTGCTCCACCAAGAACAGGTCCACGCGATTGTTGATGACGTTTGAGTCGCGCTCATAGTGACTACCGAACGGGTGCCTGCCTTTCGTAATGCAGAAGAAAAGAACGCATCCCAGGCTGAACAGGTCAACTGCTCTGGTTTGGCGCCCGTGTAGCAGCTGTTCAGGAGCTTGCCATCCAGAGCTCCCGCTCCCTGGATGAATCATTGGCGAAGGCACAGATTTGGAAAGCTGGGTGTTATAATTTTCAGGGACCAAGTACAGATTTTGGAGTCAAAATGGGTAGAGTTTATGTCCTGGCCATACCGGTGGCATGGTGCCCTAAAGAAGACATATCTTGGGGTAGGCGCTTGCTAATACCCATGTCCGAAAGCTTTGCAGAGAGGCACCTATTGTTGGTTATTAAAACATTCTGAGGCTTGATATCTCTGTGGATGATTCCCAGCTCGTGCAAATGCGCGAGCCCAGAAACCACATCCCTGCATCATTCATCTAGATATTAGAAACCAGCCATAAATAAGCTTCTAGCCCACATGGCAAGAGAAAAATACGCAAAGAAAAACCTCTGATTTAACACTAAGGATGGTGATTTCAATCGGAAGAAATATAAATAAGAACATATTTCACTGTGGCATTCAAAATACATTAGTAAAAAACTACATGATAACATTGGTTTTGAAGTAGTAAAATTATATTTTCTTGCTTCAACTTCAAACTGATATCTATCCAATGGGTTATCTTTTCTTGCTTCAACTTCAGTGAATAATCGCCAACATAATTAATCTGCTTGAACGGGATTGAGCGGACCATTTTGAATATACTCGGGTGTACATTAAGGTTTCCTTGAGACTGCCAGACCGATGAGTGACCAGGCTTTCGATCTGGGTTATTGGGTTCAGCTAGCTTACGCGATCCTTCAATTGCTGGTACAACTGTGGCTTGTAGTCAAAGTGACCTAGACTAAGTGATGGATTAATGGAATTGTCAGGGTTAGCAGAAGTAAAAATTCTGGCTGCTGGGTGACAGCAAGGCTGTGAGTAGGTCGTCCCACTAAGGAACACAACACAATCTCCCTCCTTTCCTCTCTGCTTTTCTCACTGCTCACACCCCTTTAGTAATGAATGTCTTTCCAATTTCCGATGCACTCTACTAAGTGAGAGTTGATGTTATCTTTGAAACCTTCCAGCTACTTGATGCACTGCACTTACAGTTCTCCAAATGATGACAAAAGGCTCTTAAGCTACCTAAATTTCCTCTTCTTCCCTTAACTGGTGGCCCACAGCGCAGCAATCATAAGTGAAGTCAACCTACCTTTCTTTTATGTATAGTACTCGTCCATTTAAATCTATCATCTCAGCTACATCTCTTTACACTTCTCTTACGGCTGTCAATAACATCTCTTCCTCAGTCTCCAATCTAAAAACACAACGGGCAAAGCTGTAACTGTGCCTGTCAGTGAAGATTGCCGCACTGGTTTCTCTCACATATTTTCCCCAACTTCAATAATAGACCCATATGAGATGCAAGCGCCAAGAGATACAAAAGATGACAAGACAAAATTAAGACGTAATATCTCAAAGAAAGAGATTCTTTGAGAGAAAGAAACTCTACTAACCTCATTATTTTTAGCAATTGGGGCGTCGGACATCCATCTGGTTTCCAAAGTTCAACAACCCCATCGATGCCTTTCAAACTAATCTTGTACTCGGTTTTCTGGTTTTGAATCTGAGTTTGATATGGTGATGCAGGCACTGAAGAATCTGAACATACAAGGATCAAATCGTTTAAGCTGCAAGTGCAACGCTCAAGAGCAATGTAAACGAAATCCGTGTCATACTCCACTCCAAACCATCGAACAATGTTTGAATGTTGATCGGAAGCAATAAGATTCTCAATCTCTTTGAAAGCCACGTCATGATGAGCGCGAACAAGACGCTTAACAGCGACTGGACGCCCACCATAGACACCCTCGAGGACAACAGTCCCATTACTGCCCTTGGCAATTTCAATGTTTGACAGAAAAAGCTTTCCAATCCGCCTGCCTTCAAAGCACTCATCAACTCTGGAAAAGCTCATCAATTCATCCCCGTCTTGTTTGAGATCACCAGCCACAGTATCATTTTCCCTGGTAGTGGAACCAGTACTATTTCCGGACTTTCGAGCCTTTTTCTTCTTAGTGGTTGCAGAATGCTTATCAGGCATACCTGATTGTTTATCAGATTTAACGTGATAATTCATCTTCAAGTAATAGAGAAAGAAAAAAACCAAGAAAAATGAGACAAGGAACCAGCCAAAAGATCCATGAAAAGCTCATCAATTCATCCCCGTCTTGTTTGAGATCACCAGCCACAGCATCATTTTCCCTGGTAGTGGAACCAGTACTATTTCCGGACTTTCGAGCCTTTTTCTTCTTAGTGGTTGCAGAATGGTTATCAGGCATACCTGATTGTTTATCAGATTTAACGTGATAATTCATCTTCAAGTAGTAGAGAAAGAAAAAAACCAAGAAAAATGAGACAAGGAACCAGCCAAAAGATCCATGGAAAACATCAGGCCTCGCTTCTGGAGCAGCTTGACTGAAATGGAGAGATGTCCCATTAGAAATGTTTCCTTTGTCTGATTTTTCGGATACAGAATTAAAGGTTTGTCTCTCACTCAATGAACTCAACGATCTCTCTGCGCTACGAAGCTTATGCATCTTCTGAACCCCTGAAAAATTATCCCCATGTTTCAGATGACTGCTCGCACGATTGTTCGAACGTGAGGCAGCCAAGACTGGTGTTTTTGGGCTTTCAGGTAGAGAAATTCTAGAGGAAGAAACCAACCCATGCTTCATTGGATCTATTCCATGAATCCGATGTACAGGAATCATTGTGCTGCACTGCTTCATAAAACCATCATATTTCGTTCCAAGTTCATGTCCAGCAAGCAAAGATAGGTCATCCTTGAATACTTGACAAGAAGATGCCTCAATGACAGAAAGTGTCATGCCCCACAGAGGTTTGCTCGAGTTTAAAAAATGATTTATAGTATAATCTGTCCTTGTAACGAGAACGGGTAGAATAGTTGAAGGATTTGACTCAGCCCATACTTGAGTATGTATATCAAATAACGCTAACTGATCCTGCTGACCCTTAAACTCTGCAGCTTGCTGGTTGTCAGCAGACCAACGAGAACTAACTATCTTTCCATTCTTTATATCTACAAGAAACATAGTTGATCTCTTTGAACCAAGAGTAATCCCTCCGTCTATCGAAATCCGAGGAGTGCTTTCAACATATTCCTCTATGGTCGTATCCAGTCTCTGGGCAATAAGATAGGGGCAGTGAGTATTGGGAACACGACAAATAAAACTTCATGGAAAAAAATGATCACAAGAACGCACCCTCTTCCCAAATTGGTTGCTGTGCTCATATAAATTCCAGTCATCACCAGGAGAAATAAAATAGCTGTCAGAACCAAGGGGACAGGAAACATCCGGTTCATCAAACTCAGGATCAGACTCAGAAGTAGCAAAGGCCTGATACGACGTTGAAAGTGGAGAGCCAGATGAAAAAGAACCATAAAGTATTCCGGATGTACTATCCATCAAATAAATAGTGCCATCCAAGAAAGCAATAGCTGCAGTGTCATGGGCACCAGTTCTACAAAAGGAAGAGAACAATGAGAAATGCATAAAGGAGAAAAAGCATTCAACTCATTGTCAAGGCAAGCTGTCGTATACCTGTTATCAGATACAATCAAAATGGAATATTTTTATATGACTGAATAATGTTCCCAAATAAGAAATTGCATAAGATATTTATCTACAAAAGATAAAAATGGGAATATGTTTAACATCCATTTAAAATTGCCAATTTTTTGTTCGGCATGTTTGGACTGTTTCATAAAAAAAAATTGAGTTCCTCGGGATTTATGAAACGCTAACAACTTTCTGGTTCTGCTATTGATATTTCCTTCTCATCGCTTAACACCGTTAATATGCTGTGTACATCGTGTCTTTATTTTTAGATAATGTATATAGGTTATAATCTATTTTCGGTTAGAATCGAGCAAGTGTTTGGCCCAAAGTTTAGTATCGGCACAAATCGAGCAAATGAGGGTTTTTTTTTCTAGAACGTTGGGCATGAAATACTCAAACATTTGATTATCGAGATAATTTACTCAGAGTGTGTGGACGGTTTCACCCAAGATAAATCTGGTAGTCGAAAAGAATGCTACGGACGTTGCACGTGATTTGATCTTCTCTAGTTTTATAAAATCTCAGAGGAGGATGCTTGCAAGTTGTCATGGGTGAGCATATCGGCAAAGAGGCAAATATTTGAGCAATTCGTGAGGTTTAAGGAGCCTGATATACAAGTGAGGCGTGTTCATCCGTAGAACATCCCGAGTCATGGTTTTTTTGTCAGGTTTTCCAGAAACTTATGGATTAGGCAGTATTGTATCCTTGAGTATTAAATGAGGGTGATCTCCTCGTAGAAAACAATGCCCCGGCACTAAAATTTCAGGGACAGGATTTAGTTTGTAAAGAGGAGCATCGTGCAACAGATAAACACACTCCGTTTCTGAAGAGCCCGTGCTAACTGAATCAGAGAGGAGAAATTTCTGAGGAAAAATGTAAAAATTAGGGGGATATACTCACTCCGACGATGTCGATAGGAGAGACCTGCTCCCTGGGGCCTTCCCGTGACCCGGAGTATCACCCAGAACCTCTCCGAAACCAAAGTGCACCGCCCCGGCAGCAGGGAGAGCTTTCGAGTCCACCAGACCTAGGGAATCCGAGGCCCCCGTGGCCTCGACGCATCCCGATCTACATTTGAGGAACGCTGGGAGGGCGACGAGAAGGACAAACAGGTGAAGGTTACGACAGAATGGAGGCCGACTCCACGGCCTCCACCAGGACGACAATCTCATCGGCGGGGACGAGCGCCGCCACCCTGACGCATCGGAGAAGAGCGGACTGCCGAATCGAGCAGAGCGGAGCTCTAATTATTCCCCAGGAAACTTGGAGGGCGGAGCGAGGGATAAGATGGCGGTGGAGGGTGGGGGACTAACCAAGCTGAGAATCGCGGAAATCCTTGCCTTCCCCCGGGGGAGAGAGAAGGGCGGAGCACAGCCCACAGGGAGGAGAGAGAAAGGGGGCGAGAACAACGCAACGCAGAGATCGGCTATCGAAGATGTGGCGAGCCCGAGAAGTCTGAAGACCAGATAAACTCTCCCACGCGGGGCCCCTTTCCCGGCGCGAACGGAAGTCCACCGCATTGAAAACGTTCTAGCTTTCTTTGCCAAGTGGCCCAACTGGGTTACCCCGTTGACCGAAACAGGATAATATGTATAACGGATTTCCCTGCGCATTTCCCTTTTTCCGTGATTTTTTTCTCTCAAATTCGTAGCCAGAAATTAAAAACGGATAAGCGTCTGTTAGTTTCGCCGGCAGGGCGAAGAATTTCAGCGTCTCCTGGTCAACTGGGCTTGCCACAGCGACCCAAAACCTGAGAATGAGTACATATCCAATTATTACACACATCTTGGTTTTTTTTCAATTTTAGCGGTAATTTTCCATTTTGATCGATCGAGGCATTGACTAATGCGCACGGTCAGAATCTGGCGCCGCAATTTCCTCGCAAGACTAAGCTTCTTGCAAGATCCATGAGCACACAATCGTAGTCTGAACCAGACCAACGCAAGTTTTTCTTTTCGTTTCTTTTCTTCTTTGGACAAATAGGTCAACGAGAGAGACGCCGTCTTCAATCGACACTGGAAGCGCGACGGCGATGATCTCGTGATCGTCGGCAAGACACGCCGCCGGCAGCCCGAGGAAAAAAAAAAAAAAAAAGGAAAAGAAAAGGAAGAAGAAGAAAGCTGCACCGAATCAAATATTATTCAGTTTCTCATCGTTGTAGAGATGGAGTCCCCGGCCGGCGAGTCCAGACATATCCACAAACTCAGGGGGAGGAAGAACTTCGAGCAGTCTATGCTTCGTAGACCTTGCACTCCTCGGTGGCAGGGTTCGTCTGACAGAAGTCCTCCAGGGGGTCGCCGCTTCCTTGGGTGGCGACTCCGGGCCACTTGTTCGCCACCAGGTGCGCCAAGTCAACGACCCTTTGGCTGAATCGAGGAACAGAAGGAGATCGGCGGCGGGTCAGAAGAGAATGTCAACGTGAGGAGGCAGCCAGAGATGGCTGGGGAAACTCACCTGTAGCCCCACTCGTTGTCGTACCAGGCGACCACCTTGACCATGTCGTCTCCCATGACCATGGTGAGGGAGGAGTCGATGGTGGAGGAAACGTCGGTGCAGCGGAAGTCAACGGAGACCAGGGGGATGTCGCAGACGGCGAGGATCCCATTCAGAGGGCCGTCGGCGGCCTTCCTGAAAGCGGCGTTGACGTCCTCCGCCGTGATCCCCTTCTTCTCCACGTTGACCACGAGGTCAACGACGGAGACGTTGGGGGTGGGCACGCGGAGGGCGATCCCGTTGAGCTTCCCCTTGAGCTGGGGGAGCACCAGTGAGACAGCTTTGGCGGCGCCGGTGCTCGTGGGGACGATGTTCAGCGCCGCCGCTCTCGCTCTCCTCAGGTCCCGGTGAGACGCATCCAGAAGTCTCTGAAAACCAGACGAACAGAGCCGTTGACTTATACGTTATCTACAAGTTCGGTGGAGCTTCATCTCTCGGTCAGCCAAGAACGAGAATCTGCGGTCACCTGATCTCCGGTGTAAGAATGGGTCGTGGTCATCGTCCCCTTGACAATGCCTGCATGAAGAATAGAAACAGAAATGTAACTCTTCCCGTCAACCCATCGTTTACTTCCTTTTTTAGTTGTAGTTGACTTTATACATCACGTACGGACGTACCGAACTCCTCGTCCAAGACCTTAACGAAGGGGGCCAGGCAGTTGGTCGTGCAAGACGCGTTGCTGCAGAGATCAGAAGAACGGCGTTTACAGGAGAGAGAGAGAGAGAGAGAGAGAGAGAGAGAAATAGAGAGAGAGAGAGAGAGACCTTATTATGTTGGCGACCTCGTGTCCATAGTCACCTTCGTTGACTCCGACGACGTAGGTGGGAATGTCAGCGCCCTTGGCAGGAGCTGTGATGATGACCTTCTTGGCGCCGGCTTGGATGTGCTTGCCGGCACCGGGGCCGTCCACAAACACTCCCGTCCCCTGAGCGTCGGGAATCGAAGCATATTACCCCGGTGTCTTCTTCTTTTCTCGAGTTGCTGATTCTGGAAACGGATAAGAAACAGAGAGATGTGGATTCGACAGTACCTCGATGACGATGTCGATGCCCATCTCCGTCCATGGAAGCTTCAGAGGATCTCGGTTGGAGACGACCTTGATCAGCTTCCCGTCGACGCTGAGGGTGGTGCTGTCGACGATCTTCACGTCGGCCTTGAATGTTCCGAGCATGGAGTCGTACTTGAGGAGGTGGGCAGCCTGCAATTGGACGGGACTCAGTGACTGTGGTTTCTGCACTGAAGCGGCGGAGAACGAAGAGGGAGATGACGAGAGATTTAGTCTCACGTTCTTGACGCCGCCGCTGTCGTTGACCACGATTACTTCCAGAGGGGAATCCTTCCTGCCGTGCCAGCATCGGAGGAAGTTCCTCCCGATTCTGCCGAAGCCATTGATGGCCACCTTGAGCTTCGCCACGGTCTCCCCCTTCACGGGGCTTCCTCCTGCAACCTGTCGACGAGAAACCGAAGCCGGATTCATCAGATTACTACCCCGATCGATCATCCATCTGGCCGCAGTAAGATCGACGCACCCTGGGGGTGAGCTGTGCCGCCACGGCGTCGCGGAACGACGCCTCCCGCCCATTGGCGGCGAAGGTGGCGCAGGAGCCGGACCGGAGCCCCGAGAACTCCGCCACATCCAGCCTCTGCAGCAAAACCAACCAGAAATCTCTCAGAAAAAAAAAGAGAGCTGCAAAACCCACGTCAAATGTGAGAGAGATGGAAGGGGCCAAGATTGGGGGGGGGACCTTGGAGAAGCTGGAGGAGGAGGAGCCCTTGCGGTGGATCCTGGCTGAGGGGATCCTCGAGGAAGCGAGAGCGGCGTGCGCGGAAGCCATGGTGGATGTAGCAGCTAAGAGAAGAGGGCCGCTTGGGCAGAGGCAATATATAGTTCCTTGTGCTGCTCCAGCTTCCGCTGATAGCTCCCCTGCGGCGCTGGTTGCTGCAAAGGGGCGGCGCTCGATATGGGGGAGTCCGGCTGGCGGGTGTGTGGTGGCGGAGGGCCAGTCACGGGATAAGGGGATGTCCGTGGTGGCCACTCCCAGCCACACATTTCCACAAACAGTTGGCCGGCGCAGCGGGTGGGCAGGCGAAGTTACGTAAGTGCCCCAATGCCCAATGGGGCCCGCAGGAGCCAAGGGGATGACCACCGTTCCTTTGGAGATTTTATTCACGGCGCTGTCCGCGGCCCCACGTGGCTGTTGTTTGAACACGTGCGCATGTGATGGGCCCGGTCGGGCCCATTCCGTAGACTAGTTCCCCAGTGCAGACAACCTCGGGACGTCATATCTGGACTCCGTTATTTATATTCGAGTTACCTTCCTTTTTATTATTATATATTTTTAAATAGTATATATCGTCAAATGACAGAAAATTCTTTTTTTGAAAAGATAAATTTTAAATTTTAACTGTCTTTAGCCGGAACGAAAATGAAAAAGATGAGTAGCTGGAACTTTAAAGTCGATGATCTCCTAATGTTTGATAATATTAAAGTAAATAAAAACTACCGTTCTTGACATAAAATTTTGAATGATATAATATTTCAGGAAAAATCCTCCCCTATAATCTGGAATTAATACTGGAATTGATTTTTCTATTTTTTTTTTTTGTAAGAAAGTCTATGTATTCCCCATAAATAAATAACATATATAAAAATACTATATAAGAACTCATTGTTCATAATTTCAATACGTAGGAAGAGATCTATGATTTCAACATGTGGTTGTAGATTCAGACCATCCCACTAGAGCCAATCACTTATTTTAGACATTTAAATGACAAATGTTAGGTTATTGAATATAATTTATTTAGTATCAATGATTAATAAAGTTCTCTATTTATCTCTTATGTTGAGTGCATTGAAAGTTGTATGAGATGAACTTGGTCACTTAACCTTCTTCGGGTGAATTATTTTTTGTTATATTACAAATGTAATTGTAGTCATTGGTGGATTCATATCAACAATGTTGATGACATTGAGCTTGACTTATGAAGTTACCTGGATGTACTTGTAGAGATGAGAGGAATAGAAGGATAAGAGTAAAATGAAATTGAAATGAGGAGAGAATAAGAAATTTTAGTCTTTAGAGAAGTAGAGAATAGAGGGAAAGAGCTAGTGAGGGATAGATATTATGTACAGTAGAAAAATGTCTTCATTGGTGGCCTTGTGTAATAACACATGCTATTGATTTTAAGAGACTCAAGCATAAATCATTTGAAGTGGTCATAAAGTAATTGCCCAAATTAGCACGTTATGATAGGCCTCTTGAAATGAAAATCAAGAAAATCATGGTAAATAATATTTTTTTAATTAATCATTTAGAATAATAAGATCATAGAAAAATGTAGAAAATAGTGGGCATGAAGAATCTCACTTAATGTTTGATATGGCCCCTTATTGACATATGAGTGGAGGAGGAAAATATAGGAGATCCCTCTTTAATATGATTATAAAGGGGTAATGTTATCAGTTAGAGAGCTAGGTTTACAAAGGTCTTAAAGCCTCTCAAACATTTCTCCCATTATCTAGGCAACTAGGGCTCTATGAGAATCAGACTGTCCTCTTTTATCAACTCTTGTCTTATTGATTTCAAATTCTACTAGTTTAATTTTCATTCTTATTTTTTAAGATATTTATTTATTTATTTGAGGTAATATCAAACTACTATCATAGTCATATGTTGGTAATGGTGGTGTCAAAAATCTTAGAAACACATATGGGGTCAATAGAAGTGATCAATGTAGCAATTAAAGAAGAATAATGAAAGACAAGCGGGTAGTAAAAGTCAAGATAATAAACATCTAATATGATATGTTAGGTTGTAGAGCTTAGGAATGCGCAACTTGCAAACTTTAAACAAATGATATGCTTGTCTCTCTATTTTTGATAAGTAAAATTCATCAAAAAAGCTAGATGGCAACTTGTTATGAACTATCTCACTCACCCTTCACCATGAAGTTACTAGTCAAATCTATGTATATCCCTCTATATTGCTTAACCAAGGTTCAATCTTAGGGCTAAACAAATTCTTATTCTTTGAGGAGACAATTCAAAAGAATTTATTTATTGTGTAGAAAGGTAATTCAACCTATATCATAAGGAAATCAACTTATACTTATCATGATGAATCTATAGAGCATCATACTAGAATGGTTCTTGTGGATTGAAGACATATTTTCTTTGTAAGATTGACAAGATTTAAAACTTTAGTTGAGAATAAGGTTTGGAACAATAATATTGGGAAACACTTTTTAAAAGTTTCTCTACTTGAAGCAATATAAGTCACTCACATAATATCAAAGTGAATTTGAAATGCTCTAGACTTACCTCACTAAAATTTGAGATCAGCTAATAGAACATACTTACCTCAAAGGGCTTAAATCAAATACTTAATTAGAGCTCTTCATATGTAAATTCATTGAAAGCTATAATTTCATCATAAATGAATAAATTAACAAAAGTAAGGATTAGATGTACCACCTATAATTGAGATTGATAGCAAATTCATTTATTTATTTTTCAGATTTTTGTATGAGATGTGAACCATCCCATATGTCACTTAGCAAGTATGAAGCCCCATAAATCTTTGCCCTTATCACTATTCTCATTTTCAAAATGATGAAATTGAAAAATTAGTTCAAGAATTATATGATGTCAGTGTCATCTAACCCTCCAACATCTCATATGTTATTCTAGCCCTCCTTATTAATAAAAAAGATGGGGGGTGATGATTTTGTATTAGTTATTGAGTTCTCAGTAAGATAAAAATACTTGATTACTATCCTATTTTAGTAGTAGATAAGTTATTAGATGAATCATATGACATAACTATATTTACTATGTTGTATCTTAAGTTATGATATTATCAATTTCACATGAGGAAATAATATATTTTCAATACTACGTTTAAAATGTATGATAAATATGATAAGTTTGTGGTGATGCCTTTCGAGTTATCTAATGCATCAACTAAGTTTCATTTTTTTTTTAAATTAAATATTTTATCATAATATCTAATATTTTGTGTTTATTTTTTATGACGTATTGATTTACAATAATAATGAACAAGATCAACTAAAATATTTATATTTATTTTTTTCATCATATCTACCAACCAACTTCACATTAATATAAAGAAGTGTCAAAACATTTAGAAATAAATACAACACTTGAGTCATTCAATTACAAGAGTGATACCAAGCAACAACAAAGATATTAGATACGATTAATTGAACAACACCTAAGAATATCAAAGAATTAAAGGGTTTTTTTGAGACCAACACCTAAGAATACCACATAAGTTTGTTACAAGGTATGTTACTTTCATCTGGTTGTTGACTCAATTACTTATAAAAATATATCTATATGAAATTATTAAAGCTCATCAAACTTTTGAGCAACTTAAAATTATCATGACCACTACCCTCATACTAATCTTATTTATTTTTTCTCATACTTTTATGTTTAAGATTAATGCCCTAAGGTGTGGAGTGGGTGTTGTTTTGATGTATAATAGAAAACTCATCACATATCAAAAATCAAGTTCTACTTGACAAGAGCCACACTAAATCTACCTATGAGAGATAATTGATCATCATTGCAATGGTTATTAAAAAATGGCACCGCTATCTCATGAATCAATTTTTTATCATCTTCATTGACTAATGTAATTATTCATTCGAGCAACATCAATATGCTAAAATTATCATAAATGTGATTGATTAAGCTCAGGAGTTATCATTTTGAATTAGATATAAAGAATGATGAAATAATAAAGATACGGATGCATTATTAAAGAACATGAGTTTGGCCAAATTGAATGTCACATTTATTTCTCATACACATTTGTTGAATTTTACACATCAATATGGAAGTTGCATAAGATTTGAGGTTAAAGTTTATTATCAACGAGCTTCTCTCGATGATCTAATTCCTACACAAATTTCAGCCTTCATCATGGCTCTATCCTCTATATGAATATGTATGTACTCTCTTTTTCTTCAACATCTATTTCTTACATGTCATTCGAATTTCACAATAGTCCCACATAAGGGTATGGTGACTACTTTAAAATTTATAAGTAAATTGTAAGACATGTGTATTGGACATACATAAAAAACTAGATCAAGTCATATGTTGATGAATATTATATTTTTCAACAAAACAAAACCTTATCTTTCTCTCGTCAACCTACTCTAACCTCAACTTATATCATATCAAATATGAGAAGATTTTTTCATGAACTTTACTAAAAAATACCCCAAATCTAATGAATCTAACATGATCTTAATAGTGGTCAACCATCTAAGTAAATATAATAATTTTATTCTATCTAAACACCCATCCACAACCCAAAGAGTTGTGGCCATTTTCACTAAATAAGTCATAGGTCCACATAGTTTGCCCAATTCAATTGCTTTATATAAATACATATTAATTGAAAATAATTTCATCTCATTATCCTCAAATAGATGGCAAATTAAAGTTGTCAAAAGGTATTTAAAAACTTACATGAATTGTTTTGTAGTTAGGCCTACATCTTGGAGTGATTGAATATATTAGGTCGAGTTGGGCTACCTCATTTTACTCTTCCATAAAGATCACCCTTTTTAAGGTTGTATATGTGAGAGATTATTTCACTCTAATTAATTATGAATCTTTTCTTTCTCTTATAGTTGTATTAGATCAACAACTTTTTGACATATATTAGAGCATTGACCTTCTCAAAAAACATCTCAAACATGCACAATCACAAAAAATAAAAATAAAAATCAATATCATGATGATGATCAATGTTAAAGAGATTTAGTCAATTTATACCTCATGCCTTACAAGATGAAGTTATGAGATAAAAAGTACAATGAAAAATTGGCACCCCAATTTATGAGACCTTATAAAGTATTTGACTAAGTCTTATTGCCTACTATTTAGACCTTACAACCTACTTTTTTGTTCATCAAGTTTTTCATGTTTCACAACTTTACAAGACATGTGGACCAATCAACTATAATCAATTGTTTCTCTCAAACTTAATTGAAGACATGGAGTGATGAGTTCAACTACAAACAATACTAAAAATTCACCCCCACACCTTTAGGTTGTAAAGTTCTAATTTTATAGGTACACATGTCGAAGTTTGAGATGTCTTATGAACCAATAGCTACCATCCTATGTCAATTATCTAATTTTCACATTGAGAACATGGTGAAATCTAAGAGGGTGAGTATCGATGCAACCCTTTATTAACGTATGAGTGGAGTACAGTCTAGAAGACCCTACTGAGTAGGATTACAAAAAGGTAATGTTGTTCACTAGTAAGCAAAGTTTATAAGAAGAGGAAAATTATTTTGTTAAGGGAGAAAGAAAATATGTTACTTAAGGAGAGGTTGAAAAACCTCTCAAACCCTTTTCTTGGTCACCAAACAACTAGGATTCCGTGGGAGCATGATTGTCCTCTTTTATCAACTCTTCTCTTCTTGATTTCAAGTTCCATTAGTTTAACTCTTGTTCTAGTTTCTCAAGGGTTATTCCCTTTCGTATGAGGTCATACCAATGTCTTGCATCAATATTTAAGTAATTACCTTCACTCTATTATTTATTTACTTGGACATTTCTCATTACAAAATAAGAATAAATTGTGTGTACTTTATGGGGAAAATTGTTATGTTAACTAATAATACTTATATATTTTAAAAAACATATTAACATATTTATAAAATTAACTAAAAAAATTAAATATTTGTTAACTTATTAAATGTTTTCACTTCATGGAAACTAGTTGAACTACTTTTGACACCCTCCATTTTTCAATTAGATCTGTCATTTCTCTAAAACTTATCGTGCTCTTAATATATATACATTGCTCTCTTTCCTATGGCCCTCTTTCTCCACCCTCCTTTCTGTGAAGCTCATCTCTACCAAACTAAAGAAAAAGGAGGTAATTATCCTCTCCACTTGCATTGAGGCGAGGGGAGAGAGAGAGAGAGAGAGAGAGAGAGAGAGTACATATAAGGTTACTTTAGTTTTTTCAAAAAACATAGGTGTTACATCATACATATCTAGGTTGTGTGGACCATCAAGTGAGAATTTGATAATTTTTAATTATTTTAGGTTTACTTGAGAAGTATAGGGACTTATTAGCAATTTATCTAGTTCTCATTTAGTAGAAATCAAATAAGTATTTTTATAGCAATTCATCTACTTTTGACTAGAAATAAGTTTCACTTAGAATGGCTAAAGTGTAATATGACTAGAAATCAATGTAATATGGCTTCCCATCACATGATCACATAAACATGCTAGTTTAGATGGATATTTGATCTAGTGGAGTCATGAACAATAACATTTTTTAAAATTAATTGTGGAAAATTCAATATAGTCAAACCTTAGTGTATGTTTCTTCTTTAACTATCTAAATTCTTTGGTCAATTGCCATCTCATATAGTGAATTTAGTGGGTATGATTATGGGTTTGAGTAATGGCCATGTGATACAATGATTTTATGGTTAAGATATTACAAACCTTTTTATTAATTTTTAAAATAAAAGCCAGTTTTTGGCCCCAACGGCACTTAAACATTTTTAAAAATAAATTGCATTTGCTGGATTTTTTTGTATTTAATACAGAAATCGGCAATATAAATAAGTATATATATACTGAGAAAGAGACGGAGAGGGAGGAGAGCAGCTTAAAAGAGTCTCCTTTTCTTTTGTGGGGGTTCAAGTCGAAGCTTACTGGAGAAAACCTAACGACAGGCAGAGAGGGCCGAAGGTTAGGAGAAGATGTTGCAGAGCAAGTCCTTCATGAAGATGACCAGGCACGGCAGGGCCGTGAAGGTTCGTCAACACCCCCTCTTCCCACGTCTTTCTCTTTTCGAAGCCTCTCAGACCTACCTCTGTTGCCGTCTCTTTGCCGTCGTCAGGTGGTGAGGGAGCATTACCTGCGGGACGACATCTATTGCGGGGTGCAGTACTGCAAAGTCTGCGACACAAAGGATGCTCGCCTCGGCTCCTCCGAGTCCACCATCCTCGTCGTGGACACCAACGTTATTCTCCACCAGGTGTCATTTCAAACGCTGCCTTGGCCACCCCGTGTCGACTTCCTCAGTCGGATTTTCTTCTCATCCGTATTCTTTCTTTCTGGACTCCCGTATAGATTGATTTATTGGAGAACCCAGCGATGGATGACGTGGTGGTGCTCGACGTGGTGATGGAGGAGGTGAAAAACAAGAATCTATCGGTTTACAACAGGCTGAAGGCCCTCTGTACTAGCTCCCAGCGCAAGTTTTTTATTTTCTACAACGAGTACCACAAGTGAGTACCTGCCAGTTGGCAATTGTAAGTTCAAATTTCCAGGGAAAACCTGGTTCGTTCCTCTTTGTAGTATTTATTTTTCTCAATCTCTTTGCTGGCTTTCTATATCGATGTTGTTACTCCGAGACTATTGTGTTCTAGTACACCTCGTGACGTTTTTGGTCCCAGTTGGGCAAATTTTCGACACAGTTTGCAGTCTTGGCTGGAGAAATGTGACAATACTCCGAATTGAATAGCCTTTTGAAATATTTTTTTGTTAGTTTCTTCATCCATACATCATATCTACAATGTTTTCTGCGCTTTTACATTTTAATGCCTTTTCCTGTAGGGACACGTACGTTAAGCAAATGGTTGGAGAGACTTCGAACGATCGAAACGACAGAGGTATATTAATCTGATTTTATATGTTTAGTTTTCATTGTGAATAACTTCGGTGCTCAATAAATATCGCGACGAGTATCTCTTGCCAACCATTTGCAGAACAATAAAATGAACATTAAGTTTCATAAATTTGAAAATATTTTGCTTCTCATTGGTCTTGTTGTTAATCTCTCTGGCAGAGTTGCATCTAATGTAAATCTTATTCATATTCATCCATCCCACTAACAAATCTCAATTCAAAGAGATGAGATTTGGGTTCTGAAAGAAAATATAAGTGGATTTGAAGGTAGGAATAATGAAATCTCAGGAGAAGCTATAGAGAAACGCGGAAAAAAAAGGTGCTTCTCATCCTCATCTTTCTATCTGCGTTTCCTCTTAACTTTCCAGAACTTGGGATGGGGGTAAGAATTTTAAATGCAACTGTTGGGTGACGGGGTTGTTTTCCAGGAATCCTACTTCATTGGGTTGTTGGGATGATGTCAAGTAAGTTAGAGTAAACTGTTAGGCGCATGATTCGCATATTGCTACACAGAAGTTCTTCAAACATGAAGCCATTTTTCTCGGCTACTCACCTACCCTATAACTCGACATTCCCAAACCTCCGAAAGTGTGACAAGGTATGTATTAATTGTGTGCAAATGGTTAAAATTGATGAATATCTTTACCGAGAGCATTTACCAGGGTGATGACATTTAGGATCAAGCCCTAGGGCAGTGCAACAATTTTTGACAATGTAATGCTTTTACTTTTCTCCAAGTCTATTTCATTTATCATTAATACAGATAAGTTGGCGCTTAGGACGCAGGGTTCGCCCCTTTCATCGAACAGAGCATACCAGATCATAGGAAACCATCACTTTAACTTATGTTTGGCATTTTTTTTTTTCGTCGAACATCCCATAACTTTATTCCTATTAACACAACCTGACAATACAGCTATACGAGTGGCAACTCAATGGTATCAAAATCATTTGGCTGGAAGTTCACGGGTGCTACTTATTACCAATGACAGAGAGAATAAGAGAAAAGCCATAGAAGAAGGTCTCTCTGCAGAGACAGGTAAAATTTATAGGATGGAAGATGCATCTCAAGATTATTCATCTAAGTGAAGTTTTACTGCCACAGAAATGTAATATTCGTAAATCGTGCTAAGTGATGTCTACTGTTCTTTTGTTTTGGTCTCAGTTGAGTCATATGTAAAATCACTTGGCCAGCCTGGCTTGCTGGACTTGGTTGTTGTTTCCTCCTCCGAAGATGTAAATGTGATGGAAGTCGAAGAAACAAGGCCTTCAAAGAGGAAAGCCATTTACAGTGAGGTATGTCTATTATTATAAATTTTCACGATCAAATCTGCGTAGATTACCTAGTTTGCTGTTTATGGATATTGGGCTTTTGCTTATATGATGGTATTAATTTGTTATTTTTTTACATGCCTTACACTATGCAATCCAGCACAAACCCATGTCAGAAATTACTCATGGTCTGCATCGTGGAATTTATCATCAAGGAAAACTTCGTGTCAACCGCTATAATCCATTTGAGGCATATGTCGGAAGTGAAAGCATTGGTGATGAGATAATAATTTATGGACGGTCTAACATGAACAGGGCTTTTGATGGAGATATAGTTGCAGTTGAGCTCTTGCCTCAAGACCAATGGCATGATGTGAAGAAGTTAAGCATAGAAGATGAAGGAAGTGGTATAAAATCTAATTCATAGGATTACCAAGTAGAGTTGTTTTATGTATATGATTATTCATGTTCATGTATTTTGACATAATAAAGCTTCTTACAGAGGATGAAGAGGAAGGTGTTCACTTGGTTCCTGGAAGTGCTGATGATGCTCCACGGGGTACAGTTCCATCAGCTGTCCCTTCTGAAACGATGAATTCTACCTCATGTCGCCCATCTGGAAAAGTAATTGGTATTATAAAGCGTAATTGGCAATCGTAAGTGAATATGAAATTTATTTTACCCTATCTTTTTTATGTTTATACATGGTGTCTCGATTTCATTATCTTATATTCACATGCAATTCGTCGTGCCTTGTTGAATTTACTGGCTTCTAGTGACTAATTCCTAATTCTTATTACCTAGTTTTCTTGACGACATATTAAAGGAGAGGCTGGTAAATCTTATTACGCAACCTGATTCTGGTATTTCTATTCAATCCTGATTTCCAGATGGTCAAGGGTTGTTCTCGTCTTTTGGGCATGACTGACTCTATCCTGATTTTGAAATAGGCATAGGCATTTATTGCGATGGAGCAAGACCCATCTTTCATTAGGCACAGTAGCCGAGATTGTCCAAAACACCAAAAACTAGTCAATTTTTATCATTTATTTCATACGCTTCTAAGTGGTACAGTCTTTTCCTGGTTGATTTTGACTTAAATCAAACTGAGGCGGACCGGTTATGAAAGATCTTCATTGTATCTACTTATTTAGTTGCAATCTGATGCGTTGAGATATCAGGATCGAAATTCGACGGTAGGAAGTGAGTTTGGTTTTCAGTTGTATTTTAATTGATGTACGTTTTCAATAAATGTTTTGTTTTTTTTTTAAAAATCATAAATGGTATTCGAGGTTATCCTATCCCTACATGTCATTTTTGAATCCTCGTGCTGGAGCACCTCTGTGTGTGGGGCAGTCGTTCCCAGTAAATGTTACTTACTGGAAACTCGTGGTCACTGCTGGGAAGGGGTTGTATCTTTAGAATTTTTGAACATGCCAACCTATACGAACTGTCAGAGACTCAATGCATATTTTTATGAATCTTTCTTTTGACTGCAATGCTATGTTCTGCTTTTCTACAATAGTTAGGGTAAAACATATACTTTGAGTGCACTGGGAGAATCAGTACTCAATGCAGGTATTGTGGATCTTTGGAGCCAATGTCCATGCCAGCAGGCGACGGTGGCGTGGCCTATGCATTATTTATCTCCAAAGATCGTAGAATTCCGAAGATAAGGATTCAAACTCGACAACTAGGGAATCTTCTGAATAAGAGAATTATTGTTGCTGTTGATTCGTGGGATTGCTTGTCTCGCTATCCATCTGGACACTATGTGCGCACTATAGGAAATATTGGTGACAAGAAAACAGAAGATGAGGCAAGTGTAGAAGTTGCATTTGTAGTGATTTTGAGATATGTATATTTCTTGGGCTTTATTTTACTGAGTTTCATGGTAGTGCGTTTGTGTGAAATTCATCTTGGTGCATGTCTTAGGTGATTTTGATTGAGAATGATATAAACTCAAGACCTTTCTCAATGCAAGTTCTGGCTTGCTTGCCGCCATTACCATGGAATCTTTCTCCTGAAGATTTGATGAACCCCAACAGAGTAGATTTACGACATGTTAGGGTCTTCAGTGTTGATCCCCCCGGTATGTTATTGGAACTTCATGTATTATCCCTGTTTAATTGCCATTTCTAGTGAAGTTATATTTTTTTCTGTTTCAGGGTGCACGGATATTGACGATGCACTGCACTGTACTTCCCTTTCTAATGGGAACTTTGAAGTCGGAGTTCGTATCCTTCATGTCCCTCGTTTCTGTATGGTGGCAGCATCTTTTGCTGCTGGTCGTAGCCCTTAAAAAATGTATCGGATTTTGGTGGCCTACAATCATATTACTGACTTGTAAATCGATAGGAAATCATAGCAAAGGAAGAATAGAGGGCTAATGGTTCTAGTTTCCTACTTTCTTTAGCTGAAGACCGGGTAGGCGAAAGACAAGCAGGTTGTGAATGTGTGCTAAGCTGTTTTCTCTTTTGATTAACCTGATAGTTTGCTTCCCTTTAAGTCTTTAAACATTAAATCACCACCAAGTTTTCATTTTTTTTGATTCTGTGTCCATGACGCCTCTTCTCTTCATTTAGTGATTGGTCTATGAAGGTCCTCCAATTTTGTTGTCTTGGTTTCCAGACTCCTCTTTACATAATTTTCCCAACTTTTTCGTAGCTCAAGATATGTACATATGCATACATGCATATGTATATGTGTGAGTATGTGTATTACACGGGTTTAAAGGCAGTGCCTTTCTTCTACTCGGATAATATCTATTGTGCAAATTCTGTTTTATTTTTCTGTTATCATTGGTTGAGGTAGGAAGACATTGGTTATTACTGTGATATGTCTTGTCCTCTCAAACTGGGACAGCTAGGTTCAGTTATGTATCCAGATTTTTGGAGAAGGTTTGGACATTGTGCTCGCTTTGACAGTCGATGAGATTACTTATCACCATCCCAAGTCTTATTCTGTTAAACCAGGACGGCTAGTTTCAGTTGTGTATCCACAATTTTGGTGATACTTTTTGACATTCTACCTACCATATGGTGATCCTCCATCTGTCTGTGTTACATGAGTGTGCTACGAGGTCTCACCTAGTTCCTAGATTGCATAACTTTGGACAACAGAGTAGTTATTACTCCTACGATACTGCTTGGTTGGAGTGAATATCTATAGTCATGGAAGGAGTTCGCCCAGTTCCGTAATTATACTGATTTTTCCTTTTTTTGTGTGTGTGTGTCGGGGGTGGGGTAGTCAGCATGCAGCCTTTGACTGGTTTCCCATCAGATGGGAACAATACGTTCACCTGTTATATAATTATGCCAAATGAGCAGCGTGTTGTTCTTTAGGGAGGTGAAAGGTTCATGATAAGTTTTGGCAGCACCATATCAATCCTGATGCAGTTGAGCATGATGATCTGCCCATCATTTGGCAGCTGATCACTTGAAAACTGATGGCAGCCTGACATTGCTTTTGTTTCTTTTGATAGGATATTCTTGGTCTGATGTTTTTAAGTGACGATATTAGACTGCATAGGCAAATCCTAGGCCTATGAATTGTGATTTTTACAAAAATGGTACTTATATCGTATAGTTTCCTTTGTACAACGATATCACATTAATTTCCTAGGCCTATGAATTCTAGGATAGGAACACATTAATTTACTTCAGTTAATTGAGGCACTAAACTAAAGTATTTTTATATTCGTAAATTCACAGAAGGGTAACAGTTGGAAAATAATTGTCTCGAAACAGGTTGAAAATCAGAAATTAATGTGTCGTTTGATTTAATGCCTATGATATAGATGGAGAGTTCAACTGAAATTGAACGTTCTATTGCAGAGGATCACGGTAATTTGGATGGTTATGTTACTTTACCTTTATGTTCCCTAAATGTTACGGAGCGAATATTATCTGGCACATTGTTTACATTAATGCTATGTTAGTACGGAATTCTTTGCTGCGTCGTTCTCAGCCATTGGACATATTATCTGGTGTTCAATCACTGTGAATATTTAATATAAACTGGAGTCATACTATGTCATCTTCCTGGGCTAAAGATCCGCAGGAAAATCCTGTTTTAATATAAATATTCTTTCTTTTGACCAGCTTAACTGAAGAATTTTGGGTGTTATTTAACTTTTGTAAGACAACTCCTTAACGCACGTTTTTCAGATATTGCTGATGTCACAAATTTTGTTCATCCTGAGACCCCACTTGATAAGGAAGCCTCACAGAGGGGCACATCTGTTTATCTCGTTGATCGCCGGATTGACATGCTTCCAAAGCCTCTGACAGAAGGTATTATTTTTTTCATTATTTGAGTTGTACTGAGATGCGACTTAAGACGGAAGACATAATAGGTTATAAAGATCCTAATGCTAGCCATCATTTTCAGATATATGTTCTCTTCGCTCTGATGTGGAGAGACTGGCTTTCTCTGTCATATGGGTAATTTCTTAACTTGGAGCTTATTTGATTTTGCTCTCTTAGAATATATCGGTCATTAATATGCAAAAGACGAATGAGTTCTCAGTCTTCTTCTACCACGTACAGGATCTTAAAAGAGTTCTAACAGTACTCCCAACACTGTTTCCTTCAATTTCAGGAGATCACTCCTCAAGCAGAAATTACATCTACGAGATACACAAAAAGTGTCATCAAGTCGTGTGCTGCGTTGTCTTATGTTGAAGCTCAAGCGCGGATGGACGATAGGTGCTTACATCTGCCACCAACTTATTATGGAGCTGTGCTTAATGGATTTAGTTACTTACTGTTTCATTTAATCAGCGTAGGCAGCATTTAGTGAAATAACTATAATATACTAAGATCTACTACTTACTCTTAGTTTTAGCAAATCTACGTCCAGGAATTGATATCCCATACACATGTTCAACCACCGTTCAATTCCTGTCTCTGTTGGAAGATGCTCTCAGATGGAACATGGCAGTTCACAAAAAAAACACGTGCGAATTTTGACCAATAGTCATTCCGTGTTGACATCTACGCTTAATTTGAGGACGTGAATAGCCTCTGTTATTTTGAACACCTAGTACCTTTTCAAGCAAGCGGCTTAAATCCCGCTTTATTCACGTGGGTGTTGTTTTGCAGCCGTTTAATGGACCCGTTAACCACTGATCTGCGCAATTTGAATTCACTGGCAAAGGTGTGCTTATTAGATTTTTCAGAACTTTTTGTTCATTGCCCTTCCTGAATGTCGCTATAACTTGATTCCTATCAACGAACTAAAGTTGGAGTGTTTGAACTCCTATTAAATAGATAATGAGGCAGAGACGTATTGAAAGAGGAGCACTTACTCTTGCTTCTGCAGAAGTGAAGTTCCAAATTGACACCGAAACACATGACCCACTCGACATAGGTGCATATATATTTGCAGAGTGGCTGTGTACATTCTGTCGCTGAAATTAATCAGGCAGAATTGATTAATGAGCTTCCTTTTCTTGCAGGAATATACCAGATTCGGGAAGCAAACCAGATGATTGAGGAATTTATGTTGGCAGCTAACATTTCAGTGGCAGAAAAGATTTTAAAGCATTTCCCATTATGCTCCTTGTTGAGGTATGTTCATGTTGAATCTTGAATGTTTGATCACGACGGACAATATTTTCTCCTCATAGGAAAAGCTTCAAACGAGTAGGAATCATTAGAGTCCTTCATCACGACTTGCATCGAATAAATGGGCATACATATTTTTAAACCATATAACAAGCATCCAATGGGATCCTTACTTTTTGAAGGACTTTTCTCCAGACAGTGGTACTCTTTTGGCGTCAACTTATGAAACTAGTCTGTGGCTGCCCTAGAAACCTGTAAATTTGCAATAGTTGCTATAATGGCTGTCAGTTCTTCCCTCTTATCTGTATGTTTTGCCTGGGCATTGGAAGAAAGACGAAGTGATATTTTCCTAAACCTGAAACATGGTTTAATATCTGATGGAGCTTATATATAGGCTGGCAGTGTACTAACGGCTTCATGAATTACGACACTACCGCAGTAATAAAAAATGTAGTCTTTTTGTTACTGGATAAGGATTTCGATTTCAACGGGCTTCTTGCTTATCTCCAATGATGAATGCAGGCGTCATCCTAGCCCGACAAAAGATATGCTCGAACCGCTGCTGCGGATAACTGCATCCATCGGCCTTGATTTGGATGTTTCATCTTCTAAAGCATTGGCCGATTCACTCGATCATGCAGTGGTAACCAACATCTTACATCTTTTTAGATTATGTGATCCGATTTTGTGTTCTCCTCAAGTAATCCACTGTATTCATTGCAAATGAATTCAGGGTGAGGACCCCTACTTCAACAAGCTGATTCGGATTCTCGCAACGAGATGCATGACTCAGGTGCGTCTACTCGAAGCTTGAACTCAGTGCGATTGCAATCCCCGTACAAAGCTCTAAATTCTGGAGGCTCCTGTGTGCTTTTGAGCTGCTCAGGCTGTTTACTTCTGTAGTGGGGATCTAAGTCCCCAGGAGTTCCATCACTACGGACTCGCAGCGCCTTTGTACACGCATTTCACGTCGCCCATACGAAGATATGCAGGTGCTCATTTGCTTATCTTTTCTGTATATTTTTTAAATTCGCTTAATTTTCGTTCCCATGGGGGGCAGTTGGATCGAAATAAAAGCCGCCTCTGGAGTAATTATCATTGTATAAAAGTTTTATAAAAGAAAAAAATCGCCGCTTTGAGTCCCCTATGCATCTTTAAGGTTATATTCCCGGGAGATCCTGAAACCCTCTGAATGCCAGGTGCTGACCTTTTTTTCTCTCTCCCTATTGGAACCTTTCTCTTGTCCATCCCCCTCAGATTCCTGAAGTCAGATGCACCTGGTCCCATGTATGTTGCAGCATGACTTTATGTGAATCAATGTGTGAATGCGATGCCTTCCTCCTCTCTCTCTCTCTCGCTCTCTGTGTCAAGTTTATGAAGAGGAGGATGGTGGCAATAAGCTGCTGGAACAAATTCAGCTGCACATCTCCTTTTTTCACTGTTTCATGGGGTGGATTTACGGGCCCCCCTTCTCTCTCTCTCTCTCTCTCTCTCAATCTATCTATATTTATATGTATCAACGTGTCCCGGTGATTGCTTGCTCGAGAAGATAGGAAACGAAATGAGTCAGTTCCACTCTTTCTTTTCAGATGTTATTGTTCACAGGTTGCTAGCAGCTGCCCTCGGAATATCAAAGCTTCCGCCAGTTTTCCTGGATAGAAACCAGCTCACGAGCGTTTCAGACAGTAAGACCCTGGCCACACTCCGATTTTCTTTACATGGGGTTGGATCTGCCTGACTTCACGACTAACCCTTCTCTCCAGACTTGAATTACCGACATCGGAATGCCCAGATGGCCAGCCGGGCTTCTGTCGAGCTCAACACGGTCATATATTTCCGAAAAAGGTAATCCATCACCACCGTCGATATGAACTTGGATCGCTCCTCGCCCTTCTGAACTTTCTCTGGCTGCTGCTTCTCTGCAGGCCCACCGACACTGAAGCCAGGATTGTGAAGATCAGAGCCAATGGGTTCATAGTCTTCGTGCCCAAGTAGGATCCCATTTATGGATTTGCTCTTTTATTCCACTTCTCGCTCATCCAAGTGGCAGTTTTGCCGGTATCTACCGTGTTGACTGACTGTTCTTCCCACAGGTTTGGGATAGAAGGCCCGGTGTACTTGGTGAAGAGGGGAGAGAAGAGCGACTGGCTGGTAGACGAGGCGAACCAGAGGGTGACGAAGGCGGGCAGTGGCGTGAACTACAGGGTCCTGCAGGCTGTCAAGATCCACATGGAGGTCGTCGAGCACCAGCCCAACAGACCCAAGCTCGAGCTGACTCTCATCTAAGAGAAGCTCCCCGTCCCCCCCTTTCTAGTCGCTCTCATTGAGTACTGAAGCTGTAACACAAGCTGCTCTCACTGTAGAAGACGGGCATTCGATTCAGAGGGGGTGAATTTTTGTGTTGATATTCTGATGGAGAAGATAGTCGCTCAATAAAAAGAAAAAAAATATTTAAATTTTTTGCGTATATTGATCCGATGATAACGAATATGATTGATTTATCTTTTGAAATCCTGGTTGTGTCGATCATCTGACAGGGAAGATATTTGTTGAAAAATCTTAAAGAGTTTTGCGCGTTGATCCTCTGATGAAGAAGTTGATGTGGTTTTTATGATATAATAAGATCGAAGTTCGAATGCAAACGATTACAATCATTCGTTCGCATTCCGACCCTTCTAATGTTGAGATAAATCGAAGAAATTGATCGACGGGGAGAAGCCAAGAATCGAAGGTGCACACCCTCCGAGCAAAAACTTGGGCTTCCGACGGAGGAGGCAGCCGGCAGCTCTACGACAGGATCCACAGGTAGACGGAGGACCAGACGGTGAGGGAGAGGGCGGCCAGCAGGTAGGTCCAGAGGAAGATGACGGAGCATTCCTCCCTGGCCACGTCGAACAGCTCCGCCATTGTGCCTGCATGACGTCTCCCATCATGTCACCGGCGAGATCCGCCGCCGGCTTCCGCCGGCCGCAGTAGAGGGGAAGAGAGAGGAGTGGGGAGGACGTACTGATGTTCATGGCGGGGGGGATCGTATACTGCAAGAGCAGTACGTAGCGAAAGAGGGGGTCTCGGGGGAGGAAGCCGAGCTTGGCTGCTGCTTGTGTGACGGCGATCCCCAGCGCCGGGAGGACGGCGATCTTCACCCAAAGGACGGCAAGGATTACCGAGCGCTTCAGCTTGGACTTGCGGATGCCTGATAGGGTTTTGGGAAGCTTTCAATCGTAGTTCACGGGAAAGTTTTTCCATGGGTGAGGTTCAGTCGATGTCCTCCTTACCCTTGGTGAGGTTCCCTCCTAGAATGAGAGTGATGCACGGTATGGTTCCGTTCCTGCATCATCCACGGCGATGAGAGAGAGAGAGAGAGAGGGAGAGAGAGAGAGAGAGGCAGTTGGGTACCCCATGAGCTTGATGGAGTCGTAGACCACGCGAAAGGGGGCGGCGGCTCCGATGATGAGAGACTTCAGCCATGGCGTGGTCCCGAAAATGAATCCCAGGACCTGCGGAATGTTCCGAATCATAGACTGGTTGAATGCGTGAAGGAATGCCCGTTGGTGGACGTGTAGGGGAGAGTAATTTAGGGAACATACGGCGGCGGCGGTTGGCGGCGACATGAGCTCCTCCACAAGCTGAAGAGCAGACTCCTTCAATCTATTCAAGAAATTCCGTTGCTCCTTACCCTCAAGAAGCTTCACATCCGACGGGATCTGTGTCTGTGCGGAACAGCTCCAAAAGTTCAGCGATCTCCTCGTAAGAAAACGGGAATTCCGTCTCACGAGGTTCTACGGAAGAGGGGAAGACATACACTGTAGGTGTTCGTCGGTGCAACTGCCTCGCCGCCGGGGCCCGTCGACGGCGGCAATAGCGGCGCCTCCAGGTCCTTCTCAGAACCGCCGCCGGCCGCCACCATCCTTCTGTGAATCTCCCCGGAGTTCCTCATGAGGCTGAAGGTGTGGGTCCAGATGTAGAAGCCCCCGAGCTACAGATAACATGGAGGACTCTCTTCAGAGGGAGTCTGATGACATCGGAAGTTGCAGAGGAGCCGGCTGGAGCTTTACCGCCATGGAGAAGGACGAGTAGGAGAGGCCGCGGGAGCGGCAGATGGCGGTCTCTCCGAACGGGCTGCGGCTCTCGTTGCAGATGGCGGGGACGACGATCAGCATCAGGTTCCCGAGGTTGCCTGTCAACCGGAAAACAACAGGTGAGCCACTCCGAAGGGCCACCGCCGGCGAGAGGAGGACGACGACGGCGGAAGGGTCCTGAAACTCGGAGTTACCGGCGGAGCACATGGCGATGATAAGGCCTCCGAGGTGGGGCTCGGGTCTGAGAAGCTTCACCACCACCCAGCCGAGAGTGCCGCCGATGACGAAGGTCAGCCCGATGTTGACCGGCATGAACCACCTGCCGCCGAGAAGACAACGAGAGGGTTGGCTGATCTCTCATTTCTTAGATGGTAGGAGGGAGGAACATACCAGGAGATGATGTCCTCCAGGGTGATGGTCTTGGCCAGGCTCGCGAACATGAGCGATGGCGTGAACACCATGTAGACCACCTGGAATGGATAAGTCAGACAGAGGTGGGTCAATCTCCATCTCCATCATCATCATCATCATTATCATCATCATCTTCTTCTTCTTCTTCTTCATGGATGGATGGGACGGAGGAGGACGAACCCTGTTCATGTGTTTGCGGGCGTCGGCGGTGAGGACGCCGAAGAAGTCGCCGGCAAGGAAGGCACCGACGAGGCCGACGAGGATGACCTGCATCACAGGCATGCTCGCCACCACCAACAGCTCCCAGAACCCCATGCTTTCTGAAGCAGAGGCCAACCTCCTCCACTCCGCCGGAAGAGCTGGTTATTTCTCGCCGGAAGGCGGTCTCAGCGACTCCCCGCCGCTGGTTTCTGCGTCCACAAAGACGCAGATGACGAAACTCACAGCAGCGAGAGTTGACCCAGCCTAATCCTACCAAAAAGAGAGGGAAACCGGCGGTGCACGTGCGAAGCCAGAGCAGGACCCGCTGAATTGGCCTCTTGCGCCACAAATGAGTGAGGCCTGTCTGTCGATTGATCGACGAGACTAGAAAAAAGAGAACAGGACAAGGGCACCCCTTCTTCCATGGATGAAGCCCACAGCGACTCAGAGAGGAGAGAGAATGGAAGGGCTCACACCCACCGGCAGCCTCTCCCTTCCTACTCTCCCGAAAGTCACCTCCTCCTCCATTCACAAATGGGGAGCCCTCGAATTCCCACGTATTGGCATCTCCTCGTAGCCACCGAGTTCTACGCCTCGCCGTCCGGTTCCCCATGCAACGTTGAATTACGCCGATAACACCGTCTCCCCCCGCGAAAGAACGACGGAGATTCACAGCGAGAGAGAGAGAGAAGAGATGGATAGAGAGAGAGGAGAGATAGAGAGAGAAGCGATAGCCAGACAGAGGGGAGAGAGAGAGAGAGAGAGAGAGAGAGAGAGAGAGAGAGAGAGAGAGAGAAGAGGGGAGAGAAAAGAGAGAGAGAGAGAGAGAGAGGGAGAGAGAGAGAGAGAGAGAGAGAGAGAGAGAGAGGGGAGAGAAAAGAAAGAGAGAGAAGAGACAGCGAGAGAGTAGAGACCTGGTAAGGGGGGGCAAGGACGGCGAGAGGATCGAAGGGCGCTGATGGGGCGTCGGTGTTGCTCGCTTGCCGGGAGAAGGAGACCAAGGGCCGCTTACTCCCCGCCGGCGCGAGATCTACAGAGCAAGCGTAGAGGAGATCGAATCTCTAACTACGATTCCAGCGGTGGAAAGCAGCTAAAGGCCTGGGCCGCCTTCTTCTCTCGCAGAAATATATATCGTCCCCTGGTACAAGAGAAGAAGAGATCGACCTCCACCGCGTGCCAACCCCTCCGCAGCATCGTCCTCATGCGCATAAATCTTTGTCAACGACACCTGGAGAGAGAAAGACAGAGAGAGACAGAGAGAGAGAGAGAGAAGAAATCGGACTAGAACTCATCCCCCGGCTGACGTGGCCGAATGAGAGATGGCCGGCCATGGGGTAGAGAGTCATTCTGACAGCTTGGGGGCGACTTTTGGTATTTTACAGAGGCGGGCCCAGCATCCATAGATCTTGTTCTTCGCCGCTCTATATTTGGTCGGTCGTACTCCCATTCTACTCTGAGAAAATCCGGAAAGAAATCTACCCATTAGCGAGAGAGAGAGAGAGAGAGAGGAGAGAGAGAGAGAGAGAGAGAGGGATTGACTGATTTTTTATTAGAAACAATACCCATTAAAGTTTTGTTAATTTTTTTCAAAAAAGATTGGATTTTTGAGTCCGGGGCCCAGAAAAATTCGACCTTTTGGGAAATCTCCAGAGACACTGACGGAGAGGTACAACTCATCCGACGACTTGCCACCTCTCCTTGAGCATTTCTGACCAGCCGCCGACACACTGAAACGCCCCCCCCATCTGGTCTCCGGACGACGAGAATCGCCGCCTCCGGGGGCCAAATCCTCTGAACTCGGCGCGCAGACCCATCAAACCCCCAATTTTTCATTGTTTTCCTTCGTATTTTGGGCGATATGTGCTCCAAGCGAGGGCCCCTCCTCCCGCTTTTTGGGAAGAGAGTTTGAGAACTGGTGATGCTGGGAGAAGGGAAGGGCCTCTCTGTTATGATCGAGTTTTATGGTCTGATTATGTATCATGTGAGACGAGGTGGAGCCATCTTATATAAGAAAAGATATACATAGCAAGGAAATTTTCCAACAGGGAGGAAACTAGTATTCCTTCTCTGGGGAATTGGGCATGATATACTGTAAAACCCGTAATCTAGAGAGAGAAATTACTCGATTGGGAAAGGGGAGCCGACCTTCAGGCGAGTTTACATGGCGGCTTCGACTTCCTCCGACGCCGTGGCGGCGTCATTCGCGTCGTACTCCGCTCGCAGCTGAGAGGAGACATCGTCAATGGCGGAGTTCAGCTGTGCGATCTTCTCCGTGAGGATCTTGCGGGTCTTCTGCGAGAGAGCGAACGGGCCCACAACCCGGGTTAGAAAGTCAACCACACAGAGACTGCCTTAGATAGAAAAGTCTCCGGAAAGTCAACCACAAACTGCCTGTTGAGAGAGCGAAAACTCCAGGTTTTGCGAGGGGGCAAGAGTAACTGAACCGGCAGCCAAAGTTCATCAAACAAGATCACCATCAGACAGTATCACATTAAAATCTGGGCTCGAAAGAAGGCGAGTCTGTCCAGAAGAGGAAGAACCACACAGGGTCAAGCGCGCCTATCCAGAAGACGAGTTGGGACTACTAGGCCTCTCTCTCTCTCTCTCTCTCTCTCTCTCTCTATCCATCTATCTCTTGTGGGCTGGACACAACCTGTGGCCCGTAGACGCCTCATCGCAGGAGCTAATGTCTAAGTGACAGATTGTTGGGCCCAGAAAGCTTTCAATATGAAGGTTCCACCCCAAATCGAGTCAAACTACCGACAAATGTTGCCCATATTCAAAAGGAATCAGACAAGAACACCATTAATGAGGGAGGAACAAGGAACCTCACCTCCAGGGCCTTCTCTTCATCATAAATGAATTTTGGCAGCTTCCTCATCAGATCTTTCCTGTCGGTGCCCTCCAATGCTTTGATGATCTGCAGAAATTTCGAGGTCGGAAATTGCCGGAGACCATACATAGAAAACCTATACATTGCAGTCAAATGCAGAATTTTCAAAGTCCTAAGCTAAAGTTTAGCTCCCATTTTGTCAATGGAGATGTTGAAATCTCCGATTACTGGTCGAAATCATGATCGCAGAGCATCTTCAGGGTCGAAGCACAGATGTACCTCCTATCAATCGACCTCTGACAAATGTTTCTTAATCGCTTGAAGCCCATATGGCAGATGCCAGATGCATGTTAACTAGCATTCAATGGATTCCGCCGCAAAGCCCACACAGTACTCTTGAACTTAACATTTTTCACTAGATTTTCCAGTCCATTGCCACGGGGAATTCATACAGTTATTTCTACTGCTTGAGAAGCCCTAATTTGGCTGCTTGATCGCAGCCAAGCACAGAGATGCAGGAAAAAGGAGGTCAAGGCAGAAAGTCCAATACCTGAGGAGCATATACACAGCCCAGAGCGCCCACGATAAGCCCTCCCAAGATGAAGCCCCCCATGAAGACATTCGCATTGCTTGGTCTTCCACTGTCCCCACTGAAGTGACCAACAAAGGCAAATATTTCAATAACAGGGGTAGGCGTGCACTTGATTTGAAAATAAAATTACTGCTAGTAATACTCGAAAGTAGTGAATCTTTCTGAAACGAACTAGCTTAAATTTTTATGCCGAACAAAATATACCTTATATTGTTTAATACATGCATCATGTATGCTGGTCAATTTGCTAATAATTTGAAGATAATTTAAAGTGAAAAAGGACACTGTCATTTCATACATGAAAGTAGAAAATAGGAAGACTGTAAAGGACGATTAACAGAATACCATCAGACTTTTAAGCTCCCTGTTGTAAGCTATAGTGTGAGTAAAGGGTGGGCGAGCGGCAATACCATTCATTGAATATTTGCATATCATAGTAACGGTTCTCCATTCCTTTCCGTAAATTCGCATCATATTAACTAAATTATTGTGAAACATTTTGATCAGTTAACATTACAAGAGACATTCAGGCAGTCGCCAATTTAAGTAAGCATTGCACTTCACAACCTGCCTTTTCCTTATTGAAAAGCTTTCCCTCATCAGGTTATACCAGATGTTCACTTCAAGGCTATAGCTTCCTGAACAGGTACGTTCTTGCTGGTGAGACGGCAAAGAAACCATTGAAAGAGCATTGATCCATCCGCACTTGCTTGATCAGACTATACTCTGCATTCTTCACAAATTATTTCTGGTGATCTATTGTTAGAATCAGAAGTAACTAAGCCCAGCTGGTCCTCACAAACCCAACATAATCTTGCAGGAGATGCATATGAGACTCCGAAATGGCAATTAATCCGATCAGAAGTCCTTTTTTTTTTTTTGGATTTCTCTTCATTTTCCCCAGTTATTATTCACTCACTTCTTAACCTTGTTTCTCTAAAGTTTTGATCGTTGAAAACTAGTCTCAAATTTAACAGTTACATGAATCTGTGTATGACATTCCCTATCCGTTCAACAAAATGAATGACGTATTTAGGCATTTAATTCTCTTTATATCTTATTTATCACCGTGAGGTGCTCTTGAAATTTTAAGGTATGTTAGTTGCAAATTAACATACTGGCAGTTAGGAAGTTTTTGTCAAATTACATGGATATAGCTAGGCATAGACAAGGAAAAAAATAAGAGTGCACAAATCTCCTCATATTTAAGATTTCACAAATCCAGAGCCTATCTATGTCCTATTTGATGGGATAAGCGTTAAAAAAGACGGCAGAAACCAACAATTATTAATAAGAACGCACCAAGTTTGGCGGCTTTTCTGGATGAGAAAGGAGCACTGCTAAAAGAGTACCTGTATCTAGCTCGAACTGCAAGACGACCTGTATGAGTCGCGAATTTCACTCGTCTCCGAAGTGCTGGGCTAAGTGAAAGATTCTCAGAGGTGAAATTTACAAGGTCTTGCTTTGATTGCATCAAGGAATAACCAGGTATTTTAGACCCCTCTTTAATATACAGTTTTGAGCTTTGTGATAATGTTCAAATACTTACAAATTAAAAAAAATGCATATTTTATGCATAAATTGAGAAAAATCAAACCAAGAAACTTTCGAAATTTAAGACTAGATGTCAAATATGATAAAATTGCAAAGCGATCAATGCTCTAAATATGATATACCCCTACATAGATACATGAAACAAAGCGATCTTTCCAACTAGTGCAGAAAAAAGTGCGACAAGAAATTTAACATCAAGACGAACTTTCAGGGGAAATCCAAGAAGAATATCGGGAAAACCAAAACGTCCCTTGGCTAGGTGAAATTAAAATAAAACAAAGAGGTTTTTTTCATCTGTCAGAAAATTATTGGAGTTCTCACGTGTAACTTTTTTGCTTATTTCTGATGTTTATATTTGATGATGTTTTTGATTGTAAAATCAGCGTGACATAGTCCTACCGAGATAAAGCCATTCCCACATATGCTGCCGTGTCAGAATGTTTTTGCAAGATAAAGTTTTCTCTAGACTATAAGCATCTTGATATTTCTTGCCACAAGATTCAGCTGTTCTTTCTCCCTTTTGTACAATTTTTACCCATGTTCCAGTAAATCAGATGGAACCCCTGGATATAAATCTTTTACAAATAGGGCGTGATGGAAACTGAGCTTGAGTTTAATTGGTCCACAGAGATCCTAACTTAATTAAGACCCTATCAAACCTTGATGATCGAAGATGTTACATGGCTAGTCGATGGAGGAGGGTGACAGTACAATGGGCAGCATGCAGCCACAGAAGCTGGCAGGGGACCGCAGCAGTCAGTCGATGCGAGATTTTACCTTTTTTTCATTTATTCTTCTCCTACCACCCTCTCCTTCATTATTGTTCGTCAGTCCCCAGCCAGTGTATACTGTGCGAAGCGCCCCCAATAGCAGCCGAATGGCCAAAAGAAGCCACGCACCAGAGTCTATTAAATGCTTCTTGATAACCCGACCACAGAGCCCATTTATAATCTTGCTGTCTCTCCCTCTGATTGTAGGTCTCATCCTCTTTCCTTCCTCCTATATCTCTTCCCCAAATCCAACAGAATGAATATGAAATATCAATAAACGCTACTTCATCACAAAACCGTGCTACGCCTCATCTTGACATTCTCTTTTCGGTAATGAAGACTTGGGAGAGGGAGTTTTCTCCTCGATTCCTGTGGAGCCTCACTGTTAGGGTTTTTTTAAAGCGGAATTCTGGAAGAAAGATATCCGAGTTGATCGTTATTAAATTAACACCAAAATACATAAATAATATGCTCTACTGATAATTCGCCACCCACCGAGCAATCCGTTCTTTGAACTTTCTGGACATCCCTGGTTTTTAAAGAGGAAGGAATGATCGCATGTATTGAGATTATACATAGTTACATCGATTCCTATGGGGGAACCATATCGTCAACAACGACTGGACAGATGTCGAAGATGAACACAAGCTCTCTGAATTGGAGTTGAAGGCATAAAAATGACAATAACACAGAAACAGACGAAAATCGAGAAGACAATAAATTATTTCTCGGTGAAATGTTCAACTCGACAATCATTCCGTACAGACGGACAGGCAATAGAGATCAATAACCAAGGTAGAGACACCCTGTGTATGGAATAAAACACATTAGAAAACGCGTTCAATGGAAGCACTAAATCTGGAGAAGGGAAAATGAGTTCAACAATGGAAAGGCGTGGGAATCCAGCACGGAAGATGGGAGTATCATAAAATTTGGAATAGTAGGCGAGACTCTACCAGAGGTTGACTTGAGATTCAGATCTTTGGCGGGGACGAAGGAAACAGCGAGAGCGGCCATCTCTGATTCCCTCCCTTTCCTTCTCCACTTCCCCCCTCTTCGTCTTCTCCGGCTCTGGGAGAGAACGGCTTCGCGGTGAGAAACGCCGACGTCGGATGTGGAGCTCTGAGCTCCGAGCTCTCTCTCCCTCTCTCTTTCTCTCTCTCTATCTCTCACTCACTCTCTCTCCTCCATGTGATAATCTTGATGTCCGAACGAAGCTCCACCGGATGACGCGATTCGGCGTCTCCACGTAAGCTACCAATCATAACCCGCCACGAGTCGCCTCTCCGACGCGTCACCTTAGAAAATATCCACGTTTTATGGATAAACCTCCAGAGGGGGGGGGGGGGATTAGTCGCACGAGTCAGTGTTACAAGCCCTCGTGTGAAAAGAAGCGTCCGACCACAGGGAGCACGATCCGCTCGGGGTGGACTAATCCAAAATGGCTGCTCTTATTTTTATTAATAAAATATTTTTCAGACGATATATTGAATAAAATAAATGAATTCCCATATCTATTATATTTAATAAATGCATATGCCATCAAGCGCTTCGAATTTTATTTTCACCAAATTCTTCAGGATATTTTGAACACGCTGCCTGATTTCATCTGATATATTATCTGGTAAAGTCGCATTTATTTTTTAAAATAATAAAATTATGGGAAAATAATGAAGTTTCTGGATTATTTTTTTTCCAGTTCCCCGGTAAGATTTTTTTTTTAATTAATAATCCCCTGTTGAAAAGTTGCCGGAGTGTAATCAGGCTGTGGGAGCCACTGGGCCAGGCCCGTTTTCAGGATGGGCCCAGGCCACTGGACAAGAGAGGATTTTTATTCTGTTTTTCACGTTTGACCAATGCGGGGCCCAGTAAAATGGTCCACACTGATTCTCAAAGGGAGGACATGTTGACCCCACGGTGTTGACCGATCGTCACCCGTAGCGGATTTGGTCGATATTTCCGTGCTCTTTACAACCTCATCAGATCGTAAACCGCTTGGAGATCGACCTCACGAGAAGCGGTCCACTGGGTTCCTCGTCGGCCACCTCGAGCTCTAGGGTTCCTCCATGGCGGGAGAGTGAAGAAGAACTGTTTCTCTGTGAAGAACAGGTGCCGTCCTGGAGGAACAGTCCCTCCCCCGCCACGAGATTTTCGGCGGCTGCGTTTGATGGTCACATCGTTTTCTCTGCTCTGAAGGCGAGCAGCAAGACACCAGAAGGATGGCCGTCGTTTCTCTCCTCCTCTCTCTCTCTGTCTTTTCTTCCCCGAGATCAGACACGTTCTCCTTTTCCCATTCTCACGTCTCTGCGGGGGCCGCCTCTGCGAGCAGCTGGCTGCTATCTGCCAAGGCGGCCTCACGTGCCCTCGCCGATGGCGGCAGAACAGGCGGCGCCTCAGCGGCCCGGATAGAGCGCTCCGCCTGTACGGGGCATCTGTGGCTGACCACCACCGACTGCCTCGAGATTCTCTTGCCGAGATGCAGCGGCGGAGGGCCCGTTGGTAACCAGGCCGGTGATTCAGACGAGAAGGAAACTGGGGGTTTTCCGTCTCGATCCGATGAGCAGGAGCTGGGTTTTCAAGGAAGACGGGATTCCCCCCGTCTCCTTAAACCACATGGAACTGGATTATCAGATCGATGAACCCGACAGGGATCGTCACGACCTCCGACCCACTTAAACACCTTCAATGGCGGAAGTGGGTCATCACGCAGAAAAGGGGAGGAACAGGACGAAAAGATCATCTGTCCCTCTCGGATCTACACCTTTCCTGGTTTGCGACTATTCTTCCGTCACACAAAATATTCATAGCATCGCAAGACAGCGCGAGAGGATCACTTCTCAAGGGCGACAGCCGCCAGCCAAAAAGCCGTGGGCGGGGGTCTACTCCTGTTCTCTGCAGACAAAACAACAAAAATCTCCAGCCATCACCGATGGCGGAGCAGTGATCTGCTCGGTGCTTACCCCCGCCGAGATGCCGCCGCAGGCGGGCGGGCCCAAATAATTGCAGTATCATTGGCCGGAAGCAGCGATGATCCTCCTCAGGGTAAGCACCGATGACTCTCTCTCTGTCTCTCTCTTCCTCGTCCGTGATCCCATCAATGGCTTATTTGCCGGCAGGAGGATTGCTCTCCTCTGTTTCTCACCTCCCCGACCCTTTTTTTACCAGCGAGGCGGGGAGGAAGAAGAGGAAGGGGCCCCAGCTTTAATCGTAGGCTGGCAAAACGGTGAAAGGCTATTAGTCTCTGTGGAATCTCTGGCTCCTCCCTCCTGCCGAGTGCTCCACTCCAACGTCCTCTGGTTTCTCCATTCAAAAGCCACGTCGAGGCTTGGGGCTCAGTTCATTCATGAAGACCCACCTCCATCTCTGAGGACGCTTCGTACCAGAGAGGAGGAAGAGAACGGCGCGTTGCAGGTGCAGTCTGCTGCTTCAGTGCCCCACTCGAAAGACGGCACTGGGAAAGGGTTCCCCGTTCTTGGGTCTGGAGGAGGAACTGGTTTCCGAAGTTGGTATGCCTTGATCATGGCTAGGCGCCATGGATGGCAGCTCCCTGCGCACTCACTCCAGGTATTGTCTCTGTTCCTCGTTTCATCCTCTCCCCCTCCCACGCGTCCCCCGCGCCAACATCCAAGGAGACGCTCGACCCAGTTCATTGTTTCCCGCTGTCAGCTACAGGACTGTGATTTTCTGGATTTAACCTTCACGGCGGCGATGCTCGACCTCTCTGGTTTGCAGGTCATTGCGATAACTGTGTATTTCTTGCTGTCGATAGCGTTCTACGCCTTCTTTGCGCCGTTCCTCGGCCAGGATCTGTACGAAGATGTGGCCACAGGAGTTTACAGTCTCCTGGTAAGCCTTTTGCCTCGCAAGTCAAAGATTCGCGCCTCTTTTCCTCATTCTTCCACCATTATTCACAACGAGAAATTGTGTCTCATACTTGAATAATTTCATAAATCATATATCAGGTGCTCTGCGTATTCATTCTCTACGTCAGATGCACGGCCATTGACCCTGTTGATCCCAGCATCATGGTGGCCCCTCAGGAGGTCCCAGGTTATAAATCTGGGAATAAACTACAGGCCGGTGAGTCGTTTCTACCTATTCTTAGTCTTAGCTTCCAATGTTTTCTCAGCGATGAATGGTCTGTGGCCATGAAGCTTACTGATCCATATCGTTGACCTTTAGATCACAGTCAGGTGATCATAATCTGCTCATTTTAGCAGTTTATGGCTTTGACATTTTTGTCCTGACGGCCTGCAAACTGGAGTCACAGGGAATATTTTCTTATTTTGGATTAAATTTTAGAAACAAAACCAAATTAACTGTTTTCAGAAATTATTCTTCACGAAGAGTATTTTTAGAAGAAAATTTCAGTGGAAAAACAATTTTGTCCTCACGCCCTCCTCCTCCTCCTCCTCCTCCTCCTTCTTGGTGGGTGAACAGGGGACTGGGGTCAAGCACAGCCCGGTGAGGCGGCCTTGAAGGTGGAAGAGACGCCTGCAGTGTATAAATCGGCCTCCCACCATGGTCTTTGGGGGCTCTGCTGCGGTTTATTGGTGAAGGAAGACTGCCGCAGGGATGATGACCGGGGACAGCTACAAGTCAACGATGAGGAAGCATTGTTCTGCACTCTGTGCAATGCGGAGGTATTGCTTCCACTGGCCACTGGGTTTTGGGTCTCATCTGATGAGGGTTTTATTTCAGAAAAACGTTGACCCGAATAGAAATCAGCCCAGTTGACCCTAATATCTGATTCAACAAAATCTTCTGCGTGTAAATGGAAATTTCCATTTTTTTGTAAAAGGGGATTTTAAAAAATAAAATTTAAAAATTATTTTAAAAAATTAAAGCTTCGCGGTTTTGGCTGAAGAAGAGGTTGAAGATTTCAAGGGGAGGGGATGTCTTTTTGCCAGAAGTCAGTCTGCTCCAAGTGAAGTTTGAATTTTCTTCCTTCCCCTGGCGTGAAAATGGTTTCTATGAAGGAAAATGCTAAATTTTGATCTGGGCTGGGATTGAATCTCGGAAATTATAACTGGGCACCTTGCGGGGAATCCTCCAACTGGAATGCTCCATATATTTTCTGGAATATGCCCAACATTGGAGACTCGTGTTTCCTCATATATTCCACCGTTTATTCCTTTATTGCAAAATTAATTCATATTTTAACTATCCACGTAAGAACCCATTTTATTAACCTGTTTCCCTTTTCGGATTTGATCAGCCAAAGACTTGCTACTTGACCTCCTCATGCCTGAGAATCGAATGATCCAGTGTTGTGCTGTGTTCTTCATATAAATGAGCCAACGCATCCGTCTCTGTCCTCTTCAGGTCCGTAGATTCAGTAAACACTGCAGAAGCTGTGACAAATGCGTCGATGGGTTCGATCATCATTGTCAGGTCTGCAATAATCAGATTCCTCCCAGGCTATGATTTCATATTGCATTTTATTTTTTCGCGTGGGTAATCTCTGTGAAAATGGGCATTTGAGGGATTCTTCCTCATGGATGCAGTGGTTGAACAACTGCGTGGGGAGGAAAAACTACTTCACATTCCTCTCTCTCATGGCGATGAGCCTCATCTGGGTACATTCTAAAAATGGCATACTTCCCTTCCCATGTCCCTGTGAAGACTCGGAGAGATGACCTCCTCTTTTCTGCAGCTCTTGGCTGAGTCCGCCGTCGGCGTGGCCGTTCTGGTTCGGTGCTTCACCGCCAAGAGGGCGACCGAGTTGCAGATAATCGAGAGGCTTGGGAACGGTTTCTCCCTTGTCCCCTTTGCCGCCGTCGTCGTGAGCTTCAGTCTCTCTCTGCCTCCGTGATCTTTCATCTGTTCCTTTCCATGAATGTTGTTCTCCTTCCAGGGCCTGTGCACGGGGGTCTCCATGTTCGCCTGTGTTCCTCTTGGGGAGCTCTTCTTCTTCCACATCCTCCTCATCAGGAAGGTCGGCTTCCACCTCTCTCTCTCTCTCTCTCTTCTGTTCTTCGATAAGGAGTGAGCTTCAAAACGGCAGGGTATTACGACGTATGAGTACGTTGTGGCCATGAGAGCGCAGAGCGAGGCGCCGCCGGGGCCGTCGGCGGGCGGCGATCAACAGAGCCTGCCGCCGTCGCCGATCAGCTCGGTTGCCACCGGCATGAGCGGCGGAAGCTCCATTGGGCTGCAGTACAGAGGCGCCTGGTGCACTCCTCCCAGAGTCTTCGTCGACCGGCCGGTGAGCCCTCCTCCAACCCCGCCATCACTTCTCCTTTTCTTCTCCGAGCTCATTCATTCATGACTGGCCGCGCTTCCGCCGCCGCTCCCTCCGGCAGGACGAGATCGTCCCCCACCTGGAACCTGGCCGCGTGCCGTCGACGGTGGACCCCGACGCCGTCGACCCGTCGGAAAAAGGGAAGGCGGCACCGCCCAAACGTCCGGTGAAGATCAGCGCCTGGAAGCTCGCGAAGCTGGATTCCGGCGAGGCCCTGAAAGCCGCCGCCAAGGCAAGGGCCTCCTCGTCGGTGATTCGACCGGTGGGCTCCCATCGCCGATACGACACCGATAACTGCTCCAGCGGCGCCGCCAGCAGCCGGAGCAGCAGCATCAGCGTGGACGTCCTCCACCTCCGGTCGTCCTCTCCGATGAAGAGCTCGTACCCGCCGAGCCTGACGAGCAGAGAGGACCTCGACGCCTACTCTCGTACCCCCAGCAGCTTCAGCAGCCCCCGCCTTGGCGGCGCTGCCGTGGGATCCTCCTCTGCGTGGGATCGCCCGCCCGCCGGCGCCGGTCACTTCAACAGAGGCTACCCGCTGGCGATCAGATCTCCTCTGTCCAGTGGAATGAACGACGCCGACAGCGTGGCCAGCGACGACACCGAGCCAGAGGCGATCAGAGCGGCGGCTCCGCCGGCCATGGCGGGAGGCTTCAGGAGCTCCGTCTACTGGGATCAGAGCCTCGGCCGGTTCGTGAACTCGCAGTCTTCATACGCGGGCGAATCCGTGTTTTACGGCTACCCGCTTCAGGTGAATGGAGGAGGGTGGCGGAGCTCCGGCGCCGCCGGGCACCACCGGAGCTTGAGGCAAGGCGGCGGCGCTGAGGGGAGGAGAGGGTCCATCCAGCTTCCCGCGTTTGTCCCTCCTAGAGATTCTCAAGAGTGAGGAACGATTCTTCATAATCTCTGCGGACTTGCGGGTGCTATGTATGTTGCTAGAGTTGACTTTTAGAAATGTCGTTTCTCCTTTAGGAAAGTAGAAAATGTGGGGCGCTCGGTTAGTACGCTGCATGGGTTGACTCTTGCTCTTATGGTGATGAAGGGATATTGCTTGATTTGGGGAATAGGAAGAGAGAGAGAGAGAGAGAGAGAGAGAGGCCCAATAGCCTAAACTCGCCTCTTGGGCAGTAGAAAATGTCAGGCGCTGACTCGGTGCTCTTAAAGTGGAGAAGGGATTTTACCTGGTTTGGAGAATAGGAAGCGAGAGAGAGGAAAAGAGAGAGAGAGAGAGAGAGATAGAGAAGAGAGAGAAAGGAAGATAGAGAGGAAAAGAGAGAGAGAGGGCCCAAAGTAGTGGGGCCCAGTAGCCCAACTCGTCTTCTGGATAGGCGCGCTTGACGCTGTGTGGTTCTTCGTCTCGACGCCGAGACCCGCCATCTCCGTCTCGCCGCCGCGGGGAAGTCCATGGCTTCCGCTCGCGCTGTGAGCTTCCACAGGATCCCCAGCGGGGCGGCGCCCGACTCCTGCTCTCGCTCCGCAACTACGCCGGCGACGACAAGACGATGGAACCCGCCGCCACCGCCGTCTCAGGAGCTGAAGAACGACGGCGAATTTCGCAGGCCCTTCATCACCAGAAGAGACGCCGCTCTCTTGCTCTCCGTCCTTCCCTTCGCGGCCAACGCGGCGGTCCCTCCCGCAGAGGCCAGGGAGAGGCGGAGCCGCAAGGTCATCCCCCCCCAGGACTACCTCACCAGCCGTTAGTCTCTCTCCTTTCCCCTCTCGCTTCTCCTTACCCTGCTCATCGATGGCATTCCCCGAGGTCACTACTTCCGCGTCCTCTGCGTCTCCGGATGATCTCTAGGGTTCCATCTCCTACAAAGAAATCTTTCAGTGAACTCATGTTTGCTCGAAAATGTTTTACCGGCAGCCGACGGACTGAAGTACTACGATCTGCTCGAGGGCAATGGACCCATCGCCGAGAAGGGGGCGACTGTGCAGGTGTTCTACCCGGAGACATGGTGATTCTTTGATGGGTCGCTCCCTCCCTCCGAGCTTTACCGCCTGCTTGCTGGTTTTCTAGGTGCACTTTGACTGCATCTACCGCGGCATCACAGCAGTTTCGAGCAGAGAATCTAAGCTGCTGGCGGGCAATCGGATCATCGCCCAGGTATGAACACGCATCTTCATGGTTCAGCCTCTAAAAAATCATTCAAATTGCCAATTTCCGTCAAAAAATATCAGGAAAAAAACTTTGGAGATGGCCATGGAAGACACTCTGAAGGAACAGTCTTTTCTAAGACGGTTCATCTTCCTGAGAGTCAAGATGATCGTGAGCTAACATTCTCTTTCGGTTCTTAAGTAGCCATACGAGTTTACCATCGGGTCAACGCCGGGGAAAGAACGCAAGCGGGATTTCGCGGACAATGCAAACGGCCTCTTCTCTGCCCAGGCTGCTCCTAAACCACCAGCAGCCATGTACAAGATTACCGAAGGGATGAGAGTAGGAGGGAAGGTGAACCAAGATCTTCATCTTTCTCCACGATCTGATCTCATCGGCAGTCAACTGTTTTACTGGTTCTTTCATGAAACCCGTAGTTCCGATAATTCACAGAGTTTCAGTATCTAATTTTATTGAAACTTATAATAGTCAAACAAAATCAAAAAAATAAATCTTACTTAATCAATCAAAGGTCCAGCTGATCACCACGTCTGTATTCTAGTTTCCTGCATGGTTTTGTCAAACAATTAGCATCTAATTATATGTTCATAATGCAGAGGACCGTCATCGTGCCCCCTGAGATTGGCTATGGTCAAAGGGGAATGAGCGAAATTCCGGTAAAAATCTGATTTTCTTTTAAAGTAAACCCAATTTTTATTTCCCAAGTTGGAATATATATAATATTACCAGGATCTAGTAGGGAAGCATGGCAACTTACCTTCAGGCTCATCATAATAAAGTTGACTTCTAAAGGAAAAAAAAAACCACTTCAGAAAATAATTAATAATTATCAAAAGTCAAAATAAGCCGGGGAAAAAGTAAATAAGCCCTGATCTAACTGCATCTATAGCTTTCTGAAGATTTTAGGTCATATGAATACCTCCATTGTGTTCTTGTCTTGCAGCCAGGTGCCACCTTCGAGCTGAATGTGGAGCTCTTGGAAGTGGTATCATCAGCAGCCAAGTAGCCAAGGCCGAGAGGATGGTGGAAAGAGAGAGGGAATCCACTTTACCGTGATTCCTTCATGTGCTGGTCATCTCTTCCAGCTTCTATGGAAGATGGCTGCCAAATAAATGCTTTTCAAAGAAACTGGTACCGAGTAAATATTTTTATTTTAATAAAATTAAACTTTCTCTGCAAGCCCAGTTCAACCTAAACCTTTAATGCATTTCACTGAAATGACAACCATATGATCTTGAGGGGTAATGATGTCTCCGATTCATCAACAGCATTAAATTCAATGGGGAAACAATCGCATTCATACACACATTACATACTAGTTTAAGAGTAGAAAGATTAGATTAGAGTTGAAATAACGATACCGTGGCAAAAAAAAAAGAAAAAAAAGAAAAAAAAGAAAAACGGCGAGCTGCTTGGAAAATTTCTGAAAATTTGGGAAATCCGTCCAAATTTGGTAAGATTTTGTCTCCTCTCACATCAGGGGGGTTTCCTTCCTGCGCATTCTGCAAACGCTTGAATGTATGTACAGTTCAGGGCTTGGATTCATGAAAAATATGGCCCTTCTAGGGGGTGATGAGCCAGGCCAAAATTAATCTTCCTTTTTATGAACCTTTTGGCAAAGAATAAACGAAAGTGATGCCAACACTCCAACCACATAACCAAGAACAGCGCCGTAGGTAACACAGATTGGCCATTCCTGCAGTCATCGGGAGAATACAATTCAGACTTTAAAACAGAATTTAGGACAAATGGATTCAAGAATAAATCTGAGCCTAAAATCATGAACGATAATATTTTGCTAATTCTATTTAAATTTGGACTTCATTAACGTAAGTTAATTCCCTTATTCAACAGCAGCAGTCATCACTGCCCAGCAGCTTTGATGATTTCAATCAATGTGAATTCTGTCCACCTTGAGTAACCCTACAGTTCATAGTAACTAAAAGGTTTCCAGGTGGCCTAAGAAACCAGGAAAGCTGGAATTTGTTATCAGCTATTTATCTTATTTAAAGAAATATTGGGGGGATTTCCATCACAAATTACAATTGTTAATGAATTTGGGTGGAATATGCACGTCTCAGTTCCCTGTCAATTGAAAACACAATATCGCGGAGGCATCCTACTATTGTTAATCAGGTTTTCATTGATACTCCAGACGTCAAATCATACTACTAAATGTGAAAATGTGCAAGCGGCTTTGGACTCCAGCACCATTTCTCAACCAGGAAAAGTGAGCACAAATCATATTTTAAAGCCATATAAACCTGATTACACCAAACAAGCTTCAAGAAATGAGCCAACAAGCTTCAAGAACACCAAACATATAAACACAAACTAAAAGCCATATTTTTTTTTGTCAGTTTTAAAGAAATCAGCTGCTCATTACGCCACTACTGGGCATGGTCCTCCAAAATACGGAAAAACTAATTTTAATGGAAACCCGATTCTATCTGATAATCAATCAAGAAAAGATGCATTCTCGCATTAAATAAAATACCGAAATAAAATAGAAAACATTTTATATAAAAACTTTTTCCAAGGCACAAAACTATGTTACGCAACTGCAGGGTGGTATGATCTTTAGTTAACCAGTGTGGTACAAGGAAAATGATATGAAAATGATGTGAAAAAACATGCTAATTGCATCGTTACAAAATTAATGTCAAGCCCATTCAAAGTTTAGATATTATGTAGTGCAACAGAGACAACATGAACATTGTCCAGCCTAGGATCTATACCTGCCATGGCCTTTCCCAATCAAGTGGCATTGGCCAAGCCCCAAACCATGCACCAATTACAGCTCCATGTGCCGGCAAGCTGACCATATAATCAACAACCCTAGCCATCCTGTAAATAGAAAATAAAATTATCACGACTGGCATGGAGGACGTAGCCCTGCCTAATCTTTTTATGCACTTCACCCAATAACCATCCTTTAGTTTCCACAGTCAAACTAGTTAGGAGAAGCAAGAGAAATAAAATCTGGTTCTATAGTTAACCTTCTGCATCTGTATGGAGAAACATTATCTGCTGACTAAATGTACACTAAATCACCACATATAAACTTATTCCATGCAGTAGTGGCACAGGTCACTTACTTGGCAAGAGCCAATATGCGCAGCCAATCTTTCCTTGAATAGCCAAAAACACAAACTGCTGGAACAAACTGTCAGAAAAAAAAAGGTCAGATGAGAAGAGGCACAGTATACAGATTGTATGCTAACATATGATGAGGATACTATGCGATGCAAGAGTGATAAAAAACATATAGTTTTTCGAAATCTCCTTACAAGGAAAAAATAACTCGATGATATTCCAACTATTTCTGTAAGTTTTTTTGTTCCATGTGCTATATAAGCTGAAATATTTCCCTTTATCATCCGATGGTCTTAACTTTATTCCAACTTTTATCTTAGATGACAGGATTCAGTTATCAAAACCAAAAGATAATGCTCGTGTACATTCCTTTCAAGATTCCTTCATGTGGCTTTCATTATATGGAAACTAGAGAATGTAATAAGAAAACTTCATTAGCAAAGATAAATTCATAGACCACCAATCAGTCAAATGTGAGAATCCCAAGGTCTTTGGAAACTGGATTTTAGTGTTCACGCTGTAAAACGTTTCAAATTAATTAAAAATAAATAGAGAGAACAATAAGAGAAAAATTCCAAAAAAAGATCATCTACTCACTGTGAAGAGCGACATCAAAAGGGACCAATTAATCGTCCGTTTTAAGTACCTGCATGACAGTAAGTTCTTAAGAAACCAATTTAAATTCAATGATGATTATGCAACAAGGTCTAACTTGAATTTGTTTCTGATACAAGGGTATGTATGATACTTTTGTGGGGAAGGCAGCAGTTTTTGAAAAAGGGTAGCAATTAGGTTACAACCAGTTGGGGAACTGGATTTTACAGATGCAAGCCGTTTTTTTTCCCGCCACTTTATTTTTTCAATGGGTAAAGGGGTAGGGTACAACAAATAATTGCCAACTCTTGAACAATTGGGAAAGACGGTATTCCATTCCTGTCAAAGGTCCATTAAAAGCGAACAAAGAAAATATGCATGCAAATGTAAATAGGACATACTTAAAGTTCTTCAACCAAATAAAAAAAATTGGTTTAGCTCCTTGTTATGGTGAAATGAACAATGTTCTACTCACTCGATCCAAAAAGGAGCACCCAAAACGATAGCTCCAAATGCGTTCAGCAGAGCACCTGTATTGAGGAACAAATATCAACCTCAGAAATGTATATGCAGGATGAGAGAAAATACCACGAGAGGAAATACAAGAAAATGCAATTTGGATTGGTTTATGAAATTATGAAAATAAATATATAGCAACATTGCAATGAAATTAATCTAGAGAATAGACCGAGAATGAAAATGGGAAGAGAAATTTAATCACAGCATAGATGGTAACATACAATTAGCTTGATTTCATACTAGATCATTCAGCAACTAAAGTGATTGTCAAGGTAAAATTGATTGAGAACTATCAAGACACGGAAATTTCTCCATGGATTTCACTGATTGAGAGAGCATTTCTGACCAAAACTGTAGACACTAGACAATCAAAGAATGCATAAAGGATACATAAACAAAGGAAATATCCGCATAAGGGAACCACAGATAAAACGATAGCACTTAGTTTCAACTGCAGGATTTCCAGTCAGCAGTTGGTTTGTATCGTGCTTTCTCACTTGTGCTTTTTATTGGCCGAAGTGATAGTGTGCATCCGGGCTGATTTTTAAGATAATTTATTTTCTCACAGGACAAGATGCCATCAGTATGACAAATGAACTTGAAGGTATGCCACGTATGTGGTTGCACAAAATTACTAAGCCAAATAGTTGTTCCAACTTGTATCCCCATCCACACAGATTCTAGAAACGAATGCAAATGCATAAGAGTAAAAAATAGTAATGAAATTACTACCAAAACACTAAAAAAAGAAAAAAATAGAAATGATAATTTAAAATAAAATGCCATTACTGAAAAAGGCAGTCCATGCTCGCCTTAAAAAGTTTTTTAAAAAAAATTGCCATCAAAGAATTCAGAAAAAATCGGTCAGACAGAAAAACAGCAACAGTATACCTAGGGGAAGCCCCAGAAATCCCCGTCCAACTGCCTTTAGGAACTGGCAAAGAAATTAAGTTAATGTAAGGCATAAACGGGACGAAAATTTACAGTGAATAATATCTAAGGTATTAACCGAGCAGGCTGTGGCCTCACCGAGGTCCGCTCTTTATCAGATCGCACCAAACTGTAAGCAATGATCACCACTGGCGACTCGATCACCTATATAGACAGAAGAGAAAAAGAGATATTAAAAATTAATGGGATCGGCAGCCATAAGAAGGAAGGGTTCACCGTCTCATCCCTTCTCATCTGAACTTACCACGAGGAGGCGGAGCACTCGCGCGGGTTCAGAAACAAGACCAGACGAGCAAACATGCCGAGAGATCCAACCCCCCGCCGCCAGCGCCACCACGCAGACGAAGTGAACAGCGACGGCTCTGCCCGCCGGCGTGGAACCGCCATTCATCGTCCCCTCTCCTGCTCCGCCGGAGAAGTCACGATGCTCTCTCAAGAGATGAAGTCACTGTGGGCCCCAATTCCCATTCGGATCTTCTTCTTGAGCCTCCTCGTATTGGGCCTATACGTGCGGATTGTGGAGCCTCCGCACGTGTCACCAAGTTGGTGAAGAGAGCCGAACTCGCCTTCGATGCCCACAGGAGGCTTATCGCAGCTGTGCATTTCCCTGTAGAGATTCTGTCTTCGCCATTTGCGTTCATTCCGTGAGGGCGGGGGAGGAGAGAGGGGGAGGGAGGTGCCTGGAATCTCCTGTCGTCGCAAGCTTGAAGCTCCCGAAGGGAGGCCTTCGGGCTAGGTTTTCTGCCTCCCCCCCCGTATATCGGCGTTCCGCAGCGGCTGAGCAGCCGATGGACACTTCCCTGAGATGCGGGAGCGGCTCCCAGTCGCTCAAGGTCCACGCCAAAGAGAAGTTTCCTCTGGCCTCGCAGATTTTCCTTCAGGTATCGTCTCGATCCTCGTTGTTCTTCCTCGTGAGACGCGTCGTGGAACGGAAGAGCTGAGATTAGCGTTTCTTTTCTCGTTATCAAATGTTGTCTCGTGGTGTCTTTCCTCTTCCCTTCTATTCCGAATTTCGAAGTTAGTGCAAGTTTTTCTGGCCGATATGAAGCTCAATAGTCCCGAGTTTGCATATCAAACGTCATCATCGTTGTTTGAGCTTCACCACGACGAAAGTAAGAGATCATAAATGACGAATCAAGCCAGAGTATAATTCGTTCTACATGCGACATTTCAGACCTCCGTATGGAAGGGCTGACTAGTTTGCCTTTTGACTCCCTGCGTTAGGCACGAGTGGATAAGATTGAAGATAAGGTTTGACTATGGTATATTTTTAAATTACGAACATATTTGACTAGGCTTTTCTCCGCCAGATTTTTATCTTCTCTAATTGATTGTTTACCTCTTATAAATGCAAATAAAGAAAAATATATATATGGATATGTATTTCCAGGGGGACTTCTTCCCATATTCTAACATATAATTGTAATGTAAGGCCATCAAGTCGTTAAGTATCTTCCTATAATTTTGTAGGGACACGCTGAAATTGATACAGGGATTGGGGCTCCATGTTTCCTTGCAGTCCTGATACGGCATTTTTATCCTCAGGTTCAAAGAAAAAATTGCAGCTGAAACTAAGTGTTCAACTCTAATTCTTTAAATGTGGACCTTACACTGACTAATTGTATTAGCAGGCATCTGCTAGTATGGGTGTGGGTTGTCAATACAATGGAGACAAGGAGCTCAGTTATAACATCCGAGGCAAGAAAGCATTTCCTGTGACATCAAATGGATTGGTGAACTTGAACGTTAAGGGAAGATGTGATGTTGACAAAGAATTTAGAGAGGTAAGCATCAAGAATGTGATCATGAACTTAGAAGTTGAGTCATGACGAGCATTCTCTCTCTCTCTCTCTCTCTCTCTCTCTCTCTCTCTCTCTCCCATTGTTCTGTAAGATCGTAACTGCGTAGCTATGTCACTCCCGCTCTTTTCCAGTAAAAAAATCATTAAAGTACAATGGCTCTTCAATCACAAGTATTAGGCGTCGTTAACAATGAACTCAATGTAAAAGTGCGGAAGAAACATCTAAATAGGCAAAATACAACATTTCTTGAGCACATTGTATTATGTGCAGCTTCTCTTCAAGACGTGTTATTCTTATTTGTTGCTCTGTCTTAGACCACATTTGACAAAAATCTCTGTTTATGTATAAGTAATATCTGTACACTTGTTGGTTTCATCTTTTTCATGGACTAGTTTCATCATAAAAATGGTTTCCTACATCTTGTATGCTCAGTATCTTTACTCGAGACTCCCTGATTAGACCTGCTTTGTCAAGGATATATTTTTTATTGCCCAGCTCGATGCAGTCAACCATTGAAAAGGATACTTATCCATCAAAATTGGTATCAGATTTACATTAGAAGAACATATTAGATTGCTTCTTAATCCACAGCATTTCCATCGGTAAAACAGGTATTAGGCCCACAGAGTAGTCTTACTTACTGAGCAAGCTTTATTTGATATTTTATTTTCACCAAACATTCCACCGTGGGACTTTGTTATTGCATAACTAAACATTTTCATTTCTTTTATCATGTGGCACATAGAATGACAATTATTCATCCTCTCAACCACATTTGCTCAGTTCCCCAATTATACATTGCAAACGTGGGGGTTATCTAAGGAAGCATATTCTAAATAATTTAGTTGAGAACTTGAAAAGCATACTCTGTGGGGAAATTAATCTACATTTTCTGCATTTCGCGTCTTTAACCATGCTTCTTCTGTGTTGACCTAAAAAAGTATTTTCGGCAAGAGTGTCCACTTTATTGCTTGATGCACTGCGTTCATTATTTCAGGAAAAATCTCGAATCTTGGGGTTAATAATGACAAATTTTAAGCTGGGTTTTGACAGTTCAATGATATCTAAAATTCTCTCTCTAAAGCAAACACTACTTAACGTCCAGCTGATTGTATGAGTATTTTCTTTGCAGTTTCGTTTGAATCCTTGTGCCCAGTCCGTAACACCCGTTTGCATCATAAGTCAGTAAACAATGTTTTATGAACCCGCGTCCACATTTTTGAATTGTGTGCCGATCAAGATTGCTTGCACAACAGAGATAAGGCAAAATTTTCTGTAGCCAAATGATATTCGTCAATGGCATCAAGAAGTTTCTCATTGTATCTCCGTGCATATGAGTCAGGGCACGACGTGCAGTGACATCTAAAACTGACTTTGAACATTTACATGTCGTTTTTATTCCCTCTTCTGTTTCGCACCAACGAAATTCATTACCAGGAATTTGACTGATCCTTGACTCATCACATCCCAACTAACTTAGAAACTCTGCCAATTATCCACAGCCTGAAGAACAACCACTGAGATATCCCTTCTATAACCGCTTTTAATGTCAAAGGACCTTTTCCTTGTTGATAAATGATACAGATTTTTTAATCCTGCATAAGTTAGTAATTTTAGATGAGAATTATTTATTTACAAAGTCTAGTTGTAAGCCTATTTCTCACAATCTCATATATGGAGAGAGATCAAATTGTAAATAACCCCCTACTCTGCTTGTTAAATTACTGTCTTTCTCTCTGGGTTTTGAAAATTTTAACCAAAGAAGAACTTGCCTTTCCAAATTTATATTTCTTATATTGCAATCTTGTTCTGATGCAATTCTGCTCCAATACTTTTCCAGAGGAAAAGTAAACTGGCGGCAGAGTTGACCTGGGGCATACTTAATTTTCAGACGGATCAAGATCTGAGATTGAAGGTGGGCTATGAAGTAGTCAACAAGGTATGGATCCTCGTCCAAACGATTTTCTCGCATGCAAATCAATTTTTCAGAGTCCCCAACACATGAACACTTGCATTATCTAAATAACTGGAGGCTTCTTACCGGAGATTATTGTTAATAATTCTTTTTTAGCATTTCTTCGTGCACTTTGAGAACTCCTTTAGTCCGCCACTTCCTACAAGTCAACGTTTTATTGTTAGTGGCTGCTATGATGACGTCAGAAAGCTTAATCCATGATAATCTCCACGCTGACCATCTAGAGAAGAGCTTAATGCATGATAATCTACCCACCTATTCGTTATAAGAATGATGCATTATTTTCATCAAAGCATGTTAATTTAAAAGGCTGACATAATTCGGGCACATTTGATGAAACCCCCTGCATTTATTTCGGAAAAAAATTTAGCCCTCGTTGGGGAATTCTGAGTTCATAAATACTCCGTCGCAGGTTCCATATTTCCAGTTGAGGGAAAATTGTTGGACCTTCAACGTTGACTCCAGTGGTAAGTGGAATGTAAGATACTGTCTGTGACGCCTCCTGTTGCTTCAGTTTTGCTGCGAACTGTTCAAAAATATTGGCCTTCGAGCCGTCTCCGTCCCCTTGCCGTCCCCTTTCTTTAAGGGGGCGGGAGTTGACCCCCCGCCGCGGATGCTGTTCAGATGGTTCCTTCCTTGTTGACTAAAAACCTTGGACTTGAGAGTTCTGACGATCTCGCTGTCTGTGAGGCCAGAGGCCCGGTTGACTTGGACCGACTCGCGCTCGTTTTCGGGCAGGCGAGTCCGGCCCCGCCCGGTTTCGGCACGTGCGGAGCCCTTTCGGTGGGGCGGCATTGCGCGGTGGGTGGAAACATCACGTGCCAACGGGAGACCGGTTTCTACGATTTCGTTTTGCCCCGCTGGATGATCTGTGCGCTGACTTATCTTCGATAAGCTTCTCTTTCGATAACACGACTCACCGACTGCGTCGAGGCATAGCAGGTTTTGGGCGACACGAACCGTGGAAGAGAAAGTGGGGAAGATGGCTCACTGACTCTCTCTCGCTCCCTCTCTCTCTCTCTCTCAGTCTAGTTTAAGAAGAGGATGGTGGCTATAAGCTGGTGGAACAAATTCAACTGGACATCTCTCTTTTTCACTAGTTCATGGGGTGGGTTACCTGGCCGCCCTCCTGTCTCTGTCTGTCTGTCTCTCTCTCTCTCTCTGGCTCTCTGTCTTCATCTTCCCTCTTATGGTCCAGTGTCAGAGAAAGGGAAGGCGTCTTCCCTCTCTGATCTTTCTCCCTCGTCTGTCCTCGGGCCTGTCCCTGAAGAGGTATCTCGTCCTTCCCCTTTCTCGTGCCTGGGCAGATATGGTGCGGTGCCGGCCGGCCTTTTTTTACCATTAAATCCGCGTTACTCAATAGTTACCTTTGCCTGCGATAGGAAGACGACGAGGAGAACTCTCTCTCTCTCTCTCTCTCTCTCTCTCTCTCTCTCTCTCTCTCATATCGTGCGTGAGGTGGGTAAATGCGACAACAACCTCGCATCTCTCTCTCCCCGGACTGTCGTCAACACCATACCTTCCCCCCCTCTCTCTCGCTCTCTGGGTGGGTTGCCTGCTCCTCTCGCTCTCTCTTCTCCACTCAAGGCGGTGCAAAAGGAGAGGCCTATCCCCCATCTCTCTATCCCTCTGTCTCTCTCTTTCTCTTTCTCTCTCTCTCTCTCTCCCCTGGGCCAGAGGCCAAAGAAAGGTCAGTGCTGCACGGGGCCCTCGGCGGGTCCACGGGATTCGACTCTCCCTGAGAACGACCCTCTCCTCATCCACCCCAAACCAACGTCCGTCCCTGAGACCTAACCAACGGCGAAGTGATCCCACCTCTCTCTCTCTCTCTCTCTCTGGCCTCGCTCGCGGGAAATCGATTGCCCATCGGGTGCCATGGGAAGCCCGCGAGAAGTGAGGTTCGAATTTGTCGCACCGCAGAAAACAGCATCGCGGACTGCTGTGCGGGCGACAACAGTGAGCAAGTCAAAGACACGAGAGTGGAAGGCGGACTTCCTCCCCCCCCCGATGATTTGCCCCTCTCAAGGCGTTGACCGTATCCCACAGCTTCACAAAAGCGGTAACCATCAGTCCACCCGGGCACTCGCCGGACCAATGATCAGCTCCACTACCCCAACTCTCTCCGCCGCCCATCGATCCAGTGCACACCTGCAGATTCCTCTTCATGGCAGCGCCTTTCTCGGCCTTCTCTCGCCCACGAACAATCTAGGCCACCTTTTAATAATCTGCTCTTTTCAGTCATATTATGATAAAAAAGCTGATATTTTCTTCTTCGTTGACTCTTCCACAGCTCTCCTTTAGAGAGAGAAAAAGAGAGAGATCAATAGAACTAGATTATATTCCGTCCCACATAGATAGAGACCAGAAAAAAATAGTTAATTTTCGGGCCGGGGTCATTCTCCATACTCACATTTTTAGTAAAATAAAGCAGCAACTTGCCATAATTTTCATTATTTAGTTATGTCGTTATACATGACGATCCCCGGCGGCGCTGGCGGCGCCGGTGGCGGACGAGGAAAACCGGGATCCCAGTGTTCCCCGTTGCCGGCTAGCGGAGAGGCGTGATCACCTCCTCTTGATTTGACACGTGTCCTTATAGTAACTGGCCTACGCCGCAACGCCAGCCCCCACGTCGGTTTTACGGTCGGAATCACGATTGGGGGTAGTTGCGTCACATCGATGGAAATATCTTACGAATGGGTGTGGTTGTGGTCACCGCGGCCCGCGGTCGCGGTGAAACCGAGGCAGAGGTCTGGGGATAAGGTGCTTGTGTTAGATATGTAATTGTTGATATACTAAGGGGCTTTTATTTAAAAAAATAGTATTTCGGCGCTTTTCCTGCCTTATATATCAGGCCAAGGGAAGCTCTGTCATTAATGTTTCAGACCATCTTCTACTTTTGGTCTCTTTTCTGTGTACTTTTGGACTCCCCCTCCTCCGCCGCCGCCGGTGCCGCCGGCGCTCCCCCATCACCAACGCAATTCAGGCGTTTGATTGACTCGTCTGATGACAGAATGCAGGTCTCCAGGAGATTATTGTGGGAGGCAGAGCACGTGCCGCCGGCGCCGTCCCTGGAGCCCGCGGCGGCGGACTCCGACATCGTCGTCATCCTCGCCGCCCTGCTCTGCGCGCTGATCTGCGTCGTGGGCCTGGCCCTGGTGGCGCGCTGCGCCTGGCTCCGCCGCTCCGCCCATGGGGGACCTGCGGCACCGCCGAAGAAGGGCGTCAAGAAGAAGGTGCTCCGGTCGCTGCCCAAGCTCTCCTTCCACTCTGGCTTCACCGATCCCAAGTTCGCCGACTGCGCCATCTGCCTCGCCGAATTCGCCGACGGCGACGAGATCCGGGTCCTCCCGCAGTGCGGCCACGGGTTCCACGTCGCCTGCGTCGACGTATGGCTCGCTTCCCACTCCTCGTGCCCATCCTGCCGGCAGGTCCTGCTCGGGCCGTCGGCGCCTCCGCGGTGCCAGAATTGCGGCACCGCCCCCGCCCCCGCCCCCGCCGCGGCCCCCACTGCGTGTGCGCCGACAGCGGCGCCGCCGCCTGAGGCGCCGGCGCCCGCCAGACCGGCCCCCCAGGAGCACCAAGCGTCGGGCTCCAAATCCAGGGAGGATGACGGCGGCCACCGATATCTCCCCTAGCGCCCAGCTCCTCCAGGGCACAGCTCTCTCTTGTATATGCCTACTTGATTTTTCATCTAAGATGTAAGGTTCTAGCCGATCCAGATTCTCGTCTCCTCTGCATAATTTCCGGATCCGAAGAAGCTACCGACAGTTCGAGCATAAAACGCTGCCGGGTTTTCTCTGAAACCCAGAAAAATCATGTCTGAGACAGGCTGAGATTGTCACGCCTGCCGGACAGCGGAAACGATTCGGCTCCATGATTGTTGGGTTTCTTCGTTCACTCGATTATGTCTACTTCCCCGGCGAGGATCTCCCCGGCATGTAGATAAGTTAGGTCAGCACATCCGGGGAAGAGGAAACCGTCTGCTGTGAAGCAGATTGTGGTCACCATCTTCGCTCCCTTTCCCCCCACGGGAGGTAAGTAAGCTTGAAGATGGAGTAGTTGGAGCGGACAGTGACGACTAAACCAGTGTTTCTAGAGCTTCTGGGCTCTCTGGTTATTAAAGCATAGAACGAGGGCTTCCGGCTCAGGCACAGGAGGAACCCTCGCGTCTCCACGCATTCCGCTCATCGTTTTCGTGCCTGGGCACGCACGAGAAGCTTGACGTGGGCGGCAGGTGGGGACGGCACGGCACGGCACGGCACGGCGGAAACAACCGCCCCCGCCGCCGCGGCGGACGGTGCCGTGCAAGATTGCGCGCGCCAGCGGCGGCCACCGCCCCCCGCAGCTAGCAGCAACAAGAGAGGCAACCAACCGATGGCGTATCTCCCGGTGGAAGAGGACGACGAAGCTTACCCGAATGCGCAATGGGGCTTACGACCTGGATGAAACACCTTATAATAACGCCAGTCTCAAGAACATCAAGAACAGAAAAAACTGAAGAGGGGGAAGCTTTCTTATCTAGGATATGCTTCCTCTTCTTCAATGTTTCCATCTCCTCGATTTTCAGCTGTCCCCGTCGCTGTCTTCGCCGAACAGGACAGCCATCTTCATAGCCAGCTTCGCAGCCGCTTCTCTCCTCTGAAAGTCGGGCATCAGCCTCAGGTTTTCCCGCATGCTGCCGATCTCGGTCATCAGCTGCTCCAGATTCTCGAATGCAGGATGCTCATCCAGGCCAGATTCGTCGGCCTGGGAAGGCTCATCCACTACAGGATCTTCTTCATGGCCGGCACCCTCTAGAGCTGATCCATGGGCACTGGAAGATTCACCCTCTTCATGACCACAGTCAGGTGATTCTTCAACCTTCTTCCCCGTCGACGAAGAGCATTCCCTCGACCCGGTTGAAGCTCCCTGGTCATCAAATGAGACCCAGGAATAGCTGGCCCCGGCCCACTGATCATCGGAGCCAGCAGACAGGCGTTCATACTCGACTTCAAAATCGGACTCTTCATCTGAATGCTCTGGTGAGAGAGATCGAAGTAATTCCAGCAGTGAGAAACACAAACGTGGATGAAAAGAATCCATGGGAATGGCAAAAGAGGGGGTGGGGGGTTGACTGTCGCCACCTGTTTCACTGAGGGATGGCTTCAGTATCTTCTCTCCAGACTTGAGAACCATTCCGGGCCACATATGGGCAGAGAGAGCTCCACGGATTCGCTCTACTCCTTGGATATCTCCATCAGCTGATAAACCTGTCGAGAAGCATGATTTAGCAAAGTGGCGGACACACAGGAGTCTTCTAACTGAAGCACAAGAAGCATGACTGAAGAACGTGGCAGAAATAGTCAACCCATCATAACATCCGACTGCATGCTGGGAATGAAAGAAAGTCTGTTTCATGAGCTAATTATTTAGGCTGTAATGAACAAAAATAAACAAGGAAGAGGGCACTCGTATGCAGATTCCACCTTCAGGAAATCCAAAAAAGACAGCCGCTCATGATCACCTTTGAGATTAGATCGATTGATCGGACTTACATTTATCAAAGTCAGCGTTTGAGGCGCACGCTTCTATGAATTCTATATTATATCGGCTACACCACTCCATGTATGACTTCCTGATCTCTGAGGATGGTTCTTCCTCACCCAACAGGCTGCTGCCCTCGGTCTCAGAGATCCCGTAGTCTAGGAACTCTGGCTGGGGTTCATAAGCTGACTCTCTCTGCTTCTGCAGCTGCCTTCTGTACTCCACGTGGGCAAGGTGACCAGGCAGAAGATCGGCCTTGTTTCCAACGCATAGCAGTATCTCGAATTCCTGCAGGTCAACCCCTGAAACCCAATTCTGGAGGGCGACAAATGATGATGCCTGAAGAAAGAAGCGATTCAAGATATTTTTATCATCATCGTTCAAGAGTGCCCCTCCTTCATCGGGCTTCTGCAGCAAGATGAGGATGAGGGTGAAAGAAAGCGCCTGATGCTCACATCGTTCATGTCGAAGACCATCACCAAGGCCGTGAGCTGGTCAGAAGCTTGCAGCATCCCAAAGGAGAAATGCCCATCGAGTTGGGCAGTCCATATGCAAATATCGGCAGAGTAATACTTCGTATCAATAGTCCACCTGCCAGACTATTGGAATCATACCCGCACCCGTACTCCCGGCAGAACGATCGATGCAGAATCACCAGAAATAATTCGTCCCCGAAGAGTTACTCACCCATGGCGGAGAACTCCGGCGAGCGAGTCGGATTCATCTGAGAGGTCGATCGAAAGCAACCCTATAATCAATGGAAGAATTAGATCGAGTCACGAAAACTGCAGATGAGATTGTTGTCAAGCAAACGAAGACGGATGAGGCATCTCTCGAGAGGATGAGGGTTTCTCAAAAGTTAAACAGAGGATCGATGAACAGATTTCAGAGCGATTTTTTCATAGCCTTCAACCCACTCCAGGCGGGAGACCCAGAGGAGCCCAACGATCTGCAGGTCGCATCAGGAAACGGCGACGAATTGTTCATAGAATTCATCGATCGAAGTAAAAGTATTTCTAGGGGGATCACTAACGGGAGAGGAGCGTCCTCTTGCCGACGTTCGGGGATCCAACGAGGAAGACTCCCGGCCTGTTCTCCAGCGGAACCGGCAGCCTCGTCCGTTCCGCTCCCGCCACCCCGCTTGACAGATCCTCAGGATCCATTTCCCTCCCCATCGATGCGATCGTCCGACCGATGGAGCTAACCAGCAGAAAAAACCGAGCTCCCGCCCTAAGCCGAGGTAGACGAGACAGGCGACGACAGCGAGCAGGGTCAAACCTAGGATAAATTGGGCCCCCATCTGCTTCTTATTAGGCCGAAAACTTGTTCGCCAATCTTGCTAATGTTGGGCCAACAGAAGTAGCCGGTCAGCCCAAGGAGCAGTGTCCTCCTGGCGGAGCGGCGGCGGCGGCGGCGGCGGCGCCACCAGCACGGCGTCTCGTTCGTTCTGAAATCTACGAAAATGATTCTGAAGATTGATTCCGCGAAGCGAAGTTACGTCGTCTTCTTCGGGTCATCATTGAATCACTTTTATCTAGTTCGTCGGCTGAACCCTACCGACCTGTCGATGATCGTCCTCACATATGCAGAGGAGAGATGAAGGAGAAGAGAAGCAGGCAGGAGAGGCCAACCGGAGAAGCTCAGGGAGATCGCCATTGGAAACCTGGGGAAACCCCGGCCTTCCCGCACCCTTCCCAGCACTACAAAGCTTTTCCTTTCAGTGTCTCCAGATACCCTGCGTCGCTCCTCTTCTTCATGGCTTCAAGGGAGCCTCGGTACTTCATTATCTTCAACCCGTCAAGGCAGATGACTTTGGAAAGTTTCAATTCTGACGCTGCTCTGTGTCCCAAGAACAGACGAGGAAATATTTGAAAACCAGACGGGCAGATCAAGAACCGTGTTCTTCATCCTCACCCGGTGCTCGTAGTCTCCAGGGGCCTCATGGCTGCCCCGAAAGAAGCTTCCCATCATAACTGTGGAAACCCCCAGCACCATGGCTATGAAGAAACCACGCCGTTGCAGTGGACGATGCCAACGCCTTCGAGAGCGGCCATGGAGGCCTCGGCGAGGGCGTCGGCCGAGAAGTCGATGTAGTGCAGTAGTCGGCGAGGAACCTCTCTCTCCGGCGGGGACCTCACCCGGGGAAGGTGACTGTTCTTATTTAGGGTTTAGATGGCTCACAGCGTCTCGCTTGCATACAACTAAAAATCATCGGGCATATGATACAGAAAAAACCGTCATTTTCCTCGCAAAGCTGTTTTTTTTGGTAAAGCTTTGTGAAGAAAATATGATAAATGATGCCCCAAGTTTTCAGCTTTTAAAACCATGGGAACGCACCCAGATCTCCGAAGAGCTCCGACATTCTTTATGCATCCATCTCTCATCCCCCGTCTAAAAAGGGAAGAAGAACAAGAAGAAGAAGAAGAAGAAGAAGAAGAAGAAGACGAAGAAGAAGAAATGGAGGGAGAAATATGAGCATACTCTGTACATCTCACTGCTCACGGGAAGATGGGGGAATCTCTCATGCTCATGTTGATGCTGTTCCTCATAGTTCGCCTGCCGATCCCCATGTTGCTTCCCTTCTGCATCATGGCCACAAACTCGCCGTAGTCGATGCGGCCATCCTGAACCAGGAGAATAAGTCAACGAATGCATCGGTCAAACAATAAGTAGGGTCTAAACTGAAGATAGTCAACTAAAGAGTCAGTCGATTAATCGATCACCCACGTTATCCTGATCCACCTCCTTGATCACGTCCTCCAGGAAGGCGTCTGTCATGTTATGCTCCTTGCATGCCTGCTGGAGCTCGTCCACTGTGATGTAGCCGCTGCCGTCCTTGTCGAAGTAGGAGAAGGCGGCGACCAGATGCTCCTCCCGCTCCAGCTTGTTGATGTGCAACGTGGCGGCGATGAATTCCCCGTAGTCGATCGTCCCGCTGTTGTCCACGTCGGCCTGAAGAAACCCACCAGATAAAGAAACTCCACAAACATGGGAAGAAAAAACCTATATGCATGAGGATGGACTCACTGCATGCATGAGGTCGCGGATCTCTGATTCTTTCATGGTGGAACCGTATCTCCTGAGGCCGGCCTTGAGCTCGTCGAAGGTGATGGCGCCGCTGCTGTCTGTGTCCATCGCCTGGAACATCTCCCTCAGACCGGCGATTTCCTCCTCCGAGAGGCTGTCGGCAATAACCTAGACACAAGGATAAGAATGAACAGTGGGCGCAGAAAGAAGAAGACTGATCTGATCGAACTGGGAACTGAGAAGAAGAGTCATCTACGGAGAAGCAAGATCGAGGGGCTTACTCTCAGAGCCATCTTCTTCAACCTGTTCATCGCGGAGAACTGTTTGAGCCGAGAGAGGATCGCTGGATCCAGGGCTCTGTCGGGGGCGACTCCATTCTCACAAATCCACGGATGGCCTGAAGAACAGGAGGAAACCAGATCTCACATGAACTCCGACGGGTTGTCAAGACAGATTCGGAGCTGGAGAAGAGAAAGGTGGGCGGGCAGACTTACAGAGGACTTCGTGGGCTTTCAGTCGTTCAGAGGGGCGAGGGCAGAGCATCTTCCTGATGAGATCTTTGGCGCTGGCGGAGATTAAAGGCCATGGATCTGACTCAAAGTCAATGTATCCCTTGAGAACTGCGTCAAATATCCCCTGCTGGGTCTCTGGCAGAAGAGATAAATAAATAAATAAATAAATAAATAAAATTTAGCCCAGAGGAGGTCATCTAGATTGTCTTATGATTACATTAAGTACATTAAAAATGGTGGGGGGGAAAATGCGTACCGGCCCAGAAAGGGGGAACACCGCTCAGCAGTATATAGACTATGACGCCGGCCGTCCAAACGTCGGCCTCCGGCCCGTAGTGCTTGCACAGGACCTCAGGAGCAACATAATATGGGCTTCCCACGACGTCGTTGAAGGTCTGGCCTGCAGTAAATGGGCACAATTCGTTCAGATATAGACGCAAAGAATCGGAGATGCATGTTTTGGAGCTGGGAGTTGCTGCACTGAAAGGCAGAGAATTGATCGATCTGGAGGCCTAATCGACAGAAGAGAAGAAAGTGAAAAAAAGAAGGCTCGGAGCTGAATAGTGATTCATGGGAGAGCCCGTGATCGTGTTATCTCTTCGATGCAATGGTTAATGGGAATCAAACTTCCTGTCGAGCAATGGGATTCCGGGTCATGGAGCATAGTGAACAGGGTCACAGTTCTTCCGTGCTCAAGTCAACGGAATAAGGTTTCTCACAGGAGAGAGATGGATAACACTCGTGGAGGGATAACTACGACAGGCATCGTTTCCCGCGATTTGCACGATGATCCGGGTCATCTTCACACTTCATCGCTCAGAGCTGTGCAGAAGGGGCGATCTATTGAGGGAGATGGAGAGGTCAGGATGATATGCTGCGTTCGAAACGAGAACAGAGGCTGAACGGATAGAAGAACTGGGGAACTCGGCGGGGGAACAGAAGAAAGCTTGAATCTACGAATTTCAATACCAGGTTTGAAGAAAACCGAGAGCCCAAAGTCTATGGCCTTGAGGGAGGAGTCGTCGTCCTTGTTGACCAGCAAGAAATTCTCGGGCTTCAGGTCCCTGTGCATGACGCCGAGCGAGTGGCAGGCCTCCACAACTCCGACGATGATCTTGGTGAGCTCCGCCGCCTTCCTCTCGCTGTAGTGGCCCCTCTGTATGATCCTGTCGAAGAGCTCTCCGCCCGCGCAGAGCTCCATGACGATGTGAACGTAGAGGGCATCCTCGTACGCGCCCTTGATGGTGACCACGTTCTTGTGCCCGGAGAGGTGATGCATTATCTGGATCTCCCTCCGCACATCGTCGACGTCCTCCTTGGAGATGAGCTTCCTCTTGGAGATGGATTTGCAGGCGTACTCGATCCCCGTGGAGATCTCCCTGCAGTAAAACGTCGTGCCGAATTGCCCCTGTCCGAGCGTCCGGCCGAGGACGTACAGGTCCCGGATGTTGGCCGTCTGGTGCCCGAGCACCGAAGAGGAATGGGGGTCAACGCTGCGTTTCATGGTGGGGCTCACCACGGAAGGGATGAGGTTGCTCTTGTGGCCGTCTGCCACCGCCTCGAAGGGAGCCACCGTCTCGGGGCGAGACGCCGCCACGCTGGTGCGTAACTGGTTGTCGGAGGAGTGGCGGCGGCGCTTAGGCGGCGACGAGCTTTCCCTCGGTTCCGCGTACCCCTGAAAGTTCTTGCTGCCGAATGAGCCACGGCATGTATTGCCCATCAACGGACAGCAGGCCCCGGCAGGAACCGCGCATCGATCGGCGGCGGTCGCCGGAGATATGAGGGGAGGGGGGAGGGGGGGGGAGATCTCGGATTCACTGTCAAACCCGCGAGGAAACCTGCTCGAAGGGGGCTTTTCAACGATCCAATCGGCCTCTCCGCCGACGATTTGCCCGGTGAAGGATACTGAGGACGAAAGAACAGGAAGATCAGGAGAGGAATTCGGGGGAGGAACGATCAGGAGGCCAAAAAGATGGGACTGGAAGGGCAGAGCGGGGATTTGAAGCTGTCTGGATTTCCCGCAGGTGGGAAAAGGGGATCGTTCATGACGACTTCCCCTCCCCCTCGTCAAGCCCGGAGAGGGAGACCAGGTCCCATTCGCTTTCCTTCTCCCCCGTTCTACAATCCATCAACATCTACGCGGCGGCGGAGGACCAAACAAAATCCGGTTCGTTCATCTAATCGCGATCTCTATTTCCACCCACTCTCCTTAATCTCCCCCCTCCCCTGCTCTCGTCGGCAGCACGCGAGGAGGTCTGTCCGAAGAGTGAGAATATCACCCCCACGCGGTTTCGACGGCTGCCCGGTGAACCGTGGCCGTTGGCCGGGGGGGAGGACGGCCGCGCATTTAGGGGACCCGACGGAGGACAGGCGGTGAGAGAGGAGATTAAGGAAGCCCACCAAGAGGACACTGTTGACTCCGTCCACCAATGTTCGAGAGTTGACTTCTCAGCCATGTGAACCGGGATCCCCGCCCTCATTCAGCATGACGTGCCATCGCGGGTGGCCCGCCGGCGACGGACCCATGATGTACGCCACGCGGACCGAAGTTGTCACTGCTCTCGCTTGGGGTTGCGTGAGGATTAAGTCGACACGTATTTTCCACAGCGTTGACCTGCGAGGAGTACAAAGAGGAACAGAAAGCCACTTTGGCCGTTGGAGGTTGCCACTTGGCAACTTTTTGGCTCAGTTGAGTCGACTGCTGCGTGCTTAAGAGTGGCCGATTGCCTTCCGCCGTTTATTAGGTGTAAAATAGTGGGAAAAATGTTTCCGGATATCAATGGGAAATCATTTGTGAATAATATTTTATAAATATTTCCCACATTATTTAAAATCTAAGCTGCCAGAGCCCGAGAGGAGAGAGAGAAACTGCATGATTGGTAAAGTTATAATTTTTTTATTACAAGTTGCAGTTTCTTTACTAACAAATAAATTATTGGGACCTTTATATATCCCCGATTGAGTTCAAGTGTTGTGGGGATAGACTATAACGTTCTCTCACAAAGATGCACACAAAGTATCTCTCTCTCTCCCCTCCCTCTCTCTCTCTCTCTCTCTCCTCTCTCTCTCTCTCTCCCTCCCTCTCTCTCTCTCCCTCTCCCTCCCTCCCTCCCCCTCTCTCTCTCTCTCCCTCCCTCCCTCCCTCCCTCTCTCTACACACATACGCACACACGTGTGCGCACCCATAATGGAAGGCATGAGGTGATATATGATTGAGGTTCACGATTGGTCGCCTACCAAACCTTAGCTTCCACACACTTAAGTCTCGTCAAAGACTATGATTACACCAATGAGTGCAACATTATATCCCATGTGGTAAATGAAATGTGTTTATTGCATAGTGCTCGTTGAGGTAATTTTGGATCAAGTCCTTATATTTCAATAAGTAGATCTGGCGATAATCCTCAAGAACATGAGACTTGTTAGTGAAATTTTGATTGCTCTAATGAGTTCAAACGTTTGGCAGCCTCAACAAAAGACAAATTCCATATTGTTTCATCAACTATTGTCTAATCATAGGTTTGAAAAACAATTATCTTGTTGTCAAACTCTAGTAGAGGTTATTAGAGAATTATGTGATGTTCAATGGGTTGACTTAGTTGTTTTGATTGGTAGTCACAAAACTCTAGCATGTCACTGATTTAGTTCATAGGTAAATAATATATTGAAAATTTCAATTGGGTGTCCATTTGTTTAAAGAGGGTTGTTTATACACAGCATGTGAACATTATATTTTGTTCACTAATAACATTACATGGTAAGTCCCATAATTTTACAATGTGGTTCATAGAGAAATATGACACCTTTGTTGCAAAGTTGTCTACACACATGAGTATTAACACCATTGTATTTAGAGAAATAGTCAACCGATGATAAGGACCATATCATCTCTTCTAATACTCGACAAGGTTGACTAAGGATTGACATTAATTATGTGATACATATTGACTTTGTGGTTGTTGCCTAGTCTTCGATGGCATGCTAGACAATTCTAGATGCATCCTTCAACATCTTAACTCATACTGAGCTAATATAAGTTGTCAATAACATCATTGTACACTTTTTATGTGGGTTGTTAGACATGTGACATATCATTTACCTAACTTAGCAATCATTCCCATAACTTGTCATGCATTAAGAAATAATTTTTTCTATCATTGAGCTTTTAGCTATTATAAGTAATAGATTATATAAATTTATTTAGTACACTATTCTAGCACACCCAATAATTATATTAAGTTTAATGTTAGAACAACTCTTCTCATGATATGTCTGTCTTATATCATGACAATATCAATAGATATGATCCAACTCCACATTAGTGAGTTGTCTTAATCAATAACAATGGCCATATTCAGCCCTCATTAGCGTTATTTCCACCACTACCCACAAATTTTTAGCATTTTTTCTTGCCATTGGAGTATTTTTTAATGGTTATCTTTATTGCCACCCTTTTGGTTTTACCCTTTTGCCATTCCTCATCTCAATCATAGATTCAAACTTAGGATTGATGATAGTTTAATTATGTAATAACATATATTGGCTTGTGCCAAATTAAATAAAACATTAATTTGAATATTTTTTCATATATATAGATATATATCCAGATTTCTTCACAAAAATAAGTCTCATAAGTTGATGCAAGGTCTGACCTCATGCGGAATAGAACTAAAGCAACCCAATGGTTCGATGTCGGTCCAGAGCTGGAAGTTCGCGTTGCTATCGGGTTTCGATACCCGATAGAGGAGATCCAGTCCGGCCAGAGTGGGGCCATTTGGCCTAGTCTCGACGGGCTTCCTCTCGCGGAAGGCGGCCGGAGGAGGGGGAACATCTGCAGGGCGATCCCGCGCAGGGAGGGAGTAAGGAAGGGAAGGGAAGGGACGGGAAGGGCGGAAGATGGCGTTTCCTTTCTTGGGTCTGCTGAGGGGAGAACCGCTGGTGTCGAAGCTGGCAGCGGTGGCGCAGTTTGTTGTCTACCCGTCGGTCATGGTCGCTTACTGTGTGTACGTCCCCGAAGAGCCGCTTACTTCGAGGACCACGGCGGCCGCTTCAGCGAGCGAAGCCGATAAGTAGGAGGTCCATGGGCACTCGAGATGCTGCCAGTATCATTGGCCTATTTCCAGGTTTTCCTCCTAGCTTCCTCGCTTTTCTCAATTGTCGTTCTTCGGCTAGGGTTTGATTTAACTTTCTGGGGGGTGAAAACTCGGTTTTCTAAAAATTTAGAAAGTGCTTCTTAATTTCCGCATCTGTAGTCAATCGATCCCTCTTGATTGTGAAATTCTAGGCCTGGCCGGTGAAATGTCGCAGTACATTCAGTCGTCGATTAAACTCGCGTCCATAGTTGTTTTTCGGACCAAGGGGTTTCATAATCGGGTATTTGAGGGAGTTGTGCTCGCCGGAGGCGAGTATTACTAGAAAATCCTGGGGAACTACTGATGTATCTACTCGCCTTGGTTATGCGAGCATAAGATTCGGATGACAGTATCCATCTATCCGGCTCAAGATTATTATAGATCATCGCTCTTTGAATAACGATGGGAAATGTGGATGAAAGAAGTATCCATAAGGAAAAATCAGAAGAACAGACAGATCTGTACCCAGAATAGCACGGCTTACAATTTTTTTCCAGTAGATGAATGATCTAGGCTGGACAAGGCATGCATTGACAAGGCATACTACCTAATTGGTGGAAAATTTAAATAATTATAGGAGCGTTCACTTGGAATGGAATAATTATGTATCTGTGTCCTAGATAAATAGGTGGCCTGAGTTAATTTTATTCAATGTAGTTATGGGGACCAGAAGATGCAATCCAAAAGAGAATTTGTCTGAAAAGGTGGGGCATGATTTCTCGACTTAGTGCCCTCGCAAGAATCTCTGATTGACGCATGCCAGCAGGTCTCATTTAGAAATCTGGATTCTCCAAAAGACAAATCGCAGCATTTTCTTGGTGATTTATCTCTTCTAACACAAAGTCGGAGCTCTCTTAAGAGGACATCGGCATTGCGAGAAACGTCTTTGAACATAGATCCCTTCAGTTTTTGTATCTTGCAATTTTATTTCCTCCCTCTCGTCACTGCATGTAAGAAACCCAGTTCACCCAGAGCAACCCCATTCAGTCCCAAGTGATTTTGAAGAACTGGTCAGCGGATTATTTTTTGTGGTAGCTGTGTCATGGAATGGCGTTACGTGCTGTTTATAGAATTTGGGAATGCCCAAGAACACGTCCAGACTCTGGCCAATTCAGTAGCGAGAAGGGGACACGTAAATGATGTTCAGTGTTTAAAAAAAAAAAAAAAAGAAATCCAAGAAGGACGTTGGCTTGCTCGTAGGGAAGTGAGAGTAGTAGTTAGTCAGGAGTCAGGGGATGTACTGTAACACCTTAAAGGACACTCGAGGGGGGTCGAATATGGCAGCCACTCTAGGTATAAAGGCCATGCTCCTCGAGGCCATAGAAACCTGGATGGAAGTGTTGATAATCTCTTTTAAAAGATGGTCCACGGCTGAGAATTCGGGATTCCATTGGATTAATTGATGGTAAAAAAATCAGAACGCTTTTAAAACGATTAAGAATGGTGATTTCTAAATTGTTCTTGTTGCATATGTCTAAATTCCTTGATATTTTTCTATTTACCTTCTCCACATTGATCTTGGCAAGCCTCGTGCAGATATCTGCTGCTGCTACTTTCTTTTGTTTCAGGAAGGGTTTTCTGCGTGTGTTACTTCTCTTACCAACGCACAGTCGACTGTCAGTTTTCGCTGTATTTATGTCGTTCATACACTTTTCACAATGCTCTGCATTAATGGAGACCAATCCTAAGAATCTCTGCTGTGCCCATCGTTTGCCATCCCTCATCATATTCACTGGCACGTCCGAAGAACCATGGCCACGTTGAAAGAGACCATCTGCTCGCATTCTATGGCCTCCCTGTTTGTAATAATGACCATCGTAAAACTCACCGCGATGAGATTGTGTTGCAGGAATCGCTGGTAGAGCTCGAGGATCTCTCTCTCAATGGGCGGCTTGCCGTTTTGCAATAATCGGATTCCTCTTTGATGTTCCTTTCAATGGCCGTTGTGCGTGCCCCTCGTGTACTTGATCGTTCACAACCTCTGTCTGACATAACTGAGAAGCATGGGGGCTGCTCTGCTCCCCCCCCCTGCTGCTGCGGATTTCGTCAGAAAAAGGAGAACATCTTCTTCTTTCTTTCAAAACCTGTTTCGTCATGTCTCTCTGCTCTCTCTCTCTCTCTCTCTCTATCTATCTAATCTCTCTCTTAATCGTGCTCGTAGTGCACACAGCTCACTCTCGGTCGGTGTTTCGACCCACGTCAGGATATCACGTGGTGGGATGCCAAGTAGGGACGGTCGAACGCGGAGAGTAGCTTGGTATGTACGTTGGGCCCAGAAGCCCAGTTGGTGATTTTCCATGGGCCAGATGGGCCGTACCAAGGTCGCCGGACAAAATCAAGGGCAACGGTAGATCCATGTCTATATCGATACTATGCACGACGTGTATAGTATCGATTTTAAAAAAGGAATATCTCTAGAGAGCTCAGACGTGCATCGTATTTCTTCCGGGATTCGGAGAGAAGGCGGCGGAACCCATCTGCCACCTGATGCAGTCTCTTCACTGCTCTGGCCCATGCAGGTCTCGAACCTGCGACCTTCGCGTTATTAGCACGACGCTCTAACCAGCTGAGCTAATAGGCCATTTTGAAATATTTATTTATTTATTTTAGTTAACACTTAATTATTTTATTTTTTATTTTCCTCATTTTCATCCTTTGCTTATGTTTTTATTTTCTTCCTAATTTATTTCTAGAATCTCATAATTTTTTATATTTATTCCTTATTTCCACTTTGTTGATGCATTTCACCCTTTTTTTTCCTGTGTAGGTTTTTCCCAGCTTCTTAAATTTTCTTGTATTCTTTCTGGAGTTATTTTTCATTGATTAGTTTTCCGTGTGTTCCCAGTTTCATCGTTTCCCTCTTCATTTTATTCAGCTCTTCTTTTTCTCCTTTATTTTTCTGTCCCTCGTCACTTTTTTCTTCAATTTAATTGGCTTTATTCTTTCCTTTAATTCATTCTCGTGTGCTTCGTTTCATCCGTTGATTTCTACTCCTTTTCTTAATTTTTTTCATTAAATTCCTTTTTTTTTTTTAAAAAGGTTGTGGGCTGGTTCTTTACCAGGCGACTTGCTTTTTCTTCCTCAAGAATCGTTGCTCTTGAAGAGCAAAGAGTGTTCGTCATCAATGGCGATTGGATTGATGTGAAAGCAATGGTTCCTCGCACAGAGCCAAAGTGAAGAGCGTTCAGCGATATAAAAGTGATTCTTTGGGGGGCTAGGAATTGGGCTTCGACTTCTCCTCAGAAGAACCAGCAGCGAGCGATCCTGCAAAGTCCCGCCGCTCGTCGGAGGAGGCGGTGATGACCGGCATCCACACGTCCGCCGTGCTGCTCAGCAGAGACTGCACTTGTGGGTCGGCGGCCATGGCCGACGATATCATCTCGTCCACATCGTCCAACTTGGCGGACAACTTGTCCAGTTCCTTTGCAATTTCATTCTGCGGCCGCGAAGGGAAGCGATTGGGATCAGGAGGAGCAAAGGCGCGAGGGATGGACTGAAGATGCATGACAAGGAAGAACATACCTCGTCGAGGGGCTCCGTGAGCTTGGGCGGCAGCTTAGTTACTTCTAATCCGAGAGCCTTTATTTTCTCGCGCAGCTCGACTTCCTCCTGGTTGGTCAGGGACTCCACCTGCGGACGGAAATGGCGTGAAGAAGAGAGATCAGACAACTGCAATGGGGGTAAAGAAGGTCGCAGAGGACGATGATCTCCGCGCCACCATTGCCGCTCACCACACAGAGGCCATTCTTTCCGGCTCATATGCCAGAGAGAGAAGAAAGTGAAGAACCCTCCTGGGCATGAATATGAGGCGGGAAAACCAAATGCAACATGAATATGAGGGTATTCCGCACACTGGGCATGATCATACTAGTTCTGATCAACACATATCTGGGATGGTAGACCACTAAGACGAGTCAGTAATCTAGTCAAGGATCATCGAACATCACGATTGATCATGTGTGACACATGATCTCGGAAGAAGAGCCACGAGATTGGTACCCAAGCTAAATTAAGTGGGGCATTCCAAGTTCCTCTCTTAATCCCCATTCATTTAGAAAACAAAAGACCTCAAAGTCAAGTCAGACAAAGAAGAAAAAGTCAACGGCTTGGCTTATTCTCTGCAAGCGCGTTATTGCCTTTTTGGGTCTCCTAAGAACAACAGCGCGAAGAACTTCATCAACTACTTGACCAAAGACGAGCAGCCTTCGGACAGTCGCTTTGTCGCCAACATAACATCAATATCATAGGTTTCTAGGAGGACTCCAATCGATTGGAGGGTTCATTGCAGAAGGAGAAAGTGTTCTTCTGAGCAGATGTTTGAGCCTGCAAGTAAGACGGCAGAATCCCTTCTGAAGCGACAACAGCATCCCTCTAGGTTTAAATTTTCAAGTATAAAACTCACATCATAACATAATCAAATATCTGCCCACTCAGCTTCTCATAATTATCTGAGATTTTTCTTCCTCATGGAACAAAATCGATCATAAATACATCTATCTAATAACAATAGGAACGGCCTCAACATAATCCATCTAGCATGAATAGAAGATCTACCAATCTATCGACGGAAAGATAGTACTGAAAGAGCATGATCAAATTGATGCACTGATTAATTGTCGTTAATCTTGTCAGATTAAGGAAGCAACCCGCCAGATCAAAAAAAATTGAGGAAATCATTCGGGCAAAAATATATACCAAAAATGTCAGAGATGAAGTCCATTCAAGCGTTTCAGAATGCTAGATACCAAGTGAAAACTCCCAGAAATGAGAAATAGAGAATCTGTTTTGGTGATATATGCGCTTCAAACCAGGCCACCACCACTAGTAAGGTCATTTCATGCCTAAGGCAGTGGTATTGATCTACTCTTCTGAGACGGAATCAGTGACCACGAGGGCAAAGCCGAGGATAGTCAACCCCTGATGCAAGGATATCCTCATCTACGTACTTTTTCAAGATAGGAAAGCTAGAGGAAGCATTTGACCAACGAATATCAGACTGCACCAGAAGAGAAGTCCTCTCTTCTGGTGAATCGTTAATAAATCTACAAGGCGATCAAGGAAGACGAACGGAACAGAAGTTTCTGAAGGATGGGAGAAGAGAAATTAGGTCAAATAGGGATCAGAAAGCCCAATCAAAGGCGGTTCCCTCAAGCGGGGAGACAAACCCAGTTCACCCATCGTTGCAGCTACCCCCCTGCAACAATCAGATAAAGGACAGCCGATTCTGGGAGGAGACCCGGAAATGGCACACCTCCTCAAACCACGGGATCGTCAAAAAGCTCGGGAGCACCATCGCCGAATTGGAGACGCGTCTGCCGACAGATCAAGTCCGCACCTCTACAGAGGCGGGGCGTCGTGGAGGTAAGGAAGATAGGAGACGATTGTCACCGGGCCCTCACCTCTTCCAGGAGATCTGTCAGCAACTGGAACAGCTGAGCGTCCGGCTTCCCTCCTTCCGCCATTCCTTCCCCTCCTCCCTACGGCTCGATCAGCGTTCCCCAACGAAGACCTTATGCTCCCTCTGCCGGATCCCCAGCTCGAGACGACGCGTGCAGTAATCAGCCCCCTCCTCTCAAACCCATCTGGACCGCTCCCCCATACCCGATCTGGTTCATCCCCAACTCTCCAGCAACGCAATCATCGGAGGCCGCTCTGCGCCAACCGTGGGAAGACGACCCCAGTCCGTTTACCCGCTCTTCGTACCTTGGTCAGCTTTATGACCTTGATAAAAAAATGCTAATCGCCTTCTTAATCATCACATTATACCCTACTGCCACGAGATTAGCAGGCAATCCGCTCCAACATCTGTCAGTTCGACCTAAGTTGACTCCGCAGTCATCTGGGCCGAGGAGTTGACTTCCTACTTCCGATCGAACTCATTAGCGTAGATTTTAGCAAAGTGGAGTGTATAATGTGGCATTTACGCTCGTTGACTTCCATGGCCCATCTTCGGGTACTGTCGAGAGAGGATCATCTGCGGCGATCATTACTAGAGAAAATAAAACATATATCCGAAATATGCTACGTCCAAACAGGCGGCAAAAATAAAAATTCTGAAAAATGAAAATTATTCGGGAGAAAGCGAAGAAATCAGGTTTTTTTGGGTTAACCCAGATGCCGAAGATCGTCGTCGACAACAACGACATGCCGTTCGGAGCCGATCTCCGAGGATCTGGGAAAGACGGAGGCTACAGATCATTCTCACGAGAGGCCAGATTGAACGGAATCAGGTTCCTTGGTACTGAAGAGCTATGTACAGGACCAGAAAGGAGAAAATGGTGGGGTGGGAGAGCTCGATCGATCGGGTCAATCTGCTGTGCTCTTCCTCGATGACACCTCGTCGCCGCCGTCGTCTTCCGCGGCTGTTTCGTTGAGTCTGGAGTTGTTGCTGCTGCTGTGGTCGTGGTGGATGCTCTCCTGTCCTCTGCGCCGCGTCTCCAGCCGCCGTAGCCTCCTGCTCAGATCCCTCATCTCCCTCTCCATCAGGAAGAGCCTCTCCTTCAGTGTGAGGTTCTCCTCCTCCAGATGGGAGATCTGCGCGTCGTGGTCGTCCATCCTGTTCCCCGAGAGATACGCCGGCGCAATCCGCTCGTCGCCGAGGTGCGGGTACACCATCACGAACCTGCTCAGATCATGATCCAGCCGCCGCTCCACCTCGACGTGCTCCTCCACATCGCTGCCGCTCGATCCCTCCTCTGCATCGTCGTCGTCTTCTCCTCTGATATCGTTTCCTGTGGGCGATCGGAGCCTGATAAACCCTTTCATGGATCCATACCCGTCGACGCCCCACTCCTCCTTGGCCATGTCCACCAGGAACTCTCTGGAAGGGGAGAGCTGGGGGGTCGGGAGTATCGCAGGGGTCACAGGGCAGGGGGAGACGAGGGACGCGATTCCGCCGGCCTTCTTTGCACGAATGAGGAACGAGGTGGTGTTCAGCGGGGCGAAGGGGGCGAATCGAGGGAACTTCTTCTTGGGGTAGAACCTACGAAATCTCGCATGGTTCTGGAACTGCGGATCGTTCAGACTCGTCGGCCTACTGCCGGACATGCCGGCGCCCGGGGCACCACCCGCTTCACCGGCGACGGCAGCCGCTGCCGCAGCTTCGGCTGCCTTCTTCCGCTTACCCACTGCCTTCTTGCTCTTCCAATTCACCCTACCAGCAGGATTGGGGCCGGCGGCGAAGAACACCGGCCTAGGTCTCCCAAGGCTCATCGGATCGTCCACCGCGCCAGGCGGGGGGATCGGCGGCGGCCAGATTCCATAGTTCCCGTTCATCATCTGCGACGGATCATTCATTAGATCAGCAAGAAACAAATCAGAATAACAAAACCCCCTTCTCTCTGCAACGAAAAATCCGTGCGATCAGGCGATGAGGGATCTAGGTTTCCCCCCGGCTAGGGATTAATCAACAGCAGAAGAAACCGTATCCTTCACCCAGGGCCCCACGCGGAGAGCAAATCCAAAACAGGAGGAAAAAAAAAAGAGCAGGGTAGACGACGGCGCCGCCGCGCGCCTCCGAAGACGGATATCTTCTGCCGCCGCTCGTCTGGCCGGAAGGGTAAGCTCGACTCAGAACCCAGCCGAAGCCACGGAAAAGCGAGCTATTTATAGAGCAGAAAACGCTCCTCTCTCTCTCTCCTCGATGACCGTGATTCGATCAGCGGACGGCTACGATGGGGCCACCTGTCCGCCGGTTCCCCCGCCATCCTAAACCCCAATTAGACCAAGTTTTAACTTAGATAATATGCTGCTTATACAGATTAACCAGCCGTTATGTAGATGGGTTGACTTTTTCAGGCGGGAGGAAGGGCTCCTCCTTCCCGGTCCCTTTTATTTGCTTCGTGGCTGCGACCTGCACCGCGCTAGGCGTAGCCGCAGAGGCCGCCAGTGCAACTCTCGTCGTGCCGACAGGCCTTCCCGCACCGTCCGCAGTTGCGTCGGTCGCTCCGCACGTTGGCGCAGGCGCCGCCGCAGCACCTCATCCCCAGGCCGCACTTGCGCCCGCAGGCGCCGCAGTTGAGCCGGTCGCCGGAGAGGTCGCGGCAGTAGAGCCCAAAGCAGCAGACATGGCGAGGCGACACCGCACTGCATGCCCCATGCCGGCCGGCGCAGCCGCGGCGGTGTTTTCGCAGGTGCTTCGCGCTCGGCTTCTCCGGGCTGCACGCGCTGGCCTCCGCCGCTACGCCGGCGCCGGGTGGCGGGTCGGCGGCGGCGGGGCCGCCGCTGCCTTCGATCCTCCAGGCCGTTAGGATCAACAAGAGGACGGCGAGACTGAGAGGCTTCATCGGAAATGCTCCCGCGGAAGAGAAGGGAGGTGGAGGAGGGTGCTCTCGTTGAAAGGCTTCTGCAGGCCATTTTATAGGCGCGTCGAGGAGAGCTCCTCCTGTGCATCACGAGGGCTGCTGCGACCTTGGGTGGGGGAATTAATCGCCGGCGACTGTAAAAGGAAGGTATTCCTACCGATGCCATGGCCTTCCACATGAACAGATATGAGGGAATGAGGAAATCTCCGGACTGGGGGCCGGAGCACTGAATGAGCCCCCCCCCCTCCTTGGCTGTAAATATGAAAGGTCTTCTTCGTTAGGCTGTTCATCTACCGATTATTACCGGTAAGGTTGCGAAATCCTGATCGAACAACATGGGTATCTCGGATTTTCATGAATCATTGACGGCCTAATGATACGAGATCGTATGAGATTACGTCAAATGAGGAGATATTACAAAACAAATGCAGTTCGATGGATTGAACCCGTCCTCCTCTCACATCCCATCCAATATAGAAAATTCTGAGGGCCCGGCGGAATCGACGAAGCCTCGGACAGACATCTGGCATCCTCCGGCGGTTTGTCCCGGCGAGAACTCACTGTCGATGAACACGACGACCACCGTGATGTCGTCGTGGAAGAAGCGGCGTGCCTCCTTCTTGATCTTCTTGAGGTCCTCATACCTCATCTCCCTCTTTCGCATCGCCTCCTCCAGGGCCCTCCGGACGAGCCTCCGCGCTATCCCCTGCAACGCCCGGAGAAATGGGGATCAGCAGAAGAAGAGAGGGAAGAAGGAGGTCTCCGGACGGTATCGACGTACGGCTCTTGGGTATTTGTGAACGAGTTCAGCGGCTTCCTGGTTCGTCAGGTGCTCCCAGAGGCCGTCGGAAGCGAAGATCAAGAACTTGTCCTGCGGGCGCAGGACCCTCACGGATATGGCGGGCTCCGCCGTGAGCACGGGTCGCCTGAGGGGCTCCGGCAGCCGGAACCGGGGGAACGATGGATCTACGCGGAATTCTGGCCTCTTCAAGTATGCATCGCCTATAGATCTCGACACCTGCGGAGGCCGAATTAAGGCAGTAGACCAGAGATGAGATCAAAACGATAACTTCAAGATCGACGAATCAAATACCAGACCGCAGATTCAAAAACAGATTCAGCGTGAATTAGATACCCGTGTTCGGATATTTCAGTCAGATTCCTAATCTTTGAAGAACAAGCTAGAAAGGGTCTCATGAATGCATAAAATACCCAAGGACAGAGCACGAAACTAGATTTATAACCTTTTCAGGGGAATTCGAGAAGTACAGAGAAGTCAAATTCCAGCAAGAGGCGGTTGACCTGTATGATGCCTTTGATGCGCCACACGCCCTGCCTGAGGACGACGATGTGAGAATCATCAGGGTGCGAGGCCATGAGCTCCCGTCGGACACTCTCCAGGCTCGCGTTGTGTTCTTCGGTCACCTGCTCGGCGATGATGGCGTTTGACCTACCCAGACGTCCAACGACGGCTCGAGAATCTCCCAGGTTGGCGGCGAATAGGGTGCCTTTCCAGATGATCCCAACCAAGCAGCAGGACCCGACAGCCGCCATCAGCGGTTTTATTTCATGGGTTCTTCTCACCAGGGCGAGGAATCCTTCCTCGGTAGCAGAAAACGCCCTCCTGATGATATCCTCGGAGATGGTTCCTCCTTCCCGAGCAAGCCCTGCAACATGAACAAGAACTTCCTGATATGGGGAATCAAGAAGAAGAAGAGGAGGATGAGGAGGGAGAAGAAGAAGAGATGACTCACTCATCAAATGAACGAAGAGGTGATCGGAGATGAAGCGCGAGGCGTCCGGCCCGCCATGGCCGTCGTAGATCCCCACGAAAATAGCGTCGCGCCCTGTTTCGACCTGGCTGTAGTCCTCGAGGGACTCGTTGGCCTGGACGACGGCGAAGGAGTACTCCCCCCCCGAGTGCCGCTCCACGTCCCTGGACCAGAGCAGAGCGTCGTCCTCTTCCTCATCCTTGCTCATTCGCGCGTACCGTCGGACCGGTCGCCAACACGCCGCCGCCATCCTTGCCATCCACGAGAACATCCCTCATTTCCTCCGCAGCGGAGCCCTGGTGAGGAAGTCTCCGAGGAAGAAGACGAACCAGAGCCCTGCAACTGAAGATCAACCGGGGATGTAGCCTCCAAAGGAACAGATGCTCGGAGGAGACGAAGTGGAGGTGTAGACAGAGGTCATCCTCTGTCTGCGGGAGGAATTGCCTGAACTGAGAGATGTTCCTCCATCTCATGAAGCTCGTAGCATATATAACCGTGGAGCTGCCGGGAGTCGCCGCTCCATAGCCCTGGGAAATTCGCTGAGATAGTTGACTCTCCGGGGCCTTCCAAAGTAGAAATCAGAAAAGGCAAAAATTCTCAAATAAATCAAAAAATGGCGTCTCCCTGACTCTCCATTTCTTCACGGATAAGAAATAATTCAATAAAAGATATAAATAAGAAGGGTGATAATCGGAGGCCCCGATATGAGGAACGCGTTTCGCCTTTCAGCTGTTGTCCATGCATGTGTTCACCCCCCTTTCTGTTGTTCAGTGGGTAGCGGAGAAGACGTGGCCCGTGAGCGAGGACGACGTCCAGCTGCCCAAAAGCGAAGGGCAACCTTTTTGGCAAAACGATGACTTTGGCGGACGAGGCCACGAAGTTGGGCTCATCGCCTCCCACATGGCAGAGGCGGCGCTGACCTTCAGAACTCTATGGTCAAACCTATCCCAGGGAAAAAGAGACGGCTTGTTATCCGCTTATCCGCGGGGCACGCGTAGGAATATGGATGAAGCACGACGGCCCTGATAATCGTGGTACAATTCACAGATCAAACTACGGGATCTCCCGGAGAGGAGGCTTGCCGGTGGTCTCTTATTCGACAGCTCCGTGAACGTCAACCCTCTCTCTCTCTCTGGCCGCTTCAGCTCCCCGCAAGCAGTCCCAATGAATGTCGGGTTGACTTTCCGAAAAGACGGGCCTTTAGCAAAAATTCAACTTGCTTTTCATAGCCGACAAGCTTTATCCGGGTTTTCTTTTGCCCAGCAGGAACAGAGAGATGACGTCGGGGAAGTTGACTCACGATTTCTAGACCGCGAAGAAGATTCCACGTCCTCTCCGTATAATTCAAACAACCAGTCGACGAAAATGGGGGTTGGGGGGGTGGGAGTGAGGGGATCGTGTCTGAGTTAGGCTCGCTTAGTGCGTCGTCCGACTTCGAGGGCCAGCTCTGTGTCTATCTTGAGGGAGATATCGAGCGCCTTCACCGAATGAGTGAGCGCCCCGCTGAGAAGACAACAACAAAAGACCGAAGAACAAGCTCAAGGAGCATTCAATTTTGACGAGTGATAAGGAATAGCTTGAGAGAGAGAGAGAGAGAGAGAACCCATGTCGCACAATCTCTGCCCACTTTAGTTATCTCTCCTCACTTCATAGCGAGGGTCCTTGTCCGAAGGGTTCATAGCGGGTGCGTCACAGAAACCAACAGGCTGATCCAAGTTCTTGATCTCAATTCCTCAGTAGTGATGTGAATATCAGGCCCATATTTCTATGTAACACCGGGGACCCTGTCCTTGAAAAGGGAGCTAGAGAGAGAAACTCTAAAGGGAGATAGAATGACTGAGCAAAAGAATGATTCGGGTTGGCCGATATCCACAGTTCCCTGGTAATTTCCCGTGATGTTCATCCTGTAAATCCTCTACCATTGTTCCCTTTTTCACCTACTTCTTCCCGATTAAGAAGGGGGCGGGTCCCGAAAGATAGAACCGAAGCAGTTTCGATTAAGGAGAAAACTCTAGAGAATACCTTGAAATGTAGGTGACGCCGGTTGATCCGATTTTCTTCACCGTATCGAGGGTGACGTTTCCAGAAGCCTACCGAAATCCGGAAGCAGAGAGTGAACAGGAAGAACTGGACGGGATAATATGAGAAGATTTTCTTGCAAGTTGAATGCAATGCACAGCATATTCATGAAGATACCTCGGTCTCGAATCTTCCCTTTATCAAGTCAACAGCATCCTTCAGCATGGAGACATCAACGTCGCCACCTGGGAGGGGAACGACCATATTGTCCAGCATGATTCGAGTCAACGACGTCTTGTTTTGGGATGCATATTGCAGCACATTCTCCACTTCTTGCAGGGTTCTGGTCTCGATCTAGAAAGAGAATTCATACAAGCGGCCCGTCAACATCTAACAAGAACACAAGACAACATCAAAGAGACAACGGGAACGAAAAACTTCGTCTGGGTTCGATGAGAATATATCAGCCTTTCTTTGCAGCACTTCCTAGATTAAGGTAAGAATAACATCAAACGCTCAATTTTGAGTCCAAGAAAACGTTAGAAATGGGTCCATTTTAGAAAGCCAAAGCTTTGAGATGGATGACTCTCTCTCTCTCTCTCTCTCTCTCTCTCTCTCTCTCTCTCTCTCTCTCTAGAAAGATCATCAAGTTTTAAGTTTTGATCATATACTGAGAAGTATGAGGCGAGATCTCACCCAGTCACACATCCGAATGAGAGATGTTTGCGTGAAATAAAAAAAATGAGAGATGCGTATGTAAGCTAGAGGGGTGTTGATACTCGTAAGATTCTAATCATCAGATGAGCCTGAGAAGTCGAGACAGGCGCACCTCAACTTCCATCTGGAGTTCATTTTGTCTTAAGAACTGATCAACTGATCTGATGGCTTCAGTGACACCCCCTGCAACTGAAATATGGTTATCTTTTATCATTGCCATGTCAAACAGGCCCATCCGGTGATTCTTTCCCCCGCCAATCAGCACCTGCGGAGAGGCATCCAGCTCAAGAATTAAGGGCCAGAAACATACAGCACAGCCTAAAAATTACAATCATGAGCAATAAACAGGATAGGCACCGCCCACTTATCCACCAAACGTAGACCTGGCGCAGTTTTCCTCGTCTCTAAAATGCAAGCTGGGTGAGCTGCACTGGCCATGGCCTGAAAAAAAATGAAACATCTCGTTGGGTATGTTCTATAAGATTAAAATTAAGGGCAAAGCTCCGTCTGAATCATCATCATCTCCCCTGACATTCACACCACATCAAGATTTAACATTTTCGTCATTAAATACAGCAACAAAAAAAGAAGCAAGTTTTACAGCTTCCCACTGCTCGCATTCCAGATGATCATTGACCTCTAATAAATTCCTTTGTGGGTTGTAAGATCCAATTAATAAGTTGTAGCTGATTATTCTGCACAGGAAATAAGGTGAAGAACAAAGCGCCAAGAAACACTTTCCCAACATTTTTAGGAGTTTTATGCGATGGCTGGACTCGAGCTAGAGCTCACCAGATCAGCTTCGACTGCGAAAGGCTTGGGGCCCCATTGCTAGAGCAGGTCGGTCCAGGATTTCATTGAGAGCCACTTCTTCCGATTTTGGAAGTTCTCTCAAACAGGATTTCACCAACCCATCCATCTCTGTGGTCTAACCCTCTTAGCCCCTTCATATAAAATAACCCACCTCCTTAAGAAAGAGAACACTTTCTATCCTCGACCTTCATACGAGGAAGGGATGGGTCTTGCTGGAAAATAATACCAGCTAGCTTGATCAGATTGAATCTAAGTGACGGACTAAAACCAAGTGAAGAACCGTCCATAAATGGACACTCTAAAAATAGTTACACCCAATCACAATCAACCTGGATCCAGCAAGAGGAAGACTTTCTCTGATGGCTTCCAAATGGATTAAGTATCTTTTACTAAACCAGGAAGAACCGATCGCGCATAGACTGAGCTGGGTCCAAAGATCCCTAGAGCAGAAAAAGGCCAAGGCTGATCCAGTCCTGAAACCATCCTCTTTTTGGCTTCTGATTGACTCGTTTACACAATCTGCTGCCCTTTTGCCAAAAAAATCCGCTCATTGGAGCTCTTTACATATAGTTTGCGGTTTATCAGCTCTGATCGTTCTAGTGTTCTTAGTCACTATATTGGCCTCACTTATGACGGTGCATTCATTTATGACGTCATTTAGTACTACTCATTTGATTGAAAGTAGCCTGACAAAGACTGTTCTGACATTCCAACTCATAACAGTAGTTATCTAAAAATTCAAGCGATTATTCTATCGCTATGAATTCCATCTGATTTTTCTATGGATGTACTATCAACTTAGAGCCTTTTTTATATACCAATTTCCACCTTTAAGAGGCAACTATGACATTTACGTGCATAATACAGAACCATCTTAAATGCTTCTGACATGCTGACTATGCTGGGAGTGAAATTTTTTATGCATAATAATAACAAAAATCGACGGCATGTCCTTGTGTGGGGGCAGCGGTTCATGACAATGATGAAGACAGTGTGATACTGTAAGGTGGGAAAGCTGAATGTCCACAAACAGAAAGGAAACTCGATTACCTTATACGAATGAGAGCATGCCCACCCATACCATTTATTCACAAGTACATTGATATCTAAGCACATTCAATGTAAGAACTTACATGCACGCACACATTTATACATTTATGATGCATATACAATTGTCTACCATCTCCGGGAGTTGCTTCAGGGAAGGTGATCGCCACCTACATATTCCCGAATTCCTAAACAGGGATGAAGAATGCGAAATAGGGAGAAATCAAGGAAAAAAAAGGGGTGAATCACCTATCACATGCAGTTTATGTGGATCAAACATAAGATTATGTGAATAATCTGTTACCTAAACAACACAACTGGAAGAAAATTGTCAAAGAGATTTCATTAAATGTAAACAGCAGAAAAAAATTCTTCTCCATGCATGCCTTGAAGATTCGTAGTAGAAGCATACCTTGGTAAGCGTTGCTATTCCACTCATCCTTTGCATAAAGTTAAGCACAACTCTTTCTGCCACAATAATGCTGCGTGCACGCCCTCCAAATAATGAACACGATGGCGATAAGTTTTCTATAGGAATGGGCGAGAAAATATTTACTGGGATCACGATTTTTACCAGAAACTTTGCCAAATTGGTAGCCTCTATGAATATAATTTCCATCCTTCACCAACCATTCGAGCTTCATCAAATAAAAGAGAAGGCAATTAAGATACGTTTCATGGGCTAATTCAGCCTGATTTCATAAAAGTCCATTACCTCTAGAGACGGATCAACCTCATTAAATATGATCTCCGAGAGAGCAACTCCTGCAATAACACCATCCTCCTTAGCTATGAAGTGTGCTTCTGCTTCTGTATCGGCTGGAATGGTCGCCATACAAGTCACATCACCTGCACTTCAGCGCACATAGCTCAGAAGAAAAACCTCTTTAAGACAACCATCATAAGACAATAACAGGCAAGGTGCATTTCAAATAACGGAAAAAAAGAAAAAAAAAGTCAGCAAACACCATCTTCTTCACCGGAGTATTCTTTTTGGCCATTTCCAGCACAATTTCTGATCAAAATGGTTAAACATCACTTCATCTGTTCAATCTCCTCACTATGGAAATTTCATTCATGAAAAAATGTAAATGGAGCCTCATTACTTCAATCGCTAGCAAAATGTACTGTTCTTACATCAAGCATACATACATATTATATATATTTTAATGGACGAACCAAATCTGCACAGAAAATTGGAGTCTTCTATATTCGTTTCGCCAATGTGAACCCCCTAAACTGAAAAAATCATCAATCGAAAATGGTACATAACCATCATAAGTGGGCACCAAATATATCCCATCACCATCTCCGTATGGAAGGTCTAGTCTAGTCCCACAAGATGCCACCATACAGTGCCATCCGAAGGAACGCGATATACTGCCTTATATAGCGACCACTCACACAGTTCACACATCGCCTGCTTCAACCAAGTACAGCAGCCAATTCCAGAAAAGAAAATTCACTTGGAGCAAGATCTCAGAAAGCCAGCTTGAATTGAAGAATAAAGCAAACAAAAAAGGTTGGCCATGCTCGTCTCGCGCATACATCCGCCATTAAAATCGAGGATCAAAACCTAAGTAAAAAAATTCGAGGTCTGGTAGCGTAGAGAGCCAGAGGAGGGACCTCGGTCCCCAGCGTCCTCCGCGAGAGCGAGCCCGATGACTGTCTTCATGTCGTACGTGGGATGGAAAGGCGGCTCTATCGTCGTCGAAGGGACCGAGAGGTCGGCCTTCTCCATGTCGACCGCAGAAACCGACGTGATTCCCTGCCGCTTAAAGCTGCGAAATCGAAGGGCAGATCATTCAAGCAAACATCGTCGCAGTGGAGTACCAAACCATAGCTGGCGGGAGATGGGGACCTTATAAACGATCGGGGTGAACGCTCCGTTGAACGAGATAGGTAATTGGTGCTCGGACGGCACAGACTACGCGACGAGGAGACTGCGAACATCTTCCTCCCGAGAGCTGACGGCCCTCGTCTTCTCTGCCGATAAACCAGTAACGAGCCTCTGGTCTTCCGAGAAGCTGCCGTCTCAAGGAGGGAAACGAAGGTTCTCCGTCTGCTGGAGTGCTTTGGGCCGTGAGCAGCAGGGCTCTTGGGCCGTTGACCGTTTCGGACTTTGGTCAATCTCCAGAGGGTGACTAATCAAATCTCCTGCAAGCCTGTTTTGGAAGATGAAAGTTCTCAATTTTAAAACGGACTCGGCCCATAACGACAGCAGATCTTTTCTCAGCCCCAGCTTGAAAGCCCAAAGCCCGATAATTGCTGTTGACTCCTCCAATGTCAACGGCTTTGACTACCCTTTGGTAATATAACGGAATTCACATGGTTCTGACTGAAATTGCCAATGGATCACTGAGCCTCGAAGCCAAGTTCGGATGGAAAAGTTGACCCAGTCCGACCTGGCCCAGTCCTCTCTCTCTCTCTCTCCCATTATGTATTTATTTATTTAGATGTATATCTTCTCTTGGGTTCTACGTGAGAAACGGTCAAAGTGGGCCCACATCTGACCCGATCGCGTCGGTTCCTGGAGATTTACTGGATATGCTCAGCATCTTGACAAGCCGAACACATGAAAGCCGCGCCCCGACAGGGACTTCTCAGCTTGACGGAGCAGCGAGTCGGATGTCCCGGGGATCAGCAGTCGGCTGCTCAGGTGGGTCGGAGACTTCATCTCTGATTAAATACGATCTGTTCTGCTTCCACAACTACCCCGTATATTGAAGCTCTACGTAGCTGTGATCTTCACAAAGTCGCGGCAACGAGATCTGACGGCTCTGGTTGCGCATCATAAGTCAACATTCCTCCCCAGCACGCCACGACCAGAGCCGACGTTCTGTGCCAACGCCGGGGGCTAAGAGGAGGCTCTCAAAGAGAGGGAGAGAGAGAGAGGGGGAGAGAGCAGAGAGAGAGAGAGATGGGGAGGCTGGAACACGAGCCAGTGATCCAGCACGTCAGTCACACGCACCCGTTGGAGCTCTCCTGCGTCCAGAGGGCCCCGGCATGCGCCTGCTGCGGGGTGCAGTCGGGGGGATGGAACTACGCCTGCAAGGGGTGCGGCTTCTTCCTGCACATCTCCTGCGCGAAGATGCCCCGTCTGATCGAGCACCCCTCGCACCCCAGCCACGCGCTGGTCCTCCTCCCCGCTCCGGCCTACCCGGAGGGCTCCTTCAACTGCGACGCCTGCGGCCGCAGCGGCAAGGGCTTCTCCTACCACTGTGCCCACTGCCATGTTGACCTGCATGCGCTTTGCGCTGCCATGCCGCTCTTCGTCGCCCACCAGGCGCACCACCACCCGCTCACCCTCGGCTTCTCGCCGCCCTACGAGTGCCGCGGCTTCTCCTGCGACATCTGCGGCCACATCGGCTCCGACCACTGGCTCTACCGCTGCGCCCTCTGCGAGTTCGACGCCCACCTGAGCTGCGCCACCGCTAACGCCGCTCCGCCCCAGCGGCCGGCCGCGGCCGGAGGTTATCGTCCCCCTCAGCAACGGCCTCAGCAGGTAGCGGCGGTCGGCATGGCGGCGCCGCCGCCGAGAGTCAACCCCGCCGCCGCCGGTCCCCCTCCGATGGGAAACAACATCGTGACTGCGAACGATCTGGTGGGGGCGGCGGTGCAGGGGTTCGTGGAGGGTGAGGCGGTGCAGGTGGGGCAGACATTTGCTCAGAGTGTTCTCGGCGTCGGCGACGGCGGTGGGAGCGCCGCCGACGGGGGAGGAGTGGATGCAGACAGCACAGATGGTGGCCATTAATTAGCATCCTCAAGAATTTACGATGGGATGACGATCGGCGATACTGTTGCAATTACTTCGTTTCCCCAATAATTCACGATGTAACAACGTATAATCCAATGTTTTTCGGCGTTGACCTGGGGAAGCTCGCGGGCGGAAGGTGTACTAGGCCTGATTTTACTGTATTTGGGATGCCGTCCAATCTCTTCCATGGCGCATTAAGAATAACTGATTGAAGGTCAACGTGGCTATAATCTTCCCAAAGTTGCGGCAACGAGATCCGACGGCTCTGGCTGCGCGTCATAAGTCAACATTCCTCCCCAGCACGCCACGACCAGAGCCGACGTTCTGTGCCAACGCCGGGGGCTAAGAGGAGGTTCTCAAAGAGAGGGAGAGAGAGAGAGGGGGAGAGAGCAGAGAGAGAGAGAGATGGGGAGGCTGGAACACGAGCCAGTGATCCAGCACGTCAGTCACACGCACCCGTTGGAGCTCTCCTGCGTCCAGAGGGCCCCGGCATGCGCCTGCTGCGGGGTGCAGTCGGGGGGATGGAACTACGCCTGCAAGGGGTGCGGCTTCTTCCTGCACATCTCCTGCGCGAAGATGCCCCGTCTGATCGACCATCCCTCGCACCCCAGCCACGCGCTGGTCCTCCTCCCCGCTCCGGCCTACCCGGAGGGCTCCTTCAACTGCGACGCCTGCGGCCGCAGCGGCAAGGGCTTCTCCTACCACTGTGCCCACTGCCATGTCGACCTGCACGCGCTGTGCGCCACCATGCCGCTCTCCGTTGCCCACCAGGCGCACCACCACCCGCTCACCCTCGGCTTCTCGCCGCCCTACGAGTGCCGCGGCTTCTCCTGCGACATCTGCGGCCACATCGGCTCCAACCACTGGCTCTACCGCTGCGCCCTCTGCGAGTTCGACGCCCACCTGAGCTGCGCCACCGCTAATGCCGCTCCGCCCCAGCGGCCGGCCGCGGCCGGAGGTTATCGTCCCCCCCAGCAACGGCCTCAGCAGGTAGCGGCGGTCGGCATGGCGGCGCCGCCGCCGAGAGTCAACCCCGCCGCCGCCGGTCCCCCTCGGATGGGCAACAACATCGTGACTGCGAACGCTCTGGTGAGGGCGGCGGTGCAGGGGTTAGTGGGCGTCACCGTGGGGTTTCTTCCCTCCCAGCAGCGGCCTCAGCAGGTAGCGGCCGTCGGCATGGTGGCGCCGCGGCCGAGAGTAAACCCCGCCGCCGCCGGTCCCCCTCCGATGGGCAACAACATCGTGACTGCGAACAATCTGGTGGGGCCGGCTGTGCAGGGGTTCGTGGAGGGTTCGACGCCGCAGGTGGGGCAGACATTTGCTCAGAGTGTTGCTGGCGACGCTGGGGCCGACAACGGCGGATGGAGCGCCGACAACGGCGGATGGAGCGCCGACGACGGTGGATGGAGCGCCGACGACGGTGGATGGAGCGCCGACGACGGCGGATGGAGCGCCGACGGGGGAGGAGTGGACGCAGAAAGCGCAGATGGGGGCCATTAATTAGCATCCTCCTCGAGAACCTGCGATGGGATCACGATCGGTAATACTGTTGCAATTTACTTCGCTTCCCCAGGAATTCACGATGTAACAACGTATGATCCTATGTTTTTCAGGCGTTGACTTCGGGGAAGCTCGCGGGCCGAAGATGGATTAAGCCTGATTTTACTGTATTTGTGATGCCTGAAAGCTCATCAATCTGCATTATGCAGGAAGAGTAAACTTGTTCCAATTTGATGAACTGTTATCGAATATCCGCAAGAATTATACAGAAATAAACTTGTCCCCATTTGATGAACAATTATCGGTTATTTAAACCCCCCAGCGATTGATGGAAAAAAATTACACGATTTAATCCCCAACAATCCGAGAATCTATCCTGCCGTTGACTTTTGTCGACCAATTCGGAGCTCGGCAGCTTCTCCAGGGGGACCCTCTTCAGCCCACCCCCCCTCCCCCCTCGCTCAGCCACACAATCCGAGAACAGTCTTCCCCAGGCACAGGAAAACTTAATTTCTCCACGATACCCAGCTGCAAAGATCCTCTCTTTCATGCAATTCAAGGTAGGCACAGAAACTTCCGACCCGCCCTGTTCCTGAGATTTGGGGGATAAAAGGGGGGTTATATCTGGTCCTAGGAACCAGTGTTGACTATTGAATCCGTTCACTGTGCCTGGCAAATATACCTGTATAAAAAGCACTTTATGCCTAATAGTGTGTATATAAATTTCAGCAGTCAAGTCTTCCCGCTGGCCGTGCTAGCCATCTGTTCAATGTCGTACTTTACATATACTCTGATCTGGTTCTCCTTCCACCATTTTTCAGCTTCCTTCTCACTAAACTGTCTCCGGCTGCACAGCATAAATCAAGTCAGATGAGGAAAGTAGGGAAATTTCCGGCGCACAGACCGAAGCTCTACTAGCCTGACGAGAGGAAAAGATTCCGGGTCGAGAATATCACCTGAATCTCACTCGCTTCAGGCCTTTTCGGCCGCTGGGCAAGATCATGAAGGTGATGTAGACACCGGGTTCGTCCTGTTCGATCCACTCAGTCTTCGATGGATTGGACGCATTGGATTCGGCTAAATGTGGTTCATTAGGCGAACCAGTTTGCCGGCGCCGATCAGTTCTCTTCTTCGTCTCTATCGAAGGATCAGCGGATGGACTGAGGCAGTCGCGTGAATCGCTTCGTTGTATATCCTTCAAAGCTTCTTCAGCGCCATTAGCATCAGCGACCAACTTGGCCGCCTCTGACAGCTTAGTTTGAATGCATGCATGCTCGGGAGTTTGAACAAATCTGTCGTATAATATGGAGCCCAGGCTTTTCACCTCTCCTGCTGCTGGGAATTTCTCTGCGATGGCGTTCATCTGCATAAGAACGCAGAGATTCATTGCAAGTCGGCATGAATATCAGCCAGATGAAAGAGGAAAAAGAAGGCAAGTCTTCTCTTTGGATGGAGAGAGGTCCAGAGTTAATTTTTCAATAATTGAAGAGAATAGAGAGGAATATGGTAGGCTTTCGGTTGAAGAATATCCAATAATGTTATCCATGATAATCTCAGTAAAAATAAATAAAAAGGAGGAGGGGTTTGATCTTCTACCTGTTCAGTCAACGCTTTTATAGCATCTTTTGCCGCAATGCACCTGGCAGCTTCATCCCTCGCCATTGACAATGTCTCCTTGACTCGCTGCTTACACTGTTCCAGTTTTTCTACCTTATCCTGACATTCTCTAGTGAGATTTCTTACCTGTTAGAAGGGCGGACAAGGTAATGCAAAGATTGCCTTCAAAGGATGCATCGAATAGAAAATGAAACGAAACCTCTGAAACCTTGTTGATATAAGTTTTCTGACGAAATATAAAAGAAATTAAACAGGACCCATATATCACAGACAATATAAAACAACCATTCAATTGGTAAGTGGAAGTATTTCATTCGGCATGGTCAGGTAAGTCTCTGGGCATTAACTGATTAGCATGTGCAAAGAAAAAGAAGAAGAAAGACACTGACGTTGCCCATTAGGCAGGAGCTTTTATTTTTCGTCAATCTCATGCATTAGCCCTTTTCAAAAAAGATCAACGACGTAGGAGAATTTCTTTAACCAATGTTTGGAACTGCATTCTATACTATGATGATCATATTCTGTGGACACTTCTATTTAGTTTCTCTGAATTTACTCGAGTTTCAGCTTATTTTTATGCTTCATGCTTGATCCTAGTATGTTGTTCTGTACAATTTTATGCCCATTTGTTATACTCATAACTCCATATTTCACATTCTGTTCATGATAAATATGGCAAGAAATAATACTCAATATGGCAAGAACTGATTTTGATGGCCCCCTCAGTGTAAAAGCAGGATCTTGGGCTCCCACGGCAGCCAGAAATTCCAGAGAAGAGTCGACACCGTAGACAAATTTCCAGGTTTACCTCATCTCTAAGCTGCTGCAGTTCTTCGACAAGAAGCTTGTCAGGGTTCCTAAAGTCCGCCTTCAAGCTGGAGGAAGAAAAAGACATTGACTTGGAGTTGAGTCGATTCTCTTGAAGACAGATGTCGGAGCCTTCGTACTCTTCACCTCTCCCCGTGGCATGGCTCGTCTGAAACTCACTGAAGAGCACTGGGCAGGAGACCTGCCCCCATCGCCGTCGTCGGCTGGGAAAGAGAGGAGACGGAAGGGAGTTCTTCTGGGAGGAGACCTGATTCACCGTCGCCGAATCTTCGACATTGCTTATCGCCTCCCGGCAGTGAAGTTTCGGAGAAAATATCTTCGGCTGGTGGACCCCCGCCTTCCTCAGGTCCGCTTTCAAGACCGAGAGCCGCTTCTGCACCAGGAGAGCCAGCCGTGGGCTCGAGGTCTCACGTTCTATCAAGCTTGAGCTCTCGGAGACCTTCAGCTGCTTGAAGCACGAGTCGCAGACCCGAGACTGCTTGTTCTTGTCCGGCGCGAGGGACGCATTCAGGGCCTTCCTGCCGGTGCATGAATGGCAGAACAGTAGGCCGCAGTTGTAGCAGTTATGCTTCTTTCTGGTGAACCCAAAAACCAAGTGGCAGCCATTGCAGACAGACTGGTCGCAGCTCAAGATAGACCTGTGTAAGCAGATGGCCGCAGTGAAACTAGACCCACAGGCGACACACTGCACCTGCCGATCTTTCAGCGCCTCAACACAAGCCGGAGAGTTTCTATCTTCAGCGTCCCCCAGTCCGAGCCTCCCATTCCTTCCCTTTCCCCACGTGTAAACCTGCCCCTTCGCCGTGAGCGCCGCCACATGAAATGACCCCGCCGAGATTTCCTTGACGTATTCACCTTTCAATGCGCCCTCCACGTTCGTCACCGACTTATCTTCGGCCCGGGGGTTCCCAAGCTGACCGTGGATGGAGCTCCCCATGGCGAAGACCGTGCCAGTGATGGTCAGCACGACGGTCAGCATCACTCCGCAGGACACTTGGACAAAGTCGTGATCCGCAAGAGCCGCCACGCATGTCGGAACAAGCTTCTTGTCCTTGCTTGGGTGACCCAGCTTCCCTTCGTCGTTGTCTCCCCAGGTGAACAGCTTACCGGAGGAGGAGTCGCCACCTCTGCAACGACCTGCTCCGACCTCCACCACGGCGGCGGTGTGCCACGGCCCGCATGCGACGGACTTCACCCTCATCCCTCTCAGAGCGTCAACTTCCTTCGGCCGGGAGGCACTCGCGAGATCCCCATGACCGAGAACTCCGAATACGCCGTTTCCGTAGGTAAACAGCTGCCCAGAGGAAGAAACCACCGCCGTGTGCCAGTCCCCGCAGGCGACTTTCGAGATGGAGATGCCGGAGAGGGGCCCCGCGAGTCTACGTGGGATCCACTGGCTCCGTCTGTTCCCTTCTCCAGGGTGGGCGGCGCCGTGGCAGCTGTCTCCCCACTCGTAGACCTCGCCGGAGCTGGTTAACGCGCAGGCGTGGCTCACTCCGCAGGCGACCGACACGACGTGGGCGCTGACCAACGAGTCAACGAGCTTGGGGTAGGGAACGTCGAGGTTGGTCTTGTGGCCCAGCCTTCCGCCATGCTCCTCTCCCCAGGTGAAGATCTCCCCTTGCTTGGTGACCAGGGAGGCGTACTGTTTGCCGCAGAAGATATTCCTCACCTCCAGCGTATCAGTGGATTTCAGCAGCCTCGGAAGCAACGCATCGCCTCCCGCGCGATGGGAATCATACCTGTCAGCGCCGCCGCCGCCACCAAGCACGCCGTCCTCTACGCCTTCTCCCCACATGAATACGTCCTTCAGAGCGTCCTCCTCATCCACTGGGCGGGACCCATGGACGGACGCGTTGACTTTGGCGGACCTGTTCGGTCTCTGCGGTCTGCACGGGTCCGTCTCTCTTGACCCTTCCTTCAAGCTCTTATACACGAGCTGGGGCAGATGAGGCACCTTGTCCAGTATCTGACGAATGTCGGACATGTTCCTCTCTCTCAAGCTTGGGGAGTATGAGGAATCATCTGAAGTATATATTTGCAGTAGGGAGCAAGCAGGGCTTCCGCATAAGCTTTGAACCTGCTGAAGGCGATAGCGTGCATGCCGTCAGATGGATTATCCGGAAGAATCTTAGCGAGGAATTTACTAAATTCATGGAAATTACTCCACCGCAGCAGATCGATGTTCGCCATTATCAACCTGGGCAAATTTCTCCGAGGACTCCAGGAACTCGCCGTTGTGCTTCCTCCAGCCATTCCCGACAGGGCTAATTGCCACGCTCTGCGTCCCTTTGGTATGCTTAATGGCGGCCTTGGAAGGAGGATTATGAGATTCAGACACCATCACCTTCAATGCTAAGAACCAGGTTTCCGCCTGCTCCTTGTCCTTGCATATCTGGATAACCGGTGATGATCTCAGCCATGTAACCCCTTGAAAAAATTATGGTGAAGAAGATGAGCGAGTACCAGATCGAGGGACCGCCCGTCACTTTGATAAATGAGGGATAGAGACTGAGCTTCCTTCCCTGGTTGAGGTTGACGGAGAAAATTTACCTGCAGAATCGGTGGTGTCAAGAACATTAACGGAACCAGGACTAGAAATGGAATAGATTTCACGGATCACTCCTTGAATTTTTGCAGGGTAAGTCAGTCGATTTCACGCGACGCTCAATCCATAGGGTGCGTACCGTTTGCTGCCCTGGGACGACCTTCACCACAGAATTCAGGTTCAGCCGCCTCTCCTCCTGCGCTGAATACCAGATTAAAGCCGTCTCATCCTGAAGAACAGTCGGCCGTTGCCAATCGCATTGGCAAAGGAGGAACGAAGAGAATAATCAGAGAAAAGGCCGATGTCAAGTAAGGCGGTGTATATTGAGCTCTTCCTCAAAGATATCAGAGAAAATCTCACACCAAGGTAAACGAGACAGAGTAGGATGATATCATCCATTAATGGAAGCAGATATCTCTCGAGGACTCGTGCTTTTATGCAGAAATTTACGGGCCACTGGCGTCGGGAGGTTCGTTTCTTACACTGGATAACCTGAAAGGGCAGAATTTGGGCTTCCCTCTCCTCCCGCATTTCAGAAGATGAGCTCCCCTCTTCAACGCGACAATAGCCTTCATCAAGAGAAAAAAAGAAATTCCAGGAGCCTTTTAGCATGAACAGGACAGCGAATCGATGGGGACGCTACAACAAGAGGGCAGTTGACTAATGGATCCTGGGACAGCCTCTGCTGAAGATGCTTGCGTCAATCACGAGTTTCCGGTAGCAGAAGAACGAAATAAGCGGCTGAATGGCTCGAGTGGAGGTTCATCTTCCGGTGTTCTTCAGGTTTCTGCAAAGCTCGAGTCCTAGAGGGTACATCTCCAGGAAGAAACACGTCGAGAACACAGAAGCTCGGACGGAATTCTGCAGAGTGTATCGGTGGAATGGCTCTCTCCTTGATCTTTAACCAAGGTGACTTTGATCCACTGTAGGCATGAATTTTCTACGCAGATGGCTCGAGAAGCTAGCGATCTGGAGAAACCATCAAGAAAGCCGGGGGCAGACTCCATAACGAGAAAAAAACAGGGGTAGGGGAGGGTGGTGGGGAGAAGTGGAACTGGGTTTAGAACATCAGTTGAGACCCCTCACCTGCTCAACTCGTCTGTCCGATGGAGAGCTCGCCGTCGACATTTCGGCCATGCTACCGAGAGCGGACACTGCTTCCGGTTGCCTTCATGGAACAGAAGACGGAAAAGAAGCAGACAACATGGCAGCAGCCGAGAAGGCCCTTTTTTCCTCCAAGGAAGCCTTTGGTTACAGGAAGGTAGCAGCTTTATTGGAAGGGAGAGAGGCAGTCGAGGGTGTAGTCTCTGTAGCAGAGCTCGCGTCGGCGCAGGGGGTCCGCTCCAGCAGAAACCCATTATAGTAATATGAACGCGCAGAAGATCAGCCCTTGAGCGGGGCCTTATTCGATTTCATGAATGCAACAGCACGTGTGCACTTGTTCTTCCCTCTCTTTCTGGTGTTCCCCTGCCGGAGCCCCACGTCGTTTTCTCCCCCCTGCGGCCCCCCGGAGCTCAATTATATCCAACAACCGCCGTCTCCCCCCGCGCGTCCACGTCTCCGCCGCCGGGTCATCGTCACCGATGATTCCTTCTTCTCCCCCCTCCTCTGGGTTTTCCAATGGTTCGGTGAGGGCATCGGTCGTAAGTTCTCCGCGTGGAGGTCATTCCTGGCCCCGGTTTCAGGCACGAAAATCATGGCTTCTCCTCTTGTTGAGGGCCGGTCGGGGCCGATGTGTCCTTCTTTCTCCATTGTCGTCGTCGCTGGCTCGACTTTTCCTTCTGTCTCGTCTTCTCTTGTCACTGCTTTAATGGTCTCTATGCCCGCGTGAAAGAGAAGAGAGAGAAGAGTAGAGAGAGAGAGAGAGCTGGCGGAAGGTGTCAGTTCTGTCGGTGAAGAATCCACCAGAAACGCACACCCAACCCCCTCGCTGCTAGCTCACCGGGGAGGAGTCGATCCTTCCACCTGCAATTAAACTATTCACCTTCCCGACTTGACTTCCGGCGATCGACTTCCCCAGGCGGTGAAAGGTGTGACGACGAGGACGACCGCAAATCCCTCCTTCCTCCGCCTTTCAACACGCCGGACCCCAGGCGACGCCGGAGATACGGGCGGCGGGGAGATCTCCCCCCAGATTAGAATGCCCAAGCCCTTGGCGCAGTCGGTCGCCTTCGAAGAACTGCAGTCTTGAGTGTTGCCCGAGCAGGCTTCCAATCGGCAAGCAGTATCTCCATGATCGACGGAGACGAATCCTTCAAAAGAGTTATTCGATCCGAAGAGGGAAGACAAAGGCTCCTTCATATCATGCCGTAAATTTTCATCTTGCGTTCAAGAATGTTCTCTGTTCTCGAGGATTTAGTAAAATGCAGCCACCTGCTAGAGCACAAAAACTACGCTATTAGACTTGAATTCAACCCATCTGTCTCATTCGTTTAAATACGGCACCATTCGACACGACAGAGGCCTAAAAATTAAACCCATTTTTTTTTTCGATACCAGGTGAAAAATACGAGCTTTACAAGAAAATATGCAGGTTCGTGTTATGAGTCAGGTAATAGAAAGCATAGAAATTTGACACCACAAGAAAATTATATGCACATATTTATATCTTTATATGTTATCACCATCGGCGATCCAATGTATATATATTTATTAAGTTAAAGTTTATTATCAGAGAGAAAAAAATAGGAGATCCATGAATGGTATCGTGTAGTTTGTCACTTTCGATGCAGGATTTCATAAAAGACGCGAGTCCCATAAAGTATTGCACAGTGAAATATGTGGAAAATAGTCTCCACTATGGAATTCCCCAGGGTGTTCTTCTTCTTCTCAAAGAGGAGCAAATACGCTACGGAAATGAGGACTAAGAATAGATGGCCTTTAAGGTCGACAGGGTGTATCATATCCACGAACGACAACGTAGGAATCACACGCATGAGCTCCCAGGCGTATCATCCTCGCGCGCCATCGCCAGCTACACACGTTATTGGGGACCTCGGAAGCAAACACACGGAGTGGACTTTTATGCACTGTTTGATCTCTCTTGTTTCCTTATTCCGGCTGGCCTTACATGCCCAAGACGTAGCTCTTGGATTCCTCCACCCTCCCCATGCGAGAACTCTCTCTCTCTCTCTTTCTTTCTTAATCTCTCGAGCTCGCTAAGGTTTGCCTTCTCCCGTACTAACAGGCTCCTCGGATCCTAAACACACCACGTGGTCCAGAACGGCGGGCTACGCTTTAGGGTGGTAAGGCTATCTAAACTAATATTTGTTGTCGGAACAGCGGCCTAAGTTCGTTGGCTTTCATGAGACGGGTTCTCATGGGTCACTGTTGATCGGCGGGTCGCTTCTCTCGACTCGGACTGTGCAGCGGCGCTACCAAAGGATGACTGATCTTTGTCAAGACTCTGTGTCGACCCCTCGACGGAATCGCCACACTGATATGTTCTTATATTACACCTTGGTTTGTGATCCAGATGGCCCTCCCTCGTTCTGATCTAACGTTGACCCATCGTTCTTCTGATAAGTTTTAGCTGATTCCCGACCTTCACCCTCGCCGGTCGTCGGGAGAGAGAAAGATATATATATAGATATAGATAGATAGGTAGGTAGATAGAGAGAGAGAGAGAGAGAGAGAGAGAGAGAGAGAGAGAGAGAGAGAGAGAGAGAGAGAGAGAGAGAGAGAGAGAGAGAGAGAGATGAAGACACAGTTTAAAGGATATTTGGACGGCTCTGAATTGGGGGCGATTTTTCTTACCTCGGTTGGAGATGGGGTTGTCGCCCACAGGCAATCAGTCCATGATCCGACAGGACGAATACCAAACTTAGATGGGAGTGCCGTACGATCCCTCGGGTGCTCTACCCAACTCCGAAGGCCATGCTGGCGTGAACAAAAATATGGGTAGTTGTAAGTGTTCCCTATTCGTCTTCAATCAAAAATACTTCCCATCGCAGATCTGATATAATATCGACGTCATCTCTCTCTCTCTCTCTCTCGTCAGTGGAAGATACGAAGGCAGGAAGTTGCAGTGGGAGAAAGGGCAGGGCACGCGTGGCGTGATGCCGAGGCCGGCAGGGCAAAAGGAGTGCCGCAGCCGCCGCGCGCGAGCGTGGGCATAGGTGGGCGTAGTGCGCACGCACGCCGGCAAAAGCGGGCCTACGCCGCACGGTCTGCCGCCAAACTCCCACCTGCTGTCGGTCCGTCCGCAGAGACTCCGAAACGCCATTATCGGCCATGAGTCGAAGGGTGGAGGAAGAGCCAGGGGTCAGTTCCAAGACGTCGGTTTGCGACTGCCTCCTATCGTTTCCCCACTCTGCTCCCACGCTCTCTTCCTTCCTGGTCGGGTTAGGGCCGTCTGCATGGGTCCAAGGAAAGGTTCCCGAAACGGGCAAGAACAAAGGGGCCGGACAAGGAGGATCCCCACCGTAGATAGATTAATAGACATAGCGTGTGTGTGTGTGTGAGAGAGAGAGAGAGAAGATAAGAATAAATTGATTTCATGAAAGAGGTGGGTTCTTTACAATTTGCGGGGGAAGAGGGAGCGTGTATATATCATTCAGTGAGAGCCCTGCGAGGCTGAGACGAGGACGCAGACGTGGAGAAAGAAGTCGGGGTGGCTTAGGTTGTTCACGACCCAAGCGAAGGGGGTGTCCCAACCGGGTACGATTCCTTGAACGCGGATGAGCCTAATCCTCGCCATCTGCGCAGTATGAGTTTCTTGCTGCGCTGCCTCCGGTGGCTCTCCCGCAGCGGCATCCTGCGCGCCACCCGCCGTCTCAGAATCTCCGTCCTCGCCACCAGCTTCGTCTTTCGTCTTTGATTCCCCCGGTGAGGGTGATGATGGCCCGAACAATTCTGGCAGGAGAGATTCCATCGCCCTTCGTAAAGTGAACAGCCCACCTGAAAATATGTCGATAAATCAGCCAATTAAGCACAATCTCGCTGCAGACTGATCGGAAGAAGAGAAGGAAACGCATTCCGATGGGGGAGAAAGGGCAAATCATCATGAATCATGTGAGATTAAAAGAACAAGAAATGTTGTTCAGACCCACGGTTGATCATCGGCGATCTACGGGAGACGCTTCTGAAAACATAACTGAGGCATTGTAATAGATATGAAAGTGTGGTTTTCGATACCTTCATCGTGATTCTCGACTGGCCGATTTATGTATGAGATCTTCTCCCAACTATCTAGTGCACCAATGCCCTCCAGATCGTCAATATCTTCGACATTCCGGATGTATAACCGCACAGGAATTCTACCTGATCACAACTTTATTTAGGAAACTAACGTTAGAACTTGCTGAAATGTCTCTCAGAACCAGCATGAAAAGAACAATCCAGAAGGACTGGGGATGATTTTCGTTCAATGGGCGACAGGTAACTGCGGAGGCACAGCAGTGGATGTGGGGCTCAACTGAGTTGGATCTACCCACAGTCAGAAAGGTTGAGGTAAGTGACTCATATCCAACCCAGAGAGCCAGTTGTCTCTCGTTTCTGAAGAAACAGCACACTAGGACCACCTGTCCATCCAACCATTTATAGATTGGGAATGGGTCAACACATGATGGTTTTCCTGAACTTCATAATGTACAGAAATATATAAGTTGCTTATGGGATCCATCTATGAGGTAATCATTATCTCATTAAAATATAAGTCATCATGCTTGAGCGGGAAAATATTTCACAGATCCATGTTTAGGGCAGAAGATGATGTTGGAGAAAGGAACGTACGGATAAAAAGAAAATGCTCCACTCACCAAGTCAAATCCTAAAGACTGTTATTTGTGGTTATTTTTCCTATTAAATGATTGGAGGAAATAAATAAATATATTTTTTGTGATATAGAATTTAGAAATCTCTTTTGGAGCAAGGAAAATACCAGTTTGATTTGGCAAGGAGTCATTAGTTTCACCAGTAACTTGTTGAGATCGCGAAATACTTCTCATTTTACAGTCTTCCCTCAGTACACCAAGCTTGAGCCTGGGCACAACTCTGGAGTAGTTTTCCAAGGTACCTGGTAGAGAATCCAAGTCAGCAATACTTCGTCATAGAAATTCAATGAGGTTAACTGAAAAAATACAAGCGAAGTACCAACAGTCAAAAGATTGTGTCACGCCAGGTGGCGTTTCAATATTGCTTCATCATCGTCAAACAATGCCTATTGCCACCTATATCTAGGTAGCACATGGGCGGCAAAGTGATGGAGGGCAATGCCATAGCACTCTTGTGCCAAAGTCAAGTGGCATCCTTCACTGCTCCCTCTTTTTCTACATATGCGGGCAATGTTAGGGACAACAGTCACACCCCGATGAGACTGACCCCTATGACAACCCTAAATTGATCGGACCAAATTATTGTCCGGCGATCAAACGATATTGTGCCAAGAACATTCCAACGGGGAGTTGGAATACGGGGATGCAGAACCGATAAAGCTTTCCTGGATCCAAAAATCATGCTTTTCTTTATTCCTTTTCCCTTCTTATGGTAACTCCTGCAGCTGTCAAGGTGGGGTTAGTTTTCAACCCGTCTCAAGCGATCATTTTAACTGAATAAAGGTGGATCAGAAAAACACCTTGGTTAAACACTAGACAAGACAGGTGAAGTTCAGGGGACTATCAGTGAATAGTGCATGCTATAAGCCAGATGACTTCGAGTAGAATGTGACATAACTTAGCTACCCACGGCTAGCTCCAGATTCTAAATAAGAAATCGTCGTAGCCTACCTAACCATGAGCAGGAAAGATCGCCATCTGATCCGAAAAAACTTGTCCCACCATTATCTCATTTCAGAGGAAAGGTCAACTTTTCAAACCAAGGCTAATCTGGCAAGAAAAACCCTTTTACTGCGGCTCTAGATGCTCATTGCTGAGACCATTTGTTTTGTACTGATCATCATAAGTGAAATAAGGGATCATCTTTAACAGGCATTGGAAGAGAGAGATCATTAAAAAGGCCAAGATTTGTGAATGTAATAGTTAGACCTCTAAAATGAATAATGAAAGAGTTAAAGGGAATTTTATGAGTGGCATCATAGGTTTCTTTTCTATCCTCCTCCGGATTGGATCAAAAATAATTTTTTAATAGGTCCCCCAAAAGAATAAAATAGGAAATATTTTAAAAAGGAAAATTCTGAAAGCGAATAATATAGTTAAAATGAATAAATGCAGGATATCTTCATTAAAGAGACCAGAATATAAACCGTGTTCAACCATAACCTTGATAAAAAATGAAATATCATTCTTGCAATCCAGAGGCCTTGACCCCAATTTCCCAGGTCGCCGATGCAGCAGTGGGAGGTGGTGGAAGAGGAAGAGGAAGAAAATAAAGGATGAAGGAGACGAAACTAAAAACACAGATGGTTCAGTAGCAAGTTTCCTCTTTTTCCTCAGCTAGTATCTTTTCATCTGACACAGTTCCACTGTCTGCAGAATCAAGCAAAAGACACCCTAAAAAAGCTTGAAGACCATTATAATTATAGAATCGAACTGATATGGCCTAATCTGACTCTTTCTTAAAGGGTTCTAAGTTCACATTTACATCCAAGTTGGGCAATGTTGCTTTGAGTAATAAACTGGCATAAAAAGATGAAACACCCAAATAATAGAACATGGGAAAACGCAATTGTTCAAATTTTGCGTAAAGTTGAGCAACAAATGACATCACTCATGTATATGCATCTGTGAAGCGTGAAATTATTTGATAACAGTATAATTACCATGCCGAAAAAAAGGAGAGTAGATGTCTGCAAGGTAAATAAATAAATGTAACAAAAAAAAAAAATACCATTCAACACGGACTGCCATAGCTCATACTGATCAGCTTGAGACATGTTCATGATGCTCTTGCAGTTTCCATTTATTATATATGCTGCCTAGTTACAAAACAGACTCTGATTAGCACGAAAAATAACTTGATTTAAAATTACCCATCTAGAATAATATCTTGAACTGTTGAGAATAGGAACTCTGAAAAACGATTAACAGGGAGCAGTCAGGAATGACTTAGTAGATCATCCTTATTTATACATAAATGACCTAAATAACGCATTGATGCTACGCTAAAAGAGGACATGGCACATATTCTAACATCTACGATGAAAACAAATGAGGCTTATTTCAAAAGCCTCCCTTCTTTGTATTTTTGTTTCATCCAATCCTTATCGGACAATTAGATCCAGATGCACCAACATCCCTGCATAATTATAAATCGTATGTCCAAACTGATTAATGCAAACCTGGGAACAGCTTTCGAGAGATGAATATTCCCGGCGAGAACCTGGATAACTCGTTTTTAAGTGGCATGACAACAAATTTAAATACAATGATATGACATGCTGTATCTAATTGAGCAGATATAACTGCTTACTGTATGCCTAGATGAATTCAGATTACTGGGGTTTCAGCAATGGCAATGAAATAGAAGACGATAGAGAACAATACATTTGGATCTTTGTTTGAAACCTAAGAAGTGGTGAAAAATAGCTGAATGCCATGATGACTCCGAACTGTTAAAAAATAACTAAGTGCAATGAGATGGGCACATTTCCTCGGCTACTTGAGACATGACATCTGTAGAGGTCCCTTATATTATTTAAAATATTTTCACGTTCAGCTACATCAGGAGAAAGGACTTTGACATCCTCGTTTCAGCAATCCCTTCCAACTGCACAGCAATGGCAAATATGCGGTAGTTTCAAATATTTTCTTTAAAATTAGTAGGCATGCCTGAATATCTTGAAGTGAGCTTAACCGTCGCACAAATTTCCAGGCATAGTCAACATAAAATAAATCAATAACATGAAATACTGAGTCATTATCTTGTCTGCAAACCTCTTTCAAGGAATTGATGAAGCTCCACTTTACAGCTTCTTCACCATCACATGGAGTCAGGAGTTCTCCAGGGTAACCCCTAAAATGCACCTGTAGGGTATGTATATAACTCATTGTTAAGCTTAAGGTCTCATACAGTGCATAACAGAATATTGGTATCTGAACGCAGCAACACGAGAAACTAAAGAAAGCTTTAAAATATTATTATAAGGAGAAAACGGCTACAGAAAATGGCAGAAAGATCGAAAAAGACACAAGACTACCAAAGAAAAAAATGCAAAACATTGCATCTTTAATCTTAAGATGATTAGGATATACGTTAAAGGAGCATGTGAGTGGTTTTATAGTTTTTAAATCTATAAAAGGTGCTTCAGCATTTTTAAGAACTCATAAACATCGAACAGAAGCTTCTCAGCGGAAAACCAAGTCATACCGTCAAGTTCCATGGTCTTTCTGGCTCCGGACATAGAAGATCAAAGAGAACTCCTGTTGGTATGTACCTGATTAAAGTGACGAGACTTCATCGGAGTTATTCTTCTATGTAAAAGAAATTAAGCCTCACATAAAAAAAAACGATCTGAAATATTTTGCAAAGTGCAGGAATGTTTCAAGATAAGACAAAATACCTTAAACATAATAAGAGGAAAATAATCAACCAAGTCATGAGCTAACAAAAACGATTGTACCACATCTGTTTTTCAAGTCTTAGCCTCCCAATGAGAGCATGCTGAGAAATCTCACAATACCATGACTCGAATCTAACGCACTATGATATAAAGAGCATAACAGACAAAAATGAACTTTGCACAAGTGTCTTTTATCACATGCAAAATATGCTAACAATGGAAGGCATTTCACTTTGTCAACATAATCCAAAATCTATGTCATCAATACGGAACAATAGATATTGACATCACATATCTCAACAAATGCGTATTAGAAATTCCTTCATCAAACAATGCGTTGGATCAGAGATCCCAAAAGTTGGAACATTTTTCCTACAATTCAATCAACTCACAAGTCATCGAGGAATGCTTCCTGTCGCGCCAAAAACTAACTTTAAATTTAGATGGTAATAAACTTCGAAGGGTGACAATGGCATATCCATACTGATAGTGAAATAGCAATCTAAAGCTGAATTAATGTTGCCAATTATAATATCCTCTCGTTCAGCAATAAAGCCATTCTGTTTTTGGGCCCAAACTTTTCCTGGAGATGGTCAAACATGGAAACAGAATCAGAAATTTACATCATCCATTCCTAACTTTTCTGTCTCTACAGCCAATGCATTCCCTCTTCTTCCTCCAAACCACTCATCTGAACTTACCATGTCGCAAGACAGACAGTGAGGATCAGCATGAATTCATTTCCTCTAGTAACAGGCCACTTGAACTAGCTTGTTACATCAGTAACAAGCTAAATGAGAAAAATGAACCTTGAAACTATTTGAGATCACCTAGCCTTAAAACTAAACCTGCTACGTCACTGAACTACCATATGTACATAAATGAGATGGGAAGCTTCAATGCCGTCTTCCTCCTCTAAGTACAGATATTTTAACAAATCAAATTCAAGAAGCTTTTAAGGTCACACTGTGCATTCAACATGCATGGCTGTTGGTATGTCTGATCTCGACTATCTGCACTAATGTGAAGTTTAGTTGATCTGTGTCGGATAATAGTTAAAGTCATGTACTGTATAACGTCTTTAGAGAAATATATAATCAAAGTTGACTATTGGACAACTAGACCTGTGCATTTTACTTATTAAGGGAAGGGCACTTTTCTGCAATCAACATTTTCTTGACACCAGAAAACAGTATTCATACAATTGTACTTCACACGGGATGATTTGATAGTCAAACAAACCAAATGTGCTCATTGACCTTCAGCAGTGTCAAGTTTTCATTGATAGTATACAGTCTAACACTAAATTGAGTGATTCTCTTCATCAACTTTGCACCAGGCTATTACTGAAAAATAAAATACAAATGAACCCATCAGTATTATCACTTACCATTTGAGCGGCACTCCTTTGTAATCAAACCACACAGTGTCCACTCCAGGGGGCAATGTGCTGTCAAAATGGGGCTTTATCTGAGGGATTAGTAAGGGAAGGTACCCAATACGATACCCTAATACCTGAAACGAACAATAGATAAAAGAAAATTAATGGCAGAGAAATCATAAAATTCCCAGAAGTTATTACACCGGTACATGAATGCAAGCTGCAAATAGCAAACTACCTTTTCCAAAATTGCACCCGTGGTTGAATTGGCACTCCTTAAAATTCATTCAAATCAAAGCCCACTGTTTTTAAGTTGATCACCAAGAATTAGGGTAGAGAAGCAGACACTGTGCATAATGTTTGATTATTTATTTGAATTTGGACGTTGCGCATCATGATTTACTTCGTTGAAACAAAAAGGTAAACATGCTCAACTTGTAATTCCTAGAAACTTGCAAATATCGCGATATCAGTTTTTCCAGCGGATACAAGCTTAAACTCAGGCACGAGTAATGTATTCTATGGATGAAGAGGGAACATGAGCGTCTGATATAGGGGGATGCTCTTTTCTATCAATTATGAAGTAACAATGACTAGGAACACAATCTCGAAACAGAAATCCTTAACTATGTCGTGCTACTAGTAAATATATACAATTGATATCGGTAAGTATTATATCCGTCATCAGAGGAAATAATAGGTTAATCACCGTGATTCTTTCCTACCAAAAGCATGTACAGTCAAAGATGACACGTGCTCAAATCCGAACATTCAAGACCCACATCTTAACAAGTGTCCTTGAACATTCAAATGCTCAAAATTGACCGAAAGCATCACAAATCACCGGTATTGATGGTTATCTGTTTCTATTAGTCCACGTTTCCCTTACGCTACAAGACTCATTGATGTTCATGCTCTGCTTGTAGCCACGAAACCGGGGGAAAAAATATGACATCAATCTGGGATACAACAAAATAGCGCCCCAAGGATTGTGGTTCCATCCGACTTGAGTGAATTTCACATCCGTTGACTGAGTTCCACGATCAAATTTTAGTCCCTAGCAACTCACATCGTCCTCACGGCACGCATGACCACAACCCACCAAAACGTGTAAACAGGAGGTTCAGAAGTACAGCCGATCTACATGAACGGGACAGAAGCAAACAACAACAGCGCCACACAAGCACTGCCCCACCAACTGGCGGGGAAGAGGAAACACATTGCCGAGAAATTACCAAAACAGGGGCCGGAGGGGGAAGTGTGGTGACTTCAGATTCATGGAGGTGAATCTGGAGGGGGATGGCCCCCTCCCAAACGTACTTCACGGCCTCCTCTGAGCATATCTCCATCGGGCAAGGCACGCAGAATCGTGATCCCGATGCTTCGCGCACCTCGCCGCGATCTCTGCTGAACGAAGGCAGATCTCCCTCCACCTAGCGATGGCGGAGGGGGGGAAAGAAGAAGACTCTCGAACAACCCCCACTAAAGAGCGTGCACGCCAGTCGATCTCCTCTTTCGATCTAAGGCGTGTACTACGTCTCCCACAATTTGATCCAACGGTCCTCGTCTCTCCATAGCTGGAGATTAACGGGCTTGACGGATATTTAATTTTTTTAACAATATTTAATACTAAAAATGGCCGTATAGTCGCCTGCAGGCAATGCGAATGTTAACGGGCTTAACGGACGCGATGCCACGTCATCGATCCTTGTCTCAGGCTGCATAGAAATCACTGCCGTTGATTGGGAATCCTAGGGTAAAGGATGATGCTACTCTGAACCGGGCCATCGAATGGCCGGCTTGCTCGCAGAGGCGGGGTAAAGCGCATCAATGGCCTCATCTACGAGGAAACGCGCGGCGTCCTGAAGATATTCCTGGAGAATATCATCCGTGACGCTGTCACCTACACTGAGCACGCGCGGCGGAAGACGGTCACGGCTATGGATGTGGTGTATGCTCTCAAGAGGCAGGGCAGGACCCTGTACGGTTTCGGTGGCTGAGGATGGATCGTGGCCCCATGTAGCCGTGGTTGTCGTGATGTTGGACCTGGCGTGCGGCGGTGGTCTGGGGTTAATATCTTATGGGGGAGGGTTTCCGGGATGTCCTGGTGTATCGTTCATTCGCTCCCTGATCTAGGATACCTGATTAGGGCTGTGGGTTCCCTTGACACGCTCGCAAGAAGGTGTACCAGAATACGATTGGAAATGACAACATTCTTGGCTTTTTACTTCCGATGGTTCTCTTTTTTATTGATCCTGTCTATGTTTCGTGTACGTCAAGTTCAGGGGAATTCAATCGTGCAAATGTGATTGCATTTGCAGGGAAATGCAATCTTGTTGTATCCCATCGAACACGTTGGTGTGCTTAAGCCACCTCCCAAAGGTTTCTGATTTCTTCCTCCTAACTTCACCGGGATCTTCATTGCCGGGGATTTTCTCCCATCTCCAAAGCACCTGTCTTCACCCAATTCTACGTGAAACCTGTCAGTGCATCTGCTGGGAGTTACACCGGCTGTGATTGCTGGATCAAGAATGGTCTGTGGTTTGAGACTAGATTTCATCTGAGCCCTGAATCCAACTTGACTAGTTCTCGCTTCGTTTCAGTTCAGGCAGGGTCCTCGAGTCTCGACGTGCATGCAGGTGATGGCTACCTTCTAAGGATAATTCTCGTTGATATCTCTGCTGCAGATTGGCGCAGAAATCCAATACGAGTTTGTCTGGATGGGTGTTGCCCAAGCTATGGCAAAGGGTGCTCTTGTGCACCAGGAATGCTTGCTTGATGTTGGGTCATCGAGTAGGAACTCTGGTTATCGTCGGTTCTGTGTGCCATGAAGAAGATTTTGATTCCAGATGAAAGCCATCTGAACTTTATTGTCCGCAGCTTTTACTTTCCTCGCGATTCCTAGCCGATCACAGATACCATTTGCTGTCAAATCAGGCGCTTTCAGAATCAGCCGAAGGGATTTGGAGGAAGAACTTCGAATCACCTTAGCTTCTTAAAGAATATCAATGATCTTAAGGGAGGTAACGCACTTGTCTATCCTCTGTCATGGAGCTTTGGTTGGTGCCCTCAGACGCTCTTAGGTTGCAGTATAAACCATGGTTTCCGCAGACTTGTGCGAAAATTGGCATGGATGATGAGAGATCAGTGGATGGCCCTCGATTCTTTACCAGACAGAGGAAGTGACTCGATTCTAGGTGTTGTTTGGGCTAAACCACTGAATTCTTTAAGATCTTATGCTCAAAGAGAGGACCCATTCGACGAAGTTGGATGTAGAAGTCAACAAGAATTTCGATAATTTTTCATATCCGAGTTATCTACGGTTTAGCTCCAACAAGGGATGATGATCTCAATCTCAGAGCCCACACCAGTCAACACACTAAGAACAGTGAATCAGAGAAGAATGCAAGACAAGATAACAGGTTCAGCATCTCCTAGACCTGCTTTCGCCTTTAGCTGTTCTCTGGATAGAGCCCCCGATTTCGCCGGCAAGGGCCCTAGTCCTCCACCCTCCCTCGCCGTCCACCACCTGCTTCGCCGGTGCTGTGGGTTGATCTTCTTTAGTGGAGCCGTGCTGGTCGGTGTCTCTCATGCGACGAACTGCTTGCCCACGTATGTCTGGCCGAAGGACCAGTCCGAGGGGGCTACGCTGTAGGAGGTGACGGTGTCGCCGTCGCTGGTGGTGACCTCGAAGGACAGCGGCTGGCCCCGTAGGTCCGCGTTGATGTGCCAGTTCTGGCCCCAGTTGCGCGCCATCTGCAGCCACCCCGTCCTCGACCCCTTCACCTTCACCTCCGTCACGTCGCCGGCGCCGGCGACGTTGCTGATCAGCACCGAGTGGAACACACCGTAGCCATCGACGGTGAACCGCATCCCCCCTTGGCGGCCGCACCTGATCCTGGATCATCATTCAGAAGAACAGGGTCTGAAATGAGCAACCAGATGGGAGAGAAACGAAGGAAATGGGCCATTCGGAGGTCGACCATGGCGAGAAAGAGGGAAACGGAGAAAGAAAAGCAAAAGAGAAAGGGGGAAAAAAAAGGAGGAATCACTGACCGGCGGAACTGGATGGGCATGTTGCCGGCCTTCCAGATGGCGATCTTCTCGAAGGCCTCGATGGGCATCACCAGGTGGTGGTTGGGAGGGTTGCAGTGCCCGCCGGCGTCGGCTGGGAGGCCGTAGTTGGGGGGGCAGAAGTTGGTCACCGTTAGCTTGATGGAAGTCCCCGGGATGCAGTAGCGGAGCTCCTCGACGCACCTCACCTCGAAGCACGCCCCGCAGATCTGGCCCTTCTCGAACAGAACCTCGCTCAGGCCCAACGTCCCCAGCCCATAGCCGCTCCGCCCAAGATCGCCGTACCCGCAGGCCCCAGCTGCGAGATCCAACCCACCTCATCCATTAGAAACGCCATCGCCGGATACGAGACAGAACGGAGATTCAAACGGATTTGAGCTTTGTCCAACTTACAGATGGTGTCTCGAGGATCTGAGGCAGAGTAGTAGGTAGCACGGCCGGGCTTCCACTCGCCCAGGACCTCTTGGGGGTAGCGCGACGTCGTCTGGTGCGCCGCGGCCAGCTGGAGCAGGGAATGCAGGACCGTCAGGAGGGCAAGTTTCTGGAACAGGAGCTGGAGGCCGCCGGCGAAGAAGCCATTGCGGCGGCGACGACGGGGGCTTGGGCTTGGCATCTCCCCTCTTCCCCTGTGCCACACAATCTGGTTCTTCAGCCCTTGTTTCGGACTTCCGGCATGTACGAAGGTGGAGAGCCCTGAAGAAGACGGCCTGAAAGTGGGAACCGACGCACTGTACGTGGAGGGTTGTGGGAAAGGAAGCCGCTACCACCATCTCCCTCATTCTCGGGCGGCTCTGGGTTGATGACAATCTCAGCCGCACGGATCCACCGCAAATGCTCAATCCAACGGACAAGGATCATGCTCTCTCTCTCTCTCTCTCTTCACTCTCCCGCTGTGATTTTGACCTTTCTTCTCACGTGATTGCCACGTGAAAGCAAAAACAAATCCATTGACGGTGAAGGGCTCATTGAAGCACAGCCGTTGGCCATTTACGCTTTGGGTGATCCGTCTACTCCTTGGGCGAGGACGTTACAGCTTTGATTTGGTCGCAGATTTAAGCATTTGGGTTAATTGGGCCGGGTTACCTTAAATGGATCTGACAGTTCCGGTTTTTAGGACATTTCTCTTAATGGGCCTCCAATACCATAGACTTCCGGTTACAAAGACGGTGCAACGGCGGCCCGCTTCCACTCGGGCGCAGGACGTCCTCCTGTCGCCAGCATTGAGCTATGCGATTCGCACCCCGTCCGCCTCTGCACTTGTTTACTGCAAGCTACAAAGAATCAGCCTGTCATAGATGAATCAGATGGCAACCCGAGGTAGACCTCCATGGAACTCGACTCACTTCAGCGCTTCTCTCGCTTCTCTCTCTCTCTCTCTCTCTCTCTCTCTCTCATATTCTCTCGCTTCTCTTGCGTACGTGTAAATTTAATTATTAATTAACTATACACCGTATTTGGAATGAATGAGAGGCATTCGGAATTGAAGTCTGCTTGATATCTGAAGAATTAGCTTTGTAACCATCACCTTGGGTTGAAGGCAAGATCTAGCTACCATCACTATTTGGTTTCGAGATTGCTTACTTTCAGCATAACCATCTTTTGTCACAAGGAGCATATACCTGGATTAGTGATCAGTCCTGCATGCTAATTGATGAAAAGCCCACTGATTTTAATTCAAGCTAACTCAAACCGGTGACCATCTTCTAGATTTTTCTTTAAATCGTCAGCTAGTTGAAGCGCTAATTTTTCTAAAAAACACTTCTCATATCACTTGTATCTTAAACAATTTTCCACACTCACAAGTTACCATCTTTACTTCTGCTTTCATCATCATCATCTCCAGAGTGTTTGCCAATTCTCATGGGATATGAAAGATCACACATTGATGTTAACTTTGTGAAATTTTCTTAAATGACATTGATATATCGAAAAGACAAGTAGGACATCGTCTGCTCTCTTGATGAAGAAACAAAAATTTGTTTTATTAATATTTGTATTTATATCTAAAATAATGCCTCTCATTAGGATTTACTTTGCTACTTATCTTCATTCAATGAGAGGATAAATCACATTGTTTTTGGCTCTAATCTTCTTCATCACTATTTCCTCACCAAAATATTTTTTTCCATATCATATTCCCTCCATCTACCTAGAATGGAATTGTTGCATGAAATCTCATGCAACTAGACAAAAAGGATTTATTTTGTGGTTGAGTATTTAGCGTTAAGGAGGCCAAGGATTAAGCATGTTACCATGTCCTTGATTGTTACCATATATTAGCATCCATTCTTGTGTGTATAAATAGCTTCACCCATGTACGTGCAAATATTTTGCTCATTTTTACATAATGAATGTACACTAAACGAATAATAATATGCATATCTACATATTTTCAGTTACTATTAGAAGATATACTTTGAGCTCATAAAATAAATTGAAAACATTGGAGTATACACCTAATCTCTCTTTTACTTTCATCAAGGGACACTTTGTGTGAAAATCTAGCCATTTTAAAATTCTTATTACGGCCATAAAACATAAATATTTCTGCGTGCAATGTATACATAGAGATGCTTATTGAGCTTTTATCAGCATGCATGAATCGTATATTAAGTCACTCTCTTGGGTCAAGCTTAGTTTCGTGGCATGTGGTATGAGCTCTCATGAGTGGAGGGCCTTACACTTGTGCCGTATTTAAACTATGTAAACATTTTTATGCCCAGGTCTAGCTTATTTTAATTTTTAATTTTTTTAATATGATTTATAAGATCACCGCCGCTAGATTTCTTAGTCAATTTTACTATGATCCTTAGGTGTCCCTAGAGATTGCAGGTAGATTTATCATCACACTTTTGGATTGGTCACTTCTTCCTTTCCGCTGGCCTCAAGGGGAATGAGCTTCCTTCTTTGGACATTGAAATAGAGCAAACGCCAAATAAAGATCTTCAGTTCCACACCTTAAATTAAAAAAAATGGGTTATCGTTTTTATTAATCATGGTAATCAGTCGTCATCAACTTTCAAAATATCTCAGGCATGTGTCTAATATTTCGTTTGGGAAATCCGAATATTTGATGGAATGTTTGCTTAGGCTCTGTTAATTTCATCTGTATTATACTAAAATATTTAAATCCCCATTGAGTAGAGAAAAACCCTATTTATCGGTATTGTACAATGTTGACGTGGGGAGTGGGGGAGAGCGTTAGGCCAGCCCATGAGCTTTGCTCCTTTCATTGATCGAGTAAAATCATCATTATTCAATTGTAACCTTGGGCTCACTTAAACTTTAGTTATTGGCTTTCAATTGGATGACTTATATTCCAATTATTTGTAGCACATTTTTATTCATCTTCCTCTTTGTTTATGCACGAATGTTAATAGGAGCTTTTCTAAGATTAAATACTATTATCTTCTTTCTGCGTGGTCAATGATGAAACGTGTATAAACTGTAGGTGCGTATGCATCTGTATACTTGTAGTTGTTTTCCGGATGGTTAAGACCGAAGAAGTATTCCAAAGCTACGCGCTCTCAAAGTTTCCACAACTCTTTATGCCTTTGTCTATCTCTCTCGAAATGCAACAATGGTCGAACCCCACCTCAACCCCCCCCCCCCCCACCTTGACCTCGAACAGATTACCATTTTAGGAGGTGTAGCTGTTTCAAAATTAAGTCTGAAAAGAAGATTCCACCCGATCGTCCACATCTTCTTTGGGGGCAGGTTTAGGGTCCTATTCTTTTGATCACATCTCTCTCTCTCTCTCTCTCTCTCTCTCTCTCTCTCTCTCTCTCTCTCTCTCCCCTCTCTCGCTCGCTCGCTCGCGCGGTCAATTTCATGTAAAGGGTTTGGCTTGAAGCCCCTTTCGATTTTTTTCCACGGGGTGAACTAAAATTTATGCCTTATTAGTGGAAGCCGGGCTCCGGATCATCTTATAAAGACTGCGGCCCGGCCCGACGTGCTATTGTCTTCGGATGTGGCCCGACAAAAGTGCCCGACCGTCCACATCAGGAGGACCCCCCGGAGCCTGGCCCAGGAGAGAAAGTTCGTCTCGGGGTTCAGCTCGGAGCTTCTTTCCCAATACGGTCCCTGGCGTCCCGATTCCTACTACCGAAGCCCCTTCCTTTGTTATGGTCTTATCTTTGGAATATTGTGGCTGACACGGTAGGGGCGGGCGGGAAGGAGAATATTTAGTTTGGATAGCATCCCTAATCAACGATTGCGGCGTTCAAGAATTGCTTGCAAGATCACCCGCAATACATCGTTCCTCAACTTTCCGACGCCAGTGGAAGGAGAAAAACGCGTTCAAGAACTAATCATAAAATATGTTATTCAAATAGCGGAGGAGAATGTTGCGCTTCAGTTAAATGGGAAACTTTATGGAAATAGTCCTCTAGCTAAGTTTCTGTAAACCGTTTAATGGCTGAAATGGGTCGAAAATGAGCCATTCAGCTGTCGGAGATGATTTTTTTCTCGATTTTGTAAAATATTTGAGTGGAACTCGAGGAGAAGCCCAGGTTAACGTTCATCAGATTGCTAAAACTACGATCGATTCAAAAAACTACGGTAGACCTAATATGTAGCATACAAGATCGTTCAAATGACAATCAAATGTGGGTACTTGTGCTAAAAATCAACTATATTTTTTCTGAGTCGCAAAATTTGTTCTTTTCTTTGTTAAAGTTAACCAATAAAGACAGAATCAGAATTTATCAGAAGTTCTGGTGGGCTGCTGCTCATCGTGAATCACTGAATTACTCCCAGATCAATAAGTTGATGAGGGAGAGAGAGAGGCACGACAAGGTGGCCAGACCAAGCGGAGTAAGTCGTAAGCTATCGCTGAGACCCACCTTGGCGATTTCCCGTTGAGCCTTTGTCAGCAGTATGATTGTCTAAAGTTGCCAGAGGGCCTTTATTGAGATCCTCAGTTGATGGTCCAAATAAACCTGCTGATGAGGGTTCGACACGTGGGTTGGCGTGGAGGACCAGATGATAATGGAAGATGGCATATTCTGTTCGCGGTGTCGACTCAAAGTTGAGAGGGAGGGAGTAATCTTGGCGAGTATGTCACGCGGTGAGTACCTTCGGCGAACGATATCGAGAATCAAACGCAGAAGAAAACACCGAAAGAAAAGAAAAACAAGAGAGAGATGATTGAAACCAGTCATAGACCCAACCCTGCTCTCTCTCTCTCTCTCTCTCTCTCTCTCTCTCTCTCTCTCTCTCCCGCGCTCTTGAGCTTTTGCCCCTGTCAAATATCATCGTCACCAGCCTCTTATTATCCTGTTCAGTTTCTTTTCTTTTCTGCTCATTTCGATATTATTTCCTTCACAGGTCTCCCTCTTCTCCTTCGCCTGTCTTCCATATCGTCCCTTCCACTTGATCGTTTTACGTTTGATATATTTCAACGGTACGTTGTAAAGCGTTTTCTGCGTTCGATACCTCTTTTCTCTGTTGTCAGGTTTAACTCACGGTTTCGTGATTTGAGGAATTCTTACATTACCCAGAATAGTTCAGTGATCCTTCTCCTCTTGTTTCTTCTTTCTGTTCAGTTTGTTTCTCATTCCAATCGCACTTGCAATATGGAAGGACTTGAAAGCCAGGATTTAGAAGATGTTGCCAGTGACGCTGCGCCGTGGTTTTCGATTTCATCCGACAGATGAATAGCTTATTGTGTCCTATCTAAAGAGGAAGATCATCGCTGTAGTTGATTTCTACGAATCTGAGACATGGGATTAGGGGGGTAACAGAGAACAAAATTCCTCTCACCAGCCCAGCAGCTGATAATTTATCATCAATCAGCAATTTCAGGGTGCAACTTCTGCGGAAGACAAGTGACAAATGAATTCCATCCACATAGTTTTCCATCAAACGTTGCAATATTTCGTAATACATGTCTTATTGATTTATCACCGATCTCTTTCATGTGCGTCATCTTTATTATTAAGAATATAGGCAACAGTCTTGTGTGGAAAGAACCCTAGAAGATGTACATTGATTCCATCTCAAAATATTGAATTTCTTTATATTAATGCGATCCCACACGGGATGAGATAAAAAAAACTAGAAATAAGTTAAAACAAATTTAAATTGATTTATTCTTTTTTTACGAGGAGCTCTCATAATACGAGTTAATCTTCTTACTGCCGTCGAATGCCCATCTCTCGTAACGTTACATCAACATCTGACTTGATACCTGCGACAGAGAAATCCATGCTGCAAGGTAAAGATCTCGAATGGCTACTTAAACCCCTCGTAAACGCAATAATCAAATGGCTCAAGGAACAACGGTGCAGCTCAGACGGGGTATTTGGAATCAACTGGGAAGGGCAAGACATTGGAATCGCAGAACTAAGAAGAACCCTCGTTTACTCCAGGGAACTGGATGTAATGTCGTGCAGAAGAGGCTCCTCGTTTCACTATCCCCCATCTTGGAACACTCCGAACTTTTCACTTTTATCGTCAAAGGTACAGGATTTGTAACTTTGATCAAGTTTAATAAACCTCGTTTCAAGATAAAGTCTCTCTCTCTCTTCTCTCTCTCTCTCTCTCTCTCTCACACACACACACACACACACAGAGACTCTTTGTACGCGGCGATTTTAGAACAATAAATGATTCCACAGGTAGTTTGGTTAATGTAGAGTAGGCCAGATATAACGATGATCCCTAATTTTGGAAGATACACGAAGTTTAAATATTGCTGGCTGACGGAATTGTTCCCAGACGGATAATGACGTCAAATATTCTTGTAGTTGACTGAAGGCATCTGTTTCTCGGAGATATACGAGAAACTTTTCTCCCAATTGACCAAGAGTTGACCTATGGTCAGGTAAACGTTGCGGTGGAGTGTGGGGGTCTACACCATCGCAGCCCTCTTCCTCCTGTGAACGCGGAAGACTTCCCCAACGAGAGTTTCGTCAAGTTGATTATCTTTCATTCAGGTTTGACTAAACAAGGAAAAAACCACGGGGACTTTCTGGAAGAAATCCTCTCCGTCCCGCCGTACTCTACGGAGCTAACCTACCATTCCGTCTGCAATGATGCGCCGATGAAGGTCGCAGTTGATGAAAGAGCAAGAGATTATCCGTTTTGTCCAATGGATGGTCGCCACTTGTCCTGAATTCTTGCACTGGTTGGTGCCCTAAACCAAGATCGGCGTGTATCTCCATTGTGTAAGCGCGCCGGTTCTTACCAAGATCGGTGAGATCCTCTCCGGTAAAGTTCTGGGCCAGGCTATGATGCACCGGGATATTCCCGGAACCAGGCAAGAGCTTCACAAGGCCGTTTATATTGGGAATTCAGCTACAATCATGCATGGATATGAGGGAGATCTGGAATTTGCATGTCTGATAATGAGAGGACAGGGAGAACTCTCCGATGGGTTCTGGACGATGAGAATATGGAATGGAACGAGGTTGACATCGAATGGAGAGACGTACTCAATGGGGAGGTAGGCTTTCATTATTGCTGTGGTGGATCTCTAAGTTTCTTGACTCGACAAACTCTCCTTTTCTTTCGTTTCATGCTGGTGTATTCCCTCTATCTCTCTCTCTCTCTCTCTCTCTCTCTCTCTCTCTCTCTCTCTCTCTCTCTCTCTCATCCTTTAGTTTCAGGGATTACCAACATCATTGACGGGTCCGCCAGCAGTTGTTTCAAAAATGGATGTTTGTCAAACAAGTATTTTCGGACAAGATTATTTATGTCGCGCGGGAAAAGGAAATGTTTCTGCGCGCGAGGGTTTTGTCCAACTTTGGTACGAATAGCGATGCTCAACTTCGGCCTCAGCTTGTCTTTGTTACTGTACGAACACAATAGGATTAGCAACAAGAAACTTTTTTTTTTATTATCGGCTTGAATATTTTCTGTTATGCTTCAAAATCCAATTTAGTTACATGCATATATGCATATATCTACATCCGAGTTCATAAAACTGGTCATATGGCAGAATTACTGGATGCATCTAGGTGCCCGTAGCTTCATTCCTTAACAAGCGTTGAAAGGAAAGATTGTCCAAGGACCAGCCATTGCGTCTCTCATTGCTGAGAGATTGGTTTTTCAGAGCCGACGTTGAAGTCGAAAGAGAGCAAGGGATAGTTTGAGCATCCCATATTAAATTCGCCGTAACATTAAATTCAGCTCCCCGACTTCGTGCAAGAGCATGATTTTCGAACTTCAAAAAAAAGTTACTGGGAATCTCATGCCAAAGTATGTATAGGAGTCCCAAGCTTATCATAAAAAGCTGTGCAATTATGCATGCTGCAAAGGTATCAAAGGCTCAAGAGGGGGAAAGAAGTAAGTGGTTTTACTGATTGGTCCCACAGTCTAGAATCAGAGGGAGATCTTCTTGCTGAATACCAGGTCAAAGGACCATATCTAGGACTCCAGAGGAAATGAACTGTTTCCTCTGTAAACATTCGTTGAGATTCCCACTGAGAAATTATCAACTGATTCGATGATGCTTGAGAAGTTATTGGGCGATGAATAAACTAATCTGGACATTTTAGGTAGTTGAAGTGACGCAAGGACTATCATATGCACCTTCCCCGCTGGATAGCGTAGAGCACCACGCATCTTCTGTTATGAACTGCATCCAGAAGTTGTCCTTGTCGTCCTCTTCGACACCGGAGGATGATCCGACGGCCACATCGGGGGAGAAGTTGTCGTAGTCGTTGGTGAACCCCCGGGAGTTTTCGCCGAAAGCGAAGGTACACTGCACTTGATCTTCCACGTCTGGGATGGGCACGTTCTTCTTGAAAACGCGACATAGTGCGTACGAGTCCTAGCAAAATAAAGACCAAAAATCACTATTGAATGTGCAAGAGCCCCACCACCACATATTTGATTAGACGGTTGGAACTTGCCTATTTAGGAGGCAAATGGCATTTTTCTTATCGTGGTACTTGTAGGGAGAGTTTCAGAATCCTGAAGAAGGTAGTGTAATCCGGGAATAAAGTGGAAAGCTAACGCCACAACCAGACACCAGATGTATCTCTTGCTTGATGGCTGGGTCTTGGATCAGCATGAAACCTTAATAGACTAATGATGTGATAATCAAGACGGGTATTGACCTTCTTCACTCACCCCAGATTGCTAGTTCGGGATTTGTGACAGCAGATCAAGGGGGCTTTAATATGTTTTGGACCCATCCCATACAGTGGATGCATGATTTGTCCCAGTAGAAATCAAAAAGTTTCATAGGAGGGCCATGGTTGCCAGGTCAGGGGAAGAAAAGGAAGTGGGGTCCGGATATTTTGATGGACGGGAAAGTAAGGAAAAGAAGTGAAACACCAAAACTTTCCATGCACGTCATCTGCATCCCCCACGGAAGGACTCTCGGTCGCCGCGCGAAAAACCTTTTAATACACGTCAAGAAGAGATGTAAATGCCCCATTTTCGATGCGTCTAGATAGATCCTGTGCGTGATAAAAAGTTCTTATTTCCCGTCAATACCAAAAAAGTGATAATTTTAATAATTACACGAGTAGAAAAAACCTAAACTTTACCTTCAAGTTACCATACTGATATCCCAAAATGAGACCCCTTGAACAGTCGATTATCTGATTTGCCTAGCAATAGAAATCTAATTTACTTGTCGAACCCCATAAAGATTTCATGTTTTCTTTCTTAAACAGATCCCACCTAATTTGCGCGAAATATCCATCTTAGGCCCCCAAGGGGTGTGGATCAGCCGAATTGGACCGATGGAAGAATGACCCAAATCCTCGAATGCGTGCTGCTGAGGATCTTGGGACCTGGAGCTAGGGAGAGCCGAATAGTTCCTTCAACGGAAATCATGGCGAAGAGGTACCTCAAGTCAAGCAAAAACTGAACACGAGAGCTGTCTTCGCTTCCTACAAATACTGGCCGTGTTTACTAGTGTGTAGCTCCTCCATCCCACGATAAAGCAGCAGGCTCCCCGACCCCCAGAAACATAGATCCCTTGCTCTGTCCGAGGATATTATCATCTATCGGAATTCTTATTCTGCATTCATTGATGTTTGCACCGTGTTGTGCCCTAGTAGTGGTGCTTGCGAAGAAGAAAACGAAGAGGAGACGGCGAAAATATGGAAAATAAGACTACGAAGATGAAGCTCTTACCTGAATGCCCACGACGTCCTCGCTGTCCTTGTCGTCGAGGCGGTATTCATGCATCACCCAGTTCGTCCTAATTCCCTGCGGGGCTCGCCCTCTGTAATAGACTAGTGTCTTCTTCATGCCAATTGCACGGTTCTGGCAGCTGACTCTTCTGTCTTTGCCCGTCGATTTCCAGTACCCCGCCCGAGTAGCTCGATTTGTCCGGAATCCGTTTGGGTACTTGCGGTCCCGCGGTCCGAAGAAGTACCATTCAGGATCTCTGCTCGGTAAAAATGATTTCTCTGCAAGAATGAGGGGAGAAGCCACAGAGAAAGGAGCGATTAATGACCTGACAGACAAGTGACTAACTATCCGTTTGTTCCCAGTTTCCAATTAACATAGAAAACTCCATTTCAACGTAGTCGCCAACCGTTGGACGAGTGCGAACGAGATGAAACAAATAGTCAGGTTTTGTGGAGCACTACTATGAAGTTGCAGATAGAAGCGAGAAGAAAGGAGACAAGAATAGACCTGCCAGCTCCCATGGCTCACATTTGTAGAGGTCAACCTCGGGGATTATGTCGAGCTCTATCTTTAACCCGTGAATCTTCCTCTTCAGGTAGTAGTTGACGAGTTCTTCGTCTGTCGGATGGAACCTGAAGCCCGGCGGCAGACCCACCGGCGCCATCCCCCGTTGCCGTGTTCTCCTTCCTCTAACTAAAGAAAACCTCCTCTTCAACCTCTTTTTTTCATCATTGCCATTATCATCGCCATGTATATATACACACACACACAGACGGATCCAAAGTCCCTCCTCTTTGGGTCTTCGTTGGCTTTCTCTTTAGCAGATGCCCCGATAAATCTAGCGTTCTCGACAAGATGGTCTCGTCCTGTCCTTGCGCCATGCTCTTCCCCTCCAAGACTTCCTCAACCCGATGGTCTTCCACATGGTTCAAGTAACGGGTCATTACGATTTATAAATTGGCTTTACAGCACAACCACGTGGTCCAGTGCCACATCGAGTTCTCGTTGTCTCCTTGAGATTGTGCCTCCGACAACTCCCGGGACTTCGGGTTCCGTCGGTGTGCATGGCTTCTCGGACAAGAACCTGGATCCTAACATGCACAGTACGCGATCAAATGAGATCAACCAGTAGTCGAATGTGGGTAATTGTCACTCGCAATGGTCGCCCATATGCACTTGGTCATGTGCGATGATTGAGCTTATGGCGAGTATCAACACACAATTAAGGGATTGCAAGTAATTACGGTTGCTCGCTATATTAAAGGGCATTTGATCGAGACTCGATGGGCAGTGAGTTGCGATGTACCATGTGGTAGTGACGTGGGGGGCGGAGGGGAGTGGGGAGCTTTTAGCCAGTCTTGAAGTAGACGATGGCGAATGCAACAAGAGAAGAGGAAGAGGATATTGATGTTCACGAGCTTTATTTTCTGCTTTGCACCCCCCTCCCCCCCACCTCTCTCCCTCCCTCCGTCCCTCCTCTCTCTCTCTCTCTCTCTCTCGCTCTCTCTCTCTTTCTATCTAGCTCTCCCCTCTCCCTCTCTCTCTCTTTCTATCTATTTCTCCCCTCTCTCTCTCTCTCTCTCTCTCTCTCTTTCTATCTATCTCTCCCCTCTCCCTCTCTCTCTTTCTATCTCTCTCTCTCCTCTCTCCCTCTCTCTCTTTCTATCTCTCCCATCCCCCTCTCTCTCTCCATCTATCTAGCAGCCTTTTTGGTCATTTGCCCTCCTCACCCTACCTTTCTGACGAAACGACAACAATTAATAAACAGACAAAAATAACATCCCACTGATCGATCATTCGCGGCACTCTCATCAGCCTGATGAGATTCACCTTCTAAAGGAAAAGACAAAGATAAAGAAAAGAAAAGACGCAGATTCCTCTCTCCCCATCTCTCTCTCTCTCTCTCCCTCCCTCCTCTCTCTCTACTCTAGTAGAACACCTAGACACTGACCCACCTGTCAAAGTTCACCGGCCCACACCACCTGCAACAGGCCCACGCTATTTCAGGCTACGTCACTTTAAAACTCTTTTGGAGAAAGAAGTGTGGATGGATCAAAGGGTGAGGGGATGGGTCGTCGACAACAGCTGCTCCTAAGATCTACTTCTCAACCGTCTTAGCTTGTCCATTAAAGGCGCTTGTCTGATATTTACTCACCCCCGGCTCTCCAGGCTGGAACCCGGCAACAGTGCAGGGCTCGGGATCTCTCGATTGGTGAAGCGTTTCGTAAGGGGATTATGGATGGTCAGCAAAGGCTTCGGGTGGTTGTAGATTGGGGGATGAGGAAAAGCAGTTCAAGACGAGGGCACTCGATGCCTCAGGTCTCGTCTCCCAACAACATCATTTGGGAGAATGAGCTCATTTGTTTACTCGGAATGCGGGAGGATATCCATGCCATCAGGATGCAGTATGCTCGCCTCTTTTCCTTTGGGACAGGACCATTGCTAGAGAGAGAGAGATAGAGAGAGACTTATGCGTATGTCTCTGTGTGCGTATGTCAATGAAAAGTTCGGGCGCCTCTTGTTAGCGCAAACCTCTGGGGGAGATTAGAGGTGGATCGGTATAAACCTCACGTGTCAAACTAGCCACAGAACGAGAAGCAACAGTGCAATTTTTCACCGGAACATGTCCTTTAATAGCAAAATTCTGTGCGCTTTGTAGTGGTAGCAGTAATAATGGTAGTGGCAGTAATAGTGTTAGTATTATGAATTTTTTATCACAATCTTAGAGACCAGGCGAAATATTATCCGTAGAGAATTGAGATAGAACGCTTTTAAAAAGTCCGAATGGCGAGGCCGAGGCTTTCAAGAACTCGACCCGCGTTTGAGTGTATGAGCCCTTGACTTGGCCTGGGTTCTGGAAACAGCAAGGAAAATGGGCCCTACCTAATGTCCCGATAGACCCAACTGGACCCTTCATCTTCATCAGTGATGGAAAGAAAGAGTGAGAAACTGCCGTGTTGGTGATTATGCGACCATAGCGTAGCAAGAGAGAAGTAGGATACGGACTTCAAAATCATACCCTTTTACAATGTCAGATCCAAACCAGTCCCCAGACCAAGTCTATGAAAACTGATAATAACGCGAAGGTATCTGTGAATAAAGGCGTGTATATATTCACAGATGCATGTATTATGAATTTGCATGAAGCTCTAAGGAGACATTACACTAAAAATTCCAAATTTGACGGGTATGAGAGTTCTACTACCATCAATGTCCCACGCTCATGCAGCTACCCAATTTTGTTGAACAAAAGTTTTGACAAGAAGGTAAAAAGAAATAAAAAAAACCTGCGGACCATCGGGGTTGTATACCTCCGGTTTTCAATTGCTTCTCTTTCTTGTGGTAAACTGTGGGCCGCCCCAGATATGCTCATGGCGTCTAGGAAGAGCCCTAATTGATCCCATGAAGCTTGTTCGACTATGAGATGGAGAAGCGAGCCCATTGTTGTTGGCACAGATCATAGAGAGATTTTGAGAACAGACGCTGACAGACGAGTCCGGAAGTGGCTCCCTAATTTTATAGAACAATCTGCTAATTTTGTATGTCTTGAGTTTTTACCATTGAACGTCATTTTTTGCTATTTAATCCAGATTTTCCTTCTGCTTTCGATGTTGGAGATTATGACCGCCTGATCGACATTGTTAATTTATGTTCCTTTCTTTTTCGCTAGATTTGGTGCCACGAACTTAGTACTCTGTCACCATTCTTAAACTCTCACCTTTGAGGCATCTTCAACACCCTGAGATTTGTTTTGCGAACTAAGAGCTGTATCCTGTCACGAGGGAATGTGATTGCGTACCTCCTGTGCGACGTCCTGCCCCAGGGATGCAAGCTCGCTCGCTCTCTCTCTCTCTCGCTCTCGCTCTCGCTGCGCCTCTGCCCTAACCCTAAACCTAATAGTGCCCATCATCTGCCGAGAAGATGAAATCATATGCAATGAGCTGTTCCGCTCTTCAGAGTTATAGTGACAGAACGGGACGACAGCCTGCTGCCTGTTCCTCCGACGATAAAGAAAGCATGTCGGGGGTATCAGTCCGAACGGTCGCTTCATGGTTCCCACGGGATACCGAGTACTGAGATACGGACGCTCGTGGAGAGAGAGAGAGAGAGAGAGAGAGAGAGAGGAGGGCACATGAAGCAAAGTGGAGGACGGTGGACAATGCGGAGCACATGAAGGAGCGGTGCCGCAGAAGACGAAAGAGACGAAGACAAACCGCCGGAAGACGAACCCATCAAGGTAGTCACGGGCGGAGACGTAAACTGAACCTTCCCTGTCATTCTCTTCGATAGAATCCAGAACCATGCTCGTGTTTAGGGTATTGAATGAGGGGCGAGAGAGAACAAAAGAGTCCCAACACCGCTGTTCAGCTCAGTGGAGTGGAGGAAAAGCTGCACCACCATTCTCCACTCCCACGCCACCGTTTCCCTTTCATCGCCGCATCTTACCCATCAGTGAAATGTCCTTCAACCGCGAAATCTTCTAACCGTACTCGGCATTTACACCACAGACGGACTAACCTCCTGCTTACGCTCCGCCTCGGCGCCGCCATGTCGTCGCCTTCCTCCAGACTTCTGCAACTGGTGGCTTGCTTTCTCTCGCTCGTCTCACTCCTGCAGGGGGCGGACGCAGCTGCTCCGGTTCCGACTGTCAATCTCTCCCGGGTGGAAGACGCGCAATATTTTCACATTTACTTCGGGGAGAGCTTCAAGGTGATCAAGAACAGCATTGACGGGAAGAGCTACCTACTCACGCAGGTGACTCTGCCCCTCCCCTCTGCCCTTCTCGACGGCAGGAGTCCCTGTCAGAGTAATTGCATTATTCCTTGACTGGATTGTGCTTGAAACATAGCGCGATTTATATTGTGGAAAAAAAATACGAGTAGTTCAGCAAAAAATTTCCTGTCCCCTGAAACTCTATGATGAGAGTCTGTCGCGAAATTTGATTTCTCAAACATCTGATCCACCAATTCATCGCATCTGGGGTGGCTTCTGGGAACAGAGGAATTCGAGGATGGCGTCCACGGCCAGGTACTGCACCGGCAGAATCAAATCCTTCGTCATCCCGCTCTCCAACTACTCCCTCGACACCAGCGCCCCCGGTCTCCCAGGTACCCGTCCACCATTTCTGCTTCCACGTAGAGATCAGCTTTCCAAGTTCTCATCCGTCCTTGCTTCGGTTGTCTCTGCTACAGTTTCCTTCTTCGAGGTGAGGCCCAGAAGAAGGGCCATTAATGGCCGTGTTCGAAAGCTCTCGGGACCGGTTCCAGCCTGACTTTTTACTGATGCGCAGCTTTTGGGTTTGCTGGAGGGCTTGAAGGGCGTCACGTCCGACTCGGTGACTTCCGAATGCCTGCTGAAATCTCTGTCCACAGGGAGCACGGCGCTGGTGAGCAAGAAGGACACCCAGCAGCTGAAGCAATTCGCAGCGCACTTCGTCAGCGATGTCGATGGAGAGCAAGCCTGCAATTACGCTGCTTTCATGCCGATGGAAGAGATCTCACCATTGCAGGTACCGCTGCTGCGACCGCTCCGCGTGATCCCCACATCGTTTGATTGACCATATTGAGCTTCCCTGAAACATGGATCATTTTACAGAGGGCAGAGTGGATCAGGTACTTGGCGCCATTCGCGAACGCAGAAGCTCGAGCGAACGTCGTCTATAACGCAGTTAAGTTATACTGTTACTACTTCTGCCGAGAAAACAGAGCAACCGACAGTGGTGAAGGGGAATGAAAGCGTGCGTAGTTTCTGACGTACGGTGATCGCAGGTGAAGAGCAATTACCTGTGCTTGAACAAGATGGCGATGAACCAGAGTGAGGAGTTCAAACCAGTAGTGGCCTGGGTGGAGTACAACCAGGTCCGCTCGCCGTCAAAAAGCCCCATCATCTACCTAAAATTCGCAGACTGACACCCTAGATGGTCCCCTCTTGTCCTCATTTTTCTTTAGGGCATCTGGTCTTTCGTCCGGGAGGATTACAAGAGGCAGGTAGAAGAGCTCCGCTTCTTGCCCAGGTCAGTCAATTCATGCCGATTCGAATGTTCTCAGCTCGTTGGACTGTCCTCTTCGACAACAGCTCGTGAGGGACGCCGGCGGGGAGAACATCGACGACAGCCTCACCAGCAACAGCTACAACGTCTCCGATCCCGACGACATGGACAACTTCCATGCCATTCTGTGCGTAAGTTACAGCCCGTTTCATCTCCTTCCTTGTGCGTAAGCTCGCGGCGGAGTTTCACCATCTGACTGGAGCAATTCGGTGGGTTAGACGGTAGCCGTGCTGATCGACGAGACATACACGCCAGAGCCGGCGAAGTACACGCTATCCAGCTTCCTTGAAAATGTAGAGGTGACGGACAACTCGTGCTTCGTCTTCCTCACCAATCAGAGCCTCTGGAGGACCGACAAGCGGATCCGGGCCACCGCCGACGGCCACGCTACCGGTGAGATAAAAAGCACACCGGCCTCTCTGTCTTTCTCCATCTTCCTGCAACCGGTGTCCTGATTATATCCCCTTCTTGGTCACCGGAAGACTGGTTCGACGGGGCCATCGCGCAGCCGCAGCTGGTGCTGGCCGACCTCATCGAGGCATTCTTCCCCACCGGTAGCTACAACACCACCTTCTTGAGGAACCTGGCGAAGGTACAACAAGCCCGAACTTCTGATTCAGAAAGATTCAAGCCTCTAACGCTGCTGGCCATTTCGCTTTGCAGGGGGACGAGGTTTTTACCGTCGGGCCTGAGACGTGCGACAGAGGAAGCTCTGCTCCATTGGAGCCCACCATCGTGTCATGCCAGTGATCCATTATTTACAGACCCATCTTCTCTGTCTTCTTCAACCTAACCCCCCGAGTTCAGAGATGCTTCTCGTCATCGTCCGTCATGTTACAGACCTACGTTGCTCTTTAGTTGATTGACGAAGAACAAAGCTAAGCCCATTAGAGTTGACTTTCCTACTCTCCGGAAATACCATCGCTTCTTTTTTTTCTCGTCCTACTTTCCCAAATGTCAACTTGTCGATAGCCGTCCATCAGGGAACCCTCGGTGAAGGACGCCCGTCTGATCGACAAGTCCGGATTCTGGTTTCAGCTTCCTTGCATGGGGACCCTACAACAGGGAACGAGGCGAGGAAAACGAAGAGGATTGAAGAAGTTGAAGAACCAGGGGGTGGGGGGTGGGGGGGGTTAAGGAGGCTCCGGAGATCGGAGTCCGGGGGAGGACGCGATGAGGATTTTTGGAAGGTATTACGTCTATCCGAGACAGCTGGTGCTCGCAGCTTCAGGGTACGTCTTTCCGTCCGACGCTCCACCCCGAATATTCATCGGAAAAATTAGGGATCTCGTTGGCGTTCCGACTTTCCATAGTCAATCTAGCTCCTTATCTGCGAAATTGGGGGTTTATGCTCGGTTGGATTGTCATCGAGCGTCATCGGCCGTGTCGATTAGAATCTCTGTCGTCTCCCCTCTGGGGCTGACTCCTTTCCTGTAATTCCCGATTCACAATCGGAAAAGGTAACGATGACAACGACAAATGGATGGTACAGGCTGCTGTTCTTGGGCGCCACGACGTACGACGTCCACAGGTCCATCAAGAACAACGAGCGACCCCCCTCCGAGGAGCAAATGCGCTATCTCGACGACGTCCTGAGATCTTCCGGCCGTCCTCCGCCGCCGATGCCGGCGCCTCCGTCGGATTCGAGGTAGATGCCAAACCGTCAGATTCGAGGTACATCTAGCGCGGCTTTCCCTGAACAGAGAAAGTGAGAGAGAGATTATCAGATTCGACAGTCTCTCTCGCTCCCTTCACACAGCCGCTCCTATCCATCCCTACCGACTTCAGACAGCAAGCTCTCTCTCCGGATGGGCCGTGGCAGAGAACCCCTCGGCTTGGCCACAGGGGAGGGGTGCTCTATATCAAGGTCCTCTCACGCCGTCGTCAGAGCAGGAGAATCACGGTGGAAGCCCGAGATAAATACGTTTCATTTCATTGATGCAAAAAGTTGCAAACTTTTATGAAACATGTGGAAAACATACTGTTTATGTCGATAGTGGTAATAGAAATTAGCCCGCGCCATGCTTTCTTCTTCCTTGAAATAATGCTATTGAAGGAGTATTTACAGATAAACTCATGATAACCTGAGTGCGCAATTTCAGTAAATATTCCATACTATTTTAGATATTTGCATTATGTCGAATTTTATAATTAATTTATAATAATTACTACACGAGTACTGCCCGGGGGGAGCCAGAATTGCATCTCCTGTGATTGGAGGTCAACGCTGACTGCTTAGCCTGCTCATGGCATTCTTCATTTAATGGGCCTTAATTTCCACTCAAGAACTTTATTGGGGCTCTCTGATAACAGAAGACTTTCGTTTGACTTTGAGTACGGACGTTGCAGAAACTTACTAATTAGACTGTTTTTCTGGTGGTTAATTCCTAACGATATTACCTGGTTGGACAACGCCGAAGCGCAGAAGCGTAGAACATCCCAAATGAAATTTTATATTCAGTACTAGCCGAATGAGGCGATCTCAGCTCCAAAGTACAGACTGGACAGGATCTCGCTGCGTCGTCATTGTGAGCAACGTGGACGGCCCTGTGGGTGCCCTTCATCTTCAAATAAAAAACTCAATGCCTTACCCACAGACGGTGACTGCGGGAGCTGGGCTGCCGTGCGCCTGCCCGTGGCAGCTGCCGTTCCACGGAGGGCGAAGCGGCCCGCGCGGTCGGTGGGACGGCGATATCATTGACAGTGACTCTCTGCGGCGCCGGTCAAGACGCGATGTTGGAGGCGGGGCTGCCGTTCCAAGGCTTTGGAACGAGAACCCCGACGTGGGAATACTATCCAAAACGATCGTAGAGCTCTTCCACACTCCTGAAAATTCATTAGATTTATGTTGGCTAATAACAGCCGGGTTTGAAAGTACGCATCCTCCGATTCTGCTCTTCAAAAGCTTGCCTTTGAAGGCACGTATCGTTTGCTGATCTTCCATTTTCCCTGTGACACCGTTTATTCTTTTATAGAACATCATTTGGTTCAAACTTGGTTTATTTTTTTAACATCATATGCTTTAAAGTTCATCCACTGGCGTCAAGGAACCCTTTATTTTTCTTGTCCAAGAACCGTCGTTCTTGGGCAATCGCTCTCGAATAAAACAGTCGCCACAAATAACATCGCGGGTCGTCGGCAAACTCCCTGTTAATTTTCTTGTTGCTGTTTTATTTAAAAAATCATCTGATCAGTTGTATATTTGAGAAGCATTAACCGATTCAAGAAACCTCCAAACACTATTTTAACCTAATTTCCTCCCGGGTATACTGCACTTCGACTACAAATAGCAAATATCTGGTCAGTTCCTGGGGATTGCACCCTTGGGGGGGAGGGGGAGGGGGTCTCTCATCACCACCTTAGATCATGACCATCACCTCTTATTAACCATGAAGGACCTCCTGGAGGAGAGGCAGCAATAAAGGGCTGCTCGTGAATGACGAGTGTATTGAGCGGCCGTCAGCTCCGGCCTGGCAGCTACTAGAAGAGAATAATAACATCAGCAGTTATCACCGCCTCCTTCTCTCTCGTCTATTCCTTCCCCGCAGCGAGGAGTGCAACCTGAATTCTCCCGGCGGTGATATGCACGGCGGTGAATCGATAAGTTAGTGCCGCACGGAGGTGGCGCACGTTGGAAGAATTTATTACTAAAAGACACCAAATGATCTTAGAAAGGTAACAGCTATTAAAGGCCTCGACACTGTCGTTTCCCAGGCCACACACCCGGTGGAGCCTGCGAGTAGCATGCGCATATGGCGAGGTCTTAAAAGTTTCGACATCGATGACGATGTTGGCAACCACCACCAGCCGACACTCTCTCTCTCTCTCTCTCTCCCCCCTCCCCCGGATCGAGAGACTGGAGGTTAATGGTTGGTGCCCCTGAGAGCATGTGCCAACTAACTTACCTCGGCACAGTCCTGTGGAGCCATCCACCGTCATCACGGCTTAGGAGAGAACCTGAACAACCCGCCGTGTCCTCTGCTCTCTATTTAAACTATGACGGCGGCAAGCTGAGAATTGGATTACGAACACTACGCCCATCTCCCAGTTCTTTAGGCCTCACCCGGCCAAGATGGTCGTCAAGATCTACGGCACGAGCCGAGCTGTGTCGCCGCAGAGGGTAATGCTCTGCCTCTTGGAGAAGGGCGTGGAATTTGAGCTCGACCACGTCAACCTCGACACTATGGAGCACAAGGAGCCGGAGTACCTTGCCAAGCAGGTGGTAACCAGAGCTCGAGGGAAAGCCGCCCTTCGTTTCGCCTTTCTTCTCCTCCTCTTTGCGTCTCTGACCACCGGATCTGGTCGTCTTGCAGCCCTTCGGGAAGGTCCCCTACGTCGAAGATGGAGACTTCAAACTGTACGGTGAGTTCCGGATAAATTTTAGGTCTTTTTTCCTGTCTTAAGATTCCAGTGTATTACTTCCTTCCCCGAATGATTAAAATGAATTCAAGAACATGAACACGATAATTTTCAATAAATACTCTCAGAAGGATAATCAGCAGTTTCTTACGTTGTCCTGCATAAAATAAAACCGCCGGCACAGCCACAATTAAACCAACTTACGTTCGAAAACGAGCATACAAGCTTATGTTATGAACTCACCGATTATATCCGTATTTAGTTCTATCATTTCCTGAAATCCCACGTTAGAGTGCCCCAATTAAACGTTCAGAAAATAGAAAGCCACCGATCCTGACGACTCCAGAAAAACCTAGATTTCTTATTTAAAAATGAGTCATGTAACCTATGCTAGAATTACCATCCATCTCTAGAGATACATTTTGATCGGTTAGAATTAGGATCTTCCTGAAGCCCGGCCGATCATCTCACCTGCAGAGTCCAGGGCGATTATTAGGTATTACGCGGCCAAGCACGAGAACAGCGGGCCGCCGCTCCTGGGTCGGACGCTTGAGGAGCGGGCGGTGGTGGACCAGTGGCTGGACGTCGAGGCGATCACCTACGACGCGGCGGTGTTCCCCGTCGTGTTCAACAAGGTCATCCTCCCACGGCTGGGCGTACCAGGGGACATGGCGGCGGTCCAAAGCGGACTGGAGAAGCTGGAGAAGATCCTCGACATCTACGAGCAGCGGCTCTCCACGAGCAAGTACCTGGCCGGCGACAAGTTCACCCTCGCCGATCTCAGCCACGTCCCCGCGACAAGGCGACTTATCGACGACGCCAACTTCGGTGACCTATTCGCGAAGAGAAAGCATCTCACGGCCTGGTGGGAGGACATCTCCGGGCGGCCCTCCTGGAAGAAGGTGTTGGAACTAGAAAGATCCTCCCCCCCTCCTCTCTGATTGAAAAGACAACCCTTGTGTGTATGTGCGCGCGTCTCTCCCTCCCTCCCTCCCTCTCTCTCTCTCTCTCTCTCTCTCTCTCTCTCTCTCTCTTCCCTCCTCCCTTCAGGGGATAAAAGAGGACACGGCTCTTTGAATTGTTCCGGAATAAGAATTTAATTGTCGACTCTTGGTGCGACGAGAGGGAGCGAGAGGTTACGGTTGCACAAATTCCATGGTCTCCAACGGCCAACGCTGAACGCTTCATCACCCAAAGCGTTTGGAACATATCTCTCCTATTAGTGAAAAGCTAGAGTGATAAGGAGGCGAGCATGGAAACATCGGAATATTAAATATTTATATTGCTTGAACACTCCATTCATCGGAAACATATCGATCCCGTCCCGGAATTTGGGCAAGATCGGATCGGGCGTGCATGTTGATCCCGATACTTAGCGAATGAAACCCTGATGTATGACCAAAGGCCGTCTTTAATGGGCACGAGAAAGTCCATTCCCATCACATCAGCGTCAAGTTATTTTTAGTAGTTTTGACCGGCATCTTTGTCTCGAGGAAAATCTTAAACATCATGAGCATCACACTGCCAATGTTTTATTTTCGTATCGGCCGGGAGGGTCAGGTCAAAGACCCAGACAGCCCCGCCCGGGAGGGTCAGGTCAAAGGCCGGGTTCGAACGTCCTCTCCACATATTATGGCTCGCTTAATGTCCGCCAAAAAATCAGAAAAATGCCCCATTCAAGTCATCGTAGAAAGTCAAAGTCAACCACCCGGCTCTGATTTGAGGGCCATTAGAGCGAGAGCGTGAAACGGTTAACTTTTGTGACAAGAGATAGTAAGGTGGTATTAAAATCTGGTTCTTGGCGTCTGGTTGGTAATTTATTGAACCCAGGGCTCCATTAGATGGGAGACGTCGAACGGCCGACCCGGAAGAAATCAGTTCGTAGGAGTGGGATCGTTGACTTGTGGCCGTAGAAAAATGGACAGAGGAAAACGCCGTCTATGACCGCAGGAAACGATAGAGAATCTCCCTATCTCCTCCCTCCCCCCGCCCCCTCTTCTCTCTCTCTTCCCCCCCAGCGGGACTGAAATGATCCTCGAGACAGGGAATCCATACGAAGCTCGGCACGAATGTAATCACCATTTTTCCTTTGAGTTCGTCTTTCCTAGGTTGCCCAGGGAGAAACAACGGGCTTCCCACGTCTACGTTCTTCTGAGGATCTATCGTGCGCGGCGTGTGTATGTGCAGCGGTAATGGACGACAGAAACCGTCCCGGCTAGCCCGACGGTTTTGTGGAGGTGGGCGGAGGCGTTCTGGACGGGCGGATGAGGGACCGACCGTAGGCAACCGGGAGAGCCAGAAGCTTCTTCGCCTTGCTAACGTAGGCTCGCTTGGTGAAGTTGTTGTAGTCGTTCGCTTCAATCTCGTCCAAGATCTTCCGGTAAAGCAGCAGCGAAGCCCACACCTGAAAAAGCAGATCCCGAAGAACTACATGAGCTGTTGTCCCATCCAGCCACCGCAGGGTGGCGTCTTCAGAGGGTAGAGGCGCGGGCGTTCATTCGATCAAGAGAGAAGGAAACAGAGTGGGGAGAGAGGAAAGGAAGAGGGACGTTGGGACTTACAGGCCACCGGCTGGCTTCGCTGAGCTGGGTGACACCACTCTCGGCCTGATCGAAGAACAGCCTTGCCCTCTTGATCTGGTTTCTCATGAAGTTTCTCCACTTGTCGGTCACCTTCCCCGCGAAGATGTCCTCGTCGGAGAGACCTGCCTGCGCGAGCTCGTCTTGAGGCAAATAAACCCTTCCTCTGCGTGCACTGGACGAGCAGACACCAACCATCAGATTAAACCCTTGAAACCCGAACTTCTTCAGGATTCTGATGCTGAGGAAGCTAAGAAAATGCGTTCTTACTCTTCTCCGACGTCTCTAAGTATGTTGGTGAGCTGGTTGGCGATCCCCAGAGCCAGAGCAGCGTTGTAGACGCTCTCCGTCGTGGCCTGCGAATCGGGCGCGATGCCCATAACGGGAACGCTCATCAGCCCGACTGTGCCGGCGACGTAGTAGCAGTAGAGGTAGAGCTCGTCGAAGTTCTTGTATCTCGATTTCTTGAGGTCCATCCGCATTCCTTCGATCATGTCCTTGAAAGGCTGAACCATACAGGTTTAATCTGTCTAAGAAGACCTTCTGAAATGCCCCGGGAAGATCTACGAGAGATAAAGAAGGAGAGAGAGGGAAGGAGGGGGAAGAATTGGAGCTTGCCTGAATGTCGACGGGGAACTTTCCGACAGTATCCGACAAGGCTGCATCAAGCATGTCGTAGGGGCGACCCCCAAATACATCCTCTAGCCTCGCCTCCCACCTGTCCAGGGCCGACGGGGTTATGTGTGAGGCGTTGGGCCCGTCCACGAGCTCGTCCGTCCGTCTGCACCACACTGGAGAAGACAAGGGGGTCAGCCCCATTCACAGAGTTGACCTTTACGCCAGATAAGAACATGAAATTCGATAATCCTGACAAAAAAATTGTAGAAAAAAAAAAAAACCCGAGTTCCTCTGCCCATCTATTAAGATTAGCGAGGGATGCTCCCAAGGAGGGGAAAACAGAACAGGGGAGAAGAGCAAGGACGCGCCTTCTCTGAAGATCGGCGACCTGACACCTCACTTCGATCATCATCCAATCCAATTGGGTATCAGAAGATCCTCGGCAATTTCTTCTCTTCTAGCCTATATTATCATCGGGGAAGATCATATCCAATCCGTTTGCAAAAAAAGCGCTGGAGCAGCTGAACTATGACAGCCAGCATCAAAACTCGCAGACACAAAAATTCTTCCTTTTTTATTAAGTTTATTTTATCGTTTTGACTTAAAAGGAAAGAACAGGCGATAAATCACGGGCTGTGAGGAATTACCATAGATTGCCCAGATAGCCCTTCTCCTCTCGGGGGTCATAAGCAGTGTTCCTGAAAACGAACAAAACCCACCTAATTAAGATTCTCCTCGACCCATGAATGAAGATTTCAAGGCCAGATATGTGTAAGAACTTACCCAAGTAAAACGTCTTTGCATACTCTGCGCAGACTTCTCCACATCGATCGTATGCCTCATTGAGCAGGCTCAGAGCCCCAGGGAGGACCACGTCTGCTCTTTCCTCGAGAGCCGCCGCCGCCCTGTTTGACCTCAGCTCATTCACAAGAGCCGCCTGCTTGAGGACGACGTCGTAGACCCTCTGCTCAGATGGGATCACCACCTCCCCCGCAGAATTAGCGACAAAACTAGATGAAACCGGGAGATTTCTCATGTACTCCGCCTCAAGCCCCACGCTGGCGAGCTTGGAGTTCGCATAAAGCGTGGGCAGACCCCATCTCAGCTTCTTCTTCCTGATTCTGCCGTCGTCGTACCTGGTGCAGACGAAACGACCCCCTTCTCGGATTGTCTCCAGGGAGCAAAAATTTGAGGAGATCTCCATGGGCGAGACAACCCGCGCAAGAGCGACGGCCATGCTAGAAAACCCGGTCAAAGGGGCACCCTCCTGTGGCCTCTCCTCCTCTGGCCTCACGAGTTCAACGAGTCGGTAATTTCTCTAATAGTCGAATTCGAGAGGAAATGTATAAGCGAAATCTTCGACTACCCCACAGAACACAATCTTCAAGAACGGAGAACAATTTTTTTTTTTAAAAAGCGAGCATAATCCGTGAACACAACAACAACAACAACAAGGTAATTCAGATACTTGGGAGGAGATCGAGCTCCCAATCAAGGAAGCGACCGCAAAAAACCACTAGCAATCCTAGAGAACGGCATGAGCAAGTGAAATAACGAAGCCCATCTCTGGATTCTTCAGACATACCGGAATCCGCCAAAGATCGACCAGGGGAGCGCCTGGGAGCTGAGGTAAAGGGATCCCCTCTTTCGGGGACACAACTCAAGCAGCTCCTCCTTTCACTTCAGACGGTCCAAGACCCTCCTCCCTCGCCACCAACAATATACTCCCTAAGATTCCTCCACCACCAGGCATATACTGCTCCTCAAGGGAAGCCAATAGCGCAACAGCGAGACGGAGGCAAATAACGACGGCAGCGGCGTCGGAGAACCACTCGCTTCCTCTTCCCTCACTCTCCACACCCACAGGCGCCTCCCCAGCTAGCCGGTCTTCCCTCCTCCAGTAGCCGGATCCCTCGTACGATCCTCGTTTCCAGCCAGCAGAGAGAGGGCCCGCCTTCTCCGCTCTTCTAGAGATCGCTCCTCTCTGTCTGTCTGTCTCTCTCTCTCTGCGCTTTTCCGCTATCAGATTCAGGGTCAGCTGGACGCGTGGACAAGGAACTGGCCTCGGAGAAGGAGATAGGGTTATCAAGTGAGCGAGTTCAGCAAGTGTTACGTCGACACGTAGCAAATCGCTATCGGGCACACGGTCAGTGGGGTCCACCTGCTTGGTCGCCGCCCCTAAAGAGAAGCCGGAGGACGGCAGAGCGACCCCTGAGTGACACGTAGACTTGCTCGATCCCCGCCGCCAATCCCACCACGAGGATAGCTGACTAGGCCACGTCCACCTTCGCATTTCTCTCTCCGACAACGAGAGACGTGAACACACCCCCTGTCGGTCTGCCCGCCGGCCCTCCCCCCCCACCGCTAATGTAAAAGCTTCTATTACGAGGACCCATTGACTGTCTACCAGCCCTCCAAGAATAATCATTACATAAATTTTTAATACTTCCACCAGACTAGTAAGTAATTTCAGACCACATTAAAATCCTTCCCAGCTGTCCCTACTTGGTCAACATAAATAGAGACGTTTAACGAAGATATTTTGAAGAAAAACTTGCTTAAAACGTGTTAAATCAAGGAAATTCTAAAGGGTCCTGGACATGTGTTGACTGCGAACCTGATTTCCGAGCAGAAAGTCAACTCAGAAACGTTGGAGCTTTCAGTTCATTATTTCCCCACGTGTGCGATGTATACGTAAAAAATAAAAATAAGTATTTATATAATTACGAAATATCCCGTTTATTGAAGATGGGCAAAAGCAGCCCCCCCCCCCACTTTCGTATTTTTCTATCAGGTCGTTGACTATCTGAAAGCCCAATAAGTGGCTTTTCAGCCTAGTAACCTAAGAGGGCCACTGGAAGGGCCCTTAGGGTTGGGATTTGGTCACATCCGAGAGGCCTTACGGCCCAGACCGCGAACCCAGCCGAGAGCAATCCTGATCGAACGAACAGTTCTGGTGTGGGAACGCGTTTTCAAGATCTGGGTTGACCTCTTCGACGCATGCTCTCGATCAGCGTTGACTGGCCTCGTCCGCATTCTAGCTTCGAGGTTTTATCGATCATTCTGAAGATCATCTAACGGTTCTAACCGGTCGGACAATGAAATGCTCCGGCGTTCAGTTTCAGTTCATAGATTTATGTATTTGTCTGCATATGGAGAAATTAATCTCCTCATCTACGCGTCAGACGTGGAGAAAAGGGCGGAGGTCCAATGAGGTTGCAAAGATGATGGTCGAAGGAGTAAAGGATGGAACCCGAGCTACAAACAGATCTCGCGCTCCCTCCCGGTTGGGGAAAAATGCGAACGACAGGGGAGGGCGGAGGCGACAGAGCCGAAAAAGAGACGACGTAGGATTATACAAAGGTCGCGACGGGCGTCGGTCAGGCCCCGCCGCTGCATATGGACATGGAGAGGTTCAAGTTAAGTCTGCCTGCCTTCGAGCAGGCCCAGGAGTCGCCGTGGTTCTTCCCCGAAGAGGCTGAGAGAACTTCGCTGGTATCGCTCGTCGACGGCGCGCGACCTCCTCTCCCGGCCCCGGGATGCAGGAGGGAGAGGGAGAGAGAGCAGTCAACGGCGCCTTCTCCGTCCTCCGATTTCCAACCTCCTCCGGACGACGCTTGCGTGTGCGATTCACTATTCTTCTCGGTCGCTTCCCAGACCCTCTGCGGACAAACACAGCAGACGATTAACCAGAAAGAAGCGCCAGACTGCAGGCGGAGGGAGTAGAGAGAGTACTCCTGCATGCCCTAAGCAACTTCACGGTGACGAGACAGTTAACAAAGGACCGTCTTCCAGGGAAGGACATGGCCAAAAGGCCGCGGAGCTCATCTCCACGTTAGGTTATTCAATGTAGGGAAAAGCACGTTTCCATGACCCCACGGGCCACGGCGAGATTTATTGTGTTCATAATTGCGACACACAAGAGGACACCATGCATCGGACAAACGCAGCAGATGAATGAACATTAGCCTGCTTGGAACACTTGCACAGAAAACAAACATGCCGGAATTACTCTTCACGCAGACGTTAAAAGGAACAGCAAACTCGATTTCCCAGTCATTGAACTTAATTTATGATTCATTAATAGACGCATCTTCATTTATTTTCCTACCATCTGGCGTAATGTATAAAAATACCAACACCGGAGAGGGAGAATGTGACCTAACACGAAGGTACGTACGTTATGCATGCAGTTGAACCAGGCGGCCATTATTATCCGCGATCAGTAAGAATGCTAACGTTAATATATATATACATATATATAAATATATATATATATATATATCGAGAGAGAGAGAGAGAGAGATTTATTGGCTACGGGGTTAGAGATTGATGTAGCGTACCTTGAAAGAACCAGATTCGTCTAGCAGGTAATCCAAGGCATGGAACTGGTGAACGTGGTCGTCCGGTAGGAAATCTTCCCCATCTTCCTTCTGCCATCTGAAGCTCTCCTTTATTCCCCATTCTTCTGCCCTTCCTCGCAGATATTCATCGAAACAGTAAGGGGATGCGACCTCCCCACATATTCCATGGCCGCGTCGTAACCCAACTTGCAATGGAATCTTCGTCGTCTCCAGCCGAGCCCTATCAACAAGGAAACGACCAAGATGAGCTCCTTGGAAGCCAAAGCGAAAAAGGGCAAGACGAGAGAGAGAGAGAGAGGCTAAGATGAGCTGAAAAGTCTAACGTGCTATAATTACGACTGTAGATTGAACGGGGGTAGCTGCTTTCTGACCTCTTCAGGGGGGGTGGGGAGTGGTACTTCGACTGAAACTGGTACTCGGGGGCGCTCAAGCACGTGAAGAAACCTTCCTCGTGTTGCTCATCTGGCGCACCGTCGCTGTCGGCAGAAGATTGCTTTCTCCCTTGACCGGAATGTGAATCTGATCGCACAATAGAGGAGGTCGTTAGACTAAACACACCGCAAAGAGGAGAGCACGGTGAAGGTGTGCAGTAAATCTCTAGGTTTCATGGAGGGACTGTTTTGCAAGCTCAGGGTAGATGGCACAACATAAAAAATGGGTTCTGGCAAAGATTTTAGTTCTTTACTTCTCGGGTTTCTAGATGTAAGAAACTCCTTTTTTTTTGGTTCAGGAAATCTGCAGCTTTATTCATGAAAAAAGTTCGGGACAGTATTGGAAGAATAATTGGGAGAAACCCCAACGAGGAAAAGCTCAAGGCCCCATCTGTTGATAAGCTGGAAGAAACGATCATGTGAATTGCTTTACGGCTCAGTAATGGATCTAGTGAAAGCAATCTCTTACCTTGCTTGTTCGTCTCGTTCTTCATGCTCCTGTACATCTGATGAACACCGGAAGAGCAAGAAACCAACCAAAGTCAATGGATGAGGTGAGTATAAACACTGGTGTCGGCTGAAGCCAAGAAAAATACGATCCAGAAATAAGGAATTGCTCAGCTTCGATTGGAAAACGAACCTGAAGATGACTCTTGACATGGGAGATAGTTAGCCCTCTAACATCCATCAGCTGAAGAACTAGCTTGGGTGTAGCCTCTGGAATCGGATAATCACCGAACAACGAGTAAGACCTCCTGCTTGAGGCTGGAGGAAGAGAGATCTAGCGAAAGGCGGAAAGAAATCGAGAGGTAGAGAGAGGGAAAGAGGGGAGGGGAGGGGAGAGAGAGAGAGAGAGAGAGAGAGAGAGAGAGAGAGAGAGAGAGAGAGAGAGAGAGAGAGAGAGAGAGATTACTTTCTTGGCCGCCAAGCCTTTCGATAGCATGCACGAAGCAGTGGTGGAGCTCAGGGGTCCACTTCAAGCGAGGGACCTTGGATCTTATGTACTGCCTCACCGCTCCGTTCCTTCCGCAATTGCCCATCTTCTACCTCGACGAGATGGCCACCAAACGACGGGAATATGCAAAACACGACCGACCCGACCGAAGAACCAGAAGCTCCGGCTATATCCTTGGTCTCCGGGTGAAGCTTTTCCTCTCCCTTCTTCCTTCGATTGCACTCAATATCTAATACGGCAGAGAACCCATCCGAGACCTCTCTGCTACAGCGACCCCAGCTTCCCCACCTCACTGGCTCTCCCCTAAATACTGTTGAGCCTGTCTACTGCTAAAGCGACATTCGAACAGCGAAACGAGGGATACGAGCGAACTATCGTGTGTCTCTGACAACAATGGAGAGGGGGGGAGGGAGAGAGAGAGAGAAGGTGAACCACGGCGCAAGGGAATCGTCTATTAGTGTGGAATTTGAAGGGGATGCTGCCTCACCATGATTCTATGCCCTTTTGCATTTTTATCCTCGCCGGGAAATCCCATAATTGCGTTTCTACCTTACCAGGCCCGGTGTCCAAGTCCTGGAAGTCACTCATCGTTCTCGTGAACTCACGTACGCAGATGGCAATAAATCTGCCCGCCCATCGGCATGTAAAATCAGGGAAAGTCTAGGGTGGTATAGGAAAAAAGGGCATCTGACACAAGAATATCCTGCGGAGTATAGCGAATTCTAGTCACGAGCTCTTGGTCTTCCGGAGATGTCTACAATAATAATCTTCAGAGCTGCGTCGCCTGTAGAGAGAGAAAGAGAAGAATCTAGAGAGAGACAGAGAGGGGTAGCGAGGAGCTTTGACCCGGAACCCGAAGGGCGACGTCGCCATGATCGCAGGCCTGGCGATGCAGATAAACCTACACGCTGTCTATCCTAGTGCACTTGCACTGGCGCACCAGATATATCATTGCAGAAGTTTAGATCGTAACCACATTAATGCCCAACGAAGTAGATACGAGGCCTCTGTAGAATCTCCCAACGCGATATCTTCGCCTTTCCTCCTGCTTTATTGTCCAACAACCCTCCCTCTCTCCGGTCGTCTGCCCTAAGGTGGCCTCATATCTGGACAATGCCCCTGGTTAATATGCCTAATCTCGCGTTCTTGGGGACTAAGGATCTGATGATGTCTGATGTATACGCGCAACTTCGCTGCTGACTGTAGAGGGACTCCGATCTGATGTCTGATGTATATGCGCCCATCTTTTCTATCATGTCGAAGAAAAGTCAACTATTTTAGGTAGCCCTCAAGAAAGAGGAGGCGCGGGGAACTGTGCGTTACGCCCTCCCACGGGCCTCTCTCCTTCATCCGCTTTAAGGACCCCTTTCGAGTTCTGTTTCCGTGTCCCGGCAACAGTGGGACGGTCTGGCGGAGGAGGGATGGCTGCACACGGAAGAGCGGAAAAGGGGAAGATAAACGTTGTGCGGGGCGGGGGAGTAGACATCATTTCAATCAGCTCGAACTTCGGCAAGATCTTTCAGGCGGCGTTGGCCTTTGAATCGGTTCTTAATTAGCTCTCTCTCTCTCTCCCCCGTCTCTGCGGAGCTGGTGGCTTTCTTTTCCCGACTTTTTTCAAACAGCGCCGGCCGCCATCAACCCCTTTTCCGGAAGCCTCTGAAAATTCCCCCGGCCCACCACGCCAAAGTCGAGGTAGATAAAGATAGAGATGCAGAAGGACTAGGGGAGGAGATCCGAGAGGATAGATAACCAACGTCTAAACCAGAGGCTCGCAGGTCACCTGGCGGTGGCGCGGGCCCGAATCGTAGGTTGGGGAAGGAAGGGGGTCGCCTTCGAAAAGCATAGGCTAGGCCGCCATGGCCCCTCTTGTCCCCGAGTTCATTCTGTCGTAGACCGTCGAAGGATTCATTATTCCACGCACGATGAAGAAAATAATTCACGTGTGCTCCTGCGGGCACTTGGGAAAATTCCCGTCATATAACATTCGACCAGCAGCTCCCAACATTCGGACATGGAAGAGGAGGTGCGTAGAGGAGGTACTGTCGTTGTGGATGCATTAATCCTGCGGGGGGGCGCGGTCGCTGTCGCGGCGGTCTGACGGCCAAGCGGCGGGGACAGAGGGACGACCGGCAAATGGCCGCCGCTCATGGCATTACTCCAGGGGACCACGCCTGCGGTGGCCCAGCCCAGGCCTCTAACCAGCGAGCGGAGGGAGGGTTGCCGGAAGTGGCGTTTCCGGCATGGAGGAGGAGGAGAAGGAATCCTCCGCCGGTGGCATCGTCTGGCAGCGGCACACGGGGCCCTAGGACAAGCGAACGGCGACTGTAATCGGGGGTGGCGCAGAGAGCGAAGTGGATAGATGGAATTATACGTGTATCCACCGGAAATGACACGCTAACAGTCGGAGGGGGGTATCAAGTTATGGCTCCGCCGTCCGAGGGAGAGGGGCAAGACGAAAGCGAAGGCCCTGATAATACCTCCTTAATTCCTTTTGTCTCTACTGGAAGCAGGGCCTGGCAAATGGAATGATGGAGGTCCTGCGGAAGGGAATGATGTGGAGAGGACGCTGATGATCCCTACGAAAAGGACGTCTACTTGCTCCCATACTCTCCTATCCTCCTGGGTCGCACACGCGCTTGTACACGAAAAAGTTGTCCCTTTTTCTCATTTTACTCGCGTAGAGATTGGCAGATAGAGAGAGAGAGAGAGAGAGAGAGAGAGAGAGAGAGAGAGAGAGAGAGTGGCAAAGAGAGAGGGAGAGAGTGAGAGAGAACGTGTTCTGAAGGGCGCCGGAATTTTTGGCGTGTTCAGTGGGGAGACTGTGGAGAGGGGAGAGGGGAGTGGATGGAGGAGAGGGCATTGAATGGATGAATGCTGCTGGTATTGTTCTGCTGGTCACCGCCCCCGCTGTTCCTCCTGCCGGGCTAAGCGCCTGTTTTGACTGTAGGAGAAGGGATCGATCTCTTTCCCATTTCATCTCTCTGGGGGAGCCTCCCCAGCGGAGCCCTCTTTACGGATCGTACCTGGCACGACGGAACTGTGAGAGAAGATCTCGTACGCCTTCCCATGACGGGTCAATCTGTCTGTCCCGTCTCCCCTTTTGTGAAGGACTATCGCCTGACGTAGACTACGTGCTGCCCAGTCACCCCGCCGGGCTCCTGCCCTAATGCCTTTCCACAGGAGCCTGGTGCACAACGACTTGAAACCCTAACGGAGAGGATTCCCTGGTCTCACGCCGCAGGCCACGGCGGCGCTCCCCAGAAGTACCCGCCGGAAAAGTGATCAAAAGAAGCCATTTGGAAGGTTTCCCCTACGCCGGGGACCTAACCGGCTCTTGTTCGACGGAATGCTTGTCCCATTTCACCGGCGAATCCCCCTCGGAGTCTCGTGTATTTCTCCAACCTTACCTCAAAGAGACGGAAGATTCAGTCCCCCCCTCCTCTATCCATCGCCACCCCTACCATTCCCGACGAGTGGGCGGGCAGCAGATGGGTCGAATTACATACAGTATGCACAGTACATTCAACGCTCTTGGATGACTCTGAGGGCGAGAGAGAGAGAGAGAGAAAGAGAGAGGTGAACAGAAGATGGGAGAGGCGGATCAGCGACCGGCGGGGGGGAGTACTTTCTAATCTTGGTTCTGCTGGATTGGTTTGCCGGAATTGCCATATCAGAACCATGGTGTGTGGAAGACGCAGCAGGCGGGGGCAGGGCTGATGTGAACGTTCACTGTTTCATCTGGTTAACTCATTTATTCTCTTTGAGTTGTGGACGCATTACATGGGCACAGTGTCCGGCGGGGAGGGTCACCTCGACTCTCCCCGTTTGACGTATTAATTGGACAAGACTGTCCTAAATTCCCCATTCTGACTCATCTCGGTGTGAGGTCATGGCGAGTAGGAGGCGGCGGCCAGCAGGCGCCGGTATAATCTCTGCTGATCCCTCCGGGCACTGAACGGACCAGGGAACGGTCATACGCGGTGATCTGTTGGTCTAATAGAGGAGGATCCTCTCTCGGAGGCTAAGAGTTCGTTGAGAGACGGAAGCATGATAGGCTGTTCTCCGGCCAGGGTTTCACCTCTACTGCAGGCTGAAGATTTTCCTCTGCCCATAAGATTTGCGTATTATCGAAGCATTAAAAGTTTGACGAACGAGGATATGGAAAGCCCAGAATTTTTGCGAAGGATATGTACTCGGATGAAATCATCTTCTCCAAAATTTGGTCGAAACAAAACCCAGCTGAGCCTTAGAGCGGATGGCGAAACTTCGTCCTAACTTCGCGAGCTCTGTCATGAAGGAAATTCCACCAATGTTTGATGTGCACGAGTGCGATCTTTGGGTGAAAAGGATGCATGAGAGGAAGGCAGGATGAGAGGGGACGACTCCAGTCGGTGAGAGGGGAGGGGGTTGCAATTCTGGCGGAGGTGTAATGAGCGCCACCGCGCAGATTCCGCGAAATCCCTCAATTTTCCCATATTCGAAGTTGACGGGGGAGCTTGGAAGCATTCGAGCTATTAAAGAGGAGATTTATTGGCTGGTGAGGCCAAGGTTGATGCCGCTCCTGACAGGGTCATGATTGAGCGAGAAGAAGAAGACACCGTTCCGACTGGTTTCCTGCGCGAGCGGCAAGGATCTCCATGGCCACGGCAGGAGCCTTGGCCCACGTAGTTCCCCCCCTCCACGAAGGCCCATCCTCTGGGATGGGCGAGGGGGCCGGTGACCCGCCGGGAACTCAGGTGGGGGGGTGGGGAGGGCAGCCTAGCGCCGACGGCAGCCCCCACGGCCCGAAGCCACAGTCTGCCGTCTAATTATGGTCGCCCGGGGGGCTGGCGCAGGGCGCTGGGCTGCCGGGCCCAGCGGCATGCTCTTCCCGAAAAAGCTTGTGGGACAAATTGTGGATCTGCAGAGAGGAGAGAGGGCCTGGTGCTCGTATCCCACCCGTCCGGCCCTTCTCCGAGCTCCCTCGCTCTCTGCCTCTGCCTCCCTCTTGGTTGGTTGTCTATCGACAACAGTGGCATGATGGCAAAGGCGATGATGACACGGGACAAAACAGGCTCACAGACCCACTCGCTCCCTTCCCCCCCT